CTCATCACGCTACTTCTTTTTGTTTTTTCCCAGCCTTGCTAGGACCAAGCTCAGGCTTTACCAAGAATTGATTTAATCTGACCTTTGTGTTAAGTCCACATTAACCCGTTTAGGATGAATGAAGAGATCTGACAAAGATGGCTCAAGCTGGAGACGATAACTCTTAATGTGATGTTCCGTGTACTTTTACTTCCCCCCTGGTTCCTTTCCGTCAGTAATCTGCAGGATGTAGCTGTGTCTGGTCAGATTTGCACAATGCCATGTTTGTTTAAAACGTGCAAACAGATGTTGAGGAACACTCAGCCTCTGTCATGTTGCATTATGTTTCATGTCAGCTAAGGAAAAATACAACCCATCATTTCACGCATGTACCCTGAAAATGCAAACACATGCACACACATGCATACCCTGCCAAACATGGGCATTCACTCTCTCTCACACACAATCTCAATCATATAGTTGACTGTTTGTATATGTCTCTCCTATAACCCTCTTGAGCTGCAGCCTGGTCAGCCAACCATATTATCTGCCATGTGGCAGTCACAACAGGTTTGACTCTTCATCCGGCCCAGTTCGTGCCCATTGACTTAACAGGTTTCAGCTGCAGCAAGGGCATGTCAACCCAAGAATGCACTAATCAATCATATTTCACTTCAAGCACGCTCCAGCTCAACCACAACCTACCGCCGTCCTACCTCCCTTCTGCAGTTCGGTCTTTCTTTGCTTTCTCTGTGTCTCCTGAGCACACAGTTAATGAATCAGACAAGCTGTTCACATGGACAATAATGAGCAGGTTTTGGTTGAGGGGAACCACAATTTCTAGTTTGCACGTAAGTACTTCAGCTAGTGTTACAGCATTAATGAATAGTACCACAGGGATCTCCATTAACTCTACTCTTATTAAAAGGTCAATTCTGCATCACACTTTCATACATAAGGACAATAAATACTTTTTATATTATGTACCCGACTAACTCAATGTTCACAGTCTAAAGAATTTAAAGCTAAAACTCTTCAGGAAATCCTTTCCGCTAACTAAATAGGGTTACACTATGTAAACAATGAGGAAGCATATCTGTAGCAGTAAGCCACTCTAAAAGTGCTTTGATGTATTCATGGATAAATTGCCATATCCCCCTCCCCTCTGCATGGGCCCTCAGGACAACATCTAAACTGATATAAATCAGCTTTAGTGCGACTGGTCAAAGTTTACTTATTCACATCACAGAGCTTTCAAGTGATCATCTATCAGCAAAACTAATCTATTTTCCTCTCAAAAGGGGCCCTTTTTCTTTCCCATTCATGGGACCACTTAATTTGAGCACAACCTGTTTTAATACGACACGTATTATGTGGAACGGCTGTACCCTTGAGCAATGTACTTTACCTGCGTTTCTCTGGTGCAAAGCTCAGCTGTACAAATGGGTTCCAGAATTTGTGAGTCACTTGGGATGAAAGGCTGTGCCAAGCCATGAAATAATAACACTAATATTAACATAAGGTCTCAATTCCTCCTGACTCTTTCATTTTTGAGCAGTCATAACAAGCTTGGGAATGCTGATCGACAATTCATGTAGTCCATGTACGTTGGCTGTGGTATTGACGGACACTCCACCACAACCTTGGCGTACAACCTTTGGTGTAAAATATGATTAAGTCGCTAAGGTAATTGGGGCATGTCCCATGGTGGTTTGGGGCTTGTTGCTTTGGTGTGGCAAGGACATGATGAACTTCCTCTCAGATTGTATTTTCTAAAAACAGTGCTAATCATGGCAAGGATATGGTCTTTTACAGGAAGTGCCAGGGAAAGTACACATCGTGCAAGAAGTGGGGAGGCACTTGAGACAGGGAAGAAAAATGCAATCAGGAAATACTGGAAGGAAGGCAACTGCAGGGAGCGAGTGGCCGGCTAATAATAGAGCAGATAAGAAAGGAGTGTAACCCAAACAATATGCAGACTAACTGCTTTAAATCTGGTCCCACAGGAAAAGGAGTTCATCATGCTTAGCAATCCTCTTGAGCTTGATGTTCAGACACTGATGACATTTTACCAAAATTATCACATTTCAAGATGTTTTTGTACAGATTCAAGTAGACTTTTACAAGATAAGAGGATTAACACGACAACTAATTCCGTTTTGCATTGAAAAAATGATCACAGTTACATTAAAAGCTAGTTTGAGCACTGAATTGAAGTAAAAAAAATAATGAAATTGGCATTTGAGCTGACAAGAAAACAAAATTAATGTTTTACAGTAATCCTATCCTAACTACAATCCTCCAACGCAATCTCCGCTGAAAATCATAATTTGTTATCCCTTCCACTAGGCGAGGTCAGGAGACTAACAGGAAACCTATGTGGGAAATCACACCTACTTTTTGAATCAAAACAACCTTTTCGTCGTCCTCCGAAACAATCTGTCGGGCCGCCCTATCTTCCAAGACATCCCCAGTAACAGATGCTTATCCTGAGCCTATCGAGAAGAGATGAGGGAATGAGGCCAGAGGAAAGGAGTTCTCTAAGATGTGTAGCAACAAAACAAAGGCCATGTTTTCAACGGAGTGGATTTGGTTCTCTGTGTCGCTGTCTTTTTGGTGCATCTGTTTCCCATTTAATAAGGAAAAAACAAAATCCAACACGGTATCTGTTGTTTTACTTCTGAAGTTACAATAGACATTTTCAAAGAATGAGACTACAAAACCCTCCTTTTTGACTTGGTGTTACCTTTCATAACATTGATTTAGCAAGGCTGACCTGTTTATGGCAGCACAGTGGGGGTTGTAGGCCCATTAAGTGGGATGGAAAGGATCCATTGACCCTTAAGACAGCTGAGGTACACTAGTAGATCTTTAGCTCTCTGTCTCGGCCAGTCATGAGCCCCTGTACACAAGGGACCTTTGTGTCTCTCTCTCTCCTTTGGCTGGCAGCTGTGGGCTAAGCACTCATCCATAGATCTACACGTTTGCAATTTCGAAGAGGTAGGAACGCCACTCTATCATATTTTATTCCTCTTCATCGTAATCTGGGATATCTTGGAAATGAGGAACACTAAGCACTGCCAGGGGAGGTTGATTATTCCAGCCGTGTATTTGTAGGGTTTTCCCTTCAGACGTGCTGCTTTTCTTTCCAATGCGCCCCAGCATGAGGAGACAGAAAATCAGTCGAGGAATGACGGACAGCAACATTGGTCAAATAATCTGCAAATAAATCTAATGGTTTTACCTTGCATTACAGTAAGTCTGCATATTCTCGCTTAAGGAGAAGAACTCTGAGATGATTACAGCAAATGTGAGGTTTTACGATAATCACAAGAAAAGTAAAATACGTATTTATGCTTATGCTGAAAGGAATGTGGTATTGATTTAGAGCACATGGGTATTAACTTACAGGCTTTTTGGGCTTAAGTAAGGGACATAGATATGCTGTGGTAGATTCTGTTTATATCTACGCTATATTCATATAGGACCGTGAAGGTATTTTGAATAAGTATGTCAAAGCCATTCCAGATGTTACATTTTAAATCATGTCATATCCACTTAGTGTAACCATCCAGGAACTCCATTTGCAGTAAATGCTCCCTAAACAAGGTAGTTTTGCAGGGCATTTGGTGGGATCAGCAGTCTTTGATCCACTCTCTTCCTCCCCGCTGCTTGGCTCCCCCTGACCTTTGCAAACCCGATGTGACATGCACCTTTTCAGCTAAGACAATTTGACAAATAAGTGATGACCGCTCACATTTTTAATTTAGGAGTGTGATGAAAAATTAACCGCGGCCAACTCAGGACCTTGATTTTTAGAAGAAGTTTTCTATGAGCTTGCGTATCTTTCCCACCCCCCTTTTCCGCTGTTAGGCATCTATCTCGTTTGCTTGCTCTCACTCCTTCCTCTGTGCCCAACCTCTCCTGATCTCTTCCTCCACTGACCCCCCCCTTCCTGCCCCATAACTAATCCTTATTATGCCTCTCACATAAACTGTTGGTCTGGCACCGGGCTGCCCAGCCACACAGGCGGGGGGTGAGAGAGGCAATCAGAGGAGCATACTTGCGTCGCAGTGGGCTGAGTGGTACAAAAGATGCTCCACAGACCCTGTTTCCTTCCCTCATTTGGGATTTCATCCATTATGTTCTTCTGTCATCCCCTCCTCAGCATAATAACTCCTGAAAGGTAGATAACTATTAATAGAGTTCGCACAGCACTGCAGTCATATGGATTGCCCCGCAGCGCTGTGACTAAGTAGAACTGATGTCTCCTGTGACAAGCGCTCGTGTCGCTGTCATCCAGGACGTGCAGACACTCTGCATACATTAACCACTGCTGGCTTCCCCCCCCCCCTTTCGTCCTACCCACCATTGGATGGCACCACAGCTGTCCCAAAGTGAATCCCAAATGAGAGTATCTGTCAGGGTTTGTTTGCTGCAGGCCTTGATTTGATGCTATTACTCTGCAGATGGTGGGACTGGCCCAATCTTCAGGAGGCTTGAGCTGCTGGTGGACATCTTTCGCCTCGGGCTTGGCCTGGTGGCGCCACAGCACAGTTTGAACATACACAGAGCTGAAACGGATAGGAGCTGAAAACTGTTTTTACTTTCTCATTGTCTCCCCACCCTGACACAACAGCCTCCTCTGATTCCTCAGCACACCCTTGTGTTTGTGCAGCAGAGGCCAAATGACTGAATCTTTCTCCGATTCCCCCCTCATAACCCCCTTCAGACAGATGTTCCTCATTCATTTTTCTCTGACACAGCTGCATATGTAAATAATCTATGATTTCTCCTGCTGGATGACTGGATTGGGGGATATTATCTGTTTTGGTAAGCAGTTTCTTCTTTTGCGCCAGGGGTGAAGACCTGTTTTTGACTTTACAGCAACACTGTTAGTTTTCTTTGGGTCTGAAGGCGACAGCGAGTCTGTCTGAAGAGGATGAGGTCAGTCCCTAACCAGACCCCTGGCAGCTATTTAGCACAGGTTATCTAACACAAGCAGATGGATGACATGCTAGCTGAAAGTGCTTTACTACCTGCTCCAGGTGAAGGCAGATTTCCTGCTGTCGGTTTTTGCCAGTAGAGACTTGCTGTATCACCCATCTTGTCTCCGGCCCCCAAAGCATCTCTCTTCTCCGTGGCAACCATCAACTGCACTAACCCAGAGAAAGACTGACAGTCGACCCACTGAAGAGGTGTGCAGGCAAGCCGAGCAGAACAATAACAAAACTGGAGTCAGAGGCAGAAAGGGGAAGAGGACAGACCCTAATAATGGCCCGGCCGTGACTTGACATGCTATGAAAAGTGACAGTGGACGAGTCATCCATTATTTATAGCAGTGCAGAGCTGGGTTATTTATTTTTTCAGCAGTATGAGCAGCAAGGGATCATGGCACTAAACAAGCAGCCAGTCGTGGCCTATTGGTGTGATTGTCAACGGACAGCGAGGCCAGCACAGCGGTGAAGTAAGCCATGACTGAAGTCGGGGACTGATATGGCAACTGCACTCGGGATGGGATTTACCTTAACTTGTGCTGGCTCTACTTCTGTCCTGTCTTATCCAGGTCACACATGTGAGGTCAGCGTCAACTGTTGATTGGCTGAAAACATTGTTGCTGCTTCCCTTTTCTTGCTTTTTACACAAAAAGTTTTTTTGTCTCTTTGAATACAAGTTGTGACACATCAAAGCAAGACAAGAAAAATAAGAAAAAAGGAAAACAAAAAAAATATATATCATAATTTAGTGGCAAAGAAAATACAATTTATGAATTTAATGTGACTTCTTATATTGTATTTGTGCCAATTATTGAGTATTTCTTTAAATATTAGACATGAGTGCACAGGAAGCCTTAATGTGATATTCAACAAATAATCATGAGCTGTTGATAGAGCAAACAATCAACTGACACATTCATCAGTGAGGGGCAGAAGTGCTGATGTCAGTGTGCGACTGCAGCGGCTAATCTATGTGTATGGATTAGCATAAGTGTTCGATAGTTCTGTCCGGACGACTGGATCACTATCGTTGTCTCAGATATTTATCGTAGCTGAGTAGAGCACTGTGTGTCTGGACACGGCTTAGTTATGCAGAGATGCCACGGACGCCATCAGGGCATTTCTGGCACACACAAACGCGCATGACATCAGGAACAGATGTTGCACATGGTGAGGCCCATCAAGGGACAACAACTCTGCATCGGAGCATGAATATTTCAGACAGCTTACTGCTGTACTTATCAGCATAGACACGACCAGGCTGGCCAAGGACCCAGTCAATCTGATCTTAAATTTTGGGGATGTTGTAATCACTTTATTGAAGAAGCGGGTGAAAGCATACGCCAGGTTGATGAAGTGCTGGCTTGCAAAAACAAGGAGAGGAAGTTACTCTTTTAGCTTAGATGCATTTTAGATGATGAAAAAGCATCTGCAATTTGGTCTATGTCTGCACATTCTGTTTTCTGTCTGTGTTGTTTATGCTTATTATACTATAATAAGGTATTCTTTTGGCTATCTCAGGAGCATTTAAATTTGTTTTAATGTCAGAAAAAAAACATGGTCCCTTTCAGGTTTGAAAAATTATGAAGTGAGTGCTCCAGTCTGTCTAAATTCTCCAAAAAAAAAACTTTTTCATTTATCTTTTTATCCTTGTTACCAGAGCATCATTTTACTGAGGAGAGATGTTTTAGATTTTTTAATTGGCATCATATGAGTGACAGGTCACTACTAAGTCTACGAGCCACAGTGGATGCTGGTCAGCTCCACCCTTTTAAAGAGAAACTGCCCAGGAACTGGTACAAAAGCTAGGCTACAGTCCCTGCAGACTGGTCTGAATCCATGTGGTGGTGGACTCAGAGACTCTGACCCAGAGTTTTAGTTTTAGTCTATAATCCCCTGAATTTTTTTCAGCACTTTTCCATCAGAAAGCCCATGTGGTATTGCAGAATTTCTTTTTCTTAGCAATTATTACCGTTTGCAGACACACACACACAACCACACATATCTGTTCCTCCACATGCCGCAAATTACTCAGCTGTTTGGGTCAGTGGACTTTAAAGCGGCTAAAAAAACAACAAAACTAAAAGATGTATGCTTCAACAGTGCAGAGGATTCGATGTTTGCTCTGGACACACATGGGCAGAAGTGTTAAAAACAGTAGTATAACGAGGACGAACTAGACTCAAAGCATGCAAGGAGTAAGGAGAGTAATTTCAAAGCTAACTGGAGAGCAGGTGAGATCCCAAATTTCCTGTCAGTGTATGTGTAACTTAACGCTCACTAACCAAGAGAACCTGTCTCAAGTGAAACTTAGTAACAGTAGTACCTTAGGATCTTTGGGAATCAAATATACTAGCAATCCATATAAAGCTGCAGGCTGCATTGCTTCTCAACCAGAATCCACTGCTACACCAAACACAACTATTTTTTCACCAAAGTTGTTCAGAATTTACGATCGGAATTCAATCTGAAAATCAGAAAAGTCAAACGTAAGTTTGTCCCCAAAATAAATAGTCAGCTCTCGTTTCTTTTATTTTCTTTTTGGATAATGACACATTGCTCAATTAACCTTATCCAAATTCACAGTGTTGGCTGTTGAAGGGTAAGGCTGTGCTCCCAGGCATCACTGTGTCTGCCAAGTGAACCTAGTCATTTTGTGCCCAACATTACACAAAACTGAGATGCAAAAATGTCCAAATTCACAATAAATACGTGATATCACACTTGTATTTTATAGACCCAGTTAGCTAAGCATGTTGCATGCTGAAGAGCACACATAAGTATTGTGTCTGCGATGAATGCAAAAAAATGGGGTCTCTGATGGCAAACTGCTGAAAAAGAAGTGTTTTTAAGTCTATGCTTAAACCAGTGTAACTGTAGAGTAACATCAAGGTTCCCCCAGTGAGTTCTCATCAAAAAGGACAAGCTGATGGGCATCTATTGATCCATTGGGGGCTGAGATTAAAGGGATATAGTCACAAAAATAAAGTCATTGGAAAGTAATAATGTCACATGAACTGAACTATCATGTTACGAGAATAAAGTCACCATAAAGTCGTAGTTTTACTTAAAGAGAAGCTGTTTGCATCAGGAGAGTGGAGCAGCTCATTAAATTGTCCCTAATGTTTTGGCACCTCAGCACCACATTGATAAGTATCAGGACCCTAAATAGACTGCACAAAGCTGAAATGTGTGGCACAGCATTATGTGGCTAATTGTTGGCCAGCTCTGACTATTGTAGTTAATTTCTTTTCTTGCTGATCTTGTCTTTAACATGTGAAATTAGTTTTTACTACAAACAGTCTCACCCAGCTGTCTGTAAACAGTCAAATGTATCCCTCAATGTGAATATTTGTAAAAAGTTTCCCTCTCTGTAGTCTGGTCTGATATGTTTCCGCTCACAGTGTTTGCATACCACAAAAACTACAATGTAGTAGTTTTCAGTTTTGTTGCTGTTGGTCTACTTTGTTATTTTGGGTCATACACAGGAATCACTTTTTATTCAAATGTTTTTCATAACCGGCCAAAACCTCCTTGTGGGGGCGTTAGATAAATTTCTGAAGTTCACCCAAGGAACAAGAGGCCTTTATGAGCGAGAACAATATCTAACTTTGTCAAAAAAATAAGCAAGAAGACTGACTTTTTAATTCCATAATGTCCCTTTTGTCTCTTTCCATCTTCAGTTTCCAGACCTGGGAGATCTATAATTTGTTGAGGCTAGTACAGTTAACTTTAGCTCACCTGTTATGCTTACTACCCAGCTACTGAACGGACTCCCCAACTGGTAGTAAGATTTTCTTACAATATACCAGCATTTTCTAAACCACTACACCCAAATCAGAGCTTGTGTGGTTTCTGTCTGCTGACTACATTCAGTTCACATAAAAAACTACATCATATGCATATATGACCTACAAGGCCACTCTCTCTTTAAATAAAAACACTGCACCAACAGGCACCGATGAGCTGGTGGGTCAAGCTATAGAATTGGCCTCACACCCTGAACCGAAGACCATATTTGACTTGTAGATTGACCAACAAGGATCCCTTAGGTTGGAACAGATTTTTGCTGAAGTGAACTTAAGTTTAATGCATCCTCAATAAATCTTATGCTGCGTTCCAGTTACCTAGGAAGTCGGAGCTGGGAATGACGTTATACCCGAGTTGACGACATTCTAGTTAACAAGTTTGGAAAACCAAGATGGACACCTACAGTTACCTGTTGTTAGCTGTTGTTTACAATTGTCAGCTGTCATTAGCCATTGTCAGTTGTTGTTAGCGATTGTCAGTTGTTGTTAGCCATTGTCAGCGGTTGTTAGTTGTTGTTCGCGACACCAGTTGTAAACAACGCATAACACAGTATTTTACTCTTACAAACACCATAGCACTGTGTTCACAGGTGGACGTTGGGCAGCACAACATATACCACTTATTTAATTTCACAAAAACAGAACAGAAGTGCTAATAAATAATACATTATGAGAGCTTTTACTGTTACTCTTTACTGTTGATGCACTACGCTGCCTTCTCGAAATATGATGTTGTCGTCAAGTCGGGGTTGTGGAGGATCATCCAACTTTCAGAGTCGGAAATCTGACTTCAGGGGGGCATTCCAGATAAATTTCCTGCTCGGAGCTCAGAAAATTCCATCTTCTGAGTACAACTGGAACGTAGCATTAGTGTTTGTTACTGTGTCTCATGCTGTTTCTACTCAGCTGTTCCAGCAATTGATCACAATGTTTCAGTCATTGAATAACAAAGCTAAAACTGTAATGTGATAAATTAAAAAAGTTTACCTTTATAGTTTTTCCTTGTCTACCAATTTTAAATTGGTTAAAATGAGGGAGGCTGACATGTTCTGAAAGTCAGCTACCAAGTTTTGGCTTCACTTTTGGGTAGCTGCCCTGTCCTTCATGTGAAATACAGTCACTGCTTCAGACAAAGACAACTTTTTTTAAAAAGACTATAATATCAAAGAGAAATGTTACCAAATAAGACTTTTGATTGACTAAGCTGTGGTTTGAAAATAGAGTGCAGTCCCGGTTTCTGTTGAAAAGATATAAAGTGCATGAAAGTCAGGAAGTGCAGACTCAGTTTCTTTTTATCATGATGACTTTATGACCGTGTAAGGCTGTACCTCACAGTCACCATCGTGTAATGTCAGACTGCAGATCTTTTGAGAATTACCATGGAAAAACAGAGTTCAACAGCACATTACTGTAATCCACACCCTTTTCTAAGCACAGCTTGAACCAGAAGCCTCAACCTCTCCTTGACCCCTTAGGAAAAGAATCCCTCAACCTGATCCCCAGAGAGATTTTCATTACAGACAAAAACAAAATCCATGGGTGGCTAGAGTTGTATTCTGATATTAGGGCAGAGGACGTGGATTTGATATGAGGCTAGAAATAGTCCTATAGACTGCAGTGAGAGCCGCGAGTCCATGTTGAGCTTTAATGGCCCTCCTCCTGCTCGTCAATCACACATAAAGAAAATGCTTGATTGCAAATTTCCAACCAGTGCAGTGGACTGACGTCATATTATTGGAAAGGGAGTGAGGAGACAGGTTTTGAATTGCTTGCAAGCTGGACAGATGGATACCGCTGCGTGGCAAAGGTATATGTCCTTATGAGTTATGAGGGCATAGCAGCGTTCAGAGTTATGGTTGACACAGATCAGCTCAACATTCAATATCACAATTACAGTAAAAGCTGGTGTAATGTTTCCCATATGGATAGCAGCATAAACCTTGGACCCCAAGAGAAACCCAAACATTGTTATATGGACATACAGCATAGTAAATAAAGCAGGATGTTAATATTCATCAATTCACCAGGCAACCTTAAGACTGAGCTTATTAATTATAACAAAGTTTCAATCGGGGGAGATGATAAATGTGTGTTTTTACAGAAAAACGTGATTCTTTCATGTGCTTATATAAAAAATTTTCATAATATCAGTACAATGTGTGTTTTCATTGAAAACTATGCAGAGTTCTCACATGGCATGACAAGGTTTTGAAAGAAAACAAAACTCACATTCCTCAACTTCTTGCTCATGTTTTACTTTTGAACGAGAAATGTCATCTCTTTCCCGCAGTGGATAATCAGGTTGATTTTATTCCGTTTAATATTCATTCAAACTAAACACATGGTTTGTGTCAGTATGAATACATTTTCCTCCACTTGAGCGTTAGATCTGCTTTCCAGCCAGACAAAAGAGGAAAGCAAGCGATTGTAATTTTAAGGCCCAGCATGCCGTTCCCCACGACTGACATCTCTTTTTTAATTGACCTCAGGTCAAACAGGGACTGGGATAATATTTTGTTAAATTATTCTCATTTCCCTGTGAATCACATTTCCATATATCTCCGCTTCATGCCTTATTTATTACCTTGGTACAATTACCATGCAAACGACGTCTTAACTGTCACCCCTTTCTCCCTCTGAACAGTTTAGTAAATATCAAACCATATTTATTATTAATAAACCCACAGCTGAAAACCCCCTTTTTATTTATAAATTATTCACACACTCAAAAGCTCAGGGAGTAGAGGCGCCCTCCATTCGATGCCACGGAGGCCAGCATAATTAAGACTATTGGCTCTAACTGATGCAAGTGCTTATATCGTCTATTTCTGCCCTCGTCCATGTGTCCATCTGTGTGAGCCATAGGAGATCATACATTTCAATCACAGCATCATGCTCGGTGACAGACTTTTCACAATGGATGTTGATTTTATTATCACAACACAACTGTTAGAGGTCCCCTGCTGTTTTTACTGCTCACCCGAGCCCCCGCCTCCAGTCAGCCACTCATTGATGGTTTCACACATGCACACTGTAGCCTACAAACCCACATACACAGCCAACAAAAAGGCGTTAATTCTTTTTGTCTATCTCTATCTTTCACATGTAAACACCCACTCACAACCGAAAGTCCATGGCACTCTGATGCATGTAAACACAACACACGGGTGTCTCGTCCTGCACATACACACAGACACACACACACACACACAGTCAGACACGCTCATTTACCCATGTGCTCATTCACACTAACCTGGGTTGGCTTCCCAGCTGTGCAAGCTGTTTCTTCCATCAACATGTGTTTACTGGCAGGGGACCCTTATGTTTGCATTGCAGGGAGGCAATAAACGGGGTGGGCTGGCCCGAGGGTTTCAAAAACTACTGTTTGGACGAGGAGGGGCTCATGAGGGGTGAGGGGTGAGCCCTAATGATCTTGTGGTTCAGCCTTCAATTAAATGCAGCGCAAAATCTCAAAATAGAGACTCTTATTTTGGTGGATGATGTTTTCTGGAATCCACACAAGCTAAAGTCCTTAGTGTCCAATTTTACACTTTGATGAATTTTTCACAGTCTTATGGAGCTCTAACCACCTGGTTGAGTTAGCAGGGCACATGTGTGAGTGTCTTTGTGTGTTTGTGCGTGTGTGTGAAAGGAGGGGGTTGTGTTCACATTAAATTAAATCGTTGCTTGCTACAATACACATACAAGTGAAAGACTGATTAACCAGATGACTGCAAGGCCTATTATTTTGGTTAATCAATAGATCCTTGAATAACTAATGACCGACATCAAAGAACAAGCCTATAAACAGCCACAGGCAAATGATAGACTGTACTGTTTTCATCTCTTTATAAAAGCTTTTGTTGAAATATGATAATGATTCTGTTCTACTCTGTTCATTTTAGTGCCCACTGTATGACAATGAACAATAGGCTCTTTTTAGATCAAACTGCACCTGAAAAAAAAAAAAAAAGTATGTTTTTAGACCAACTTCAAAGAGTATAACAACAGCAAACCCTGTGCATAAACTATGAATGCTCTACGGTGTAAATCTCTCATTTGTAAGTTAAATGAAACAGCAATGGTTAAGTTAAACAACATTTGGGTCACCCTGGTAAACAGGAGACAACAGGTTCATCAACAATGCTGACAGTTTTACTGCTTTGTCCCAAGTGATCATTTCACCATTTGTCAAATAGGCTCCAGCTGATTCTGCTCCAATGCAACTTTTGTACCACTACTCAATTACCTCCATTCACTTCCAACTGTTTCAAGGGGAGAGGGGATCAATTTGGAAACATGTTCCTTTTCTAATACTAGCTTTAAACTGTTTGTTGACTAATAAAAGATTAGAAAAGTTAATTACTTATTAAGTAAAACAGGTTATAAAAATATCGGGACACTCGGATATTGCAACAGACTATCAGGTCTTTTTTAATTGGCATCCTTTCCTTCTTTGCCTTTAATAAAGTTGGATCAGCACTGAGGAAAGTGTTGTGCATCATGCTCTTTGTAGCATATAGATATGCTACACGTTGTCATGAAAATAGACTGTTCTGGTTTATTTTAGTCCTGTGCTGTATGCATTATATTTATTTATATATATATATATTTTTTTTTTTAAGCGTTTCCACTGTCAAATGTTTGGAAAAGTGTTAAAACTACCAATCAGTATAATTCTTTTTTCCTTTTTTGTGCCCTTCTGTTGGGCTGCCAAACAGACCTTTCTGACATTAAAGGGTACAGCTAGACACACAGCAAGCTGTCGACAGAGAGGGAATGTTATTTGTTCAGCAAACTTACTACCTCGATAAATAATGAATCCATTTAATGTGCATCTTAATTTATATCAGGGAATGCCTTTGAGAGATGTACAGGTGTGGGGGGGTTGTCTAATACAGGAAAATGACCTTGTTTAAAAAATAGGTGTTTAATTTATGCATAGATCCAGCTGAGCAGTGAGGGGGTCCACAGAGATGGATGCAAATGTAGAGGAAGATCATACAAGAAGATATATTTCCTGTATTTTTTTCCTGTTTGATATTTTATAATTAGCAGAGCATACTTGTGGCCAAAGTGTTGCATGGCAGCTATTGTGGCTGAGGATATGCATGGAATAAATCGTTGAGAATACCTGAGCAAGATCAGAGTTAACTTTCAAAAGTTTACCAAACTAGTTTTTAGAGGAGGTGTTTAAATGGAGAAATCAGACTTATTAACCCCTTTCTTTAATCAGGAAGTCAGCATGCTAAGAATAGGTGTAAAAATGGGCATCAGCATAGAGGCCCTCTAATTTTTGCAGCAAACCTCCTGTAGAGGCTATGACAGGAAGACAGATCGAACAACTAACATATAATAGCAGGTTTTCTCACTATGGATATCATATTGTGTTGATTTCCTGGAACAACTCAGCTGTTTTAGTGAAGCTAAAGGGCTGTCCCTCTGAGCATTTTGCGATATTAACGAGGTCTAATAGATGTCTAAATGTAACCTAGACAATTAGTCTAAAATCAGGCCACCACAGGTCTAAAAAATGCAATTTTTTCAACGTCTGAATTTAGACCAAGTTTAAACTATATCTAAATCTGGGCTATATCTGTACTACACTGTATATTGCTCAACGGTTATCATAATGATTTTGGTTAAGTACTTGGAGATCAGTTATTCAACTCACAGTTGCTTTTTGAACTAAATAGTTATTGAATAATGGGTTAAAGTGCAACGTCTAAACTCGGTCTAAAATTATACAGAATCTAGACTAATGAAATTTGGTCTAAAATGAAAACTAAACGTCTAATATCCATCTATTGCTCAGTGCAGTGTAATCTACAAACTGTTTTAGCCTACATGCAGAACAGACAGCTAGCAGACCATTAAAAATGAATTTTAAAAAACAGGAAAAAAGATTGTGTTGATTTAATTTGATTAAAATGCACTTTGTTGAAATCACCCTTTCTACTCTTGAATCTGGAATGATTCAATGCAACATTAAAGAAAGTGAAAGTGATAAATGCAGTTCTGGGTATGGGATATGACCCTTTAAGCATTAAAGCCACTTGGAGGAATTTTTGGTTTGTGTTGATTTTAGTGCCCCCGGTGGACAGTGAAAAGTATGACACATTCAGAGGTCTGTGGCTTGGAAATGCAAAACAAAACTTGCAGTGTGTTATTAATGGCCTGTCTGACACCTATAAAGGCTGCAGTTTTAGGCACCAGATTGACCCATTAACAGTTGAGCTTGTTGCTTGTGGTCGTATTTCCTTGTGTAGCTCAGAGAAGCTTTCATTTAATATCTTTAATGTAATCTGTTTCATAAACCACTGAAAGCCCCTCATACAAGTGCTAAGTTTTACTGGCCGCAATACCAAACCATTCCCATTAGATAATTGCGTCTTTGATTCCTATTAAAACATATTCTCCCCAGATAACAACCGTGTTAATAATTTATCAAACATGCACCTCATTGTTTGACCATTTTCATTTTCAAGTCTTGGTTTGTGCTGCCTCCCCCAAAACTGTTGGGGCACTCATTTGGCAGAGGAATAAGTGGATAAGGGTTTTAAATACCCTCCCTGTGATGCTGCTCAGCCAATCACTGCTCCCAGGGGGCGGGAGCCACGAACCCACAACCCCACCCCCTCCCCTCCCAGCATCACAAACAGAGGGGCTCCTCCGACACAGCTCCTGCCAGATTTTGTTTTACCCCCTCTCTCCCCACCAGATGACTGTCAGTGCGCATTTCCCATTGGCAAGAGGGAGTGAGAAGTAAACAGAGGATAGCGACTGAGAGGGAAGAGAGTGTGCGAGAGAGAAGGAGTGAGTGTGTTAAGGTGGGAACAGGGTGAGAGACAACTTCACCGGGGAGATCGCTTTCACGCAGGTTCAAAAGTGGACTGTGGATGAACGTGCTGATAGAAACACCCATACACTGATGGACTGTTAAAGAGCGCGTGAGAGGCAAAAATCTGTTCCTGCGCGACGGGAAACGGACGCTGGAAAAGACGCTGATGCAGTGGGGAAAGTTACCAACTATGGAGGTGCGTTGTTAACTAAGAGTTTACAAACTGCTTCGGACCTCAAAATCCTTTCTCTCGAAACTGGATGCTATTGTAGACGAATTTAAGTGCGCCTGTTCGTCCGGTGATATTCCGGTGCCGCCGCGGAGGACCGTACCCAGCTCGGTCACACATAGACAGAGCGAGTGAACCCTTCGACGACACCAAACAAGCGGCCAGAGCGACTACAATGACGGCGTTGTACCTCATCTTTTGCCTTATGGTCACAGGTAAGACCGTTTTTCATACTTTTCTGGTTGCATGCAGGGTTTATTCATGGAAAAGGTGGACTGCGCTCCACTCTGGCGCGCTGCGTCAAGCCATCCAGTGCGCTGCTGTAGAGGGGAAAGTGGGATGCTGCAGTGCTGCAATTCACAGCTGGTAATCTCTGGTAAATGTGTAATTAGTTTAGAGAGAGTGATCACATTAAGGGGGGTTCTGTCTGCAACTGACCGGAGCATCAGTGGATAACGGCACTGCGCAATTTTGGGAAAGCAGTGATAGTTTCTGCTCTGGTTAGGATTCCGGATGTGTGAGAGATACGATCCCCGGTGGAGAGTGGAGAGGCACAGGGCTGTGAATACGGAGCGCATGAAAGGAAAGTTTCACTGGTGCATCTCTTACAGCCCTGGGGTCTGGCACTCGTGAGTGTCGTTGCATTCATGCATTAGTGTCCATCTATTTTGTTGTCGGATGGTGTGGTATTCAGCCTTAAGCAGAGATGAGGAGGATGCAGCCGAAGCGCTGAGAATGAGACAGCTCCGGTAAGGGATTTGCAGCCCTCAAGTTAGTCCGCGGTCCCCTGGCTGATTCACATTTTACCGAAAATACCCAAACCTCAGGGTTAAACAGGCGCTAACGGCGTGGAGATGATTGGATTCGGTGTGCTCTGTCCACGAGTCGTTCATCAATATTATCGTGATGCGTAAAAACTCGTAACAGGGGTGCATGGTCTTGGGGGCACACAATCTCGCGGGCACATGCGTCTGGGATGGACCAGGGCAGAGAGAGAGAGTGAAAGGGATTCGGAAAGAGAGAGAGGAATTGAGAAAGTGAGTGTATGAGAGGGAGAGAGAGAGAGGAGGAGTGTGGGGGGGAGTGGAAGACAGGAGGAGATACGCACCTGTCTGCCCCCTCCACACACACGCGCTCGCACATCACCCCCTGCTGCTTTTTGTTTGCGGAGAGGACCACAGTAGTTTGTGTATTGATTCTAATGAGAAAATAAAATGTTTGTTTCCAAATACTCAGTATAAAATGCCTCTTAGAGCTCTTTATTAGTTTGAAATTGAATGCGTGTCTGGCCCATAAAGGTAGTTTCCCCACAGCTTTATGTATCTTCGTGTCAATCTCATAATGAGAGTGATCTTGTTAAAACATAAAGAATGGAGCACAACGTTTGTTCAGTATTAATATCATCATCAAGATAAAAGAGGCTTTCTCAGCAGCTGCTTAAATGTTCACAAATAATTCACTGTTGTAAATGTCTTGTTGCAAAGAAAGCAGCTTTGGGCAATTAACACCGAGCAACTGTTGTCTTATCGACATTTGTCAGAGCTGATAAACTAGAGCTTAGTGTTACAAATTTGAGCGAAAACAATGCTATTTAAATGTAATAGGATAAACAAAGCTGTTACGCCAACACAAATCTTATCTTGAAGGGTCAAAAAGTTTCAAAATCAGAATCAATACTTTTATTTCTGTATCTGCTCCAGTGGGGATGTTTGTGTCTTCAGGACTGAATCACATGCAGTTTCAGCAGCTCCAAAATGGCAAAGCTTTCTCAGGAGCCGTCTGTTGTTCCCACGTCTTTACCTCACGCCCCAGTTCTGCATGGTTTTGTCGTTAGTCAAAGCCCGGGAAGGGGGAAGGGAGGGATATGACACCAGCAGACCTCTGCTCCCTGACAGACCAGCAACAGCTGGATGAGATGGAGCGGTAGTCCGACAGTGGCATATTTTCCCTTGACCTAAACCCCTACACACACACACACACACACACACACACACACACACACACAGCTCATCCTCTCCCTCTCTGTCTTAAACACACACACTCAATAATGAACAGCTGCCCTAATTAGAACCTAAGAGACCCTAGACCTCATTTATTGTGCCCATCTCTCACAGAATGAAAATTTGGCCACAGCACATGCCTTAGTTTTAAATTTGTGTACAGCATAGTGCATGCATTTGTTCATTAATAGTCTTGTTCAGCATTAATACATTTACTTCCTGGTGAAGTCACCGGGTCCCCACAGGAATTGGACTCCACAGTGCATCAGTATTCTGAGTAATCTTCAGTGAGCTCTTTGGAACCTTTTGCTTTGGGTCGCCTGCGTCTCATCGGGCCAAGTTCAAAGGCTGCAAGCCGAGATTACTAGTTTCTCTCCCTTCCTCTTAAGTCGTGTTGCCTGTCATGTCACACCATAGAGAAGAGCAGTGAAAATTTTCCACCTTGCTTCTTCTCCTCACAACTCTTTTGCCCGGTTGCAGAATGTGTGACTATGGGAAGTGAGGACACGAGAGCGTATCTGCTTAATGGGCCGGAGGCGGCTGGCAGACTTTCACCAAAGGTTGAAAGCCTCTGTATGCACGTACTTCATGCAGGCACACACAGGCACAGACGGAGAAGTGATATTAAGCTGAGGAAGTGATAAGCCCTGACCGAGCCCTCTCCTACCCTCTCCAACCACCCTTCCCTTTCCCTTTCCCATTACCAGAGATTTGTCTTTTCCCCGTGCAGTGCAGCTATATTTGTGGACGCAGTGGCAGCAGGTCCCAGGAGCTTGGTTTTAGGGAAATGTGCATATTTTATGAAGTGCCGTTCTGCTGCTCTTTGAATTCTTGTGGAGGGAATCAGAACGGGCAGAGGGAAACAGAGTTTAAGATGAGGATGGGGATGGAGGACAGTGGAAGAAAAGTCTTGTAGCAGGGATATGATTTACTGTGTCACAAGTGTCTTAATGATTTAGCTGATGAGGAAGAACACTAAGAATCTTTAACCTTGCCCCCCTCCTCTCTGTTGCTCCTGTCTCTCTCTTTTTCTCTGTCACAGGTCGTCTTCAACAATCATACTCATGTTCTCCAGTCTCTCCTGTTTTCCCTCTCTCTCTCTCTCTCTTCAACTTTCCTCCTTTTGACGTAAAGAGATTGAGGATAAGTAGCTAAGTGGGGGAAAGTTTGGCGGAAAGAACCCAGGCAAGCCAGCCAGCAGATGAAGAGTGTGAGAGACTTGGTGCACAATAGTGCAGACGCAGCAGAACCCGTATGCAGCTGAGTCTTGAACAGAAGTGTCTTGCATTATTTAGGAGACATAGTCATGGCAAAGATATAGATGCATTTTGGCCTACTTTGATTTCCTGTCTAAGAGGGCCCTGCTTAATGGTTCTGCTGCTGAGGTGCTAAATTTAACTTTCAATTTGATTCTCTTAGATTTGCTTCCTGTGAAATCTTTAAGGTCATAGTGACAGCTGTATCTAAATCTATACCTGAGATATGTATTTTGGTTCTCCTAAGGGTTTTAGTCCCACAGCTTAAAAGTTACCGTTTGAGATTTTCACTGTCATAAATCATTTCCTCCTGTTGATGCTCTCACATGCACGCAGACACTAATGAAAGATCAAGATCTTAAACTGTGGTCTGCTATTTGTCCTCATCCCGGAGACGTGTCGTGCACTCTTTCCATTATCTCTCTGCCCCTCTTCCCAAACACATATCCTCCCTTTACCTCTTCCTGCACACGCACTTACTACGTGTATAGATGAAAAAAACTGGAAGGGGAAAGAAAACAATAGCGGCTTCATAATGTTGCCTGTCTCTAATCAGCTTTGCCATGCGGGTAAACACAGATAAAGAAGTTGGCAGTGTGTCCTCGGGCTTTGTTATCAGCTGTTAGCAACTTAACTGGATGTGCACGCTGGTGTGGCTAAACACAGGAAGCCAAAGTGGTCAGGTAGCAAACTGTTGGTGACACTTGGCCTCTTCAAGAATTATTTTTACCTCAGTCCAGCCATCCTCTTTTTGTCTTGGCTTTCTCCTTGCGCCTGTCTCCGCACATCCTCACCTTGTCTTCCTCTAGGGCGGTCGGAGAATCCGGGGAGGAAATGACAGGGAATGGGACAATAGAGAGGCCATGTCAGCTTCCTGCTATTGCCTGAAGTCTTCTTCCCCAGTTGGAGCACTTCAGGCTCCGTCATCATCAGTGTAGAGACTGGTGGGGGAAAGCGCAAACTTGTTTATTTCCTCTGTACAAACACACTAATGGCACGAAAAGAGACAGGGAAAACTGGGATTCTGTGCGTGTCATTAAAACAGCCCCCCGAGGGAAACAGTCATGTTCATACAGTAGCAGCTATTTAAAGGAAGACCTGGATTGCATTTATCTCCCCCTAAAATGCAAGTGTCACCTCCTTGTAGATAGATGTATCACCATTTCAAAAGACCCAGAATCCAAACATACAACAGAAAGATTGCAGACATACCAGACCACACATTCATTTTTATTTTCCAATCAATTCCTGCCCTGCAAGACAAGAATTTCATATCTCCTGCCGAGACACAGAAAACCAACAGCAAATTGAAATTTATCTTCAGCGTTGCCGCAATATCTGTTCCTGTGTTATCTTCACCAGCCGGGTTCCTTAACCTTATATTAAAGAACGCTCTGTTGGATTCTGGCAGCTGAGATGGAGCTCAGGAAAAAGAAAAGTTCAGCTCACAATACCATTAGACAACATTTACTCAACACTAGATGCTGATTTATTTCTCTGTGTCTTTTATTCTCTTTATAGGGAACTGGATTGCCAGTGGCACTTACTAAACAGAGGATCTAACATATTTGGCTGACTGTGTCAAGGCTTATGACATGTGCACATCACTCATAAATGACTCACGACTCTCCTGACCTACACACACACACACAAACACACAATCTCACAGGTCAAGGACATACACTGGCACAGTGGATTAAAAGATGAGATGAGTGTTTGGCATCTTCAGGGCTCTGTGCCCTTTCTGGAGCGATTAGTCAAAGTCCAACTGTCTAATTAATGATGCTGCAGCCCAGGACATGTCATCTCCTTCTTTAACTAGGGCTAAAAACGCAGTTAAGAAACCATGAAGTTGCATGCTGCTCATTTTATTAATGATGGAAATAGTGCAAACCCTCATGAGACTGAAGCGTTCCAGCTACCCGTTCCTTGAAATCCAGCACCCTGCTTCTTGTTCCTCTTTTCATCTCTCCTTCCTGTTGGTTTAAGTGGCCTGAAACGCTTGCAGTTAAAATGTGTGACTGAACCATCAACCAAAATAGAAGTTTGACTGTATCTCAGTCCTTTCTCTCTCTCTCTCTCTCTCTCTCTCTCTCTCTCTCTCTCTCTCTCTGTTGTTGTTGTTGAAGGAAAGGTAAAAGGTTAGAGAAAGTGTGGTGATGTCTTTCATTTCCATCTCGGACAGGGGCTGAGAAACTCTCCCTGGGAGGTCTGCGAGAGAAGGCAGCCAATTTGCTATCAGCTGAGGGGTGTCAGTCAAAGCCCATCGATCCAGCTTTTAACTGCAGCTCCTCCAATGGTTGAAACATGTTAATGTTATTGAGCTGTGAGGAGACGTGGGGGAACAGTGAAGTGTGTGGGCGGTTCAGGTGGTTGGTGGTCGAACCAGTAGGAGGGTAAAAGGTGTGTCTTTGCTCAAGCTGACGCAATGGGCTTGCAGGGAGAACTGGGGGAGGAGGGAAGGAAAGAAAGAAGAAAAGAAAGGGAGGCGAAAGGGTCAAAGGGATTTACTGCCAGGAGCCAAACATTTCAGGTAATGGATATGCTTGCATTGGTGTAAACCAAACCTGCTGTTTTTCTTCCAGTGTGGCAGAGGTGAAAAAACAACAAAGGTGTAACTGAGTGCAGGTCTTTGGGGGATTAATAGAAAGTTGATATTCGGCACCTCGGGCTAAACATTAGATCTCAGGTGTTTACTTGGACACACATTGAGAGTTTGGGTGCATGCGTGTGTGTGTGTATGTGTGAGTGTGCAAGCGTGGAGTTGTAAGGAAGATGTATAGAAGGCGGCTTTTTTTTTTGCTTCTGCCACATTCCTGTGAAGCTGCAGCATGGAGGGCAATAACACATGGCTAAGTGCTTCCCAAGCTGGCTGAGGTGAACCTATAACACCCCTCCTGGAGGAAGCAGCCCAACCATTGTTCCAGCACATTGCACCCGTCTCACTGAGGCATCCTAGTGCGGCGCGCATCCCAGGGGGGGTTCTGGAAAGGGAATGAAACAGAGGAGAGGGACTGATTGTTCCCCCCATAGACCATCCACAGATGGGGCTATGGTACAGGATGCTGGCTGTTTGCTTTAGAAAGTCCCAGGCGTTTGCTTTGCAGTTGCGGTGTACAGAAAGCTCTGGGGGATAGAGGAGGAGTGGAGGAGTGCCAGTGGAGACAACAGCAGGGGAAAGGAAAGAGGGAGTAGAAAAGAGAGGAAGAGAAAGAGAAAGGGGTAGAAAAAGGACCTTGCCTAATATGATGTCAGTGTGAATATAGTGTCAGTGCCAAGAAGGGAAGACAGATGATACAGCCGTACAATGATAGGGTAGTTGGGCGAGAGTGCTCAAGTCCTCCCCTGTTTCCAAACAGAGACATATAGAGGTGGAGATAATGGAGAAGGGAGGGAGAGTAAAGAGAGTAAGTGAGGAAAGGAAAAAGGAAGGGACGAGATGCGGGGAACCCAGGCTGCATCCATCATCTGGTTTGGTGCAGAAGCCATTTGTACCTATTGTTCTCCATAATTTGTTTTCTCAGGGTCTGCAATGGGAGGGGGTGAAGGGGGAGAGGCAAAGCTAGAGCAGCCATTTATTTCTGTGCTAATTACATAAGTGAGACAGCATAATTAGACATATAGCTAAATAGACAATAGGCCGAGAGAAAGATGCACAGGAGGAGATAGACAGGAAGGTGTAGATGAATTCAAAAAAAAGATAAGAGAGGCATGGGCCGCTCTATTTCACATTCAAGAGTGCCAGGGAACATGTTAAAAGAAGTAAAGGGGATGGGGAGGGATAAAGGGAAAGGGGAAACGGATAGAAAAGGAGACGGGGCGATGGAGGGGGTAAAAGATAAGAGGGAAGGAGAGAAAAGCCCTCTTCACAGACTGCACTTTGAGGTGCGGTCCAAGGCTGCCGAAAGAGTCACATTATTTAATACACCTGCTCAGTGGGAGGGAAAGACGAGCTATAAGGAGATGTGGTAAAGAAAAAGAGGTAAAGGGCAAAAGAGAAGAGAGGAAAGTGGAGATGGATTCCATCTTTTGCTTCTTCAGATCAAAGGAAGGGAGTGACAACAGAAAGCTGTTTGTTGTGGCTTGTTTGGGAGGGTCTCTTTCTGTGTGAGGTCAGGATTTGACCCAGACGGCAATTTTGTTCAGGCGGCGGTACACTTCAGCACAGCCACACGCCAAATCCTCGAAGGTATCACAGTCCTCACAGGGCCTGGGGAAAGTTTTCTAGAGAGAAGGTAGAGCTGCAGGAGAGCTGAGAGAGAGGGCGGTGTGGGATGAAAAAGTTAGCCGAGAAAATACTTCACCGCTATAAACTGACAAAATGGACCATTTGCTTAAGCTTTTAGTCGATGTTGTGCTGCTGAATGTTCCGCGTGCGTGCTAATGCAGTTATGCATCTGCTCAGGTTCACGTGGAGGTGGTGCGTGGGTGTGTTGAGCATGTCACCAGCCTTTCAGGACTGTGATCCAAGGGAAGATAAATAGGCCCTTAATGAAGCCACTCAATCACCATCCAGTTAAAACAGCTGACCAAAGATTGAGGGTCGGTCAGGCCTGATTGGAGGCCTATTGAAGCCGGTCAAGGGAAGCTCTCGAGCCGTCACACTTTAGATTAACCATTCACTGCACTATAGAGCGCGCCCTAAATACCCTCCATTCTCTAAACAGTTCTCTGACACACTATAGAAGCTCAAGTCGACTCTCTGATTGTGCTGGGGAGTTCTTTAAAAGCCAATTTAAACTCAGCTCTTTGTTTAACTCCCCAGGAGCTCAAGCTGGGACATATTGTGTTGGTTGTGTTTGTGTGAGCGTATGTTCTTCTATCGGGCTAAGGTTAAAGTTTTGTGTGGCCCGTCTTTCAGCATGTGATGTTTTGTTAAAATAGAACTGGGTGTTACTCAAAAACTGGCACAGACCAGTTTTTTTTGGGTGAAAGAGAGGGTGCATGAGAGAAATCAATGGCCCAATTCAGCCTATTACAGCCATGACTGTTGCTGTAATGGTGTGGAAATGGACAGTGGTCATGTGGATCCTCTTTTCTACCTCCAGGCTTGGATCACAACTGAAGCTTCGATTCATTTCCTCCCAGCTTTGATTAAAAAAAAAAAAAAGTAGTCTGCGGATTTCAAAGAGTCTCACATGATGGTGACGAGGGAAGAGATCCTCCTGTTTTTTTTTAAAAAAACGAATGAGACCTCTTTTCTGCCAGGTTTGCCGAAGGACAAACAAAACACTGGGCTGCAATTTTGCTCAACAAATAAGGGCTCCTCTGGTTCTCTCTTCTTCCAGCCTTTGCCTCTTTGATCCCAGGTAATGTGTTAACAAGCAACGGGTTCATGGAATACCCACAACATTAGGCTGTGTATTCACAGTGAGGTGTGAGAGAGTGTGTGTGTATTAGCACATGTGTGGCTTTATGCCTGTGCGTGTGTGTTTTCACACCAATTAATGAATTGCTTTATATGCCTGCTGAGGTGACGATGGCCTGTCTCTAACAGGGCACTGCTCCCCCCCTCTCCTGTGTCAGCTTCAATCCACAATGGCTTAGACCCTCTCTCACACTAACACATTAATGAGAGCAGTCTAATTAGACCTGGTGGTTTCATAAAGGGGACTCCGGAAACCGCACCACCATTGTGAGTTTCCCTAATCAGGGGACCACTAAAGAAAGGACGCCACTAAGTTCACACATACACAAAGACCTGTGTGGACTCACACTCAAATTAGTATCCAGTTAATTGGTTTGGAAGCATACAACGGGCATAAAAATGCTGTTTTTTTCCACATTACGACCACCGAGGTTTGGCTGTTTTTACTCCTTCCCATTTAGTTCCCTCTCTCCCACAGGTAGCATTCCTCCCGAGGGCGATACAGAAAAATGATTTTGCACTCCTTCATCCTTCTCCCTCACTCAAGAAAATTCAATCTGTTCAATATCAAATAATCTCCCCCAATTTTTCAGCCTTTTTTAACCTTATCGCTCGAACAGCAACCTCTAGGGGATGGGCTTGGCTCAACCTTGTTAAGAAAGAAGGGAAGACAGGAAGAAGCCCAGGATAGAGGGGTGGCAAATGGCTCTCTTAGGAGTGCTTTTTAAATGCCTCTGTATGTTTTTCCTCATGGGTGATGTATGAAGCAGTGGATGAAGAGGGGAGACAGTGAGGACAGAGAGATGCAGAGGAAGATAAAGGAAGGCAGACATAATCTTAAAGAAAAGAGGGATGTGTAGGAGAGGCGCTTTGTGCTTCTTGAGGTCTGGGGCTTTAACTTGCGTCCCACAGCACTTAACATGCCCCCAGCCATCTCTCCTGGCAGTTAATTAGAATCCAATAAGGTTGCCGCCTGTTGGTCATTGTTCCTCCAGTGTGTTTACCCTTTCCAGAGGCTCCATTCGCTGCTTAATCTGCCGAGAAGCTGAATGTCAATAGGTCAGGCCAAGACTCCAGAGCCCTGAGAGAGAGGGAGAGACAGAGCGACGGGGGAAGAAGAGAGGATCAGGGGGATGAAGGAAAGGGGTCATCCCGCTCTCTCTACTCTCAATATTTTTTTTCTCTGCCGTTCCATTCTCCTTGTTTGTCTCCCCCCTCCCTCCCTCTTCCTCTTGCGTCTCCTCTTCTCTTCTTTTCTTCTCACTTCTAATCCGTCCTCTTGATTGTTCTAAGCTGCTTTCAGCCAGCCCCTGGGAGGGTGGTGGTGGTGGTGGTGGGGGTTCGGAGTCTGTTTTAATTAAGATTTAAAAGACGACTCCCTCAAGAAGGAGAGATTTAAGAGCAGGATGGACTCAGCAGAAGTAAATGAATGAATGAAGGTGGGACAGATTGTGGAGAGGGCTGAAGAAATATCAGAAATCAGCAAAAGGAGAAAGTTAAAAAGCTTTAATTTTACTCTCATAAAACAGACAAGGTGCAGCTGCACACACGTGCAAACACAGTCGGACTCTGGGGCATTCAAGTCTCTAAGCCAAATGAGATTTTTTTCCCCCATTTGTAATCAAGCGGCACAATCTATATAGATCGATCTCAACTTCCTGCGATTCATACCATATCCTGCGAGGGTGATATGGGATCAGCGGTAGCCACCAGGCAGGCTGAGGGAGTTATCTCCACACTCCGTCTAATGATCGATCATCTCAACAGATGGCCTCGAGAGCATGTAACGCTCCACTTGTTTATCAGAGCCCAAAACCTGAGGCCTCTCTGTAGATGTGACCTGCAAGGAAGTCTTGTTTTCCAGACGGACAGATAGACAGTATGACTGGCTGGTTTGCTTCTACTGTCTGTGGACACGAGCGAAAGTCATTTGCCTGATTCACCTGGTTCCATTTGGGTGGTCAGGTCCTGTACTGTTGTAGCTCTTGACATCTCAGTTAGGGTCTTAATTAAAAGTCGTATCGCACTCGCATTAAAAGTGATTTCTCTGTCTGGCTATCAAAGAAACTGTTTCTTAATTGTTTACGTGCAAAAATATTTAACAAACCGTTGAGAGTGTGTGTCTGTCTGCAGCCCAAGAAAAGACACGTGCGGCGTGTTTGATAAAACAGTCTCATAGTACACATCTGCCCCTAGCACAAACTGAACATTCTTCATCCACAGTTAAACCCCAAAGAAAACCCACCCAGAAAACAGGCCGTACAATGAAGTGTTTAAGTTCATCAAGCCACAGACCTGCTGCTGCAGTCGGTAAGGTGTTAAAGGCCGGGCAGGGGTCAAGAGCCCGACCCACGGCATTCACCGCCATGACACATCCCAGCACACAGCCACCATATGTTCAGGGTTTCACAGTCAATGAGCCAACCCACCCAGCACGACAAAGACCTATTCACAGCCTGTTGACTCCAAGGAAATCTGCAATGCCATGGTATGATTAGGACAGAATGCAGCACCGGTCCAGCCAATGGACTAGAAGACACTAAGAAATAAAAGAAGTGCTACGGAGGAGACAAAGAACTTTCCCTGAGCGGTTAAATCCAAGCGTGATCTTGTCTTCAGCTTGCTTGCTGCAGCTCCATCTCTTGCCTCCATCAAAGCCCCTTGAGATTCCCCCCACAACACTCTGCCTCCGTCACTCACAGCTCTGTTAATAAGGCCAGCAGTAAACGCCAGGAAAGATATGCAGGGATGAAAGATCCTTCCTTCATGTTCTCGCTTTGAGGATGTGTTTCCGGGTGTCTGCGGGGAGGAGGGGGAAAACGCAGCTTTACAGAGTAAGGCTGCATTTTAATAGAAACAATAAACCCATCCGCTTATAAAATAATATTTTGTGTCCCATATCCTGTTGTGCAGCAGCTCTGGGGAGCTTTGGCAGACATGAAAAAGCTCAAGGTATAGTAGGAGCCAAAGAATAAAGTGTGTGGAGCTCCTGGGGGAGGGATACATCACACATATATTCTTTCACTGCAGCGATTAATATCCGGGAAAAAAAGGTCAAACTTGACTTGAAACGGTCCAGTATATCACAGTTACATTTGGAGGCTGCATTTCATACATCAATCCCTGCTGTGATGTCTCATCAGCCTGGTCACACAGGAGAGACCCACACCGCACATTATCAAAGATTGATGGGGTGTCCTAGTTAAAGACAGGGAGAGGAGGGACGACTTGTTGGAGAAGGGAACTTTCCAACACTTTCTGCGTTTCTGGAGGTGTTGACTGTATCCCAAGTGGCCTTTCGCTTAAAATTCAAACAACCGCAAAAAGGTATGCGAGGTTTCACTTCTCTTTGACCCGAAGACCTGACCCCGAGACATGCGAGGTAACTTGCATATGCAGCACTTTTTTTTTTCTTCTTCTTTTTTTTGCCTCAAAGCTCTAACACAAAACTCAGGAAGCTAATGACGAATGTTGAGCTTTCCATCTCCTCCCATCCGCCCTAGTCCTCTTCCTCCTCCTGAAACTGAAGACAAAACAAACTGACAGAACAAACAGGCAGATTATCCTCAACTTTTTTTTTCTTCTCCAACACACAACCTAACCGTCTCTTATATCCACCGTTCACCGTCATCCTACCCGTTTCTTGTTCTGAGCGCTTGCTTAATAATTAATTGATTAATTAGCTTGCTCATTAATCATTTATTCATTAATCATGGCCTGATTTTTCTAGAGGAAGCGGAGCAATCTGAAAAAACCCTGACTTCACATTTCACTCTAATTATGCTCCTTTGCTAATCAACGCTTAAGAAATGGAGTTTCAGGAAATTAGTTTTCCCCCTTCCCTTCTTTTTCTCAACACAAAGCAGGATGTATTGAGGTCGGCAGGTAACGTTTTTTCTCCTCCCTTTCTTGTGTTGTGGAAGCTCTGAGTCATCAGTAATTTTAAAGGAATGATTCAAGTTACAAGCAATCTGATGAGCAGAATAAAAATTTGATGTTAAATTATAACTCGCTTCTTCTTACACACCCCCGATGAAAGAGGAAGGGGGAAAGAAATTCTTCACACGGGCTAACCACAGACATTGATTAATAAATGGCAATTTGAAGGCCGTTTGTAAGAACAGAGAGGTGGCAGCGTTGTGAATCACACACTTATTGTTTTCACTGGATCCACGGCTCTCCTGGGAGAGGAGGTAATTTGTTTAATCGCCAGGAGTTATGTTCTCTGGGACGGAGAGATGGGGAGATAGTATAGTTCAGAAATATCCTCTGTTGTGTGCATGAGAAGGAAAGTGGAGAGCAAGGTTTTCAAACAGGTTTAATTAGAGGTGTTTTTGTGCCTTTGTGTTCCTGTTGGATGCAGAGTTCACAACACAGCTCAGCTGCTTTCTCTGAAGGGGGCTCTTGTCAGCTGCTGACAAAAAAGAATTATGCATCAAATTAAAGAGAGCTCCAGTGAAATGGAGGCAAGTCAGGCATTAACCTCTAAGCTTTAAAAAGCACACATATTAAGCAACACTAATGAGAGTCTCATCGAGCTGCCTCTGTTTTATATTCAAACGCACACAAAAGCACGGCTCTGACTTCAATGTGGCATCGCTGCCTCTCAATGAGGATGTCTCTTCTTCATCTCACCAGCAGCAGCGAACACTGCACAAGTGAACAATAGTTGAGATGGCCCTTTTACTCTAATGAGATGCATACATTTACAACATTACCGCCCTCATTAAAAAATAATAATAATAAAGGGAAAAAAAAGTATTAATTATGAAACGCACTACTTCCTATCGTGAAGAGCCAAGGGGGTCTCCACTGGGCTCAATTAGGAAGAGTAGGCCGCAAATCCCTAGACTAAATTAATTGACACCCCAGGGCATTAGGCCCAGAGTCCCAGTACAGAATCTATGTAGAGAACTCCTTTGTTTTCATTTCCAACGCCTTTTAGAAAAAGCAAGAGATGGAGGCATTTTCAAACATGATCTCTTCATTGTTTTATAGATTTTAAATCAATTATTTATTTATATATTTATTTGTTTCATTTACTCATCATGTTCGCTGCAGGCATGGAAAAAGATTGACGCCGTTTTCACTGAATTCCTCCCCCACCTTTCTGAAGCCTTTTTCCATCACATGCTGTGCACCATTGCTGTTTATCCAGCATGTCAGCTGTTCAGCATATACTAAAGCAGAGCTTTTGCAAACAGCACAAGAAGTTAATGATTTAAAAGCACAGTAAATTATACTGAAAGCCCTTCCATCCAAACAGAGGTGGAAAGGGGGGAGGGAGGGAAGTGCAGAGGGAAATTGGGATACAGAGGCAGAAAGAAGAAGCAAGAGGGAGGAAGAGGTAGAGGGGGGAAAGGGGTGGGGGGGTGGGGGTGGAGGACAGAAAAGGGCTGGAACTGTGACACAGATCCAGCCAGCAGCTGTCTTGCAGTGAAAACACCAGGGGGTAAGCAGGAATGACATGAAATGACAAGACTAGCTCAATCAACATCTTGTCAACACTGCTGGCTGATGTGTACAGACAATTTCATACCACTGCTACCGACTCCCTCCCCTTTTTTTCTCCTTTTTATATGGCTTTTTTTATTTCCTGTCCTGCTGCCAGCCAGCCAGCCAGTCACTTGCTATCTGTCTGCACGGAGTCAGCTCTCAGCTCTTTTGGCTCTCGTCTTCAGAGTGGGGGAGCTGTTTAAAAGCTGTGCGGGAATTATACTCAGAGAGATGCTTCTGCCCAATACAAACCCTAAAGATATGAGACTGTGACAGTGAGCATGCATGCGCACATGCACGCGTGTGTGTGTGTATGTGTGTGTGTGTGAGGACAGTATAAGAATAAGTGTATTTATGGCACTGCAGCACAGTGACTGCGCGAACCATTCACACACTGACTGTGTCACATCAGCACTCTTGGTCTCTCTCTCCCCCTCAGCCTCCTCCCTCTCCTTCCCCTCCTGGTATGCATACCACTCTATTACTCCATCCACTGCATCTGCTGCAGCAGGTACCCAGGGAGAAGCTCTGCCACTGCTCGCCCATGCAATCAGCCTCACTGCTGCCCTGATGTGTTCGCTGCCCCATTCCAGCAGAGAAAAACCCGGTGGTGACAGCCTCGGAGACGGACTGATTACAGCGTTCCATCAATCCCCCTCTCAGGCCCGCTCCTCAGCAATTGGAAGCTGACAGGAGCCCACTTTTTCCATTTTTACCTTTCCTCAGTTTTCCGCTCTTTCAAACATGTAGTGGCTGCTTTTTTTTTTTCTTCATCTCCTTTTTTTTTGCTGTTGTTCCCCCCTACTCTCTGCTTTCTTGAGTGTTGTGGTGACAAGCTGACACAAACCCCTGTGATTTTCACACCAGGGGATGCAGAGAGTGAGAGAGAAACCAAAAGAAAGAGAGGGGGACAGAAGAGGATACAGAATAGAAGAGAGGAAAAGATGGGGAGAAAAAAGTGTAAAGGAGAGGCTGGCAAGAGATGACAGCTGACACAGAGTCTGGAAAAGCAGAGAGATGGCAGAAAGAGGCATGGAGAAAGCAAATCAACAATTAGTAACACCTTATATAACTCTCAAAGGGGGGCTGCTAGGCATTGATTTCGGGGATCACGGCTCACTGACTGTAGACGTTAAAGAGATAAACAGAGGAATGAGAGGATGGATTGTGGAGGGATGCAGGAATGGAGGAGAATACCCCAGGCTGGGGTATCAGTGGAGCAGCAGAGGGGGAGAGGAGGTGGGGCTCTGTGGATGGATGCACAGGTCCGCTCTGTAAAAGGGGGTCTAGTTCTGAGCCAAGGTTTTCACAATGGAATAAAGGCTGAATGGAAAGGCTAGGAGGATTAAACTCCAGCAAAACAGCTCTTAAAAAGCTGTTAGACTGCAATTTTTCCCCCTTCCCCAAAATAAAGAATAGGAGAAAAGATAGTGAGTGGGTGTGCAGCTGGAATGCAACGTGGGAGAGAGAAAGGTTTGAAGTGCGGCAGGGGCGCATTAAGGTGTGAGACAGGAGGCCATCTGCACAGGCACAAGCTGAGGTTGTTTTTGTAGTGGTCCAAGGCAAAGAAAAACAGCGAGGATGCTGGGTGCCATGCTGCCACAAGTTGGTGGGTGGTATCTGCTGTTAGCTCCCCTACAATCCCTCAGAAGTTCTGTGGGAGTCGTGGTAATGAGCTTAGTCGTCAGATCAAACATGAGATGGGTGCTGGGACCCCTTTGGGATATACTCTTTAGTTGAGCTACCTCAGCAGCACTGCTGTCTGTTTGTATACGCGCGCACACACACTAACAGGAAGTCGAAGACAAAAGAGTCCAAACAAAGGGATAATAATTCCATACAGAGAGAAATGGAGCTTGCATTTTCCAGCCCGATTTAGAAGCCTTATCTAGACAAGACACAATGGATGGCATTTGGGGGAAAGGGGCTGTTTATTCCAAGCTTGACACTTTTTTGCCAATTGCCTTGTTTTGTGCTCTCTCCTTTTCTCCTTATTTTCTCCACTCCCGCTCATGTTGTAGAAAACTCACACCAGCTGGACTCAAGATTCTGTCCCCAAATGCTGAAGATATCAGGCGCCTTTTTTGTTACATTTTGAATTATTACTGCTTAGGGAAAATTCTCCAGTCAAGTTAAAAGCACTTACATTTATGGACCCCACAGGGCCGGATGTTACACTCTTAGCACTGGGTAGGAATGAGGACATTAAATGACATCAGGACTAAAATAGGGACCCTGTTGGAATGCTGTTAGCAGCCTTTGTAGATTGAATATAATTAAGTTTCTTTGTAAAACATGGAAAAATGGACCGGGTGCATCACCTGAGCAGTCACAAACAAGAGCTTCTGATGTTGTATTATTCTACATATGAAGGTTAAACTGATATATTTGCTGTTTTTTATGTCAGTTTACCAACGTGGCGCAGCAGATTACAACTCTGGTGACTTGGAAATAAGTGCACTGTGTGTTTTTAGATCCATATTTTATCTAAAGGTCATCTGCATTGCCATTATCTTTCCAAGTCTTTAGCATTATAGCCTGCGCTTGCACTTATATATCTTCAGTACACACACACACACACACACACACACACACATATACACACAGTGGCTGGTTCAATCTAATTCTATCAAGGCAGATGTCCCGTGGTGGACGGATCATTGCTGACATCTGTCCATCTCTTCCTGATCCTTCCTGATGTGGTTGTATCCCTATCAGTTCAGATGGAGGAGAGAGAATGCCGGCAGTGCCAGGGGCCACGCAAAGCTCTTTAATAGGTTGTGTCCAAGTCGAAGGGGCTGTTTTTTGCACTTAACTCCAACCATGTGACAGAAAGAGCAAAGTCAGTGTGTCAAAGTCGCTGCTAAATGCGCCTGACAAGTTGCTTTCCCATCAACGCTGCCCCACCCTCAATAGATAAACACACGCAGACCTAAACATACATCACATATTTTTAGACACACTCTGAGCCCACACAGTTGGGCAGAAATGCCTTACACACACGCGCGCACGCACACATGCACATATAAACTTAGCCCCATGTGCATCCAGCGGCGTGAAATGATATTCCATTTTGAGAAATCCGGATTAAAATGTATCAGGCCAAATGTGTTTTGACCTTGTTACTGGGGGAGGGAAAGCACGCACACACACACACACATACACACACACACAGCAAAGGTAAGGAAAAAAGTAAATCTTGCATTTCGGGGGGCGAGGACTTGTGAATTTAAATTTTAACCACCTTAAAAGTAATACTAAGCTCACCACATGTGACACAACTAATCTGCACAGTGGATATTTACCTGCGTAACATTCAAGATGACCTGGTAAATAAAGTTGCTTGTGCTGCAGGACTGTTAGATTTTCAGATCTCTCTGTTCAAATTTGATTTAATTGGAGCCAGTAAACAGTCTGGTGGAAACACTGAAAGCCCCCCTGCAATGTTGACTCTGTGTACACCCGTGTGACACTGTAACATACCAAGACCAAGCCTCCCCACACCCACGGCTCCACAATCCTTCTTCTTCTTCTTCTTCTTCTTCTTCTTCTTCTTCTTCTTCTTCTTCTTCTTCTTCTTCTTCTTCTTCTTCTTCTTCTTCTTCTTCTTCTTCTTCTTCTTCTTCTTCTTCTTCTTCTTCTTCTTCTTCTTCTTCTTCTTCTTCTTCTTCTTCTTCTTCTTCTTCTTCTTCTTCTTCTTCTTCTTCTTCTTCTTCTTCTTCTTCTTCTTCTTCTGACTGCCTCTCCTCCACCGCTTCTTAGTCCGCTTCTGTTCTTCCCTCTCTCCTCTCGTCAGAAATGTATTCATGTAATTAAGCTGCTAATACACCGTCAAAGAATTGTCTAATTCAGCAAGGAGGAATTAAAGGAATCTGGCATGAGTCATTAGCCAGTCGAGATGTTCTGTTGAGCGTTTTCAATAAGGGATCCGGAGAGCCATGAATCACTCCTATGGTGTGAAGACAGTTACTACAGCACATACTCTGCACTCTATATTTGTATGCCTGTGTTTATGTGAACGTGTATGTGCGTGTGAGGTGTTAATTGCCATATGTGAGCATGAGAAATTGCATGTGGGTGAAGTAAAGAGAAACAATTGAGTGCATGTAATCCATCTGAACAATCAACCAATGTGCTGAATTATTACCCATTGTAAACATTTAGATACTCTGGGCAAGATACTTAATTGCAATCAATGTTTGAACTGTTGCATGTACAAAGAAGAAAATCCCCTAACTCACTCTGCATAAACGCTCGATAGCTCATAAAGGCTGAATGTTAGGGGACCGACTGTAAAAAACAGCATTTTTGGAGGTATGATGGGAAAATGCCAGCCCTCGCTAAATGCCTAATAGCCTGAGCTGGAAGATGTTTCACTTCTCATTGACGCTCTTAAATTGGTCTCTTTTGATCCGCAGTGCGTGACACGCATACAGCCTACCTGTTTGCATCCAGCGCTCAATAAGCCTTTCAGACACTCAGGTTAAAATGATGTACAGGGAGACTTTATTGGTGAACAAACATGCATTGTTGTCTGATGTTTTGTTTCTCTTCAGTTATCTATGAACATCTCTTTTGGCCCAGATGGAAAGCACGAGAGTATAGACGCGTGTGAAAATGGATTTCGAGGCAGTTGGATCCATGGAGAACTCACGTTCCTGATGAGCTCACTGTTTGGCGGCTTTGATTGTGCCGTTGGGCGACGGAGGTGGGAGGGTGCAAAGTGAGAGGGGAGGAGAGGGGCAGGGTTCAGTCCATGGTGCGTCCCGAGATGAAGTGGATAATTGAGTGCGGAATAAACACTGCCAACAACCTCAGAAGCCCCCCCTCTTCCTCCTCCTCCCCATCTTTCAGAGAGAAAGAAAAACTAGAGAGATTGGAATGAGAAAGAGAGGGAAAGAGACCAGGGAAGAGGAGAAAAGGGGTGAGAGAAAGAGAGAGAGAAAATCCCAGCTATCCTCTAGGGGGAAAAGCTGCTATTGAAAAGCTATTAAACTTGCATTTAGCAGGATTGATTGGAAATGAAGAGGCCTATTAAAAGAGAGGGACAAGAGGACAATAGCGCGTCTCTGGCCGCCGTATGTTGCCCTCCTTTCAGCGGCTTTCTTCGCTGGGAGGGGGGGCAACCCTGTCTGTTTAAGCGCTCCCACCAAGAGAAGCAGTTCAGGGGGGGCTTAGCTGTGCCTGAATAGAACCCTCTTTATCTGCCTCTGTCCCCCTTCCCTTCCATTCTCCAGCGGGCAACAAAGAAAGAGAGAAGGAGAATGAGTTTTTTTTAAGTCCTCTTCACGACTCAAACAGACACCCCACTTAGATAACCAACCAACTGCCTTCCCTCCTCCCTCTCCTCCTCCTACCTTTCCCTACGGATTAGTTACCTCTGGAGTGTTGCCATCTTCCCCTGCCAGTAGGGTTTGTAATGCTCAATCGTTAGCATAGTGGCACAAACAGTTGGAACCTCGGATCCATATTCACACTGTGTTTCTGTGTGCGTGTGAAGCCGGGCCAGCCAATCCGGTGAGACCGCATGCCGTACTTAAACACAGCAGCGGAACGGCGGCAGGTGTCTCTGCTGACTTTCAGCAGGCTCAAACGGATGGGTCTCCTGGGAGCTTTAATGGAGTTTTGATTGTTTAACATCCATTTTTACAAAAAAAAAAAAAAAAAAACAGTGAAAGAGTGGCACATTTTTCTCCTAGGAAGTGCGTTTGCTTCATGTCAGCGAGCACAGAACCATATGGTCTTGGGAAAGAGTTAAATAACTTATGAGGCGCAGCTGACTCTTCCTCTTAGAAGCCACATTTATGGAGAGAAAAATAATATTTTCACACATGTCAGCCTTGTCCGTTCTCTCAGCAAGTGCCATGAGAACAAGAGAGTGAGCAGACTGGTTCACTGGAGTTTGCTCTCTTTTTGTATGCACTTTTTTCCACACAACTACAGTGAAAGTTTCAGTTTTCATCTCGGCAAAAGCATATTGCTGTTACATCTTCTGAAGCTGGTGGAAATCGGCCATGAGCAGCAGTCTCTGTTCCTCTTGTAAATGTTTTCACAGTTCATGATTATTGGTTTATCATAAAATCATATTCACATCCTGCTCTTTCGTTTCTCCCAGCAGCCACCCAAGCAGCCTACTTCTCGCAACAGCCCCAGGACCAGGTGGTGATATCTGGTCACTCGGTGACCCTGCCTTGTGTCATCGTTGGATATCGGGGAATGGTACAATGGACCAAAGATGGCCTGGCACTGGGTGGAGAGCGAGATCTGCCAGGTATTATCTGTTTTTCACTCTCTCTCTTGCTTTCCACATGTTTATCGCTCTCACTGTCTACCTCGCTCCGATCAATGCCAGGTCTCATTAGAAACCAAGTCTCTCCCTGTCAAACGTTGGAGTTTTACGCAAATTAATGTTTAGAGAACATTGTACCCAAGACAGGTCGGCAACAGCAGCACACACAGAACTTTAATTTGTTGCTTAGCATTTTAAGGGCCTTGTAGGAAGGTAGATAATCAATTGGCTTTTGTCACACATTGACATTTAAATGTGTGGCAGACTAGAGAGAAGGTGGAGAGGCTTCCTCTTGACCTTAGCCACCCCATCTTTATTGTGTCTGTGTTTAAAGGACACACTCCTCATGCAGCAGCCCTCTCACGTGTTGCATTTCTAGCCTCATGCTGCTCCGCTAACACGACAGCTCAATTCCTGGCCCAGTAAGGTGCTGCTTTGCTTTCATTTGTGTCTTGCCACGTTTCTCTTGCCTTTTGTTCACGGCACAAGTCTGTTCATTTTATAGTCCTTTCATTACGTGTTTGTTGTCGCTCTGTTTGTTTGTCTCTGACTCTATTCTCTGTGCTGGCTTCACGCAGGCTGGACACGCTATTCCTTAATGGGCGACCCGCTATCAGGCGAGCACAGCTTGCTGATCGATTCGGCAGAGTTGGCGGATGATGCGGTGTACGAGTGTCAGGCTACACAGGCAGGACTGCGCTCCCACCGTGCCAAGCTCACTGTACTAGGTAAGATACACAGCTCATGCATGATCCCCACAGCCAGCCCTCATGCCAAGGCCTGCGGGCTGGCAGCGCCCGAGAACAATCGAGGGAGCGTCTTCACCACAAAACACAGACACATGTTGACTAATGTATACAAATCACACCCTTACAATACACACAAAATGTTAATCACATTCAAACTCATCACGGAGAAATAAAAAATACATCAAAACACTCTTCAGGTGATTTGCAATTCATAAAACAAACTCTGATTACCCCTCACAGATAACCCCACAGCAAACCTAGTTTTCTGGTGAAAAAATCATGTCCTGAATATATAATTCAAACCCAGCAAGGCTCAGGCAAGAGATTCAGCGTTGAAAAAAAGAAAAAAAGGAAAGCCCTCTGCTCTCAGTGGCAGTAATCAAGACTGTGGACATCTGAGATAATGTGATTGCTGCAGTCACAAATGACTTGCGTAGTGGCTTGAAAGTCAGGGTCTGCACAGTTAGCACATTTTACAGTGAGCTACAACATTTGTCAACTGCAAGGCGGTTTTAACATTAACATGATGTGAGTGATGTACTTCTTCCCGCAGACGTTCATGGGAGGGTGGGGGGGGGCAGAGGAAAAGAAGGAGGAGGGCCAGGTCCCATGGGGGTTGGTATCAGCAAAGCACTGCTGGCATCTGGTGGCATTCAAAGGAACACCACCCAATTATTTGTCCAATCAATTCTCTGTGTGTCCAGCTATACGCTAACTGTGATAGAAAGAAAGAAAGGGTGAGAAATAAGAGGTACCTAACAGTCAGCCCCCCCACCCTCCTTCCAGCACAACGACAAGCTTTCTCCACAGAGCTGCTGCGAGTCGTCCTTGAATCTGTTACCACTGAGCTGTGAATTTTGAGCTCACTGAGGCAGGGTGACAAGCGCTACTGGGCTGCCATGAAAAGGCAAGCAGATTGAGATCATGCTATGTCAGAACATTTCAACTAAATGAATAGACTCAGAGAGCTCACCTGTGTTCATCAGCCCACCGCTCTGTGTCTAGTGTCGCTGTCAGAGCGGTACAAAGCAGTGCGGTCATAGCATGCCCACACACAGCTGTAACGATGTCTGTGTGGAGGCAGCACAGAAAGTTGATGATATTGCTTTTCTACATTAAAAAGCACTCTGAAACACCCAGGCTCGGGATTTATGACCATTAAGTGCAACGTATAAACACATAAACACGTTGAAAGAAGTCAGGTGCGCCACTCAGGCACCTGCGGGAGGTTTGCTATTCAAGCTTAGGTATGGACATAAGAGATTTTGAAGAGAGCAGGGACCTTTTTTTTTCTGCATTTCTGTAGGTGTGCGCACGTGCCTGTGTGTGTATGTGTAAATCAATGTGGCCAGATGAGACCAAAGCAATCCTGCACAGTCAAAGGAGTCAACGGCGGGAGTGCAGTCAGGGGAATCGGCATGGAAATTAAAATCACCTAGCACTCGGATTCCATTAGTGTCCGTGGCGCGGCAGCGGAAGGACCTCTGACAATTCAGATACACACAGTGAAATTGGTTCGGTGGAGGGAGTGAGAAAGGCCAGCGCAAACCCCATGTTTACGCCTTCTCTTATTGGTCGGGGAGATAGACGCCTTCATCAGGGGTGGCACGCTTGGCTTGCCAGTGGTGCGTGCGAAACCATGCAAATAAATGAACAAATAAGCAATTCAGTTGAAACATCACTCTGCAACAATAAGGCCAAATAGAGTAATAATGCAAGTCCCAAAGAAGGAAATAAATAAGGTTGAGTATGTGTTTTTTTTTCCAAATGACAACTGTTCCTGCCATTTTCTCCCATCTGAAACCTCACCTTGTTAAACAGACACATGGCCTTAAGAAAGTGTTGTTTGCCTCTTTTGTTGCTGCAATATATTGATGCTGAGCTAAGAGCAACAGCAAACTCAATATCAAAACGACTTCTTTGTGGCTCCGTTCTGGCCTGGAGCTGTAATGAGATTTTTTTGTTTTGAGCGGTATGTTTGCTCTGCTTTACAGTTCCTCCTTCAGACCCTATGGTGGAGGGCGGCCCTGTTGTTCGTCTTAAGGCCCACACACCGCACAACCTTACCTGCAGAGCCTCAGGAGCCAAACCTGCTGCTGAAATCACCTGGTACAGAGATGGAGAGGTCATGGAGACAGCGATTTATTCCAAGGTATAGTGAGTACAGATCTGTTGCACAGCACTATCATTCAATCACAAACACCCACATGGTATACACAAAACATAGCAGGAGGCGAACGCACAGCTATTCAAAACAGGAGTGTTTTCTCTGAAGGTATAATAGTCCTGTTTTTCATCCCCGTCTCTCTTTATTCTTCTCTTCTTTCCTTCTTTCTTTCTTTGCATGATTTCACAGTTTTTCCCCGATTGCCACCCTCCTCTTGCAAGATTTGTCCGCTCACTCTCTGCAGTCCCCCTCCCATTTTCACTCACGCCTGACCCCCACCCACTTCCACCCTCTTCCCCCTCCTCCTCTTCCCACTACTGTGCACCCCCCCCACCCCCCCACCCCCATACTCCGTCTCTCTAACCCCCTCCGCCTCTTTGCTCGCTAATGCAGCGACACTACAGCATAACTGGAGCATGCCAAAGCTCAGACAGGCATGAGTGTTTCATACAGTAGAGTTTCTGCTGAGAAGAAATCACCCACAACAATGCAGAAACACAATAGGGATGCGCCGGAGCGTAAGCTGGCCACGGCTGGGAAAGTGTCACATTTTTCATGCTCTCTGGCCACGCTAAACGACGCTAAACGCTACATTTAAGGAGGCGAGAGCCTGCAGTGGGAAAGGAGGGAGGAGAGTCAGACAGGGGAGGGAGGAGGAAAAGAGGGATATGGGGGGAAAAGAATATAGAGTGATGTAGTGAGATAGCTTTGTGAGAGACTCAGAGATTTTACAACATTAAGTGAGTGAAGCCAGGGGAAAGAGAAAGCTTTGTCCGAGTGAGGGGTGGTGACAGGGAGTGATGTGATTTGGTCTAGCATAAAAATGCTTTTTGTGCGTCTGGCTGAGGAAGTGAAGCCTGTGTCCATTGATTTGGCTGTCCAGGGAAAAGGCTCAGCCTGCCCTTGCTGTTTTATCAAAAACGTGTGGCACTTTTTTCACACTGTCACCACCCAAAAACACTCACATAGGCACCCTAGCCATCACAGCTTTTCCCTGTGTGCATGTGTGTGTGTGTGTGTGTGTGTGTGTGTGAGGAGGAGAGGGAGAAAGTGAGTGAGAGCAGTGAGCCATATCGTCAGAATCTACACCTTTCCTCACTTAGGCGTATTGATTCCTGTGAGCAGTAAATAGATTTAAAAGATGATGACAAACAAGAGCGCTGACGGGGAACACTCAGAAATGTGGGAACAGCACAATATCCCCCGCTGCATCGTAAAATATATGATTTAACTGCTGTGCCATAGAACAGGACGGCGGTTTTAATGCCTCGCACATGAAAAAACAAGAGCTGCAGTGTCATAGAGATATTCCAAAAAATGCTGTGCTTCTGCACCATTGAGCTGATGTCCCAGGGAAGATTGTTATGGAGTCTCTAAACTGTTGTTTAGACCTTCAGCACCTTTTAACAGTGACTCTACTTTGTTTGCCAACTCTGCAGGCTCTGTTGGAGGATGGGAAGAGGGAGTCAGCCGTCAGTATGCTTCCAATCGTCCCCGAGGACAGTGATTCTGGACGCACCTACACCTGCAGGGTTCTTAACCCTGCTGCCCCGGCTGGGCGACAGACATCTATTACAATCAATGTCCAGCGTAAGTGTCCTGGAACCCGTTCACCCAAAATATCCTTCTGGCTCTGAAGCCGAGTGCTTCTTTTTTCTATAATCTGTAGCAACACATTTTTGATTTGATGCTATCGTAAAAGGTGAATGGCACTAGAACGATTTCTAAACCCATTACGTCTCAAGTCCAGCTAATTAAGTCAGTAACATAAAGGCTTTTCTCTTCACAGACCCTCCTTCAGTGACTCTATCAGTCCAGCCTCAGACTGTGACCGAGGGAGCCAAGGTTCTCTTCATCTGCTCTGCTTCGGCCAACCCTGAAATCACTGGATACAGGTATCTATCCTCAGTCTAATCTTGATTTTTCACTCCTGCCGCCACCCAAACAGTTGTGTTGAACATGAAAACTAGGCAAGCCAAAGCAGTGCGAGCGTGGTAGTGTCGTATACATTCACCGGGTTAAATGAGCTGCTTGACTGGCAGCGTTTGATTGTGATTGGCACAAACCATGAATCAGCTAATAGCCACTTGATACGCATGGCTAAGTACCCTCCCTGAACCAAGCAGCTGTGTAATGTGATTATCCGTCTCCTCCAGGTGGTCAAAAGGAGGAGTTCCCATCTCCGAAGCAAACGGGGACAGCCTTGAGGTGACAGTGGACTACTCCTACTTCACAGACCCAGTCTCCTGTGAGGTGTCCAACTCTGTGGGCAGCACCAACGTCAGCACCCTGGTTGACGTCCAATGTGAGTTAAACTTTCAGCAATTTCCACAGTGAACTGGGATGTTTTTTCTTGCTGTTGTTGTTGTTTTAAAAGTACTCCCCTATTGATTGTAACCGACCGCCTGTGCTGCTTCACCCTAGTTGGCCCCAGATTGCTGTCAGAGCCCAAGCCAATGACAGTGGATATAGGAATGGATGCAGCCTTCACTTGTGCCTGGACTGGAAACCCGCCTCTGACCCTGGCCTGGACTAAGCATGGCTCCAGCGTGGTAAGGCAGCAAACATTAGTCACAGCTTTATCTTGGTTTGGAGGGTGAAGTTTCAACACCATCCTTCAACACCACCCCTCCAGAGAGACGCATTCACACATGGCCTTGAGGCATGAATCCTTCACACTGTACTTCCCCCCACACATTGTTTTTTTTCCAGGCTGAATCTTTAACACCTTCTCTCTGCATGCTCCCTGAGGGCTGAAGCCGCTGGCAGAAATTGCGTGTCCACTGACTGACTCATAAGGCACTATCAGGCCACATGAAATACTGTTGTAATTCTTGGCCTTATCAATCAATTGATAAATCAATCAGGCAAGTAGTGAGCCAAGGTGCGTTTGAAAATAACAGAATTACAACATGTGCTGCAACTTACGCAGCAGCATCTTGGACTTAAAAACGGCCCGAGCGCACTTAAGCACCCATTTCCTCAAAGTTAATTTCATAGGTGAAACAAATGGGACATTTCCTCCTTCACTTTACATCATCCTGGTAAAAGTCTTTGAGCGTAAACACCATCAGTGGGGACATCCCACAGGAGCTTCTCTTCTAATATAATTTCTGAGGCGATGCTGGAGAAAAAACACCCCCCTGGTAAAGAATGTGCCCGCGGGATGGCGTAAGCGATGCTGTCATCTCTAGGAGTGAACACTTTCAGCCCCTCTGAGAGAACCATGCAGGCATTTTTCTAATCCACCCACAGCCACTGTCCCCCCACACAGCCACAAGTAATGGATTAATTGGGTTACTCCATAAGTGTGTTGAAATAAAAATGGGAGAGAGTGATAGCAGGGGGGTGTAGAGATGGAGGAGGTGGAGAGAGAAGGGGGTAAATGGATTAATCACAGCTTGATGGAATGACAGGATCAATGAGCTAAGGAGTGAGTGAGTGGAGCAGCTCAAAAAGGGCTGGGGCCCACTCACACCGGAGTGTGCGCTCCGCTCTGTCCCCACTGTTTAATTACAACAATCTCCCCAGCCGCACGGTCAGCTTAACGCTGTGATTAAAGCTCTTCACAATGAAATTAAACTCAAACCAGCAGCATTTGTTACAACGGTCAGCCCACCTCTGCGCCGCCTCCACAATGAGTGGGCCACTGATAAAGCTCCGGCTCTCCTTTTGTCCGCCTCTTTGCTCGTTTTCTGGCTCCTTCTCGCTCTAACACACTTCTCACTTGTCCCTGGTTTTCTCACTAGGTGCTCAGTAATGGTAACACCTTGCAACTAAAGGCGGTTACACAGGAGGATGCTGGAACATACACCTGCAAGGCCATTGTGCCTCGGATTGGAGTTGCAGAAAGAGATGTCACTCTGACTGTAAATGGTGAGTGGATTCGTTTCAGAGTGTACAGCTTTGCTTGGCGTGTTGTGGTCGAATCTGTGAAATTGGTGGCGTCAAAATTGATATCTGACATTGTGGTATTGATCAGTAATTCAAAATATCCTTTTGCCTTTCACACCAGGCCCTCCTATCATCACAGCGGATGCCACACAGCACGCCGTTAAGCACTCCAAGGGCAAACTGGAATGCCGGGTAGAAAGCAGCCCCCCGCCTGATAAAATTGTAAGTAATTCTCTTATTTTCTCTTTGTGTCATTTTCTCTGATTTGGAGGCTTACATTCTGCAAAGTCCTCTTAGCCACACCCACGTTTGATGGCTCACTCAGTGTAGTTTTACCCCTGACCTCACCTTCACACCTTTACAGCCTCACATCTCCGCCTCACACTAACAAACACGCGCACACACTCATTCACAGCTGTAATTGCTGGGACATTGACTGGAGAGGATAGTGGAGTTGGAGGATCTGTGAGAGACTGGCTTCCTGCAGGTTTCAGCCAAACCGCATTCAATTAGCGGCCCGAGAGGCATCACTCTGCTGACCCTGTTGAACTACTGAACGTACGCCGGGATGGGAGAGGATAATTAGGGTGTGAGGAGGAGTGAGAGACAGCTGCCCTGCTGGCCCTTGTGTTGGAGACAGAGGATAGGAGCCTTATTTCATAGTGCAGATACCTAACCCTCCTTAGGCCTCACCTGCAGGGCAGACGTGGGAGGCAGCTTAAACATGAGCCTGTGAGCTGTGTCAGCCATGGAGCACGGTGAGGGTCGGCACAAAAAAGTGAAATCAAGTGAGAAACTCATGTTCAGTCAGCGGCAGGCGAGGATCTAAGGATAAACAGCTGCACAGATCTCTGCTTTGAGAGATTTTTCATTTGCTATGAAAAGTTGCTTACACAGGGACGTATCCATGCACTATGTTAGGGTGGCACAGGCCCTTGAAATCTGATTGGCATCCTCAGGTGTCACGAAAGGAATCTGAATCACGATTGGCTTTCTGCCCAGATAGAGGCAGGACTCCTGTGAAACAAACTTATTCTGAGACAAGCTGGAGGGATCTTTGTTGACATTTTAGTGCAGGGACTTTTTTTAAAGGCACACAAAATTGTAAATTCGTTTCGTTAAGAGCCTTCAAGGGATTTGGCAGATAATCTTTTTCTATGTTTAACTTTTAAAAGGTCAAACATAGGAATGTGATACCTGCGTGCTAGTATTTCCAGTACAGTTGTATATTTAAAGTTCCTGCAAAAATATTTAAAGAACTTTTGGTTCCTGACAGTTTTGATGCCCTGTAGACACTGCAGTCTTTACTTATCTGGTCCTCAAATTTCAGAAGTAGTGTCTTACAAACAAATCTCATCCTGTTGACTTTTGACTGTTAAATGTACAATTTTTGAGAATATCTCATTTAGATATTGTAAAAATAGGGCAATTTCTCCAGCTGCTCAGTTTCAGGCATCAAAAATAAGAGTTTTAAAACCATCAATCTTGTCACTGATAGTCTTCTTAGCTTTTGTTTACACCCTATTTTCTGCTTCTTACCCCTCTCCACAGGTATGGACTTTTGGAGACATGAGCCTGTCCTCTGGTACCGTCGGCCGTTACTCTGTACAGACAGTAACCAGTGATCATGGTGTTGTGTCCACTCTTGTGCTGTCTGAGACACTGGCGCAGGATTTCCAGCTGCGCTACAATTGCACCGCCTGGAACCACTTTGGCACCGGCACCGCCCTGGTCACCCTGAAGGAGCAAGGTAAGCGCTGACAGGAGTGATAACCCCACCCTCTCTCCACAATTGCCAGATCGCTCTGCAGAAGCTATAGTAAAACTCTCAATCCTCACCATGAAGGGGGCCAGATTAGGGGAAAGCTTCTCTCTTGCGCTTATCTTAATTATGCTGCCCCTAATCGATATGATTTAATCAGCAGATGGTTCCTTTAATGAATATGTTTGCCCCATACCATAGATATTGATTGGGGACAAAAGTCAATTAGAGGAAGCCCCATGTGTCTGTGGTTGGACTCATATTCTCTATCACTGTCCCGGAGCCAAGTTCGGCAGCTCAGGCTGCAGCCCCTTAAAGAGATCTGATAATAAAGCTGCAGCGTTCCTCGACTGATGCTGCTGGTGGAAACCTTTGTTGCAGCAGACACCAAAAATAAGGTCCTCGCCAGTAATTTACATCAACGTAGCAGAGAGGGGTCTCCAGAGAAATGGGCAGCGGTATCTCCTGGAATCTCTAATTAGATTACTGTCTGTTGCTTCATTGCATGTCAGGCCTTGTTACCCTTCTTTCAGAGAGATTAGAGACAATAGCCAGGCTGTGAGTTGCCTGCTTGAACACACGCTAGCTGTTAGCAGGACAGGGCTTACTGCAGAGGAATTTATATAGGCGCTGATGTCTCTGGGATTAGCAAGACAAATGAATGGATCTCTTTTCTTTTTTGCACCAATCTGCTCTTTCATGACTCTGACACTTCTGCTCCTTCATCTCTCATTTCATACCTCCCCCTTCTCCTGACAACCATCTAACCCCCCTACGCCTACTACACCGCACTTGTATGTGTTACTCTACTCATTACTCATTACTTATGTATCACTGTTCTCGTTACAGAAGCCCTGCCGATGCTGATAATCGTTGGTGGAGCTGTAGGTGGAGGCTGTGTCCTGCTCATCTGTGTCATCACGCTGGTCTCGCTGTGCTGCAGGCACACAGGCAAAGGTGAGCTCAACGGTCAGTATGGGCCAGAGGGTCAACAGCCAAATCTTTACATCAAACACATTCACGTCTTTTTTCATTTGTGAGCTGAGAATCAACCTGTCATCATTATTGTTAAATGATGGAGTTCATTTTAAAGTCCGACGGCGTCAAGTGAAATTTCCTGTTTCCATTACTAGGTAAAAGGTGCACTCGTCTCTCCAAGAGTGACATCAGAGTCCAGATCGTTCACAGTGATCACAACGCTACACGTGGCAACGATGATGAGGAGGATGTCAAAGAGCCCATGGTAAATTTCTTGGTTGGTTTCTTTTTATTTGTGTTACAGATATTTCTCTTGAAGGTTAAGAAGAATGAACAGTTACGCTTTCATTTCGGTGTTATTCAAGTGAGGTCTTGTTTGTCGTAGTATTTTTTTTAAATGCTGGGTCTTTCCTCAGGCTCCAAACAGCAGCGAGTCTCCAGGGACGTCGCGAACAGAACACAGTGACCTCCTGGAAGAGGAGGACGATGAGAGATCGGACATCAAGGTAAAACTGAAAACAGTCATTGAAGGAAACTCTTTGAAAGTCAGCACTCCGTGATTTCCAAGAATTCTGGGTAATGCTGAAGAATCTGAGGCTCATCTTTTTTTTTCTGTCATCTGTAAAGGACCCCACCAATGGCTATTACAATGTCAGAGGCCACGAAGATCGCCACATCCGCAGCAGTGGATTCTCTGAATATGTCCCCAATTCCCGACCAGTCTACACCCCGTCCCAGCTGCCTTCCCCCAGTCCCATTTATGGTCAGCATGGCACCCAGCCTCGCATCTATGACTTTTCCCATCGATACGCCACAACCACAGCAGGCAGAACTGCTTATGAACAGCAGCAAGCGGCCCAGCAGCAGCAAGGGGCCCAGCCTGCCAGCATCTACCCTACTGATCCGGTCTACAGTGGCTCCGCCTACCTACCAGCTACCTATGGGCGCGCCTTCACAAGCTATGTCAAGCCTGCCTCCTATGAGAAGGTGGATGCGTATGACCAATCAGATCAGGCCAGCAAAGTGTCCAGCTCGTCCCGCTTTTCCTACGCTTCCTCACAAGTGTCCTCGCAGCAGTCTGACTATGGACGCCCCTCACAGCGGATGCAGACGCACGTCTGATTGGACAAAACTGTGGATAAAAGAAGATTACAGGAGCATTGGGTAGATAGCCATTGTCACCACCACATGTATGTGTGGCTGGACTAACATGAACTGAGACTTTCTTCACTCGGTCGGTCCTTCAAGGACACGTTGGACAGTATTTGGAGAAAGTCATGTGATATAGGTTATGGATTAACCATCCTTTATTTGTTGTGATGGTTGGCGGGATCTACAATGATGCTAATTGTGGAGCATCTGAGCTGGAGATTCAGCAGATTGTGATGTTCAAGTCAGACTAATAATTACAGTGTGATACCTCTTGAGGTTATCTCTACATGATGACCACCCAAACCTGGAGAAATATTCTGTCAGTTCAAGAGCCAACAAGATTAAGTCAAGTGCATCTCCTAAATTTGGGTGGCCAAAATGACTGGGGTAGCTGTTTACCTGCCTTCCAGAGTTTACTTTGTGTCAATGCTAAAATACTTTGAAAGAACAAATGACAAGCCGAGACATATTTGAGGAAAAACAGCCTATTGTTGTCTGTCATTTGGTGTTTTGTTGGCATGCGAAAGGAATTCTAAGCACATTTGTGTCTCTATCATCAACATAAGACTGAGCTATCCAGAGACAGACATGGACTCCTCTGCACAACAGGCTGGCTCTACTGACCAACAAGTGCTACAGGCACCGTACTATATGAAAAGTCTTATCAGTGGAGGAATACTTCTGGCCTGAGCTGTATTCCTGGAGTTTCTCCTGATTCTAACCCTAACATGTTGGACTTGACAGTGTTACTTACAGGTGGAGAAGGAGGGAGATGTGAAGAGAATGTGTTTTGACCTTCATTGTGATGGAGGACTTTATGTTAACCGTGTTGTACTAAGAAGGACGAGGCAAGGCCATGGAAACCCAAAGATGGTGGTAAATCTTAAAGAGTGAATTAACAGGGGCTGAGGCTGGAAACTGCTGTCCCAGCCCTGGTACTGTTTTCTGCTGTGATACCTGATTGTAAAATGAACAGTATGCTTTTACCAGAACAATCAAAAAGAGGTGGAAAGGTGGCAATCTTGAACTAAAAGTAAACTTGAATACAGTGTCAAATTTAGCAGGGGAAAGATGTTTTAGGCCGTCCTCATGTGGACCATCCACTCTGAAGTTTTACAACTCAATCAAATTGTCTCAATATGTTTACAAGAAACAGTACTACCCTGAAACATTAAGTATCTGTACAAATGGCTGAGCCCATACTTTCTCTCTGTTGCATGCAAATAATGTGTCTAGTGAAACTCTTCAGCGTTTATACTCATGTCCATTTCATGTTTGAGACATTCGTTTCAGCACCCAGCCCGGTCACATTCCAACTCTTGGATGTTTCAGTATGGACGCCTGTACTGCCATTTGTCTACAAAGCTGTTTCCAGGCAGCCCAACAAAAGAACAAATGTCACTTAAAGTGAGGAGGCAAACATCATCGCTTGTCTTTATTTTTATATTTTATATAAGCCTTAATGTACAGCGTGTAAGCTGCTCTATTGTAAAGTATCTTTATATACATATGTATCTATCTTGGTTGATTTATTTTGGTCCACAGATTTTCTTCTCTACGTCGTTCATCAATCATTGAATGCAGTTATTTTGCTTTTTTGGAACACGACTAATTGCCATTTGTTTAATTCTTTTAATAATGTATTAAGAATTTTATTTGCTAAAAATGAGCTATCGTTGCTTGTACCTTTGTACACATATTTATATTTAAATAAAACCATTTCCGATAAAGAAGTGGCTTGTGTGAATCTTGAGAGTTAATCAGCCTGGTGAGTAGCTTCATTGGGCACGAGTAACAGGGACAAACAAAGCTTCCCATGAAGCAACAATGATGAATACATAAATTAGCAGCACTGTCTATGTTGATTTTGCTATTCCCCCAGTGGAGCGCCGCTTTTAATGAAGACAGATGAGTTGCTAGAACCCCCACTGTATGTGTATCCTCCTCCTGAAGCTGACATGCCCGTCTTGTAGGGTAATGGGATGGAGCTGTGACAAAGGCAAGTATTATTTGACAGTACGAGTTCGTCTTGTCACCTCCGTTCCCCAGGTAGGCGCGCTGCTCACGATGGGGAGGAGAGGTACATGCTCATTACAATTCTACTGTGAGGAGGGACAAGGTCTGACAAGACACGCATTTATTATGCACAACATAATACAAAACCAGGGCTTGTCAGAGACAAATAATACAGGTGATACAATTAGGCACTGGCGAGCATTGTTTATTTGCACAACTCTTTCGTATAAAATCATCAATATACAAACAAAATAGGTTTCAAAGTTGAAAAAGTCCATAATCCAAACAACAACTCCAGCATACAGTGTTTGGAAAAATATATTAAAAATTCTGTCCTTCCCCAAGTGTCTAAAAAATGTATTTACACTTGCATAGTTTAATAGTAAAGACTAAAAGGACCGGCTCTGCAGTATTCTTAGAATAATCTTATTTCTATCTCCTCAATAAATAACACTTATGCAAATCTTTGGTTTGTTTATCCAGAATACACTATTTTCAGGATAAATCTGGGATGAACAGGAAAGAGCATCAAATAAAGTTGGCTGAGACAGTCACGAGTCTCACTCCAGTCGAACTTGGCTCCCAGATGTGTGCGACAGATGACCCCAGCCACACTGGGCTTAACTAGAACCAACTGAGTCTAATCCTCATCCTCCTCTTCCCTCTTTGGTATGCAGCAATTTGGCAAACTGTTCACACAGCAGTCAGGGCCAGTCTGCATGTGTAAATATGTAATAGCAATACTGATCCAAGACCCACGGTTCAGATCAACAACAACTGAAAACAACTTGAGCATCACCCCAAGCTCAGATTCAGAACAATCTTCAGGGACCACGCTCAAGTTTCTGCCTACAAATCTGGTGAACTAAGCATTACTGCCGGCTAATTTTCAAAGCAACTTGTGGGATTTTAAATTGATTGGTGTTTTATCTAACTTCCAGGCTGCTTCAGGTGTTTATTTTAGTAAGATATTAAAACGCCTCTTTTTTTTTAATATTCAAAATCTACGATGCTGATGTCCCTACGAGTTAATGTCTCTCCTCGATGACAGATAAACACTGAGACTGGAGGCTGCCCGGCAGATAGGTAGATAACACACTTAATTAAAAATACTTTACTTTTCTCTGTATTGGAAAATATTTAGAAGTATGCATGAAGAATTTGAAGCCCATGTGACAAAAATGGCCTTTTAGTGGAGGATAATTCATAAATAAACCCCTAAATTTAAAGCTATATACAGCAAGTGCAACACTGACTGAAGCCCATGACACCTGTTAAGAAATATGCAATAAAAAGTGTAAAAATGTACTTAAAAAAAAACATAAAATGCACATGTTCTCTGTTTGTATTTATAAAAATTACATCTTGAGTTCCTGAATAATGCATAACTTTTTCTAAGTCCGAAGGTTAAGTTGACTGGTGAAACGTGACAATATCTGAGATGCACGGTGTTGAATCTCATGTAAAATTTTTACAAAATGTGCATGTGTGTGTCTCGGTGTCTGTGTTTGTTGGTGAGTAGTAGGAAGGGGGTTCAAAGGAGTTGGCAACCAAATAAAGTGCGTCCATGCAACAGCTTCCTGAGTCTGTTGCTTTAAGAACAACGCTTTGGGAGACTCGTCCAAAATCATTCTCAGACTTTCTATTTCCATTTCGTTTTTTCAACTCTGGTCCTCGCTCTGCACCCCTCATATCATCCTCAAACCCCCGTCTCCTTCCTGATCCACTCTCTCAGCTTGGTGACACGCGAGTACACGCCGGGCTTGTTCCGACGAGCACAGCCCTCACCCCAGCTCACGATACCCGCCTGGAACCACTTCCCACTCTCCTCAAAACACACCAGGGGCCCACCGGAGTCTCCCTAGTGAGTATGGTTGGAAGAGAATGGTTATTAGATTGAGCGTGTTGTGAGAGCCAGGTAATTATATGGGTGTGAAAACCTATATGTTGTGGAAAAGTAATCTACATCCACCCTTTGTCTGGAGAACGCAGCATGGTCTCACCTGACATGCGTCAACGCCTCCAGCCAAGAACCCGCTGCAGAGCATCCTGGAGGTGACTTGGCCCTCAGTGACCGTGTTACACACCGAGTCGTTGATGATCTTCACCGATGCCTTCTGCAGCAGCTGTGCCTTTTGACCTGCAGGAGGAAGACAATGGGGTCAGCACTCCGCCATGTGACCTCTGTGTTCGTCACTAACATCAAAAGGTGCTAATGGGCTGGATTAGTGTTAGCTAATGAAGGTTTAAGAGGCTTCCCAGGAGAGCCTATGTCTGTCTTGATATATGGATATGGAAGAGGGCTTAATGGAATAGAGCAGATTAGAAAAAGATGAGGGGAAAAAGGGAGGGAGGGCTAGGCTGAAGAGAAGTATGTCATGATGGGAAAGATAAAGAAATGGGAGGGACGTTAAAAGAAAGAAGACAGGATGAAGAGATGAAGGGGAAAAAGAAGAATGAAGCAGGCAGGGAGAGAAGATAAAGGATGGAGATGAATAGCTAATTGTGAGAGGGATGGGGGAGGAGTGGGATGTCTTCATTTTGATGTGAGTTGGGTATGCAAAAAGAAACAACTCAGCTGGAGAGTGGGTCACCCGTAATTGAGGAAAAACAGCAAAAATATTCAAACCGGTCTAATAATCAGTTACAGTGAAAAACACAAAGAAACCTCCGGCATCATACCTCCTTCTCTGAGCGCGCCCCAGCCTGTGACCCAGCAGGACATGCCTGCAGGGAAGACGTGGGAGGATGAGGGTAGGCAGATGGGTTGGATAGTGTTGGTGAACTTCAGCGGCTGACTGAGCTCCAGCAGTGCTATGTCGTAGTCAAAGGTCATCTGGTTATAATCCGGGTGGGAGATGATCCTCTTCAGTGTGCGCCGCTCTACCCCATCCTGCTTGTACTGGTCCTGCATGCCACTGTAGGTCTGCCAGTTGGATGCAACATGGTTCCTACAGTCAGGTCAGAGGGGAAAGGTTATTTTCCTGTACAGGCTTGAACCTGGATGGAAGTATTGTAATGTCATGACCATGTGTCAAATCTAACACAGTCCAAAACAAACAGGCCTGTAGTGTATGCACCTCAAAGGTTAGGGTTTCTGAAGAAGTTCAGTGCTGCACAACAAAATAACACATCCCCTTGCAGTCACTACACTAACAGAACAAACATAGTACTTGCCACATTATAATTCTATTGGGATGGATTTAATTTTTTATCACAGTGCTGAAAACCTCCCCCAAAACATACAAAACTGCAAACTAGTCATGATTATGTTTACCTGTAAAGAAAAGCCTTTTAGAGACTTGAACGTCAAATGTAGAAAACCCCTCAAATGAAATCATGGCTTTGTGTGAAGGAAATACAAACAGAGACTGAAAGCTGGTGAGGGTGCATGCACATTGCGTAGCTAACAGCATGATAAGTGCTCCACCTACAGGCCACTCTGACAATAACTGCTCCATACTTTTCATGGATGAGATGTAAATTTAGCCCCCCCAAGGTTCTTCTGAATTAACTGCATCATCAGGGGCTAATTTTCAGACTTTGCAATTTGTATATAAATGGTCCTCTGTTGTGCACAGTTCTACTATTTTCCAGAAGAAAGTGCATGAGAGTGTTGCATAATGAGATCTATTAAAATGTTAAATAACAGGATGAATAATAAAATACTCTTGGAAACAATAACAATTTATACAAAAGTGTGGTAGATGTTGTTTACAGAATAGTCCAGCTCTGTTCTTGTGTTTGGGTGTAATGTATGCTTCAGCTGTGACTCACGACGGGCTGCTGGTGACAAAGCAGTGGGAAGCAGAGAGGAGCCATTTCTCAGATATGATGGAGGCTCCACAAACGTGCCCATAGGTCAGGAAGTGAAGGCTGACCTGCCACGGCCACTCCCCCAGCTCAGCATTCTGCCCGCCCACAATGCGGTTCAGTTTGTATGGCCTGGTGCCACAACCTGACATAAAACGGAGAGGGTAATGAGAAAGGAGGAACGCAGGATTATGGGTGTAAAATACTCGCTGAGACTGGCAGAAATGATCAGAGAGAAGAAATCTGAAATGAGATTAAGTTGACTTGAAGCCATCATGATGTTGGCCTTGGTTTTGAGAGCTACTTCTGCTCTTTGGAATCCTAATAAGGCACACTGGCATATTATCTGATCAAAAAAAAAGAAAAAACGCACAGACACGCCCTGAGGCTTAAATGGAGGGAAAAAAATAAAACTTCAGAGATGACAAGAGCTGCTTTCAAAGAAGAATGAAATAAATAAAGCAGTCAAGGCCTGGGGCTCTTTTCTAACAGACAGCCCAACTCGCTGCTCTACCAGCTCTTCTGTAATCTGTTTGAATGACACTGAAAAGATTAGATCCACTTTCAGCTTGGAGGGAAAAAAAATGTAAAAGCTGAAATTTGTAAGGCAGAGAAAAACATTTCTTACCACAGCCTTTCTCGTCGGAGCTATCAGAGCAGTCATTGACGCGGTCACACTCGGCGTTCACCTTGTTGACACATTCTTTGTTCTCACACTTGAAGCTGAAGTCGGAGCAGATACCTGAAGCTATGGCGGGGCACAGACAGGTCCCAAAATCAAAACACACATAAGGTATGTTTCAATCAAAGCTTTAGAGCAGTGCCAAGTTGAAGCAGGAAAAGACTATGCAATCAGTAAGACTTCAAAGTAAGCTTTGAATGCACAATGCATAGTGATTGAGGAGCAGATTGCATTGATTGGGGGTATTGATTGGGGTCGAGGTCTAATATCCCTCTTTATTCAGAGAAGTGAAAATCAGACGGGAGTGCGAGAGAGTCCTGAGTGTGTGTGCATGTGTGACTGAGTGGAGAGCGAAGGGGAAATTGATAAAGAATGAAGTGGTGAGTAGGAGGAAACGATAAAAGAATGTTTACAGTGAAAATTACTTCCAATGAAGAATGAATTCTTCACCGCAGCATTTTTGCAAGCGCTAACTTTTTACCGAGCAGTGGAGGAAGGTTAATTGCTTAATGGTTGGTGTAACATGCTTTTAAATCACCCTAGTGGGGTTTCTTCAAATACCAAAGTGGTTGGAAAGAGAACAAGCACAGCCACTTACACGATTTACAAGAGGCCTCATCGCTTCCATCCTCACAGTCTTGCTTGTCGTCGCACACGATATCCTGAGGCAGGCAACTGCCATCGCCGCAGCGCCACTCGTTCTCGTCACAACCTGGAGGTGACACATCGAGAGGAGGAAAATGTTACAGAAAAACAAGAATTAAAAGTTGAATAAGGAGAGGGCAGGCTAACAGCAACAGAGGGCCATTAGCAGCACAGCTATGGTGGACATTAGCATCTCTCCATTCTTCCTCTGTGTATTAAACATGATTAAGCGTACGGATGAACGCTCAGCAAATTGTGCGAGGCCCCAAACAAACTCCATTACTGATACAATAATGGCTGCACAGCCCAGGAGTCAGTGACCAGTGCATTAGTGGTGATGTGCCTTTAATGTTAGCACAATTAGCCTAGCATTAGATAGGGTTTGTGTCCCCGAAGAGTGCTTAAAGCCAAAAAACACTTACTGCATTGTTTCTCATCACTGCCATCCCCGCAGTCGTTGACCCGATCACACACCCAGATTTTGGGTTTGCACAGACCATTATCACAAGCAAACTGGTCCTCTTCGCACTCTGAGGTGACAGAAGGACAGAGTTTTTAACAAGAAAATGAAGGAACGGGAATTTCACCATAGTATGAACATTGCAAATAAGTTACATGATAGTTAGGGAAAGATCATGAAAAATACAGTTTATTAACAAAACCTCCTCTCCGAATCATCTTTTTAAATGAGTTTTTCTAGTTTTCATTATTTTTACAAAACAAAATGTCATAGTTTTTGATTCTAAAAGCTAATTTGCTTTGTTCCCAGGAATAAAATGAGAGGATACCAGTCTTATATTTGGAGGAGAAAATGTGAGCTTAGCTAGTGAAACCACTAGCCTATCTCTTTCAAAGGCAAGTGTTTCATTGAGAATCTTTAAGGCTTTATATCTTGTTAATTCTTTCTTATTTTCTTTGTTCGTTCGTTTGACAGCAGGTTTTTTTTACTTCTCTGTTCGCAGTGAGGAACTTCCTGGAGCCTGGCAAACACCAACATTACATTCCAAGAAATCATTACGCTGGGCCAAGAAACAGCCTGTTATCTTATCCTCTACAAATCACACAGTCTTTGTTTTTACTATTTAGATTTTGTTACCTTTTCTAAGGCCAAGCTCGCCGTTTCCCTTGTAGACAGTCTCAAAGCTAAGGTAACTGGCTCTGCTGGCAGTAGCTTTATATTTTATAGGCAGTAATGAAAGTGGTATTGATCTGAACATCCACCTCTTGGCAAAAAGGCAAGTAAGAGCATTTGCCAGAGTGTCAAACTACTACCTAAAAGTGGCAGGTAGGACGATGTTGTTAAGAGGGTAAGAAATTCAGGGTGTAAAAAAGACAGAGAAAGACAGGACTGGTCAAAGGGGGACTTACGGCACTTCATCTCATCACTCATATCACCGCAGTCGTTCCACCCATCACACTTCATATCCTTGGAAATGCATATGCCAGATGCACAGGCAAACTGGTTGGGGCAAGCTGTTCAAAAAAAATAACAGAAAAAAGGCAAGCAAGACCGTGATGACAAATTGAGCGAGAGGAAGTGACAGTGTATGTTTGCGGCATCCATCATGTTGCCAATGCTTGTCCCTGTTGATCAGAGCAATTATAAATCCATTTCGCTCAAACTGGGAGACAACATAAAGAGCAGAGGGTATTGAAAGTGGAGCGCTTCTGACTGACAGTGGCAAATAAAATGGACCCAATAAACAAGCTCTCTGGTGATTAGTCTAGCTCTTGAGTTTCACTGCTGCAGTTTCTAAGCCTCTACCACTAAACAGCTCTATTTGACTGTCAATCAGACACCGCCTGGTAGTCTCCCAGACGACACAGTCACTCCCCATGTCTCGCTCTGTAATGGCAGGCTATGAGTGTCACTGTCACGACATAACATTACGTGCCAATCTTTCCAAATGCCATGTAAATGTGGGTGCCACACAAGACTTTTAACTCACGATTTGCAGGATCATAGGCGCTGTACTCCGCACTGAAGCCTTTGTCAGTGTACGACTCATCTGAGTGGAACTTCACCTCCACAACGTTGGAGGTACTAGTCAGCGCCAATGAGGACATTTCTCCACAGTACCTGGGAAACAAGACCAACATTTAAAGCACCAAAGACCAACAAGCAAAACAAATCTCAACTCAATGGTTCTGTTTGAAGTAACACTTTAACCATAATTTATGAATAGTAAATAGATAGTTTAATAATGTTTAATCATCATTTAAAAACAGCATATAGACCAATTATAAATGGCAAATAGATAGTTTATTAATGTAAGTTCATAGTTACTTTACCATTAACAAGCAATGGAATTATGATTAATAATTTTCATTAATTATTTATTAAAGGTTTATATAAGGTTTAAAAACTGGTTGTAAAACATCTAGATTAAAATGTGTGTCAGTAGCACTTTGTAAATGGTTAATATTTGGTTTTTAAACCACCTACAAACATTACTTAGATGGTTATTGTAAAGTTAGGGTTAGGGTTAGGTTTTTAAAATCGTAAAATTTACAATTTATTAATGGTTTATATGCTATTTATAACTGATGATTAAACATTAATAAACTATCTACTTACCATTTCTAAATGGTCTATTTACCATTTATAAGTTATGGTTATTGTAAAGTGTTAGATATTTGGGATATTCAAAAAAGTGGATATTTTGAATATCTCAAAATTTTACATGGAGTTATATTGAAAGTGAGAGTACGTGAAATGTGAGTAATTGCTCAGAAAACTGTCCCAGTCTTTAAACTGTGATGGATGTTCACCACATGCTGCATAGAGAATCATTTCAGGTGTAGCTTTCATGAGTTTAAGTCTTACTTGGTGCCCATAACCTCCACAAAGTCTTTGTGACACACACGGATGTCCACCCCAGGCTCTTTCATGCGGAACATGGTGAACTTTATCCGTACCTTCTTCCCAGAGGGGACCTGTAGCACAGACGAAGACCTGATTGGTTCATAATAACCGTATTTACCATGCATGTCACTCCTCCTCCTACACACTAAGACATGTGTCTGTAGTTGGTGCAAATGCAAGCAGACAAGCTGCGACACACCCAAATAGACCATGGGCGAACACATGCCCACAAACTCACACACACACACCAGCATAAAACACCAGCACAAACACTGCAGCTCAGCCAGAGCTGCGGCAGCAACAGCGCTCTGACAGATGAAGATAGAGGAGGTACTGAACAGCTTGGCTTCTACAGTGCTGCCTCAGCATTCCTCTCATGGCAGGCTAAGGATGGAGGAAGAGGAGGGGGAGGTGGATAAAGGGGTTTCAGGTAGGGGAGGGGGGCTGGGAGGGGAGTGAGTTACAAACCTCGATGGTCCACTTGCAATCCACAGCAGGAGGATAGAAACTGGGGTGTAGAGGGGAGGTGAAGACTCCATGGCTCTTAGCGAGTTTGCCACCACAGCTTTTAACTGAAACCATCATAAATGAACCCGTTTTAATTCTTAATGGGTAAAACATAAACACAATTAAACAAACCTAAACAAGCTGTTCTAGTTAGAAGTAAAGTTATTACTACCTTTAGATTTAGGGATGGCTGAATACTCTGCTGTGAATCCAGGCTTTTGCTGAGCACCGTCAGTAATCAGGTTAATGAGCATGATATTTCCTGATGAAGACACCTCCAGAGGGTTGGAGGGTGGCCTTTGACCACACTTTCTGAGCAGGATCAAAAAAAAAAAAAAAGACAGAATCAAATAGTTTTATGGAACCAGCAAATAAAAGCAGTAAGATTATCATCTGATGGTTTTACAGTGTAGAGATTTGTTTTTGTTCAGATGTGCAACACTCATGTGAAGCTATTTTTCTTTTGAGTCAGGAGCACCAAAACATTTAGCACACAAGTTTAAAAAGTTTACGAGAAGAATAATTTGGAAAGAAATCATTTGATAAGAAGTGAGAGACAGAAAAAGATAAAAAAGTAGAGATGTACCAGGGCTGGACAGAAATTGCTGAGGCGGAGTTTGAAAGTCAAAGATTAGGTACATTAGCAGAAAGTTTCAGCACCGCTGGCGGCAGAGCAATGAAGGTGTGAATGACGCTGCAAGAGCAGCAATACATCTACCTCCAGTAGAATAATGTCATTATAGAGTATTATATTATAGCTCTCATAAACCCCATGTCACCTTGGATAAAGCGGATCGCTCAATAGCTTTATAAAAATTTTATGCATCACTTGGTAACGCATATTTGTTTGGCAATGGTTTCTGAGTTTGAAATTGCCTGCAGCTACATCTGATTGTAGCATCAAGAGCCTGTAGTATCAGAATCGTAGCACTCCCCCATAGACTCAGTGCAATTACACACACAGTGGTGTAGCAGGATTCAGCTTGGCACCCATCACAGATTTGAAAGGAGAGGTCTTTTTGAGCCAACTCAATCTCACTGAGGTCTCAAAAGTTAACAATAAAATGGGACATGCAGCACTAAAGGCTTCAGGGCCAAAAAAGGAAGGAAAAAAACATTATCACAAATCCAGTGAAAGGAATCAAGTGAAATATGTTTTCCACCCACATCCAAACTGTTTTCACTCCTAAATCCCTTTCCAACATTTTGGTTTAATAGGAAGTTATACTTTGTTTCTCTCTCTCTATCTCTCTGAGAATCATACAGAACTACATTCCTCCCTATCTGCTCATCAAGGCTAAATAAATGTCCAAAGCTTAGGTAATCCAACCACAAAAACTCGCCATAAAGGTTCAGGCAAAATATAAATGTGATCTATGCTACAATAAACTATACTACGGGGCCAAAAATGAGTTAATTCACTGGTGCTTCTCCTGGAGCTTATGATTTGGCACATAGATGGTTGTTTTTTTAAATAAAGGGTTTTAGTTTGAGATAGCCCCATTTTCAGTGTGTGCCGTAGAAAAACACGTTTCCCAACCCCTCAGGAAATCCACATCTTCTGCGACTTACTCTGTGATGGCCTGCGAATCATCTGGGCTCAAGGAGTCATAGATGAAGACGAAGTCATCAGAGCAGTCATCCTCGATGTTGAAGAAAGGGAAAGTGACAAATATGGCATGGTTCTCTGCAGCTCGGATCTGCCACTGACACCGAGATTTGGGTGGGTAGGCCACAGGGTACCCTGGTGATGAAAATTTCTTCGGCTGTTCTGTGGCCTCCAGGCGGAAGAAACACTCCTCTGAGAATAACATCATTTATGTCAAGCGGTGAATATGGGAAGGTGAGATGACAACAGTAGTTTCTAGCTGCCTTTCAAATCCAGTTGGAAGATCTTTACAAGAAATCTATCTTTTCTGGTTTTCCTTAAAAAAAAACTATCAAATTTGTCATGATCAACAACACATTTAAGCCCAAGTTCTTCCATCCTTTTATGTTAGACATGTATGAAGAGACAAATTAACAGAAGAATAGCTTAGCTGCTACGGTAATGTAATGTAGTTTTATCATCCCAGTGTTATTAATCACTAGACAGTGTCAAAGTGTCTGGCACGGTGACTGACTGGCTCAGGCCTGATACAGGGTTCTCAATCTCTGACTAGAGCAGCACATGTACAGGACAGGCCGGACCAGCCATTTGTTACAGACTGGCAGGAGTGTGTGCATCTAGCCAGCTGGAAAATTACAACTGCAAGTGATTGAAATGCGACATGCTGTACTCACTGGCTCTGGGGTTCCTGGCCATACGAGGATCTGTGTCTGGAGACAGAAATAGAGAGATAGAGAAAGAGAGAGAGAGAGAGAGAGAGAGAGAGAGATAGGTGAACAGAAAGAAGAGGAAGAATAGGTCACTAACACTGGGATACTGATAGAATTTGATACATGAGCTCAAAATATTTGGGTTGCACATTTTCTGTCCCATTTCCCCGCGGTTAAGGGGACTGGTGATGGTGTGTAGCTCTTTCTGCTCCATCTCACCTTGCCCTACAGCAGCAAGCCATACATCTCTGTCTAACTATCTGGGACAGTAACATCAAATCATACCCACAGAAATCATTTTTAAGAGCACCAAAACCACTGAGTCACAGGGGCCAGCGCCTGGCTGGTGGCCAGAATGTGGACAAATGCAATGTGAATGCTGAGAAGACAGAAAAGAAGAGAAATGGCTGTCTCAAGACCGGCCAGAGCCCAGCTAATATCATTAGAGGATCCAAACAACATAAAATGTGCAATCTCAGATGCAGCAGAAGCAGAGAGGCCTGGCTTATCCGTTATCATCTTATCAGCACAACTCAGAGCAAGTTTCTATGATACAAATAGAAAGCATACAGAATACCATGGCTGATAGGAGATGACAATTGACCATATTCACATGGCCGCCATTTCCTCAATGTCAGCCCTATTGTAAGAAGATCAAATCCTTTTATAATATCATACTGCTGTGCTTCAGGTTGCTCCAAGTCAAGTTATCTGACAAAGCATTTTCATATCACCACTTTTCTCTTAAGTAGCAGCTGAAAGACTAAAAACTGTGTCAATCTGAAGGAACGGCAACAATTTCAATAACCCAATTAGAAATAACATATAGTATTTAGCAACTTACTAATATGTTAGCAAGAAAGCGATTGGTACCAATAAACTCTTGGTAGTCTCATAATACAACAGTAAAGGTTTATATTCCTAGCATATGCAAAGTTAATTCATTACCAGCTGATGCAATACTGTGTTGTTTTTTCTGAACGTTTTTCCTTAGTTTCCGCTATCAATCAGCTTTTTAGTCATTGGTAGGCAGTAAAATTGTAACAAAACTAGCTACTTTTCTATTTTAGAAAACAGTATTTTATTACTGTGGTAATATAGTCTGTTAACATAAATATTTTTCCATTCTTTATTTTTCATTTAGCATACTTTTAAAGACCTGGAAATTGATCAAATTACTTTTCCATACTTTTCCATACTTGCGTGGGAACCCTGCAAATGTCAGTCACCCTACGACTTTAAGGATTACAACACAGACATCTGTTTATGAAGTAGAAGAAAATGGCATTGTACAGTACTTGGTTTCATAAAGATCTGCATTACCAGCCTTGATCTGTGTTCATTGTTATAAACGAAAAATCTGAAGCCAGTCATAGCTAACAGTTATCTATCTGCTCCTTTTTTGTGTCCCACCCACTCCTCCCCAAGTGTACATACCTGAGGCTGTGATTTCGCTGATTCTGATGTCTGTTCGGCTTGCTGATCTGTACTGGGCTTTAATGCCTGCTTCCAGTGTCTCTAACACCCGCTCCTCTGAAAACTCTGTTAACATAAATATTTTTCCATTCTTTATTTTTCATTTACCATACTTTTAAAGACCTGGAAATTGATCAAATTACTTCCATACTTTTCCATACTTTTCCATACTTGCGTGGGAACAGAAACAAAGGAAAAGATTACAACACAGACATCTGTTTATGAAGTAGAAAAAAATGGTATTGTACAGTACTTGGTTTCATAAAGATCTGCATGACCAGCCTTGATCTGTGTTCATTTGTTATAAACGAAAAATCTGAAGCCAGTCATAGCTAACAGTTATCTATCTGTCATCACTGTGCCACAGAACTTCACATTTTAGAGAGTTGCAGCGCTACACACATAAATGGGATTGGTCACAAATCAGCAGACCTCATCTAATCTTGAGTCGTGTGGTTACAAATGCAGCAGACATGAAACCTTGAACCCCCAAGAACAGCAAAACTTTTCCTTCATTCAAGATTTGTTTTCTTGCTTTTGGCCGCAGCGACTTTTTTTTTTTTTTTTTTAAGTGGGAGCTAAAAAGCTTGACGGTACCTGAATGCAGTCACCGCAGACTTGGTGTAGTATTTAGCGAACAATGGATCTGTATTGTAATTTTCCTCCAGCTGCAAAGAGAAAAAAAGTATTATTTTAATGAAAAGAACATGTACAACATTTGTGCTTGACAGCCTGAAGACATAGAACAAAATTAGCATGTCAAAATATAAAACTGACTTCCATGAAAAGCATGCTACATCTGAATTAGCTGCCTTGCCTTTAGCTGTAGAGAGCTGCAAACTGTTTCAGATGGAGCAGCAGACAGACTTTGCATTCTTAAATGGGGGTCAGTGCTATATTTTACAAATGTGCAGTGTTATCTAACTTAAGAGCAAGTACTCATTGAGAAAAGGGTTAGAATAAAAAGAAGAAGAAGAAAAGCGACTGCAGGGGATGAGCAGGTTTCGTTTGGTTTGGTGATAAAAGCAGAAAATGACACGGTGAAAGAGGAAACGGGTTGTTCACGGGACAAAGTGGTCAATTATCATAAAATGAAATATCGAGAGTTTTTTCTTTGAAAAACGGCCAGCTCTAAAGTTCAAGTCAGCAACATCAAATATGCCATTATACCAGATGAACCATGTGCCATTATACTAAACCCATCAGAGGGGCACGGTGGGGAATAAAATGCTGGAAGACAGTTTGAAAGGACAGGTGCAGCTGGATTCACAGAGCAGAGAAATGTTCCAGCACACTTTTATTTTACCAATACCAACATTAATAACTTGAATATTATCAGATACCTAGAACACCGCTTAAACTACTGAAATACTTTATACAAGATAAGCCTTTTCTGCAGAGAAACACTGATGGGTTATGCTGATACCTGATGATATTTAGGTGGAGCTTCTAAATTATGATATTATGACTGGTAAACTGGGAAACCCTGCAGTATTATAGGCCGATACCAGGACTGGAACTGATAGACCAATTGGAACTTAGAAGTACTGATACTTTTACCGGTATAAGTACATAATCACAACATCCACATTTTCTTGTAGTGCTGTTTACTAGCATTTATTTTTGACAAATTGTACGTGTGATGTTGACGGCAACCTGTCTCTGATAGTAATCCTCAAAAGCCGGCCTTTTAGTTGTATGAAAGTGCAAACCTGCCATATCATAAAGCTTACCCTCTTCATTTATCTAGTCATCTCATATTCCGGTCCACCACTTACTCTGTAATCCTCACCTAACACCCTCACTTCTGTTGCTTTTCACTGAGCAAGTGCTCGCTTGATGGTGTTTGAGTGAATGCTTTTTTGCTATCAAAACATGCTCCTAAGTGGTGCTACAAACAGCTCCACTGCCTCCAATAATGGGAGATGCTGTTGAGGGAATTACTGAGGGAATGTACAGAGTTTTATTCCACCCACGCAAATGTGCCTTCAGCAGTTTCTCTGCACTAGGAGGGGCGTTTCTAAAAAAGCATTTCCACAATGCCAAACAACATCCACTACTAATCTGTAGTGAGAAAAGGGAAGCGGGTGTAACACTTAGCTCAAAATAGCGCAAAATACACAATACAGAAAGGGAGAAAGAATAGGAAAGTCATGTCTTTGGGGTGTCAGACTCACAACTGCCTCCAGCTTCTCTGCTAATTCCTCGAATTCCTTGCTCTTGGTATTCTCCAGCTTATCGCTATACTTCACGTCGGCCAACTTCATATGCCCACTGAAGACCCGTGTCGATGGGCTGAGCTGCTTACTTATGGTGGCATCTGAATCAGCATCTTTAACTTAGGGGAGAGAGGCAAATGAGACTTCAGTGTTTGATCAACAAAATGCTGTATGATAGCTGCCTTTGATGAAAGAGAAGGCTCTGGGTTTTTAAACAGGCCTTGGAGCATTATTTTAAAGTTGTGAAGCGTGATGTCGTACTGAGAAGACAGTTTGGCTCTCAGAGCAATTAAAACAGCCAGCTGAATCAAGAGGCTGTTTATCAAGACTTCAGAGGCCTTTTTATCAGATGTGCGAAGCTGTGCCATGGACTCTGTGACATTTTTCTCCGATGCATTATTAAAAGGAAAGTGTCGGAGCTGTCAAATAGGCTAACACTAATGGGAAATTACAAAGTCCAAACAAGCCACTCTTACACTTTCATATCAAAGAACTGCGCCTTAACAACAAGTGGGAATGATCCACTTTACAGTTTTCTGATGTTATGCCCAGTTTGGCAGTAACTGATGGCAGAATTATAAATACCCAAAGTTTCTCCTTTAATGTGATCAAGAATAATCCTGACACATGAAAAAAGTTCATTGCATATCTTATGTAACATTAAATTTTCATATTAGAATATAGTACTGAACTCTACAGTCCATAGTCCCTTCAATTGATGACAAAGTAGAGGATAGATTTCAACGATACTCACAGACAAACAGCCAAATAAGGAACGCTGCAATAGCTGCTAGGACAAGAAGCGCCACAAGAACTCCGATAGCGATGCAGATCTTCTTCTTTGACCCCGTCTCCTTGCCAGATGCATAATGGCCATTAGGACCCTGAAGACGCAAAAGAAAGATACACAGTAAGCAAACAAGCAGAAACAACTTTAATTAAACTGTGACAATTGTACGGTGTAGGGTGTTATTTTTTAAGACCAGCATCAATAACAGTTACAGATCGAGAAATGCTGCCCTTAGGATGTGAGGCTCTGTGGTTTTATGTCCACGCTTCACATCCGTCAATATTTCCCTTTGAGTGAAACTGTAAGTGTCGCCAGGTGGCCAGGCTGAGAAAGAGGGGACATATTTTATCCATAAACATTTCAAAATAATACATTTCACTACAAACAAACTGATGAATGGGACAGACTAACCAAAGTATAGATTCAAAGATGGTAAATGGACAGATGGATGACCAAAATACGACAACAGACATCAGTCATTGGCCAGTTTTAAGTAGAAGCTCTTCTTACAGCACACTAATACAATTTCTAAAAGAGATTCTCATATTCAACAAAGTTTTCTTACTTTGTTAACTAAGAACAAATTCTAACATAGACATTTGAGTGCTGATATGTCTACATGAAATTTCTTCTAAACTAAGTTATAAAAGCTTAAACAAGACAATAAAAAAGTTTACGTTGTGAAGGATAATCTATGTTGATCAGTTAATGACATATTTGTCCATGTTCACTTGTTTTGCAACTGTTTCTTTAAGAATAAATAACCTATCAATAGAGTTGAGTTATGGTCAGTGTTACTCCACTTTAACTTCTTGACTTGAGATCCAACATTTTCATTTCATTTCTATGATTATAGTGTCATTTCTAAAAAATCCCCAAAAGTGATTATGGGCTGTATTTAACAACAGTATTTTACTGTAACATATTGCCTCCATATCCTGTGGAATTCAGAACTGCAGGATATTTTTTCTGGAAAACTCCTAATTTTACAGTAGCAGACTACTATAGGTTGTTGACATTGTTGGGATTTTTCCATCCCTGCAATATGTGTAAGGCTGTAAACATGTTAATCCAATACAGGACGTGATAAATGCCTCACTGAGTCACACACTGGTCTGTTGCTAATCTCAGGCGTACAGAGACATGTTGGGCAGGTTAGTACTCGCAGAGCCACTAATCTGCTAGATTTTGTCAAATGAACACGAATGTCGAAATTAAACTGCTAAACTATGACACAACAGTAAAAAATGTGACATGTAAGCTTTAATCTAATTTTCACGAGGTGCGAGTTGAGACTGGCAGCATGTACCCCACTTTACATTTTATAAAACTGGTAAAACTTGTTCAGTAAACATTACTGAGCTCCCACTCTCATGAAAACATACATGCATGTGAAAATTGCATAACATCTACAGGTTACCTTGTAGTAATGATGGGCTTGTTGCTTCAGGCTGTGTGTGTGTGTGTGTGTGTGTGTGTGTGTGTGTGTGTGTGTGTGTGTGTGTGTGTGTGTGTGTGTGTGTGTGTGTGTGTGTGTGTGTGTGTCTGTCGATACTGCATGTGTGTCTGTTGTTAGGCTCTCTCAAGTGGGCGGACAGAGAGAAAGGTTTCAGGCCGCTTTGTAATCAACACACAATGAATTCAGTGCCTGAAGAAGCCCGGGTGCCATTAGGGATGGAGAATCACTTTGGTATTAAATCAATTTGTCAGATGTGCTGCCCCTTAAGATGGGGGCTCAATTACACGAGTCTAGATGATAACTCATGGCAATTAAAGCCTATTCTTACCCGGCTCGGGCCTTCACACATGCTTTCTAATTGGAATCTCTAACAGCAATCATGGGCCCGAATGAAGGAAATCATTAGAGATGGGGGTCAGCAAGCGCTGCGGGGTCTCAGCCCACCCTGATCACAGCCTAATAAAACCATTACATGCTCTTCATCATATCCCATTCTGCACTCCAAAAAGAAATACTATCTTGTTTTTAGTCTATATGTAGCCTTTTTTTTAAATGAAACACTGGCCCAGTTCTGTTCTCAGTCTATTTCCTCAGGAAGAAATACTGTCTGTTTCACAACGTTGAAAAGATGAAGAAAAGCCCCAACCCGCTGACACAAACTAAAACAAACAGTTAATGTTCAACACAAGAACAATGTGGTCTGCAGAAAAGGCTTTCAGATTGGTGTTGTCAAGATTTCTGGCAAACAGAGAAGTGAGGGATGATTTTGTAGCGTATGTACAGCAGAGTGTCTCAAAGAAGGCGAACCAGTTTGACAAGTGTGATAAAAATGCTGTGAGGTGTGGTCCAAGAAAAAAACAGCAGGTCTCCTTCATGCAGAGATCTGCTGCGTGGCTTTAAGGCTGGTTCTCATAAATGTAATCACATGAACACAGATCTCTAATACAGATATTTTGTCATATCGGGTGTTTGATTCCCTTTATAGCTTTGGGACCTTATTCTTACTTCTGTATGCATCACAATATAGAACGTAGAGAGTAGATAATGTTCACTTGATGAACATTTGCTAATACGGGAAAAGCAAAACAGTTGGAGCTAGTGTTTTCTTAATATTTTAATAGCATCTAAATACTTATGCGAAGATAAATCTCCAACAACTGAACTTTCTTGACCCGTCTTATTGACTAACATTGAAATGGTGATGATGCCTGAGTTTTGACCATCACAAACATGGCCTAACATACGGCAGCAGATTAGGTTACTATATGTATCAATAATTCAGTAAAACTTGCATGTTGGGGTTTAACATGTTGGAGTTTTTGGCATGTTTTTGATTGATGTTTTGATTGATTTCTTCAATGAAATGCAATCAGACCGAGACACTAAGGCAGAAGAACTACTGCATCTGCAGTGCAATATGATTAATATGATAATTATTACTTCAAGGAAACGATAAAGAAATGATCTTAAATGTTCTTCCTTGAGCTGCATCCCCCCGCAGCAGTCCGTAATGGACTGGCCTGAGGTCTCACTACAAACAAGCGGCTGCTGGAAGAGAGTAGGTGAGTTGTGTTTAGTCTCTTTGCTAAAGAAATTCGGCAAAGTTAAAAAAATGTTTGATGGCTAGTGCTATGGCTGGTACCCTATATGTACTGTTGCTGAAGTTAGGTGCTGTTCTGAGCATTATTTGTAGTTATAGAATGGCTTTTTTGGTTGAGGTTTGTTTATGGCTCCTCAGACCGCTGTGTATTGCTATCGTGCAGTCGTTATAAAGTTGGTATAACTAGAGAAGCAAGCTTCTAACTCGGTGTTTGACCCTTAATTGATTTTATGCTGGAATATCCCTTTAATTCATGAAGGTTGACTTTTATCCATTCTTATATTCATTAAATGTAAAGAACAATATTTCAAGCTTTTTTTTTTGCTTTTTTTTGATCATTTTGGCTCATACATCATGAAAAATCAGCTATAAATTATATTAAATTATATTAATCAAGGGTTTGAAAAAGAATTTCCAACTAATGAACATAATTTCATTTCTACACTCGATACTTGGTTGGGGCTCCAACAATAAAAGAAGATCCTAACATTAAAACCAGAAAGAGATAAATGCTAAAACACTCAAACAAAATTAAGTTAACGATATAAAATTTAGATATAAGCAAGATGAAAAAGTTAGGTCTTGAGTTTGTTTTTAAATAAAATATACGGTATAAATATTTTCTTCAGGGAGTGTCATCTTTTTAAAATTCAGACCACCAAGCATGATTTCTTGGGTGGTAAATCTAGTCAATAAATTTTGAGAGCTATTTTGAGTATAGATACTTTGAGTGTGTCCTGTGGGGCAATTTAAAATGACACTGAGCAACCTATCACGGGTTTGGGGGTCAGGTCAGAGTGCTAACATCCATATGCATTGCCCCAAAGCACTGTTAAACTTACAATGGACACTTTTAGAGTTAGGTAGGTGTTGCTGCAGAACCAGCTGAAGTTATGCAGTTCATTCCAGGCATTCATACTTTCCTTCAGCCTGCTGACTACACTACCCACACTGCAACCTGACAGCTGACAAGGAGTCAGGTGTGATGCTTCCAGCGCCTAACATAGCCTCCAGTCCCTCGCCCAAAGCAGTCTGGTGGTACGTTCACTTTTGTCTTGCCTCACCCTGACATGTTTTTTCGTCTAAAATTCAAACTAATCTACAGACACAGCTGATGCTGCCTAAAGCGACATCACTTGCGGCAATTAATCAGACTTTATCTTCCCCGCTGAGCCCCAACAGGCTTTAGACAACTCATCTCTCCTAACAAACAGGCTTTCATGAAGGTTGGTGGAGTTCTCCATTTAACTGCAGCCAAAAGCAAATCAATGAAATCTAGGCTTCATTAGCCTCCTAAATACCTTATACTTTCAAAAACTTCACAGACATCCTGCCTAACAGTGGCCCTGTGAGGGAAGTTATTTAGCAGGTAGCTGGGAGAAACAGTGTTGGCTCCATCCTGAAACTGTGTAAAACTTATTATCACCTCACCTAAAATACATAAATTAATAAATAAAGTTCTTATCAAACCTAAATCGAACTAATTTCAAAGTCTATCACTGTTCATGTGAATGCATCATTCGATGTAGTAAATAATAGAAGTCTTGACTTGAAAATGCTATTTACTGCAACAGAATTGCTCAATTTCAACATGGCTGCCCTTGGAGTGTAGCATGAGAATCTAGAGAAAAGCAGCGTGGCCTTGCCTGAAGAACTATTTACTCACTCTGCTGACTCACCACAGAAACAGAGAACAGGAAGGCTATATTAATCATAGTATTACCATGTGATCCAGTATCTACGGTACTGTATGGCTAACCTCACTGTCAATGAGTCATCAAATATTCACAGTTAAGAGCAATGCTCATTTGACATACAGTAGATGTTTACTGGTTCAAAAAAGTAACTTTATCAAAGGCTAACGTTAAAGAGCAAATGTGTCCGTTATCATTATTCAAAATGGAAACAGAAATAGCTTCATCAACAAAGTGTACTCAATTAAGTGTATGAGAGAAAACTTGTGTATGGAATATCGTGAAAAACAATGTAAGACAAAATGTCACACTTCTGCCCTTAAACTTACAGGTACTATTTTTTGCCGTGATATCTTCAATTAAATTTAAACTCAAGGCCTTTCCTTTCCTTAACAGCATGATATTTTGAAAGCATCCATGATAATGACTCTTTATTTTGTTGATGCATACTTTATGCATAAAATATGACTTAACATTATAGAGCTGGACAAAAATAGATTGAGTTAAGGTCTATAAATATGCAAAATTGTACCATTTTGACACCTAAATCAGCTGAAACAACAACATGGTGATTGATCTGGATCTAGGATTTAATCAAATCTACAGCACACTGCACAGTGCACACATATTTTCAGAGCACCAAGAATTATGGGGAGATAACTCTTGAGTCTTTCCCTATGTCCCCACCGTAGAGAAGGGGTCAAGTAAGAACATGTTTGTGTAGCATACCTCACAGAGTGGGCATCCTTTCAGCTGAGTGGGAAAACAGCACTGACAAGTAAGAGTACTTTTTTAAGCTACTACCTTGGAGACTTCTTGTAAATGTCATGTTTTATTAAGCAAGAAACATCTAACTGTTTGTATTGTGTACACCACACATATTTGCACACTACTGTGTGTACTGAGGACTGTTTTTCATGAAGCTGTTAGCTGTCAAATAATGGAGGAAAAGAGCTGCTGAATTCCAGCAGCACTGACCAAAGCCTTGTAACCATTAATGAATCCCTTTGCAGAGTGAAGCTCACCTTTGGCCGTTTGACACTATTTGCAGCCCACATCCTCCGCTGGTATTTTATGCGTCTCAAACAAGACAGAATTATGTAGAAACAAGAAGTGTATGATGGAGATTTACATAATGTATGCATGCTTCAGGAGAATTTGACCTATGGGTTAGGAAAAATAAGCTTTCCACAGTTTTCACATCCAATTATCTCTTAAAATACACGCCTGTTTAAATATTGCACAACAAGAGGCATTGGGGATTTTGAGAACAGTTATGAGCCCAAATTGGTTGAACTTAAATCCCTTTAAACCACCAAGGCAACTTTTTTACTGTGTTATATTTCTGAAAACAGTCGCACACCCTCATACTCATGACATTTTTAACTCAATCAATAACATTTCAGTGTGTTATACTAAGCTACAACTGTTAATGATCACGACTGCAGCCTAAAGGTTGTACATGATATGGCAGTGACTACCTGCCAGCAGTTTTGCTGCCGGTGCTGCACCACACCTTTGAGTGGGGGCCGAACAGAAACTAGACACAAAACTAGGTGCTACACTATTTCCCAATATGGATGACAAGCATTATGTTTAACACATTGAAATTAACCTAAGTAAATGATATTCAGGGATCTTCAAAAAAGGAAAAACATATTCCAGTAACATTATTAAGTATAATACCTACTTTTTATATGATACAGTGTTTCTACTACAGCTTGATCTGGCAGGCTTGTTTCTGTCACAGTGATAGCAGTGCAGGTGTGGTCTGCATATGCATAACAGTTTCAACACAGGTCAAGTGGTCTGTACAGTTTAATTTCATACCAACTTTCTATGTCAAAGATAAAACTTTACACTATCATAAACATGATAGACGTTCTGACAGACACTTTCAAAGGTCAAATGAAGGCAATAGGGTTTGGTGAGTCAGTCAGGCTATTTTAGGCCTTATCGTGAAAACATGCACAGAGCTGCTAATAAAAACACAAAAGGAGCTCCTGGTCCCTGAGAGGAATATGGGGGTGAGTAATCAAACTGCCTGTCTCTTATAGGGACAAAACTATTGACATTATCAATGACGCCCAAGATTGTGTTGAACAAGGTAACATTTGACCACACTTACGCTGTATCCATAGCTGGCGGAATGCATCCTCCAAACGCGCACAGACCCCTTGTTTGTGCCTCGTCTGTTTCCGTTCCCAAAGGTTCTGCAAAATTAAGTATCCAATATTTACGGTAAAAAGCAGCAGGAGGTTTTAAATAATAAAAAAATATATATGTAAAAGTAGGCTTGATAGGTAGCCTATTCTAAATCTTTCTTCCCGTGTCGTCGAGAAGGTTGAAACACCTGAATCGACCTCTTCCTTACACACCTAAGATCTAAGCCCCGCCCAGAATACCTGCTGGAACTACATTGGTGCAATAAACCGGGGAAAGCTTGTTTTTCGTGAATGAATTGTAACGTGTCTGAAATGAAACAAAGGGGGTCCCGTGTGGCGTTAAATTTCAATTACAACATGTTTTTCAATTAAATGAAAGGGATCCGAGGTTTAATGTGACCACCTGCTGTCGACCCTATAAATGCTTTCAACAGCATCGGGCATGAAAGAGGAAAATGCACCATGTGTTCCCCCTACTGACTGTTTGTGGATGTAGCCGCCAGAAGCTCGAAGAGGACGTGCCAGACACGGAGAGGGAAGACGCCTTTGCAGGTCAGAAAGATGAGTTGGAGTGATTGGAGTACTTTAGAAGCATTTTGATCTCTAACACGCCAAAATGTAGCCAAGCAGTGAACGTATTTTGATCAGGCACACACTACAGTCAGTTCCAGATCAAATTGTTTGTTGTTTTGCCCAATATATCAAAGTAGCTTGTAGCTAGTCAACCCATATGACTAGGAGGGGAGAGTGGGGTAAGATGAACCATTTTTCATATTTCAGATCACTACATCAAGTCAATCATAGTTTTGTCTCTAACTAGTGTATCTGCATATATTTCAATATGTTGTGCATCCCTGCAAACCAACTGAATGAGTGTACACATAACTGTCTTGATAATATAGCATGCAAAAAAAGTGGTCTCCTATGGTCAACTTACCCCATACATGGGGTAAGTTGAGCCGTATCACTACTACCCCCCACTCTCCACCCCAGCCCTCCCTCACCTTCTCTCTCCCTAAATAACAATCACTTCTTCACATTCATGTGTATTTTTATCTATTATACACTATTCAACTGGTACAATAATTCTTGTTATTATTACTGCAAATAACTGCTAAAAATCTGTTTTGTAAAAAGCCATTTTAACATGAGGATGTCTTTAAGTGATTCAGAACATTCACAGCTGTATTTTTGAAAAGAAAAAGTAACACATTTCAACAATCTGAACTGAAACTCTGATCCTCCATCAGACTTTGTCAGTTGATCTACTGGTTCAACTTACCCCAGAACTACTATGATGAATTTAATAGTCCTCTAAGCTAAAATGGTGGACTTTTATGCTCTGTTTTTGACCTCATGTTGTAGCTCATAGATACCACAATTGATGGATAAAACAAATTTAAAGTGATCTTTTTTTGGTCTGAACACAATTCTAATAAAACTTACGACAGACTAAATTCACTTTCAAGAGTGAAAATTGTATTTTTGTAAATAAATGTCTAACCCCATTCACCCATGTGCTTCTAACCTTCACAGACTCCATGAATTGATGCCCATCTCCTACATATTTGGTCACATGATCAATTTCTTTTACCATTTCCAAGCAACAGGGGGTGGCTCAACTTACCCTTTGGCTCAACTTACCCCACTCTCCCCTAAGCCTATAGTCTTCAGTTTCTAAACACTTTAAATACAAACCAGCTTACTACTGTATGCACAAAGTTTGTATTTCTCATTGTGTTATTCGTGTAAGGGTACCAGAGTATTTTTTACGCTGGGAACATGTTTCTCAGCGTTAAACGTATAACGATTAAGATAACTGAGGTGTCATTTCTCAAGGTGGATTTTTTTTCCTTGAATCTGACGCAGGAAAAACCCAAGACGAGCCCGCGTTGCATTCTCCTCCAATCACCACCAGATGTCGCTCTTCACTAAGCCACAGCGTAGACGCTGGGAGTGCGGCCTGTGATGAATACCCGCAGAAACAGGGCTTGGTTCTGTCAGACTTCATCCACAGAAAATCCCAGGCTGCCATTGGAGAGAGAGCCCATTGGCACGAGCAAGCAGAGCGCAGACGCAGGAGATATCGCAGGACGAACGCAGTGTCCATTACTCCAGCTGATGTAACCAGACAGCGTATGTTGGTGGCGATTTTTTAACAACAGCAACTTCGTGGTTAAAAAGAAGGGAGGAAAAGGAGGCGACAAAATGGGACATACCGCAATACCTATATTGATGGCTGTTTTGTCCTACTGCGCGTGGGAACACGTCGAGGTAAGAATCCAACGATGTGCTGATGGCGCATTGAGATTTTGCTCCTACTTTGGCTAATCCTTGGACGAATATGTGTGTTTTTTTTGTTGTCCACGTATGTCGTGATAACACACGCCACATATCAGTTCAGTCTTCATTTTGTTGACACGCATCCTTATCCGGGGCAGGTTTGATTTGTTAATGCATCCTCGCGCACCGTCCTTGTGTCAACATGAGTAATGACGCACAATGTCCTCAAAAAGACTCAAATAGTGACAGGGATAACAAGGAAATATCCCTCTGAGGATTAAATGGAAACGCAGTCAGAACATGCACATAAGAGGCAGCGGTTTACTGTATTTTTGGCTCGCTGCGTCAAGTCTGGGCCTGTATGAAAAATGTCACACAGGCCTTTTTTTTTTTTGCTCAGTGGATGGAGGATGGAGATCAAATCTCATCTCACTGCATCCCATCTGGCCTTGTCAGAGGAGGAAATCAGCTTGCATCCGTGCTGTAGGAGAGTGCTAGTGCAGGATTGATTCATGCATAATCTATTACTCCCCCATCTCTGTGAAAGAACAGAGAAAGAAATATTCAAAAAACCATGCACCGTTATTATATTTTTAGTATTTATTCACCTTTTTGTGCCTCTTTTCCTTAAATCTTTCCTTAAGATGTGCTTTTAGATTTCGAGGAGCGGATGACTTTGATTTATCATTGGATGTGCAGTGTGATCTGGAGTATACTAATGAGAGATATGGGGTCAACCTATTGGCATCGGTGTCCATCAATATCTAGAGGGGAGATGGTTATAGTCTCTTGTAAGGAGCAGCAGATCAATGGGGCCACCAGCTGCTCCCACCTACTCCCTGTCTCATCATGACTGTACAGCAGACTAGTCTTGTGACAGAGGCAACATTTTATTTCTTCATCACATTATAGTCTTTCATCATCTCCTTCCTAAGATGCATCTGAGGCACGTATCCAGGTCAGAACATGGGCAACTGTGTGTATGTAGGAGCAGGGTGGTGTGTTGGAGGTGCCATTTGAAGGTGGGGGAGGAAGAGAATGAGGGAGGGAGGATGAGTCATGATGTCCCAGCAGGTCAAATGTACTTTCCCACCTGGAAAGGAAAACTGAACAAACCTGTATCTGAGATCGAACAGAGAACATCTTGGCCTTAAATCCAGTCTCCTCAAAGTAAAGAGGATTTTCTTAAGTATTTATTTATTAGCCATCTTTCACAGTGGGGTCTCTCACAGTCATAGAGCCTCTTCTTTCATTCTGAAATAATTTCACTTCTCTAAGAGCCTTAGCAGGATTACTGCTATGCTGAGAAACAGGCTTTAGCCTCATACAAGAAGACCTGCCCATGAAGGTTTACACCGAAGATTACACCGTGAGAGGGTTTGTAGGCTGGATTAAACTCTGGTATTAGTCCTAATAAAACTGTCAGCTCCTCTTAATTTACTCCTAATTCCTTCATCTGAAATGTGTGAATGGGCAAATGTGTTTTGATCTCTCTTTTATAGTATAAGTCTTTAATTTGATAGTGCATCCAGACGTTCAATCAAAATATTTTTAAGCTTTTCTGTTGAGCTTTCACAGTGAACGGGAATAGCCTCAAACGCTATCTTTCTTGTGGACTGGACAGACATACTAATGACAGGGTTGTCACATATGTGAATTTTTTGCCATGGCCTCCAAGGTATATCAGCTCTAACCGCACTTACATCTTGTAGCCCTAAAGCATATTGTTAATTGGAACAGTGGATGGTCTTCCTCTTGATATGAGAGATTTCAGAAGCAGCTATCTCATATTCTGTAGCCTGGCATCCATGAAGATCCATAACTCTGGACTGTATAAATGTGGTGGTGAAGTGTTGTTTTCAGTAGCATGTGTGGGATACTGGTTTTCCTGTTGTCGTTGCAGCACAGTGAGCCAGAGTTTTCTTCTGCATCATTTCACATCATACCGAAGGGATGCGTAATGTGACGATTCATAGTGAGAGATGAATCAAAACTGCCAGATGTCAGAGATTAAGCCCTGTTAGTCATTACCAAACATCTTTGTCTGGAGCAGGTACATCAATGCTAATCAGTGAGCAGGTTTGCTTTATGGCAGCATTAAACTCTGCATGAAGTGTTATTGCTTTGAAACGATAATTTAGACTTAATTTGGTTTTCAGTTCACTGACATTTCATAACTATATACAATCACAAGTCTTAGATGAGGTAGGTATCAGTCCATGTTGATATCAAAGCAGCAACCTCATGTGAAAATATGAAGCCAATATGGAAATGCAAAAAAACTGTCTGTCTTAAAGAGCTGATGAAACTCCATCAATGATCATGTAAAAATGCCCATAATTACATGGTTATTGGATGGTACAAAAACTGTTAAGGTCCCCAGATCTTATTTCTTTATTTGCACACACCACACAGAAGTGAATGTGAGCTCATCCATTTTGGTTGGATCATGACTTTGAGTTATTCACAGATTTGCATAATAATGGGTGTGGCTGATAGGACTGGCAGGTGGATGTGTGCCAGGAGGCTCCACCTCTTTGCCTATGTCTATAAGTTTACCAAAATTTATGTTAAGGCAATGTTTCCAATATAGTGAACCCCATTGTTAGACCTTGAGAGGCCTCTTAGTTTCTAAAACTCCATCCATATTCAGCCAACGTTGAAATCTGACTGCTAGTAAACAGATTATATGGAATATAGTCTATGTCCACGGATACACTGACATTCAGACAACTTGTTATGTTATCATCGTACCATCATTGTATCAGCTCTATGATTTGAGATTAAACATACCTTTATATAGAATATTTAAACTAAATTTTACATGAATGGAGTCAAAAATTCTCAAGTCAGAGACTGTTGTAATGTAATTATACCACAGTGTATTGTTAGTGTTGATTAGTATAGGATGCTGCAGAAATTTAAGCATTAACACACCCTGTAAACTGGCTCTGTCTGTCAGCACCTGTGCAGTCACACTTCAAAGCTGTATGTGCCACTTACTCATACTGTTCTCTCCTGTCCTTGCTTGTGTTGTACATGGGATCTAAAGAACAACACTTTGATTTAAGCGTCTGATAAATACAACGGTAAGATTTTAACCTTTTTGATTAATGCTGCAAAAGTTAAACAAAACATGATTTTGAGATTGAGATTTGAGATGGCAAAGAAACAGTTCCTGCTGCAGAAATGGCTCAAGACCTGATCTATCTGTCGCTAAGATTTGGTAGCACACCTATGGTGTAAATTCTTATATCAACAAAATATGATGCCAGACTGCAGCTTGTAGCTTCAGAGGACAATCAGATTTAAGAAAGCAATCCCACTATGATTGTGCCCTTGTGCAGCAATATTTCATACAAAAGGAGAAGGAGGGGGAGGGAGGGTTGGGACTACAGATATGCTTGGCTTTAGTCTGCCAGCTCTGTACTTATCGAGATAAATGCCCGCAGTGTGAACTTGAGCCTGAACACTGCATTCCAGCAGAGAGGCTGTAAGAGAGCAGTATTGCAGACCAAACCTCCTGTTTCTACATGTTTCAGGAAGCGCTGAAGGTCTGGGAAAGCATACAGCAGACAGGAAGGAAAGGGAGGCAGAGAATAAGGGAGGAAATAACAGGAGGTTAGGATGTGCGTTTGAGTGTGGCGCAAGAGATTACATGAAAATGTTGAGTCACAAAGGCCCTGCTTGGGTAAACCCCCGTCATCCCCTTTAACAACAGCAATTTGCAGGCCTCGTGCTGGAATATACAGATCACGAACCTCCCACCCCCATCTGCCTTTCACTGCAGCAACACAAGAGGATTTAAAAAAAAAAGAAAAGAAAGATAAGGACAACCAGATTTCCCCCCCCTCCCTCACACACACACACACACACATACACACACATAATACAAATGCGCACACACTCTCTGCCCTACACTCACTTAATTAATTTCAGAGCCAGGAGATAATCGGGTTCCACTAATGGATTCCCGTGTGCTCGCTGTTCTCTGCTTGTATCCGTGTGCCAGTGGGCATAAAACATATCATTTTATCGTATCACTTGTTTTCCTCCCTGTTCTCCCTAACCAGGCTTTCTCTTGAAGGTTTTATAACGCAGCACACACACACACACACACACACACGCACACACACACACACACATATATATGCAGAACCTGGATTAAATCCTGCAGAGTCATTGTGATGTGAGTGCTTCACTGTACTGCAGGAGAAGAGGGCTGGAAATGTGGCTTTTGAATTGAGCTGTTAGCAGAGGTGACATATGGGTAAAAGACATAACTGCATACTTTGGGCCATTCTTGCAACTGCCTACATCCAAATAGTGCTTCATGCTGGATAGTTACAGGGCTATTGGAGAAGTTTCCACTTCCAGTTATGCTGAGGGTTGCCTGGAGATTCATGGTTGGAAACAGCCCAGTGCTTATATGCTGGTTAAACGGACACAACCTACATTAAACTTAAACTTCATTTCCTATTCATTTCTAATTTTCATGAGGGAACCCTCCTAAAAGGATCAATAAAATTCTATCGAGTGTAATCGAATCTAATCTAGATCAAAATACTGCCTGACTGTGCCACGCTACGAGATGTCAGAGCATTATTGCATCATCAGTGGACAGTGACTGGCACGTGACAGCCCAGCAGCTCAGACCCAGCATTTGCCCAGTGTTTCGGGCCTTCATGGTCATTCTGGTGCAGAGAACTAGGGAGACAGTGGTTAATTTTTAGTCAAGGGAGTGTACATCTGTTTGTGCGTGCCATGTCGAAAAGAGAGTTGCTCCTCCAGTTTTAAGTTTAAAAATCTGTTTAAGAAAGTTTTTTCAATACCAGCATCACCTTGTCCTCTGTTTCTGTCTTAAGTGCCGTTCAAGTATTGGCCAGTACATTAGTCATTGCGTTGATTTGATGCCAGTGCCAGAGAGAGAAAAGTGGTTTTATTCCTTTGACCTTTCAGAAATACTCAAAACTTTGCAGCCTAGATTGAAAGTGAGTGATTTCCGGTTTTGAGTTCAGTGTTATTTGTGAGAAAGCCTTATCTCTTTATGTCATCTCTATAGCCTTTCATGTATAACAGGATACGCTGCATTTGAGGAGTTGATTTAATTTGCTTCCCCAGACTTGAAGGCTGTTTCTAGGTTATGAATAATCAAGAAACAACCTTCTTAAAAAGAAACTAGATGAAAGATTCTCCCCAAAGATTGCGATACTTTTCATCATCCCGCCTACTGAATGTCAGATTAGACATATATGTAGAATCATGGGGCGATTTTGAGCTTTGACTTTGAGGTCATATTAAAATTGTGTCTGTGGAAGATGAAGCCCAGATGAAACAGCTTTTCTGTGTGCTGCGTGTACACTGCATTTTTGCGCATGTTACAAGTCTGTCCGCTGTCACCTAGAGGGATTGAGATACCAGCACACCCGTTATGATCACATCCAGCTGTGGCCGCTCTCCAGAGTCTTGCAGGCCTGAGATATCAGTAAGCCTAATGGGGTCGGATTTCTGCACAAAAAAAAAAAAAAAAAAAAGTTTAATGCTGCATCGGCCGAAACTAGATGTTTGTCCCCGCCACAGCCAGTGGGAGGTTTCAGAGGAGAAAGCATCTGCAGTGTGGTGATAACACTTGTCCTCCATGTTTAGGAAAGGAAGGAGGAAAGAGAGAGAGAGTGCAGTGGAACAGATTGAGAGAGAGAGAGGGGAAGAGAGGGGGGACTGCCCTGGCACAGCGGATGATTTGAGAAAGAAGAGACAGCACAAGGGTAAAGGAGGAGAGCGAGTGTGAGTGATGTAGAGCATGCAGAATGTTATGTGGGTTGTAGGGTGGAGTGCATGTTAATGGAGGAGGAACCCAGCCCTTACTGCAGCCGAGAGAGCATGGAGAGATCCATCTCTGTCATGTACATGTACTCACAGGTGGCCTTGACTTTAGACAAGGAGAGTAAAAACCCTTTGGCTTGCAGGGAGCACTGAGTTGTACTGCTGCAAAAATCTAATTTCCTTAACGGCCTTGGTTGCAGGGTTTAAGAGGGTCTGGGGTTGGAGCGTCCGATGCGACTGATCAGACCTGTATTAACATTCAGGAGAGGAACATTGAAGGCGGAAAAATGGATCTACTTTTTGGCAGCTCGTTTTTGCTTTGCCATCATTTGCACAGAGCTCCATCAGCTCATTTCTCACATATTTGTCAAATACCACAAAGACACAGTGCTGTATATTGATAAATAGAAACCACTTACATACTCACAGTTAGGCCACTTTAAATGTGCACACAGACACACACATTTCCCACACACTTGCTGCTTTATAAAGATGGCACGCTGCAAAAGCGGCATCAATTATTGAACGCCACGGAAAGGTCTGGGCTCTCGCTTGTCGACGCGGCTTTGGCACTTGTCACGCAGCCTTTCAACGCTCCTATCTCTTCATGCTACCTGGTTTTTATTTCCCCCGCTACCCCACCCATCCCCACCCTCTAAGTCCACACAAAAGAAAATCCCCACGCCTGTCTCCTCCTCTCCCCAGCTCCCCTCATCCCCTCTCTGTCTCTGCCCGCCACATCCCAGAGGCTCTCATTACCCCACCCCTCCCCACTCTCTCACCCAGACACCGCTCCTCCATCTGTCTCAGCAGCTTTCAGTGGCCAGTGACATCTTTTCACTTTCTCTGTGATTGTCCTTGAATAATTCATGCTCCAAACTCAGCCCTCGTTTTGTTATTTTATATCTGAACTCTGCTGCTCTTCCAGCTTTTTCTTATTCTGGATTTTAGCTTGAAGTTAGCTTGATATTTCATGCTCAATAACTTGTTTTTTGAGATTACACAGACGATAATGCAAACCACATATGAATCAATAAATAATTGGATTCATGATCACCAAAGGAGGAACAACTCGTTTAAAAATGACATCTGATGTTTTCCCAGAGACCATTGGCAGCAGTTGTTTACTTTATGCGTTTTAGGATGGAGTTTACCTTAGAGGAGTGTACTCTGACAGCATTCAGTAGGAGTGTGAAACTTACCCTCCCTTCTCTTGAGACAAAATGTTCCCACAGCATTTGACTCAGTGCTCAGAAGTCAGCAACTCTATCATAGATTCTGTAGAGGCTGCCTGAAATTGATTTGCTTCAATTTTATACAGTGTACACAGATGGTGTACTGCTGTAAATAACCATGCTGGTGTTGCAAACAGCCTTAGACGGCAAGTATTTCTTCCTACTGCATGGTACAACTATACACAACTATAAGGCTTCATGATCATGGTGATCCTGTAACAGGTAAATCATACTGAATACATGTAGTGTGTTAATTATCTACACATACACAATCAAGATTCATGGTTCTTTCTTTGCAAGTCTTTTGCAGACCATGTCCAAACCATCGTCTTCCACTAGGTTCAGCTCCTACCAGCGATTCTCAGACAGAGGTTTGAAGAGAGTACAAGTAGTAGTAGATAACAAGTTTGACCTGAGTGGAGCAGTTGTGTTATTCTGAATGTCATCTACAGTCTCTAATCAGGACATAACAATTAGTTTCAACAAAAATTAATGACAAAAATAACTCGGGGCAAATTGTTGATAGTTACCTGGTTATGTGTTTTCATGCCATGAGCAGACATAACACCAGTTCCCATAGCTAAGTTGCAGAGAGAGAACCATTGCTATCTAAGGATGTGCCGATATGCTATTGATAATCGGGGATTGATCTGTTATCAGCAATATAACTAATATCGGAATATATCGGCCTGCATCTAAAATCTCCGATATAAGCAATCCGATACAAGCAGCCCGCTCCAGACTCCGCTTCAGCACCTCCATCTAGCAGTGCCCAGACCTAGCATGCAGAGCCCACACAATAACAACAACAGCGTAAGGTACTAACCAAGTAGCAAGGAGTAGGAGTAATGTCAGCCGTGTGGCAGGATTTTTTTTTTTTAAGTCTGAAAAAGATGTTGCAACTCAGTGCAAAACCTGTCATGCACAAATGTGCCAATATCAGATCAATACCGGTATTGGCCAATACTGCAGGCAACAATATCGGTATGATATTGGAAGTAAAAAAGTTTTATCAGGACACCCCTATTGCTATGTCCACTGAGTGTTCTGCAAAACAGTAGCAAAAAAGTGACAGGTAAACAAAACAGAACAAAATGATGGTGGTCAATGCAACACCATCACGTTTGTCAGCGTAAGCAGATGAAGAGAAGGCCTGTTAAATGTCTCCTCTTTTAAGCATCAGCAACATATTCATTTCAGCAGTCCAAATTTAGAGCCATGCTGTGTGATTTTTAGTGTTCTCATTTTCCCCACTTAATTGTCTTTTATTTCTCTCTTCTTAACACAAAAAGTGGAGCAGCAGACTCTTCTTATAATACTGCAGTAACCATGGTTCACATTAAAACTAAATTGACTGTCTTACAGTGTCATTCGTTAAGCTTGAAGACTACTGTTCAGTTTTAGCTGATAGCTAAAAAAGAGCCAATAAGTAGTGGTGCAGTTTACTGTCTAATAAGTTGACCAAGGGCCTGAGCCCACTGTGGTTTATGGGCTGGCAGTACCCAGTGTCTACACAAAAACAATCCAGTTAAGCCCTTAGTTCCCTATCTTCAAAAATACACTTTCAAACGCTAGAGCTTCTGCTGATACTTCAATATGATTTCTGCTGTTTACTTTTGTGTGTAAATTTACATTGAAGCATTTTGAATCTCACAGAGAAATTTCAAACAAACTTAATAGTAACTTTAAAGAGAAGCGTACATGCTGCAGAACAACCTGAACAGCGTGGCACCACACCCCCTGTGAGTTGAGATATTGCAGTGGGCACTGCCATTGCAAATTGAAGTCAGTGGACACGGGCCCTTAATGTTACTACAACTTACAGACTTAAAAAAAAGCTGTTTATAGCAGCCTTTGTTTTTAATAGTGTTTATTTTGATTTTAATACAGAATTCACTGTCTTACTGCCTTTTGACCGTCTTAGCTCTTTCCTGCACCTGCAGTGCAGTTGTAGCTGCAGGAAAGATAAGGGGTGTACATCTTTTTGTTGTCTACATATGTAGACACAGCCTCCATACAGCAACAGGACAAGGTGCCTCAGATAATGGGCAAAGGCTAACTTGAAAACCACGTCATGTAATTATCTGTGACAGTAGCTGTGTTCCTTGCATGTCTACAGGCGTGTGAAATAGACTGTGCATACACAGCAGTCAGTGAGCTCTGGTCTGGTGGTGGATCAGATTTTTAATATCTGACTTAATTACTTCTGTCTGTTTGAGTCTTGTGGGGTCTCTAATCACATCAACCAGCAAAAGCATAGATGTCTTCAACTTGATCTGCTCTTTCCAGTGGGACAACAATGATTTTCATATTGCTTTGAGGATGCTGACTCACTATTTCATTAAGGCCTCGTTTCAAATTATTTTCTCTGTTTTTTTCAATGTCACTATTTGGCACTTTTTTGCATTGCCTTTGATGAGGCTCAAAGTGAGCTAAGCTTCTACTGAAAGATTTGGTTCAAGCATTATTAACAATGCTATTTTTTGAGTTATTAAGTGTTTGGACTAAATGGTCAAAGAGAAACTTCCGGCATGTCAACACAATGCAGCATATCATGCACAAACTTAAAGTAGTGGAATAGCATATCTGCAGTAGCTTTTGCTATTTGTTTTCTCACTAATGTCTATATTTTGCAGCCTGCATCACTTTGAGGATCACAGGATCCAGCTGGCATTGAAGGGGGCTGTCTGAAGTGAAAACAAAATCAATAGAAGCACCTGGTTCCAAAATTGCAGCAAGTCAGGTTGAGTAGTGCTATACAGTGTTGAGGAAGGGCTCAGGTGATGCTTCTGTTAATATTCCAGTCTTACATTCAGAGGACAGTTATGGGGAGAGACAAATACTGTTTCATTTCTTCTTTCCCCAGCTCAGGGTTACTGTGCCAAGGCTGGGCTGTGCCACTTAAAAGCTAATACTCACCCAAGCTCATCTGACTGATTGCGCACTTCTCTTGAGTGTAGCAGTGGCTAAGAAAAAAAAAGGATGTAATGAAAGCACAAAGCTCAAATGGAGGTTCCAGGCCCCGGTGAGGGGTCTTTTGTACAGATCGCCTCAGTGATTAAACCATTTTCCCTTCACTTGGACAGCCTGTGGAGACTTTATGGCCTGAGGAAATGAGATAACACTAATATTTAATCTACTGAGTGATTCTGCAGACCGCACAGCCAGCACACATTATCTCTCTTAAGTGGCCCGGTCTGAAATAACACTGAGACAGCTAATGCAAGACAGGACATGTCAGCTTGGTATGATCTCACTTATTTTTTGTCAACTTTCTTCTACCACTGGAAGTATCAACTATCTTTGTGAGCAGGATGTGCACAGACATTGCAGCTGCTAAAATTGAAGGAAAATGATGTCATTGCTTTTTATTCAATAATCACATGATTCTCATTTTTTTTATGTATCCCATCTTTTGCCACAGTCTGTTTAGAAGTCTTGGAAGAACAGACAGTTGACAAAAATGGAAACCTGTGAGCAGAGCATACCCAGACCTCTGTAGGATAGCCCATATGGGGTTTGAACTTTTGTGGCTGATATTTATGGTAAAACAGCAAAACAATGCACAGGAGACAGGATGAGATCGGAAGAGCAGCCTGTGCGTCTTTAATGTACAATCAGAACAGATGACAAACACAGTCTCGGCAAAACCCAAGGAGAGGAGCCCCAGGCTTCTCTCGCTCACACTTTTATACTGCTGAGTGTGTGTCAGAATACAATGATTGTGTATTACTTGTGTACTACAAAAGTGCACCCCTTATATGTGTATTGCATAGTTTTAGAGCTCTGTAACTCAAATCTGTGTGTGTGTAACTGCACACTTTTCCCGTCATCTATGCAATCACAGGGGGGTCGTCAGAGGACAGGTCAGTGTTCGGAAATTCACCAGTTGTTTGGAATATTCTTGGGCTTCCCAGAAAATATCTTTTTTGGCAACCCAATAAGTTTTGGTCATTGCAAAACATCCTGGGTTGTGCAACCTCAGACTGCACAACCAGGCCTAACCCAACATGTTTATGAATTCTCAATAAATGATAATCATATATTGATTTCTTTTTTTCTTATGAAAAAATGGCATGAATTCACCTTTTCTGTTTCCACTTTCCGTATCTATTTACAAGGTTTAGGTATCATGCAGATGTTAAATCATGAACTAGAGGTGTAAAGGTACATATTTGTACTAAACCATTTTGGCACAGGACTCCTGGTATGGTGCACATGTGTACTGAACTGAATGAAAGTAGCCTACACAAAATCCAAGTTCCTACATGACAAGAGGACAGAAGTGAACCACGCAAAGAACATGCTGGTCCTGTCGTGTGAGATGGCACAACACACAACAACAAAGAATTAGAAGATCCTTCACTGACATGAAGGTCAACTGAGTGGGAACACAACAGTTTTTCCGTGGAATATAACAATGGAGAAAGACAAGTGCATATGACGAAAGCAGTTTTGGCAGGTTTTATTTCCGGTGACACGTCGAACTTGTAAACACATTTAAAGCAACACTACACAGACCTAGACCTAACCATTACTACAATGAAGGAAAAAAAGACACTGTTGTTCAATTGCAGCTGCCTTTGCCATTCAGTAGCCTTTGTCTGGTTATCCAGAGCAGACTAAAGCAATAACTATTGGTGTTTTTATGGCTGCAGATCTACGACCGTATTCATTTGTTAAGAACGCAGGATTTAAACATGTTAAAGTTGACAGAGGCTGATATAAAACTCCCTCGTCTGCATTTCAGCAACTGAGTCATAACAGCCTTTTATGATAGATCAATAGCTGCTGTTGTGCACTACTTGTCCGATGCATTTGCTGCTCTGACGAAAGAAAGATGGACCTCTAGAGCAAGCAAGAGCGACTTAATAGTGACATGCCCATCACATCAATCATAAGTGAAACATGTCAAGCCACGTTCTGCAAATTCTTCCCATGTGAGATTCCTCTTGGATTTGTATATGTACCAAAAATGAAGCAAACCATGACCTGAAAACTAAGGTTTTTATGTACCGTTACACCCCTGGTATCAACTTGTGAATTTTTTAAGGATAATTCTGTAAGGACTCAAAGGGAAGATGTTTTTCCCAATATATTATAGCGAAGCTCTGTAGTTTAGATGAATTTGCACTGCAAAAAACCTCCAGCAGTAATCCAGTGTAAACATTAAGTTTTCGTTCACCATGAATAGTCTGAAAAGCCAGACTCAGCAGTAGGCCCAGCATTGCATAAGTAATTTAAGTGGCATGTTAACAGCAGACAGACAGTGATAAGGGAAGCTAACCAAGCATTAAGGCAGACACCTGCTGAGGACAGAGAGATGAACCAAACATACAGGGGATTTCTCATGAGAGAGAGAAAGAGAAAAAGAGAGAGCAAAAGAGAGAAAGAAAGACAGGAAGGAAGGAAAGAAAGAAAGAGGGGAAGAGGGAGAAAAAGAAAAGGCAAACTGATAAAAAGCTGGAAAGAGAGAAAGAGAGTCTGAGTGACATGCTTGAAATTCTGTAGGGAACCAGTTGCTACGGTAACAGGGAAGGTAGCCGGCTCCTGTGGGTGGAGTTACCATGGCAACCACCCTCAGTGGCCAAGTGATGCTGAGAGGAAGAACATGGAGGAGAGGGCTTTTTTTATAAAAAAGAAATGTGTTTACGAGTTCAATGGGAACGTGTGAAAGAACGGCAAGTGAGTGGAAGCTGTTGTCGAATGAAGGAGAATGACCGCACTGTATTACTAGTTTGCACTTTATGCCTGTTTCTGTCTTTGTTTGTTTGTTTCTTGCTTTGCCAGTCCCAGCAGACCCTGCATTTGTTGTTGATCCCGCTGTTCATTAATAGAGCACCTCATTAGCATGAACAAAGATGCTGTGCAGGGCAGCACACTCTCTGAGAAATCCTGGTAGGAGGTTTTCCCCTCAATATGTCTCTGCAGCTCACAGGGCTAAAGCTGGCCATGCTGGGCTCTTTTATCAGTGAGTGTGTGTGTTTTGACCTCTCACTGGGAGTTAAAGACCTGCTTGTTCCCACTGTGGTAAACTCGCATGCCTTTGGACAAACACGGTATACCGACATGTTCTGAAATTCGGTAAAAACCCTTTTAAACCTCGCAAGTACCTGTTTAATGCATCAAATATAGCCTGGATCTGGGGCTGCCACTACTTCTAAAAAATCATCTGTTGCTTTTAGCTACCAGCTTACTTCCACAGGTTAACAAATACAAATAAAAATTATGATACTGAATGCACACAGCTGCACATCACTCTGCCGTATATCTCACATTCTCTTTGGGAGGTTCATATAACATATAACCTCAAAGCCTCATTTCCATAAGATGCATCTGCTCGACAGGCCCCCGAGAGACCAAGCATGACGTGATCAGAATTTGCATGTGCATGAAACAGAAAGAAAAATAGCTTTATGAATGTTTTAACCCCACCCCCCCACCCGTCCTCTGCTGCCTCCACACATGCTATTCCTCCTACTGACAGTTTTTGCTTTATTTGTGGCCTTACTACTGACCATGTTCATTCATTTTAACATATTTTATAATTATTTGACATGCTCATATTTAAAAAGAAAAACCTATAAGAATTCAAATTATAAAAATCCAAATGTAGAACAATCAAACATGCCTATTAGTGTATTAGGGCCATAAACATGCATTCAGCTATAGTATGGTTAAAGGAAATGTTCCCATGTGTCACAGGACTCCCGAAAATAATGTGAGCTCTTGCAAAAAATCAAGACTTCACTTGAAATGCTCTTAAATCAGCATGTCCACTTGCATGGAAACAGTCCTATTTTAGTTTTTGTTGAATTTCAGCACAGACTCACCTCACTGTATGAATCAGTGAGGCGCTGATTTGATGATCACTTGACTGACCGAACAAAGGCAATCTGCTGGAATTTTTATGACAGCTAAATGATTACGTCATCACCCATGCAAGCCAGCACCAAATTAGTCCGTTTACTGAATTATCAAGAAGTGTTAGTCATATGTTGCCTCTTAACTGGAACACAACCCCTAAACACTAGGTGGAGCTACCTCCACAGTGCTTTAATGCACCGTTCCGATGAAAACAAACAGATGTTGGATGGTGTCCAGAAGCACAGCAGTGTTTTGATCGAATGCGAACAAATTTGTATGTAAGCTGTGTTTTGGAGGGCTGAACAGCTTATACATTCAACTGAATCATGGTGTAACTAGTATGGGCATGTGGGCGTTAACTGGAGGCTGGTGGTGCTAGCTCTGCTGACTTCATTCACACACAGCAAACCATTTGATAGTGTTTACCCTCAGACTGTCAACTAGTGCCCAATTTTGACTGTATTTTGAGTGGTTTATTTTTATTTATTTTTTTTATATGTAGTTGGTTTGATGGAATTAAAAATTGTCTTTGAAAAAATAAGTGAATTAGTTGCCTTGCAGCATCTGAGTAAATATATATGTAACTGTAACTGCTGTTGTTTCATTGCTAATACCAGTTTAATTTCCTACCTCAAATGGTAATTTTTATTGATGCAGTATCAACTCACACTAATACTCTAGTTATGTGATTTCAATTGGTATCAGGAAGAAAAAAATGCTGTTAGAATTGTTAATTTATGTAAAAAATCATAGCTCAGTAATTACAAGTTAGAGACTGACATGCAAGGTGCAGTGTGCAGCAGCTATGTTGAATATTTAGTTGGTGTAGCAAGTGTCAGAAAGCAGAAAAAGTAGGGCTGAGGGAGAGATGACATTCAAAGTCGAATTCCCAGAAAGAAAGACTTCAGTAGAGATCGACTGCACAAACAAGGGAGTCAGAGGCAGAGTGAGAGGCAGCAGAGGCCCAGAGTGTGAGGTATAAAGGAAGCTAGAAGAAGCATCAGATGTTATTGATGCTGGCTGCTGCCTGCTGTTTGTCAGGGAGACTGTAGAAAGACAGTCTGTCCTTAAGTGGATCAATTATTATAGTCCTTCAACCTAAACAAGCTCTCATTTAGGCTTTAAGGTAGCTGTAATCTACTTAAATCTTGCTCAAGGGCATTCCACTGTCAGTGTCTGCCACTGCGTGAAATACACCATAACTCACTCTGCTGTAAAATAAAGTTATCATCTATGAATACATGTCCTCTTGGGGCTGAAATTAGAAATTGTTTTACCTCTTTAACCTGCTGAGTTCAAGATTTGGTTCCAGAGTGGATTACACGTTTGTGAGAATCAGCTCAAAGCCAATCTGTCAGTCATTTAAATGAGGGACGCTCATTTACAACACTCAGAACTTATTTAAATGCTGCTCCTGTCTTATTATAGTCTCAGGATAAAGATATGGAAATTACTTTTACAATTTTTATCGTTATAAAATGCTTTTCCCATTATCCACACCAAAAGATTTTAAACTATAGTGGAGGAAAGGCATCAGCAGTCTGTAGAGTAATGTCTTTGGGTTTTAACATTTCAGCCTTGATAAAATGCATTACTAATAGAATTTTTAGCCTTTGAGATCCAGCAACGACTCAAGCCTTTTCAACGTATTTACTGTATAAACACAGATTTGGAGAGCTTGTTTGCATTGTGTCAGTCTCAATCTGCCTGCAGAAAATCCCTGATTCAGTGGCAATTGTGTTGACATTAGGATGTTTTCAGATGGACCTGCACAGCTTAAATCTCTGCTAAGCCTTTGATTCCTTCAATCCCCCGAGGTAGCTCTTCAGCCTGAAATCATATCTGCGGGCTCACACAGTGTGTTGGCATTAGCGTGTTGGCATTTCTATGTTGTGTTGCTTAACTGTGAAGAGGGTTCAGCTGTGTTATGTAACAGCAGAAATTCATCAATAATGCTCCAAGAAGATGAAGTCCTTTTGGTTGAGTTACGTGGAAGAATGACTCTCAGTCTTTTCAGACTCTGATTTCCTGGCCTGGTTTATGTAGCAGTATTTTACACTCTTTTTTTTCTGTCACGTATCAGGAGTATTACAGAGAGTGGATAGTAAAATGCCATGACAACTCGCTTTTTTTCTTTGGTCTTTTCTGGGAAAAAAGGCACAGAATAGCGTCATTACGGTGTGTGACTCAGAAGAAGCATTTGTCAAAATGTGGGTGGAACGGAGCGAAAAACATGCATATATTTTCTGCCTACTTGATGCAACGCAAGTATCACAATCACTTGTTTCAGTCTGGATATCATCTAAAACAACCTTTCCATACAGCCGAGAACAACATGCATGAAACCAGTTTATGTGAGTGTTTCCTGTTTTGTTCTTCAAATTTACTAGTTTCTTTTTTACGAGTTATACCAAATCTGCTGTGAAGGGCAGGTGTGTGCATTACGGGATGTAAAAAGATAGAGGAGCATGTGTATAAATGATCATTTTTCTGTGGTATGTGAGTCTCAGAAGGGAAAATAAGGCTTTTTTCTGTCCAGACAAACTCCCTGCACTGTCAAACATGTGGGAAATCTGTTCCCATGTGATTCAAAGTGGAGTTAGTAGAGATGTTCTATGGGGAAGTAAAGTCGTTGTCCTTCCTTCTTTTTATCTGATGCCGACTGTAAAATACTTCATATGATTGGATGTGAGGTACAAGGTCCAAGAAAAACTTGATTATCTTCAAGAGGTAGTTTGTTTTACAGCCAGCACTGACTAAAACAAGAGAAAGCACTCAGGACGAGCACTGAAATACACACATCAAGGGGACAAAGAGTCACACAGTGCTGTTCAGGAGGCTAGTGGTAACAAGGACAAATGAGTTCTTGAACCTGTTAGGCAGAGTATATCTACGACCAGATGGCAGCAGCTTGTGCTCTGAGTTCAAGGGGTGAGTGTGAACAGCCAGAATAACCTGTGCTCTCTCACTCTGAATACAAGGGCAAGATCCCCAAAATGTGTGCCAAAAATTATTACTGCACATGTTCCAACTTCTTATTAATTCTCAAAGTAAAAGACCCCAAACAGCAGGTAAGAGAAGAACAAAACTTTGGACAGACAGCACCAGTGTCTGCTGTTTATGCCCCCAGATATTTGAGATATTTTACATCCTCAACAGTCTGGCCATGAAATAAGACAAGAGGAGAAGGTGAAGGCTACCTCCAAAAGCCAGTGATCCTTTTTTTACTTATTGACAAATGAATGTGTATAAAGGAGTGTTTGTGCCACTCACTAAAATCACCCTCTACTGTTCCACAGTGGAACTCAGTAATACAGGAATTTAGTAAGGGGCGCAAACACGCCTTACTACACTAACATGAATGTGTCGACAACCAAAGAAAGAAATAAGTCACACTACAATATGACATGGAACATAACAATATGACACAATGGAACACAGTATTATAAAATACAATACAAAATAATGACTTGAATAAGTCAAACAATATGTCACAATAAGTCATTTAAAACAATAAGATACAATAAAATACCATATTAAACAATGATAAATATGATATGATACGATCAGATGCATTTTTATGTTCCTGTGGCCAAAGTCTTCCTGATACTTGGAAAAATATTCTCAAAATCGTTGGGACAGGGACACTGCTCTGGCCTCAAACACAGACCCCAGTGGGAACAGCTCTAGATAAACATAATCATAAATAACCAGTATCATGACATGGTTTGCACTGCCTGCCTCCAGATCAATGGAGTCTCTTGCAGTGAAGCCATCTGACATGGTCTGTAGTTGAGGCTATACTTAAAATCAAATCAAATATTGGGAGCTGGGTTTGGCTGCTGTTGCGGACCGTGATGAACCCTAGTGATTATAGGGCCATCTGCTCCCAGTGTGCCCAGCTGGAGGCTGGACTGCTGTAATCTGGACTGATGAAGGCTGAGTTAGAGAACAGCAGCAATGTTTGCGCTGTGCTCTGCAACCAGAAGACTCAGTTATAATGATGGGGGATCACTTGTGAAAAATTTGAAATCCAGTTACTTATTCAATAAGTCACTCTACGGTTATATGTGGTTTATAGGAGGAAGCTATGGAATAATACATCAAACACGATGTAATCTTTTCCGCTCTGCCCATCAGCCTCTTCTTAATAGAAAATTAATGGCTTCAATCAGCCATTAGTCTGTGATGTAGAATATTGAGTGTCAATCTGCAGGGCTAGCCTGCTCTATCCTCCTTTGTCCCCTTTGCATCATGAGAGTCTGGCACACTAATGTTGCCGCTCTCAAATACGTACATGCCACACCAGGAAGAGGCCTGATGGAGCCTATGAATAATTAAGCAACATGATTACAATGATGAATGCTCCCAAATCTATCTGGCCATTTAGCACTGTCTGGGGGAGGGAGGGAGGGAGGGAGGCTAAACAGCAGAGTGTCGGGCAGTGTGTGAAAGCTGTTAGGGAGAGAGAGAGATCAGAGGGTTATCAAGAATAGGGTGGCTTTGGGTGGTTCAAGCTCAGCCTTGTGAGAAGGTGGAGGGAAGTGAGAGAGGAAAAAATAGAGGAAAAGCTAAGGAGGGGCCCTGGGCGCAGGAAGACACCCACTATTCAGCCATCTGGGCTGCAGAGAGGCTCAAAGACATGCTCAGGAAGGCCTGTTTGTGTGATTGTGTAAGTGTTTGAGTGTTTCATACATACATGGATTATGCACCCAAGAGGCCTGTTTGTACAAGGGTGTGTTCTTTGCAAGAGTGTTGGGCATTTGCTGGTCCAAAATGTAACTCTTATCCAAGCTAAAAAAAGGACCAGTCTTGTAGTTTGGATAGATCACTGTAGAGTCCAATGCAATGCTTCATTTTCATTGAGAGCAACCAATCATTGGATTCCTTTGGAAACTTTTAAACTCTCGTATCTGATGAGCACCTTGAACTAATGTTATTTCTGTTGTTTAATGCTGCTGCCCTCAGCTTGAAAACTGCTTCAAACCCCTGTTTAGTGTTATTATTTCATCATACAGCATACTACATTACACGTGGAGCCCATCAGACACACTTGTCAGGAGATCTTTAGGTCAATATCAGTCTCTCATGATTGTACTGCTGTTTGTGATGTATATTTTTGCCTGTATGCATGGATTTAAAATCTTTGCATGATTGAACTAACGCCTTTGTAACATTGTTTTCTGGTGTTTCTGCCATGCAATGTGTGCATAGCTCTGCCTTTTGCACACATGTTGTATGCAGTGTGTTTAAATGGCCGTAATGATGACACTCAGTCAATGGGAAGAAGAGACGTTTTTATTCTTGCCCAAATCTCACTGAACACATCGGTATAGCTCCAGTGTGAGGAACCGATTTCTTTCACATCAAATCACTGAAAACAATAAAACCTCTAAACCTTGTCCCAGTCTGTGATTTAACATTGCATATGGGGAGCATTGTGGAAGTGCAAGAGGCCTGGACAAGAAGCACCACATACATACACAAGTTGTTCCACCCTGCTGGTGGGGTGAGAACACCCTCACCCCAACATCATGTCTCGATGCATTACATGTTGCAGACAAAGCATGCCCCACCTTGAAAATGACAGCTTGTACGAGCCATAAGCTAAACCCAGATGTCCAAAGAGGTTTCTTAACTACATTGTCATTGTGCAGTATGGTTTATGGGTATCACCGCTCCTGTGGGGGTTTGCTCTTGAGGGGTCCGACAGCTATGGGGATCAATCAGGTGTAAAGTGAGCTGTTGTCAGTGAGGTTTGAATCCTCATGTATGGAGTTTATGTCTATAAAAAAGGCCACGGCTCCAAGCTTTTAAGATGATTAAGATTATTCTGATGTCTAAAAAACACTGTAAGAATCATCTCAGGTAACAAAATGCTTAACTGCTAACAAAGGCCCCAGTGTGTCTGCGGCTGTAACCATGACATGACTGGTTGCTTCCTGCACAGCAGCACTTTATTTCCTTGCATCCACTCAAAGCATCTAATGCATTAATGGCATGCATCTTGACAAAAGGTGACAAATGATGAGTGGGCCCCTCCTCTGCACCTCCACCGTTCTGACTTGCCAGCCAAGGCCAGGGGATTGCATCATTACTGAGGATGAAGTCATCCTGCAACATAAGGGTAGAACAGGTGCTGAAATTTTAATTAGTACAGGGTGGAGGCTGCTGGAGGAACGTGTTAATGTACAGCCCTGGCTCAAACCCAGCTCTGACTGACAAAAGTGTATATGTTGTTGGGTCATATTTAATGTAGGCTTTTATTCTGGATGGAGCACATAGTGCAGAATTATTTCCATACAAGGATGGATTTGGAAAAATAATTAACCCCTGTTATATCTGCATCAGCTGTTCCAGGCTCTGTGGGATCACTTAGCTTGTTCTGATGCTTTCCGCTGGGGTTACAGTGGAGGTACTGGTGTGATTATAAAGTGAAGCTGCACTGTCAGTCCACAAGCAGAGAAGAGGATGAAAGATTATCATGGGAGCAAACAGAGGCAGAGAATCTGGTGAAAAGTCAGTAAGCCAATCGATGCCTAATATCATCAGTTCATTTTTAATGATGCAGCATTGCTCTGCAGTGGAGAGCTCTCAGGCCTCTGAGCTGTCTGCCTGTTCAGCCTCATCAGCACTGGGACATGATATGTCGGACTCCGGATGGTGAAACAGCGCTTCCTCACTGACCTCTGAACTTCTATACCTCCCCCACCACGCCTGGAGACTTGATCTTAGGTAGATGCTTCAGCACACTGTCTCTCACTGAGACGTGGGAAACAGCTTGCAGCTTGTTCTTTACTCGAGAAGATGTGTGATTGTCAACAGATTATGAGGCATTACTGTGAAGCTGACTGGATCGGTGTGCTTCAGCTGCTGATGGAGACTGGCTAGGAATATTCAGACATTCACTGCTGTGCTCACTGCGCAAGAGTTTCAACACTTAAAGTGTAATTGGCTACAAAATGAGAAATGTGAACCCCAGTGTCGACACAGAAATCTTGTTTTTAGTCCAAAGGAAATTACAGTATTCAAGAGTAAATAAAGAGAACATTTATAAAAGCTTACTAAAAGAGACAAAAGAATAAAAGTCTCATTCTTCACAACCAGGCTCATGAACCAGAGGTTGCAGCTTGATCTGTATCGAGTGTTTATTAGCAGTAACATGCCTGCCGAAGGCCTCAGAGCGTTGTTCAATGATATTTTATCTTTGGTTATTAGGAAAAGGTAGTCTTTTTTTTTTTCCAAAGAATTCTTTTAGAATACATTAAATAATTAAAATCACCTTAGAGATACTTCCCAGTGTTAAATTTTTATATATCATCCAGCTCAAATGGGCAACAGTCATGCTAGCTGCTTTTTGACACCGTACAGAAATAACAACAAGCCCACTGTGATGATAGTGGCATGTTAACAGAATGCATGATGTTGACCACATTCAACATATATGTTCTGCAAGTTGCTATGCTAACTGTAGTACACTTTGGGCCTGATCTACTAAAAGGTTTGCGTTTGCAAAAACATGTGCAAACTTGATAGCGCGCGCAAAGCTGATCTGCTAACCGGGTGCTACGAGGATTGCGTCTGTCAAATGAGCAAAACATCACACGCAATCCATTTCGCGTGTTTGCCATTATGAATATGCAGAATGTATGTAGATCATCAGACCAGGAAACCGCTGTTTTGGGTCTATATTTAGCGCGTTTAAAGGCACATGCGAACTGGCACAGCGTTACGCACAAATGTCCCCAGTCATTTGAAATGTTTTTGTTTTTTTTCATTTGAAATATATTTTCTTGCATCTGTAAAGCACTTTGAATTGCCTTGTATATAATTGGTGCTATACAAATAAACTTGCCTTGCCTTTCATGCAGTTGCTGGCTTCCCCAAAATGATAGGTGCAACTCCATGGCTTAATCTACGATCACCCTGCTCTCACAAACTCTCTATGGTGACAGTTGAGAGCGCACGCAAAATCCTCATTCAAAGAGGGCAATCTGCACCACTTTTGCACCTGTTATAAATTGTGCATGCAACGATAGTAGATATTTTAGTTTGCACATGCAATTTAGCATTCGCGATTTGGGATCTTAGTAGATCAGGCCCTTAAACTTTAGTTCTCCATGCTAGATAGACAAAGTTAGCTGAGTTTCTTTGGATTCATTTTGCTTTGTGGACTGTATCTTGTTCTTTTTTGAGCCCTAAGTGACCACATTTGTAAGACAAAGTGGATACAGTGATATTTCTTTTTTCAGGTTGTCAAAGGTTGTCATGGTAACTTGTAGATAATAAAGCACTCTCTGCTATCATGTGTTTTAGTTTAACTGGGCAAGTGATTCATCAAATGAACGTCATGCTTTACCCAAGAAAACTTAAAAGACGTTCCAGATGTTCTCCAGATTCCTTCGTGTTGTATTCACTTGTTTTTCAAGTTAGTGTTTGTTTTTACGAAATAGAGTTTCACTTTGAGTTCATTCTGCAAGACGCACTTTGAACATTAAGATGTCTGATGATCTTTTTATTTTTTTAATTCAGGAGTAATAAAAGGAATAATCCATTCTGACAGCAGATTAGGATAATGCTGTGAGAATATAATGACACAGTACAAAGAAACACCTACAGAAGCACTCACACTCCAGCAAACAGAGAGGGTCTGTGTGACGTCAGCCCCAGAGTGATGTTTATGTGATGCTGCTGTGTAGTGTAGGAGGGGGAGTGATCGCACTCCAAACTGGGTCAAAAACAAGCAGGTTTTCTCCCGCTGTAGAGGGGCAGGCTAAGAGAGGAGCACATCTCTGAGCAATATTTAATGTAGAGGTTATCACGACAGGGAGATCTAATCTGCTCTCAAATCAGTTTGGAGATTGGGTGTGCATCCTCGCCATGCTCGAGGTCGGGGCCTCAAGCTCCTGATGGACTACTATTGATTGGGGGAACGTGGCGATACAGTTGCAGTCGCTCAGCATTGATTTTCTGCAAGTGCAGGAGTGGAGAGCAGGCAAAAAGAGAGAGCTGGACCAGGGAGATCTGCCAGGTTATCTTCTCAAATATCCGGATGGGATTATTTTTTTTCCCCTTTGTCGGACTGACCTTCCTTGAGTCAAAGAGATATGTCTATCTAGACATGAGCTCAGCAGCTACACCAAGCATGCAGTTTTAGCAGCTTCAGCAGCTCATCTGACATTACACTTAACAAACAGAAAAGCTCCATATAAGCTCAGATAGTAAACAGGAGTCTTTTTAGAAACAACTTAACACTTCAAACTCTGAGACTTAATCATAAAAATAAATGTTTGTTGCAAGAGAACTCTCAGAATTACAGTTCAAAAATTTTCCAAAGCATTTTACAGCCATTTTTTAAGCGTTTCCTTTCATGTAACATGAGGGCTGATGGTTAGCTTGCAGGGACTTGACTTTAGCTTGAGAGGTGTAATCCATCACACTAGAGACGTCAGCAAGTGCTGACAGCCAGAACTCCAAAAATTGGCTGTGATTCAGAGAGCAATTATATCATAAAACCACAAATTCAAACAATGGAAATTAACTACAAAGGGAAAATGAGCAAGATATTTTTTTTACCATTAAAAGGATTACGTATGTTGCAGAGAGAGATTAATGGAATCTAAAGTTGGGCATGTTGCAGAATTATAAGAAAAACCAACACATCAAACTGAGCTTTTAGAGACACTGTGACCAAGATGCGGTGAAAAAAAGGTTCAGTGTTGGTTATACCTTTCTTAAGCCCCTCCGTAAGCCCATACCCACTCAAATCTAAATGATATTGAAATTAATTTTGATAAACAGCGGACTATCAGGTTAGAAGAGACACTCATGAATCAAAAGCTGTTTTGAAATGGTCAGCAGGAGTGAAAAGTAGATCCGCAATTTGTAAGAAATCTGCTTGGACATGCAGAAACCCAAACTCCTCTTAGCATAATTATAATGTAGACTGCTCAGGGCTTGGTGTATTTGTTGTACATTTACTCAAAGGATTTTATATATTTATTTTATTCTTTATGAATTTTAATTAGAACTTCAAACACTTGAGCTCGGGTCGGCCAAAGTGGGGCTTCCCTTTGATCAGGCGTCACTCTCTCGTTTTTTTCCCTCTCCTCCATTTCTTCCCTTTGGGCATCTTCCTCTTAATTGGCACAGCGTCACCAGTCCTGTCTGTAGTCAGAAGGTCTATCTCTCTGTCTGTCAGCACTGAAGATGAAAGGATGAGAGTTATATTCAGGGCCCTGAGGTGCAGGGTGCCTTTTTGATGAATTTCAGTGTTGGACAGTAAACATCGGGGTAGCTCTCTGACATGGATGTAGCTGTCAAGTGATGCACGAAAAGACCTACATCTTTTATTTGGGCTGAGTGTCTTTTCGCAACACTAGCAATGACTCAACCATCAAGGGTAACATAAGATTTTGTACTTTTTCCCCTCCAGGAAGCCCTACCTGTTCCTGTCCTGATCAGTTTTTATAGTCTTTTTCCTTTTGACCTTACCTCTTTTGTTTGTCCCTGGGCTTTTCTCTCTCTCTCTCTCTCTCTCTCTCTCTCTCTCTCTCTCTCTCTCTCTCTCTCTCTCTCTCTCTTTTTTCTCTCTCTGTGCTGTGTGTTAATGTAGTGAAGTGGCCCACCGGTCAATGAGCTAGTATTAACACCTGACTCCCAGCCCTTGCTGCTGTTTGTTCCTCTATGTGGGGTCCCGTGGGCCCTGCCCAGTTCGAGGTAACATATCCTGGGATCAATAACAACATCTAAGAAGGCAGCTGGGGGGAGGGAACAGTCTATGACATACTTTTGGATATTTTAGTGTATTAAATAAGTTAAATGGCAGAATGGTTTTGTATTTTTTAAGACCAGAGCAGGAATCATAATCTGTAATATCCACTCATGCTATGTGCTTGGGTTAAATAGGAGAGACGGAACATCCTGCTTTTGGTCAACAGGGTGTGTGGTGATTTTAGAGGCCCAAGTACAGTCAAAATTGATAAGAAAGAATCCCTGGTGGAGACATGTTTCGTCTGGTCTTCATGACATGATGCGCCTGACCTGTGCCATCTTAAAATAAGCTTGGTGGTGACAGAAGTTCTCTGTGACGTAGACGAGGCAAACGAGAGGAAATGAGAAATTCTCTTATTCTGGGGGCTAGAGGACCCAAAACTGTCAGTTCCCTGAAATAAGAAAAAAAATAAGGGCAGGTTGTCAACTGGGTGAGGAAAGTCTGATGATTGGAACTTAATGATTGGGGAGATAAAAGAGGACTTAGGCCTCTGATTGGGGTTTAACCAAAACTAAGACCTGCATGGGAGTAAGATGGAAACAGGGATCCAGAAATTCTGAAATAAACTTAAAACCCTCAAATGAATAAATGCTCCTGCAATTAACTTCCTCAAATCATTTCACTACAACACTTTTTTCTACATTTTTCTCGTCATCTAATGTCTTTGCCAACTTTTGGAAGCTGTCAATGCTGTAAGACAATAAGCAGCACAGGCCATGAGTAAAATTGATCTTGTCATTAGCTATTGTTAGTCCTGCTTTAACAGACCAATTCTGCATTAGTAAACAGTGTCGACCAATTTTGATCAGAGGTCACAATTATACCACAGCACTTTTGCATGGATAGTGGTGTCACATAAAAAAAAAGAAGCAAGTGGAGGGAAACATGAAAAAAAAACACGTAGACCCCTGTTATTAAATGTAAACATGTTTTATTGTGACACATTAGAAATAAGATCTTAAAATATAAGAACTTTTTTTTTTGTTTGAGTAAATACTTTCCAAAAGTGTAAATACCAGGCATCTCTAGGTGTAATTTGCAACATGCAACCACAGTCACGGGGAGGACTGCTGACTCTGAGTTGGTTGTTGAATGATTTGACACCAAGCTTTCATACGTAAATAATACCATGGGGAGCTGTTTGGGAGCCAAAAGCTGAGCCAAATGATCTAAAAGAAATGCCACCTCTTTTCTTGATAAAGAAGAAGGATCCAGTCCTCGCTCTTAAGTGGTGGATTATAGACAACTCATACAGCTTTTGCAGATTTGAAGTAATCCATGGATCTTTATGGATATGTTTCGATTGAATCTTATTCAATTCTGTAGCAACAGGAAAGGGACAATTTTAACTTCTGTTAAGAAGTTAAATTGTTGATTAACTGTGAACACCTCGACCTTACAATCTATTATGACCACAAAGTACAAAAAAGCAAGCACCCTTTTAGTAAATCTTTAGTTTGGTTAAGTTGAGCTAGTCTAACGTACTTGAATCTGTATCAAGAAAGAAAAAAAATAAACCTGAGTATCTTTTAGTTTGGTCGTAATCTTTTTCTTTTACAAATCTTTACTGACTTCTAGCTTTTACCACCAGTTCCTCAAATCTGCAGTAGTGTTTGATTCTCCTGTGCATAACCATCTTCTCACTTTCTCTACATTCCTGCTGCTCTGTTTTGATCTGTGTTTTTCACTCTCTTGCACCCTTGCTAACACTCTTGCTCCAGTGTTGTGCAGAGTGCATTTAAGAATTATCTGTGATTCTCATCCTCCCTGGATCAGCTTCAAACACAAAATTATGCACTACTGTGTTTGTATCGACTCCTCCTCACCTCTTATGTGCCTCTCCCTCTCCTCTCCTCTCCTCTCCTCTCCTCTCCTCTCCTCTCCTCTCCTCTCCTCTCCTCTCCTCTCCTCTTCTTTCCTGTGCTTTGCAGTCTCTGGCCATGAACGAGGTGAACGGGCCCATCGTCCAGGTGGCTGAGCCACAGATCGCCATGTTCTGTGGCCGTCAGCTGTTGCACATGAATCTACAGACGGGCCAGTGGGAGCCGGATCCACAGGGACGCCAAGGCTGCTTCAAAGAGCCCAGTGAGATCCTGTCCTACTGTCAGGAGGTACGGTCCTGAACCTTGTCGGGGGAATAACACAAACAATCACTCTCGATGAGAAAACAGATTTTGAAAGACTTAAAGATGAACAAGAGATTGAAGGAAAATCCAGTAAAATGAAAATGTTTGTTCCTTAATTTGGTTTGTCTTACACCTCTCCTTTAATCTATATATTCAACCATATATAGTGAAGTGATGGTGTCCTGTTGGAATATTCCAGTATTTCATTTGTGTCACCATCCACTTCTCCTCCTCTTGTGGACTCATATGTGCACACTTATACATCTTCTGTTATATTCTGAGGTAATGAGTAGTACATTTAACCCCTACATGCTCTTCCTTTAGAGGTATTTATCTGAAGTAAAGGCAACTAAGTGCCACCTGGTGGTCAAAAGTAGAGATGACAGCTTCAGGGAGCAGTAACTACAAGCTGAATAGATGGATAGTTAATGGGATTAGCTGTCACGTTGTACATCTGCGATTATTTTAGAGCATATTTTTGTTTTCTGTCATTACTCATATTAAACCAAATAATGAGTCTGTGCTTAAAATTACCGGCCAACATATTTAAGGAAAATATTTGAGACTGATTGTAATGACAGACCAGAATGTTCACAGAAATGATGACTGCAGTTCGCCAAGTCCAACACGGCTCCAGTCAAAAGCCTCTTGTAGCGTTGTATAAGTCGTTTGCATGACTTTTCCCCTCGTCAGTCTTCTTCCCACTGACTGTGTCCTCCCCTCTCTTCTTTCCTCCCATCCAAACCTCTTCTTTAACCATATTCTTCCTATCATTTGACCCCATGTCTTCATCCCTTTGTTCTGGCCATCCATCTTTCTGTTTCTGTGTCTCTGTCTCCTCTGCATGGACCTGTACATCAAGGTGTACCCAGCGCTTACCATCTCCCACATAGAGGAGTCAAAAAGACCCGTCACCATCCCCGCCTGGTGTAAGAAAAGCTTGGGCCACTGCCAGACACACCCTTTCATTGTGCTGCCCTACCGCTGTCTAGGTAAGAAGAATACACTGCACTGCTGTCAGATATTAAAAAATAAAACGTCTTTTCAATGTCTGCAGGTTAGTTACCTCGTGAATGTAACATTATTCCATCTGTTTTACAGTATAAAGATTATTTAAGCATTTGGCTGCATTACATGAAAGGGTAAGGAGAAGAAATTAGTACAACAGAGGGGTCTAACGCTCAAACCAGATTGAACTATTTTGAGTCTTTGACCTCTAGATCAACTAACTTGAAAAAGAATATTGAAACTTTTCATTAATTGTTGCTCATTTCTGTCTTTCTAAGAGATGGATTAAATGATTGATAACACAGTCATGTGTGTCTTTGAAATAGTCGCATGAGGCTCTTTTTAATAAAAATTGTATATGACATGATTCAATATGATTTGCTGTGTCTGATCCAAACGTTGATGTTGATTTAATTGTTTTCTTTATTGAGAACTTTTTAGCATTATACTGTATCATCAGAAAGCCCCTTTTCTGCACACGATGCATACATGATCCTCATGCCATCCACCCTCCTAACTTTTGTCTGGTACAGAGATATGGTTCAAATTTTGATTTTTGTGCACCCAGGTCAAGGTAGATTAGAAGTAACAAAAGCTGAACCTTATCTGGACTGTAGAATTTGTTATGTCGTGGCTAAAAAGTCTTATGAATGCCCAAGTTCTTAAAATGTTTCTTTTATTTAATCTTTTCATAAGATAGAATAGGCTTTACCTTTTATTTGACTTGAAAGGTTCAGCAAAAACAGTGTTTTGCAATGTTATTTGGACAGATTAGTTCATGTAAAAATAGCATCAAGTATGATTTAAAAGATGATTTACTTATTTGTAGGTTTGTAGTACTTTGAAGGTGTCACTTGACAAACTCAATATTGTGTAAAACAAAGATATACAAACCATAAATGTCTATATACTCATGCATAAAATAACAAAATAAGTGTGATTTAATTAACATATTATCTTTCTTTGATTGCATTTTTGGCAATTAGTACCAAAGTTCATTTTGTACTGATTGTATAGCTATTAGAAGTGCGTATATGTGCAGAGATATGAAGGGCAGCAGTTTAGCAGGCAGAAGAGAGGCCGTGTCTGCTTTAAGCCACCAGGGGGGTGGATTGGCTTGCAATGGATGACTACATGAATGAGTAATAAACAAGGAGTCAGCCCATATCCATGAAATGTTTTTATTCTTGTCTACAGCTCTCTAGAAGTGGCTCCAGCAGGTTTAATATCTGCAGTCTGTCTGCTGTAAAACTGAATCCTTTCCCTTGAATGTACAGGCCTTGAATAATAACATAATAATAATAATAACATTGAACAACTAAAACCACCTGATGTGAAGATATACAAAGCATTAACCTTATAACTTGTATTTTTCTTTGTAGTTGGTGATATGATACAATGTGCTTATTTGGAATGAGTATTTGATAGATTTCAACTTATTTGCTCTATCAGCTGTAGTTTTTCCACCTAAATTGTGTTGTTCACCATCATACTCCTACTTTCGTCTCTCTTCTAGACTCTTGATCAAAACTCAAAATGCTTGACGATGTTAGTTCAAACACAGAAAATCAATCAGCTCTTTAGGTAGTCATGGTTTACTTTGGCCTCACCTTTTCTTCATCCCTGCTGCAGAGGGCGAGTATGTGAGCGAGGCCCTGCTGGTGCCAGACCGCTGCCGCTTCCTCCACCAGGAGCAGATGGATGCTTGCGAGAGCTACGTATACTGGCACAATATTGCGAAAGAGGTGAGACAGATTGACTAATAGACTTTGTAAAAGTTTTTAGATGTGCAGTAACATGTCTGAAAAAACATCTAATGAGTACCCGTGAGTTAAAAGATTAAGACCTTTTGCCACACGTAGCTGGGTACTTGCTAAAACGAATATATTTTGATATGTTTTGTCCTGCCATCCACACAAAACCGCAAGAATACATCATTAAAAACTGTGTTTTTGGAAAACTCTGGTTTTGCATTTGTGTGTGGATATTGATAACCAGAGTTTTTAATTCCCAAACGTCATTCAGGCAGTGGACAGCACAGGTATATACAGAATATATATTTTTGTGAGAAGCAAAGTAGGTGTGCTTTGCAGTCAGTTATTCTAGTCAAGTCAACGTTTATTTATAAAGCACCTTTAAAAAGACAGCAGTCAAACAAAGTGCTGTACATGGGATAAATAAAAGAAGTAAATAAATAGATGGATAATAATACAACAATAAAATTAAGTACAGAGGAGTAAAATACAGACAGTAAAAGAGTAAAAGCTACAGTGCCTATGATTTGTGTGTACTCCTTTATTACATGCAAGGGAGAAAAATTGTTCTTCAAACAGCGCTCAAAAGCAATTCCACCTCTTTGTCGGTTCACACGGATGAACTACACAGTGCTATGTTTCATGTTTGGAGAAGTGACAATGAGAAAGGGAAGCTTGCTCTGATTGGATAGAATGGGTCTAACTTTTTAGCAAATACTACCAACTCCAGGTCTGGCATGCTTATAACCGTGGTTAATAGCACATTTATGTGGTTTTGTGTGGATGGGATTTTTGTGTGGACGGGACTTTTTTTTTTTAATGGAGGGGGTTGGATATTCGTTATGAAAATACCCGGCTACGTGTGAACAAGGCCTAAATCTTTCCACCACATGATCGCAGAGGAGGATTTTCCACTAGTTCATTGTACAAAAGTTCAACCTTTTCTGTTAGAATGAGCTCTATTGAGCTATTCAGAGCCTCTTGCGTAGTGTGTTGTAACAGCTTTGGCAGAATAGTCTCATCTGAATGGTTTTGTGTTGTGTTGTGCATCATATCACACTTATTTGTACGCCTACCTGCAGAAGAGGCTCCCTCTATCAGATCTTTCACTATTCAGAGAGAGTATACAATACTGACTAATTTTACCAAGACTTGACAGCATTTTATTCACCTTCATATTAAATTTCGCTCCTCAGTGCTTTAAGAAATCTCTGCATCGTGTGTTTGCTTTTAGGAGTGTGCTGCAGACAATCTGGAGCTCCACAGCTACGGGATGCTGTTGCCATGTGAGGATCACTTCCGGGGGGTGGAGTATGTGTGCTGCCCTGGCCGAGGAAGCTCCACTGGGAAAGGAGAGACAGAGGAGAGAGACCCCCTTTCTGGTCCTCAGACCTTCACAGCCCAGTCCAGTGGAAAACTCAACTCAATGTAACATGAATCAGTCTGACCTCACACATTAGAGGTGCGAGATTGTGTGTGTGTGTGTTTGACGTCATCTGAGTGTTCCCCTTGTTTTTTTAATTTTTCACAGCACCAAAGTGACAGCCCCCACTCCAAGCCCCTCTCCGGACACTGATGTGGATGAAACCGACATGGAAGAGGAGGACGATGAGGTGGTGGAAGAAGAGGAGGAGGAAGACGATGATGAGGAGGAGGACGTCGATGAGGAGGAGGTGGTGGAAGAAGAGGAGGAAGAGGAAGCGATCGCAGTGAAAGATCCAGAGGAGTACGAATACCCCATTGACTCAGGTCCGTACCAGACATCAGACTACTTGGACTCCTTCTACTACGAGAAAAGCCACAAACCTACCACCTCTGCTCCTCTGATGAAGGGTGACAGCTGTGAGTGTGCCTCGTTCTGTCTGTGAATCCTGCACTCAGGGTTTAGACACTGTGGTTAACGAAGCAGTCAGATGACTAAAGTGCTGCAGACAGAGTCACTCCTGCTTTCTCAGTCTTAATCGTTATAAACTACCCAATTTAACGCACGTCTTCTGCACTTTTTTCAGCCAGAGGATTGCTCTTTTTAGCAGTGCACAAAAACACCTCTTCCTCCGTAACTCAAGTGGCTGATCTTTTTCTGCTTAACCTATTTAGACTCACACAAGATTTTCTACTTTCAGTTTGGTTTTCGATATGAGGATTGGAACATTTTGTCCTTTTTTTCTTTGCATGTTTGCAGGTCATACAGCAGGAAAGTAAACTTAAGAAAGTTTTGTTAAGAGAAACCAGACAATGCAAAAAGTGAAAGACAGTAAATATGACAAATTAGGCAAAGGAAGAAGAAGTACCGTTGGATACGTATCCTTATGCATTTATATTTTGTGTTTCAAGTTTCAAGTTCAAGTTTCTTTAATCGCCATACGGCTAGGCCGGTGGAATTTTTTCACAGTGCAGGTGGTAGCTGCAACAATACACCACATTCTTATTCCTCATTCATTACAAAGGACCAAACGTTAATATCAATGATATCTTTTTATTACACACGTGAAATTTGTTGTCTGTAATTTAGACCTCCAGTGAAATCCAGCTGCTCACATTCTCACATGATTTAAAATCTGGTCTTTTTTTTAATCTGTATGTCACATACAATGATATGATTGACTTATTTCTAAACATTTGCTAGGTTGATGCTAAAGGTTTTCTTAGTAAGAGTTCTTAAACTTGTATGTATATTACTATTAAATGACGTGCCAGCTTGGCTTAGTGGTTAGAGTGTTTGACCACTGTGTATTCTCACTGCTGAGACTAAAGATGTGGCTACAATGGTTTCAATTCAATTTAAAATTCAAGCTGTCAATTTCTGCCATATATGAACACATAAACAACAGGGAATGAAAAACACGTTCTTATGCAGCCCACAGTGCACAAGTGCGGGAAAAAAAATACAAAAAATATAGTAAAGTAGGAGAGGTATATGTGTCTGAATCTACCCTCATGCCTTTGTATATGTACACATCTATACACATGCACCCTATACAAACACATGCATACCTAACGACCAAAAAAAAGATTCTGCTGTACATATTAACATGATACTACTCTTTACCTTCACCCTTCGCTGCATGTCATCCTCCTAATCCCTGTGCAAAATGTTTTCTTTCTTTTTTTTCAGCTGTACTATCAAAGAAAGGCAAAAATCCCTTAAAAGAACCTGAATAGCTTTAATAACAATTATAATACTAATACTGATAATACTAACTCTGAATATTGACTAATTTCCAAAACTACGAGGAGTAAACCACCTCTTCAGAGATGATTCCCCACAGCTTAATGGGCTCAGTTATTTCAGCTGTTTTTAAGAAACTTGTATGTGGAATACTTGAAATACTTAAATCTCCCATAAGAAGCTTTAATAATAATAAGGCTGTTTTTTCTTTGGTTGAGATCTACCCCCCAGCATTAGTTTCACCCTTCAAAAGTTACAATCTAAAAATGATGAGTCTTGTTGCTGATGATTTTGTTTATTTTTGTTAGTCATAAAAAGGCATTTCTAAGAATTTTTGTCTATTTCTTAAATATCAAAAAACTCCTCACACCAGCTATAAATGTCTGAATATCGACAGTGTATTAATGAATAATCTCATCCAAGGGTTCTTGGAATAAGAAAGTATTTTTACAAATACTGATCTTGGGGTTTCAACAATTTTATCTATCGATTTCCTTTAGCATTGAAGTATTTTCCCCCTTGCTCACTGTATTCTTAGTGCTCACATTTTAACCAGAGTTGCCCTCTCTACTAGAGAATTATCAGTCTGTGGCTGCTGCAGTCTGACCAACACTAACAACATCTGTTTTCTGTCTTTCCCCTCTAGTGACTACACCTCGCCCCACAGATGGTGTTGATGTTTATTTTGAAAAGCCAGTGGATGACACTGAGCATGCCAACTTCCTGCGTGCCAAAACAGACCTGGAGGAGCGCAGAATGAAGAGAATCAATGAGGTGACTTTCACAGGGATATGAACAAGCTAATCATTTTTTTGGCAGATGTACCAGACTTTTGACAGCTGATTCATTAATGTGGCACCCACTTCTGAATTTGATTGTCAGAACGACAGGTTCACTGGCCTGTTCATGTTTTACCTGCATGCAGACGAGCAGATCAGTTTCGTACACAAAAAGTGAAAGCAGTATCGATAAACTGCGAGTACACGTGACTGTGGTTGTAGAGGCAGAGTTTCCTTCATGTTGGAGGTTAAGAGTGTAATTATCACTCTGCATATCTGACCATGTTTGCGTGTGAGTCTGCACATCTTGAGATGGGTGTTGTGCAACTTATAACTTTGAGATAGTCTGTTTTTTACATCTGCCTGTGGTATCCCACATTACAAATAAGGTATTTTCATCATTATCATGCCATCTAGCTTTGCAGTTTTGATGGGCACTATGTCTCGACAGATGCACGATTATGATGCGTGTCCCTAAAGTGACAACTTACACTCACTCTAGGCTTGATATGAACTGTTCTTGGTGATGCCTCTGTCAGTTACACATCTCATACTGATGTACACAGGTTAATACATTGATTGTTTAGGAGATACTTTTGTAAAAATAACCCTTTTCCTTTAACTTCTTAGATCATGAAGGAGTGGGCAGAGGCAGACAACCAATCTAAGAACCTGCCAAAAACAGAGCGACAGGCCTTGAATGAAGTAAACTGAAAAACCTTTCTTTGCTATAGTTTGAATTCTCCTTTTGTTATATAGCATCATGTTAACGTCAATCTACCCTCATCTAGCACTTCCAGTCTGTGCTGCAAACTCTGGAGGAACAGGTGGCTGGAGAGAGGCAGAGGCTGGTGGAGACTCATCTTGCCAGGGTGGAGGCCATTCTCAACAACAACCGCCGACTGGCCTTGGAGAACTACCTGACAGCTGTACAGTCTGACCCCCCTCAGGTTAGTCCAGTGCAGAGAACAGAGGAGGAGGAGGAGGAGAGCCAAGCAACAGAAATGAAAAGTTACCTGTCAAAACAATAACATTTGTTCTTCAGACTCTTATTTAATACATGAAGTGCATTGCCGAGAGGGTAGCTTAAACTCACTGTCTGGTATTTCCTGGCTCTGTCTCCTCTCCATCTCTGTCCTGCAGCCGGAGCGTGTACTGCAGGCTCTGAAGCGCTATATGGCCGCAGAGCAGAGGGACCGCAGACACACACTCAGGCATTACCAGCATATTGTGGCTGTCGACCCCCAGAAGGCTGAGCAGATGAAATTCCAGGTGTGTGTGTGTGTGTGTGTGTGTGTGTGTGTGTGTGTGTGTGTGTGTGTGTGTCTAAGAGGCTTCTCAGCACACACCTGCACTGCAAAGATGCAAGGCTCCTTTTGCTGACTGTGAAACGTAAAGAACATTTTGTGCTGAAGAGTTAGTGCGTGCCTCAGACGAGTTAATAAATACTGAACTCTCAGAGGTGAGCTAGTCTTCATGTCTCCTTTTCATTAAACTTTGATCAAAGCCAGTCTTCAAAGTCAGCTTCAGAATTATGACTCAATAAAAAAAAAAATGTTTTCTTTCCAACTCTAAAACTTGCTAAATTTAGTCATCCATCTTTCAGCTCTGTTGGCCCTTCCTTAGTCAGTACCTGAATATTTTAATGTCATGCAGGTGTACACACATCTCCATGTAATCGAAGAGAGGATGAACCAGAGTCTGGCGCTGCTATACAAGGATCCTACCTTGTATGAGGAGCTGCGTGATGATATCCGTAAGCTACACTTGTCTTATCCGGTACTTTCACCTGTTTACAAAGATGCTCGCCCCTGTGTGGGTGCTGTTTTCTTTCAGTACAAAAGTAATATTTTTCCTGCTGCTGTGTTTTTCTCTCTCAATCCATCACTTATAGAGGAGCTAGTCAAGGCAGAGAGAGGAGACATCAGCGAACTCATGACCACCTCCTTCTCTGAAACACGCACCACTGAGGAGCTCCTGCCAGCTGAGAGCGAGGAGGAGAAGGATGATGAGGAGGAAGAGGAGAGAGCCTTCCAGAACAGGCCTTATCCTCCTCGTGTTGGTAAGTATCTGTATATCCTTCATATTCACAGCTCTAAATCCAACATCTGTAGCTCCATGTTATTGTCTAGATAACCTGATAGATGTATGGAATTCGCAGGTTGCTGTCATTAATAGCACATCTTTCTCTTTTTTCTCTAAAGACCTGCAGTCTAATAAGAAAGGTAAGCTGATGTTTTGTGTTATTACTCATCCAAAAAGTTTCCACTGGATCTGACTGGGTGTTTTTGTTGAACATTTCTTGGAACCAGGCCAGAGTGTTGATTTTTTTACTGACTGCAAACTTCCTGCAGTCTTCTGTGAGGGCTCACTCTTCCACACATCAGAGGAGCAACAGAGCTTCAGATGAGAGAGTTACTGGTTCATCTGATGGACCAGGTAGATATTAAATGAAAGAGGGGCATCATTTATGAAATCTCAAGCTTTTCCTAAAATAAAACAAGCAGAGAGTGCACACATTCAACAAAACAAAACAAAAAAAACCACATCGTGGACTTGGAAAAGTCAGAGGTCATTCAGTGAGCAACAAATACCCACAATGGATAAGGAAGAGAGAGGCATCAGGAAACAAGCCACAGGCTGGTAAAGCAGGTTAAAGGAGTCAACATGCTGTCACATAACTGGCATGCTGTCCTAAAACTGTCAGACATTAGGGGGCATAATCGTCCTGCAGCTTCAGGTAGGATAATCGAACCACTATAAATCAGCTGAGAAGCAACATCACAAGAACATTATTGGAGGAAGACTCCAGCAAGTTTGCAGTAGAAATACATCAAGATGAAGAAACTCTGGTCTTGTGTTATAACTATTTGCAAAGATTGCAGTACTTTGTTTTGTGACTTATGCTCACATGAAATGTTCTTGTTTCTTTTTGCTTTACTTAGTCTCCACAGTCGATGAATACGATTACACCACATCTGAGAGAGGCCCTACCTATGAATATGAAGAAAAGGTGAGATGATGTCCCCCTGTAAATAGACTGTACTTTCTGTACGTGTGTTATCTTTGTGATGACTCCATTTTTCAACTGTCTCTTCTCTTCTACTGTAGATCAACACCTCTGTGGAGCTCAAGCAGGTGCTCAACAAGCCACCTGAGATTGAGAGAGACGAACTGGTGAGGCTGAAAATAGTCATTCTTACATTTTTATGTGGAGAAATTATGCTTAATCCATCTAGAAATCAGCCATTTCATTTCCCTCCTCAATCTACTTTGCACTGTTTATTTCTCTATTGTTTTTTTGTAGCAACCTGATGCCTTGGAGACATTTAACCGTGGCGCCATGGTGGGACTGCTGGTGGTGGCTGTGGCGATTGCCATGGTGATGGTGATTAGTCTGCTGCTAGTGCGTAGGAAGCCATACGGCACTATCAGTCATGGCATCGTTGAGGTAGGACTCAAAAAAAGCCTTTAATTTAAACAGGAAGCAGATTAAACAGAATATACCAGATGGAATATAAAAACTGTTTTTATCACAGTCCTACCAAGATTTTTGAAATCTTTTATCCTGTATTGAAGATAGATATAGAAGTAAAACTAGAAAAGCACTCGGAGAGCGCAGACCTCCGCCAAGCAGCTCATGTCCCCCCTTATATTGTGATTCACACCAAAACTTTTACTGTTACGTGTCTTTTATTAACTTTTATTTGTGTTTAAACTGGTATGTTCATTGTTCATAATGTTCCTAAAACAACAAAAGCCCTGACCCAGATTCGAACCCAGGACCTTCTTGCTGTGAGGTGACAGTGCTAACCACTACACCACTGTGCCGCCCATCTACACCACTGTGCCGCCCATTGGTTATCTTTCAGCATTGAAAATTCCAACGACACCCTTATTTTTGTGTGTTCTGGATCACAGTATCCAGAATTTTGTCTGGATCAGGATCAACCTTTGACACCTCATAAAACTCATTGAGATCCTTTTGTGTAATTTTTTACTAAAGACTCTGGCCATTTTTATAGAGTTAAATGCAAAAATTCCAAAATTTGCCCTATCTCACAATGAAAAAGAATCCTTCAAAAAATTCCTGGATCCAGAAGGCGATCCGGATCAGAGTTTCATTTTTTCCATATTTGCTCTTAAGCCCTCTCTGCAATATTATGGGAAGATTTTTACCAATTATACTGTATACTGTATATGATAAATACACAGTGTTGTGGCTGATATTTATGGTAAAACAGCAAAACAATGCACAGGAGACAGGATGAGATTGGAAGAGCAGCCTGGGCGTCTTTATTGTACAATCAGTACAGATGACAAACACAGTCTTGGCAAAACCCAAGGAGAGGAGCCCCAGGCTTCTCTTGCTCACAGTTTTATACTGCTGTGTGTGTGTCAGAATACAATGATTGTGTGTTACGTGTGTACAACAAAAGTGCACCCCTCATATGTGCATTGCATAGTTTTACAACTCTGTAAATCTAGTGTGTGTGTGTGTGTGTGTGTGTGTGTGTGTGTGTGTGTGTGTGTGTGTGTGTGTGTGTGTGTGTGTGTGTGTGTGTGTGTGTGTGTGTAAGTGCATGCTTTTCCCGTCATTTATGCAATCACAGGGGGTCACAGTGTTGTGAAGTTCACCAATTGTTTGGATAATTCTTGGACTTCCCAGGAACTAAGTGTTTTGACAACCGAATAAACATCCTGGGTTGTGCAACCTCAGGCTGCACAACCAGGCCTAACCCAACATGTTTATGAATTCTCAATAAATGATAATCATATATTGATTTCTTTACCTAACCTATGGATTTCACCTACAACAATAAATTTGAACCACAGTCAGTCCACTGTGAAATTCTTGTGGATTAGTGTCAAGATTTAAAGCAGAGGGACTTAAAAGATCACTTTTATATTTATTTATTTATTTTACAGTCTAGGAAGGAGTCTGCTGAAAAGGCTGGCTCTTTTTTAATTATTTATTAAGATAAAATAACATTTTTAATCCTAGAATTTCTCAACATATGTGGCAAACAAGGCATTACAATACTAAATGCTAGGACTACAAGGAAAATGGTAGAGTTTACAAGTTATAAGGATTTTATTTATTTATTTATTCTAGTACAGGTCTTTAGCTTCTCTAACAACCCTCAGGTTTTCACACTTCTAAACCATTCACACCCCTTGTCACTTGATAAACATCCTGAGAGAAATACTTAACGTTTGGTGGATAATAATCGAAACTTCTGTTTTTCACGCAGCAGGTCGACCCCATGCTGACGCCTGAGGAACGACAGCTCAACAAAATGCAGAACCATGGCTATGAAAACCCCACCTACAAATTCTTTGAACAGATGAACTGAGGTACTGGGGCTGCCAACAAGTCATGCCTGGCCTCTTGTTTTGTCCTTCCCTCTCTCATCCACTCTAACTGTGTCCCAGCTACAGTCCCATTGACAGTTTAATGATGTGTTGCAAACATAAAGTAACTGAATAAGTAAGGGGTACATCCCAGACCCCACTGTAAATGACCAACAACGACCTATCATCATTACCAGAATGTGAATAATGTGATAAGATACACACTCGCATCACTCATTGTAATCTAATATTCCTCTGGGTTAGAGTCTGAGCATTGTTCTTTCCATTAACGATGCTGCAGTGTTTCATTTTCCTCAAAACATCACAGTGGCATGACTTTACCTGTTGCCCTTCACTAGAAACTGAAGCCGAACGGTGCATAATGCTTTATAGTATTTATTTTTTCAGTACCAGTAGTAGTTTCTTTGTTTGGATCGTACCACAGTTAGATTCTGTATCTGTGTATATGAGTGTGAGTGACAGCCTAGTTAAATCATTGTGTAAATCGCTAACAAAACCAAGTCAGGGAAGAAAGGGCAATTAGCTAGCTCATTAGCAAGCTAATGTGAGCTACTGTAACATTTGACAGCAACTCTTATCATGAACAAAACAGTATGTGGATTTGTGAGGCTTCACTGAAAAAGACCACACTTGACAATACAGTGCTTTGGTATGGTGGAACAAAAATATCATATTTTTACTTTTGCCCTGAATAGAGTATGAATTATTTGGCAAAATGTACCAAATACTCAGTTTAGCTGATAGAGTCCGTGATTGAGTTAGTTTTCTTTGTACTGGCACCTAAAGAACTGTAAAACTGAAAAATCAGGAGTCTGTTATTTTACTGAAAGCATGACAAATTGTTGTATGATGCTGCTGTATTTATTTGTGTTGTTCTTGTCATTGCTTTTGATAAGTCAAAAACGTCACCGTTCAAAAATGGACGCTGTAAATAACTTAAGAAATACATACTACTAGATGTAGACATTTCTATGATTAATTTGCATCGGTGTAATGGAATAATACATAAAAATAGAACATTGTGCTGTAACGAGAAGGAGAAACATTTTCCTAACATGGCTGATTGAAAACGGACTGTTGTAAAAACCAGCACAAGACAATGACACAGTTACTTCTTTCTGAATGTATTCAAGGTAGGCGTTGAGATTCCATCTTCTTTTTCAGTAAACGCGTCATTCTCTCAAGTAGAGCGAGTAGTGAAGTCCGACTCGTCCAGCAGACAGACTACATGCCTGATGCCCTTCTCATCACTCTCTGTAGCAGGCTGTTTGTTTTCACATTTGGTAGATGTACGCTAGAGCAGAGGAGCTTCAACTTAAGGCATGTTATGATGTACAGAGCAGAGCAGTGTGAAGAGGCCACAGATATCGTCATGTGAAGTGTCAGTGTGTGTGTAATAAGTCCTAAAAACAGACCACACTCAGGCATGATGATAGTAAAATGTGCTGTGAGTCTTAAAATCTGCTAGTTTGACACATTTGGACTCAACAACATTGAATGTGAGCACTCTATAGATGCGATATTTAAGTTACTAGCTTTTCACTGAATGACTCATTGTAGTTTGTCATATTAATGATCAACATAGTACCCTGTATAGGTAAGTGGAAAAGGGTCTGGTCCCTTTTTCTGGCTGATTGTTAACTGCTTAGTGTGTCAGGTTCATTTCTGTTAGCCTCTTAATGGGTCAGGTGGTCCTGGCTGAGGAGGGTCACATTGTGGGATGTTGCTTTTTGCCCATCAGTCTCTAGCTGTATGCTGTAGTATAGATAATCCCAACCAAAACCAATTCATTTTTGATTTATTTCATGCCAGTGGGAGTTTTGCTTTAAAAGCCTGCGTTCATCTATCAAGAGGAAAAATACTTCACTTAAAAGATATTTTTTCTGTTTTGTAACTTTTGCTTTATAATGAAGCAAAAAAAAAAAAAAAACAACCTTCGACTATCAGAGTTCTGAGTTAGCATTAACCTTCTGTTTCTCTGGTTAGGCGGGTGAGTTGCAGGTTGCGGTTGTGTTATGACAGGTGAAGAGAAGTCATAAGCCCTTGTATAATTTGTACAGCTACGTTAGTGAATGAAAACGTTGTATGTTCACAGTTTAAGTCAGTTGATCTTGTAATGAAACTACTGAAACCATAGATGAGAATAAGCTTGCCTGTGTTTCCCAAACCACTGAAGGTTTTCCTACCAGCATTTAGCAGACGTAGAATGGTGTATACTGTAGTTACTCAAATCACATTTGTACGTACGTCCTCTGTCAAATTCTAGACTTCTTTGTTGGTCTGTCCCCTTACTTCCCCAATGAAATATAAACAATGTTATTGAGATTTTAATTGCTGCATTATTGCCTTTTACAATGCTGTGTTTTGGATGTAATTATTCTGTATTTTTTATTTATATGTAATAATCAGTTGGATCAAGGGTCATGCTTTTCACCTGTAATGTTGATCTAGAGGCTTGTATAAGGAAACAATAATGACACATTTACAACATTTAGAAATGTGAATAGAGACAGACATTAAGCCTCGTCCTAATTGACAAGGAGTGGCACTAAGCACAAGTAGATCCAAATGACTCAATTTGTGTGCAGGTTGCTAAATGTTGGTAACTGAACACGTCTGTCTGATTCTAATTAAACTGCATTGATTCTAGAGATGCTGAAAGCATCATTAGGAGAGAGCTGTTCTTCATTTTCATTCAGACCTTCGACCAAAGACATGCTCCACAAGTACGCAGACAGATACCAATTTGGGGGCAGGGTTAAGTTCTCTGTTGTGTAACTGTAAATCTGAGAAATTAGAACTGGTCAAGCTAATAAATAGTGTAATAAAAATGAATGACCCATTACATTACAGAGTCTGTGCTCTTCTTTGTATGCAAATTTTTTTTTTCCTCTTCTGAGAAAACCGTTACATCGATAAGATCATTCAGGCCGCATGCAGTGGATGAGATATTGTTCATAATATTACCTGAGCAGCATGGTGAAAAAGCCACAGCCAAGGGGGAAACCTTAACCACGCTGGAAAATTTGTTGTTTCACATCACCTGTGTTTCCACAGTTGTTTCTTGGGTAAAAGAAACCTAGAGTACGCTTTGACAACTTTGCTACATTGCAATATAGATTAACCATTGAATTGCCAAGAAAGTAATAAACAAGATGTCTTTATTTATGAGAAACTCCCTCTTGTACTTAGTAATATCTTAATAATTATATCTGACTCAGTGCAGTACAGTCAATAGTTAAGATAAAAATCACAAACAAGATTAAGGCAAAGTGTTCGATAAGGATGAGCATTAGTTCTGAGTGACTCTTAGTAACTGTGTTTTTTCTCAGGCTTGGGTTGCAGTTTCACCTCTTATAACAGTAGATCTACGTGGCGTCTGCTGTTTAAAAAGCACTATATATTTTCTTTTTGCTGATTTTGTCTCATGCATCAGTACTATTTTTGACAGAAAGTATTATCCTGCTTTCTGCTGATCATGAAATATATCAATTTGGGAAATCATTGCTTTAGAAGTATAACACAAGGGAAATTTACCAGTGTGTCGTTCATCACCTACCGTTTTGCAGTACTTTCAGGTATTAGATATAACTGTAAAGAAAGAAACAGTCTTCTTGCTATCGTCTTGTTTGCTCTTGTAGGTTATAAAAAGACACCAGTCAAAGTTTCAGGCTGTCCTCACAGACACTTTAAACGTAGTTGAAACCATGCAAAAGAAAATAAAAACACGTTTCTTTAAGTGTATCTTCAGGGTGCGATGCGTGGGAATGGAAATATTGAGTTCCTCTTTAACCCACTGAATATAAATGTATATGGCCCTTCTCTATTTGGTTCTGTTCTAGGTTGTAAACTTTATACTCTCACCTTTAAGTAAGAAAACATCAGATTTACACTTGTATGCTGAGAATAGAAATCCTGAGTTAACCATCCCACACAAGACAAAGTACAGTTCTTCAAACTAACTTTGATCAACCTGAAGTCACTGATAGCAGCTGATGAGTATTTTCCTCCTAACCTAATGTAGTGCAATGAGTAATGACTTACTTATTCTGCTGACTGTGACTTCATTCACTCACTGTCATTTTTGAAATGTTCTTTTATCAACGTTTATCTTGCAATCATTAAGAAACATCCGTTTCTCAGTACAAAAAACAACTGATGAAATACTTCGACACAGTTCCCAAGCACAAATTCACCTGACACTCACAACAGGCGTGGGCAGGCATAGCACTTCCTTTACCCACAAATTACAAAGAATTGTCAAGCCCCAGCCCCGAGCCTAACACAGGTTCACTTCTTCCAAACCACAACACTGACGGGTAGTCCTGCTCATCCAGATTACCGTGAAAAAGCTTTGTGGCCGTACAGTGACAGTTTCTCATTGATGCCTGTAGCGTCATCTCGTTAGCAGTTCCTCCGAAGTCCCACTCAGCCACAATGGTAATGTAAGACGAGTCATAGTAACCCAGACTTTTTATCGTGTCACAGTTTGAGTGTGCCTTTCATTTTGTTCGGTCACACTTTGATTCATTCAACAGAACAACAATATGGAACCCCGAATGTGCAGAGATTAAAACTTTTTGAAGATAGATCAAAGCTTTTATCATATGACACATGCATACATGATAGATAAGACACTGACATTATAGGAGTGGAGTGGGTGCTAAAGGTCACGCTAATGTGTAACCTGCATCGGCCTGAGCAGTTAGACACCTCGGTGAGTCAGCATAGGTGCAGGGGTAGGGGGTTGGATGGTGATTGTTTAACTGACAGTGAGGGGGGATAGGAGGTGCTGAGGCGTGTGATGTGGGGGGCTGATAGTCTTGATATTACTGGTAGGTAAAGCCCTGTGCATCAGCACTGTCTGTGTCTTACCCATGTAACACCAAATGACATTTAAGTGTTGGAATAATGCTAATTTCTTAGAGAAAATTAGATGAGGTCACACTGTCCAGTAGTTTAAGTAACGCTTTACTATAAATGTTAGCACAGAGAAAGGTATGCAATTCAGCCACAGCCACAATTCAACCACTGAAAATTGAAAAATAATAAAGCAGGAAATCAATCTAAAAAAAAAAAAAAGAGACCGTTTCTGTTGCTGTCCTCCAAATGCATCAACTTGTCAAACTTGTGGCACACAATTGCAGGAAAACCACAGTGAGTTTAACCCCTGAGAGGTGACATATTTCACCACCGTTGGGTGAAGGACTTTTAAATAACACATATTTGAAACCTAGTTCCTAGTTAAGGTAGAATTGAGTTCCCCATCACTGAAACATTTGTGCTCCTTGAATGATTTACTGTTTAAGTTATTAAAGTTTAATGATAATATAGGTGTGGCAACTGAGACAAGGGGGTACAGAAACTTTGGCAAAGACACGCAGTTAGTTGTGGAGTTACTTTAATGCATTAGCGCACATTAGGGTTGCCAAAAGTCCCTTGAAAAACAGAATCGTCCCGTATTTAGAAACAAAAGCACCGTGCTTTTGATTCTAAATACGGGACGATTCCGTTTTTCAAGGGACGGTTGGCAACCCTAGTGCACATGGATGCATAGAGTGAGACAAAGAGATAGAGAAGGGTTGGTATCCTTAAGCACTGAGCCTCGAGCAGCAGTGGGTTGAAGCATGGAGGTTTATCTGATGACCAAACTTATTCAACAAGAGACATCCTCAGAGGGTGTCTTCCCCTTCACTATAACAGGTTAGGGGTTTAAAAGGAGGGGGTCCTAATTTTTAAAGGCTCTGCCTCACATTTACTTTTTGAGACTTGCCTATATTAGTTCAACCTGTAGCCTTCTCATTTTCAACTCTAACTGCATGATATTCTCCAAAACCTCATGTAATATGTTGTCAAGTGTCAGTGTGTCTCACAGCTTTGTCTGACCCGACAGATTTAAAACTGGATTAACACTCAGAGATACAGCAACTGCTATGCTGATGACCTTTGACCCCATATGAAATTGTTTACTAGATATGAAGTAGACAAAATAAGTGAAAATATATTCAATTTTTAATATTTATCTCTTAAATTATCATAACAAAGGTTTAAAACAAAAGACTGTTCTTTCAGATTCTTGATCATGACCAATATTGGACCACATAACACCTCTGTCTTTCCTCTGCAGCTCTTTTATTCATTCCAAATGTGACTTCAAAGAGCTTTTGCCACGTGATATTAACTGAGCTCACACTCTTCTCTATTATTCAGGTATACTGCCAGCTGCTCAATATGTGAAATTTACTGGCAACAATGGTTCACAGCTGTTCAAAAAGAAATCGCACAAAGTTTTTTTTCTTGCTATTTGTGACAGCTAGTGAGTTTTTGTTTCAGTTTGTGACAAATAACATGTCTTAATCTGAGGTGTTGTTACCATTTTGGCTCCGGTTCACCTAAAATTCACATGATTCAAAGAAGATTTTTTTTTTTATTGCATTTTAGGAAGGAACCTCGATACAAACTGCATAACACAGATTAAAGGTAATACTCACAAATGCACCAGACTCAGACCAACAAGAAGATCGATTTTGAATATTATAGTTATAGTCATAGTCAACCATTCTGTAAAGGGCCACCCTGTAAAGCACAGTTCTTGATCAGGGAGCTTTGAGCTTGACTTGAACACCACTGGCTATGTCGGAAGTGTGACGTTTAGAGGGCCTTTTTGTCTATAAATAAATGAGTTCATATGACAGTGATGTAGACCATCTGTCTGCAGTGGTCCACACACACATGCACAGAGTACTGGGAGTTTCGATTTTAGACCAAAGGGGACAAGAAAAGCACAAGATGTACAAAAACTTATTTTTACAGTATCATGAGAATTTTATAAAACTGTGCAACAGCAAAAAGGTTATAAATGAACGCTGATGTGAAATATTGAGTTGCTAAATTATAATCGACTAAAGTCGACTTAAGAAAAACAAGGGTGTCAAAACGTGCTCCACAATTGAGGTCGATCAAACTGACCAGCACTCTACAGTTGGCCTATTTTTTTACAGGTTTTCACACCATGGTCTGACATGTCTAAAAGGACGAAGCAGATGTTTCTATTTAAAAGAAGCAGGTTTCAATGAAGCATGTAGCCCTAGGTATCAGTACCACCGGCCTTTTGTCTGAATGCTTCCTGTTCCAGATCAGGGACTTTGAAGTGGTTGTTTGTCTCAGCACAAAACAGTGTATTAATGTAGTGACCAGCATTTACAGCATGTACAGGTATGCAGCACCAGTGGGGCCCGCAAAGACCCTTTAACCACTGTCCTCATTTCGCTCCCTCTTTCTCCATCACACACACACACACACACACACACACACACACACACACACACACACACACACACACACACACACACACACACACTCAAATACATACACACACAATAGTCATTCAAAAGAAATTAATCTCAGGCAAAACAATTGTTATTCATGTTAAGTTTGTTATATGTATACAGGATTGGTGATAATTTAATTCTGTATTTTGTTCAACAACCTTTAATAGTAAAATGTCCTTCATGCTGTAAAATTAACAGAAAAAAGAAAAAGAGATAAAACTGTGAAAATCATCAAATCATCATCTTTTATCTCACAAAATAAATCATTCAGCACCATAATCAATGAACCAATAAGGGAGAGTAAAGATGAAGAGGAGGGACCATGAAGACAAAAGAGGAAACCACCCTGTCCCTCACCAAAGCCTCAACCTAGACAGACATGTCACTTTACAAGTCTCTTCATGGTCATGATGCAACGTTGATCATCACTCTTCAGGGAAAATATTCACTCAACAGGTAAGTGTCTCATTCACAAAGCTCGCTAGCTTCTGAGAAAACCACAAACAAATACACTTTTACATTGCTCACCTTTGATCTGCTGTGAGCACAGCCGAGCGTGCCGCTACTGATGTGCTCCAGCACATGGAAACTTAAAATTCTGTCTTCTGACTCTAGTTCTTTACATCTGAGCTTCGGGCAGACTGTTCTGTGATCGTGTGCTGTCTAAGGATATAAAAATCTGATATCTGCATGCATGCACATCCACTGTGTGTATATTAATATAACACTGTAACTGCAAGGAGTTCAAAGACATGCTAACTGTGTCAAAGCTCTGTGAGGGTGTACTGTACAATTCAGCAGCATCAGGGGAAATTTCATTATTGCACAAGCCAAATTGTGACAAAATCATATTTCATTTGTAGAAATGAGAGATTTGGACAAGGCTGACGAGGACCTCACACCTTTTTAAACAGAATAAATGCAGCACCACTGTTAATTTAGAGTGCAGGGAACTCAGGAGAATCAAAACACAAAACCTAAATGAAACTTAAAACGATCTGTTTTATGCTTAAAGCATTGCAACAGGGTGAAAAGAACGACTGCCATGATACACAATGTGGCCAACAGTCAAAATGAAAGATTATGGATTGGTGTCAGCGAGTTTACTCACTTTTTTGCAGACAGAAGTCACAAAGCGCTTTCCATCAACAATAATAAAAAAAATGCACACAAGTAAAAACCTAACAACAGGCACTAAGGAATATCATAAAAACTAAATCCTTTTAGGTCAATGATGCAGTGACCTTATATGATAAATGGCACAATGAATAGGTTTATTCACAAAAAGTTAACCGAGGGGATGTGATCACAAATATGCTTGCCTAAACAGAAATGTGTTTTCAATTGTTTTTGTAAGACACCAAATAAGAAAACAAGGACAGAGACTTTTAAACGTTCAGTGCCAAGGCCTCTAAAGCACGATCAACTCTAGTTTTAAGCTATGTTAGTAAATTGGAGTTCTGTCCGGTTCTCTGGGTTTTTTCTTAAACTAAAGAATTTTAAACTTAATCCTGAGAGCCCTGTGGTACTCCAATAGGCTCCAAAAAACAGCAACAAGTGTGAGCTATATTAGAGAAAATCTCAGTAACACTTTATTTGACGCCTATCTTTATAACACATTACAAATATATTTATAATGTGTTATAATCATGTTATAGCACTATATAACTATAGTTATAAACACTCATAAATGATCATAATGCTTTATAGCAATAATTACAACACATTATAAAGCATTTTATCATGACTTACAAGGTCAGGTATTATAATGTCTTATAACTGTTAACACCAGTTGCATTGCATTATCTATGTGAGCATTGTTAGTGAGTTTTTAATAGCTATAAGACATTATAATACCTGACCTTGTAAGTCATGATAAAATGCTTTATAATGTGTTGTGATTATTGCTATAAAGCATTATGATCATTTGCGAGTGTTTATAACTACAGTTATACAGTGCTATAATGGATTATAACGCATCATACATATATTTATAATGTGCTATAGAGATAGGCGTCAAATAAAGTGTTAACAAAATCTCTTTCATGAGCAATAATTTGTTTATTATACAATAAAATGGGAGATAACGCTAAGAGGTAATGTATGATCCTCTCCTAGTAAATGACCTTTACACCGCTTGCCGTTAGCATGTCAAATGAAATATATTATTGAACACCACATCAGCCCATGCACTGATTTATTATCATCAAAAGGCGACAATACCAATTACAATACTGCTTTATCATCATCATTTTTGTCATTATTAATTAAGATGATACAATTACTACTGCTGCCACTTACAGGAATTCTCTTCAAATTTAGAAAAAATTAAAAACAAAATTTTAAAAATTAAAAACAACATCGTCAACTCAAGTCGTTTCAATTTGGCATTCAAACTTTTATTTACGTTTGCTAAAAATATGGCAGCAGTGGCTAAAGATTGCAGATGTTGTTGTTTATCGGTGTGTCCCAGTTTAACAATGATGATCAAGCAGACTACAGTCATAAATACCGTAGTGACAAAACTGGGGACTACTTTACATTCATGAACGCAGACAATGAGCCTCACGGAACTGATGCATGCATTATTTTTTTTAATGTTAATCTTTGATATACTGAGCACTCAACATCAGGTTTTAACTTTGAAATGAGAAACAAATATCAGGCCAAAAGTTTAAACTAGATGTGCGACTCTTATCAAGCGTATCATATCTGCAGAGACACTGAAGCTGCCGTAACACCCCTTTCGTTTTCTGCAGTGTTTTCTTTTGTTTTTATTGTTGTTAAAAAATGGTTCAGTTTGCAAATTTTCACCTTTAAACTCATGAATTTAATGCAACTTTAGATAATTTCTTGTTGAGCTCAATTTGATTCGTAGGAATATGGAGTATGTGTAAATGTGCAGGCACATCAAAAAGGAATTCCAGTAAAGAGGCGACAAAATGTCATTTTGTTTCACATCTACTTTCCATTTACAGTCTCAGTCAGAGGACCGAACGGGGTTGTGACTGTGTATACGAAAAAACCTTTGTAATTGCTCGCATTTTTTGTGACCTCTGCAGCAGCGAGCGACCACACACTGTATAATCATAAAAGTTCATTACAGACGTCTTCAGCCTGTGTGAACACTGACGATGGCGCAGGCTTCCGGTAGTTTCTGCACACAGCGACAGCATTTTCATCCATGTATTTTCGATTTTAGACATAAAATTCCAAATATTCTTGTTACATACTTAAATATTTACATATTCCACCCCTGAATACTCTTGCATTTGATATTTCTCGCACCCAAATATGGTCTTACTGTTGATGTTCAAACTTTACTCATGTTTACTCCGGTGTACAGTCATTAGTCACGGTTTCATATGCTGGTAGGGCTTTGTGGCTTCAGAGTGTGTGTCAACGCTGAATATCAAAGCTTTCACAAAACTGAGTACATTTCCACAAATTAACCAGACATTCAGACAAGATATCAGACGTGGTTGTGATTGAGGGAAGTTTTTTTTTTTTTTTCCACATTTGAAAGTCTAGTAAAAAATTGTTTCTGAGACACAGAGAAAAAAAATGAGTCCCTGTAAAAAAAAAAAAAATAAAAAATAAAAAATAATTCAAACTGAAAACAAAAACAAAACAAAACAAAACAAAAAAAGCAACTTAGGCATTAAAAATATAGTTGATTTCTACACCGCCCTGACAGCGTATGTACTAATAAAATAACTTCACACCTGCCCCCTCAACTCTCATTTTGGGTATACTGTCTGAAAGCAATGGAAAAACAGCACAAACCACAGAGAAACATATCCATTCACTACCAGTCAATCCTCGCCGTTGATTTACTAACTGATTAATCTATACAGTCAAGAATTTCCAGAAATGTCAAAACCCTGATAACAACCTGTTATGTAAATCAGCTCTTTGAAACACAGAGTGGGCTCAATCTCTTAGTATCTCTTCTTTGACCTTTTCTTATCAAACTTTTTGTCATATCTGCTCTCTAGCTTCAGAAATGGTCCGAATCAACAACACCCAATATTTTCACTTCCTGGAGCAGGCGGACGCTCTTCGACGCTCTGGGTCTCTCTGTGATGCCGTAATCTCAGTAAAAAGTCAGACTTTCCGAGCCCATCGGCTTGTCCTGGCCTGTGCTAGCAGGAGACTAGCACAGCAGCTAGCCCAGAGAGACACAGACGGCCCTGTTCACTGCACCTTGGAGCACTTCTCACCCCGCACCTTCCAGCAGGTTCTAGACTTCACCTACACACAGACTCTGGAGGTTTCTGTAGAGGACCTGAATCTGCTGCTCAGAGCTGCCCAGCTGCTGGAGATGCTGCCTCTGGAGGAGCAGTGCAGGGAGCAGTTGGATAATCTCCACAGTAGAGACAGAGAAGAAGAAATCACAGATGTCAAAGAAGAAGAAGAACGCGAAGCAGATCAAAAGCATAAAGTAATTCAAGTTGAAGAAGAGGAGCATGAATCTTCTCTCATGAAAGAGGAAGGCCACCGCATTATGATAAAAAACACTTCACCCTCTGATCCCACAAAGATCCACAATCCTCAGTTCCCAATAAAGAAGCCTAAAGTTTCCCCTGTTTCCTCCAGCAGAGACAGTGTCATAACCTGGCCTGGCACAGGCAGCTCCCCTTTCTCTCCCTCCTGGACTTTCCCTGCAAACGTGTGGAATTCTGTGAGCACCCTGAGGCATATAGCAGAGCATGCAGCTCACCCCCTTCAGCCCCAAAACCAGTTCTCCCTCTTCACCCCCCATGTGTTCCCTCTACTTGGTTCCCATTTTCAAAGCTCTGTGATGGGCTACTCAACCTTTCATCCACGTTACTCACAAAACCTGTGTGCCGGCACCTCGGGGATGGGGAGCATAATCAAGCAAAGCCTGTTAAAAAGAAAAAAAAACGACCCAAGAGTGTTTACAGGGGCTGTTCAAAACAAACAGACCAGGTAAGGCAGCCCTCAGACATGTTTTTGGAAACTTGTGTTTATCACTTTAGTGACTCTCTCCCTGTTTTTCCTCTCACACAGTCATTCAGAATCCTCTGATCTGCTAAATTGTTCCCTTGCGACAGCTCCTGTACCTGACTCGCTGCAGTTTGTGTAGATGTGCTGCTCGAGCCTCTAACTTTCCAACCGATGTGGTTTTACCTGTTAACCCTTCCCTGCCAGTTCTAGTATGATCAACTTTTTTTCTTCCCCAATCATAACCCAAACTTTATTTACACTCATAACACCCAAAAACCCCTAAATCCGGCCTTGATTTAATTCTGAATGAGCTATCTACTCTGTGAGACACTAGATAAAGTGAAACCCACTTAACTAAAAATTTGGATTGATTTACCTCCTTTTTTGATGTCTATGCATATTGTACAGTGTTTCATTAATTGCAACCAAACAGTGCAAAGGGGAGCCCCCTAACTTTCTCCCCTCCTCAGCAGTAACCTTCTGAAGATTTTCCACCCACTGAAACCGGGTTTCAGAGTTTTGACTAGCCGATTTGCATCAAAAAGAAATGATTGAAAACAGTCACGTCTTAAACTGAAAAAGTATTTCTCTGTTAGTGTCACCTATTTATAATGTTTGTCCTGTTGTAATAATATTCATGTTACATGTTAAGGGCAAGATTTATAAATGTTCTCTGGTTGGGGATGAAGAGAAATAATCTAACTAAATGCTTTGATTTAAATTTGCAGTATATGTCTACACAGATTATGTCGATTGTTTCTTGCAATTCAGCAAATGTATTTTGACTTGTTGGCGTAGTTACCAGGGGGAACCCAAATCCAGCAGTGAGAGGGTTAAAACCTGCCGACACTGCAGTGCAGGTGTCAATGTGGATCCAGCCTCCACCCCACCAGGTAAACAACAATATAAAAAATAACTCTTTATAACATCAGAGTAAATAGATCACTCTACCATATAGTCATACAGCAGCAGTAGAAGCATTTATCTGGTGTAAAACAGATCCATTTAAGAAGATAAATAGATGTTTCCTGCCGTGACCCCTAACCCCGACAGAGTCCCGCTACATACATTTAGCTACGCAATGGAAAGTGATAAAGAGAGTTGTGGTTTCAAGAGCTCCAGCGCTGCAGAGCAGTAGTGTGGTTAGATCTAGCGAGATACATGCCGTACAGTATGTACTGCAACACAACAGTGCTTTTTCTGAGCCAAATAAAGACATGTTTTTTGATTTATTACACAAAATATGAAGAGGACGCTGCAGTTACACAATAATTAGCAGGTTAGCATGCGCATGTATGAAAGAACGAGCTATGAAAGCTAGCTGTACAATCCAGCTGATAAAAAACAGGTTAATCTGATGTTTGGTATCCCTGCTTAATGGAAAAAAATATGTTCTCACTCCAACAGATAAGGTGCTGGGACAACTCTCGCACAAGAGATTTCAGTGAGAGTAAGATCCCTGAGATAATAACCCTAATATTACATTACTCCTCAATGAAAAACTCGAACTCTTTATATCTTAAAAAAGGCAAACAGTACATAGACAAATTAAATAAATGCATTCATCTCCTGTTTGTGCAACGGCTCATTATCATTTGCTTTTGCTTACTGTTGAAAACAAAAGTGTGTTACTCAGGCCAGTACAAATAAAAGTATTGTTTTTTTTGCTAGACAATGTGATGTGTGAAGTGAGAGCTCAAAGGAAATATTGGACAGGAAACATGCTAATGGCAACAGGTCACAGCAGGCTGTGTTTAGAGTGGGGAGTATTCAATTGTTGTGGTTTTTGACTCTTTTTCACTCAATTTCCCCTCCATTCAGACCCCTCCTCCTGTTTCAGCATCCTGTCTATAAGGGCTTAGGTTTTACTTGAGAAACCTTAAAAAAGAAAAAAAAATAACTACAGGGACAGAAAGCCCTCACACTTGCTAACTTAACCTCAAAGATCACACCTTTGTAATTGTTTAAGAATCACTATCACATGTAGCTGCAGCAGAGATGTTTGTGCAGAGAGACAGGAAAGAAAGTAACAAACTGTATTTGCTGTTTGGCAACACGATACTGACCAACAATAACTTGTGCTTTTAAAAGAGGTTAAAATCACATTCATATATAAAGCCATTAACCAAAATTATGATTATATATTCTATGACTATATTAATCAGGAGGTAGTTATACTTGAGAGCAGGGCAGGAGTGTCACCTTTGGTTATCTGACAAGTTTTTGTTTTCTATTTCTTTTGGATTAGTAAATGTTTGTTGTTTATAAAAGTTTAGAGAATCACAAAAACACTGGACAGTAGATAATTTTATACCAAGTCTTGTTCCGTTTAGATCGTCAGCAACACAAAATTTTTGGCTATGGAAACAGAAAAGCAAAAAAAGCATCACGCAGGAAAGTATGGCAGATATTTATTGACATACTTTGACATTTGATCAAAAAAGACTGTGGCTCTAAAATAAGTTCAAGTACCATAAGAATACATTGGTTATTAATCTTTACAAAAAAAAGAAAATAAAAGTACTTTGACTGAACCCAATTATAAAACTGTAACATAGAAAATGCATGAAAATTCATAGCGTACTCTGTAAACATGTTTACTGATGTATTCAACTGAACTCAACTGATCTACCTGGTATAAGGGTTTTTTTGTTATGTAAAAAAAATTCAGGCCACAGGCTATTGCAGGTCCACCACAACCTTCACACATTCATCTGTTTCCCTCATCTTGTTGTGAACTCAGGAGAGGCCCTCGCAGAGTGTCGGTTCTGTGAAAAGGCCAAAGTGTTGCAGCATGAACTACAATCCAATCAACAAGAACACAGAGGAGAAAAACCGTACCAGTGCCAACTCTGTCCCAAGAAGTTTAGTTTAAAACACCAACTTGACACCCACCACCGCGTTCACACAGGTGAGAACACTGCTCAGACTGCTGCGGGCCACAGAAGTGCTTTGTGTGTCCCTTCACTCATAATGAGGATAAAAAAATAGAAGTACAATTTATCAATATACACAATTTGTCTTTGGAGGAAAAAGAAAACAAACTTAGGTTTTGAGTCTTAGGGTGCTGCTGAGTTCTTACTGGTTATAGGGGCATAAGTCTGAGACCAGACCCTAACGTTTTTGGACCATGGGCCACCACAGCAAAACCTACAAATAATATTCAAAGTCACTTCAAAATAAAATGCATTTCTTTTTTAATGAAAATACGGTGGTGAAATATGTCAAACAATCTGGGTCATCAAGATCAGACACCAGAGCACCGGTCCCCTCAGTGCTACACAACCAGTATGTCCCCATACTTTTTTCTTTACTGACATCTTAAATGTAAATATTGATATAAATAAAGGAAGGAACACATTTCTCATGAATGTATGTCAAAATAAATGTGGTACATTGTAAAGAAATAAAAGCCCACTGAAAGCCTGTATAACTCAAGATTGTGGTAGCTGCAGGGTAAATCTATTGATCATGGGCAAACATGTAGCAGCAACAAGCATCACTATTGAGAGAAGCAAATAATTGGTTATAATTGGTTAGGAGGCATCTCAAATTAGATTTTATACTACTCTTAACTTGATGTTTAATTTTTTATGATGAGGTTTGGATAAACTGCACCGTGGTGAACCAGTTATTTTCACCAGAAACTACACTCCTCTGTATAAAAGGAACACAAGGCTCGATAATATGTGGTTTGGTGAATGGTATATAAAACAAACAAATGTTAGACCAAAGTTTGAGACCCTCTCTCAAGTGTTCTCCTCTCTTCATCCCCCCTTCCTTCCTGTCCCCCTCCTCCTTTCCTCTGCTTGCAGGAGAAAAACCATTTGAGTGCCGTCTCTGTGGACAGCGCTCACGGGACTACTCAGCCATGATCAAGCACCTGCGAACTCATGGCGGCGCGGCACCGTACCAGTGCACAGTGTGCCTGGAGTTCTGCAGCAGCCTGGTGGCCATGCAGAGACATGTCAAAGGTCACGCGGTGCAGGACTTTCCCCCTGACTGGAGCATCAACAACACCTATCTGTATACCTCCCACATCTGAGCCTCACATGCAGACACCTCTGTTGGACACAAGGCTGTCATAGCTTTGAATTTGTTCCTTTCATGTGATGACAGAGTTTCATTTAACACTGGTGATACTTTAAATACCTGAAATGTCCTTCAACTCAACTCATTTTAATTTATATAGTTTTCTTAATATGCAGCTAAAAGTGCTTCATACAGAATAGAGACAAACAGAGAAGAAACAGGTAAAAAAGAGACAACAGTAAATTTTACTTGACTAAAACTGGCAGCAGTAAAACAATTACACGTTTCAATAAATTATTATAGAAATGTGGTAAATGGAATATGAAAAAATAAATTCCAGGGATAAAGTTGCAAAAACAATTATGAAAACCAAGATTTTAGTTTTAACATTACTTGAAATTCAAAGTTAGATTAAATAGAAAGTTTTAATTTCCTCAAAAAAGCATCCCCTCAGAGCTCTTTGGTTTCTGACTTGAATATTAAAGATGGTCTTTGAAAGATTTGTAACAAGTAAAGAAGTTTAAACTTAAAGCTGAAGCTCTTAAAGGTTTTCTACACAAACGTACACTTCTCTTTATCCAAACCGACAAAGAAAGAAGAGCCCTTCTTTCCAATCCCATGCCTGAGAGCGTAATTAAAGCGGTGGCCGTATAACACAAGGGTGCAGTTGTGTATTGCAACCACATAAACAGCTCTCACTCACTGAATAAAATCATTCATCTAACCAATGCTTATAGCGCCCTCAAGGGGTCAGTCCCGCAACTGTTATTTCATTTTTTTCTGCACAAAAATACATTCAGTCAAATACAGTCAAATCACATTACTAAGTGAAAGTCAAATCCGCAGGAAAATTCTTCTATTTCACTCTTTGAAAACAGCAACTTTCCTCTGCTGCTGTGTTATTTCAACAAGAGACATGAAGGAAAAAACTGCTACAGGAATTTAACCTTGTGTTACAGCAAGCGTCAACCTCGAGGTTGACTTGCTTTTGGGTAGAAAGTCAGCTAAATCCCTTATATGGACATTAACTGGAACATTAAAAGAAAACCCTGGTAGGAGTGTATTTATTCAAGTATGGAAGGGAGGACTGCATGGGAAGGTCACTGGCCAGCTCAGGCAGCTTTCACAGGAATATCATTGTGATAGTTTAAAAGAACTTGATGATCTGAAGTAAATACAAAGCAGTATTTTGCAACCACTTTACCTGTCTAAACACCATAAAACTAAAAGACTGTGAAGACATAGTGTTTGTAGCATGTGTATGTACTATTTAACAAAGCATGTTGTTTTGTAGATGTTAGCTTTTAGGCCTGTTTCCTCTAAAAGCTAGTTGTTCACTTGCAATGCATTATCTACATATTTTTAGGGCTGAAAACAGACGTGTCACTCATTTTTCATTGATAGATTTTACTTGATAATTGTAAGATGATGTTTGAGAATACCAGTAAATCAAATAAATCTGTTTCACCAGAAAAACTTGGTGAGAAGTTTTCTTTAGAATTCATCAGTAAATGACTAACCACAGACCTATAACTGAAAGAGTTGCTGCCAAGTAGTGTGGAAATGTTTCTGAACTGGCTCTGGCTCACTAAAAAAAACGGAACATTTCGTCTTTCTAGGTTTAAATGGACAAAGAGGACTTAATGTGACTGGTATAAAAAATGACATGAGCAGTTTGAAAATTATTAGTCTCTATGAACTGAAGCTGAACATGATTTGGATTCAAAGAGTTTGAGTGAATTTCAGTTTTTCACTTTTAGAAAAGCCAGCTGACAGTGATTATATCTCACCCCTGCGCTGCCTCTGTTACTTCCTCTTATGTCAGTACATGGGTGAGATGTCTTGGTGACATTCAAATTGAAGGGGAGCAGTATGAAAAGTACTAATGTGAGATAGTTAAATGGCTGCACTTGTACAAGTAAGGAGCAATACTTCCTCTCTGTGTTGCCCTCTCATTGAAAGAGGAGACACATGGCACTGCATGAAGTTGAATAGTAACACAGCTCACCATGACTATGTATTATTTTCGTATTTCACATAAAAACAGCATTCATTCATTCAACTTCTGCACAAACAACCATCAGGGTGTGAAGTAGAATCTTTCCATACATTTAGGTAAAGAAATATAGAGTGATTATCTTTTATTAAGGGGTTACAAATAAGCTAATCTCCAGGAAAATTAAGATTAATCTAAACAAAGTGGTGAGTTTCAGAAGAGTATGACATGTCATCGTGGTTAGTCTCCTGGAGGATAGATGCATCCATGATGATGGTAAAAGCACGCACACACACACACACACACACGCACACGCACACGCACACGCACGTATATTAGAGATAAAAGGAGTGCACAATGACTGTATTCAGATGCACACCTGACAGCATAAAAAGGAAGTAGGAGAAAAGCCTGGGATGTTTTCTTCGAGTTTGGTCAAGACTCTGTTTGTCATCTGTGCTGATTTCTACATCTGTTCAATAAAAGACACCCAGGCTGCTCTTCAGATCTTATCCTGTCTCCTGTGCGTTGCTTTACTGAGTATACAGTATGTTGACTTCCCACAACAGGTGTTAATATGAAAACTTTGAGGGGATTTCACATTAGGTAGATATCAATGAAATTCATAGTTTATTAGGCCAGGCTGTTCAGAATTAATCTGGTTGGATTAAAGTCATCAGATAGGATTGGTTTGATTTTAAAAAATCAGTTGTTATTTTCCCATCAGAGGGGTGGACTCGGGCTGGATTACAGGAACACAAAACATTAAAACTGTTAAATTGGCCAAACAATACAACATTTTTACAAAGCAGGTTGGGGACTTTTTATTTTTTATTTTGAAACATTTTGCACTTGAATGCTGTGTTACTACAAAAAAGAGAAGATGTGGTGGATTAAAGTTTGTTTCCATAAAACAATTAATGGGATAGCTTTCAATATCAGACATAAAATATATAGTTAAAGGAAAAATGAGTGAACTCCTGACACCTTTTGGACAATTTGTGCATTCTTTGGAAAAGAGTGCAAGGGTGAAAACTGGACTAGTTTTAATCACATAATTAGCCCTCCCAGATATTTCAAGAGGATGTGTGAGAGGACTTACTTTCATTTTGTAAGAATTTTGGCAACACCCCTTTACTTGTCAGCTTCATCCTGTCTATTTTTCTTTAAAGACTAAAGACAAAACTAAAACTGAATTTAAATTTTGTTATCTAGTCATGCTTCAAAAAAATGCTAAAAATTAAGACTTAAGATTCTCTGAATCTTTCATTGTTATGAACAGAAAAGTTATTCTGAAACTGTTGACCTGTTCGTTCATACAGACAAGTAGAAAAACAACTAAACATGCATTTGTTTTTAAGTTTTGAGTGTAAAACTTGGCCTCATAGGTGACCTCAGCAAATACAATCTGACATGGAAACTCTTCAGCAGTGGTGAGCCTGTCAGGGCCAGCAAGGCATTCTCTATCTACTTGTTTGAGCTGCTTCCAATGTTGTATATTATGATAGAATTTTTTATCCAATCATATTTCAGCTAGCTTGTGTTGTCAGGTGCCATGAAATCTGCCCAAGGCCTTCAGAATCAACAGAGCAGGCTCCTTTAAGTGAGCCGACACAGTCAGTTGCAATAGCCAGACAGACCTCGAGTCTGTGACACCAAGACCAGCTAGAAGGTCTTCCGCATAGACGGTATGTACTATGGACACATTGGCTCCGCTTTCCACCATTATACGAATTAGAAGCCAAATTGCTCTCAGTATTTCTCTTGGATTTTCTCTGGTGGTGGCGAGTCACTGTGATGACATTCTGCTCAAACAGCGTATCCCCCAGCTGAGCTATGTAAACTCTATATCAAGTGTCAATTATAGAATAACTTTTCTAACTTTTCTCTAATAACTTTTGAAAATGGAGCTGCAAAGAAAATATAGGACTTGAGCACAAACCAGTCTTATAGTAACTACGTGTCAACATCGTAGAGAAAAATGTATGTTCTGTGTAACTAATTTATACAGTTTGTCCACAACTCCTTAAGGATTGCTGGAGGAGGCGGGATTTATGACCTATACTGCAGCCTGTCACCAGAGGGTGCTGTTCTAGGGGTGGCTTCACCCAGTCCATTCTATATACAGTCTATGGGTAGAACTAAGTGGAACGTCACTGAAGGCCTAGGCTCTTCAGTAAATCTCTGACGGCAGAGGCTGCTATGTAAAGAGCCCATCATTTTTTACTAATCTCATTCACGCACACTGGACACAGCCAGCAGGGGCAGGTGGGGGTCAAGTGTTTTACGCAAGGACACCTCAGCATACCTGGGATTGGATGTTTAACCTTCCAACTGGGAGGGAGAAGACTCAACCACTGAGCTGCCCTCTGTGTTTAGAATTTCTGCTTTCTAAAACAATGAGACAATGATTCATTTGGTTTGCTCAGAAAAAGAAATCCCAAACCAAACCAAATGATTCACAAATGCTAGCTGCTTTAAAAGGGGAAAATTCCAGTTTCTTGCAATAAACCTCAGGAATAACATTAGGTTATTGATAAATTACACAAATGTTACAATAAATGTAGTGACTAAAGATGTGGAGGGGTAACTGACCGACAAAAATCAACAGAGTTTCCGCCCACATCCAAGAGTCACTTACAGGGCAGAGCCGGAGTTTGTTGCTCTGTCCACATGACTGTGTCTAAAGGGCCAGATGTTGGTGTTACAGAGGGGTCTGCTAGTGTTACTTAAAACTGAATCACTGAGGACTTGAGGGGGGTAACATTATATAAAGGTGCGTGTGGCTCAGAGCTCCTTGGGTTGGTGCTAATTTATCAGCTTATTGAGTTTGGTTAAGGCAGTGCCAATCAATGTCCTCGTGTATAACTTGGACAGTGGCTAATAAACATTTCTATTCAAATCTATATTTCAAGACAACGTAGGTCTCTCTCCATGAGCAGTAATGCAGAAAGCTTCCCCTAATTTCATTTGACTGAGTGTTACAACTCAGTGTGTTGGGGAAGACATCCACACTTAAACCAGCTGTTTTTGTTTGAGAAAAGTTATTTGTTAGAAAAAGGAGCAAACATTTTGATGCAACAAAACAAGCTGAGGCAAACTGAAAGGGCCGGTGAGTGCTATTTAAAAAAACAGTTAAGGACAAGAGAGCTCTAAACCAGGGGGCCATATTCAAAGGGGGTGCGGTGACACTGACCATATTTGAAGATTGACTGGCCACTCCAGGTGTCATACCCAAATCCTGAGATTGGCTATTTCCACCATCAGAGATGGCACTATGATTAAAATCAAGGATTTGAGATCCATCAAAAGGCCAGCAGTGGCTTTGGAAATGTAGCACAAAGGTAAAAACAAAGCCTGACTGGCTATCCAGTCTACCCAAACAAAACAGTGAATAAAGCTGGCCTGGAAAAGGGATATTAAATACCTCAGGCACAGCAGTTTGAAGCAAGCACATGGTGCACAGGAAGGAAAAAGAGGCTGCATTTTATACCTCAGTAACACCAAGTGTCTGTTCCTCAGCTGTTTGTTTATGTCTGTAATTATTTCAGGAGCATTCATCAAGTCATATAAAGACCAAAAATGATTATCTATACTTTAATTTTCAGAACAATTCATGTCTACACTTGAAACAAAGAATAAATATGCATAGACATGATTTTCTTTGTTGCTAGGGAAAACCATAGACTGTATATAGAATGGACGCTGTCTGCCTCCTCACTGGGTGAAGCCACTCTGAGAACAGCACCCTCTGTTGACGGGCTGCAGTATAGGTCATAAATCCCGCCTCTGCCAGCAAAACTTATGGGGCTGTGGACAAACTTTAGAAATTTATTATACCAAACATATCCCCCACCCCCTGCTTGCGATGTTGACATGTAGTTACTGTCCCCAGAGCCTAGGACGTCTCAGCCAGCCTCTGGCTCTTTCAACCCTGCTTTATCAGTAATAGATTAAACATAAAAGGCAAATGACGAAGAGGAAATGATGGTGTAAAGTTTAAGTCCTATTGTTAGGAAGTAAGAATTCACATGTCGCCTTAAAGTTTCCCTATTTCAGTCAGTTTGAGTCACAGCTTAGTTTTTTTCTTTTTGCCTTCTTTGGTATGAATACAGAGGAGACCAGAGGTCGTAGTTGGATATAACGTTTGGAAACAGATATCAAAAATAGAAATAAACAACTGGTTATTTGATTTTTTGTTTTAAAATAGAAACACAAAATAGAAATACAGCTTGATTTTCTTTTCTGCCTTCTGAAGCAAGTAAGAAAAATTCAAGTAATTCAAATAGTGATTTTTTATTTTTAATTTCTAAAAAGAAGTCAGATTAGATAGATTATGGAGTAAGTGAAAATTCTACAAGAATAAAGTAATAAATTCACGAGAATAGAGTCATAACATTACTTCAAGCCGTCATCTGCTGGTGTCGGTCCACTGTTTTTTATCAGGTCTGAGGTCAGTGCAGCCGTCTACCTGGAAGTTTTATATCACTTCATGCTTCACCCTGCTGACCAGCTTTTTGGAGATGCTGACTTCATGTTACAGCAGGACTTGGCATCCGTGCACACTCTTATAGGTACCAATATGTGGTTTAAGGACCATAACCTTGGGGTTGATGGGCCAACAAACTCACCTGACCTAAACCTCATAGAGACTCTATGGAGTATTGTGAAGAGGAAGATGTGAGACACCAGACCCAACAAGGCAGAAGAGCTGAAGGCCACTATCAGAGCATAACACCTCAATAGTACCGCAGACTGATCGCCTCCATGCCAAGCCGCATTGCTGCAGATGTCTTATATACAGTCTATGGTCTGCACCTGTGTCTCCGTGTCTCACCTGCCTCTCGTTGCTCGTTTCTCCGTGTGAATATATAGTCCCTGTCTTCCCTTGTTTCCTTGTTGGCTCATTGTTCTATGTGTGTCTGTATGCCAGTGTCTCCTTGTGATTATTTCCTCACAGTGTATTTTGTTGGATTCTGGATTTTTGGTTCATCTGGATTTTGCCTCTTGTGTTTTTTGCCTTTGGGGAATTTTCTGTTTGACATTTAAAGTTTTTGTTGCTTTTTATTTATTTTTTTATTATTATTTTTTAATAAATCATTTTTCTTCTGCATCTGGGCCATTTCCTTCTTGTTTAACTCCAAACCGTGACAAATATATCACGGCAGATGACCATCTTTGTTTTAGAGTAGGAATTTGAATATTATAAATCCCTAAATGCATTTTGGCTTTGAAATCAGGGGCTGTTTGAGCCATATGCACCAACCTGTAAAGATGGGCATATGGACTGGAAACATCTCCTCATTTGTATAAAAAGTAAAAATGGATGAAAATGTTTAAAGAAAATCATACAACATGCACAAGTTGCATGAAGTAAAACAAAATGAAATACTAAAAATATATATCACTTGGTGTTTCTATTTTACATCATCTTTTTTGTTGCTCACATTCTTCTGGTGCAACACTGGTACATTGAATTCCATGGCTGTTCACTCACTCTCACTAAGTCTTAAACTTATGTATCTGACCTTTTTAAAATATTGTAATACCATTAAAATACCATTTTAAAGACTCAACAGGGATCGTCAGACAAGCTACACAAGACACCCACGGAAACTGTCTATGGCTCATGTGGGTGGGTGGTACTACTGAAAAGTTCATAACTTTAGAGCTCAACTTTTCCGACTTCAGAAGCTCAGAAATGGCAGGGCACTCTCGGAAATGCACAGATCTGACAAAACGATGGAGCAAGCAGAGGTTAGAATGTGTTTTGTGTCCACTGCGTGCAGGTAAGCCATTTTTTGAGAATATTATATGACATTACAAGATATGATATGAATTATATTATATTATATTAATTATATGTCAATATAGGACACGAAGTCACCCCGAACTGTGGTTATGATGATCGTGGAGGGCGACACGAGAGTTCCTTCAAACCGTGTGAGCCGGGTACTTTTAATACCGGCAGCTGGCCATATTGTAAGATTTGTGCTTCGTGCCCACCTGGGTATCTCATTTCTCACCCATGTAGCACAACTTCTGACACGAAGTGCGAAGAAACAAGGTACGAAAATAGCCGTGTTAGAAAAATGAAATAACTGCAGAATAGCGGAGCTCCTGTTTACAGAATAGACTCAAGCAGCTCCATCTTACAGTCTGCGCTTTGTTTTCTTTTTTGGTTTTGCATAGACATGGGGCAGCAGCAGTTCCTGACAGAGTAAGTAGACTTTCCTTTAGAGATTATTTTTGACGGGTTCAGAACTCATACTTTGTCATTATCTCCTCATAGGAGCCTAGGACGTCTCAGACAGCATCCGCCTCTTTCAACCCTGCTTTAACGGTAATAGATTAAAGATAAAAGGCAAATGACGAAGAGGAAATGATGGTGTAAAGTTTAAGTCCTATTTTTAGGAAGTATGAATTCATATGTCACCTTAAAGTTTCCCTATTTCACGGTTTGAGTCACAGCTTAGTTTTTTTCTTTTTGCCTTCTTTGGTATGAATACAGAGGAGACCAGAGGTCGTAGTTGGATGTAACGTTTGGAAACAGATATCAAAAATAGAAATAAATGACCGGTTATTTGATTTTTTTTGTTTTTGAATAGAAACACAAAATTAAAATACAGCTAGATTTTCTTTTCTGCCGTCTGACGCAAGTAAGAAAAATTCAAGTAATTCAAGTAGTGATTTTTTATTTTTAATTTCTAAAAAGAATCTAGATTAGATAGATTATGCAGTAAGTGAAAATTCTACAAGAATAAAGTAATAAATTCACGAGAATAGAGTCATAACATTACTTCAAGCCGTCATCTGCTGGTGTCGGTCCACTGTTTTTTATAAGGTCTGAGGTCAGTGCAGCCGTCTACCTGGAAGTTTTATATCATTTCATGCTTCACCCTGCTGACCAGCTTTATGGAGATGCTGACTTCATTTTACAGCCGGACTTGGCATCCGTGCACACTCTTAAAGGGTACCAATATGTGGTTTAAGGACCATAACCTTGGGGTTGATGGGCCAACAAACTCACCTGACCTAAACCTCATAGAGACTCTATGGAGTATTGTGAAGAGGAAGTTGTGAGACACCAGACCCAACAAGGCAGAAGAGCTGAAGGCCACTATCAGAGCATAACACCTCAATAGTACCACAGACTGATCGCCTCCATGCCAAGCCGCATTGCTGCAGTTGCCCCAACCAAGTATTGAGTGCTATACACATTCACACTTTACAGTAGTCCAACATTTCTGTGTTGAAAATACTTTTTTGGTTATATTCTGGTTTTCTGAGATACTGAATTTTGCTCCCAGAGCTACCACCTTATCGTGGTGGAGAAATTTGTGTGCCCCAATGATCCCAGGGGCTCGCTCAGATGTTGGGTGCTTTTACGTCCCTGGTAGGGTTACCCAAGGCAATGTAAATATACTGCTCCAGGGGGCAGGTGTATAACAACCAGGCCTTGGAACAATGTCACAACAAGCCCCAACTGACCTTTTGATAACTACCACAAGACTTATGCTAATGAAAGCTTGAACTTTCACTTCATAATTGTATGATTGTGAAATGACGACAAACCTTGAAACTTTTAATACAGAAATATAATCAGCATGAAAAATGACGGCGACCCATAAAGATCACAAAAGTTCCTCTCACCTCAGAGTGGTACAGCTGATTCAAAAATCTTACGCGAAGAAGCAATCATCACATTACACCAAATATCTGATACGAACATGATGACACACAACCTTGGGATTTGGCTGTAATAAGCAATCTGACGACTAAGGAGGAGTTGGCCAACAATGTTTTTGCGCTCCAGTTTTTAAGTCAAAGTAACGCAATTTTATCATTGTTAATATTCTCACAATTTCAGTGTATAGCTACAGCAGGTAAAGAATTCCTTGTCTGATTTGTCTGTCATTCATTTATTTTATATAAATATTTATATATGCTACTGTATATGACAGTTTAAACTAACAAAGGCTGTTATTACATTACATTTGATTTTGTTTACATTTCACATTCAGACAAACCAGGCTGACACTTTATCACAAAGTGCAAGAAATTCAGTGCAAGCCACCAGTCCAGATCCAGTACTGTGTAAGTTTTGTGAGCAACATGGAAGCACATTTTATCAAATGAGAGCATCATTATTTATTTTCTTCGTTTAATCCTGGTCAATTTTTTTGTACAGGGGCAGTACCATTAGCCATCTTTATTTCCATTATGATGCTTGTGTTGCTGCTCGCCTTTGTCTTTTACAAGAAGCGAAAAAATGGTAAGAATATACAAAGTGCATAAAAACTGCATGTGGAGCTCATAGACCAAGAAACTGCACTAAAGCTGAGCACTGTCCCTTAAAGGAGCAACCTGTTATTTGATTCATGTAATACTAGTGGAGCTTGTGGGTGGTGCAGACATTTATATAACTATAATTATGTCATAGCTGTGTTTTTATTTAACTTTTGGGCTGGTTTCAGGTCAGAGCACAGCTCTCAGTTGCAGCCGCAGATCATCGTACATTAACACAGGTTTCTCTCCCCTGTCTTCCCAACCTGCCATCAGACATCTGGAGGATGATCTGAGTGAGTATAACTAACACTGTGATCTTTTGAGGGGAATCTGTAGTGAACGACTGCAGTTTTCAGTTTGGCCTGATCCAGTTGCATGCTTTGTTTGGCATGGCACTACAGAGCCTTGTGTATACACAGGAATCTCATCAAATGACATGGAGAAATGGAGGACAAGATGTACAAACCAAAACTTAACACACGTGTGTACAGTGTCAGTAAAAAACTTTGATGTTTGGGTGTTCTGTAGGCCTACAAAGTGTAAATAAAACACAAAATGTTTGGTTAAAACGATGGCAACAATATGCAGAGCGAAAATTAAGGGGTACATATTTGTAATGCCTCAGAGTTTCCACATCCATCTGCTGTTCAAATCCAAAATTCAAAATTTTCCAAATTGGCAAAAATGAAGCTGAGGGACTATATTGAGGGAAGGCTTATGTAACACTGTAACTCCAAGTCCAAGAGGCATTGGCCTCAGTGCAAAAAAAAAAAAAGAAAAGAAAAGAAAGAGAAATATGAAAAGAAAATGAAAAGAGTTGGAGCAACAGTGAAGTAATTTAGTGGCGTGGACGGCCCAAAACAGGATGAGTACCAAACCCCACCAAGGTTTGGAGCAGGTTCTGTCTCATTCCAGTGAAATAATCATATAGTATGATACTAATTATCCATTTTGCCATTAAAAAAAAACAGTTTGTTTAAGCTGAACTATAACAGTATAAAGTTTCTTGGCAGAAATAGATGTGGCTCTTAAAGGCTGAAATTTGTATTACAACAGTGTTCAAGTAAGAGAAAATTCCTCAATGCTGCCTTTAACGGCTTGTGTCATTCTTGTGCACAGGTCCTGAAGTCCAATCAGCACCCATGAAGACAGTTCTTGACAATCTGGATGTTTTGGAAGAGCTGGTAATTTTGCTGGATCCAGAAAGCCATGGAGTGAAGAACACGAAACATTTGGCATCTCTTTGCTACTTTCCCTCTACCTGGATCACCTATGCTTACTCAATGAAAGACAGCAAGAGTCCTCTGAAAGCTGTGTTGGAGGGGGTCACCAGCAGGAACCCTGACTGGACGGTGGGACACCTGGCTAAGCTACTCCAGCAGCTGGATCGAAACGATGCAGTTGATGTCCTCTACAAAATCAGACTGAGTGAGGTGGATGTGTAGCATTTTTCCAACCCTTAAATTACTCTTTGCAGGTGTTATTCATCTTCATTCCTGTTAGATTGGAATTGCCACCATAAATCCCTCATTCAGAGACTTGACCGACAGGGTTTAAAAGTTGCTATCTCATTGTCTCATTCTGATATTATTTCACTTAACTTCTCCGGTGATGAAGTAATTGAGTTATCTGGTTATTCTTGGTTCAGAAATAATAGAAACAGGCATATAAGAGCGTTAAAGGGCTCAGGAGGAGTTGGTCTCTTGGTTAAGAATGAACTTTTTGATCATTTCAAGATAAAAAATGTGGATAAATCTATGGATGGTATTATTAGGGTATTATTTGACAACCGACACCTGCAGTATAGTTTTGTTGTCTTTTCTTGTTATCTACCTCCAGAGGGATCTGTACGAGGAAGGGACTGTAATACATTCTTCAGCAATTTACTTACTCAAGTGTACTCTCTGAACAGTCGGATTGCAGATAAAGAAGACTGTACTGAGAATGTAGATACTATTCCAGAGAGAGTGGCAATAGATCTGTCTTATAATAGTCATGGTGAATCATTTCTGGATTTTTTTAGGGACCCCAAATGTTGTGTGTTAAATGGGAGACTTAATCCAGAAAATGATCATTTCACTTCAATATCAGTGAGGGGAAAGGCTGTGGTTGATTATATAGTGACATGACATGACGGTTTGGAGTCCTATGTCGAATTTCAAGTAATCACTTCGACAGATCTTATGGACAGGTGTGACCCAGCAGCTATTGATCTTATTGGAGAAAGATGTCACATACCCGATCACTCGTTATTAATGTTAAGATTTAAGACAGGGATCCAAGGGAGAGGTGATGACACACCTGTTACTTATCCAAAAAGGTATTGTAGATCCACCAACTTGAAACTTGTCAAGGTCCACAGAATATGGCTGACAGATGCTATAATTCACTCTGCAATCTGCTAACTACAGAAATGGATAAATGTCTACCGAGAAATTCTCATAAGGTACCCAAGAAAAAGTGCATCAAACAGTATTGGAATGACCACCTTAAGCAACTGTGGAACAGCAAGAAATTAGCTGAAAAGAGCTTTTTAACGTGTAAAGACCCCTTTTTGTTAACAGAAAATGAGAGATGGATATAGACAAGCACAATCTCTGTTCGATAAGAATCTACGATTCTATAAAAGGAAATTTTGGAAAGGACAGTCCCTAAAATTTGATTATTTACGAACTAATAATCCACAGCAATTTTGGAAAGAGATTAATAATTTGAGCCCCAAAAGAACGCAGACAATACCTATGGAGGTTATAATAAGTGATGATTTCATTGAAACTAAGAGAGAGCTTGTGCTTATAAATGGGAACAAGGTTTTGCTGATTTATTTGCTAGAAATCGCTATTATTGCTACTGCTTCGTTATTGTAAAACACTTTGGTAGGCCACTGGCTGTTTAAATGTGCTATACAAATAAAATTGACATTGACATTGACAAATCAGATTTCTTTAAATTTTGATGCTAATTTTCTGGAAGAAGCTTGTGCTCTAAAAGATGATATGGAAAGGAATATGTGCCAAGACGAGTATTTGTTTAACACAACTTTGAATTCTGATATCACTCTAGAGCAGTGGTTCTCAAGTCCAGTCCTTGAGAATTATGTGAATTATGTGAACTCAGTAAAGTGGAAAGTGAATCACATTTTCTGTTATATTGCTCTTTGTATGTTGAACCGAAAGCTTCATTATTTACAAAAATGTGTGTTAAAATCCCCAAAACTTTCTGGTGCCCTGACGATGATAGAATGAACTGGTTGTTCAACTTTAATGTCTTTAAATTAGCTTATTATGTCTCTAAGGCCTGAGAAAAATGTCAGGAATGCTTGTTGCTATAATATGTCTTTTCTTTGGTGTCTTTTATCCCACTCGGGCTGGGCACTTTCTGTGCATGACACAATAATAAAAAAAATTAAATGAAATGAAAAATGTCTCATTGTGTTTGAAAATTCCCACTCTGCTGCTTTTATCCTTTTTTGTGATTCCTGCCAGCTCATTTTAAAAAAATGCGTTTGTGTTGGCAGCATTAAGAGGTTAACCAGCATGTCTGATATGACATGCCTTCTGCTCAGAATCCTAAAAATACAACCTGTATTTCACATCTGCTTGGGATCTGCATATATGACACCTTTTAGATTTTTTAATATCCGTATTTAACAACATATTTACCCAGTTTTACATTATAAATGTACATGATATACTGAAAAATTACACAACAAATGTTAATTTCTTCAAGTCGATTGTTTTTAAAAAGCCTCTCATAACATGCGTTTTATTGCTTCACATAGTTCACATTTTCTACTCTGACTTGTTATAATAAAATTGGAATTGTTCAAACATCTTAACATCTTTATTAAGCAAATGACATAAATAAAAAAGTGCATAGAAAAATTAAACAGGTTTAGAAATATGTATACAAATATTTACAAACTCAGGGTTTTATTTGTACATAGTAACAAAGACGTAAATTTAAAGATCACATATTTTCTCATTTTTTATGTCTTTTATACACTTACTTTAAAATAACCCTACTTTATATATTTATTTATTTATATTTATATATGTGTGTATATATAACATACAGCTTTCTTAACAGATTCTGGGAGAGATGGTCATGATAACTTAAGGTTTTGACTAGTGCTTTGCATCCTTCATCGCAAACACACACATTATGACCCCCACAAACACTCTTACATACGCACTCACACATGTACACACTAGTTCTGCAAGACATTAAAACCAAGCTACTCTTAAATTATCATCCTCTCTTTTTGCATCAGTATTCCCAAACATCTGTGTAAACAGCTGAGGTAGAATCCTTGCAAAGGAGTTGGGAGTGACTCTGCTCTTGTTGTCAGCTGGGTGATTGACACAAGTTCACCTGGGCTCCAAGTGATTGGACATGCAAGAAGTACAAAGGATTAGGATAAGGACTCAACATGATGGAAATTAAGGTTTAAATGGGGATGATGGGAAAAAAAAAAAAAAAAAAAAAAAAAGGGGAAAAGTATGATCATGGGCTTGGGGAGGCAACAGTGCTCACTTCACTCCTGTGGCTGATTCTAAGACCGTCAGTTATCTACAACAACAGAAAAATTAAATAAAACTGATTCTTTAAAAAAACAAAAAACAAAAAAAAAACCTGCTTTGGGACAGTTTGTCATGGAGGCTTAAACACATGACAACACCAGCCCAAAAGAAAATTCAAGTAAATTAGTGAAACAAAGGACATCATTAAAAAAACCGAATAACTGGGGGTGATCCCCTGATACACTGGACCGCCACCATTTATACAAAGCACAACCGTTTACCTTTTAAAATAGAAATCAAAACATGAATAAATAGAACTACCAGTTTGAATAGACTGAATTAGAATAGCCTGCTGAACATCGACTAAGAACAACATTAAAGGTCAATAAGGTGCTGAGTGCGTCTCTCAGCCCCATGCTTCCACTGAACATTTTCAACTAGAAAAGTCTATGTTCCCAGAAATCCTGGAGCACGAGCCGAACACACACACAGTCAGTGGCGATACTTTTTACCAGTGCTTTCCCTGATTAAGAGACAAACTGTAGCAGGACCAAAAAGATGTAAATTGAATGTTTGATGGATATCTATGTGCAACTTTAGGTCAGCAAAGTCTTATTGCAATAGGTAATGCACATTTGCCATGACAGTAATAAAATATATATTTAAAAAACGGATATCCACCACAACTCTTCACTTTTGGCTTGGGTAGTGTTTGCTACATACACTGTACATCAAGAAACAAAAGAAAGACATGTCTCTGTCTTAAGAAATATGACACTGGTGTTATTGACTTCAACTGTTACGACGCAATACTCCATTTAAACCTCAACACAGGAAGAGCGTGGCTGACAATAGCAAACCTACTGTGCAAGTAAGTGTGAAAATAAGAAGACAATTTGTATACCAATGGGTTATATAAGAGTACTGCTTGAGTGCATAAATTTAAGATACATGGCCCCAGAGTGAACCGACAGCTCAATAATTCCTGATTTACAGAACAGTTTCAATTAACTAATGACTTAAAGATGTCTGAAAGCTTAGCACCATGGTTGTTTTGTTTTCCGCCAAAAATGAAAGTTTAAAAATAAGAAAATATCAACAACAGGAGAAGTGTTAAATAGGATAAAAAAATAAAGGTTTGGGTAAATGTATGGCTCAAGAACTGACCTCAGCACTGCGCGGTGGGGGCTGTAATGCTTCGAACTAGAGGATGGAGCGATCTTCATTACAAGGGTACCACAGAAAGACAGAGATCCTCTCCAGAAATGAAGAAAACGAGTGGGGAATCTCTCAAAGCCCAGCTTAAGTTTTTTTCAGCAATGATTCGAACAGATAAGGCTTGACGTGTAAATCAAAGAAATTCTGTTGGTATTGTCCGCGTTGATCCAGGAACCCTCTCGTCCTTTAAATATGTTTCAAATGTCTTATTCTCATGAACAATAAAACCACTTCCTCTGCTCCGGTGGTACTGCTGTGCCAGCTGTACATCTGAACTCTTTACAGGCAGAGGAACCTTATGAACACATGAAACTTTTCAAAAGTTAATGCATTACCTGTGCAGGTTTTTCCTCTTCTTCCTCTATTCCAAATTCTAAAATAGTCCACATTTCGCCTTCGCACTACCAAATACTCCTGACCAGTCTCATAGTGGCTTTTCCCCCCTGCTGTGCAGACTACTCTCTGCTCCCCTAAGCCCAATCCAGTGCCACCTTAATTTAAGGCTTACTAGTAAACAGGTTGCTCCTCTTTTTCTCAGAGGAGGGATGCCTCAGTTCAGGAAACGGCGACAACGCCGGGCCCCGCAGTTGCAACCGAGTTTGTTGCTGGCATCCTCAATGGGGAACTTATAGTCGTAGGTAAGCTCCTCCCCTCGATAGATCTTCCTCAGGGCAAAGATGACGATGTGCTTTCGACCCTCCACATTTATCACACGGGAGTAGCAGTTGGGCTCACAGGAGTGGTTGATGAATCTTGCTGCGTTTCCGTGCATGGTCGCATCCACCACGTCAAAGTCATCAATGCGGAACATGTAGCAGCCGATACCCTGAGGAGGAAGAGAAAAAAACTTACTGATATATCTTCAAACCTTACCCAACTTCAAGCAGTCAGCTAACGCAGATACTAAATGACCTATAAGTGCACAAAACTGATCAAAGCGATAAAATTTCACCCACCTTGCCGTCGTAGTATTTCTCCCTTTTGTCAGTGAGAACTGCACGAATGACGATGCCGGCATATTCAATCACCATCTCTCCTGCTTCAATGTTCCTCTTGCAAAACAGACCACGCCCATGGATAGCTGACCTGAAAAACACACACACGTACACACAGTTAGGCACAGAACGACTTCATTTTGCTGAGTCTGTTTAGGTGCAGACTTAAGGAGGACCTGCCGTCAAAATTTCATACCCATTTTTATAATTTTTTCATAATCCTTGATGTCCTCTGATCATGTTTGCAAAATAATTTTAGCTGAAAAGTTATTTGATGGTTTGTTTTAGTATGCCTAAAAAACCTTACGGGAAAACCAACTGATTTTGGCTCATTAACATTTATGGTAATGAACTTTGCTCTGATTGGATCGCTGCTGTGAAGCCTGCTGTGCTCTGATTGGCTCAGCAGTGGAGGTTCGGATTTCGGTTTATCCATTTTGCTAATGTGTGCTAAAGTAAGGTGACCAGATGTCTGTAATGAAATCCGGGGACATTCGGTGCGGCGGCGGTGCAGGGGGTGCATGATCAAAGACAAAGTCTCGGTACTATTTAGTAGCAGCGCACGCCCCTTGTAATAACCCCCGTAAGAACTGTTGTTCAGGACTGCTAACTTGTGCTTCCTACCTATTCGGCTACTGTAATAACCGTTGTTCGAGCCCACACGCAACATTTTTGTTCTCATTCATGAAACGCTTAAATCGGGGACATTTTCGGGGACAGCTTTTGCCGGGGACAGGTCATCCAATTCGGGGACTGTCCCCGGAAATCGGAGACGTCTGGTCACCTTATGCTAAAGGCTAAAAATGGCAGGTATTAAACCATATATTTTAGACACCGAGTCCGAGTCCGAAGAGGAGGTGGAAGTTGAAGAAGAAGCCGGAGAGCGAAAGAACTAATTTCGGTGCTCCAGCGGTGTTTTCTCATTCATTCTGCCCAGCTTTAAGTTCATTTTCCCAGCAGTGAACCCAAGGAAACACCCAAGAGACACATAGCGGATACAGTGGTAGCTGGGTCGCGCTCTGGCTGGAGATGTTGACTGTGACTGGGTACGAGAACGAGAGAGTGGGCGCGGCTCACCGAGGACGCGCTCGTGAATAATAATGAGCAAGGTCAGCTTGACGTCAGAATGAACTGCTTTTTCAATTGGCCTGGTTTACCCGTTCCATTATTTTAAACCTTTACAGAATGCAAACGACGTAACGGTTTATTTTCACATTTCCAACATAAGACGAACATAATATGGACTTAATCTGACACACAAACATGCAAAAAATACATTTTTGGTGGCAGGTCCCCTTTAAGAGACAGGATGCCATTTCCCTCCAATATTTTGCTATTTAGGAATAACTTTGCACTGAAGTCATGTAAATTGAGGATGAGGACATACAAGAGAACATCAATACAGTTGGAATAGTCTGTTTAATCTAAGCAATAAAAATGTAGTTTTAGATTTTTTTGACTCATAAGCTGCGGATATACCTTTTTAGAGCCAAAGAGATGAACTGTTTTAGCATGCTAACACTGTCAGGTTCAGAGATGGCCAGTCATAGTTCTCTTTTTGCCTCATCAGCTTGTTATGGAACTTTCCTTAGGAACATGTAATGTGTCCCTTCAGCTTCATTGTTATTGTATTGTTTTCTTCCTCTTTCCCTGCTGTCTTTCTCATCCACATCTTCCTCTTTGTCTCCACCACAAAAAAAGGAACTGTTGGCATACGCAGACAACAGCTGTTAACTTCCTAAATAAGAATTTTGTTGTTCAATCCAAGATGTCTGCGGTTTTTCTCGGTGACCATCAGTGGAATCGCTGTGTCATACATGAGGATGAGGTGACAAGAGTTGTGTTAGCTATACTGTTTTTTTGTCACCATAAGCTGTGTGAATATAATAAGCCACCCTCCCACATAGTCTTGCAGTTCCACACAATGATTTTGTTGTTTCCATCCTGACATTGTTTGATACTTACCCAGATAAGAACTCTTCAAAAAACACTTCCTCATACAGTTTTCATCATGTCCTTGACTCTCTGAGTTCTACATGCTCATCTGTAATTTTTATACCTGTGTTTATCCTATAGTCAAATCCTTGGAGTATATTTTCAAACTTAACACTGCTCTTCTTAACTGGTCTCTACATTAAAACCATACGGACACATTTTCAGACATTACATTGGCATTGTTGATATAATCTTGTACCGACCTGTACACGCCTACAGCCTCCTTGGATGTCCTCTCCAGGTGCCTGAAACGCATGGCCATGGGCAACTCCAAACTAGTAGCCCGTCTAAGAGGAAGATCAGATCATCATTCAACAAATCCATCCAGCAAGGGTTATTTTGCAATATTGTAGAGTTAAAAAAAACCTAAGTGGTTCAATGTTTAAAAAATATATGGACAGTCAGGTGCTTAAAAAATAGTTATGGATATATTTTACGCTAGGGAAGACAGAAAAAGACACCTACATATGTGAAAACTTACCTTGTAGACTTCAAAAGAACCTCATCCTCCTCATCATCATAAGGCCCAATGTCAGGAAGCTGTCTGTGCTGAGAGGCCAGGAAGTTAAATATGTCAAATGTGGATTTCCTGTAAAGAGAAAGGTGACATTATATCAGGTTTAGAATTGAATGAATACATCCATCAGCACCTTGAAAGAGAGAACAATTTAAACATAAATCCTTACAAATAATGTTCATCACAACAATAAACAACTGTGTATTCAGTTTACCAATTTGATCAGAAAAAAGAGAAGTGAGAAAAAACAAAATGGGAAAATTCTTAAATCCAGCTGTTGTCAGCTGTCTTTACTTCTGTCGTTCAGTGCTGAAATAGACACAAAGTTAAGCATTACAGTGAGGAAAACATGATCCTTTATTTTTCTTATATCTCTTCACTTCTGCTTCTTTTTCCTTCAGGGTTTTACATCTTTTTCTTGACCTTACCATAAAAATTAAAAAGCATGACACTGATGTTGTCATGAGTCTGGCACTATGTAAAACTGTTCGGCTCCTGAGCTGTTAGAGTGACTGGTGGAAGACCAGCTGTAGCTATACTCGAACTAGGCAGTGTAGAGCTTATGCTACCAGCTGCTGCATGGAGGGTTGAGGATCTGGGTGACAGATACCCCCCTTCCCACCAAGCTCGTTCCAGGCTAGTTGAGAGCGAGAGCCGTCTTTGGAACCAGATCTTTGTCTTTCAACCCACCAAAAATAAATAAATAAATAAAATAAAAAAATAAAACTCTCAGCTAGAGAAACTGGTTGAAGAGCGGCATCAACTCCTTACTGTGCTACAAAAAAGAACTGCAGATGAAACTCTGTTTAAATTGAGTACAAAAAATTGAGTACAGTATCCTGATTCCCATGTTTCAAATGTTTAAGCTTGCTTTAAGTAAAATTTGAACATGAATGTCTTTCTCTCTCTGTCTCATTATTATTTTATTAAGGCTTTCACTGCTAAAGATATAAGCATCAGAAATTTGGTAAGCCAGATCATTTTTGTACACTCTAGCTGTGATTGTTGCATATACCTAAGGTAGAGCTCCGAGCGAGCACAGCCACTAGGATTGACGGGGAGGTCGTCCTCTTGGCTGAACTGTTTAAAGAAACGGAAAGTGTGCCTCTGACAGCGATGGGCTCCCTCAAGTTGCTCCAGTAAGAACACAGCCGCATCATGGACCAGACCCAACATACGAGCTCCAGTAATCCTCTGGAATGTCAACGGTCTCAACCGCGCGATGGCCCGTGCCTCCTGCACCCCGTCAATCACTGCTTTCCACGCCACTGTACGGAGGACAAAGAATGAAAACTGAACAAAATACAGAATCCTATTTTCAATTTTTTTTTACATATACTTCATATTTTAAAAGCTTTTAAAGTTAAAATTTCATATTAAATATTACCCTCAATACTGTCTGCCTCCACACAGAAACCATCATCGCTGGTAATCTCAAATCTTAGGTGTGGCTGGTCTCTGTTGATTGGACCTTCTTCATCCTCGTCAGGTGACAGTGGTTCATCATCAGATGTAGAGGCAGCACCTGAAACAGTACATTTACACAGTTTATGGTTAAAACAGTAAGACTTATAATGCCTGTACTGGAATTGTTAGTGAATTGGTGGAAATCATTGATATAAGAAGACAAAAATACCAGAGTATCTCTTCCAGTCAGTCAGGGTGCTGTGCCCCACTGGTTCCCAGGCTGACTGACTGCCGTGTTCGCCCTGATCTCCTGGAGACATATAATCCCAAGGCTCTGACCTGAGAAGGGGAGGATACAGATAAATTAAAAAATACACATTTCAAACTCTGTAGTCCAAAACATTTCTTTAATACAGATAAATAATCCTTTACATCCACAGACACACAAATCTGAGTAGTCTCGCTAATATACAGAACATTCTAACTTGAGGTTTTAGTTTCCATTTCTTGGGTTGACTTCACTTCAAATATGCAGCTTGCATCTTTTATTTGAGTAGGAGCTGTTATCATTTTTTCAAAGCACTAAAACCATTTCAGTAAAAATCTTCTTTTCTTTGTTAAGAACTGAATTCAGAATTTTCCCATTAATGAAGCACTATTTCAAGAGAGTACAGTCTTACCCTGAGCTTTCAGAATCGCTGATATGCTCCTCCTTTAACTTGTCCAGGTCCAGCACTCCTTTCACTGTTGGCGTCTTGATGCGGACTCCTGAGGCCCTGCTGGGCGTGCCTGAAAAGGCGGGTCTGCGGCGCTCTTCATCCTCACTGATGGGCTCTGGTTTCAGGAAGTCAACTCTTGACTTTTTGGTGACGATACGGTCAGAAAGCGAAGACACTCTCTTCATGCGGACGTGGGTGCGAGGTCGGGGTGCTGGAGCTTGTGCTGGTGCTGGTGTTGGTGTGGGTGATGGACTGCGAGGTGACACCGGGGGCTCTGGCTCGATTAAAAGGCCTGGGGGCAGAACCAGTGAAGAGGGGCTTAGTGTGCGAAGCCCGCTCCACTTGGGGGTGTAGTTACTGGCCATTGCTTGATTGATGATAGCTTGAGCACTTTCAGCCGGGGTCATAGGAGGAGTCTCGACTGACTGAGTGGGCTGCCCTGAGTTCTTGGAGGACTTGGATTTCTTGGGTGCACTGGACTCCTTCTTCTTTTTTGTCTTTCTCACTTCTGCACCTTCTTCTTTTGGTGTTTTTGCAGTCTTTCTTGCCTTCTTCGTATTAACTGGAGCAACAGCACCATTGCTGTTGTGAGTAAGCAGCTGTGTTATTGTGGTTGGATTCTGAGCTGCAGGTGCAACTGGTGGGGGACCTGCCGTAGCCGCGTTGGGACCAGGCAGCGGAGAGCTCATGGTACCAGCTGCTGCAAGGGTGGCGGATAGTGCGTTGCTTTGCAAAAGGCTGGCGATCTGGGTGACACAGTTGTAGGAAGGGGAGTTAGGGGTGGGCAGCTGAAAGGTGTTGCTCTCTGGGTTTTTTACAAAGATTTGCCCGAGACGGTTCACCAGCAGGACATGAGGTGTGGGATCCACATTTGGGCCTCCAACCTCCTTCACAGTGAGGATAGCATGTCCGGGCAAAGCCGGGTGAACCACTGGCTGCTGGGGCTCTGATGCGGGTCTGGGTGTAGAAAAGTTTATGGAGATAGTGTGACCAGTTGTGGCATCCTTCTGCAGCGCTGAAGAGCTGTAACCATTCAAGATCACAGGAGTGGAGGTGGTTTGAGCCACTGAGCACTGCATTGGAAGTCCAGAAAGAGAGGACGCAGAAGAAGAGACAACTGTAACACCTGTTGAACCCAGCGGCTGTGTTTGTGTTGATATTATAGGTAGAGAGACAGTTCTACATGTCCCTGATGGAAAGCTGGTGCCGGGTGTCGCAGACAAGACTGGATCATTAAGTGGGGTGACATTTAACAGCGTCTGTGCAATGTCTCCAACTGGACTGAGGGTGGTTAGTTTGCTGGACAAAGGCTCTGTGGAAGGGAAGGTTGTCGACTCTTCTGATGTCACTGGCTGAAGCGTGATGCTTGTGAGAGGAGGTTGACTTATTCCTGGTATACAAGTATACATCTGCAGTGAGTCGCCAAGGCCCTGAGAGGGGTTTTGGCCATCTGTGGACACAAGAGTTGAATGCTGGAGAAGATCCAGCAGGCCCTGACTTTTTTCTGCAGAAAAAGCCAATGAAGGCTTCCCTGCTGGTGTGTGGTTTATTTGTGGCACAGCAGGTGCCTCAGCTGACGCAAAGTGGCTGCTGCCAGGCTCAGAGCTCTGATGTTTGTCAGCTTCAGGTCGTTGGGCCGCAAGTGGTGACTCCTCTAGCAAGGGAACCATCTCAGTAGCAAGCCGGCTTGACTCACATCTCTCAAGAGCAAGCTGCGGCTCAGGGGAGAATCCTGAACTGGACTCTTGGAATAACTCTTCTGACAACGATTTCTCAGGCACCTTCGTGAGTAAAGCATCACAAACTGGAGGAAGCACGTTTTCCTGATTCCCAAAGGGACTGTCAGATGTTTCTTCCACAAGTGGAGTGTCTCTCGACTTCTGTGGGTCTTGAGGTGTACTATCTGTGGGATTTCTTGATGCCACTGATATTTTATCAGTGGGATTTCTTGATGCCACTGATATTTTATCATTTGATGTTTCCAGGGACAGACTCTGGGCAGCCTGTCTCTCAGAAGGCTTTTCCAATCCAAGGACATTTTTGTTATTTAGGTTCTTGGCTTGTATTTGAGATGGACAAGAACCTTCAACTTTCTGAGCATCATCGTTGGTGACCATACTTGCGTCACTTTCTGTTCCATCGTCCACACCGTCCAGCTGAGCCAAAGGCCTGGAGGACGGTGAGGAGGGAGACTTGGGATGATCCTTTGAACTTGGACAGCTGACTATTGTCCGGGAGAAGTCGAAGTAATGCTCCATATCATCATCTGAGGAGGTGTTCCCTAAGTCATCCCTTGCTGAGGCTGCAGATCGTGGCAGGTTGGCAACAAGACCCTTCCTCTTGTGCACCTCTGGGGGCTTCCCCCAAAATTCTTCCTGGTCATCACCTTCCACCACTATCTGCCCCCCACAGTTCATCGCCACACCTTCATTAAGGAGCGTCTCTTCGATCTCCAGTTCTGTCCTCATCTCATGGCCCAGACACATGCTGGTATCTTTGTGGAAAGAACTGTAGGGGAAGTCTTCCTCACCTTTTTGTTGGTTTGAGTCCTCCTGGGGTGATGTACCGTTTGCTGGAGAGACGTCTTCAGGCTCTGGGGAAGCTAAGAAGTTGTGTGGGACCTCCACTGAGTCTGGCTGGCTGAGATCAAATGACAGACGATTTCTGGGTAGATGTACCGATGAAGAGAACGACAGGCCTGGTGAGGAAAAACCTCCTGAACTGTCTTGCCAGGGTGACTGAGGAAAGAAAGGTGAAGTACAACGGGTCCCTGTGTTTCCAGAGCATCGCACAGAGGAAGCACTTCGACCTCCTACTTGGCGGGAGGATGGAGGATTTATCAGGTTATCTGTAGCACCAAGTGGGAACAGTGGGGAGGTAGGGAGAGACGATTTCCCAGCACGTAGGGTAATTGATCCACTCAAAGGACCCAGATGAGGGGGGGACATGTGACTGCGGGGACCTGTGGTCTGTGTGTGTGGGCTGTGGCGACGAACCCTTCGGGTCTCCTCCAGATCACTTATGGTTAAAATGTGATGGGGTTTCACCTGGACCAGTCCTGTGAAGAAATCAGAATAACAGAACAGTTCTCAGATTAAATACTCCTGATGGCATCAAAAATTATTTTTCCATAAGAATTCAAACAATTCTCAAAACTAAATGAACAAATCAACGAATGAATGAGTGAATAAATAGATATTCAACCTGGTGAAGGCAGAGGCCGGGACATTCCTCCAGCTGGTCTCCTGGTTTGAGGATAGGTGGGAATCTTTGGCCTTGCACCATGATCTGTTTTGGGTTGAAGTCCTTGGACAGAGGCTTCCTCCGTAGGGGTTTGGGGCTCTGTTATATCAATCTCTTGGGCTTCAGATACTGCAGAGTCAGAAAAACATGTTTGTAAAACTGCATATATCTTTCTTTTTTTGTTTACTTTTTTAGTAAATCACTTCCTGATGCACTACAGTTTCATGAAGCACAATTCTCACCAGGCAGTGGACAGGGGCTGTGAGAAGTGGTCCGGTTTTCTCCTTGGTCAGGCATCTCTTCCACAGGCTTCTCAGGGACAACAGGCCGGACCTCTCGGATTTTACACGTGTATTTGCACCGACGCATGGGATTAACTGTGCTCCAGTACCAGCGAGAACACCTTAGGAGGGAGAAAAAAATGTTTCAATACCGTCTCTTGTTCCGTTTTATACATAGATTTGCAGATTTAGTGACAGATATTATATTTTAAAGAGTTTGCGAAAGAAAAATGCAACTTACTGAAAACCAACGGGACACAGTTTTCCTTTGTTAGCTGAAAGTTCCGTCAGCACACCCAGTTTGTCAATCTGAAGGGAACCTGTATCAATAATGATCAAAAACCCTTATTAGTCAGTGCTGTCATGGGGTGAGAATAATTACTCTCTTCTTACTTAAAAAGGTTGTGATTAATTAATCACGAGATAACAGCATTTATTAATCAAGGGTATGATCGGTTAAGAACAAAGTAGCAGGATAGTATACAGAGCACAGAGCGGAGCGTGACACGTCATTATTTTTCTACAGAAATTTACATTTCAAGGGAAATTAACTGGAACTGGCGCATTACTCTGACAGCCTGATCAAACACATGTATGAATATTTTACAGCTCTGTAACAAATAGGAAACCTGATAGAAAAAAATGGCTCACCAATCATCACATTGATTAGTTCTGGTTCCAGCCCAGTCAAGAACTTCCTACGCAGGCTGATCCCCTCAAAATCCACGTACACCCTGCGGTTCACTTCAAATTCCTGACCGGTTATCATCTGCGTCCAAAAAAAGAATAAGTGATATAACAATCAAGAATTAAAAAACTTTTAAAAATACAAGGGAAAAGGCAGCGGACCTTACCCTGCCACTGATGAGATGTCTGTGTTTGTAGCAGTAAACCTTCTTGTCATCCTGGAACACACAGTGACGGGAGCGGGCACACATGAAGTGGTAGTTACTTTGACAGGATGTCAGGCAGCAGCCGACTGTGGCGCCTGTCTGGTTGCAGCGCTCGCAGCGCTACAGAAGGGATTTGGATAGATGGTAGAGAAGCAGGAAGTGTTGAGAGTAAGAAGCAGCAACAAATAATGAAAATCAAAAATATAATACAAATGAATCTGCCAGTAAAAATATTACCAACGATAAACTCATCCTGTTGGTTTAAACATTCGTCAAACTAACAGTTACATTTATTTACAAGTAGGTGATTAACCAACCATCAAGCGACCCCTTGTGACCGCACTGTGCACGTGCAGTAATGACCCATTGTCCTCTTCAAACACCTCAGCTGACCACAGACAGCAGTTGACATGTGCCCACTCATTTTGGCCCAAGAACAGCAACCTGCCCGCCTCCTGTGACAAAAAAAGGATTGTGTGAATCCCAGAGGGTTTATTCTCCTCACAAGGGCTCCAAACTTCTATACAAAAGGTACAACAATGACTTATCATTTACATGTGAAACGGATGACTTACATTGGGTTTGAGGTCTCCATATTTTTGGCACAAAGAGCACTGTCTAACATCATCCTTGGACCATCCAGTGTCTAAATCAGCTTTTGAAAGACGGCCCCTCCTCCCTATATTTAAAGACAAGGGGAAGACTTAACCAGCTACAAAAATTGTAGAATGTACCTTTTTTTTCCTCAAATAAAAGCTTTACCTTTGAATTTAAGCCTCACAGCCCGGCTGGCATAGAAGTGATTCCGGCTCGTTGGCTCCCCAGACATCGGAGAAACAGGTTCTTCTTCCTTCACATCCGAACTTTGTCCGTTGTCCTCCTGCAGGGGTCCAAGAGGAGCTGCTGGTGTGAGCTCTTCTCTCTCCTGCCACTGTGCGTAAACATGCTCCGTCGTAGGAGGGTGAACAGCATGGGACAGCATACCCCTATTCAAAAAAAAAAACATTCAAGATTTTAAAATAACTCTTCATACATAAGAAAATCAGAGCAGAGCTCTGACTCAGTGTTCATCAGGTGGATATTTTAGGAGATTAAATTAAGTTATAATGAAGCACCATTTTCACATCATACTTCCATGTTATAACAGTTACTTAATTTATGTACGATTTAACCCAAACTAGTAAAGGTCACTCACATGGGCAAGTCTTTGGTACAAGGGTTCCACACCTTTGGGTCTTGGCTGTTAAACCAGTTAAACACCTCCTCCAGGAGCTGCAGAGAGAAATGTCACATCTGTTAGAAATCTCCACTTACTGGCATTTTAAAAATCGTTTCATGGTTTTCTTCTGCAGCAATTCGAACTCCTCTGAGTTTGAGCGATTAAAATGAGTTTTAACAGACAGTTTTCGGTCATACAGCACCTTTAAGTAGTAAGAGCGTGCCAAGGCAGTGGGTCTCTGCTCCTCTGGAAGATCTTCCTCCTGCTCAAGCCTCTTCCGCACCACTTGAACCACGTCTTCATGGAACATTTTCTGTATATAAAAAATAATCTTTGTCATACTGACCTTTAAAGTTGTATTTCTTGATTTATCTTACTACTTAACTTGTATGTAAAGTAGTAAGACAGAATCAAAGGGAGGATGCCTGAATTTTAGACTCTGGAACTTTTAATACATCTAAGAGGACAAATTATGTCAAACTAACAAGTATGTCAGATTCTTGTTTAACTGTTAGTTAATTGGGTATCAGAAAGGTTAAATAATACTGAGGGTTTTTAAAAATATACATGTTTGGGGGTAATTTTGCTTTCATCAAAATGGACAGCTGATGATGGACCAGATAAATGTGGAGTAGAGAGTGGGGTGAAAACATGAAGCAAAGGATTACGGCCAGGAGTCAAACCAGCAACTGCCGGGACAGAGACCGTAGCCTTTAAACCTGAGGCACACTTAAGACCAATCCTAAACCTCCCCCTACTTACTGACCCTTCACCACCGAGTGTCACACGCAATAAAGTTACACTCACAGCTGTGCAGTGCGCCTCAATTGAAATGGGAGGGTATAAAAAAGACGGACGGGTATAGGATTGGGACTGGGCCTTGGTCAACGGCCCCTCATGACAGAGGATTTTAGTTTTTTTAATTATCATCAACAAACTACTTTTAGTCAGGACAATTGTTGAAAAGAAATAATTTACCTTTTTCGATGCCTATTTTAAAAATAACCTTTTTTAGCTGCCCTCTAACTTTGCCACTAAAGAAACTTTTACACTGTTCAGACAATGAATAAAAAGTCATTTACTCACCAGCGTGGTGTAAAGGCCTTTATCAAACTTCTTGCCGACAGCTCGGAGATCACAGGCAGGCTGTCCTTCTATCCCACAGTCAGGATCAGCTGACTTTTCACACTAAAGCAGAAACCAAAACAAAACTGACTCACCGACTCTGTATGTAAACAAATGTTGTCCATGTTTCAGTCACAATCACCTATGTTGAATATTATTGAAGCTTTGACCGCAGACTTGTATTCTATACCCATCACATGATTGATTCGTCAAACAGAACATTTCACTGATCTAAAGACGGCAGAGTCTCATACCTGTGAGCAGGTTACAAGATGCTGGGTGAGTGTGGAGGAGAGCAAACAAGCAAGCACTTTTTCGACCCCGGCCCTGAGCTCGATGTAGAGCAGCTCTCTCCAGGCACTGGGCTGGGTCACACTGCACGGCTGACACGAGTACACTACACTTTCTGGCAAGCTGGAAAGGATCTCGTACAGTTCATCTGAAAGATTATTACAAGAGAAAAAAAATAAGCCCTTAAATCTATTTCTAGATGACAACCTTTTGGATAACAGTCTTCTTTACACTTTTTGTAAAAACAACACTGAAAGCTTTTTACTGGAATTTCCATGAAATCTGACTTAGGCCTGAGATGAAGGCTTACAAAAATGATCAACTGTGAGTTGGTTAGAGATAATCCTCTGTCATTTGTGTGTATTCTGTTTCACTGACAAAATGTGAATAAACCTCAAAATAAAGATGTCAGTTTTTTTAAAATTTGAGATTAGGTCCAACATGGCTTCATGAATGTATTCTTGATACTTTATATAGATGTTTTTTAAATCACCTGTCAGATCCTCACACTTGGCGTGCACCCAGTGGTTACAGGTGCCACACTGCATCATCTGACTGTCATAGTCATTGTCCTCATAGCACTTGAAGCAGATTGGACAGTAGTTACCTGATAAGAGAACATAGGAATTAAGAAAATACTAGCCCACAATGCTCTCAGGTTAAAAATAAAAAGAAATCACCAAACAATTCAAGGTTGGATTCTCACCCAGTTCATAGAGCTTTGAACAGTCAGGACAAAGTCCTTTCTCGTAGTTCCAGTCAGTGTCCCAACTCTTCCCTGGAGTGACCCCACAACTTTTACACCTGATACACGTCATACAAACCTGCAGAAAAATCTCATGTTAAAAGCAGCAATCAGTGAAGGGTAAACTCAGCGTGCTTAATGTTGACAAAAAGATTCTGAATGAGAAACATGACCGGACCCAAGCTTTCCTCTTCTTGTTTTGTTTGGGGTAATTTGGCCCCAGACAGGAGGTGTGGTAACAGTTCTGACAACGCTCACACTCCAACAAAGGCTGAGGGAGACATGACAAAAGTAAAACTTAACAGAAATAAAACTCACTGGGAAATGAAACACAGCAAAGTCAAATGAACAGGCTGTACCTTCAGTTGCTTGTTTCTCTTTCCACACACGTGGCAAAATTTGCAGCGACGACAGCACCAGTTTTCCTTGTTCTCCTCTGAGGGCCGCTCTGCTGGGTCAAGGCAAAACTTGTGGAAAGGCTCACAGCACACTTGGCAATACAGCATCTGCAAAAGAAATGTACATGAACAAAACAAGTCCTTTTGATATCACACACTCTCTATTCATTCATTGGTTTCATGGTTCACTTGAACACGACCATATGTTCCTTTAATATAATTAACTGAAGAAAATGTTATGATCTTAAGAATGTTAAAAAAAATCTGTTCGCTAAAAATGCAGAAAAAAATGATGTTATTACCTCATGTTGCCCTTTACTGGCACATAAGAAGCAGACATAGGGTGGCATCACTGGTGCAGAGGTCAGTATACTTAAACCACCAATATTCCAGACATTCTCCAAGGTACAGTCCTCCTGGAAACAAAGCAGAACCTCAGTACGTACAACAAGGTTTAGATGCTGAGGCTTCTTGTAGCAGTTAAAGGCACAACACGAAAAATGTTGAAAACTCTAACGTTTCACATACAAGCCAACATATTCTGTTCAACTGCACTTAACAGATTTTACACCAAACCAAAGTATGTGTCACTGAAAGGAATTGCTGTCACATTACTTATTAAGTACTCCTGTGCACTAATTTTGGAATAAAACAATAATGGTGACCTCTAGTGGACAGAAAGTGTTACATCAACCACTGAACTTGCTTTAATTTCAAACGTGACTCTTAATCTGTTGTAGTGCTGACTTAAAAACAGTTTGGGGTTGATGTATACTTCTTTTTTCTCATCTAAAAGGAATCACATAACTGCTGTAACAACTCAACATCTTCACATAACAAGCGTGTTGATAATCATTACAAATCTAATTTAACTCTAACAAGTCACGTACCTTGAAGTCAACCCTGATTTTGTGAGTAGGTTTAGATGACTCAACGTCTCTCTGCTCAAACCCATGGGCCAGGGCAGCCAGGACACTGGGAGGAGTCTGCTCTAGAGGACCCTGCAAGACAATTCCAACATGTCCATGATTATATTCTAGATCTAATCATCAAGTGTGTAGTTGTGTGTCCTGAGTGAAGCACTGAGCTCTATCGAAACAGTCTGAACAACACCCAAAATTATAAGACTTGTCTCCAGCAGACAGAGATTTATTTTGAATGGGCAGGACAACATTTACACACTGCATGTCTCGAGTCTCGCAATGGGAAAAGGAATCAGTGGGGTGGTTTTTCAGCTGCACCATCTGAAAAGCTGGCATGGCAGCATCAAACAAAACTGCATTTTGCCAAGATAAGTTGGCAAATTGGTGACCTACAACAGTGACAATATGTTACTACTACTTCAAGAGTGTAAATGCATGTAGGTGGACCCTCATACAAAAACTTTTACACAGCCATGACACTGTGACATAGCAGATCAAATGTAGCATACTAACGAAGTAGGAAGCAGTGAAGGTTTATGAGGGTCTAAGGAACGATAAAAAGTTAGAAATAACCACCTTCTCAGGTTTACGTCGGCCAGATGGTACACGGTGTGAGCTGGACTTTCGATGCCTGATTTCATCATCTGAAATATCCCCAAGGAACCCGTCCAACGACACAAAATCTAGAGGGGACAAGAAATAAATGTTTCACACCATTTTCAGAAGCATATGAAAACACCGTTTTGCAGTTGGAATCATATGTAGTGAGTATTCAGCAGAGGTTTATTATTCATAGTGTTCCACAAATCACAAATGAAGCATCACTGCCGTTCTCTACCTTCAACCATAGTTTACCTTGACTAAAACGAGGCCCGGCGCCTCTTCTCCTGGCTGGCGAGGCAGAGTTTTGGACGGCTTTGTCATCCAGATCAGAATCATAGTCCACCAGGTCGAAGTAGACTCGGGGTTTCACGACGCGCTTTGGCTGCTTCCGCACTGACGGACTGCTGCCATCACCGTGGAGACCAGATGGTGAGTCGGCAGCCCCGTCGTTACCTTCGTCATTACTCGAATGGCCCCCACTAGGCGAGGGTCGCCGTCGCTTGGAGGAACCTGCAAAAATGAAGCTTGTAAAAAACTGACTGACTCGCCTAACTTTGAAAATGTGTCCAAAAAATGTCACCCGCTTCCTCGGGTGAAAAATTACCTTTAGGTGCCGATCTTCCACTCAGTCTGCGAGCCTTTCTCTCCTCGATTTGATCACATCTCTTGTACCTTTAGGTTTAAAGAAAAATTCAAGATTTTTTTTTTTTTTTTTAATCAGAAATGTGCTTCTTTGATTCTAAAAATCAAGAATAGGTTCACTTACACACAGCACTGCCGTTTGGTATTAGGACCACCGAACTTGGGCTTGTCGAGGCAATTCATGCACCTGCCACAATCATCTTCAGTGTTGCAGCCTTTGCAAACACCACACCTGCGAGAGCGATAGCCAAACGGCCCGAGCCCTTTCCGCTTCACAAAAGCTGATGGCTTCTTGACCTTGGCGACCTTTTGATCGGACAGGCCAGGACTGTCTGACTCTGAAGGAGACCCGATATCTGCAACAAAAGGCATTTACTCATTGGCCTGTTAAGTTGTATGCTCACCTGTCAAGATGCAGTTATGATAAGGATATAATAACAAATCTAATTTCTGCTAGATAAATATCGATTTAAGCCAGTGACTAAGTAAGCAGGCATGTAAGTAAGTAAGGTTTATTTATATTGCACTTTTCAAGCACAGAGGTAACAAAAACAAGAGAGGTTTCCATAAGTCAAAACTGAACAAATGACATAAACAGATTTACCAAGAGCAAGTCTGAACAGAACTGCCTTTCAGTGTTAATTCAAGACCCTTCCAAAGTTAAGGACCAACAACTTCAAGAAGAGTCCAGGGCCTGACACTAACTTTTTTCACAAGGAACACATGTGCTCCTAAGTTGAAAAAGTAAGGAGCACACAAAGAACTTTAGGGGCACAATGAAAATTGATCAAATAAGGTGTGTCTTATTGGTCAACATAAATACTATAATTTTAAATCAATTTTAGGTCTTTTTGGTCTCATGACATGTTAACTATTGAAGAAAATGTTCAAAATTTGCCTTTAAATTCAACAGAAACATTTTTTAGAGGACAAATTAGGGAGATAAAGAGGTGTGTCTCATTATCCGACCTTAGTACTATTTGAAATCATTTTTTGGTCAATTGGTCACATGACATGGAAGCTATTGAAGGAAAACAGCCTTTTTTGAGAACATCAACTGGTAATTTATTGATGGTCCCTTATTCAACACCTGACGTTGACAGCGAGGGTGCAGTGTAAATTCAACCGCGCTGCTGTTGCTATTCCTGGTTACGGGGAGTGAGAAGACAAGGGTAGATCCAACCTAAAACCAACTTCAACTGGTATTTACATGAAAAAACATTTGATGCCTCGGTTGATTGTTTTTATGCGCACATGTGGCCCGGAATACATTTTACAATTTGCACACATCTATTTTTAAATGGTCACAGTCTCTTTTACCTTTGAGCCTGGTCCTTGGAACAACCAGTAAAACCCTGTTAAGAGGGCCTCAGCAGCTCTTTGATATAAACTAAAGTTTGTCTGTGTAATGCTCTTAACACAATTGCAGGAGTTTGAACTGGATTCTTAAATTGATCGGAAGCCGGCGCAAGGACATGAGGATGAGAGTAACGCAGGACCTTTTCGAACATTATTTCAGTAGCTTAGTAGCAGTAGCATTTTGGACCACTTGCAGACAGTTCAGAAACCACTGCTAAGACATGTGACATGTAAGAAGAGAGCAACAATAATCTAGCCAGATGAAACAAAAGCATAAATAATCATCTTGAGCTCAGCCCTGGGCGCAACAGCTCAGAGTCTGGCAGTATTTCTTAAGAGGTAGAGAGAGGAGTCAACCGAATTATTCCATTGGATTTCTAGGAAGAAAATTTCAGCTATACACAAATCATAAGTCTAAGATTCAATGTCAGCTGATCCTGAGACTTCATTTATTGTACATTTAGTTTTTAAGCTAACTAGAAGAAACTGAGAGAACCTGGAATACCACTTGTCTGTTGATCTTCTTCAACGTACCTTTCGTGACGTCTGAAGGGGAGATGCCTGATCTTTCATGCAGCGGCAAGGCGCTTAGTCTGGGGATGTCATCCGGTACCAAGGCTCGGGGCTGCCCGAGCACCACAGATGCAGCTCGACACACGTGTTTGATGCGTGGACCTCCTGCTCTTCGGAACTCCTGGCACAGCGGGGAGATGAGCTGCGGCTAAAAAAAGAAAAGCGATTTGTGTGTTGCAGCAATGTAGATGTGGGTTGACAGGAAAAAGATTAAACAGCGACTGACTCGTGCTTTGGACTCACAGGCTGGCACACTTACCTGTCCTTGAGGGGGCTCCGTCTTTATGGGAACAGTAACATCAGGCTGGACCCTTTGCTTCCTCCTCTGTCGCTTCGAGGTTGGGTCGCGTGACCTGGCACCAGTTGGGCCAGATAACAGCTGCAGGATAAGATAGAAACAAGGAAACAATTCGAACGTTATGGCACTACCAAAACTAGCATACAGCGGTCAGAACACTTAATTTGTAAATCCATGATTATACACAGTTTCCCTCACCTATGACAGATCATGTGGCAAAAAAAAAATGTAACAATAAAAACAAAAGTCAATGCCAGAAAGGATGTGATTCCAGTGATCTAATCTTACCCCTGATGATTTGAGCTGTTTTTGCTGGTCGATCTTGATGAGCTGGACCTTGGCTTTCCTGAGCAGATTGAACATCCTTTTATTTGCACCTGTGAGGCGCGCCCTTTGTGAAGCTCCCTTCTCCATGGACCCCGAGAAATCGCCTTCACCTGCCCTTGAAGTCTGCTCTGACTGCAGCTCTCCTGTACATGTTGAGTAACAAAAAGACTAAAGCTTGTACCTCAAAGCCAATGTAGTTCACATTTAAGAAGTGGGTGGTGATGCATCTTACCTGAAGGACGTTGAGCACCGTCTTTGCCTTCGACATTCTCTTCTTTAGTGGGCTGAGTTGTGAGGGGCTTGGATTTTGTGGTCCTAACACACACAGAAACTTTTCTCACCACTCCAGGGGAATCTAGGTCTTCTATCTTGAGCTTGGATTTGCTCTTTTCCGGGTTTGTATTCCTCTGCCTCAGGCTGATGCTCATGGCTTCATCATCGAGTCCTTCGGCTAAATCTACTAGAGGCGGAGGAGGCTTGCTGACACTGTCCATCTCTGAGGTGGTTTTGCTTTTTGGGAGGCCTGCGTGTGTTTTATTCAGCTTCTGATAGATCTTAAGGTGGGCCATTTGTTTATTAAACTTGGGGGTACTTTTCTTTTTCTGAGTATCCAAGGGGTCAGTAGGTAGTTCAGCGGGCTTATCAGCTGGTGCAGATAAAAACAGATCCTCACATTTACTCTCTAGGGTTTTGTCCAGTGTAAACATTTCCTCGCTCGACTCGTCTGGCAGATGCCAACTGAAACTGGAGTTCTTCAGTAAAGGTTTCTTTTTCTCAACATTGCTGCTTTTTCTCTCTGAAAACAAGCTTTCAGCAAGATCAATGTTGTCATCCAGATCCTGGGCTGAAAACAAATCCACATCCAATTGAGCTTCACTCAATATGTCCTCTTGGTCAGCTGGCAGGATGGGAGATATTGCTCTGCTTGTCCCATCGTCTCGCTTCTTTCCCGGACGCACTTGCAAGTTGAGCTGTAAACCCTTCTTTGGGGAGTTTCTTCGAGGCAACACCGACATGCCAGCATCGTCCATAAACCTTTGTGGGGTCTTGATCACCCGTGAGGATCTGGCACTTACGACAGGCATGATGAAATGTTTGATGTTTTTGACAAACTTTGATTTGCCCGGCTGGGAGTCTACAACATCTGGCCGTCCAGCATCCACTAACGTGTCAGATTCTTCCTGCTTGAAACTATCTTTCTCCAGCTCCATTTCAAACAGTTCGGTTATAATTTTAGCTTGTGGTTTGGATCTTTTGGACACAATGAAGTCTAGGCCTGTCTGCCTCTTTTTGCATCTTTTCTGAACTCCGATAAGTTTGGAGCCTGGAGTCAGTGTGTTAGCTGCCAATGGGGTTGAAATATCACTATCCACCTCAGCAGTGTCTGCGCTGTTTTCAGCTCCTTTAAGAGGAGCAAACTTCCCATCCCTGCTCCTGTGCTTGTGTTTCTGACGCTGCCCAATCAGACTCTTGCGCCTTTTTTTCACTTTCTTTTGAGATTTCTTTTGCAGGCACAATGTTTCTGGATCGCTTGCTTGACTCTCTAATACCGCGGACTGCTGACTGTCTATCAACTGAATGTCTGTTTCCTCTTTAACTGGTGGCTGTATCTGCTCTTCTTCCACTGACACGGTGTCCTGTTTTGCCTCAGACTGGGTGCATTCTTGCGTTTCTGACTGACTTTCCTCTGTAACTAAGGGCAGGATAGCTTCCTTTAGCACAGATTCCATGACAGTGGTTTCAATGGTAGCCAACTCTGTCTCTACAGCAGTTTCAGGAGGAGAAACAACAGCCTTCTTCCTTGGAACCGACCTCTTTTTCCCTAATTTATTATTTCTACATCTTTTAGCTTTAGAAGGCACGGGTGATGGTTTGGCCTCTGTGGTCTGTGGTTCCACCTCATTCTCTACTTTTTGTGGAGACACTTCAACCGGCACCTGTGAGGCAACATCAGCTGTTTCTGAGGAGTCCTGAGCAGGAACATCAGAGGAGTTTGAAGTTGTCAAGAGTGAGGAGTCCTCTGCTGAAAGCTGAATGACATTCTTAGGAAGACCATGTGTGCTGGAATCTTCAGCTGAAGCCTGAGAAGAATCCTCATTCTCCACCTGTGGAATCACTTCATCCAGTGGACTTTTTCTGGGCCTCCTTTTCTGAGTGTTCCCTGGTTTTTGAGTGACAGATTTAGTCGGGGAGGAATCCACACTTGGCGTCCTTCTTCTCAAACTCCTAGTTGGCGTGATTTCTGTATTCGGACTTGTTGGTTTGTCCTCATTAACTTCAACAACATCTTTTGGAACATCCTCCTTCCTTTCAGACACAGGGCTGACTTGCTGAATCAAAAATGATGGCTTGGAGCTTTTGTGTTTACCAGGAGAGGAGACCTTTTTGATCTGAAGAGGTGGGACTTTCCCACAATCCATTTTTGTCACTTCTTGCAGAGGACTTTCAAAGATCTGTTCAACCTCCTTTTCCACCTGGGAAGAAGACTTCTCCTCTAAAAACTCATCTGCCTTCTTTTTGGAATCTTTTTCTTTATCCTCCGTGTTTTTACTCTCCGGCAGAGCTGCGTTATCTGGTTTGATTTTTTTATCCATCCCCTTTAAGCTCTTGCTCACACTGGTATCAGAAACAGTCAACCGATCAACTTCAGTGACTGTCTTCTCTGTTTCTTTAACAGAGATTTTAGCATCTTGTACCTGACTTTGTTTAACTAATGTCAGAGTCCATATAAATTTTTTACGCTTTTTCTTTTTCACTGAATTCAGCCCACTGGCTTGTGCATCATATTTTGGGTTCCTGATCTTTTTCAACTTCAGACTTGGGACTCTCATTTCCTCTTTTTTTAAGCACGAGCTATCACCGGATGGTGCAGCCAAAGTATCTGTCCCCGTGGGGGGTGGACCCTGGGTTTCTGGCACTGTAACATCCTTATTCAGCCTCTTGCTCTGCCTTCGTCTTTCACTTCTTGCAGGTGGTTTGGTGTCAGAAACTTCCGCCAGTGGCTCTGTCAAAAATTTCTCGTTGTTATTCAGACTCTCTGAATCAGCTGCGCTTTTTGAGTCTATTTTAGAGAGAGGGGTAGTGACTCTACGGCTCCTACGAGTCAACGGTTGATTAACATCTGGACTTTGCTCTGTGAAATTTGCCTTATGCTTTAAAGTCTTTCCATTTGTTTTTGGCTCAACAGTCCTTCTCTCCTGTACAGCTTCAACTTGATCTGCTGATTTTGTTTCTTTTGAATTTTGGTCATCAACCACAGCTTTGGCTGCTGTTTGGCAGGAAGGCTCTGTCTTTGAGGCAGATCTTCCTCGCCGTCTTACAGTCCCTCCTCCCTTGTCTTCAGTGCCATGTTTCTCCTCAGGTGGTTCACTTTTTAATTTGACGTGAGCACTTGAGATCTGGTCACCCTGAATATCCTTGGCTTTAGGTGGATCCTGAATTCCTTTTTTCTTCAGATTCTTTGCAGATTTTAAATGAGGCTCCTTTATGGTTTTCATCTTCTTTTTGGCCACCAACTTTATAGTAATCCTTGGTGCAGCTGATGAAGCTCCACTATTGGTGGACTGACGACCCATAGTGCTTTTTCCTTTCTGGCCTTTCCTGCAATCTTTAGCAGGCTCCGTCTCAGTAGATAAGTCTTGTATTTCCTCCAAAAACATAGACTCTTTTAAAGGGTCAGGTTGGGTGAAAGCTGCTTTCACTGCTGGCGTTTTGGGCAGTGGTTTTTCACTTTGTCGTTTTGATTTTGTGCCAACAGCTTCACCTGAGAGAAAAAAAATACATTTAATAACTAACCATGGGTGCAGAAACTGTGATTGAAGAGAACCTCTTTTCTTACGCTTCCAAACTTAATTCATATTTAATCTTACACAATGTATAGGGCTGGTCGATAAAATGATAATGATATATATCGAAAATTAATTTTCCTAGCCAAGAAAAGGGGAGTTGCTCATGGTCCTCTCCTCGCTGAACCGACCATTCAGTCTGCTTTCTTTATCGCAACGCCTTACGACAAAACGTTGAAGAGACACAAAGACCTCACAGATGCAGTAGCTTATTGTATTGCAAAAGACATGCTACCAATAAGCACTGTTAAATTACATTTTTTCTATCATGATATTGATATCGACTGATATGAAAAAAATATATTGTGATAAACTTTTTCCTAAATTGCCCAGCCCTAACAATGTTTATATATCACATAAAAACACAGTCTATACATTTTTTTTACCTTTTGAAGGGTTTTGTCTTTTTGAGCCTTTCCCCTCAGCTTCAAATCCTCTGAAGTCATCTCCCTTAAAACATCAAAAAAAAGTAATCAATTAGCACCCAAGCCATGAAACACCACTGCGCTAGAGACAGCAACTATGTCAAAAAATAAAATAACAAGAATATTAAAAACAACTTTTTTTTCAGATCATGTAATTTGCAAATTCCCCCTCTGTGGGATGAATAAAGATTTATTTAATCTTATGTAATGTGATATTTGTGGCAGAGAATGAAATGATGTGAGGATAGTCTGCCTTGAATTGTTCATTATGATGAACAATTTACATAACTGGCAAAATGGTTATACAGAAAAACTCATACAATCACAATATGTTTATATTTGCAAATGTGACCAAAATCTGACATGAAATAATAACAAAAGAGGTCATTATGTTCATGCATTAACACAAAAATATCAACAAAATATCAATAACAGACAATGGACAAAACTTTCATTTTTTCCACATTCAAACCAAACCTTGTCATTAGCCTTGTCAAGCTAAACTACATGCTTTATTAACAATCAATAACTCATCCATTCGGAGCAAGCTAAGTAGTCAACAGCTATGTGCTTTATTCACACTTGAGCATTTGGTCAAACACCTACACTACCAGCAGCTGCAGAGATGGGTACGTCTAAAACTGTGTGCCCCCTCGTAAAATATAAGGAAATAAAGTTACTGTATATCTTCCTCGTGCTTACAACTGTGACTTAGAAGTCTAAAAGCAGCTCTCCTCTATTAAATCACGAATAGAAATGAACGCCTGCAGGTGTTGGGTTAGCGTTAATACAGATGAGCTTTCCAAGTCTATACAAACGGGTGCATCTGACTTTGGCACACTCTGCACCACCATTTAAACCCGTCGTGCTCTCTAGCAGAAGATAGCAATTAGCCATCCTACCTTTTTTTGCCCACTTCTGTCTGCCTCGCAAAAATGAACGCTTTATTTCAGAGAGCTTCTGTTACAGTAAGCAAACGTGCTCCTGCAAAAATTCTTGGGTGCTGTCCCATTTGAATCAGAAACGAAGAGATCCCATATCCAGCATCTGGACACCGTATGAAAACAGTTAGCAGTTAGCCGCTAGCCCTCCCGTTCTTTGTGTTGGCTATTATAACTTAGCTGCTACTCTGGCCTGACACAGAGCGGGCCACAAATGACAATTATTACGATGCCTGTTTACAAATTGGCACACTCATTCACTATATATTTAGCATTACAATTTAGGAATAATATTAAAATGTGTCCAACATAAGAAGAAGCGCCAAGTTAGCGCTATGTGAGTCAAAGTGCCTTGCTAATGTTTTGAAGTGGTATTTTGCTCATTAAATGTCATGTAGAGCTCAGTGCTAAGACAGGTTAGCTCACCGAGCTTGAAGCTAAAGTTAACGTTAGCCTAGCGAAAGGATGTTGACATTTCTCCAAGGCACTACTAACCAGTCACACTGCTGCGAACAGCACTCACTCTCACACCTTCCACACAACACAGAGACAAAATGAGAAAAGATGAAATAAAGATACTAACTCCTGGGTCGGTTTGGGACCTCACCTCTTCACTCCCACTAGAGCTGTATCCTGCCTGGCCAAGGATCTTGTGGCTCGCCTCTATCCCGAGTAAGCGCAAGTGAGACTGGTCTTCGTTTAACGATAGGACCAGGTTTGCGGGCCTTGGCCCTCCGTTAGTCACATCATCAGAGTCTAAGCCTGATCGTCCGAGTTGCCAACGCTTCTCGGAACGCAAACGGCTGCGTGACGACCAAGGCCGACCGGGGAAACGACCTCTGGCCGTAGCGGTTCCACCTTGGCCTCCTACGGCAGCCGCGGTTGCTGATCCGCATCCCGCTGCCGCCATCATTGCTTCAACAACAACACACACCGATGGCTAGCAGTTCGCAGAGACAAGAGGGAAGGCGCGAGATGGGAGGGGGAGAGCCGCGGTGCCTCAAGGGAAAGTGAGTTTTTTTCTCGGCGAGGCTCTGCTGGGAGAGGAAAGTGGGTCGGTTGACCTCTGGTGGCGATAGTAGGCCACGTCAGCTCTTCATTCAGAAAATCGAAACGTGTTACATTTAAGACTGAGACCCACACCGACCACCTGTAACATGAACATCTAGGCAATCTGTTGACAATAAAAACACATGAAAACAACACACCCAATACAACATCCCCACCCACTACTTCCTCAGTGGTGGCCTATTTAGGCCTATTAAGTACAACCCGCCTGAACATTTGATCAAAACTGAAATATGTAGAAACTCCCTGAGAGTACAAATTGTGGTACAGCTGTTATTAGATTGCCCTTGTGTTCACAGTTTCATGTCTGGTCTGTGGTCATAGCATGAGCCATATTTGCTGATTCAAAGTCTGGGATCATATTTAGCTGTAGGGGAGAGTGGGGTAAGATGAGCTATTTTTCATATTTCGGATCACTACATCAAGGCAATCATAATTTTGTCTCTAACTAGTGTATCTGCATATATTTCATGTTGTGCATCCCTGCAAACCAACAGAATAAGTGTAGACATTACTGTCTTGATAATATAGCATGCCAAAGAAAAAGTAGTGTCCTAACTTACCCCATTAACTTACACGGGGTAAGTTGACCATAGGAGTGGGGTAAGTTGAGCTGGCCCCCCCCCCCCCCACACACACACACACACACACACACACACACACACACACACACACACTCTCCACTCCAGCCCTCCCTCACCTTCTCTCTCTCTCCTTCACATTCATGTGTGTTTTTATTAGGGCCCGAGCGTAGCTGCTAAGCAGCTGCGAGAGCCCTCTTGTTCCTGTAGTTTCCTTCTTTTTAGGGCCCGAGCGTAGCTGCTAAGCAGCTGCGAGAGCCCTCTTGTTCCTGATGGATTCTTCTTTAGGGCCCGAGCGTAGCTGCTAAGCAGCTGCGAGAGCCCTCTTGTTCCTGATGGATTCTTCTTTTTAGGGCCCGAGCGTAGCTGCTAAGCAGCTGCGAGAGCCCTATTATTCCCCAAGTGGTTTTTCTTTGTTTCTTTCTTTCTTTCTTTAGGGCCCGAGCGTAGCTGCTAAGCAGCTGCGAGAGCCCTCTTGTTCCTGCATGTTTCCTTCTTTCGTTATTAGGGCCCGAGCGTAGCTGCTAAGCAGCTGCGAGAGCCCTATTATTCCTGATGGATTCTTCTTTCTTCTTCTTCTTTAGGGCCCGAGCGTAGCTGCTAAGCAGCTGCGAGAGCCCTATTATTCCTGATGGATTCTTCTTTAGGGCCCGAGCGTAGCTGCTAAGCAGCTGCGAGAGCCCTATTATTCCTGATGGATTCTTCTTAGGGCCCGAGCGTAGCTGCTAAGCAGCTGCGAGAGCCCTCTTGTTCCTGCATGTTTCCTTCTTTCGTTAGGGCCCGAGCGTAGCTGCTAAGCAGCTGCGAGAGCCCTATTATTCCTGATGGATTCTTCTTTAGGGCCCGAGCGTAGCTGCTAAGCAGCTGCGAGAGCCCTCTTGTTCCTGTAGTTTCCTTCTTTTGTTATTATTATTAGGGCCCGAGCGTAGCTGCTAAGCAGCTGCGAGAGCCCTCTTGTTCCTGTAGTTTCCTTCTTTTGTTATTATTATTAGGGCCCGAGCGTAGCTGCTAAGCAGCTGCGAGAGCCCTCTTGTTCCTGTAGTTTCCTTCTTTTGTTATTATTATTATTATTATTATTTTTCCTCCCCTTTGAACTGGAAAATGGCCCACTTCCCACTGGCGAAAACTCATGAAATTTGGCAGGACGACCGGGCCTGGTGAAAAATTTGATATTCCGAAGTCGCCCAAACAAGAAAATGCAAAATGGCTCCATAGCGCCCCCTAAGGTGAAAATTCACACTATTGACTGTCACGCCTGTACGCTTTGTCAAAATGACACAAAAATTGACACACACATGTATCTCAATAAGATCTACAAAAAAGTCAGTGCGGGCGTATCTGTCAAATGTACGGTTAAAGGGTTATTTCGCATTTTTTGCCGATCCGCACACATTGGAATTTCGCTAACTCCTCCGAAGGCTTTCGTTCCACCGGCACCACATTTGCTCAGGCCAATCTACACCCCATGGCCATTAAAAGTTATTCAAATCATGACGCTGCACCCCACGGTTTAGGTTCTAGGGGGCGCCAAAGATAACCCTAAGATCCACATATTTCAAAGTCTTATAACTTTTTATTTTTGCCCTCACTGGCCTCCAAGTTTTCTAGGATGATGCAATGTCCAGCCATCAACACATTTGTGAAGGAATTTTTACTCCCCAAAAGAGCGCCCCCCCATGGCAGGAGAAAAAAGTCCATTTTTTCTTGTCCCCTAAGGTGAAAATACACATTGTTGAGTGTAACACCTGTACGCTTTGGCAAAATGACACAAAAATTGACACACACATGTATCTCAATAAGATCTACGAAAAAGTCAATGCGCGCGTATCTGTCAAATGTACGGTTAAAGGGTTATTCCGCATTTTTTGCCGATCCGCACACATTGGAATTTCGCTAACTCCTCCGAAGGCTTTCATTCCACCGGTACCACATTTGCTCAGGCCAATCTACACCCCATGGCCATTAAAAGTTATTCAAATCATGACGCTGCATCCCACGGTTTAGGTTCTAGGGGGCGCCAAAGATAACCCTAAAATCCACATATTTAAAAGTCTTATAACTTTTTATTTTTGTCCTCACTGGCCTCCAAGTTTTCTAGGATGATGCAATGTCCAGCCATCAACACATTTGTGAAGGAATTTTTACTCCCCAAAAGAGCGCCCCCCCATGGCAGGAAAAAAAAGCCAATTTTTTCTTGTCCCCTAAGGTGGAAATTCACACTATTGACTGTCACGCCTGTACGCTTTATCATATTGACACAAAAATTGACACACATATGTATCTCAATAAGATCTACAAAAGAGTCGATTCGCGCGTATCTGTCAAATGTACGGTTAAAGGGCTATTTTGCATTTTTTGCCGATTCGCACACATTGGAATGTGGCTAACTCCTCCTAAGGCTTTCGTCCCACTGACACCAAATTTGCTCAGGCCAATCTACACCCCATGGCCATTCAAAGTTGTAAAAATCATGACGCTGCACCCCACGGTTTACGTTCTAGGGGGCGCCAAAGATGACCCAAAAATCCACATTCTTCAAAGAATCCACATCCCCCCCCCCCCCCCATATGGCAGGAGAAAAAGTTAAGTTTTTCCTGCCCATCGCTCAATGGCTCAATCGCATCGCTCTCCAGGCAACACCGTAAGGAGGAGCAACCTGCCATTTCGATATATCATAGCTGTGTTTGTGCCCTCACTCATGGTCCAGACTTTTTTCAAATAGGACATGAAGTTTGTCTGCAGCGAGTGTTTTGGTAGAAACTGCGCCTCCCATTCATTATAATAGGAAATGACCACAGACAAGTGCGCACACCATCTTTGGATCTTGAGTGTGACGCGATCGGGAGGGGGAGGCGGTCGCACTGGGGGCGGCGCGACACGGCTCGGGCCCGACAGTGCCCCAACGGGGTCCTAGTTATTATTTTTCCTCCCCTTTGAACTGGAAAATGGCCCACTTCCCACTGGCGAAAACTCATGAAATTTGGCAGGACGACCGGGCCTGGTGAAAAATTTGATATTCCGAAGTCGCCCAAACAAGAAAATGCAAAATGGCTCCATAGCACCCCCTAAGGTGAAAATTCACACTATTCACTGTCACGCCGGTACGCTTTGTCAAAATGACACAAAAATTGACACACACATGTATCTCAATAAGATCTACAAAAAAGTCAGTGCAGGCGTATCTGTCAAATGTACGGTTAAAGGGTTATTGCGCATTTTTTGCCGATCCGCACACATTGGAATTTCGCTAACTCCTCCGAAGGCTTTCGTTCCACCGGCACCACATTTGCTCAGGCCAATCTACACCCCATGGCCATTAAAAGTTATTCAAATCATGACGCTGCACCCCACGGTTTAGGTTCTAGGGGGCGCCAAAGATAACCCTAAAATCCACATATTTCAAAGTCTTATAACTTTTTATTTTTGCCCTCACTGGCCTCCAAGTTTTCTAGGATGATGCAATGTCCAGCCATCAACACATTTGTGAAGGAATTTTTACTCCCCAAAAGAGCGCCCCCCCATGGCAGGAGAAAAAAGTCCATTTTTTCTTGTCCCATAAGGTGAAAATTCACACTATTGACTGTCACGCCTGTACGCTTTGGCAAAATGACACAAAAATTGACACACACATGTATCTCAATAAGATCTACGAAAAAGTCAATGCGCGCGTATCTGTCAAATGTACGGTTAAAGGGTTATTGCGCATTTTTTGCCGATCCGCACACATTGGAATTTCGCTAACTCCTCCGAAGGCTTTCGTTCCACCGGCACCACATTTGCTCAGGCCAATCTACACCCCATGGCCATTAAAAGTTATTCAAATCATGACGCTGCACCCCACGGTTTAGGTTCTAGGGGGAGCCAAAGATAACCGTAAAATCCACATATTTAAAAGTCTTATAACTTTTTATTTTTGTCCCCACTGGCCTCCAAGTTTTCTAGGATGATGCAATGTCCAGCCATCAACACATTTGTGAAGGAATTTTTACTCGCCAAAAGAGCGCCCCCCCATGGCAGGAGAAAAAAGTCCATTTTTTCTTGTCCACTAAGGTGAAAATACACATTGTTGAGTGCTACGCCTGTATGTTTTGTCGTATTGACACAAAATTTTACATACACGTGTATTTACATAAGATCTTCGAAAAAGTCAATGGCCACGTATCTGTAAAATGTACGGTTAAAGGGTTATTTCGCATTTTTTGCAGATTCGCACACATTGGAATTTCGCTAATTCCTCCGAAGGCTTTCGTTCCACCGGCACCACATTTGCTCAGGCCAATCTACACCCCATGGCCATTAAAAGTTATTCAAATCATGACGCTGCACCCCACGGTTTAGGTTCTAGGGGGCGCCAAATATAACCCTAAAATCCACATATTTAAAAGTCTTATAACTTTTTATTTTTGTCCTCACTGGCCTCCATGTTTTCTAGGATGATGCAATGTCCAGCCATCAACACATTTGTGAAGGAGTTTTTTCTCGTTAAAAGAGCGCCCCCCATGGCAGGAGAATAAAGTCAAGTTTTTCCTGTTCATCATTCAATGGCTCAAACGCACTGCTCTCTCGGCAAAAGCGAAAGGGGGAGCAACTTGCCATTTGGATATATCTTAGCTGTGTTTGTGCCCTCACTCATGGTCCAGACTTTTTTCAAATAGGACATGGAGTTTTTCTGCAGCGAGCGTTTTGGTAGAAACTGCGCCTCCCGTTCATTATAATGGTAAATGACCACAAACAAGTGCGCACACCATCTTTGGACCTTGAGTGTGACGCGATCGGGTGGGGGAGGCGGTCGCGCTGGGGGCGGCGTGACACGGCTCGGGCCCGCCAGTGCCCCAACGGGGCCCTAGTCTTATTATTTTTCTGCCCCTTTGAACTGGAAAATGGCCCACTTCCCACTGGTGAAAACTCATGAAATTTGGCAGGACGACCGGGCCTGGTGAAAAATTCGATATTCTGAAGTCACCCAAACAATCAAATGCAAAATGGCTCCATAGCGCCCCCTAAGGTGAAAAATTCACATGATTGAGTGTCACGCCTGTACACTTTGTCAAAATGACACAAAATTTGACACACACGTGTATCTCAATAAGATCTACAAAAAAGTCAGTGCGGGCGTATCTGTCAAATGTACGTTTAAAGGGCTATTTCGCATTTTTTGCCGATCCGCACACATTGGAATTTCGCTAACTCCTCCGAAGGCTTTCGTTCCACCGGCACCAAATTTGCTCAGGCCAATCTACACCCCATGGCCATTCAAAGTTGTACAAATCATGACGCTGCACCCCACGGTTTACGTTGTAGGGGGCGCCAAAGATAACCCAAAAAACCACATTCTTACAAGTCTTATAACTTTTTATTTTTGTCCTCACTGGCCTCCAAGTTTTCTAGGATGATGCAATGTCCAGCCATCAACACATTTGTGAAGGAATTTTTACTCCCCAAAAGAGCGCCCCCCCATGGCAGGAGAAAAAAGTCAATTTTTTCTTGTCCTATAAGGTGAAAATACACATTGTTGAGTGTCACGCCTGTACGCTTTGTCATATTGAAACAAAAATTGACAATCATGTGTATCTCAATTAGATCTACGAAAAAGTCAAAGAGCGCGTATCTGTATAATGTACGGTTAAAGGGCTATTTTGCATTTTTTGCCGATTCGCACACATTGGCATGTGGCTATCTCCTCCTAAGGCTTTCGTCCCACCGATACCAAATTTGCTCAGGGCAATCTACACCCCATGCCCATTCAAAGTTGTAAAAATCATGACGCTGCACCCCACGGTTTACGTTCTAGGGGGCGCCAAAGATGACCCAAAAATCCACATTCTTAAAAGTCATTTTGGCCACTGCAGGAGTACAGAGTACTGCAGTTCTAGGGGGCGCCAAAGACGACCCAAAAATCCACATTCTTAAAAGTCTTTTTGGCCACTGCAGGAGTACAGAGTACTGCAGGATACACACACATATACACACACGCCAACATACACACACACACACACACACACACACACACACACACACACAGACACACACACACACTCAGAGTCTGTTTTTTAGCACCTGCAAAAACATGCTGTTTACATATTTGACAAGAATGCAGAGGCTTCCTTTTGCCCCTGAAAAAAATCAAATTTCAAACACAACTTGACTGTTCATTTCTCCAAAAGACAACCATGAAGCTCCATTTCAAACCTGAAGCAGATAGTTGGTGCATGTGTACAGTAACCTGAGGGGAGTGAGGTGACTATTTCTGAGGAGAACATGAGCAGTGAAGATTCACCTTGGAGCTAGAACAGGGACGTGCACATGATTATACAGGGGCAGGGGCTCAAGTTTTTTCCAGTCATTTATACAATATGGAAATTAATGTGAAATTAAACCACAAATATGTGTGATGAACTGTTTTTAAAACTTAAACTTCAAATAAAAATTGTAAACTTCAAAACATATGCAAATTTTTAACAAAGAACATAGTAATTTACCTCTATTTACATCAAAATGCAGGCAATGGCCCAGGCGTTCTTTGTAAAATTATTTACAAAACACTGTATAGTCTCACAAATGTCACTTTTTATTTATGCCACTACAAAAAAACATGATGTAAATGATGCATGATGTAAAACATGATGTAAAAAACTTGTGTAGATCCTCCTCTATGTTAGTCCATGTGTAATTTTTCCATAATTCTTTGTTTTTTGCAGCATTTTTGTTAGTGTAACTGCAGATTGTGCTGACTGTCTATGGCAAAAAAAAAAAAAACTGAAAATGCCTCAACATGAACCCCTGGTGGTCTCTGAGGGTGAAACCTGCTAACTGCTGCAGCTCTGTCAGCTTCAGTCTCCCATGCAGAGCTCTGAGCGCATGTGTGGCTCTGCACCCTTAGCAGCGTTGCTAACTCCTCAGTAAGGAAAGCCTGCTTCATGTCAGAGTCTCTAAACTCCAGAAGAAGTCGATAAAAGTCCCTTTCTTTCTAAAAAAAAGTCGTTAGGGTGTCTGAAAAGTCATTGAATCTAACAACAAAGTCGCTAGGTTTGCAACTACGTGTCCCAGACTGCATCCCTGCTGAGAGTCCCTCCCTCCCTTCTCATGTTGCAGGAAGAACGTAAGCGCCCGCCCCTTGTCAATCAGTCACCATATAATTTTGGATTGGTTGTTGTGGTGAAGTTTTCCACCAATAGGAGAGATGTTGTGGTGTGTTTTTTTTTTCTTTTGGCAAGCCTTTTCCGCCTGTAAGACCTGTCGCTAATGTCTGCATGCTATGTTTTCCTGTCTCATACAGCGCGATCGAGCGCCGAACGTGATCAAAATAAGCAGAAAAAAAGTATCGCGGACATAATTTATCATAACTCTGGTTTTATTTGGCCTATCAACACAATTTAAAAACTGGTATATAGGTTGAGGTCCTCACTTTTGAGATAAGTTGAAACGGAGAGTCAACGAGGCTCCGTCTTGCAGCTACATCCGGTTAAATATGTCATGTGACTTGAACGCACACATAGACACACACACACACACACACACACACACACACACACACACACACACACACACACACACACACTCAGAGTCTGGTTTTTAGCACCTGCAAAAACATGCTATTTACATATTTGACAAGAATGCAGAGGCTCCTTTTGCCCCTGAAAAAAATCAAATTTCAAACACAACTTGACTGCTCATTTCTCCAAAAGACAACCATGAAGCTCCATCCAAACCTGAAGCAGGCAGTTGGTGCATGTGTACAGTAACCTGAGGGGAGTGAGGTGAGTGCTTCTGAGGAGAACATGAGCAGTGAAGATTCACCTTGGAGCTAGAACAGAGACATGCACATGATTATACAGGGGCAGGGGCTCAAGTTTTTTCCAGTCGTTTATACAATATGGAAATTAATGTGAAATTAAAACACAAAGTATTAATAGAAAGGTAATGACTGTCCTGTGTAGGTGACAGTGATATCCAATAGGCTAGGCACTCACGAGGCTGGCTGTGGCAAGTGTAAGTGAAAGCAACACGCACTGGCAGGAAGAACAGCAAACGCCGATGAAGGAAAAGGGTCTTTGCAGTGATGGGCGTTACCAGAGAGGGCGATGGCCAGAGGACACAAATGGGACGGGGAGGCAGCACGTTGGGGGGGGGGGACGCGACACGGCTCGGGCCCGCCAGTGCCCCAACGGGGTCCTAGTCTTTGTTTCTTTCTTTCTTTCTTTAGGGCCCGAGCGTAGCTGCTAAGCAGCTGCGAGAGCCCTATTATTCCTGATGGATTCTTCTTTCTTCTTCTTCTTATTATTATTTTTCTGCCCCTTTGAACTGGAAAATGGCCCACTTCCCACTGGTGAAAAGTCATGAAATTTGGCAGGACGACCGGGCCTGGTGAAAAATTCGATATTCTGAAGTCGCCCAAAAAATCAAATGCAAAATGGCTCCATAGCGCCCCCTAAGGTGAAAAATTCACATGATTGAGTGTCACGCCTGTACGCTTTGTCAAAATGACACAAAATTTGACACACACGTGTATCTCAATAAGATCTACAAAAAAGTCAGTGCGGGCGTATCTGTCAAATGTACGGTTAAAGGGCTATTTCGCATTTTTTGCCGATCCGCACACATTGGAATTTCGCTAACTCCTCCGAAGGCTTTCGTTCCACCGGCACCAAATTTGCTCAGGCCAATCTACACCCCATGGCCATTAAAAGTTGTACAAATCATGACGCTGCATCCCACGGTTTACGTTCTAGGGGGCTCCAAAGATAACCCAGAAATCCACATTCTTAAAAGTCGTATAACTTTTTATTTTTGTCCTCACTGGCCTCCAAGTTTTCTAGGATGATGCAATGTCCAGCCATCAACACATTTGTGAAGGAATTTTTACTCCCCAAAAGAGCGCCCCCCCATGGCAGGAGAAAAAAGTCCATTTTTTCTTGTCTCCTAAGGCGAAAATTCACACTATTGACTGTCACGCCTTTACGCTTTGTCATATTGACACAAAAATTGACACACACATGTATCTCAATAAGATCTACAAAAAAGTCAGTGCGGGCGTATCTGTCAAATGTACGGTGAAAGGGCTATTTCGCATTTTTTGCCGATCCGCACACATTGGAATTTCGCTAACTCCTCCGAAGGCTTTCGTTCCAAAGGCACCACATTTGCTGAGGCCAATCTACACCCCATGGCCATTAAAAGTTGTACAAATCATGACGCTGCACCCCACGGTTTACGTTCTAGGGGGCGCCAAAGATAACCCAAAAATCCACAGTCTTAAAAGTCTTATAACTTTTTATTTTTGTCCTCACTGGCCTCCAAGTTCTCTAGGATGATGCAATGTCCAGCCATCAACACATTTGTGAAGGAATTTTTACTCGCCAAAAGAGCGCCCCCCCCATGGCAGGAGAAAAAAGTCCATTTTTTCTTGTCTCCTAAGGCGAAAATACACATTGTTGACTGTCACGCCTTTACGCTTTGTCAAAATGACACAAAATTTGACACACACATGTATCTCAATAAGATCTACAAAAAAGTCAGTGCGGGCGTATCTGTCAAATGTACGGTTAAAGGGTTATTTCGCATTTTTTGCCGATCCGCACACATTGGAATTTCGCTAACTCCTCCTAAATCTTTTGTCCCATCGGCTTCAAATTTGCTCAGGTCAATCTACACCCCATGGCCATTCAAAGTTGTACAAATCATGACGCTGCACCCCACAGTTTACGTTCTAGGGGGCGCCAAAGAGGACCCAAATATCCACATTTTTAAAAGTCTTATAACTTTTTATTTTTGTCCTCACTGGCCTCCAAGTTTTCTAGGATGATGCAATGTCCAGCCATCAACACATTTGTGAAGGAATTTTTTCTCCCCAAAAGAGCGCCCCCCCATGGCAGGAGAAAAAGTCAAGTTTTTCCTGCCCATCGCTCAATGGCTCAAACGCATCGCTCTCTCTGCAAAACCGAAAGGAGGAGCAACTTGCCATTTGGATATATACTAGCTGTGTTTGTGCCCTCACTCATGGTCCAGACTTTTTTCAAATAGGACATGTAGTTTGTCTGCAGCGAGCGTTTTGGTAGAAACTGCGCCTCCCATTCATTATAATGGGAAATGACCACAGACAAGTGCGCACACCATCTTTGGACCTTGAGTGTGACGCGATCGGGAGGGGGAGGCGGTCGCGCTGGGGGCGGCGCGACGCGGCTCGGGCCCGACAGTGCCCCACCGGGGCCCTAGTTATTTTTCCTCCGCTTTAAACTGGAAAATGGCCCACTTCCCACTGGCGAAAACTCATGAAATTTGGCAGGACGACCGGGCCTGGTGAAAAATTTGATATTCCGAAGTCGCCCAAACAAGAAAATGCAAAATGGCTCCATAGCGCCCCCTAAGGTGAAAATTCACATGACGGCTGTACGCTTTGTCATATTGACACAAAAATTGACACACACATGTATCTCAATAAGATCTACAAAAAAGTCAGTGCAGGCGTATCTGTCAAATGTACGGTTAATGGGTTATTTTGCATTGTTTGCAGATCTGCACACATTGGAATTTCGCTAACTCCTCCGAAGGCTTTCGTTCGACCGGCACCACATTTGCGCAGGCCAATCTACCCCCCATGGCCATTAAAAGTTGTACAAATCATGACGCTGCACCCCACGGTTTACGTTCTAGGGGGCGCCAAAGATAACCCAAAATCCACATTCTTAAAAGTCTTATAACTTTTTATTTTTGTCCTCACTGCCCTCCAAGTTTTCTAGGATGATGCAATGTCCAGCCATCAACACATTTGTGAAGGAATTTTTACTCCCCAAAAGAGCGCCCCCCCATGGCAGGAGAAAAAAGTCAATTTTTTCTTGTCCCCTTACATGAAAATACACATTGTTGAGTGTCACGCCTGAACGCTTTGTCATATTGACACAAAAATTGACAATCATGTGTATCTCAATTAGATCTACGAAAAAGTCAAAAAGCGCGTATCTGTATAATGTACGGTTAAAGGGCTATTTCGCATTTTTTGCCGATTCGCACACATTGGAATGTGGCTATCTCCTCCTAAGGCTTTCGTCCCACCGATACCAAATTTGCTCAGGGCAATCTACACCCCATGCCCATTCAAAGTTGTAAAAATCATGACGCTGCACCCCAAGGTTTACGTTCTAGGGGACGCCAAAGATGACCCAAAAATCCACATTCTTAAAAGTCATTTTGGCCACTGCAGGAGTACAGAGTACTGCAGTTCTAGGGGGCGCCAAAGATGACCCAAAAATCCACATTCTTAAAAGTCTTTTTGGCCACTGCAGGAGTACAGAGTACTGCAGGATACACACACATATACACACACACACACACACACACACACACACACACACACACACACACACACACACACACACACACACTCAGAGTCTGTTTTTTAGCACCTGCAAAAACATGCTGTTTACATATTTGACAAGAATGCAGAGGCTTCCTTTTGCCCCTGAAAAAAATCAGATTTCAAACACAACTTGACTGTTCATTTCTCCAAAAGACAACCATGAAGCTCCATCCAAACCTGAAGCAGATAGTTGGTGCATGTGTACAGTAACCTGAGGGGAGTGAGGTGACTATTTCTGAGGAGAACATGAGCAGTGAAGATTCACCTTGGAGCTAGAACAGGGACGTGCACATGATTATACAGGGGCAGGGGCTCAAGTTTTTTCCAGTCATTTATACAATATGGAAATTAATGTGAAATTAAACCACAAATATGTGTGATGAACTGTTTTTAAAACTTAAACTTCAAATAAAAATTGTAAACTTCAAAACATATGCAAATTTTTAACAAAGAACATAGTAATTTACCTCTATTGACATCAAAATGCAGGCAATGGCCCAGGCGTTTTTGTAAAATTATTTACAAAACACTGTATAGTCTCACAAATGTCACTTTTTATTTATGCCACTACAAAAAAACATGATGTAAATGATGCATGCATGTCTCCCATGCAGAGCTCGGAGCGCATGTGTGGCTCTGCACCCTTAGCAGCGTTACTAACTCCTCAGTAAGGAAAGCCTGCTTCATGTCAGAGTCTCTAAACTCCAGAAGAAGTCGATAAAAGTCCCTTTCTTTCTAAAAAAAAGTCGTTAGGGGGTCTGAAAAGTCATTGAATCTAACAACAAAGTCGCTAGGTTTGCAACTACGTGTCCCAGACTGCATCCCTGCTGAGAGTCCCTCCCTCGCTTCTCATGTTGCAGGAAGAACGTAAGCGCCCTCCCCTTGTCAATCAGTCACCATATAATTTTGGATTGGTTGTTGTGGTGAAGTTTTCCACCAATAGGAGAGATGTTGTGGTGTGTTTTTTTTTTCTTTTGGCAAGCCTTTTCCGCCTGTAAGACCTGTCGCTAATGTCTGCATGCTATGTTTTCCTGTCTCATACAGCGCGATCGAGCGCCGAACGTGATCAAAATAAGCAGAAAAAAAGTATCGCGGACATAATTTATCATAACTCTGGTTTTATTTGGCCTATCAACACAATTTAAAAACTGGTATATAGGTTGAGGTCCTCACTTTTGAGATAAGTTGAAATGGAGAGTCAACGAGGCTCCGTCTTGCAGCTACATCCGGTTAAATATGTCATGTGACTTGAACGCACACACAGACACACACACACGCACGCACACACACACACACACACACACACACACACACACACACACACACACTCAGAGTCTGGTTTTTAGCACCTGCAAAAACATGCTATTTACATATTTGACAAGAATGCAGAGGCTCCTTTTGCCCCTGAAAAAAATCAAATTTCAAACACAACTTGACTGGTCATTTCTCCAAAAGACAACCATGAAGCTCCATCCAAACCTGAAGCAGGCAGTTGGTGCATGTGTACAGTAACCTGAGGGGAGTGAGGTGAGTGCTTCTGAGGAGAACATGAGCAGTGAAGATTCACCTTAGAGCTAGAACAGAGACGTGCACATGATTATACAGGGGCAGGGGCTCAAGTTTTTTCCAGTCGTTTATACAATATGGAAATTAATGTGAAATTAAAACACAAAGTATTAATAGAAAGGTAATGACTGTCCTGTGTAGGTGACAGTGATATCCAATAGGCTAGGCACTCACGAGGCTGGCTGTGGCAAGTGTAAGTGAAAGCAACACGCACTGGCAGGAAGAACAGCAAACGCAGATGAAGGAAAAGGGTCTTTGCAGTGATGGGCGTTACCAGAGAGGGCGATGGCCAGAGGACACAAATGGGACGGGGAGGCAGCACGTTGGGGGGGGGGACGCGACACGGCTCGGGCCCGCCAGTGCCCCAACGGGGTCCTAGTTAGGGCCCGAGCGTAGCTGCTAAGCAGCTGCGAGAGCCCTCTTGTTCCTGTAGTTTCCTTCTTTTGTTATTATTATTAGGGCCCGAGCCAGATGCAGAGCAGCCGGGCGTAGGCCCTGTTATTCCTGTAGGGGTTTTTTAGGGCCCGAGCGTAGCTGCTAAGCAGCTGCGAGAGCCCTCTTGTTCCTGTAGTTTCCTTCTTTTGTTATTATTAGGGCCCGAGCGTAGCTGCTAAGCAGCTGCGAGAGCCCTCTTGTTCCTGATGGATTCTTCTTTCGTTATTTTTCCTCCGCTTTAAACTGGAAAATGGCCCACTTCCCACTGGCGAAAACTCAGGAAATTTGGCAGGACGACCGGGCCTGGTGAAAAATTTGATATTCTGAAGTCGTCCAAACAAAAAAATGAAAAATGGCTCCATAGCGCCCCCTATGGTGAAAACTCACCTGATGCCTGTACGCTTTGTCAAAATGACACAAAATTTGACACACATGTGTATCTCAATAAGATCTACGAAAAAGTCAGTGCGGGCGTATCTGCCAAATGTACGGTTAAAGGGCTATTTCGCTTTTTTTGCCGATCCGCACACATTGGAATTTCGCTAACTCCTCCGAAGGCTTTCGTTCCACCGGCACCAAGTTTGCTCAGGCCAATCTACACCCCATGGCCATTAAAAGTTGTACAAATCATGATGCTGCACCCCACGGTTTACTTTCTAGGGGGCGCCAAAGATAACCCAAAAATCCACATTCTTAAAAGTCTTATAACTTTTTATTTTTGTCCTCACTGGCCTCCAAGTTTTCTAGGATGATGCAATGTCCAGCCATCAACACATTTGTGAAGGAATTTTTACTCCCCAAAAGAGCGCCCCCCCATGGCAGGAGAAAAAAGTCCATTTTTTCTTGTCTCCTAAGGTAAAAATACACATTGTTGAGTGTCACGCCTATACACTTTGTCATATTGACACACAATTTGACAATCACGTGTATCTCAATAAGATCTACAAAAAAGTCAATAGGCACGTATCTGTCAAATGTATGGTTAAAGGGCTATTTCGCATTTTTTGCCGATTCGCACACATTGGAATGTGGCTAACTCCTCCTAAGGCTTTCGTCCCACCGATACCAAATTTGCTCAGGGCAATCCACACCCCATGGCCATTCAAAGTTGTAAAAATCATGACGCTGCACCCCACGGTTTACGTTCTAGGGGGCGCCAAAGATGACCCAAAAATCCACATTCTTAAAAGTCATTTTGGCCACTGCAGGAGTACAGAGTACTGCAGTTCTAGGGGGCGCCAAAGATGACCCAAAAATCCACATTCTTAAAAGTCTTTTTGGCCACTGCAGGAGTACAGAGTACTGCCGGACACACACACATATACACACACGCCAACACACACACACACACACACACACACACACACACACACACACACACACACACACTCAGAGTCTGTTTTTTAGCACCTGCAAAAACATGCTGTTTACATATTTGACAAAAATGCAGAGGCTTCCTTTTGCCCCTGAAAAAAATCAAATTTCAAACACAACTTGACTGTTCATTTCTCCAAAAGACAACCATGAAGCTCCATCCAAACCTGAAGCAGATAGTTGGTGCATGTGTACAGTAACCTGAGGAGAGTGAGGTGACTACTTCTGAGGAGAACATGAGCAGTGAAGATTCACCTTGGAGCTAGAACAGGGACGTGCACATGATTATACAGGGGCAGGGGCTCAAGTTTTTTCCAGTCATTTATACAATATGGAAATTAATGTGAAATTAAACCACAAATATGTGTGATGAACTGTTTTTAAAACTTAAACTTCAAATAAAAATTGTAAACTTCAAAACATATGCAAATTTTTAACAAAGAACATAGTAATTTACCTCTATTTACATCAAAATGCAGGCAATGGCCCAGGCGTTCTTTGTAAAATTATTTACAAAACACTGTATAGTCTCACAAATGTCACTTTTTATTTATGCCACTACAAAAAAACATGATGCAAATGATGCATGATGTAAAACATGATGTAAAAAACTTGTGTAGATCCTCCTCTATGTCAGTCCATGTGTAATTTTTCCATAATTCTTTGTTTTTTGCAGCATTTTTGTTAGTGTAACTGCAGATTGTGCTGACAGTGTCTATGGCAAAAAAAAAAAAAAACTGAAAATGCCTCAACATGAACTCCTGGTGGTCTCTGAGGGTGAAACCTGCTAACTGCTGCAGCTCTCTCAGCTCTAGTCTCCCATGCAGAGCTCGGAGCGCATGTGTGGCTCTGCACCCTTAGCAGCGTTGCTAACTCCTCAGTAAGGAAAGCCTGCTTCATGTCAGAGTCTCTAAACTCCAGAGGAAGTCGATAAAATTCCCTTTCTTTCTAAAAAAAGTCGTTAGGGGGTCTGAAAAGTCATTGAATCTAACAACAAAGTCGCTAGGTTTGCAACTACGTTTCCCAGACTGCATCCCTGCTGAGAGTTCCTCCCTCCCTTCTCATATTGCAGGAAGAACGTAAGCGCCCGCCCCTTGTCAATCAGTCACCATATAATTTTGGATTGGTTGTTGTGGTGAAGTTTTCCACCAATAGGAGAGATGTTGTGGTGTGTTTTTTTTTCTTTTGGCATGCCTTTTCCGCCTGTAAGAGCTGTCGCTAATGTCTGCATGCTATGTTTTCCTGTCTCATACAGCGTGATCGAGCGCCGAACGTGATCAAAATAAGCAGAAAAAAAGTATCGCGGACATAATTTATCATAACTCTGGTTTTATTTGGCCTATCAACACAATTTAAAAAACTGGTATATAGTTTGAGGTCCTCACTTTTGAGATAAGTTGAAACGGAGGGTGAACGAGGCTCCGTCTTGCAGCTACATCCGGTTAAATATGTCATGTGACTTGAACGCTGGGGAGCGTCAATCGACTGCAGAGCCAGCAGACAAAGTAGTTATGCCACTGAGAGGCACACATTTGTCATATGCTATAATCCTAACATATTTTAATGCTTTTTCTATTTAAACCTAATGGATCTAAGGTTTGACCTTCAAAATTTAGGAAGAATATGTTTTTGCAGTAATGACCCCCTTAAACAACCAGAGGTCCTTTCCTAAAGTTTATGGAAATTTTAGTGAAGGCCTTGGTTTCTTTCCTTGCAAAATGTATAGAAATAATAAAGCTAAATACCATAAAATGGTCTTGGCGTATTAGCAGTGATATAAAATAGTGGTTTGAATATGAATGAACAACAAAAAAAAACATCAACAGAGCCTTTTTGAGTTGGGATTCTTTCATTATCACACAAAAACAGACATAGACAGACATCTAAAGGGTAAGGGAATGATCAGCCCTCCTAACTCTCAGATGAATCTTCAAAATTCACCGCAGAAATATGCTTATTATTCTTCTCAGAGTACTGCAAGATATATACACACACACAGACACACACACACACACACACACACACACACACACACTCAGAGTCTGTTTTTTAGCACCTGCAAAAACATGCTATTTACATATTTGACAAGAATGCAGAGGCTCCTTTTGCCCCTGAAAAAAATCTAATTTCAAACACAACTTGACTGCTCATTTCTCCAAAAGACAACCATGAAGCTCCATCCAAACCTGAAGCAGGCAGTTGGTGCAGAACAGCAAACGCCGATGAAGGAAAAGGGTCTTTGCAGTGATGGGCGTTACCAAAGAGGGCGATAGCCAGAGGACACAAATGGGACGGGGAGGCAGCGCGTTGGGGGGGGGACGCGACACAGCTCGGGCCCGCCAGTGCCCCAACGGGGTCCTAGTTAGGGCCCGAGCGTAGCTGCTAAGCAGCTGCGAGAGCCCTCTTGTTCCTGTAGTTTCCTTCTTTTGTTATTATTAGGGCCCGAGCGTAGCTGCTAAGCAGCTGCGAGAGCCCTCTTGTTCCTGTAGTTTCCTTCTTTAGGGCCCGAGCCAGCTGCAGAGCAGCCGGGCGTAGGCCCTATTATTCCCCAAGTGGTTTTTCTTTGTTTCTTTCTTTCTTTCTTTCTTCTTTTTCCTCCCCTTTGAACTGGAAAATGGCCCACTTCCCACTGGCGAAAACTCATGAAATTTGGCAGGACGACCGGGCCTGGTGAAAAATTCGATATTCTGAAGTCGCCCAAACAATAAAATGCAAAATGGCTCCATAGCGCCCCCTAAGGTGGAAATTCACACTATTGACTGTCACGCCTGTACGCTTTGTCATATTGACACAAAAATTGACACACACATGTATCTCAATAAGATCTACAAAAAAGTCAGTGCGGGCGTATCTGTCAAATGTACGGTTAAAGGGTTATTTCGCATTTTTTGCCGATCCGCACACATTGGAATTTCGCTAACTCCTCCGAAGGCTTTCGTTCCACCGGCACAACATTTGCTCAGGCCAATCTACACCCCGTGGCCATTAAAAGTTATCAAAATCATGACGCTGCACCCCAAGGTTTAGGTTCTAGGGGGCGCCAAAGATAACACTAAAATCCACATATTTAAAAGTCTTATAACTTTTTATTTTTGTCCTCACTGGCCTCCAAGTTTTCTAGGATGATGCAATGTCCAGCCATCAACACATTTGTGAAGGAATTTTTACTCCCCAAAACAGCGCCCCCCCCCATGGCAGGACAAAAAAGTCAATTTTTTCTTGTCCCCTAAGGTGAAAATACACACTATTGACTGTCACGCCTGTACGCTTTGTCAAAATGACACAAAAATTGACACACACATGTATCTCAATAAGATCTACAAAAAAGTCAGTGCGGGCGTATCTGTCAAATGTACGGTTAAAGGGTTATTGCGCATTTTTTGCCGATCCGCACACATTGGAATTTCGCTAACTCCTCCGAAGGCTTTCGTTCCACCGGCACCACATTTGCTCAGGCCAATCTACACCCCATGGCCATTAAAAGTTATTCAAATCATGACGCTGCACCCCACGGTTTAGGTTCTAGGGGGCGCCAAAATAACCCTAAAATCCACATATTTAAAAGTCTTATAACTTTTTATTTTTGCCCTCACTGGCCTCCAAGTTTTCTAGGATGATGCAATGTCCAGCCATCAACACATTTGTGAAGGAATTTTTACTCCCCAAAAGAGCGCCCCCCCATGGCAGGAGAAAAAAGTCCATTTTTACTTGTCCCCTACGGTGAAAATACACATTGTTTAGTGTCACGCCTGTACGCTTAGGCAAAATGACACAAAAATTGACACACACATGTATCTTAATAAGATCTACGAAAAAGTCAATGCGCACGTATCTGTCAAATGTACGGTTAAAGGGTTATTCCGCATTTTTTGCCGATCCGCACACATTGGAATGTGGCTAACTTCTCCTAAGGCTTTCGTTCCACTGGCACCACATTTGCTCAGGCCAATCTACACCCCATGGCCATTAAAAGTTATTCAAATCATGACGCTGCACCCCACGGTTTAGGTTCTAGGGGGCGCCAAAAATAACCCTAAAATCCACATATTTAAAAGTCTTATAACTTTTTATTTTTGTCCTCACTGGCCTCCAAGTTTTCTAGGATGATGCAATGTCCAGCCATCAACACATTTGTGAAGGAATTTTTACTCCCCAAAAGAGCGCCCCCCCATGGCAGGAGAAAAAAGTCCATTTTTTCTTGTCCCCTAAGGTGAAAATACACATTGTTTAGTGTCACGCCTGTACGCTTTGGCAAAATGACACAAAAATTGACACACACATGTATCTCAATAAGATCTACAAAAAAGTCAGTGCGGGCGTATCTGTCAAATGTACGGTTAAAGGGTTATTGCGCATTTTTTGCCGATCCGCACACATTGGAATTTCGCTAACTCCTCCTAAGGCTTTCGTTCCACCGGCACCACATTTGCTCAGGCCAATCTACACCCCATGGCCATTAAAAGTTATTCAAATCATGACGCTGCACCCCACGGTTTAGGTTCTAGGGGGCGCCAAAAATAACCCTAAAATCCACATATTTAAAAGTCTTATAACTTTTTATTTTTGCCCTCACTGGCCTCCAAGTTTTCTAGGATGATGCAATGTCCAGCCATCAACACATTTGTGAAGGAATTTTTACTCCCCAAAAGAGCGCCCCCCCATGGCAGGAGAAAAAGTCAAGTTTTTCCTGCCCATCGCTCAATGGCTCAAACGCATCGCTCTCTCGGCAAAACCGAAAGGAGGAGCAACTTGCCATTTGGATATATACTAGCTGTGTTTGTGCCCTCACTCATGGTCCAGACTTTTTTCAAAAAGGACATGGAGTTTGTCTGCAGCGAGCGTTTTGGTAGAAACTGCGCCTCCCATTCATTATAATGGTAAATGACCACAGACAAGTGCGCGCACCATCTTTGGACCTTGAGTGTGACGCAATCGGGAGGGGTAGGCAGTCGCGCTGGGGGCAGCGCGACACGGCTCGGGCCCGCCAGTGCCCCACCGGGGCCCTAGTTTGTTATTATTATTTTTCCTCCCCTTTGAACTGGAAAATGGCCCACTTCCCACTGGCGAAAACTCAGGAAATTTGGCAGGACGACCGGGCCTGGTGAAAAATTTGATATTCCGAAGTCGCCCAAACAAGAAAATGCAAAATGGCTCCATAGCGCCCCCTAAGGTGAAAATTCACACTATTGACTGTCACGCCTGTACGCTTTGTCAAAATGACACAAAAATTGACACACACATGTATCTCAATAAGATCTACAAAAAAGTCAGTGCGGGCGTATCTGTCAAATGTACGGTTAAAGGGTTATTTCGCATTTTTTGCCGATCCGCACACATTGGAATTTCGCTAACTCCTCCGAAGGCTTTCGTTCCACCGGCACCACATTTGCTCAGGCCAATCTACACCCCATGGCCATTAAAAGTTATTCAAATCATGACGCTGCACCCCACGGTTTAGGTTCTAGGGGGCGCCAAAGATAACCCTAAGATCCACATATTTAAAAGTCTTATAACTTTTTATTTTTGCCCTCACTGGCCTCCAAGTTTTCTAGGATGATGCAATGTCCAGCCATCAACACATTTGTGAAGGAATTTTTACTCCCCAAAAGAGCGCCCCCCCATGGCAGGAGAAAAAAGTCCATTTTTTCTTGTCCCCTAAGGTGAAAATACACATTGTTGAGTGTAACACCTGTACGCTTTGGCAAAATGACACAAAAATTGACACACACATGTATCTCAATAAGATCTACGAAAAAGTCAATGCGCGCGTATCTGTCAAATGTACGGTTAAAGGGTTATTCCGCATTTTTTGCCGATCCGCACACATTGGAATTTCGCTAACTCCTCCGAAGGCTTTCGTTCCACCGGCACCACATTTGCTCAGGCCAATCTACACCCCATGGCCATTAAAAGTTATTCAAATCATGACGCTGCACCCCACGGTTTAGGTTCTAGGGGGCGCCAAAGATAACCCTAAAATCCACATATTTAAAAGTCTTATAACTTTTTATTTTTGTCCTCACTGGCCTCCAAGTTTTCTAGGATGATGCAATGTCCAGCCATCAACACATTTGTGAAGGAATTTTTACTCCCCAAAAGAGCGCCCCCCCATGGCAGGAGAAAAAAGTCCATTTTTTCTTGTCCCCTAAGGTGGAAATTCACACTATTGACTGTCACGCCTGTACGCTTTATCATATTGACACAAAAATTGACACACACATGTATCTCAATAAGATCTACAAAAAAGTCAATGCGCGCGTATCTGTCAAATGTACGGTTAAAGGGCTATTTTGCATTTTTTGCCGATTCGCACACATTGGAATGTGGCTAACTCCTCCTAAGGCTTTCGTCCCACTGACACCAAATTTGCTCAGGCCAATCTACACCCCATGGCCATTCAAAGTTGTAAAAATCATGACGCTGCACCCCACGGTTTACGTTCTAGGGGGCGCCAAAGATGACCCAAAAATCCACATTCTTAAAGGAATCCACATCCCCCCCCAAGGCAGGAGAAAAAGTCAAGTTAACCCTGCCCATCGCTCAATGGCTCAATCGCATCGCTCTCCAGGCAACACCGTAAGGAGGAGCAACCTGCCATTTCGATATATCATAGCTGTGTTTGTGCCCTCACTCATGGTCCAGACTTTTTTCAAATAGGACATGAAGTTTGTCTGCAGCGAGTGTTTTGGTAGAAACTGCGCCTCCCATTCATTATAATGGGAAATGACCACAGACAAGTGCGCACACCATCTTTGGACCTTGAGTGTGACGCGATCGGGAGGGGGAGGCGGTCGCGCTAGGGGCGGCGCGACGCGGCTCGGGCCCGACAGTGCCCCACCGGGGCCCTAGTTAGGGCCCGAGCGTAGCTGCTAAGCAGCTGCGAGAGCCCTCTTGTTCCTGTAGTTTCCTTCTTTTGTTATTAGGGCCCGAGCCAGCTGCAGAGCAGCCGGGCGTAGGCCCTGTTATTCCTGTAGGGGTTTTTCTTTGTTTCTTTCTTTCTTCTTTTTCCTCCCCTTTGAACTGGAAAATGGCCCACTTCCCACTGGCGAAAACTCATGAAATTTGGCAGGACGACCGGGCCTGGTGAAAAATTCGATATTCTGAAGTCGCCCAAACAATAAAATGCAAAATGGCTCCATAGCGCCCCCTAAGGTGGAAATTCACACTATTGACTGTCACGCCTGTACGCTTTGTCATATTGACACAAAAATTGACACACATATGTATCTCAATAAGATCTACAAAAAAGTCAGTGCGGCCGTATCTGTCAAAATTACGGTTAAAGGGTTATTTCGCATTTTTTGCCGATCCGCACACATTGGAATTTCGCTAACTCCTCCGAAGGCTTTCGTTCCACCGGCACCACATTTGCTCAGGCCAATCTACACCCCGTGGCCATTAAAAGTTATCAAAATCATGACGCTGCACCCCAAGGTTTAGGTTCTAGGGGGCGCCAAAGATAACACTAAAATCCACATATTTAAAAGTCTTATAACTTTTTATTTTTGTCCTCACTGGCCTCCAAGTTTTCTAGGATGATGCAATGTCCAGCCATCAACACATTTGTGAAGGAATTTTTACTCCCCAAAAGAGCGCCCCCCCATGGCAGGAGAAAAAAGTCCATTTTTTCTTGTCCCCTAAGGTGAAAATACACATTGTTGAGTGTCACGCCTATACGCTTTGTCAAAATGACACAAAAATTGACACACAGATGTAACTCAATAAGATCTACAAAAAAGTCCATGCGCGCGTATCTGTCAAATGTACAGTTAAAGAGTTATTCCGCATTTTTTGCCGATACGCACACATTGGAATTTCGCTAACTCCTCCGAAGGCTTTCGTTCCACCGGCACCACATTTGCTCAGGCCAATCTACACCCCATGGCCATTAAAAGTTATTCAAATCATGATGCTGCACCCCATGGTTTAGGTTCTAGGGGGCGCCAAAAATAACCCAAAAATCCACATTCTTAAATGTTTTATAACTTTTTATTTTTGTCCTCACTGGCCTCCAAGTTTTCTAGGATGATGCAATGTCCAGCCATCAACACATTTGTGAAGGAATTTTTACTCCCCAAAAGAGCGCCCCCCCATGGTAGGAGAAAAAAGTCAATTTTTTCTTGTCCCCTTACATAAAAATACACATTGTTGAGTGTCACGCCTGAACGCTTTGTCATATTGACACAAAAATTGACAATCATGTGTATCTCAATTAGATCTACGAAAAAGTCAAAGAGCGCGTATCTGTATAATGTACGGTTAAAGGGCTATTTTGCATTTTTTGCCGATTCGCACACATTGGAATGTGGCTATCTCCTCCTAAGGCTTTCGTCCCACCGATACCAAATTTGCTCAGGGCAATCTACACCCCATGCCCATTCAAAGTTGTAAAAATCATGACGCTGCACCCCACGGTTTACGTTCTAGGGGGCGCCAAAGATGACCCAAAAATCCACATTCTTAAAAGTCATTTTGGCCACTGCAGGAGTACAGAGTACTGCAGTTCTAGGGGGCGCCAAAGATGACCCAAAAATCCACATTCTTAAAAGTCTTTTTGGCCACTGCAGGAGTACAGAGTACTGCAGGATACACACACATATACACACACGCCAACATACACACACACACACACACACACACACACACACAGACACACACACACACTCAGAGTCTGTTTTTTAGCACCTGCAAAAACATGCTGTTTACATATTTGACAAGAATGCAGAGGCTTCCTTTTGCCCCTGAAAAAAATCAAATTTCAAACACAACTTGACTGTTCATTTCTCCAAAAGACAACCATGAAGCTCCATTTCAAACCTGAAGCAGATAGTTGGTGCATGTGTACAGTAACCTGAGGGGAGTGAGGTGACTATTTCTGAGGAGAACATGAGCAGTGAAGATTCACCTTGGAGCTAGAACAGGGACGTGCACATGATTATACAGGGGCAGGGGCTCAAGTTTTTTCCAGTCATTTATACAATATGGAAATTAATGTGAAATTAAACCACAAATATGTGTGATGAACTGTTTTTAAAACTTAAACTTCAAATAAAAATTGTAAACTTCAAAACATATGCAAATTTTTAACAAAGAACATAGTAATTTACCTCTATTTACATCAAAATGCAGGCAATGGCCCAGGCGTTCTTTGTAAAATTATTTACAAAACACTGTATAGTCTCACAAATGTCACTTTTTATTTATGCCACTACAAAAAAACATGATGTAAATGATGCATGATGTAAAACATGATGTAAAAAACTTGTGTAGATCCTCCTCTATGTCAGTCCATGTGTAATTTTTCCATAATTCTTTGTTTTTTGCAGCATTTTTGTTAGTGTAACTGCAGATTGTGCTGACAGTGTCTATGGCACAAAAAAAAAAAAAATTAAAATGCCTCAACATGAACCCCTGGTGGTCTCTGAGGGTGAAACCTGCTAACTGCTGCAGCTCTGTCAGCTTCAGTCTCCCATGCAGAGCTCTGAGTGCATGTGTGGCTCTGCACCCTTAGCAGCGTTGCTAACTCCTCAGTAAGGAAAGCCTGCTTCATGTCAGAGTCTCTAAACTCCAGAAGAAGTCGATAAAAGTCACTTTCTTTCTAAAAAAAAAGTCGTTAGGGGGTCTGAAAAGTCATTGAATCTAACAACAAAGTCGCTAGGTTTGCAACTACGTGTCCCAGACTGCATCCCTGCTGAGAGTCCCCTCCTCCCTTCTCATGTTGCAGGAAGAATGTAAGCGCCCGCCCCTTGTCAATCAGTCACCATATAATTTTGGATTGGTTGTTGTGGTGAAGTTTTCCACCAATAGGAGAGATGTTGTGGTGTGTTTTTTTTTTCCTTTGGCAAGCCTTTTCCGCCTGTAAGACCTGTCGCTAATGTCTGCATGCTATGTTTTCCTGTCTCATACAGCGCGATCGAGCGCCGAACGTGATCAAAATAAGCAGAAAAAAAGTATCGCGGACATAATTTATCATAACTCTGGTTTTATTTGGCCTATCAACACAATTTAAAAACTGGTATATAGGTTGAGGTCCTCACTTTTGAGATAAGTTGAAACGGAGAGTCAACGAGGCTCCGTCTTGCAGCTACATCCGGTTAAATATGTCATGTGATTTGAACGCACACATAGACACACACACACGCACACACACACACACACACACACACACACACACACACACACACACACACACACTCAGAGTCTGGTTTTTAGCACCTGCAAAAACATGCTATTTACATATTTGACAAGAATGCAGAGGCTCCTTTTGCCCCTGAAAAAAATGAAATTTCAAACACAACTTGACTGGTCATTTCTCCAAAAGACAACCATGAAGCTCCATCCAAACCTGAAGCAGGCAGTTGGTGCATGTGTACAGTAACCTGAGGGGAGTGAGGTGAGTGCTTCTGAGGAGAACATGAGCAGTGAAGATTCACCTTGGAGCTAGAACAGAGACATGCACATGATTATACAGGGGCAGGGGCTCAAGTTTTTTCCAGTCGTTTATACAATATGGAAATTAATGTGAAATTAAAACACAAAGTATTAATAGAAAGGTAATGACTGTCCTGTGTAGGTGACAGTGATATCCAATAGGCTAGGCACTCACGAGGCTGGCTGTGGCAAGTGTAAGTGAAAGCAACACGCACTGGCAGGAAGAACAGCAAACGCCGATGAAGGAAAAGGGTCTTTGCAGTGATGGGCGTTACCAGAGAGGGCGATGGCCAGAGGACACAAATGGGACGGGGAGGCAGCACGTTGGGGGGGGGGGGGGGGGAGACGCGACACGGCTCGGGCCCGCCAGTGCCCCAACGGGGTCCTAGTTATTATTATTATTTTTCCTCCCCTTTGAACTGGAAAATGGCCCACTTCCCACTGGCGAAAACTCATGAAATTTGGCAGTACGACCGGGCCTGGTGAAAAATTTGATATTCCGAAGTCGCCCAAACAAGAAAATGCAAAATGGCTCCATAGCGCCCCCTAAGGTGAAAATTCACACTATTCACTGTCACGCCGGTACGCTTTGTCAAAATGACACAAAAATTGACACACACATGTATCTCAATAAGATCTACAAAAAAGTCAGTGCAGGCGTATCTGTCAAATGTACGGTTAAAGGGTTATTTCGCATTTTTTGCCGATCCGCACACATTGGAATTTCGCTAACTCCTCCGAAGGCTTTCGTTCCACCGGCACCACATTTGCTCAGGCCAATCTACACCCCATGGCCATTAAAAGTTATTCAAATCATGACGCTGCACCCCACGGTTTAGGTTCTAGGGGGCGCCAAAGATAACCCTAAGATCCACATATTTAAAAGTCTTATAACTTTTTATTTTTGCCCTCACTGGCCTCCAAGTTTTCTAGGATGATGCAATGTCCAGCCATCAACACATTTGTGAAGGAATTTTTACTCCCCAAAAGAGCGCCCCCCCATGGCAGGAGAAAAAAGTCCATTTTTTCTTGTCCCCTAAGGTGAAAATACACATTGTTGAGTGTAACACCTGTACGCTTTGGCAAAATGACACAAAAATTGACACACACATGTATCTCAATAAGATCTACGAAAAAGTCAATGCGCGCGTATCTGTCAAATGTACGGTTAAAGGGTTATTCCGCATTTTTTGCCGATCCGCACACATTGGAATTTCGCTAACTCCTCCGAAGGCTTTCGTTCCACCGGCACCACATTTGCTCAGGCCAATCTACACCCCATGGCCATTAAAAGTTATTCAAATCATGACGCTGCACCCCACGGTTTAGGTTCTAGGGGGAGCCAAAGATAACCGTAAAATCCACATATTTAAAAGTCTTATAACTTTTTATTTTTGTCCCCACTGGCCTCCAAGTTTTCTAGGATGATGCAATGTCCAGCCATCAACACATTTGTGAAGGAATTTTTACTCGCCAAAAGAGCGCCCCCCCATGGCAGGAGAAAAAAGTCAATTTTTTCTTGTCCACTAAGGTGAAAATACACATTGTTGAGTGCTACGCCTGTATGTTTTGTCGTATTGACACAAAATTTTACATACACGTGTCTTTCAATAAGATCTTCGAAAAAGTCAATGGCCACGTATCTGTAAAATGTACGGTTAAAGGGTTATTTCGCATTTTTTGCAGATTCGCACACATTGGAATTTCGCTAACTCCTCCGAAGGCTTTCGTTCCACCGGCACCACATTTGCTCAGGCCAATCTACACCCCATGGCCATTAAAAGTTATTCAAATCATGACGCTGCACCCCACGGTTTAGATTCTAGGGGGCGCCAAAGATAACCCTAAAATCCACATATTTAAAAGTCTTATAACTTTTTATTTTTGTCCTCACTGGCCTCCATGTTTTCTAGGATGATGCAATGTCCAGCCATCAACACATTTGTGAAGGAGTTTTTTCTCGTTAAAAGAGCGCCCCCCCCGGCAGGAGAATAAAGTCAAGTTTTTCCTGTTCATCATTCAATGGCTCAAACGCACTGCTCTCTCGGCAAAAGCGAAAGGAGGAGCAACTTGCCATTTGGATATATCTTAGCTGTGTTTGTGCCCTCACTCATGGTCCAGACTTTTTTCAAATAGGACATGGAGTTTTTCTGCAGCGAGCGTTTTGGTAGAAACTGCGCCTCCCGTTCATTATAATGGTAAATGACCACAAACAAGTGCGCACACCATCTTTGGACCTTGAGTGTGACGCGATCGGGTGGGGGAGGCGGTCGCGCTGGGGGCGGCGTGACACGGCTCGGGCCCGCCAGTGCCCCAACGGGGCCCTAGTTCTTCTTTTTCCTCCCCTTTGAACTGGAAAATGGCCCACTTCCCACTGGCGAAAACTCATGAAATTTGGCAGGACGACCGGGCCTGGTGAAAAATTCGATATTCTGAAGTCGCCCAAACAATAAAATGCAAAATGGCTCCATAGCGCCCCCTAAGGTGGAAATTCACACTATTGACTGTCACGTCTGTACGCTTTGTCATATTGACACAAAAATTGACACACATATGTATCTCAATAAGATCTACAAAAAAGTCAGTGCGGCCGTATCTGTCAAAATTACGGTTAAAGGGTTATTTCGCATTTTTTGCCGATCCGCACACATTGGAATTTCGCTAACTCCTCCGAAGGCTTTCGTTCCACCGGCACCACATTTGCTCAGGCCAATCTACACCCCGTGGCCATTAAAAGTTATCAAAATCATGACGCTGCACCCCAAGGTTTAGGTTCTAGGGGGCGCCAAAGATAACACTAAAATCCACATATTTAAAAGTCTTATAACTTTTTATTTTTGTCCTCACTGGCCTCCAAGTTTTCTAGGATGATGCAATGTCCAGCCATCAACACATTTGTGAAGGAATTTTTACTCCCCAAAAGAGCGCCCCCCATGGCAGGAGAAAAAAGTCCATTTTTTCTTGTCCCCTAAGGTGAAAATACACATTGTTGAGTGTCAAGCCTATACGCTTTGTCAAAATGACACAAAATTTGACACACACATGTAACTCAATAAGATCTACAAAAAAGTCCATGCGCGCGTATCTGTCAAATGTACAGTTAAAGGGTTAATCCGCATTTTTTGCCGATACGCACACATTGGAATTTCGCTAACTCCTCCGAAGGCTTTCGTTCCACCGGCACCACATTTGCTCAGGCCAATCTACACCCCATGGCCATTAAAAGTTATTCAAATCATGATGCTGCACCCCATGGTTTAGGTTCTAGGGGGCGCCAAAAATAACCCAAAAATCCACATTCTTAAATGTTTTATAACTTTTTATTTTTGTCCTCACTGGCCTCCAAGTTTTCTAGGATGATGCAATGTCCAGCCATCAACACATTTGTGAAGGAATTTTTACTCCCCAAAAGAGCGCCCCCCCATGGTAGGAGAAAAAAGTCAATTTTTTCTTGTCCCCTTACATAAAAATACACATTGTTGAGTGTCACGCCTGAACGCTTTGTCATATTGACACAAAAATTGACAATCATGTGTATCTCAATTAGATCTACGAAAAAGTCAAAGAGCGCGTATCTGTATAATGTACGGTTAAAGGGCTATTTTGCATTTTTTGCCGATTCGCACACATTGGAATGTGGCTATCTCCTCCTAAGGCTTTCGTCCCACCGATACCAAATTTGCTCAGGGCAATCTACACCCCATGCCCATTCAAAGTTGTAAAAATCATGACGCTGCACCCCACGGTTTACGTTCTAGGGGGCGCCAAAGATGACCCAAAAATCCACATTCTTAAAAGTCATTTTGGCCACTGCAGGAGTACAGAGTACTGCAGTTCTAGGGGGCGCCAAAGATGACCCAAAAATCCACATTCTTAAAAGTCTTTTTGGCCACTGCAGGAGTACAGAGTACTGCAGGATACACACACATATACACACACGCCAACATACACACACACACACACACACACACACACACACACACACAGACACACACCCACACTCAGAGTCTGGTTTTTAGCACCTGCAAAAACATGCTGTTTACATATTTGACAAGAATGCAGAGGCTTCCTTTTGCCCCTGAAAAAAATCAAATTTCAAACACAACTTGACTGTTCATTTCTCCAAAAGACAACCATGAAGCTCCATTTCAAACCTGAAGCAGATAGTTGGTGCATGTGTACAGTAACCTGAGGGGAGTGAGGTGACTATTTCTGAGGAGAACATGAGCAGTGAAGATTCACCTTGGAGCTAGAACAGGGACGTGCACATGATTATACAGGGGCAGGGGCTCAAGTTTTTTCCAGTCATTTATACAATATGGAAATTAATGTGAAATTAAACTACAAATATGTGTGATGAACTGTTTTTAAAACTTAAACTTCAAATAAAAATTGTAAACTTCAAAACATATGCAAATTTTTAACAAAGAACATAGTAATTTACCTCTATTTACATCAAAATGCAGGCAATGGCCCAGGCGTTCTTTGTAAAATTATTTACAAAACACTGTATAGTCTCACAAATGTCACTTTTTATTTATGCCACTACAAAAAAACATGATGTAAATGATGCATGATGTAAAACATGATGTAAAAAACTTGTGTAGATCCTCCTCTATGTCAGTCCATGTGTAATTTTTCCATAATTCTTTGTTTTTTGCAGCATTTTTGTTAGTGTAACTGCAGATTGTGCTGACAGTGTCTATGGCACAAAAAAAAAAAAAATTTTTTAATGCCTCAACATGAACCCGTGGTGGTCTCTGAGGGTGAAACCTGCTAACTGCTGCAGCTCTGTCAGCTTCAGTCTCCCATGCAGAGCTCTGAGCGCATGTGTGGCTCTGCACCCTTAGCAGCGTTGCTAACTCCTCAGTATGGAAAGCCTGCTTCATGTCAGAGTCTCTAAACTCCAGAAGAAGTCGATAAAAGTCCCTTTCTTTCTAAAAAAAAGTCGTTAGGGGGTCTGAAAAGTCATTGAATCTAACAACAAAGTCGCTAGGTTTGCAACTACGTGTCCCAGACTGCATCCCTGCTGAGAGTCCCTCCCTCCCTTCTCATGTTGCAGGAAGAACGTAAGCGCCCCCCTTGTCAATCAGTCACCATATAATTTTGGATTGGTTGTTGTGGTGAAGTTTTCCACCAATAGGAGAGATGTTGTGGTGTGTTTTTTTTTTCTTTTGGCAAGCCTTTTCCGCCTGTAAGAACTGTCGCTAATGTCTGCATGCTATGTTTTCCTGTCTCATACAGCGCGATCGAGCGCCGAACGTGATCAAAATAAGCAGAAAAAAAATATCGCGGACATAATTTATCATAACTCTGGTTTTATTTGGCCTATCAACACAATTTAAAAACTGGTATATAGGTTGAGGTCCTCACTTTTGAGATAAGTTGAAACGGAGAGTCAACGAGGCTCCGTCTTGCAGCTACATCCGGTTAAATATGTCATGTGACTTGAACGCACACACAGACACACACACACACACACACACACACACACACACACACACACACACACACACACTCAGAGTCTGGTTTTTAGCACCTGCAAAAACATGCTATTTACATATTTGACAAGAATGCAGAGGCTCCTTTTGCCCCTGAAAAAAATCAAATTTCAAACACAACTTGACTGGTCATTTCTCCAAAAGACAACCATGAAGCTCCATCCAAACCTGAAGCAGGCAGTTGGTGCATGTGTACAGTAACCTGAGGGGAGTGAGGTGAGTGCTTCTGAGGAGAACATGAGCAGTGAAGATTCACCTTGGAGCTAGAACAGAGACATGCACATGATTATACAGGGGCAGGGGCTCAAGTTTTTTCCAGTCGTTTATACAATATGGAAATTAATGTGAAATTAAAACACAAAGTATTAATAGAAAGGTAATGACTGTCCTGTGTAGGTGACAGTGATATCCAATAGGCTAGGCACTCACGAGGCTGGCTGTGGCAAGTGTAAGTGAAAGCAACACGCACTGGCAGGAAGAACAGCAAACGCCGATGAAGGAAAAGGGTCTTTGCAGTGATGGGCGTTACCAGAGAGGGCGATGGCCAGAGGACACAAATGGGACGGGGAGGCAGCACGTTGGGGGGGGGGGGGGGGGGGACGCGACACGGCTCGGGCCCGCCAGTGCCCCAACGGGGTCCTAGTTAGGGCCCGAGCGTAGCTGCTAAGCAGCTGCGAGAGCCCTCTTGTTCCTGTAGTTTCCTTCTTTTGTTATTAGGGCCCGAGCGTAGCTGCTAAGCAGCTGCGAGAGCCCTATTATTCCCCAAGGGGTTTTTCTTTGTTTCTTTCTTTCTTCTTTTTCCTCCCCTTTGAACTGGAAAATGGCCCACTTCCCACTGGCAAAAACTCATGAAATTTGGCAGGATGACCGGGCCTGGTGAAAAATTTGATATTCCGAAGTCGCCCAAACAAGAAAATGCAAAATGGCTCCATAGCGCCCCCTAAGGTGAAAATTCACACTATTGACTGTCACGCCTTTACGCTTTGTCAAAATGACACAAAAATTGACAAACATATGTATCTCAATAAGATCTACAAAAAAGTCAGTGCGGGCGTATCTGTCAAATGTACGGTTAAAGGGTTATTCCGCATTTTTTGCCGATCCGCACACATTGGAATTTCGCTAACTCCTCCGAAGGCTTTCTTTCCACCGGCACCACATTTGCTCAGGCCAATCTACACCCCATGGCCATTAAAAGTTATTCAAATCATGACGCTGCACCCCACGGTTTAGGTTCTAGGGGGCGCCAAAGATAACCCTAAAATCCACATATTTCAAAGTCTTATAACTTTTTATTTTTGCCCTCACTGGCCTCCAAGTTTTCTAGGATGATGCAATGTCCAGCCATTAACACATTTGTGAAGGAATTTTTACTCCCCAAAAGAGCGCCCCCCCATGGCCGGAGAAAAAAGTCCATTTTTTCTTGTCCCCTAAGGTGAAAATACACATTGTTGAGTGTCACGCCTGTACGCTTTGTCATATTGACACAAAATTTGACACACACATGTATCTCAATAAAATCTACGAAAAAGTCAATGCGCGCGTATCTGTCAAATGTACGGTTAAAGGGTTATTCCGCATTTTTTGCTGATCCGCACACATTGGAATTTCGCTAACTCCTCCTAAGGCTGGCGTTCCACCGGCACCACATTTGCTCAGGCCAATCTACACCCCATGGCCATTAAAAGTTATTCAAATCATGATGCTGCACCCCACGGTTTAGGTTCTAGGGGGCGCCAAAGATAACCCTAAAATCCACATATTTCAAAGTCTTATAACTTTTTATTTTTGTCCTCACTGGCCTCCAAGTTTTCTAGGATGATGCAATGTCCAGCCATCAACACATTTGTGAAGGAATTTTTACTCCCCAAAAGAGCGCCCCCCCATGGCAGGAGAAAAAAGTCAGTTTTTTCTTGTCCCGTAAGGTGAAAATTCACATTGTTGAGTGTGACACCTGTACGCTTTGTCATATTGACACAAAATTTGACAATCACGTGTATCTCAATAAGATCTACGAAAAAGTCAAAGCGCGCGTATCTGTCAAATGTACGGTTAAAGGGTTATTCCGCATTTTTTGACGATCCGCACACATTGGAATGTGGCTAACTCCTCCTAAGGCTTTCGTTCCACCGGCACCACATTTGCTCAGGCCAATCTACACCCCATGGCCATTAAAAGTTATTCAAATCATGACGCTGCACCCCACGGTTTAGGTTCTAGGGGGCGCCAAAGATAACCCTAAAATCCACATATTTAAAAGTCTTATAACTTTTTATTTTTGTCCTCACTGGCCTCCAAGTTTTCTAGGATGATGCAATGTCCAGCCATCAACACATTTGTGAAGGAATTTTTACTCCCCAAAAGAGCGCCCCCCCATGGCAGGAGAAAAAAGTCCATTTTTTCTTGTCGCCTAAGGTGAAAATTCACATTGTTGAGTGTGACACCTGTACGCTTTGTCATATTGACACAAAATTTGACAATCACGTGTATCTCAATAAGATCTACGAAAAAGTCAATGCGCGCGTATCTGTCAAATGTACGGTTAAAGGGCTATTTTGCATTTTTTGCCGATTCGCACACATTGGAATGTGGCTAACTCCTCCTAAGGCTTTCGTCCCACTGACACCAAATTTGCTCAGGCCAATCTACACCCCATGGCCATTCAAAGTTGTAAAAATCATGACGCTGCACCCCACGGCTCACGTTCTAGGGGGCGCCAAAGATGACCAAAAAATCCACATTCTTAAAAGAATCCACATCCCCCCCCCCCCACACCCCCCCAAGGCAGGAGAAAAAGTCAAGTTTTTCCTGCCCATCGCTCAATGGCTCAATCGCATCGCTCTCCCGGCAACACCGTAAGGAGGAGCAACCTGCCATTTGGATATATCCTAGCTGTGTTTGTGCCCTCACTCATGGTCCAGACTTTTTTCAAATAGGACATGAAGTTTGTCTGCAGCGAGTGTTTTGGTAGAAACTGCGCCTCTCCTTCATTATAATGGGAAATGACCACAGAAAAGTACGCACACCATCTTTGGACCTTGAGTGTGACGCGATCGGGAGGGGGAGGCGGTCGCGCTGGGGGCGGCGCGACGCGGCTCGGGCCCGACAGTGCCCCACCGGGGCCCTAGTTATTATTATTATTTTTCCTCCCCTTTGAACTGGAAAATGGCCCACTTCCCACTGGCGAAAACTCATGAAATTTGGCAGGACGACCGGGCCTGGTGAAAAATTTGATATTCTGAAGTCGCCCAAACAAGAAAATGCAAAATGGCTCCATAGCGCCCCCTAAGGTGAAAATTCACACTATTGACTGTCACGCCGGTACGCTTTGTCAAAATGACACAAAAATTGACACACACATGTATCTCAATAAGATCTACAAAAAAGTCAGTGCGGGCGTATCTGTCAAATGTACGGTTAAAGGGTTATTTCGCATTTTTTGCCGATCCGCACACATTGGAATTTCGCTAACTCCTCCGAAGGCTTTCGTTCCACCGGCACCACATTTGCTCAGGCCAATCTACACCCCATGGCCATTAAAAGTTATTCAAATCATGACGCTGCACCCCACGGTTTAGGTTCTAGGGGGCGCCAAAGATAACCCTAAGATCCACATATTTAAAAGTCTTATAACTTTTTATTTTTGCCCTCACTGGCCTCCAAGTTTTCTAGGATGATGCAATGTCCAGCCATCAACACATTTGTGAAGGAATTTTTACTCCCCAAAAGAGCGCCCCCCATGGCAGGAGAAAAAAGTCCATTTTTTCTTGTCCCCTAAGGTGAAAATACACATTGTTGAGTGTAACACCTGTACGCTTTGGCAAAATGACACAAAAATTGACACACACATGTATCTCAATAAGATCTACGAAAAAGTCAATGCGCGCGTATCTGTCAAATGTACGGTTAAAGGGTTATTCCGCATTTTATGCCGATCCGCACACATTGGAATTTCGCTAACTCCTCCGAAGGCTTTCGTTCCACCGGCACCACATTTGCTCAGGCCAATCTACACCCCATGGCCATTAAAAGTTATTCAAATCATGACGCTGCACCCCACGGTTTAGGTTCTAGGGGGAGCCAAAGATAACCGTAAAATCCACATATTTAAAAGTCTTATAACTTTTTATTTTTGTCCCCACTGGCCTCCAAGTTTTCTAGGATGATGCAATGTCCAGCCATCAACACATTTGTGAAGGAATTTTTACTCGGCAAAAGAGCGCCCCCCCATGGCAGGAGAAAAAAGGAAATTTTTTCTTGTCCACTAAGGTGAAAATACACATTGTTGAGTGCTACGCCTGTATGTTTTGTCGTATTGACACAAAATTTTACATACACGTGTATTTACATAAGATCTTCGAAAAAGTCAATGGCCACGTATCTGTAAAATGTACGGTTAAAGGGTTATTTCGCATTTTTTGCAGATTCGCACACATTGGAATTTCGCTAATTCCTCCGAAGGCTTTCGTTCCACCGGCACCACATTTGCTCAGGCCAATCTACACCCCATGGCCATTAAAAGTTATTCAAATCATGACGCTGCACCCCACGGTTTAGGTTCTAGGGGGCGCCAAATATAACCCTAAAATCCACATATTTAAAAGTCTTATAACTTTTTATTTTTGTCCTCACTGGCCTCCATGTTTTCTAGGATGATGCAATGTCCAGCCATCAACACATTTGTGAAGGAGTTTTTTCTCTTTAAAAGAGCGCCCCCCATGGCAGGAGAATAAAGTCAAGTTTTTCCTGTTCATCATTCAATGGCTCAAACGCACTGCTCTCTCGGCAAAAGCGAAAGGAGGAGCAACTTGCCATTTGGATATATCTTAGCTGTGTTTGTGCCCTCACTCATGGTCCAGACTTTTTTCAAATAGGACATGGAGTTTTTCTGCAGCGAGCGTTTTGGTAGAAACTGCGCCTCCCGTTCATTATAATGGTAAATGACCACAAACAAGTGCGCACACCATCTTTGGACCTTGAGTGTGACGCGATCGGGTGGGGGAGGCGGTCGCGCTGGGGGCGGCGTGACACGGCTCGGGCCCGCCAGTGCCCCAACGGGGCCCTAGTTAGGGCCCGAGCGTAGCTGCTAAGCAGCTGCGAGAGCCCTCTTGTTCCTGTAGTTTCCTTCTTTTGTTATTAGGGCCCGAGCGTAGCTGCTAAGCAGCTGCGAGAGCCCTCTTGTTCCTGTAGTTTCCTTCTTTTGTTATTATTATTTTTCCTCCCCTTTGAACTGGAAAATGGCCCACTTCCCACTGGCGAAAACTCATGAAATTTGGCAGGACGACCGGGCCTGGTGAAAAATTTGATATTCCGAAGTCGCCCAAACAAGAAAATGCAAAATGGCTCCATAGCGCCCCCTAAGGTGAAAATTCACACTATTCACTGTCACGCCTGTACGCTTTGTCAAAATGACACAAAAATTGACACACACATGTATCTCAATAAGATCTACAAAAAAGTCAGTGCGGGCGTATCTGTCAAATGTACGGTTAAAGGGTTATTTCGCGTTTTTTGCCGATCCGCACACATTGGAATTTCGCTAACTCCTCCGAAGGCTTTCGTTCCACCGGCACCACATTTGCTCAGGCCAATCTACACCCCATGGCCATTAAAAGTTATTCAAATCATGACGCTGCACCCCACGGTTTAGGTTCTAGGGGGCGCCAAAGATAACCCTAAAATCCACATATTTAAAAGTCTTATAACTTTTTATTTTTGTCCTCACTGGCCTCCAAGTTTTCTAGGATGATGCAATGTCCAGCCATCAACACATTTGTGAAGGAATTTTTACTCCCCAAAAGAGCGCCCCCCCATGGCAGGAGAAAAAAGTCAATTTTTTCTTGTCCCCTAAGGTGGAAATTCACACTATTGACTGTCACGCCTGTACGCTTTATCATATTGACACAAAAATTGACACACATATGTATCTCAATAAGATCTACAAAAAAGTCAACGCGCGCGTATCTGTCAAATGTACGGTTAAAGGGCTATTTTGCATTTTTTGCCGATTCGCACACATTGGAATGTGGCTAACTCCTCCTAAGGCTTTCGTCCCACTGACACCAAATTTGCTCAGGCCAATCTACACCCCATGGCCATTCAAAGTTGTAAAAATCATGACGCTGCACCCCACGGTTTACGTTCTAGGGGGCGCCAAAGATGACCCAAAAATCCACATTCTTAAAGGAATCCACATCCCCCCCCCCCCAAGGCAGGAGAAAAAGTCAAGTTAACCCTGCCCATCGCTCAATGGCTCAATCGCATCGCTCTCCAGGCAACACCGTAAGGAGGAGCAACCTGCCATTTCGATATATCATAGCTGTGTTTGTGCCCTCACTCATGGTCCAGACTTTTTTCAAATAGGACATGAAGTTTGTCTGCAGCGAGTGTTTTGGTAGAAACTGCGCCTCCCGTTCATTATAATGGGAAATGACCACAGACAAGTGCGCACACCATCTTTGGACCTTGAGTGTGACGCGATCGGGAGGGGGAGGCGGTCGCGCTGGGGGCGGCGCGACGCGGCTCGGGCCCGACAGTGCCCCACCGGGGCCCTAGTTATTATTTTTCCTCCCCTTTGAACTGGAAAATGGCCCACTTCCCACTGGCGAAAACTCATGAAATTTGGCAGGACGACCGGGCCTGGTGAAAAATTCGATATTCTGAAGTCGCCCAAACAATAAAATGCAAAATGGCTCCATAGCGCCCCCTAAGGTGGAAATTCACACTATTGACTGTCACGCCTGTACGCTTTGTCATATTGACACAAAAATTGACACACATATGTATCTCAATAAGATCTACAAAAAAGTCAGTGCGGCCGTATCTGTCAAATGTACGGTTAAAGGGTTATTTCGCATTTTTTTCCGATCCGCACACATTGGAATTTCGCTAACTCCTCCGAAGGCTTTCGTTCCACCGGCACCACATTTGCTCAGGCCAATCTACACCCCATGGCCATTAAAAGTTATTCAAATCATGACGCTGCACCCCACGGTTTAGGTTCTAGGGGGCGCCAAAGATAACCCTAAGATCCACATATTTAAAAGTCTTATAACTTTTTATTTTTGCCCTCACTGGCCTCCAAGTTTTCTAGGATGATGCAATGTCCAGCCATCAACACATTTGTGAAGGAATTTTTACTCCCCAAAAGAGCGCCCCCCATGGCAGGAGAAAAAAGTCCATTTTTTCTTGTCCCCTAAGGTGAAAATACACATTGTTGAGTGTCACGCCTATACGCTTTGTCAAAATGACACAAAAATTGACACACACATGTAACTCAATAAGATCTACGAAAAAGTCAATGCGTGCGTATCTGTCAAATGTACGGTTAAAGGGTTATTCCGCATTTTTTGCCGATCCGCACACATTGGAATTTCGTTAACTCCTCCGAAGGCTTTCTGTCCACCGGCACCACATTTGCTCAGGCCAATCTACACCCCATGGCCATTAAAAGTTATTCAAATCATGACGCTGCATCCCACGGTTTAGGTTCTAGGGGGCGCCAAAGACAACCCTAAAATCCACATATTTAAAAGTCTTATAACTTTTTATTTTTGTCCTCACTGGCCTCCAAGTTTTCTAGGATGATGCAATGTCCAGCCATCAACACATTTGTGAAGGAATTTTTACTCCCCAAAAGAGCGCCCCCCCATGGCAGGAGAAAAAAGTCAATTTTTTCTTGTCCCCTAAGGTGGAAATTCACACTATTGACTGTCACGCCTGTACGCTTTATCATATTGACACAAAAATTGACACACATATGTATCTCAATAAGATCTACAAAAAAGTCAATGCGCGCGTATCTGTCAAATGTACGGTTAAAGGGCTATTTTGCATTTTTTGCCGATTCGCACACATTGGAATGTGGCTAACTCCTCCTAAGGCTTTCGTCCCACTGACACCAAATTTGCTCAGGCCAATCTACACCCCATGGCCATTCAAAGTTGTAAAAATCATGACGCTGCACCCCACGGTTTACGTTCTAGGGGGCGCCAAAGATGACCCAAAAATCCACATTCTTCAAAGAATCCACCCCCCCCCCCCCATATGGCAGGAGAAAAAGTTAAGTTTTTCCTGCCCATCGCTCAATGGCTCAATCGCATCGCTCTCCAGGCAACACCGTAAGGAGGAGCAACCTGCCATTTCGATATATCATAGCTGTGTTTGTGCCCTCACTCATGGTCCAGACTTTTTTCAAATAGGACATGAAGTTTGTCTGCAGCGAGTGTTTTGGTAGAAACTGCGCCTCCCATTCATTATAATAGGAAATGACCACAGACAAGTGCGCACACCATCTTTGGATCTTGAGTGTGACGCGATCGGTAGGGGGAGGCGGTCGCACTGGGGGCGGCGCAACAAGGCTCGGGCCCGACAGTGCCCCAACGGGGTCCTAGTTATTATTTTTCCTCCCCTTTGAACTGGAAAATGGCCCACTTCCCACTGGCGAAAACTCATGAAATTTGGCAGGACGACCGGGCCCGGTGAAAAATTTGATATTCCGAAGTCGCCCAAACAAGAAAATGCAAAATGGCTCCATAGCGCCCCCTAAGGTGAAAATTCACACTATTGACTGTCACGCCGGTACGCTTTGTCAAAATGACACAAAAATTGACACACACATGTATCTCAATAAGATCTACAAAAAAGTCAGTGCGGGCGTATCTGTCAAATGTACGGTTAAAGGGTTATTTCGCATTTTTTTCCGATCCGCACACATTGGAATTTCGCTAACTCCTCCGAAGGCTTTCGTTCCACCGGCACCACATTTGCTCAGGCCAATCTACACCCCATGGCCATTAAAAGTTATTCAAATCATGACGCTGCACCCCACGGTTTAGGTTCTAGGGGGCGCCAAAGATAACCCTAAGATCCACATATTTAAAAGTCTTATAACTTTTTATTTTTGCCCTCACTGGCCTCCAAGTTTTCTAGGATGATGCAATGTCCAGCCATCAACACATTTGTGAAGGAATTTTTACTCCCCAAAAGAGCGCCCCCCCATGGCAGGAGAAAAAAGTCCATTTTTTCTTGTCCCCTAAGGTGAAAATACACATTGTTGAGTGTAACACCTGTACGCTTTGGCAAAATGACACAAAAATTGACACACACATGTATCTCAATAAGATCTACGAAAAAGTCAATGCGCGCGTATCTGTCAAATGTACGGTTAAAGGGTTATTCCGCATTTTTTGCCGATCCGCACACATTGGAATTTTGCTAACTCCTCCGAAGGCTTTCGTTCCACCGGCACCACATTTGCTCAGGCCAATCTACACCCCATGGCCATTAAAAGTTATTCAAATCATGACGCTGCACCCCACGGTTTAGGTTCTAGGGGGAGCCAAAGATAACCGTAAAATCCACATATTTAAAAGTCTTATAACTTTTTATTTTTGTCCCCACTGGCCTCCAAGTTTTCTAGGATGATGCAATGTCCAGCCATCAACACATTTGTGAAGGAATTTTTACTCGGCAAAAGAGCGCCCCCCCATGGCAGGAGAAAAAAGTCAATTTTTTCTTGTCCACTAAGGTGAAAATACACATTGTTGAGTGCTACGCCTGTATGTTTTGTCGTATTGACACAAAATTTTACATACACGTGTATTTACATAAGATCTTCGAAAAAGTCAATGGCCACGTATCTGTAAAATGTACGGTTAAAGGGTTATTTCGCATTTTTTGCAGATTCGCACACATTGGAATTTCGCTAATTCCTCCGAAGGCTTTCGTTCCACCGGCACCACATTTGCTCAGGCCAATCTACACCCCATGGCCATTAAAAGTTATTCAAATCATGACGCTGCACCCCACGGTTTAGGTTCTAGGGGGCGCCAAATATAACCCTAAAATCCACATATTTAAAAGTCTTATAACTTTTTATTTTTGTCCTCACTGGCCTCCATGTTTTCTAGGATGATGCAATGTCCAGCCATCAACACATTTGTGAAGGAGTTTTTTCTCTTTAAAAGAGCGCCCCCCATGGCAGGAGAATAAAGTCAAGTTTTTCCTGTTCATCATTCAATGGCTCAAACGCACTGCTCTCTCGGCAAAAGCGAAAGGAGGAGCAACTTGCCATTTGGATATATCTTAGCTGTGTTTGTGCCCTCACTCATGGTCCAGACTTTTTTCAAATAGGACATGGAGTTTTTCTGCAGCGAGCGTTTTGGTAGAAACTGCGCCTCCCGTTCATTATAATGGTAAATGACCACAAACAAGTGCGCACACCATCTTTGGACCTTGAGTGTGACGCGCTCGGGTGGGGGAGGTGGTCGCGCTGGGGGCGGCGTGACACGGCTCGGGCCCGCCAGTGCCCCAACGGGGCCCTAGTTAGGGCCCGAGCCAGCTGCAGAGCAGCCGGGCGTAGGCCCTGTTATTCCTGTAGGGGTTTTTCTTTGTTTCTTTCTTTCTTCTTTTTCCTCCCCTTTGAACTGGAAAATGGCCCACTTCCCACTGGCGAAAACTCAGGAAATTTGGCAGGACGACCGGGCCTGGTGAAAAATTTGATATTCCGAAGTCGCCCAAACAAGAAAATTCAAAATGGCTCCATAGCGCCCCCTAAGGTGAAAATTCACACTATTGACTGTCACGCCTGTACGCTTTGTCAAAATGACACAAAAATTGACACACACATGTATCTCAATAAGATCTACAAAAAAGTCAGTGCGGGCGTATCTGTCAAATGTACGGTTAAAGGGTTATTTCGCATTTTTTGCCGATCCGCACACATTGGAATTTCGCTAACTCCTCCGAAGGCTTTCGTTCCACCGGCACCACATTTGCTCAGGCCAATCTACACCCCATGGCCATTAAAAGTTATTCAAATCATGACGCTGCACCCCACGGTTTAGGTTCTAGGGGGCGCCAAAGATAACCCTAAAATCCACATTTTTAAAAGTCTTATAACTTTTTATTTTTGCCCTCACTGGCCTCCAAGTTTTCTAGGATGATGCAATGTCCAGCCATCAACACATTTGTGAAGGAATTTTTACTCGCCAAAAGAGCGCCCCCCCATGGCAGGAGAAAAAAGTCCATTTTTTCTTGTCTCCTAAGGCGAAAATACACATTGTTGACTGTCACGCCTTTACGCTTTGTCAAAATGACACAAAATTTGACACACACATGTATCTCAATAAGATCTACGAAAAAGTCAATGCGAGCGTATCTGTTCAATGTACGGTTAAAGGGCTATTTCGCATTTTTTGCCGATTCGCACACATTGGAATGTGGCTAACTCCTCCTGAAGCTTTTGTCCCATCGGCTTCAAATTTGCTCAGGTCAATCTACACCCCATGGCCATTCAAAGTTGTACAAATCATGACGCTGCACCCCACGGTTTACGTTCTAGGGGGCGCCAAAGAGGACCCAAATATCCACATTTTTAAAAGTCTTATAACTTTTTATTTTTGTCCTTACTGGCCTCCAAGTTTTCTAGGATGATGCAATGTCCAGCCATCAACACATTTGTGAAGGAATTTTTTCTCTCCAAAAGAGCGCCCCCCCATGGCAGGAGAAAAAGTCAAGTTTTTCCTGCCCATCGCTCAATGGCTCAAACGCATCGCTCTCTCGGCAAAACCGAAAGGAGGAGCAAATTGCCATTTGGATATATACTAGCTGTGTTTGTGCCCTCACTCATGGTCCAGACTGTTTTCAAAAAGGACATGGAGTTTGTCTGCAGCGAGCGTTTTGGTAGAAACTGCGCCTCCCATTCATTATAATGGTAAATGACCACAGACAAGTGTGCACACCATCTTTGGACCTTGAGTGTGACGCGATCGGGAGGGGTAGGCGGTCGCGCTGGGGGCGGCGCGACACGGCTCGGGCCCGCCAGTGCCCCAACGGGGCCCTAGTGTTATTATTATTAGGGCCTGAGCGTAGCTGCTAAGCAGCTGCGAGGCCCTGTTGTTCCTGTAGTGGTTTTTCTTTGTTTCTTTTTTCTTTTTCTTCCCCTTTGAACTGGAAAATGGCCCACTTCCCACTGGAGAAAACTCATGAAATTTGGCAGGCATCCGGGCCTGGTGAAAAATTTGATATTCTGAAGTCGCCCAAACAATAAAATGCAAAATGGCTCCATAGCGCCCCCTAAGATGAAAATTCACACTATTGACTGTCACGGCTGTACACTTTGTCATATTGACACAAAAATCGACACACACATGTATCTCAATAAGATCTACAAAAAAGTCAGTGAGGGCGTATCTGTCAAATTTACGGTTAAAGGGTTATTCCGCATTTTTTGCCGATCCACACACATTGGAATTTCGCTAACTCCTCCGAAGGCTTTCGTTCCACCGGCACCACATTTGCTCAGGCCAATCTACACCCCATGGCCATTAAAAGTTATTCAAATCATGACGCTGCACCCCACGGTTTAGGTTCTAGGGGGCGCCAAAGATAACCCTAAAATCCACATATTTAAAAGTCTTATAACTTTTTATTTTTGTCCTCACTGGCCTCCAAGTTTTCTAGGATGATGCAATGTCCAGCCATCAACACATTTGTGAAGGAATTTTTACTCCCCAATAGAGGGCCCCCCCCATGGCAGGAGAAAAAAAGTCCATTTTTTCTTGTCCCATAAGGTGAAAATACACATTGTTGACTGTCATACCTGTACGCTTTGTCATATTGACACAAAATTTGACAATCACATGTATCTCAATAAGATCTACGAAAAAGTCAATGCGCGCCTATCTGTAAAATGTACGGTTAAAGGGCTATTTTGCATTTTTTGCCGATTTGCACACATTGGAATGTGGCTAACTCCTCCTAAGGCTTTCGTCCCACTGACACCAAATTTGCTCAGGCCAATCTACACCCCACGGCCATTCAAAGTTGTACAAATCATGACGCTGCACCCCACGGTTTAGGTTCTAGGGGGTGCCAAAGATGACCCAAATATCCACATTCTTAAAAGAATCCACATTCCCCCCCTTCCCCCATCCCCCATGGCAGGAGAAACAGTCAAGTTTTTCCTGCCCATCACTCAATGGCTCAATCGCATCGCTCTCCCGGCAACACCGTAACGAGGAGCAACTTGCCGTTTGGATATATCCTAGCTGTGTTTGTGCCCTCACTCATGGTCCACACTTTTTTCAAATAGGACATGTAGTTTGTCTGCAGCGAGTGTTTTGGTAGAAACTGCGCCTCCCATTCATTATAATGGGAAATGACCACAGACAATTGCGCACACCATCTTTGGACCTTGAGTGTGACGCGATCGGGAGGGGTAGGCGGTCGCGCTGGGGGCGGCGCAACGCGGCTCGGGCCCGACAGTGCCCCACCGGGGCCCTAGTTTTTCTTTTTCCTCCCCTTTGAACTGGAAAATGGCCCACTTCCCACTGGCGAAAACTCATGAAATTTGGCAGGACGACCGGGCCTGGTGAAAAATTTGATATTCCGAAGTCGCCCAAACAAGAAAATGCAAAATGGCTCCATAGCGCCCCCTAAGGTGAAAATTCACACTATTGACTGTCACGCCTGTACGCTTTGTCAAAATGACACAAAAATTGACACACACATGTATCTCAATAAGATCTACAAAAAAGTCAGTGCGGGCGTATCTGTCAAATGTACGGTTAAAGGGTTATTTCACATTTTTTGCCGATCCGCACACATTGGAATTTCGCTAACTCCTCCGAAGGCTTTCGTTCCACCGGCACCACATTTGCTCAGGCCAATCTACACCCCATGGCCATTAAAAGTTATTCAAATCATGACGCTGCACCCCACGGTTTAGGTTCTAGGGGGCGCCAAAGATAACCCTAAAATCCACATATTTAAAAGTCTTATAACTTTTTATTTTTGCCCTCACTGGCCTCCAAGTTTTCTAGGATGATGCAATGTCCAGCCATCAACACATTTGTGAAGGAATTTTTACTCCCCAAAAGAGCGCCCCCCCATGGCAGGAGAAAAAAGTCCATTTTTTCTTGTCCCCTAAGGTGAAAATTCACACTATTGACTGTCACGCCTTTACGCTTTGTCAAAATGACACAAAAATTGACACACACATGTATCTCAATAAGATCTACAAAAAAGTCCATGCGCGCGTATCTGTCTAATGTACGGTAAAAGGGCTATTTTGCATTTTTTGCCGATTCGCACACATTGGAATTTCGCTAACTCCTCCTAAGGCTTTCGTCCCACTGACACCAAATTTGCTCAGGCCAATCTACACTCCATGGCCATTCAAAGTTGTAAAAATCATGACGCTGCACCCCACGGTTTACGTTTTAGGGGGCGCCAAAGATGACCCAAATATACATTACAGTAGACAAAGTAGTTTTGCCCACTGAGTGGCGCCAAAGGGACTTGTCTGTGGAGTCTGTGAGTCACTATTGGCCGTTTTTGACTACTTTAGATTTTACCTTTATATTTCCTCTTACAAAATTTTTACCTTGCCTTGCCTGGTATCATTTTTTTCAGCACAACCTCACCTGTGTCAATTTACAGTTATTTTATCATTTTGACATACTATATTTACACATTGGACCCAAATTCACACACAAAACATAAAATCCGAGTGGAAAAAAGTAACGTTTTTACTGTGAAAACCACAAATATGTGTGATGAACTGTTTTTAAAACTTAAACTTCAAATAAAAATTGTAAACTTCAAAACATATGCAAATTTTTAACAAAGAACATAGTAATTTACCTCTATTGACATCAAAATGCAGGCAATGGCCCAGGTGTTCTTTGTAAAATTATTTACAAAACACTGTATAGTCTCACAAATGTCACTTTTTATTTATGCCACTACAAAAACACATGATGTAAATGATGCATGATGTAAAACATGATGTAAAAAACTTGTGTAGATCCTCCTCTATGTTAGTCCATGTGTAATTTTTCCATAATTCTTTGTTTTTTGCAGCATTTTTGTTAGTGTAACTGCAGATTGTGCTGACAGTGTCTATGGCAAAAAAAAAAAAAAAAAAAACTGAAAATGCCTCAACATGAACCCCTGGTGGTCTCTGAGGGTGAAACCTGCTAACTGCTGCAGCTCTGTCAGCTTCAGTCTCCCATGCAGAGCTCGGAGCGCATGTGTGGCTCTCCCCCCTAGCAGCGTTGCTAACTCCTCAGTAAGGAAAGCCTGCTTCATGTCAGAGTCTCTAAACTCCAGAAGAAGTCGATAAAAGTCACTTTCTTTCTAAAAAAAAAGTCGTTAGGGGGTCTGAAAAGTCATTGAATCTAACAACAAAGTCGCTAGGTTTGCAACTACGTGTCCCAGACTGCATCCCTGCTGAGAGTCCCTCCCTCCCTTCTCATATTGCAGGAAGAACGTAAGTTCCCGCCCCTTGTCAATCAGTCACCATATAATTTTGGATTGGTTGTTGTGGTGAAGTTTTCCACCAATAGGAGAGATGTTGTGGTGTGTATTTTTTTTCCTTTGGCAAGCCTTTTCCGCCTGTAAGACCTGTCGCTAATGTCTGCATGCTATGTTTTCCTGTCTCATACAGCGCGATCGAGCGCCGAACGTGATCAAAATAAGCAGAAAACAAGTATCGCGGACATAATTTATCATAACTCTGGTTTTATTTGGCCTATCAACACAATTTAAAAACTGTTATATAGGTTGAGGTCCTCACTTTTGAGATAAATTGAAACGGAGAGTCAACGAGGCTCCGTCTTGCAGCTACATCCGGTTAAATATGTCATGTGACTTGAACGCACACACACACACACACACAGACACACACACACACGCACACACACACACACTCAGAGTCTGGTTTGTAGCACCTGCAAAAACATGCTATTTACATATTTGACAAGAATGCAGAGGCTCCTTTTGCCCCTGAAAAAAATCAAATTTCAAACACAACTTGACTGGTCATTTCTCCAAAAGACAACCATGAAGCTCCATCCAAACCTGAAGCAGGCAGTTGGTGCATGTGTACAGTAACCTGAGGGGAGTGAGGTGACTGCTTCTGAGGAGAACATGAGCAGTGAAGATTTACCTTAGAGCTAGAACAGAGACGTGCACATGATTATACAGGGGCAGGGGCTCAAGTTTTTTCCAGTCGTTTATACAATTTGGAAATTAATGTGAAATTAAAAAACAAAGTATTAATAGAAAGGTAATGACTGTCCTGTGTAGGTGACAGTGATATCCAATAGGCTAGGCACTCACGAGGCTGGCTGTGGCAAGTGTAAGTGAAAGCAACACGCACTAGCAGGAAGAACAGCAAACGCCGATGAAGGAAAAGGGTCTTTGCAGTGATGGGCGTTACCAAAGAGGGCGATGGCCAGAGGACACAAATGGGACGGGGAGGCAGCGCGTTGGGGGGGGGACGCGACACAGCTCGGGCCCGCCAGTGCCCCAACGGGGTCCTAGTTCTTTCTTTCTTTCTTCTTTTTCCTCCCCTTTGAACTGGAAAATGGCCCACTTCCCACTGGCGAAAACTCATGAAATTTGGCAGGATGACCGGGCCTGGTGAAAAATTTGATATTCCGAAGTCGCCCAAACAAGAAAATGCAAAATGGCTCCATAGCGCCCCCTAAGGTGAAAATTCACACTATTGACTGTCACGCCTTTACGCTTTGTCATATTGACACAAAAATTGACACACACATGTATCTCAATAAGATCTACAAAAAAGTCAGTGCGGGCGTATCTGTCAAATGTACGGTTAAAGGGTTATTCCGCATTTTTTGCCGATCCGCACACATTGGAATTTCGCTAACTCCTCCGAAGGCTTTCGTTCCACCGGCACCACATTTGCTCAGGCCAATCTACACCCCATGGCCATTAAAAGTTATTCAAATCATGACGCTGCACCCCACAGTTTAGGTTCTAGGGGGCGCCAAAGATAACCCTAAAATCCACATATTTAAAAGTCTTATAACTTTTTATTTTTGCCCTCACTGGCCTCCAAGTTTTCTAGGATGATGCAATGTCCAGCCATCAACACATTTGTGAAGGAATTTTTAATCCCCAAAAGAGCGCCCCCCCATGGCAGGAGAAAAAAGTCCATTTTTTCTTGTCCCCTAAGGTGAAAATACACATTGTTGAGTGTCACGCCTGTACGCTTTGTCATATTGACACAAAATTTGACACACACATGTATCTCAATAAGATCTACGAAAAAGTCAATGCGCGCGTATCTGTCAAATGTACGGTTAAAGGGTTATTCCGCATTTTTTGCTGATCCGCACACATTGGAATTTCGCTAACTCCTCCTAAGGCTGGCATCCACCGGCACCACATTTGCTCAGGCCAATCTACACCCCATGGCCATTAAAAGTTATTCAAATCATGACGCTGCACCCCACGGTTTAGGTTCTAGGGGGCGCCAAAGATAACCCTAAAATCCACATTTTTAAAAGTCTTATAACTTTTTATTTTTGTCCTCACTGGCCTCCAAGTTTTCTAGGATGATGCAATGTCCAGCCATCAACACATTTGTGAAAGAATTTTTACTCCCTAAAAGAGCGCCCCCCCATGGCAGGAGAAAAAAGTCCATTTTTTCTTGTCCCCTAAGGTGAAAATACACATTGTTGACTGTCACGCCTGTATGCTTTGGCAAAATGACACAAAAATTGACAATCATGTGTATCTCAATTAGATCTACGAAAAAGTCAAAGAGCGCGTATCTGTATAATGTACGGTAAAAGGGCTATTTTGCATTTTTTGCCGATTCGCACACATTGGAATTTCGCTAACTCCTCCTAAGGCTTTCGTCCCACTGACACCAAATTTGCTCAGGCCAATCTACACTCCATGGCCATTCAAAGTTGTAAAAATCATGACGCTGCACCCCACGGTTTACGTTTAAGGGGGGCCAAAGATGACCCAAATATACATTACAGTAGACAAAGTAGTTTTGCCCACTGAGTGGCGCCAAAGGGACTTGTCTGTGGAGTCTGTGAGTCACTATTGGCCGTTTTTGACTACTTTAGATTTTACCTTTATATTTCCTCTTACAAAATTTTTACCTTGCCTTGCCTGGTATCATTTTTTTCAGCACAACCTCACCTGTGTCAATTTACAGTTATTTTATCATTTTGACATACTATATTTAAACATTGGACCCAAATTCACACACAAAACATAAAATCCGAGTGGAAAAAAGTAACGTTTTTACTGTGAAAACCACAAATATGTGTGATGAACTGTTTTTAAAACTTAAACTTCAAATAAAAATTGTAAACTTCAAAACATATGCAAATTTTTAACAAAGAACATAGTAATTTACCTCTATTTACATCAAAATGCAGGCAATGGCCCAGGCGTTCTTTGTGAAATTATTTACAAAACACTGTATAGTCTCACAAATCTCACTTTTTATTTATGCCACTACAAAAAAACATGATGTAAATGATGCATGATGTAAAACATGATGTAAAAAACTTGTGTAGATCCTCCTCTATGTTAGTCCATGTGTAATTTTTCCATAATTCTTTGTTTTTTGCAGCATTTTTGTTAGTGTAACTGCAGATTGTGCTGACAGTGTCTATGGCAAAAAAAAAAAAAAAAAAAAACTGAAAATGCCTCAACATGAACCCCTGGTGGTCTCTGAGGGTGAAACCTGCTAACTGCTGCAGCTCTGTCAGCTTCAGTCTCCCATGCAGAGCTCGGAGCGCATGTGTGGCTCTGCACCCTTAGCAGCGTTGCTAACTCCTCAGTAAGGAAAGCCTGCTTCATGTCAGAGTCTCTAAACTCCAGAACTCCAGAAGAAGTCGATAAAAGTCCCTTTCTTTCTAAAAAAAAGTCATTAGGGGGTCTGAAAAGTCATTGAATCTAACAACAAAGTCGCTAGGTTTGAAACTACGTGTCCCAGACTGCATCCCTGCTGAGAGTCCCTCCCTCCCTTCTCAAGTTGCAGGAAGAACGCGAGCGCCCATCCCGTGTCAATCAGTCACCATATAATTTTGGATTGGTTGTTGTGGTGAAGTTTTCCACCAATAGGAGAGATGTTGTGGTGTGTTTTTTTCTTTTCTTTTGGCAAGCCTTTTCCGCCTGTAAGACCTGTCGCTAATGTCTGCATGCTATGTTTTCCTGTCTCATACAGCGCGATCGAGCGCCGAACGTGATCAAAATAAGCAGAAAAAAAGTATTGCGGACATAATTTATCATAACTCTGGTTTTATTTGGCCTATCAACACAATTTAAAAACTGGTATATAGTTTGAGGTCCTCACTTTTAAGATAGGTTGAAACGAAGAATCAACGAGGCTCCGTCTTGCAGCTACATCCGGTTAAATATGTCATGTGACTTGAACGCTGGGGAGCGTCAATCGAATCGAATCAAACCTAACTCTCAGATGAATCTTCAAAATTCACCTCAGAAATATGCTTATTATTCTTCTCAGAGTACTGCAGGATACACACACACACAGACACACACACACACACGCACACACACTCAGAGTCTGTTTTTTAGCACCTGCAAACACATGCTATTTACATATTTGACAAGAATGCAGAGGCTTTCTTTTGCCTCTGAAAAAAATCAAATTTCAAACACAACTTGACTGCTCATTTCTCCAAAAGACAACCATGAAGCTCCATCCAAACCTGAAGCAGGCAGTTGGTGCATGTGTACAGTAACCTGAGGGGAGTGAGGTGACTGCTTCTGAGGAGAACATGAGCAGTGAAGATTCACCTTGGAGCTAGAACAGGGACGTGCACATGATTTGCAGGGGCAGGGGCTCAATTTTTTCCAGTCGTTTATACAATATGGAAATTAATGTGAAATTAAAAAACAAAGTATTAATAGAAAGGTAATGACTGTCCTGTGTAGGTGACAGTGATATCCAATAGGCTAGGCACTCACGAGGCTGGCTGTGGCAAGTGTAAGTGAAAGCAACACGCACTGGCAGGAAGAACAGCAAACGCCGATGAAGGCAAAGGGTCTTTGCAGTGATGGGCGTTACCAGAGAGGGCGATGGCCAGAGGACGCGAATGGGACGGGGAGGCAGCGCGTTGGGGGGGGGCGCGACACGGCTCGGGCCCGCCAGTGCCCCAACGGGGCCCTAGTTATTATTTTTCCTCCGCTTTAAACTGGAAAATGGCCCACTTCCCACTGGCGAAAACTCATGAAATTTGGCAGGACGACCGGGCCTGGTGAAAAATTCGATATTCTGAAGTCGCCCAAACAATAAAATGCAAAATGGCTCCATAGCGCCCCCTAAGGCGAAAATTCACACTATTGACTGTCACGCCTGTACGCTTTGTCATATTGACACAAAAATTGACACACACGTGTATCTCAATACGGTCTACGAAAAAGTCAGCGCGGGCGCATCTGTGAAATGTACGGTTAGAGGGTTATTTCGCATTTTTTGCCGATCTGCACACATTGGAATTTGGCTAACTCCTCCGAAGGCATTCGTTCCACCGGCACCACATTTGCTCAAGCCAATCTACACCCCATGGCCATTAAAAGTTGTACAAATCATGACGCTGCACCCCACAGTTTACGTTCTAGGGGGCGCCAAAGATAACCCAAAAATCCACAGTCTTAAAAGTCTTATAACTTTTTATTTTTGCCCTCACTGGCCTCCAAGTTTTCTAGGATGATGCAATGTCCAGCCATCAACACATTTGTGAAGGAATTTTTACTCCCCAAAAGAGCGCCCCCACATGGCAGGAGAAAAAAGTCCATTTTTTCTTGTCCCCTAAGGTGAAAATACACATTGTTGAGTGTCACGCCTATACGCTTTGTCATATTGACACAAAATTTGACAATCACGTGTATCTCAATAAGATCTACGAAAAAGTCAATGGGCACGTATCTGTAAAATGTACGGTTAAAGGGTTATTTCGCATTTTTTCCCGATCCGCACACATTGGATTTTCACTAACTCCTCCGAAGGCTTTAGTTCCACCGCCACCAAATTTGCTCAGGCCAATCTACACCCCATGGCCATTAAAAGTTGTACAAATCATGACGTTGCACTCCACGGTTTAGGTTCTAGGGGGCGCCAAAGATAACCCAAAAATCCACATTCTTAATAGTCTTATAACTTTTTATTTTTGTCCTCACTGGCCTCCAAGTTTTCTAGGATGATGCAATGTCCAGCCATCAACACATTTGTAAAGGAATTTTTACTCCCGAAAAGAGCGCCCCCCCATGGCAGGAGAAAAATGTCCATTTTTTCTTGTCCCCTAAGGTGAAAAAACACATTGTTGACTGTCACGCCTATACGCTTTGTCAAAATGACACAAAATTTGACACACACGTGTATCTCAATAAGATCTACGAAAAAGTCAATGGGCACGTATCTGTAAAATGTACGGTTAAAGGGCTATTTCGCATTTTTTGCAGATCTGCACACATTGGAATGTGGCTAACTCCTCCTAAGGCTTTCTTCCCACCGACACCAAATTTGCTCAAGCCGATCTACATCCCATGGCCATTCAAAGTTGTAAAAATCATGCCGCTGCACCCCATGGTTTACGTTCTAGGGGGCGCCAAAGATGACCCAAATATCCACATTCTTAAAAGAATCCACATCCCCCCCCCCCCCCCCCCCCCCCCCCCCCCCCCAAGGCAGGAGAAAAAGTCCAGTTAACCCTGCCCATCGCTCAATGGCTCAATCGCATCGCTCTCCTGGCAACACCGTAAGGAGGAGCAACTTGCCATTTGGATATATCCTAGCTGTGTTTGTGCCCTCACTCATGGTCCAGACTTTTTTCAAATAGGACATGTAGTTTGTCTGCAGCGACCGTTTTGGTAGAAACTGCGCCTCCCATTCATTATAATGGGAAATGACCACAGACAAGTGCGCACACCATCTTTGGACCTTGAGTGTGATGCGATCGGGAGGGGGAGGCGGTCGCGCTGGGGGCGGCGCGACGCGGCTCGGGCCCGACAGTGCCCCACCGGGGCCCTAGTTTGTTATTATTATTATTTTTCCTCCCCTTTGAACTGGAAAATGGCCCACTTCCCACTGGCGAAAACTCATGAAATTTGGCAGGACGACCGGGCCTGGTGAAAAATTTGATATTCCGAAGTCGCCCAAACAAGAAAATGCAAAATGGCTCCATAGCGCCCCCTAAGGTGAAAATTCACACTATTGACTGTCACGCGTGTACGCTTTGTCAAAATGACACAAAAATTGACACACACATGTATCTCAATAAGATCTACAAAAAAGTCAGTGCGGGCGTATCTGTCAAATGTACGGTTAAAGGGTTATTTCGCATTTTTTGCCGATCCGCACACATTGGAATTTCGCTAACTCCTCCGAAGGCTTTCGTTCCACCGGCACCACATTTGCTCAGGCCAATCTACACCCCATGGCCATTAAAAGTTATTCAAATCATGACGCTGCACCCCACGGTTTAGGTTCTAGGGGGCGCCAAAGATAACCCTAAGATCCACATATTTAAAAGTCTTATAACTTTTTATTTTTGCCCTCACTGGCCTCCAAGTTTTCTAGGATGATGCAATGTCCAGCCATCAACACATTTGTGAAGGAATTTTGACTCCCCAAAAGAGCGCCCCCCCATGGCAGGAGAAAAAAGTCCATTTTGTCTTGTCCCCTAAGGTGAAAATACACATTGTTGAGTGTAACACCTGTACGCTTTGGCAAAATGACACAAAAATTGACACACACATGTATCTCAATAAGATCTACGAAAAAGTCAATGCGCGCGTATCTGTCAAATGTACGGTTAAAGGGTTATTCCGCATTTTTTGCCGATCCACACACATTGGAATTTCGCTAACTCCTCCGAAGGCTTTCGTTCCACCGGCACCACATTTGCTCAGGCCAATCTACACCCCATGGCCATTAAAAGTTATTCAAATCATGACGCTGCACCCCACGGTTTAGGTTCTAGGGGGCGCCAAAGATAACCCTAAAATCCACATATTTAAAAGTCTTATAACTTTTTATTTTTGTCCTCACTGGCCTCCAAGTTTTCTAGGATGATGCAATGTCCAGCCATCAACACATTTGTGAAGGAATTTTTACTCCCCAAAAGAGCGCCCCCCCATGGCAGGAGAAAAAAGTCAATTTTTTCTTGTCCCCTAAGGTGGAAATTCACACTATTGACTGTCACGCCTGTACGCTTTATCATATTGACACAAAAATTGACACACATATGTATCTCAATAAGATCTACAAAAAAGTCAATGCGCGCGTATCTGTAAAATGTACGGTTAAAGGGCTATTTTGCATTTTTTGCCGATTCGCACACATTGGAATGTGGCTAACTCCTCCTAAGGCTTTCGTCCCACTGACACCAAATTTGCTCAGGCCAATCTACACCCCATGGCCATGCAAAGTTGTAAAAATCATGACGCTGCACCCCACGGTTTACGTTCTAGGGGGCGCCAAAGATGACCCAAAAATCCACATTCTTAAAGGAATCCACATCCCCCCCCCCCCAAGGCAGGAGAAAAAGTCAAGTTTAACCTGCCCATCGCTCAATGGCTCAATCGCATCGCTCTCCAGGCAACACCGTAAGGAGGAGCAACCTGCCATTTCGATATATCATAGCTGTGTTTGTGCCCTCACTCATGGTCCAGACTTTTTTCAAATAGGACATGAAGTTTGTCTGCAGCGAGTGTTTTGGTAGAAACTGCGCCTCCCATTCATTATAATGGGAAATGACCACAGACAAGTGCGCACACCATCTTTGGACCTTGAGTGTGACGCGATCGGGAGGGGGAGGCGGTCGCGCTGGGGGCGGCGCGACGCGGCTCGGGCCCGACAGTGCCCCACCGGGGCCCTAGTCTTATTATTTTTCTGCCCCTTTGAACTGGAAAATGGCCCACTTCCCACTGGCGAAAACTCATGAAATTTGGCAGGACGACCGGGCCTGGTGAAAAATTCGATATTCTGAAGTCGCCCAAACAATAAAATGCAAAACGGCTCCATAGCGCCCCCTAAGGTGAAAATTCACACTATTGACTGTCACGCCTGTACGCTTTGTCATATTGACACAAAAATTGACACACACGTGTATCTCAATAAGATCTACAAAAAAGTCAGTGCGGGCGTATCTGTCAAATGTATGGTTAAAGGGTTATTTCGCATTTTTTGCCGATCCGCACACATTGGAATTTCGCTAACTCCTCCGAAGGCTTTCGTTCCACTGGCACCACATTTGCTCAGGCCAATCTACACCCCATGGCCATTAAAAGTTGTACAAATCATGACGCTGCACCCCACGGTTTAGGTTCTAGGGGGCGCCAAAGATAACCCAAAAATCCACAGTCTTAAAAGTCTTATAACTTTTTATTTTTGTCCTCACTGGCCTCCAAGTTCTCTAGGATGTTGCAATGTCCAGCAATTAACACATTTGTGAAGGAATTTTTACTCGCCAAAAGAGTGCCCCCCCATGGCAGGAGAAAAAAGTCCATTTTTTCTTGTCTCCTAAGGTGAAAATACACATTGTCGAGTGTCACGCTTGTATGCTTTGTCATATTTACACACAATTTGACAACCACTTGAATCTCAATAAGATCTACGAAAAAGTCAATGTGCGCGTATCTGTCAAATGTACGGTTAAAGGGTTATTCTGCATTTTTTGCAAATTTGCACACATTGGAATTTTTCTAAGTCCTCCGAAGGCTTTTGTCCCACTGACACCACATTTGCTCAGGCCAATCTACACTCCATGGCCATTCAAAGTTGTACAAATCATGACGCTGCACCCCACGGTTTAGGTTCTAGGGGGCACCAAAGATAACCCAAAAATCCACAGTCTTAAAAGTCTTATAACTTTTTATTTTTGTCCTCAGTGGCCTCCAAGTTGTCTAGGATGATGCAATGTCCAGCAATTAACACATTTGTGAAGGAAATTTTACTCGCCAAAAGAGTGCCCCCCCATGGCAGGAGAAAAAAGTCCATTTTTTCTTGTCTCCTAAGGTGAAAATACACATTGTCGAGTGTCACGCCTGTACGCTTTGTCATATTTACACACAATTTGACAACCACATGAATCTCAATAAGATCTATGAAAAAGTCAATGTGCGCGTATCTGTCAAATGTACGGTTAAAGGGTTATTCTGCATTTTTTGCAGATTTGCACACATTGGAATTTTGCTAACTCCTCCGAAGGCTTTTGTCCCACTGACACCAAATTTGCTCAGGCCAATCTACACTCCATGGCCATTCAAAGTTGTACAAATCATGACGCTGCACCCCACGGTTTACGTTCTAGGGGGCGCCAAAGATAACCCAAAAATCCACAGTCTTAAAAGTCTTATAACTTTTTATTTTTTTCCTCACTGGCCTCCAAGTTCTCTAGGATGATGCAATGTCCAGCCATCAACACATTTGTGAAGGAATTTTTACTCCCCAAAAGAGCGCCCCCCCATGGCAGGAGAAAAAAGTCCATTTTTTCTTGTCCCCTAAGGTGAAAATACACATTGTTGAGTGTCACGCCTATACGCTTTGTCATATTGACCCAAAATTTGACAATCACGTGTATCTCAATAAGATCTACGAAAAAGTCAATGGGCACGTATCTGTAAAATGTACGGTTAAAGGGCTATTTTGCATTTTTTCCCGATCCGCACACATTGGAATTTCGCTAACTCCTCCGAAGGCTTTAGTTCCACCGCCACCAAATTTGCTCAGGCCAATCTACACCCCATGGCCATTAAAAGTTGTACAAATCATGACGCTGCACTCCACGGTTTAGGTTCTAGGGGGCGCCAAAGATAACCCAAAAATCCACATTCTTAATAGTCTTATAACTTTTTATTTTTGTCCTCACTGGCCTCCAAGTTTTCTAGGATGATGCAATGTCCAGCCATCAACACATTTGTGAAGGAATTTTTACTCCCGAAAAGAGCGCCCCCCCATGGCAGGAGAAAAAAGTCCATTTTTTCTTGTCCCCTAAGGTGAAAAAACACATTGTTGACTGTCACGCCTATACACTTTGTCAAAATGACACAAAATTTGACACACACGTGTATCTCAATAAGATCTACGAAAAAGTCAATGGGCACGTATCTGTAAAATGTACGGTTAAAGGGCTATTTCGCATTTTTTGCCGATTCGCACACATTGGAATGTGGCTAACTCCTCCTAAGGCTTTCTTCCTACCAACACCAAATTTGCTCAAGCCGATCTACATCCCATGGCCATTCAAAGTTGTAAAAATCATGCCGCTGCACCCCATGGTTTACGTTCTAGGGGGCGCCAAAGATGACCCAAATATCCACATTCTTAAAAGAATCCACATCCCCCCCCCCAAGGCAGGAGAAAAAGTCCAGTTAACCCTGCCCATCGCTCAATGGCTCAATCGCATCGCTCTCCTGGCAACACCGTAAGGAGGAGCAACTTGCCATTTGGATGTATCCTAGCTGTGTTTGTGCCCTCACTCATGGTCCAGACTTTTTTCAAATAGGACATGTAGTTTGTCTGCAGCGACCGTTTTGGTAGAAACTGCGCCTCCCATTCATTATAATGGTAAATGACCACAGACAAGTGCGCACACCATCGTTGAACCTTGAGTGTGACGCGATCGGGAGGGAGAGGCGGTCGCGCTGGGGGCGGCGTGACACAGCTCGGGCCCGCCAGTGCCCCAACGGGGCCCTAGTTCTTTCTGTTCTTCACAAAGGCCCACTTAGGATATCCATATATTGTCAGGGCATTTTTGATGTGCTTCTGTTCCTTTTCCTTACATTCTTTCTTTGTGGGAATGTTCTCAGCCCGGTGGTTGAGTGTTCTGAAAACACCCAGCTTGTGCTGCAGAGGATGGTGGGAATCAAAAAGTAAATATTGATCCATGTGTGTGGGTTTCCTGTACACTTCAACGTTGAGACACCCATCTGCCTCCAAGTGTACAGCACAATCCAAGAGGGCCAAAATGTTGTCCCTGACATCTTCACGGGTGAACTTGATGTTGCTGTCCACTGTGTTGATATGGTCTGTGAAGGCCTCTACTTCATGTGTTTTGATCTTAACCCAGGTGTCATCCACATATCTGAACCAGTGGCTAGGTGCTTCTCCTTTGAAGGAGGTTAGGGCCTTTCTCTCTACCTCTTCCATGTACAGGTTTGCCACTACTGAAGAAACCGGGGAGCCCATGGCACATCCATGTTTCTTTCTGTGATGACACTCTCTGAACTAGAAATAGGTGGTGCTGAGGCAGATGTGGTCGGGGTTAAGTTAGTTCTGACCTCCAGTGTGCGGTCCTGTAAGAGGTGTTGTCTTACTGCTTGGACTTCCTCTGTTGTAGGAATACTCGTGAAAAGTGATGTCACATCATAGGAAACCATGGTTTCATCTGGGTCCAGCCTGATGTCCTTGATTTTTTCAGCAAAGTCCTGTGAGTTTTTGATGTGGTGAGTGGTGTGGCCAACAAGAGGAGCAAGGATGGGGACCAAATGTTTTGCCACTTTGTATGTGACTGAGTTAATGCTGATGATGATGGGTCTAAGGGGGGCCCCTTCCTTGTGTATTTTAGGTAATCCGTAAATGCACGGGACTGCTTCCCCTGGGTAAAGCCAGTAATAGAGTGGGCGGCCAATAACTCAATCCTTTTCCAGCTGTTGAAGTACACTGATAACTCTTTTTTTCGTAGCTGTTGGTAGGATCCAGTTTTATAGTTCCATAGCTGGCAGTTTCACTGAGAAGGCTTGTTCGTTATTTTTCCTCCGCTTTAAACTGGAAAATGGCCCACTTCCCACTGGCGAAAACTCAGGAAATTTGGCAGGACGACCGGGCCTGGTGAAAAATTTGATATTCTGAAGTCGCCCAAACAAAAAAATGAAAAATGGCTCCATAGCGCCCCCTATGGTGAAAACTCACCTGACGCCTGTACGCTTTGTCAAAATGACACAAAATTTGACACACATGTGTATCTCAATAAGATCTACAAAAAAGTCAGTGCGGGCGTATCTGTCAAATGTACCGTTAAAGGGCTATTTCGCATTTTTGGTCGATTCGCACACATTGGAATTTCGCTAACTCCTCCGAAGGCTTTCGTTCCACCGGCACCAAATTTGCTCAGGCCAATCTACACCCCATGGCCATTAAAAGTTGTACAAATCATGACGCTGCATCCCACGGTTTACGTTCTAGGGGGCGCCAAAGATAACCCAGAAATCCACATTCTTAAAAGTCGTATAACTTTTTATTTTTGTCCTCACTGGCCTCCAAGTTTTCTAGGATGATGCAATGTCTAGCCATCAACACATTTGTGAAGGAATTTTTACTCCCCAAAAGAGCGCCCCCCCATGGCAGGAGAAAAAAGTCCAGTTTTTCTTCCCCCCTAAGGTGAAAATTCACATTATTGAGTGTCACGCCTGTACGCTTTGTCATATTGTAACAAACTTTGACAATCACGTGTTTCTCAATAAGATCTACGAAATAGTCAATGGGCGCGTATCTGTAAAATGTACGGTTAAAGGGCTATTTCGCATTTTTGGTCGATTCGCACACATTGGAATGTGGCTAACTCCTCCTAAATAGTTCGTTCCACTGACACCAAATTTACTCAGGCCAATCTACATTCCATGGCCATTCAAAGTTGTAAAAATCATGACGCTGCACCCCACGGTTTATGTTCTAGGGGGCGCCAAAGATAACCCAAAAATCCACATTCTTAAAAGTCTTATAACTTTTTATTTTTGTCCTCACTGGCCTCCAAGTTTTCTAGGATGATGCAATGTCTAGCCATCAACACATTTGTGAAGGAATTTTTACTCCCTAAAAGAGCGCCCCCCCATGGCAGGAGAAAAAGTCAAGTTTTTCCTGCCCATCGCTCAATGACTCAAACACATCGCTCTCTCGGCAAAACCGAAAGGAGGAGCAACTTGCCATTTGGATATATCCTAGCTGTGTTTGTGCCCTCACTCATGGTCCAGTCCTTTTCAAATAGGACATGTAGTTTGTCTGCGGCGAGCGTTTTGGTAGAAACTGCGCCTCCCATTCATTATAATTGTAAATGACCACAGACAAGTGCGCACACCATCTTTGGACCTTGAGTGTGACGCGATCGGTAGGGAGAGGCGGTCGTGTTGGGGGCGGCGCGACACGGCTCGGGCCCGCCAGTGCCCCAACGGGGCCCTAGTCTTTTGTTATTATTATTATTTTTCCTCCGCTTTAAACTGGAAAATGGCCCACTTCCCACTGGCGAAAACTCAGGAAATTTGGCAGGACGACCGGGCCTGGTGAAAAATTTGATATTCTGAAGTCACCCAAACAATAAAATGCAAAATGGCTCCATAGCGCCCCCTAAGGTGAAAATTCACACTATTGACTGTCACGCCTGTACGCTTTGTCATATTGACACAAAAATTGACACACACATGTATCTCAATAAGATCTACAAAAAAGTCAGTGCGGGCGTATCTGTCAAATGTACGGTTAAAGGGTTATTTCGCATTTTTTGCCGATCCGCACACATTGGAATTTCGCTAACTCCTCCGAAGGCTTTCGTTCCACCGGCACCACATTTGCTCAGGCCAATCTACACTCCATGGCCATTCAAAGTTGTACAAATCATGATGCTGCACCCCATGGTTTAGGTTCTAGGGGGCACCAAAAATAACGCAAAAATCCACATTCTTAAAAGTTTTATAACTTTTTATTTTTGTCCTCACTGGCCTCCAAGTTTTCTAGGATGATGCAATGTCCAGCCATCAACACATTTGTGAAGGAATTTTTACTCCCCAAAAGAGCGCCCCCCCATGGCAGGACAAAAAAGTCAATTTTTTCTTGTCCCCTAAGGTGAAAATTTACATTGTTGAGTGTCACGCCTGTACGCTTTGTCATATTGACAAAAAATTTGACACACACGTGTATCTCAATAAGATCTACGAAAAAGTCAATGCGCGCGTATCTGTAAAATGTACGGCTAAACGGCTATTTTGCATTTTTTGCCGATTCGCACACATTGGAATGTGGCTAACTCCTCCTAAGGCTTTCGTCCCACTGACACCAAATTTGCTCAGGCCAATCTACACCCCATGGCCATTCAAAGTTGTAAAAATCATGCCGCTGCACCCCATGGTTTACGTTCTAGGGGGCGCCAAAGATGACCCAAATATCCACATTCTTAAAAGTCGTTTTGGCCACTGCAGGAGTACAGAGTACTGCAGGATACACACACACAGACACACACACACACAGACACACACACACACACACACACACACACACACACACACACACACACACACACACACACACACACACACATACACACTCAGAGTCTGTTTTTCAGCACCTGCAAAAACATGCTATTTACATATTTGACAACAATGCAGAGACTTCCTTTTGCCCCTGAAAAAAATGAAATTTCAAACGCAACTTGACTGCTCATTTCTCCAAAAGACAACCATGAAGCTCCATCCAAACCTGAAGCAGGCAGTTGGTGCATGTGTACAGTAACCTGAGGGGAGTGAGGTGACTGCTTCTGAGGAGAACATGAGCAGTCAAGATTCACCTTGGAGCTAGAACAGGGACGTGCACATGATTATACAGGGGCAGGGGCTCAAGTTTTTTCCAGTCGTTTAGACAATATGGAAATTAATGTGAAATTAAAAAACAAAGTATTAATAGAAAGGTAATGACTGTCCTGTGTAGGTGACAGTGATATCCAATGGGCTAGGCACTCACGAGGCTGGCTGTGGCAAGTGCAAGTGAAAGCCACACGCACTGGCAGGAAGAACAGCAAACGCCGATGAAGGAAAAGGGTCTTTGCAGTGATGGGCGTTACCAGAGAGGACGATGGCCAGAGGACGCGAATGGGACGGGGAGGCAGCGCGTTGGGGGGGGGGGGGGGCACAGCTCGGGCCCGCCAGTGCCCCAACGGGGCCCTAGTGTTATTATTAGGGCCCGAGCGTAGCTGCTAAGCAGCTGCGAGAGCCCTATTATTCCCCAAGGGGTTTTTCTTTGTTAGGGCCCGAGCGTAGCTGCTAAGCAGCTGCGAGAGCCCTATTATTCCTGATGGATTCTTCTTTAGGGCCCGAGCGTAGCTGCTAAGCAGCTGCGAGAGCCCTCTTGTTCCTGTAGTTTCCTTCTTTAGGGCCCGAGCGTAGCTGCTAAGCAGCTGCGAGAGCCCTCTTGTTCCTGATGGATTCTTCTTTCGTTATTTTTCCTCCGCTTTAAACTGGAAAATGGCCCACTTCCCACTGGCGAAAACTCAGGAAATTTGGCAGGACGACCGGGCCTGGTGAAAAATTCGATATTCTGAAGTCGCCCAAACAAAAAAATGAAAAATGGCTCCATAGCGCCCCCTATGGTGAAAACTCACCTGACGCCTGTACGCTTTGTCAAAATGACACAAAATTTGACACACATGTGTATCTCAATAAGATCTACAAAAAAGTCAGTGCGGGCGTATCTGTCAAATGTACGGTTAAAGGGCTATTTCGCATTTTTTGCCGATCCGCACACATTGGAATTTCGCTAACTCCTCCGAAGGCTTTCGTTCCACCGGCAACAAATTTTCTCAGGACAATCTACACCCCATGGCCATTAAAAGTTGTACAAATCATGACGCTGCACCCCACGGTTTACATTCTAGGGGGCGCCAAAGATAACCCAAAAATCCACAGTCTTAAAAGTCTTATAACTTTTTATTTTTGTCCTCACTGGCCTCCAAGTTTTCTAGGATGATGCAATGTCCAGCCATCAACACATTTGTGAAGAAATTTTTACTCCCCAAAAGAGCGCCCCCCCATGGCAGGAGAAAAAAGTCCATTTTTTCTTGTCCCCTAAGGTGAAAATACACATTGTTGAGTGTCATGCCTGAACGCTTTGTCATATTGACACAAAATTTGACACACACGTGTATCTCAATAAGATCTACGAAAAAGTCAAAGAGCGCGTATCTGTATAATGTACGGTTAAAGGGCTATTTCGCATTTTTTGCCGATCCGCACACATTGGAATTTCGCTAACTCCTCCGAAGGCTTTCGTTCCACCGGCACCAAATTTGCTCAGGCCAATCTACACCCCATGGCCATTAAAAGTTGTACAAATCATGACGCTGCACCCCACGGTTTAGGTTCTAGGGGGCGCCAAAGATAACCCAAAAATCCACATTCTTAAAAGTCTTATAACTTTTTATTTTTGTCCTCACTGGCCTCCAAGTTTTCTAGGATGATGCAATGTCCAGCCATCAACACATTTGTGAAGGAATTTTTACTCCCCAAAAGAGCGCCCCCCCATGGCAGGAGAAAAAAGTAAATTTTTTCTTGTCCCATAAGGTGAAAATACACATTGTTGAGTGTCACGCCTGTACGCTTTGTCATATTGACACAAAATTTGACACACACATGTATCTCAATAAGATCTACGAAAAAGTCAATGCGCGCGTATCTGCAAAATGTACGGTTAAAGGGCTATTTCGCATTTTTGGTTGATTCGCACACATTGGAATGTGGCTAACTCCTCCTAAAGCTTTCGTTCCACCGGCACCAAATTTGCTCAGGCCAATCTACACCCCATGGCCATTAAAAGTTGTACAAATCATGATGCTGCACCCCACGGTTTACGTTCTAGGGGTCGCCAAAGATAACCCAAAAATCCACATTCTTAAAAGTCTTATAACTTTTCATTTTTGTCCTCACTGGCTTCAAAGTTTTCTAGGATGATGCAATGTCTAGCCATCAACACATTTGTGAAGGAATTTTTTCTCCCTAAAAGAGTGCCCCCCCATGGCAGGAGAAAAAGTCAAGTTTTTCCTGCCCATCGCTCAATGGCTCAAACACATCGCTCTCTCGGAAAAAAACGAAAGGAGGAGGAACTTGCCATTTGGATATATCCTAGCTGTGTTTGTGCCCTCACTCATGGTCCAGACTTTTTTCAAATAGGACATGTAGTTTGTCTGCAGCAAGCGTTTTGGTAGAAACTGCGCCTCCCATTCATTATAATGGTAAATGACCACAGACAAGTGCGCACACCATCGTTGAACCTTGAGTGTGACGCGATCGGGAGGGAGAGGCGGTCGTGTTGGGGGCGGCGTGACACAGCTCGGGCCCGCCAGTGCCCCAACGGGGCCCTAGTTAGGGCCCGAGCGTAGCTGCTAAGCAGCTGCGAGAGCCCTCTTGTTCCTGTAGTTTCCTTCTTTTGTTATTAGGGCCCGAGCGTAGCTGCTAAGCAGCTGCGAGAGCCCTCTTGTTCCTGCATGTTTCCTTCTTTTGTTATTATTATTATTTTTCCTCCCCTTTAAACTGGAAAATGGCCCACTTCCCACTGGCGAAAACTCATGAAATTTGGCAGGACGACCGGGCCTGGTGAAAAATTTGATATTCCGAAGTCGCCCAAACAAGAAAATGCAAAATGGCTCCATAGCGCCCCCTAAGGTGAAAATTCACACTATTGACTGTCACGCCTGTACGCTTTGTCAAAATGACACAAAAATTGACACACATATGTATCTCAATAAGATCTACAAAAAAGTCAGTGCGGGCGTATCTGTCAAATGTACGGTTAAAGGGTTATTTCGCATTTTTTGGCGATCCGTACACATTGGAATTTCGCTAACTCCTCCGAAGGCTTTCGTTCCACCGGCACCACATTTGCTCAGGCCAATCTACACCCCATGGCCATTAAAAGTTATTCAAATCATGACGCTGCACCCCACGGTTTAGGTTCTAGGGGGCGCCAAAGATAACCCTAAAATCCACATATTTAAAAGTCTTATAACTTTTTATTTTTGTCCTCACTGGCCTCCAAGTTTTCTAGGATGATGCAATGTCCAGCCATCAACACATTTGTGAAGGAATTTTTACTCCCCAAAAGAGTGCCCCCCCATGGCAGGAGAAAAAAGTCCATTTTTTCTTGTCCCCTAAGGTGAAAATACACATTGTTGAGTGTAACACCTGTACGCTTTGGCAAAATGACACAAAAATTGACACACACATGTAACTCAATAAGATCTACAAAAAAGTCCGTGCGCGCGTATCTGTCAAATGTACAGTTAAAGGGTTATTCCGCATTTTTTGCCGATACGCACACATTGGAATTTCGCTAACTCCTCCGAAGGCTTTCGTTCCACCGGCACCACATTTGCTCAGGCCAATCTACACCCCATGCCCATTAAAAGTTATTCAAATCATGATGCTGCACCCCATGGTTTAGGTTCTAGGGGGCGCCAAAAATAACCCAAAAATCCACATTCTTAAATGTTTTATAACTTTTTATTTTTGTCCTCACTGGCCTCCAAGTTTTCTAGGATGATGCAATGTCCAGCCATCAACACATTTGTGAAGGAATTTTTACTCCCCAAAAGAGCGCCCCCCCATGGTAGGAGAAAAAAGTCAATTTTTTCTTGTCCCCTTACATGAAAATACACATTGTTGAGTGTCACGCCTGAACGCTTTGTCATATTGACACAAAAATTGACAATCATGTGTATCTCAATTAGATCTACAATAAAGTCAAAGAGCGCGTATCTGTATAATGTACGGTTAAAGGGCTATTTTGCATTTTTTGCCGATTCGCACACATTGGAATGTGGCTATCTCCTCCTAAGGCTTTCGTCCCACCGATACCAAATTTGCTCAGGCCAATCTACACCCCATGCCCATTCAAAGTTGTAAAAATCATGACGCTGCACCCCACGGTTTACGTTCTAGGGGGCGCCAAAGATGACCCAAAAATCCACATTCTTAAAAGTCATTTTGGCCACTGCAGGAGTACAGAGTACTGCAGTTCTAGGGGGCGCCAAAGATGACCCAAAAATCCACATTCTTAAAAGTCTTTTTGGCCACTGCAGGAGTACAGAGTACTGCAGGATACACACACATATACACACACGCCAACATACACACACACACACACACACACACACACAGACACACACACACACTCAGAGTCTGTTTTTTAGCACCTGCAAAAACATGCTGTTTACATATTTGACAAGAATGCAGAGGCTTCCTTTTGCCCCTGAAAAAAATCAAATTTCAAACACAACTTGACTGTTCATTTCTCCAAAAGACAGCCATGAAGCTCCATTTCAAACCTGAAGCAGATAGTTGGTGCATGTGTACAGTAACCTGAGGGGAGTGAGGTGACTATTTCTGAGGAGAACATGAGCAGTGAAGATTCACCTTGGAGCTAGAACAGGGACGTGCACATGATTATACAGGGGCAGGGGCTCAAGTTTTTTCCAGTCATTTATACAATATGGAAATTAATGTGAAATTAAACCACAAATATGTGTGATGAACTGTTTTTAAAACTTAAACTTCAAATAAAAATTGTAAACTTCAAAACATATGCAAATTTTTAACAAAGAACATAGTTATTTACCTCTATTTACATCAAAATGCAGGCAATGGCCCAGGCGTTCTTTGTAAAATTATTTACAAAACACTGTATAGTCTCACAAATGTCACTTTTTATTTATGCCACTACAAAAAAACATGATGTAAATGATGCATGATGTAAAACATGATGTAAAAAACTTGTGTAGATCCTCCTCTATGTCAGTCCATGTGTAATTTTTCCATAATTCTTTGTTTTTTGCAGCATTTTTGTTAGTGTAACTGCAGATTGTGCTGACAGTGTCTATGGCACAAAAAAAAAAAAAATTAAAATGCCTCAACATGAACCCCTGGTGGTCTCTGAGGGTGAAACCTGCTAACTGCTGCAGCTCTGTCAGCTTCAGTCTCCCATGCAGAGCTCTGAGCGCATGTGTGGCTCTGCACCCTTAGCAGCGTTGCTAACTCCTCAGTAAGGAAAGCCTGCTTCATGTCAGAGTCTCTAAACTCCAGAAGAAGTCGATAAAAGTCCCTTTCTTTCTAAAAAAAAGTCGTTAGGGGGTCTGAAAAGTCATTGAATCTAACAACAAAGTCGCTAGGTTTGCAACTACGTGTCCCAGACTGCATCCCTGCTGAGAGTCCCTCCCTCGCTTCTCATGTTGCAGGAAGAACGTAAGCGCCCGCCCCTTGTCAATCAGTCACCATATAATTTTGGATTGGTTGTTGTGGTGAAGTTTTCCACCAATAGGAGAGATGTTGTGGTGTGTTTTTTTTTTCTTTTGGCAAGCCTTTTCCGCCTGTAAGACCTGTCGCTAATGTCTGCATGCTATGTTTTCCTGTCTCATACAGCGCGATCGAGCGCCGAACGTGATCAAAATAAGCAGAAAAAAAGTATCGCGGACATAATTTATCATAACTCTGGTTTTATTTGGCCTATCAACACAATTTAAAAACTGGTATATAGGTTGAGGTCCTCACTTTTGAGATAAGTTGAAACGGAGAGTCAACGAGGCTCCGTCTTGCAGCTACATCCGGTTAAATATGTCATGTGACTTGAACGCACACGCAGACACACACGCACACACACACACACACACACACACACTCAGAGTCTGGTTTTTAGCACCTGCAAAAACATGCTATTTACATATTTGACAAGAATGCAGAGGCTCCTTTTGCCCCTGAAAAAAATCAAATTTCAAACACAACTTGACTGGTCATTTCTCCAAAAGACAACCATGAAGCTCCATCCAAACCTGAAGCAGGCAGTTGGTGCATGTGTACAGTAACCTGAGGGGAGTGAGGTGAGTGCTTCTGAGGAGAACATGAGCAGTGAAGATTCACCTTGGAGCTAGAACAGAGACATGCACATGATTATACAGGGGCAGGGGCTCAAGTTTTTTCCAGTCGTTTATACAATATGGAAATTAATGTGAAATTAAAACACAAAGTATTAATAGAAAGGTAATGACTGTCCTGTGTAGGTGACAGTGATATCCAATAGGCTAGGCACTCACGAGGCTGGCTGTGGCAAGTGTAAGTGAAAGCAACACGCACTGGCAGGAAGAACAGCAAACGCCGATGAAGGAAAAGGGTCTTTGCAGTGATGGGCGTTACCAGAGAGGGCGATGGCCAGAGGACACAAATGGGACGGGGAGGCGGTCGCGTTGGGGGGGGGGAAGCTCGGGCCCGCCAGTGCCCCAACGGGGTCCTAGTTATTATTTTTCCTCCCCTTTGAACTGGAAAATGGCCCACTTCCCACTGGCGAAAACTCAGGAAATTTGGCAGGACGACCGGGCCGGGTGAAAAATTTGATATTCCGAAGTCGCCCAAACAAGAAAATGCAAAATGGCTCCATAGCGCCCCCTAAGGTGAAAATTCACACTATTGACTGTCACGCCTGTACGCTTTGTCAAAATGACACAAAAATTGACACACACATGTATCTCAATAAGATCTACAAAAAAGTCAGTGCGGGCGTATCTGTCAAATGTACGGTTAAAGGGTTATTTCGCATTTTTTGCCGATCCGCACACATTGGAATTTCGCTAACTCCTCCGAAGGCTTTCGTTCCACCGGCACCACATTTGCTCAGGCCAATCTACACCCCATGGCCATTAAAAGTTATTCAAATCATGACGCTGCACCCCACGGTTTAGGTTCTAGGGGGCGCCAAAGATAACCCTAAGATCCACATATTTAAAAGTCTTATAACTTTTTATTTTTGCCCTCACTGGCCTCCAAGTTTTCTAGGATGATGCAATGTCCAGCCATCAAAACATTTGTGAAGGAATTTTTACTCCCCAAAAGAGCGCCCCCCCATGGCAGGAGAAAAAAGTCCATTTTTTCTTGTCCCCTAAGGTGAAAATACACATTGTTGAGTGTAACACCTGTACGCTTTGGCAAAATGACACAAAAATTGACACACACATGTATCTCAATAAGATCTACGAAAAAGTCAATGCGCGCGTATCTGTCAAATGTACGGTTAAAGGGTTATTCCGCATTTTTTGCCGATCCGCACACATTGGAATTTCGCTAACTCCTCCGAAGGCTTTCGTTCCACCGGCACCACATTTGCTCAGGCCAATCTACACCCCATGGCCATTAAAAGTTATTCAAATCATGACGCTGCACCCCACGGTTTAGGTTCTAGGGGGCGCCAAAGATAACCCTAAAATCCACATATTTAAAAGTCTTATAACTTTTTATTTTTGTCCTCACTGGCCTCCAAGTTTTCTAGGATGATGCAATGTCCAGCCATCAACACATTTGTGAAGGAATTTTTACTCCCCAAAAGAGCGCCCCCCCATGGCAGGAGAAAAAAGTCCATTTTTTCTTGTCCCCTAAGGTGGAAATTCACACTATTGACTGTCACGCCTGTACGCTTTATCATATTGACACAAAAATTGACACACATATGTATCTCAATAAGATCTACAAAAAAGTCAATGCGCGCGTATCTGTCAAATGTACGGTTAAAGGGCTATTTTGCATTTTTTGCCGATTCGCACACATTGGAATGTGGCTAACTCCTCCTAAGGCTTTCGTCCCACTGACACCAAATTTGCTCAGGCCAATCTACACCCCATGGCCATTCAAAGTTGTAAAAATCATGACGCTGCACCCCACGGTTTACGTTCTAGGGGGCGCCAAAGATGACCCAAAAATCCACATTCTTAAAGGAATCCACATCCCCCCCCAAGGCAGGAGAAAAAGTCAAGTTAACCCTGCCCATCGCTCAATGGCTCAATCGCATCGCTCTCCAGGCAACACCGTAAGGAGGAGCAACCTGCCATTTCGATATATCATAGCTGTGTTTGTGCCCTCACTCATGGTCCAGACTTTTTTCAAATAGGACATGAAGTTTGTCTGCAGCGAGTGTTTTGGTAGAAACTGCGCCTCCCATTCATTATAATGGGAAATGACCACAGACAAGTGCGCACACCATCTTTGGACCTTGAGTGTGACGCGATCGGGAGGGGGAGGCGGTCGCGCTAGGGGCGGCGCGACGCGGCTCGGGCCCGACAGTGCCCCACCGGGGCCCTAGTTTGTTATTATTATTAGGGCCCGAGCGTAGCTGCTAAGCAGCTGCGAGAGCCCTCTTGTTCCTGTAGTTTCCTTCTTTTGTTATTATTATTTTTCCTCCCCTTTGAACTGGAAAATGGCCCACTTCCCACTGGCGAAAACTCATGAAATTTGGCAGGACGACCGGGCCTGGTGAAAAATTTGATATTCCGAAGTCGCCCAAACAAGAAAATGCAAAATGGCTCCATAGCGCCCCCTAAGGTGAAAATTCACACTATTGACTGTCACGCCTGTACGCTTTGTCAAAATGACACAAAAATTGACACACACATGTATCTCAATAAGATCTACAAAAAAGTCAGTGCGGGCGTATCTGTCAAATGTACGGTTAAAGGGTTATTTCGCATTTTTTGCCGATCCGCACACATTGGAATTTCGCTAACTCCTCCGAAGGCTTTCGTTCCACCGGCACCACATTTGCTCAGGCCAATCTACACCCCATGGCCATTAAAAGTTATTCAAATCATGACGCTGCACCCCACGGTTTAGGTTCTAGGGGGCGCCAAAGATAACCCTAAAATCCACATATTTAAAAGTCTTATAACTTTTTATTTTTGTCCTCACTGGCCTCCAAGTTTTCTAGGATGATGCAATGTCCAGCCATCAACACATTTGTGAAGGAATTTTTACTCCCCAAAAGAGCGCCCCCCCATGGCAGGAGAAAAAAGTCAATTTTTTCTTGTCCCCTAAGGTGGAAATTCACACTATTGACTGTCACGCCTGTACGCTTTATCATATTGACACAAAATTTGACAATCACATGTATCTCAATAAGATCTACAAAAAAGTCAATGCGCGCGTATCTGTCAAATGTACGGTTAAAGGGCTATTTTGCATTTTTTGCCGATTCGCACACATTGGAATGTGGCTAACTCCTCCTAAGGCTTTCGTCCCACTGACACTAAATTTGCTCAGGCCAATCTACACCCCATGGTCATTCAAAGTTGTAAAAATCATGACGCTGCACCCCACGGTTTACGTTCTAGGGGGCGCCAAAGATGACCCAAATATCCACATTCTTAAAAGAATCCACATCCCCCCCCCCATCCCCCAACCCCCATGGCAGGAGAAACAGTCAAGTTTTTCCTGCCCATCACTCAATGGCTCAATCGCATCACTCTCCCGGCAACACCGTAACAAGGAGCAACTTGCCGTTTGGATATATCCTAGCTGTGTTTGTGCCCTCACTCATGGTCCAGACTTTTTTCAAATAGGACATGTAGTTTGTCTGCAGCGAGTGTTTTGGTAGAAACTGCGCCTCCCATTCATTATAATGGGAAATGACCACAGACAAGTGCGCACACCATCTTTGGACCTTGAGTGTGACGCGATCGGGAGGGGGAGGCGGTCGCGCTGGGGGCGGCGCAACGCGGCTCGGGCCCGACAGTGCCCCACCGGGGCCCTAGTTATTATTTTTCCTCCCCTTTGAACTGGAAAATGGCCCACTTCCCACTGGCGAAAACTCATGAAATTTGGCAGGACGACCGGGCCTGGTGAAAAATTTGATATTCCATAGTCGCCCAAACAAGAAAATGCAAAATGGCTCCATAGCGCCCCCTAAGGTGAAAATTCACACTATTGACTGTCACGCCGGTACGCTTTGTCAAAATGACACAAAAATTGACACACACATGTATCTCAATAAGATCTACAAAAAAGTCAGTGCGGGCGTATCTGTCAAATGTACGGTTAAAGGGTTATTTCGCATTTTTTGCCGATCCGCACACATTGGAATTTCGCTAACTCCTCCGAAGGCTTTCGTTCCACCGGCACCACATTTGCTCAGGCCAATCTACACCCTATGGCCATTAAAAGTTATTCAAATCATGACGCTGCACCCCACGGTTTAGGTTCTAGGGGGCGCCAAAGATAACCCTAAGATCCACATATTTAAAAGTCTTATAACTTTTTATTTTTGCCCTCACTGGCCTCCAAGTTTTCTAGGATGATGCAATGTCCAGCCATCAACACATTTGTGAAGGAATTTTGACTCCCCAAAAGAGCGCCCCCCCATGGCAGGAGAAAAAAGTCCATTTTTTCTTGTCCCCTAAGGTGAAAATACACATTGTTGAGTGTAACACCTGTACGCTTTGGCAAAATGACACAAAAATTGACACACACATGTATCTCAATAAGATCTACAAAAAAGTCAGTGCGGGCGTATCTGTAAAATGTACGGTTAAAGGGTTATTTCGCATTTTTTGCCGATCCGCACACATTGGAATTTCGCTAACTCCTCCGAAGGCTTTCGTTCCACCGGCACCACATTTGCTCAGGCCAATCTACACCCCATGGCCATTAAAAGTTATTCAAATCATGACGCTGCACCCCACGGTTTAGGTTCTAGGGGGCGCCAAAGATAACCGTAAAATCCACATATTTAAAAGTCTTATAACTTTTTATTTTTGTCCCCACTGGCCTCCAAGTTTTCTAGGATGATGCAATGTCCAGCCATCAACACATTTGTGAAGGAATTTTTACTCGGCAAAAGAGCGCCCCCCCATGGCAGGAGAAAAAAGTCAATTTTTTCTTGTCCACTAAGGTGAAAATACACATTGTTGAGTGCTACGCCTGTATGTTTTGTCGTATTGACACAAAATTTTACATACACGTGTATTTCAATAAGATCTTCGAAAAAGTCAATGGCCACGTATCTGTAAAATGTACGGTTAAAGGGTTATTTCGCATTTTTTGCAGATTCGCACACATTGGAATTTCGCTAATTCCTCCGAAGGCTTTCGTTCCACCGGCACCACATTTGCTCAGGCCGATCTACACCCCATGGCCATTAAAAGTTATTCAAATCATGACGCTGCACCCCACGGTTTAGGTTCTAGGGGGCGCCAAATATAACCCTAAAATCCACATATTTAAAAGTCTTATAACTTTTTATTTTTGTCCTCACTGGCCTCCATGTTTTCTAGGATGATGCAATGTCCAGCCATCAACACATTTGTGAAGGAGTTTTTTCTCTTTAAAAGAGCGCCCCCCCATGGCAGGAGAATAAAGTCAAGTTTTTCCTGTTCATCATTCAATGGCTCAAACGCACTGCTCTCTCGGCAAAAGCGAAAGGAGGAGCAACTTGCCATTTGGATATATCTTAGCTGTGTTTGTGCCCTCACTCATGGTCCAGACTTTTTTCAAATAGGACATGGAGTTTTTCTGCAGCGAGCGTTTTGGTAGAAACTGCGCCTCCCGTTCATTATAATGGTAAATGACCACAAACAAGTGCGCACACCATCTTTGGACCTTGAGTGTGACGCGATCGGGTGGGGGAGGCGTGACACGGCTCGGGCCCGCCAGTGCCCCAACGGGGCCCTAGTTAGGGCCCGAGCGTAGCTGCTAAGCAGCTGCGAGAGCCCTATTATTCCCCAAGGGGTTTTTCTTTGTTTCTTTCTTTCTTTCTTTCTTCTTTTTCCTCCCCTTTGAACTGGAAAATGGCCCACTTCCCACTGGCGAAAACTCATGAAATTTGGCAGGACGACCGGGCCTGGTGAAAAATTTGATATTCCGAAGTCGCCCAAACAAGAAAATGCAAAATGGCTCCATAGCGCCCCCTAAGGTGAAAATTCACACTATTGACTGTCACGCCTGTACGCTTTGTCAAAATGACACAAAAATTGACACACACATGTATCTCAATAAGATCTACAAAAAAGTCAGTGCGGGCGTATCTGTCAAATGTACGGTTAAAGGGTTATTTCGCATTTTTTGCCGATCCGCACACATTGGAATTTCGCTAACTCCTCCGAAGGCTTTCGTTCCACCGGCACCACATTTGCTCAGGCCAATCTACACCCCATGGCCATTAAAAGTTATTCAAATCATGACGCTGCACCCCACGGTTTAGGTTCTAGGGGGCGCCAAAGATAACCCTAAAATCCACATTTTTAAAAGTCTTATAACTTTTTATTTTTGCCCTCACTGGCCTCCAAGTTTTCTAGGATGATGCAATGTCCAGCCATCAACACATTTGTGAAGGAATTTTTACTCCCCAAAAGAGTTCCCCCCCATGGCAGGAGAAAAAAGTCCATTTTTTCTTGTCCCCTTAAGTGAAAATACACATTGTTGAGTGTCACGCCTGTACGCTTTGTCAAAATGACACAAAAATTGACACACACATGTATCTCAATAAGATCTACAAAAAAGTCAATGCGCGCGTATCTGTAAAATGTACAGTTAAAGGGTTATTCCGCATTTTTTGCCGATTCGCACACATTGGAATTTCGCTAACTCCTCCGAAGGCTTTCGTTCCACCGGCACCACATTTGCTCAGGCCAAATTACACCCCATGGCCATTAAAAGTTATTCAAATCATGACGCTGCACCCTACGGTTTACGTTCTAGGGGGCGCCAAAGATAACCCAAAAATCCACATTTTTAAAAGTCTTATAACTTTTTATTTTTGCCCTCACTGGCCTCCAAGTTTTCTAGGATGATGCAATGTCCAGCCATCAACACATTTGTGAAGGAATTTTTACTTCCTAAAAGAGCGCCCCCCCCATGGCAGGAGAAAAAAGTCCATTTTTTCTTGTCCCCTAAGGTGAAAATACACATTGTTGACTGTCACGCCTGTACGCTTTGGCAAAATGACACAAAAATTGACAATCATGTGTATCTCAATTAGATCTACGAAAAAGTCAAAGAGCGCGTATCTGTATAATGTACGGCAAAAGGGCTATTTTGCATTTTTTGCCGATTCGCACACATTGGAATTTCGCTAACTCCTCCTAAGGCTTTCGTCCCACTGACACCAAATTTGCTCAGGCCAATCTACACTCCATGGCCATTCAAAGTTGTAAAAATCATGACGCTGCACCCCACGGTTTACGTTTTAGGGGGCGCCAAAGATGACCCAAATATACATTACAGTAGACAAAGTAGTTTTGCCCACTGAGTGGCGCCAAAGGGACTTGTCTATGGAGTCTGTGAGTCACTATTGGCCGTTTTTGACTACTTTAGATTTTACCTTTATATTTCCTCTTACAAAATTTTTACCTTGCCTTGCCTGGTATCATTTTTTTCAGCACAACCTCACCTGTGTCAATTTACAGTTATTTTATCATTTTGACATACTATATTTACACATTGGACCCAAATTCACACACAAAACATAAAATCCGAGTGGAAAAAAGTAACGTTTTTACTGTGAAAACCACAAATATGTGTGATGAACTGTTTTTAAAACTTAAACTTCAAATAAAAATTGTAAACTTCAGAACATATGCAAATTTTTAACAAAGAACATAGTAATTTACCTCTATTTACATCAAAATGCAGGCAATGGCTCAGGTGTTCTTTGTAAAATTATTTACAAAACACTGTATAGTCTCACAAATGTCACTTTTTATTTATGCCACTACAAAAAAAACATGATGTAAATGATGCATGATGTAAAACATGATGTAAAAAACTTGTGTAGATCCTCCTCTATGTTAGTCCATGTGTAATTTTTCCATAATTCTTTGTTTTTTGCAGCATTTTTGTTAGTGTAACTGCAGATTGTGCTGACAGTGTCTATGGCAAAAAAAAAAAAAAAACTGAAAATGCCTCAACATGAACCCCTGGTGGTCTCTGAGGGTGAAACCTGCTAACTGCTGCAGCTCTGTCAGCTTCAGTCTGCCATGCAGAGCTCGGAGCGCATGTGTGGCTCTGCACCCTTAGCAGCGTTGCTAACTCCTCAGTAAGGAAAGCCTGCTTCATGTCAGAGTCTCAAAACTCCAGAAGAAGTCGATAAAAGTCCCTTTCTTTCTAAAAAAAAAGTCGTTAGGGGGTCTGAAAAGTCATTGAATCTAACAACAAAGTCGCTAGGTTTGCAACTACGTGTCCCAGACTGCATCCCTGCTGAGAGTCCCTCCCTCCCTTCTCATATTGCAGGAAGAACGTAAGCGCCCGCCCCTTTTCAATCAGTCACCATATAATTTTGGATTGGTTGTTGTGGTGAAGTTTTCCACCAATAGGAGAGATGTTGTGGTGTGTTTTTTTTTTCCTTTGGCAAGCCTTTTCCGCCTGTAAGACCTGTCGCTAATGTCTGCATGCTATGTTTTCCTGTCTCATACAGCGCGATCGAGCGCCGAACGTGATCAAAATAAGCAGAAAACAAGTATCGCGGACATAATTTATCATAACTCTGGTTTTATTTGGCCTATCAACACAATTTAAAAACTGGTATATAGGTTGAGGTCCTCACTTTTGAGATAAGTTAAAACGGAGAGTCAACGAGGCTCCGTCTTGCAGCTACATCCGGTTAAATATGTCATGTGACTTGAACGCACACACAGACACACACACACACGCACACACACACACACACACACTCAGAGTCTGGTTTTTAGCACCTGCAAAAACATGCTATTTACATATTTGACAAGAATGCAGAGGCTCCTTTTGCCCCTGAAAAAAATCAAATTTCAAACACAACTTGACTGCTCATTTCTCCAAAAGACAACCATGAAGCTCCATCCAAACCTGAAGCAGGCAGTTGGTGCATGTGCACAGTAACCTGAGGGGAGTGAGGTGACTGCTTCTGAGGAGAACATGAGCAGTGAAGATTCACCTTAGAGCTAGAACAGAGACGTGCACATGATTATACAGGGGCAGGGGCTCAAGTTTTTTCCAGTTGTTTATACAATATGGAAATTAATGTGAAATTAAAAAACAAAGTATTAATAGAAAGGTAATGACTGTCCTGTGTAGGTGACAGTGATATCCAATAGGCTAGGCACTCACGAGGCTGGCTGTGGCAAGTGTAAGTGAAAGCAACACGCACTGGCAGGAAGAACAGCAAACGCCGATGAAGGAAAAGGGTCTTTGCAGTGATGGGCGTTACCAGAGAGGGCGATGGCCAGAGGACACAAATGGGACGGGGAGGCAGCACGTTGGGGGGGGGGGACGCGACACGGCTCGGGCCCACCAGTGCCCCAACGGGGTCCTAGTTAGGGCCCGAGCGTAGCTGCTAAGCAGCTGCGAGAGCCCTCTTGTTCCTGATGGATTCTTCTTTTTAGGGCCCGAGCCAGCTGCAGAGCAGCCGGGCGTAGGCCCTGTTATTCCTGTAGGGGTTTTTTAGGGCCCGAGCGTAGCTGCTAAGCAGCTGCGAGAGCCCTCTTGTTCCTGTAGTTTCCTTCTTTTGTTATTATTATTTTTCCTCCCCTTTGAACTGGAAAATGGCCCACTTCCCACTGGCGAAAACTCATGAAATTTGGCAGGACGACCGGGCCTGGTGAAAAATTTGATATTCCGAAGTCGCCCAAACAAGAAAATGCAAAATGGCTCCATAGCGCCCCCTAAGGTGAAAATTCACACTATTGACTGTCACGCCTGTACGCTTTGTCAAAATGACACAAAAATTGACACACACATGTATCTCAATAAGATCTACAAAAAAGTCAGTGCGGGCGTATCTGTCAAATGTACGGTTAAAGGGTTATTTCGCATTTTTTGCCGATCCGCACACATTGGAATTTCGCTAACTCCTCCGAAGGCTTTCGTTCCACCGGCACCACATTTACTCAGGCCAATCTACACCCCATGGCCATTAAAAGTTATTCAAATCATGACGCTGCACCCCAAGGTTTAGGTTCTAGGGGGCGCCAAAGATAACCCTAAGATCCACATATTTAAAAGTCTTATAACTTTTTATTTTTGCCCTCACTGGCCTCCAAGTTTTCTAGGATGATGCAATGTCCAGCCATCAACACATTTGTGAAGGAATTTTTACTCCCCAAAAGAGCGCCCCCCCATGGCAGGAGAAAAAACTCAATTTTTTCTTGTCCCCTAAGGTGAAAATACACATTGTTGAGTGTAACACCTGTACGCTTTGGCAAAATGACACAAAAATTGACACACACATGTATCTCAATAAGATCTACGAAAAAGTCAATGCGCGCGTATCTGTCAAATGTACGGTTAAAGGGTTATTCCGCATTTTTTGCCGATCCGCACACATTGGAATTTCGCTAACTCCTCCGAAGGCTTTCGTTCCACCGGCACCACATTTGCTCAGGCCAATCTACACCCCATGGCCATTAAAAGTTATTCAAATCATGACGCTGCATCCCACGGTTTAGGTTCTAGGGGGCGCCAAAGATAACCCTAAAATCCACATATTTAAAAGTCTTATAACTTTTTATTTTTGTCCTCACTGGCCTCCAAGTTTTCTAGGATGATGCAATGTCCAGCCATCAACACATTTGTGAAGGAATTTTTACTCCCCAAAAGAGCGCCCCCCCATGGCAGGAGAAAAAAGTCAATTTTTTCTTGTCCCCTAAGGTGGAAATTCACACTATTGACTGTCACGCCTCTACGCTTTATCATATTGACACAAAAATTGACACACATATGTATCTCAATAAGATCTACAAAAAAGTCAATTCGCGCGTATCTGTCAAATGTACGGTTAAAGGGCTATTTTGCATTTTTTGCCGATTCGCACACATTGGAATGTGGCTAACTCCTCCTAAGGCTTTCGACCCACTGACACCAAATTTGCTCAGGCCAATCTACACCCCATGGCCATTCAAAGTTGTAAAAATCATGACGCTGCACCCCACGGTTTACGTTCTAGGGGGCGCCAAAGATGACCCAAAAATCCACATTCTTAAAAGAATCCACATCCCCCCCCCTATGGCAGGAGAAAAAGTCAAGTTTTTCCTGCCCATCGCTCAATGGCTCAATCGCATCGCTCTCCAGGCAACACCGTAAGGAGGAGCAACCTGGCATTTCGATATATCATAGCTGTGTTTGTGCCCTCACTCATGGTCCAGACTTTTTTCAAATAGGACATGAAGTTTGTCTGCAGCGAGTGTTTTGGTAGAAACTGCGCCTCCCATTCATTATAATGGGAAATGACCACAGACAAGTGCGCACACCATCTTTGGTTCTTGATTGTGACTCGATCGGGACGGGGAGGCGGTCGCAATGGGGGCGGCGCGACGCGGCTCGGGCCCGACAGTGCCCCACCGGGGCCCTAGTCTTTGTTTCTTTCTTTCTTCTTTTTCCTCCCCTTTGAACTGGAAAATGGCCCACTTCCCACTGGCGAAAACTCATGAAATTTGGCAGGACGACCGGGCCTGGTGAAAAATTCGATATTCTGAAGTCGCCCAAACAATAAAATGCAAAATGGCTCCATAGCGCCCCCTAAGGTGGAAATTCACACTATTGACTGTCACGTCTGTACGCTTTGTCATATTGACACAAAAATTGACACACATATGTATCTCAATAAGATCTACAAAAAAGTCAGTGCGGCCGTATCTGTCAAAATTACGGTTAAAGGGTTATTTCGCATTTTTTGCCGATCCGCACACATTGGAATTTCGCTAACTCCTCCGAAGGCTTTCGTTCCACCGGCACCACATTTGCTCAGGCCAATCTACACCCCGTGGCCATTAAAAGTTATCAAAATCATGACGCTGCACCCCAAGGTTTAGGTTCTAGGGGGCGCCAAAGATAACACTAAAATCCACATATTTAAAAGTCTTATAACTTTTTATTTTTGTCCTCACTGGCCTCCAAGTTTTCTAGGATGATGCAATGTCCAGCCATCAACACATTTGTGAAGGAATTTTTACTCCCCAAAAGAGCGCCCCCCCATGGCAGGAGAAAAAAGTCCATTTTTTCTTGTCCCCTAAGGTGAAAATACACATTGTTGAGTGTCAAGCCTATACGCTTTGTCAAAATGACACAAAATTTGACACACACATGTAACTCAATAAGATCTACAAAAAAGTCCATGCGCGCGTATCTGTCAAATGTACAGTTAAAGGGTTAATCCGCATTTTTTGCCGATACGCACACATTGGAATTTCGCTAACTCCTCCGAAGGCTTTCGTTCCACCGGCACCACATTTGCTCAGGCCAATCTACACCCCATGGCCATTAAAAGTTATTCAAATCATGATGCTGCACCCCATGGTTTAGGTTCTAGGGGGCGCCAAAAATAACCCAAAAATCCACATTCTTAAATGTTTTATAACTTTTTATTTTTGTCCTCACTGGCCTCCAAGTTTTCTAGGATGATGCAATGTCCAGCCATCAACACATTTGTGAAGGAATTTTTACTCCCCAAAAGAGCGCCCCCCCATGGTAGGAGAAAAAAGTCAATTTTTTCTTGTCCCCTTACATAAAAATACACATTGTTGAGTGTCACGCCTGAACGCTTTGTCATATTGACACAAAAATTGACAATCATGTGTATCTCAATTAGATCTACGAAAAAGTCAAAGAGCGCGTATCTGTATAATGTACGGTTAAAGGGCTATTTTGCATTTTTTGCCGATTCGCACACATTGGAATGTGGCTATCTCCTCCTAAGGCTTTCGTCCCACCGATACCAAATTTGCTCAGGGCAATCTACACCCCATGCCCATTCAAAGTTGTAAAAATCATGACGCTGCACCCCACGGTTTACGTTCTAGGGGGCGCCAAAGATGACCCAAAAATCCACATTCTTAAAAGTCATTTTGGCCACTGCAGGAGTACAGAGTACTGCAGTTCTAGGGGGCGCCAAAGATGACCCAAAAATCCACATTCTTAAAAGTCTTTTTGGCCACTGCAGGAGTACAGAGTACTGCAGGATACACACACATATACACACACGCCAACATACACACACACACACACACACACACACACACACACACACAGACACACACCCACACTCAGAGTCTGGTTTTTAGCACCTGCAAAAACATGCTGTTTACATATTTGACAAGAATGCAGAGGCTTCCTTTTGCCCCTGAAAAAAATCAAATTTCAAACACAACTTGACTGTTCATTTCTCCAAAAGACAACCATGAAGCTCCATTTCAAACCTGAAGCAGATAGTTGGTGCATGTGTACAGTAACCTGAGGGGAGTGAGGTGACTATTTCTGAGGAGAACATGAGCAGTGAAGATTCACCTTGGAGCTAGAACAGGGACGTGCACATGATTATACAGGGGCAGGGGCTCAAGTTTTTTCCAGTCATTTATACAATATGGAAATTAATGTGAAATTAAACTACAAATATGTGTGATGAACTGTTTTTAAAACTTAAACTTCAAATAAAAATTGTAAACTTCAAAACATATGCAAATTTTTAACAAAGAACATAGTAATTTACCTCTATTTACATCAAAATGCAGGCAATGGCCCAGGCGTTCTTTGTAAAATTATTTACAAAACACTGTATAGTCTCACAAATGTCACTTTTTATTTATGCCACTACAAAAAAACATGATGTAAATGATGCATGATGTAAAACATGATGTAAAAAACTTGTGTAGATCCTCCTCTATGTCAGTCCATGTGTAATTTTTCCATAATTCTTTGTTTTTTGCAGCATTTTTGTTAGTGTAACTGCAGATTGTGCTGACAGTGTCTATGGCACAAAAAAAAAAAAAAATTTTTAATGCCTCAACATGAACCCGTGGTGGTCTCTGAGGGTGAAACCTGCTAACTGCTGCAGCTCTGTCAGCTTCAGTCTCCCATGCAGAGCTCTGAGCGCATGTGTGGCTCTGCACCCTTAGCAGCGTTGCTAACTCCTCAGTATGGAAAGCCTGCTTCATGTCAGAGTCTCTAAACTCCAGAAGAAGTCGATAAAAGTCCCTTTCTTTCTAAAAAAAAGTCGTTAGGGGGTCTGAAAAGTCATTGAATCTAACAACAAAGTCGCTAGGTTTGCAACTACGTGTCCCAGACTGCATCCCTGCTGAGAGTCCCTCCCTCCCTTCTCATGTTGCAGGAAGAACGTAAGCGCCCCCCCTTGTCAATCAGTCACCATATAATTTTGGATTGGTTGTTGTGGTGAAGTTTTCCACCAATAGGAGAGATGTTGTGGTGTGTTTTTTTTTTCTTTTGGCAAGCCTTTTCCGCCTGTAAGAACTGTCGCTAATGTCTGCATGCTATGTTTTCCTGTCTCATACAGCGCGATCGAGCGCCGAACGTGATCAAAATAAGCAGAAAAAAAATATCGCGGACATAATTTATCATAACTCTGGTTTTATTTGGCCTATCAACACAATTTAAAAACTGGTATATAGGTTGAGGTCCTCACTTTTGAGATAAGTTGAAACGGAGAGTCAACGAGGCTCCGTCTTGCAGCTACATCCGGTTAAATATGTCATGTGACTTGAACGCACACACAGACACACACACACATACACACACACACACACACACACACACACACACACACTCAGAGTCTGGTTTTTAGCACCTGCAAAAACATGCTATTTACATATTTGACAAGAATGCAGAGGCTCCTTTTGCCCCTGAAAAAAATCAAATTTCAAACACAACTTGACTGGTCATTTCTCCAAAAGACAACCATGAAGCTCCATCCAAACCTGAAGCAGGCAGTTGGTGCATGTGTACAGTAACCTGAGGGGAGTGAGGTGAGTGCTTCTGAGGAGAACATGAGCAGTGAAGATTCACCTTGGAGCTAGAACAGAGACATGCACATGATTATACAGGGGCAGGGGCTCAAGTTTTTTCCAGTCGTTTATACAATATGGAAATTAATGTGAAATTAAAACACAAAGTATTAATAGAAAGGTAATTACTGTCCTGTGTAGGTGACAGTGATATCCAATAGGCTAGGCACTCACGAGGCTGGCTGTGGCAAGTGTAAGTGAAAGCAACACGCACTGGCAGGAAGAACAGCAAACGCCGATGAAGGAAAAGGGTCTTTGCAGTGATGGGCGTTACCAGAGAGGGCGATGGCCAGAGGACACAAATGGGACGGGGAGGCAGCACGTTGGGGGGGGGGGACGCGACACGGCTCGGGCCCGCCAGTGCCCCAACGGGGTCCTAGTGTTATTATTATTAGGGCCCGAGCGTAGCTGCTAAGCAGCTGCGAGAGCCCTCTTGTTCCTGATGGATTCTTCTTTCGTTATTTTTCCTCCGCTTTAAACTGGAAAATGGCCCACTTCCCACTGGCGAAAACTCAGGAAATTTGGCAGGACGACCGGGCCTGGTGAAAAATTTGATATTCTGAAGTCACCCAAACAAAAAAATGAAAAATGGCTCCATAGCGCCCCCTATGGTGAAAACTCACCTGATGCCTGTACGCTTTGTCAAAATGACACAAAATTTGACACACATGTGTATCTCAATAAGATCTACGAAAAAGTCAGTGCGGGCATATCTGCCAAATGTACGGTTAAAGGGCTATTTCGCTTTTTTTGCCAATCCGCACACATTGGAATTTCGCTAACTCCTCCGAAGGCTTTCGTTCCACCGGCACCAAATTTGCTCAGGCCAATCTACACCCCATGGCCATTAAAAGTTGTACAAATCATGATGCTGCACCCCACGGTTTACTTTCTAGGGGGCGCCAAAGATAACACAAAAATCCACATTCTTAAAAGTCTTATAACTTTTTATTTTTGTCCTCACTGGCCTCCAAGTTTTCTAGGATGATGCAATGTCCAGCCATCAACACATTTGTGAAGGAATTTTTACTCCCCAAAAGAGCGCCCCCCCATGGCAGGAGAAAAAAGTCCATTTTTTCTTGTCTCCTAAGGTAAAAATACACATTGTTGAGTGTCACGCCTATACACTTTGTCATATTGACACACAATTTGACAATCACGTGTATCTCAATAAGATCTACAAAAAAGTCAATAGGCACGTATCTGTCAAATGTATGGTTAAAGGGCTATTTCGCATTTTTTGCCGATTCGCACACATTGGAATGTGGCTATCTCCTCCTAAGGCTTTCGTCCCACCGATACCAAATTTGCTCAGGGCAATCTACACCCCATGGCCATTCAAAGTTGTAAAAATCATGACGCTGCACCCCACGGTTTACGTTCTAGGGGGCGCCAAAGATGACCCAAAAATCCACATTCTTAAAAGTCATTTTGGCCACTGCAGGAGTACAGAGTACTGCCGGACACACACACATATACACACACACCAACACACACACACACACACACACACACACACACACACACACACACACACACACACACACACACACACACACACACACACTCAGAGTCTGTTTTTTAGCACCTGCAAAAACATGCTGTTTACATATTTGACAAGAATGCAGAGGCTTCCTTTTGCCCCTGAAAAAAATCAAATTTCAAACACAACTTGACTGTTCATTTCTCCAAAAGACAACCATGAAGCTCCATCCAAACCTGAAGCAGATAGTTGGTGCATGTGTACAGTAACCTGAGGAGAGTGAGGTGACTACTTCTGAGGAGAACATGAGCAGTGAAGATTCACCTTGGAGCTAGAACAGGGACGTGCACATGATTATACAGGGGCAGGGGCTCAAGTTTTTTCCAGTCATTTATACAATATGGAAATTAATGTGAAATTAAACCACAAATATGAGTGATGAACTGTTTTTAAAACTTAAACTTCAAATAAAAATTGTAAACTTCAAAACATATGCAAATTTTTAACAAAGAACATAGTAATTTACCTCTATTTACATCAAAATGCAGGCAATGGCCCAGGCGTTCTTTGTAAAATTATTTACAAAACACTGTATAGTCTCACAAATGTCACTTTTTATTTATGCCACTACAAAAAAACATGATGTAAATGATGCATGATGTAAAACATGATGTAAAAAACTTGTGTAGATCCTCCTCTATGTCAGTCCATGTGTAATTTTTCCATAATTCTTTGTTTTTTGCAGCATTTTTGTTAGTGTAACTGCAGATTGTGCTGATAGTGTCTATGGCAAAAAAAAAAAAAACTAAAAATGCCTCAACATGAACTCCTGGTGGTCTCTGAGGGTGAAACCTGCTAACTGCTGCAGCTCTCTCAGCTCTAGTCTCCCATGCAGAGCTCGGAGCGCATGTGTGGCTCTGCACCCTTAGCAGCGTTGCTAACTCCTCAGTAAGGAAAGCCTGCTTCATGTCAGAGTCTCTAAACTCCAGAGGAAGTCGATAAAATTCCCTTTCTTTCTAAAAAAAAGTCGTTAGGGGGTCTGAAAAGTCATTGAATCTAACAACAAAGTCGCTAGGTTTGCAACTACGTTTCCCAGACTGCATCCCTGCTGAGAGTTCCTCCCTCCCTTCTCATATTGCAGGAAGAACGTAAGCGCCCGCCCCTTGTCAATCAGTCACCATATAATTTTGGATTGGTTGTTGTGGTGAAGTTTTCCACCAATAGGAGAGATGTTGTGGTGTGTTTTTTTTTCTTTTGGCATGCCTTTTCCGCCTGTAAGACCTGTCGCTAATGTCTGCATGCTATGTTTTCCTGTCTCATACAGCGTGATCGAGCGCCGAACGTGATCAAAATAAGCAGAAAAAAAGTATCGCGGACATAATTTATCATAACTCTGGTTTTATTTGGCCTATCAACACAATTTAAAAACTGGTATATAGTTTGAGGTCCTCACTTTTGAGATAAGTTGAAACGGAGGGTGAACGAGGCTCCGTCTTGCAGCTACATCCGGTTAAATATGTCATGTGACTTGAACGCTGGGGAGCGTCAATCGACTGCAGAGCCAGCAGACAAAGTAGTTATGCCACTGAGAGGCACACATTTGTCATATGCTATAATCCTAACATATTTTAATGCTTTTTCTATTTAAACCTAATGGATCTAAGGTTTGACCTTCAAAATTTAGGAAGAATATTTTTTTGCAGTAATGACCCCCTTAAACAACCAGAGGTCCTTTCCTAAAGTTTATGGAAATTTTAGTGAAGGCCTTGGTTTCTTTCCTTGCAAAATGTATAGAAATAATAAAGCTAAATACCATAAAATGGTCTTGGCGTATTAGCAGTGATATAAAATAGTGGTTTGAATATGAATGAACAACAAAAAAAAAACATCAACAGAGCCTTTTTGAGTTGGGATTCTTTCATTATCACACAAAAACAGACATAGACAGACATCTAAAGGGTAAGGGAATGATCAGCCCTCCTAACTCTCAGATGAATCTTCAAAATTCACCGCAGAAATATGCTTATTATTCTTCTCAGAGTACTGCAAGATATATACACACACACAGACACACACACACACACACACACACACACACACACATACACACACACACAGACACACTCAGAGTCTGTTTTTTAGCACCTGCAAAAACATGCTATTTACATATTTGACAAGAATGCAGAGGCTCCTTTTGCCCCTGAAAAAAAATCAAATTTCAAACACAACTTGACTGGTCATTTCTCCAAAAGACAACCATGAAGCTCCATCCAAACCTGAAGCAGGCAGTTGGTGCATGTGTACAGTAACCTGAGGAGAGTGAGGTGACTACTTCTGAGGAGAACATGAGCAGTGAAGATTCACCTTGGAGCTAGAACAGGGACGTGCACATGATTATACAGGGGCAGGGGCTCAAGTTTTTTCCAGTCATTTATACAATATGGAAATTAATGTGAAATTAAAAAACAAAGTATTAATAGAAAGGTAATGACTGTCCTGTGTAGATGACAGTGATATCCAATAGGCTAGGCACTCACGAGGCTGGCTGTGGCAAGTGTAAGTGAAAGCAACACGCACTGGCAGGAAGAACAGCAAACGCCGATGAAGGAAAAGGGTCTTTGCAGTGATGGGCGTTACCAGAGAGGGCGATGGCCAGAGGACACGAATGGGACGGGGAGGCAGCGCGTTGGGGGGGGGGGCGGCGCGACACGGCTCGGGCCCGCCAGTGCCCCAACGGGGCCCTAGTTAGGGCCCGAGCGTAGCTGCTAAGCAGCTGCGAGAGCCCTCTTGTTCCTGATGGATTCTTCTTTCGTTATTTTTCCTCCGCTTTAAACTGGAAAATGGCCCACTTCCCACTGGCGAAAACTCAGGAAATTTGGCAGGACGACCGGGCCTGGTGAAAAATTTGATATTCTGAAGTCGCCCAAACAAAAAAATGAAAAATGGCTCCATAGCGCCCCCTATGGTGAAAATTCACCTGACGCCTGTACGCTTTGTCAAAATGACACAAAATTTGACACACATGTGTATCTCAATAAGACCTACAAAAAAGTCAGTGCGGGCGTATCTGTCAAATGTACCGTTAAAGGGCTATTTCGCATTTTTTGCCGATCCGCACACATTGGAATTTCGCTAACTCCTCCGAAGGCTTTCGTCCCACCGACACCAAATTTGCTCAAGCCGATCTACATCCCATGGCCATTCAAAGTTGTAAAAATCATGCCGCTGCACCCCACGGTTTACGTTCTAGGGGGCGCCAAAGATGACCCAAATATCCACATTCTTAATAGATCCCCCCCCCCCCCCAAGGCAGGAGAAAAAGTCAAGTTAACCCTGCCCATCGCTCAATGGCTCAATCGCATCGCTCTCCCGGCAACACCGTAAGGAGGAGCAACTTGCCATTTGGATATATCCTAGCTGTGTTTGTGCCCTCACTCATGGTCCAGACTTTTTTCAAATAGGACATGTAGTTTGTCTGCAGCGACCGTTTTGGTAGAAACTGCGCCTCCCATTCATTATAATGGGAAATGACCACAGACAAGTGCGCACACCATCTTCGGACCTTGAGTGTGACGCGATCGGGAGGAGGAGGCGGTCGCGCTGGGGGCGGCGCGACGCGGCTCGGGCCCGACAGTGCCCCACCGGGGCCCTAGTTATTATTTTTCCTCCGCTTTAAACTGGAAAATGGCCCACTTCCCACTGGCGAAAACTCATGAAATTTGGCAGGACGACCGGGCCTGGTGAAAAATTCGATATTCTGAAGTCGCCCAAACAATAAAATGCAAAATGGCTCCATAGCGCCCCCTAAGGCGAAAATTCAAACTATTGACTGTCACGCCTGTACGCTTTGTCATATTGACACAAAAATTGACACACACGTGTATCTCAATACGGTCTACGAAAAAGTCAGCGCGGGCGCATCTGTGAAATGTACGGTTAGAGGGTTATTTCGCATTTTTTGCCGATCTGCACACATTGGAATTTGGCTAACTCCTCCGAAGGCATTCGTTCCACCGGCACCACATTTGCTCAAGCCAATCTACACCCCATGGCCATTAAAAGTTGTACAAATCATGACGCTGCACCCCACAGTTTACGTTCTAGGGGGCGCCAAAGATAACCCAAAAATCCACAGTCTTAAAAGTCTTATAACTTTTTATTTTTGCCCTCACTGGCCTCCAAGTTTTCTAGGATGATGCAATGTCCAGCCATCAACACATTTGTGAAGGAATTTTTACTCCCCAAAAGAGCGCCCCCACATGGCAGGAGAAAAAAGTCCATTTTTTCTTGTCCCCTAAGGTGAAAATACACATTGTTGAGTGTCACGCCTATACGCTTTGTCATATTGACACAAAATTTGACAATCACGTGTATCTCAATAAGATCTACGAAAAAGTCAATGGGCACGTATCTGTAAAATGTACGGTTAAAGGGTTATTTCGCATTTTTTCCCGATCCGCACACATTGGATTTTCACTAACTCCTCCGAAGGCTTTAGTTCCACCGCCACCAAATTTGCTCAGGCCAATCTACACCCCATGGCCATTAAAAGTTGTACAAATCATGACGTTGCACTCCACGGTTTAGGTTCTAGGGGGCGCCAAAGATAACCCAAAAATCCACATTCTTAATAGTCTTATAACTTTTTATTTTTGTCCTCACTGGCCTCCAAGTTTTCTAGGATGATGCAATGTCCAGCCATCAACACATTTGTAAAGGAATTTTTACTCCCGAAAAGAGCGCCCCCCCATGGCAGGAGAAAAATGTCCATTTTTTCTTGTCCCCTAAGGTGAAAAAACACATTGTTGACTGTCACGCCTATACGCTTTGTCAAAATGACACAAAATTTGACACACACGTGTATCTCAATAAGATCTACGAAAAAGTCAATGGGCACGTATCTGTAAAATGTACGGTTAAAGGGCTATTTCGCATTTTTTGCAGATCTGCACACATTGGAATGTGGCTAACTCCTCCTAAGGCTTTCTTCCCACCGACACCAAATTTGCTCAAGCCGATCTACATCCCATGGCCATTCAAAGTTGTAAAAATCATGCCGCTGCACCCCATGGTTTACGTTCTAGGGGGCGCCAAAGATGACCCAAATATCCACATTCTTAAAAGAATCCACATCCCCCCCCCCCCCCCCCCCCCCCCCCCCAAGGCAGGAGAAAAAGTCCAGTTAACCCTGCCCATCGCTCAATGGCTCAATCGCATCGCTCTCCTGGCAACACCGTAAGGAGGAGCAACTTGCCATTTGGATATATCCTAGCTGTGTTTGTGCCCTCACTCATGGTCCAGACTTTTTTCAAATAGGACATGTAGTTTGTCTGCAGCGACCGTTTTGGTAGAAACTGCGCCTCCCATTCATTATAATGGGAAATGACCACAGACAAGTGCGCACACCATCTTTGGACCTTGAGTGTGATGCGATCGGGAGGGGGAGGCGGTCGCGCTGGGGGCGGCGCGACGCGGCTCGGGCCCGACAGTGCCCCACCGGGGCCCTAGTTTGTTATTATTATTTTTCCTCCCCTTTGAACTGGAAAATGGCCCACTTCCCACTGGCGAAAACTCATGAAATTTGGCAGGGCGACCGGGCCTGGTGAAAAATTTGATATTCCGAAGTCGCCCAAACAAGAAAATGCAAAATGGCTCCATAGCGCCCCCTAAGGTGAAAATTCACACTATTGACTGTCACGCCTGTACGCTTTGTCAAAATGACACAAAAATTGACACACACATGTATCTCAATAAGATCTACAAAAAAGTCAGTGCGGGCGTATCTGTCAAATGTACGGTTAAAGGGTTATTTCGCATTTTTTGCCGATCCGCACACATTGGAATTTCGCTAACTCCTCCGAAGGCTTTCGTTCCACCGGCACCACATTTGCTCAGGCCAATCTACACCCCATGGCCATTAAAAGTTATTCAAATCATGACGCTGCACCCCACGGTTTAGGTTCTAGGGGGCGCCAAAGATAACCCTAAAATCCACATATTTAAAAGTCTTATAACTTTTTATTTTTGCCCTCACTGGCCTCCAAGTTTTCTAGGATGATGCAATGTCCAGCCATCAACACATTTGTGAAGGAATTTTTACTCCCCAAAAGAGCGCCCCCCCATGGCAGGAGAAAAAAGTCCATTTTTTCTTGTCCCCTAAGGTGAAAATTCACACTATTGACTGTCACGCCTGTACGCTTTGTCAAAATGACACAAAAATTGACACACACATGTATCTCAATAAGATCTACAAAAAAGTCCATGCGCGCGTATCTGTCTAATGTACGGTTAAAGGGTTATTTCGCATTTTTTGCCGATCCGCACACATTGGAATTTCGCTAACTCCTCCGAAGGCTTTCGTTCCACCGGCACCACATTTGCTCAGGCCAATCTACACCCCATGGCCATTAAAAGTTATTCAAATCATGACGCTGCACCCCACGGTTTAGGTTCTAGGGGGCGCCAAAGATAACCCAAAAATCCACATTTTTAAAAGTCTTATAACTTTTTATTTTTGTCCTCACTGGCCTCCAAGTTTTCTAGGATGATGCAATGTCCAGCCATCAACACATTTGTGAAGGAATTTTTACTCCCCAAAAGAGCGCCCCCCCATGGCAGGAGAAAAAAGTCAATTTTTTCTTGTCCCCTTACATGAAAATACACATTGTTGAGTGTCACGCCTGAACGCTTTGTCATATTGACACAAAAATTGACAATCATGTGTATCTCAATTAGATCTACGAAAAAGTCAAAGATTGCGTATCTGTATAATGTACGGTTAAAGGGCTATTTTGCATTTTTTGCCAATTCGCACACATTGGAATGTGGCTATCTCCTCCTAAGGCTTTCGTCCCACCGATACCAAATTTGCTCAGGGCAATCTACACCCCATGCCCATACAAAGTTGTAAAAATCATGACGCTGCACCCCACGGTTTACGTTCTAGGGGGCGCCAAAGATGACCCAAAAATCCACATTCTTAAAAGTCATTTTGGCCACTGCAGGAGTACAGAGTACTGCAGTTCTAGGGGGCGCCAAAGATGACCCAAAAATCCACATTCTTAAAAGTCTTTTTGGCCACTGCAGGAGTACAGAGTACTGCAGGATACACACACATATACACACACGCCAACATACACACACACACACACACACACACAGACACACACACACACTCAGAGTCTGTTTTTTAGCACCTGCAAAAACATGCTGTTTACATATTTGACAAGAATGCAGAGGCTCCTTTTGCCCCTGAAAAAAATCAAATTTCAAACACAACTTGACTGTTCATTTCTCCAAAAGACAACCATGAAGCTCCATTTCAAACCTGAAGCAGATAGTTGGTGCATGTGTACAGTAACCTGAGGGGAGTGAGGTGACTATTTCTGAGGAGAACATGAGCAGTGAAGATTCACCTTGGAGCTAGAACAGAGACATGCACATGATTATACAGGGGCAGGGGCTCAAGTTTTTTCCAGTCATTTATACAATATGGAAATTAATGTGAAATTAAACCACAAATATGTGTGATGAACTGTTTTTCAAACTTAAACTTCAAATAAAAATTGTAAACTTCAAAACATATGCAAATTTTTAACAAAGAACATAGTAATTTACCTCTATTGACATCAAAATGCAGGCAATGGCCCAGGTGTTCTTTGTAAAATTATTTACAAAACACTGTATAGTCTCACAAATGTCACTTTTTATTTATGCCACTACAAAAAAACATGATGTAAATGATGCATGATGTAAAACATGATGTAAAAAACTTGTGTAGATCCTCCTCTATGTCAGTCCATGTGTAATTTTTCCATAATTCTTTGTTTTTTGCAGCATTTTTGTTAGTGTAACTGCAGATTGTGCTGACAGTGTCTATGGCAAAAAAAAAAAAAAAAACTGAAAATGCCTCAACATGAACCCCTGGTGGTCTCTGAGGGTGAAACCTGCTAACTGCTGCAGCTCTGTCAGCTTCAGTCTCCCATGCAGAGCCCGGAGCGCATGTGTGGCTCTGCACCCTTAGCAGCGTTGCTAACTCCTCAGTAAGGAAAGCCTGCTTCATGTCAGAGTCTCTAAACTCCAGAAGAAGTCGATAAAAGTCCCTTTCTTTCTAAAAAAAAGTCGTTAGGGGGTCTGAAAAGTCATTGAATCTAACAACAAAGTCGCTAGGTTTGCAACTACGTGTCCCAGACTGCATCCCTGCTGAGAGTCCCTCCCTCCCTTCTCATATTGCAGGAAGAACATAAGTTCCCGCCCCTTGTCAATCAGTCACCATATAATTTTGGATTGGTTGTTGTGGTGAAGTTTTCCACCAATAGGAGAGATGTTGTGGTGTGTTTTTTTTTTTCCTTTGGCAAGCCTTTTCCGCCTGTAAGACCTGTCGCTAATGTCTGCATGCTATGTTTTCCTGTCTCATACAGCGCGATCGAGCGCCGAACGTGATCAAAATAAGCAGAAAAAAAGTAGCGCGGACATAATTTATCATAACTCTGGTTTTATTAGGCCTATCAACACAATTTAAAAACTGGTATATAGGTTGAGGTCCTCACTTTTGAGATAAATTGAAACGGAGAGTCAACGAGGCTCCGTCTTGCAGCTACATCCGGTTAAATATGTCATGTGACTTGAACGCACACACACACACACACACAGACACACACACACACACACGCACACACACACACTCAGAGTCTGGTTTGTAGCACCTGCAAAAACATGCTATTTACATATTTGACAAGAATGCAGAGGCTCCTTTTGCCCCTGAAAAAAATCAAATTTCAAACACAACTTGACTGGTCATTTCTCCAAAAGACAACCATGAAGCTCCATCCAAACCTGAAGCAGGCAGTTGGTGCATGTGTACAGTAACCTGAGGGGAGTGAGGTGACTGCTTCTGAGGAGAACATGAGCAGTGAAGATTTACCTTAGAGCTAGAACAGAGACGTGCACATGATTATACAGGGGCAGGGGCTCAAGTTTTTTCCAGTCGTTTATACAATTTGGAAATTAATGTGAAATTAAAAAACAAAGTATTAATAGAAAGGTAATGACTGTCCTGTGTAGGTGACAGTGATATCCAATAGGCTAGGCACTCACGAGGCTGGCTGTGGCAAGTGTAAGTGAAAGCAACACGCACTGGCAGGAAGAACAGCAAACGCCGATGAAGGAAAAGGGTCTTTGCAGTGATGGGCGTTACCAAAGAGGGCGATGGCCAGAGGACACAAATGGGACGGGGAGGCAGCGCGTTGGGGGGGGGGGACGCGACACAGCTCGGGCCCGCCAGTGCCCCAACGGGGTCCTAGTCTTTAGGGCCCGAGCCAGCTGCAGAGCAGCCGGGCGTAGGCCCTATTATTCCCCAAGTGGTTTTTCTTTGTTTCTTTCTTTCTTTCTTTAGGGCCCGAGCGTAGCTGCTAAGCAGCTGCGAGAGCCCTCTTGTTCCTGTAGTTTCCTTCTTTTGTTATTATTATTATTTTTCCTCCCCTTTGAACTGGAAAATGGCCCACTTCCCACTGGCGAAAACTCATGAAATTTGGCAGGACGACCGGGCCTGGTGAAAAATTTGATATTCCGAAGTCGCCCAAACAAGAAAATGCAAAATGGCTCCATAGCGCCCCCTAAGGTGAAAATTCACACTATTGACTGTCACGCCTGTACGCTTTGTCAAAATGACACAAAAATTGACACACACATGTATCTCAATAAGATCTACAAAAAAGTCAGTGCGGGCGAATCTGTCAAATGTACGGTTAAAGGGTTATTTCGCATTTTTTGCCGATCCGCACACATTGGAATTTCGCTAACTCCTCCGAAGGCTTTCGTTCCACCGGCACCACATTTGCTCAGGCCAATCTACACCCCATGGCCATTAAAAGTTATTCAAATCATGACGCTGCACCCCACGGTTTAGGTTCTAGGGGGCGCCAAAGATAACCCTAAGATCCACATATTTAAAAGTCTTATAACTTTTTATTTTTGCCCTCACTGGCCTCCAAGTTTTCTAGGATGATGCAATGTCCAGCCATCAACACATTTGTGAAGGAATTTTTACTCCCCAAAAGAGCGCCCCCCATGGCAGGAGAAAAAAGTCCATTTTTTCTTGTCCCCTAAGGTGAAAATACACATTGTTGAGTGTAACACCTGTACGCTTTGGCAAAATGACACAAAAATTGACACACACATGTATCTCAATAAGATCTACGAAAAAGTCAATGCGCGCGTATCTGTCAAATGTACGGTTAAAGGGTTATTCCGCATTTTTTGCCGATCCGCACACATTGGAATTTCGCTAACTCCTCCGAAGGCTTTCATTCCACCGGTACCACATTTGCTCAGGCCAATCTACACCCCATGGCCATTAAAAGTTATTCAAATCATGACGCTGCATCCCACGGTTTAGGTTCTAGGGGGCGCCAAAGATAACCCTAAAATCCACATATTTAAAAGTCTTATAACTTTTTATTTTTGTCCTCACTGGCCTCCAAGTTTTCTAGGATGATGCAATGTCCAGCCATCAACACATTTGTGAAGGAATTTTTACTCCCCAAAAGAGCGCCCCCCCATGGCAGGAAAAAAAAGCCAATTTTTTCTTGTCCCCTAAGGTGGAAATTCACACTATTGACTGTCACGCCTGTACGCTTTATCATATTGACACAAAAATTGACACACATATGTATCTCAATAAGATCTACAAAAGAGTCGATTCGCGCGTATCTGTCAAATGTACGGTTAAAGGGCTATTTTGCATTTTTTGCCGATTCGCACACATTGGAATGTGGCTAACTCCTCCTAAGGCTTTCGTCCCACTGACACCAAATTTGCTCAGGCCAATCTACACCCCATGGCCATTCAAAGTTGTAAAAATCATGACGCTGCACCCCACGGTTTACGTTCTAGGGGGCGCCAAAGATGACCCAAAAATCCACATTCTTCAAAGAATCCACATCCCCCCCCCCCCCCCCCATATGGCAGGAGAAAAAGTTAAGTTTTTCCTGCCCATCGCTCAATGGCTCAATCGCATCGCTCTCCAGGCAACACCGTAAGGAGGAGCAACCTGCCATTTCGATATATCATAGCTGTGTTTGTGCCCTCACTCATGGTCCAGACTTTTTTCAAATAGGACATGAAGTTTGTCTGCAGCGAGTGTTTTGGTAGAAACTGCGCCTCCCATTCATTATAATAGGAAATGACCACAGACAAGTGCGCACACCATCTTTGGATCTTGAGTGTGACGCGATCGGGAGGGGGAGGCGGTCGCACTGGGGGCGGCGCGACACGGCTCGGGCCCGACAGTGCCCCAACGGGGTCCTAGTTATTATTTTTCCTCCGCTTTAAACTGGAAAATGGCCCACTTCCCACTGGCGAAAACTCAGGAAATTTGGCAGGACGACCGGGCCTGGTGAAAAATTCGATATTCTGATGTCGCCCAAACAATAAAATGCAAAATGGCTCCATAGCGCCCCCTAAGGTGAAAATTCACACTATTGACTGTCACGCCTGTACGCTTTGTCATATTGATACAAAAATTGACACACACATGTATCTCAATAAGATCTACAGAAAAGTCAGTGCGGGCGTATCTGTCAAATGTACGGTTAAAGGGTTATTTCGCATTTTTTGCCGATCCGCACACATTGAAATTTCGCTAACTCCTCCGAAGGCTTTCGTTCCACCGGCACCACATTTGCTCAGGCCAATCTACACCCCATGGCCATCGAAAGTTGTACAAATCATGACGCTGCACCCCACGGTTTACGTTCTAGGGGGCGCCAAAGATAACCAAAAAATCCACATTCTTAAAAGTCTTATAACTTTTTAGTTTTTTCCTCACTGGCCTCCAAGTTCTCTAGGATGATGCAATGTCCAGCCATCAACACATTTGTGAAGGAATTTTTACTCCCCAAAAGAGCGCCCCCCCCATGGCAGGAGAAAAAAGTCCATTTTTTCTTGTCCCCTAAGGTGAAAATACACATTGTTGACTGTCACGCCTGTACGCTTTGTCATATTGACACAAAAATTGACACACACATGTATCTCAATAAGATCTACGAAAAAGTCAATGGGCACGTATCTGTAAAATGTACGGTTAAAGGGCTATTTTGCATTTTTTGCTGATTCGCACACATTGGTATGTGGCTAACTCGTCCTACAGCTTTCGTCCCACTGACACCAAATTTGCTCAGGCCAATCTACACCCCATGGCCATTAAAAGTTGTAAAAATCATGACGCTGCACCCCACGGTTTACGTTCTAGGGGGCACCAAAGATGACCCAAAAATCCACATTCTTAAAAGTCATTTTGGCCACTGCAGGAGTACAGAGTACTGCAGTTCTAGGGGGCGCCAAAGATGACCCAAAAATCCACATTCTTAAAAGTCTTTTTGGCCACTGCAGGAGTACAGAGTACTGCAGGATACACACACATATACACACACACACACACACACACACACACACACACACACACACACACACACACACACACACTCAGAGTCTGTTTTTTAGCACCTGCAAAAACATGCTGTTTACATATTTGACAAGAATGCAGAGGCTTCCTTTTGCCCCTGAAAAAAATCAGATTTCAAACACAACTTGACTGTTCATTTCTCCAAAAGACAACCATGAAGCTCCATCCAAACCTGAAGCAGATAGTTGGTGCATGTGTACAGTAACCTGAGGGGAGTGAGGTGACTATTTCTGAGGAGAACATGAGCAGTGAAGATTCACCTTGGAGCTAGAACAGGGACGTGCACATGATTATACAGGGGCAGGGGCTCAAGTTTTTTCCAGTCATTTATACAATATGGAAATTAATGTGAAATTAAAACACAAATATGTGTGATGAACTGTTTTTAAAACTTAAACTTCAAATAAAAATTGTAAACTTCAAAACATATGCAAATTTTTAACAAAGAACATAGTAATTTACCTCTATTTACATCAAAATGCAGGCAATGGCCCAGGCGTTCTTTGTAAAATTATTTACAAAACACTGTATAGTCTCACAAATGTCACTTTTTATTTATGCCACTACAAAAAAACATGATGTAAATGATGCATGATGTAAAACATGATGTAAAAAACTTGTGTAGATCCTCCTCTATGTCAGTCCATGTGTAATTTTTCCATAATTCTTTGTTTTTTGCAGCATTTTTGTTAGTGTAACTGCAGATTGTGCTGACAGTCTATGGCAAAAAAAACAAAAACTGAAAATGCCTCAACATGAACCCCTGGTGGTCTCTGAGGGTGAAACCTGCTAACTGCTGCAGCTCTGTCAGCTTCAGTCTCCCATGCAGAGCTCGGAGCGCATGTGTGGCTCTGCACCCTTAGCAGCGTTGCTAACTCCTCAGTAAGGAAAGCCTGCTTCATGTCAGAGTCTCTAAACTCCAGAAGAAGTCGATAAAAGTCCCTTTCTTTCTAAAAAAAAGTCGTTAGGGGGTCTGAAAAGTCATTGAATCTAACAACAAAGTCGCTAGGTTTGCAACTACGTGTCCCAGACTGCATCCCTGCTGAGAGTCCCTCCCTCCCTTCTCATGTTGCAGGAAGAACGTAAGCGCCCGCCCCTTGTCAATCAGTCACCATATAATTTTGGATTGGTTGCTGTGGTGAAGTTTTCCACCAATAGGAGAGATGTTGTGGTGTGTTTCTTTTTTCTTTTGGCAAGCCTTTTCCGCCTGTAAGACCTGTCGCTAATGTGTGCATGCTATGTTTTCCTGTCTCATACAGCGCGATCGAGCGCCGAACGTGATCAAAATAAGCAGAAAAAAAGTATCGCGGACATAATTTATCATAACTCTGGTTTTATTTGGCCTATCAACACAATTTAAAAACTGGTATATAGGTTGAGGTCCTCACTTTTGAGATAAGTTGAAACGGAGAGTTAACGAGGCTCCGTCTTGCAGCTACATCCGGTTAAATATGTCATGTGACTTGAACGCTGGGGAGCGTCAATCGAATCAAATCAAACCTAACTCTCAGATGAATCTTCAAAATTCACCTCAGAAATATGCTTATTATTCTTCTCAGAGTACTGCAGGATACACACACACACACACACACAGACACACACACACACACGCACACACACACACACACTCAGAGTCTGTTTTTTAGCACCTGCAAAAACATGCTATTTACATATTTGACAAGAATGCAGAGGCTTCCTTTTGCCCCTGAAAAAAATCAAATTTCAAACACAACTTGACTGCTCATTTCTCCAAAAGACAACCATGAAGCTCCATCCAAACCTGAAGCAGGCAGTTGGTGCATGTGTACAGTAACCTGAGGGGAGTGAGGTGACTGCTTCTGAGGAGAACATGAGCAGTGAAGATTCACCTTGGAGCTAGAACAGGGACGTGCACATGATAATACAGGGGCAGGGGCTCAAGTTTTTTCCAGTCGTTTATACAATATGGAAATTAATGTGAAATTAAAAAACAAAGTATGACTGTCCTGTGTAGGTGACAGTGATATCCAATAGGCTAGGCACTCACGAGGCTGGCTGTGGCAAGTGTAAGTGAAAGCAACATGCACTGGCAGGAAGAACAGCAAACGCCGATGAAGGAAAAGGGTCTTTGCAGTGATGGGCGTTACCAGAGAGGGCGATGGCCAGAGGACACGAATGGGACGGGGAGGCAGCGCGTTGGGGGGGGGGGGTGCGACATGGCTCGGGCCCGCCAGTGCCCCAACGGGGCCCTAGTTCTTTCTTTCTTTCTTCTTTTTCCTCCCCTTTGAACTGGAAAATGGCCCACTTCCCACTGGCGAAAACTCATGAAATTTGGCAGGACGACCGGGCCTGGTGAAAAATTCGATATTCTGAAGTCGCCCAAACAATAAAATGCAAAATGGCTCCATAGCGCCCCCTAAGGTGGAAATTCACACTATTGACTGTCACGCCTGTACGCTTTGTCATATTGACACAAAAATTGACACACATATGTATCTCAATAAGATCTACAAAAAAGTCAGTGCGGCCGTATCTGTCAAAATTACGGTTAAAGGGTTATTTCGCATTTTTTGCCGATCCGCACACATTGGAATTTCGCTAACTCCTCCGAAGGCTTTCGTTCCACCGGCACCACATTTGCTCAGGCCAATCTACACCCCGTGGCCATTAAAAGTTATCAAAATCATGACGCTGCACCCCAAGGTTTAGGTTCTAGGGGGCGCCAAAGATAACACTAAAATCTACATATTTAAAAGTCTTATAACTTTTTATTTTTGTCCTCACTGGCCTCCAAGTTTTCTAGGATGATGCAATGTCCAGCCATCAACACATTTGTGAAGGAATTTTTACTCCCCAAAAGAGCGCCCCCCATGGCAGGAGAAAAAAGTCCATTTTTTCTTGTCCCCTAAGGTGAAAATACACATTGTTGAGTGTCACGCCTATACGCTTTGTCAAAATGACACAAAAATTGACACACACATGTAACTCAATAAGATCTACAAAAAAGTCCATGCGCGCGTATCTGTCAAATGTACAGTTAAAGGGTTATTCCGCATTTTTTGCCGATACGCACACATTGGAATGTGGCTAACTCCTCCGAAGGCTTTCGTTCCACCGGCACCACATTTGCTCAGGCCAATCTACACCCCATGGCCATTAAAAGTTATTCAAATCATGATGCTGCACCCCATGGTTTAGGTTCTAGGGGGCGCCAAAAATAACCCAAAAATCCACATTCTTAAATGTTTTATAACTTTTTATTTTTGTCCTCACTGGCCTCCAAGTTTTCTAGGATGATGCAATGTCCAGCCATCAACACATTTGTGAAGGAATTTTTACTCCCCAAAAGAGCGCCCCCCCATGGTAGGAGAAAAAAGTCAATTTTTTCTTGTCCCCTTACATAAAAATACACATTGTTGAGTGTCACGCCTGAACGCTTTGTCATATTGACACAAAAATTGACAATCATGTGTATCTCAATTAGATCTACGAAAAAGTCAAAGAGCGCGTATCTGTATAATGTACGGTTAAAGGGCTATTTTGCATTTTTTGCCGATTCGCACACATTGGAATGTGGCTATCTCCTCCTAAGGCTTTCGTCCCACCGATACCAAATTTGCTCAGGGCAATCTACACCCCATGCCCATTCAAAGTTGTAAAAATCATGACGCTGCACCCCACGGTTTACGTTCTAGGGGGCGCCAAAGATGACCCAAAAATCCACATTCTTAAAAGTCATTTTGGCCACTGCAGGAGTACAGAGTACTGCAGTTCTAGGGGGCGCCAAAGATGACCCAAAAATCCACATTCTTAAAAGTCTTTTTGGCCACTGCAGGAGTACAGAGTACTGCAGGATACACACACATATACACACACGCCAACATACACACACACTCACACACACACACACACACACACACACAGACACACACACACACTCAGAGTCTGTTTTTTAGCACCTGCAAAAACATGCTGTTTACATATTTGACAAGAATGCAGAGGCTTCCTTTTGCCCCTGAAAAAAATCAAATTTCAAACACAACTTGACTGTTCATTTCTCCAAAAGACAACCATGAAGCTCCATTTCAAACCTGAAGCAGATAGTTGGTGCATGTGTACAGTAACCTGAGGGGAGTGAGGTGACTATTTCTGAGGAGAACATGAGCAGTGAAGATTCACCTTGGAGCTAGAACAGGGACGTGCACATGATTATACAGGGGCAGGGGCTCAAGTTTTTTCCAGTCATTTATACAATATGGAAATTAATGTGAAATTAAACCACAAATATGTGTGATGAACTGTTTTTAAAACTTAAACTTCAAATAAAAATTGTAAACTTCAAAACATATGCAAATTTTTAACAAAGAACATAGTAATTTACCTCTATTTACATCAAAATGCAGGCAATGGCCCAGGCGTTCTTTGTAAAATTATTTACAAAACACTGTATAGTCTCACAAATGTCACTTTTTATTTATGCCACTACAAAAAAACATGATGTAAATGATGCATGATGTAAAACATGATGTAAAAAACTTGTGTAGATCCTCCTCTATGTCAGTCCATGTGTAATTTTTCCATAATTCTTTGTTTTTTGCAGCATTTTTGTTAGTGTAACTGCAGATTGTGCTGACAGTGTCTATGGCACAAAAAAAAAAAAATTAAAATGCCTCAACATGAACCCCTGGTGGTCTCTGAGGGTGAAACCTGCTAACTGCTGCAGCTCTGTCAGCTTCAGTCTCCCATGCAGAGCTCTGAGCGCATGTGTGGCTCTGCACCCTTAGCAGCGTTGCTAACTCCTCAGTAAGGAAAGCCTGCTTCATGTCAGAGTCTCTAAACTCCAGAAGAAGTCGATAAAAGTCCCTTTCTTTCTAAAAAAAGTCGTTAGGGGGTCTGAAAAGTCATTGAATCTAACAACAAAGTCGCTAGGTTTGCAACTACGTGTCCCAGACTGCATCCCTGCTGAGAGTCCCTCCCTCCCTTCTCATGTTGCAGGAAGAACGTAAGCACCCTCCCCTTGTCAATCAGTCACCATATAATTTTGGATTGGTTGTTGTGGTGAAGTTTTCCACCAATAGGAGAGATGTTGTGGTGTGTTTTTTTTTTTTTTTGGCAAGCCTTTTCCGCCTGTAAGACCTGTCGCTAATGTCTGCATGCTATGTTTTCCTGTCTCATACAGCGCGATCGAGCGCCGAACGTGATCAAAATAAGCAGAAAAAAAGTATCGCGGACATAATTTATCATAACTCTGGTTTTATTTGGCCTATCAACACAATTTAAAAACTGGTATATAGGTTGAGGTCCTCACTTTTGAGATAAGTTGAAACGGAGAGTCAACGAGGCTCCGTCTTGCAGCTACATCCGGTTAAATATGTCATGTGACTTGAACGCACACACAGACACACACACACACGCACACACACACACACACACACACACACACACACACACACACTCAGAGTCTGGTTTTTAGCACCTGCAAAAACATGCTATTTACATATTTGACAAGAATGCAGAGGCTCCTTTTGCCCCTGAAAAAAAAATCAAATTTCAAACACAACTTGACTGGTCATTTCTCCAAAAGACAACCATGAAGCTCCATCCAAACCTGAAGCAGGCAGTTGGTGCATGTGTACAGTAACCTGAGGGGAGTGAGGTGAGTGCTTCTGAGGAGAACATGAGCAGTGAAGATTCACCTTGGAGCTAGAACAGAGACATGCACATGATTATACAGGGGCAGGGGCTCAAGTTTTTTCCAGTCGTTTATACAATATGGAAATTAATGTGAAATTAAAACACAAAGTATTAATAGAAAGGTAATGACTGTCCTGTGTAGGTGACAGGGATATCGAATAGGCTAGGCACTCACGAGGCTGGCTGTGGCAAGTGTAAGTGAAAGCAACACGCACTGGCAGGAAGAACAGCAAACGCCGATGAAGGAAAAGGGTCTTTGCAGTGATGGGCGTTACAAGAGAGGGCGATGGCCAGAGGACACAAATGGGACGGGGAGGCAGCACGTTGGGGGGGGGGGGGGGCCGACACGGCTCGGGCCCGCCAGTGCCCCAACGGGGTCCTAGTTGTTTCTTTCTTTCTTTAGGGCCCGAGCGTAGCTGCTAAGCAGCTGCGAGAGCCCTCTTGTTCCTGTAGTTTCCTTCTTTAGGGCCCGAGCGTAGCTGCTAAGCAGCTGCGAGAGCCCTCTTGTTCCTGTAGTTTCCTTCTTTTGTTATTATTAGGGCCCGAGCGTAGCTGCTAAGCAGCTGCGAGAGCCCTCTTGTTCCTGCATGTTTCCTTCTTTTGTTATTATTATTATTTTTCCTCCCCTTTGAACTGGAAAATGGCCCACTTCCCACTGGCGAAAACTCATGAAATTTGGCAGGACGACCGGGCCTGGTGAAAAATTTGATATTCCGAAGTCGCCCAAACAAGAAAATGCAAAATGGCTCCATAGCGCCCCCTAAGGTGAAAATTCACACTATTGACTGTCACGCCTGTACGCTTTGTCAAAATGACACAAAAATTGACACACACATGTATCTCAATAAGATCTACAGAAAAGTCAGTGCGGCCGTATCTGTCAAATGTACGGTTAAAGGGTTATTTCGCATTTTTTGCCGATCCGCACACATTGGAATTTCGCTAACTCCTCCGAAGGCTTTCGTTCCACCGGCACCACATTTGCTCAGGCCAATCTACACCCCATGGCCATTAAAAGTTATTCAAATCATGACGCTGCATCCCACGGTTTAGGTTCTAGGGGGCGCCAAAGATAACCCTAAGATCCACATATTTAAAAGTCTTATAACTTTTTATTTTTGCCCTCACTGGCCTCCAAGTTTTCTAGGATGATGCAATGTCCAGCCATCAACACATTTGTGAAGGAATTTTTACTCCCCAAAAGAGCGCCCCCCCATGGCAGGAGAAAAAAGTCCATTTTTTCTTGTCCCCTAAGGTGAAAATACACATTGTTGAGTGTAACACCTGTACGCTTTGGCAAAATGACACCAAAATTGAGACACACATGTATCTCAATAAGATCTACAAAAAAGTCAATGCGCACGTATCTGTCAAATGTACGGTTAAAGGGTTATTCCGCATTTTTTGCCGATCCGCACACATTGGAATTTCGCTAACTCCTCCGAAGGCTTTCGTTCCACCGGCACCACATTTTCTCAGGCCAATCTACACCCCATGGCCATTAAAAGTTATTCAAATCATGACGCTGCACCCCACGGTTTAGGTTCTAGGGGGCGCCAAAGATAACCGTAAAATCCACATATTTAAAAGTCTTATAACTTTTTATTTTTGTCCCCACTGGCCTCCAAGTTTTCTAGGATGATGCAATGTCCAGCCATCAACACATTTGTGAAGGAATTTTTACTCGCCAAAAGAGCGCCCCCCCATGGCAGGAGAAAAAAGTCCATTTTTTCTTGTCCACTAAGGTGAAAATACACATTGTTGAGTGCTACGCCTGTATGTTTTGTCGTATTGACACAAAATTTTACATACACGTGTCTTTCAATAAGATCTTCGAAAAAGTCAATGGCCACGTATCTGTAAAATGTACGGTTAAAGGGTTATTTCGCATTTTTTGCAGATTCGCACACATTGGAATTTCGCTAACTCCTCCGAAGGCTTTCGTTCCACCGGCACCACATTTTCTCAGGCCAATCTACACCCCATGGCCATTAAAAGTTATTCAAATCATGACGCTGCACCCCACGGTTTAGGTTCTAGGGGGCGCCAAAGATAACCCTAAGATCCACATATTTAAAAGTCTTATAACTTTTTATTTTTGCCCTCACTGGCCTCCAAGTTTTCTAGGATGATGCAATGTCCAGCCATCAACACATTTGTGAAGGAATTTTTACTCCCCAAAAGAGCGCCCCCCCATGGCAGGAGAAAAAAGTCCATTTTTTCTTGTCCCCTAAGGTGAAAATACACATTGTTGAGTGTAACACCTGTACGCTTTGGCAAAATGACACAAAAATTGACACACATATGTATCTCAATAAGATCTACGAAAAAGTCAATGCGCGCGTATCTGTCAAATGTACGGTTAAAGGGTTATTCCGCATTTTTTGCCGATCCGCACACATTGGAATTTCGCTAACTCCTCCGAAGGCTTTCGTTCCACCGGCACCACATTTGCTCAGGCCAATCTACACCCCATGGCCATTAAAAGTTATTCAAATCATGACGCTGCACCCCACGGTTTAGGTTCTAGGGGGCGCCAAAGATAACCCTAAAATCCACATATTTAAAAGTCTTATAACTTTTTATTTTTGTCCTCACTGGCCTCCAAGTTTTCTAGGATGATGCAATGTCCAGCCATCAACACATTTGTGAAGGAATTTTTACTCCCCAAAAGAGCGCCCCCCCATGGCAGGAGAAAAAAGTCAATTTTTTCTTGTCCCCTAAGGTGGAAATTCACACTATTAACTGTCACGCCTGTACGCTTTATCATATTGACACAAAAATTGACACACATATGTATCTCAATAAGATCTACAAAAAAGTCAATGCGCGCGTATCTGTCAAATGTACGGTTAAAGGGCTATTTTGCATTTTTTGCCGATTCGCACACATTGGAATGTGGCTAACTTCTCCTAAGGCTTTCGTCCCACTGACACCAAATTTGCTCAGGCCAATCTACACCCCATGGCCATTCAAAGTTGTAAAAATCATGACGCTGCACCCCACGGTTTACGTTCTAGGGGGCGCCAAAGATGACCCAAATATCCACATTCTTAAAAGAATCCACATCCCCCCCCATCCCCCACCCCCCATGGCAGGAGAAACAGTCAAGTTTTTCCTGCCCATCACTCAATGGCTCAATCGCATCGCTCTCCCGGCAACACCGTAACGAGGAGCAACTTGCCGTTTGGATATATCCTAGCTGTGTTTGTGCCCTCACTCATGGTCCAGACTTTTTTCAAATAGGACATGTAGTTTGTCTGCAGCGAGTGTTTTGGTAGAAACTGCGCCTCCCATTCATTATAATGGGAAATGACCACAGACAAGTGCGCACACCATCTTTGGACCTTGAGTGTGACGCGATCGGGAGGTGGAGGCGGTCGCGCTGGGGGCGGTGCGACGCGGCTCGGGCCCGACAGTGCCCCACCGGGGCCCTAGTTCTTTCTTTCTTTAGGGCCCGAGCGTAGCTGCTAAGCAGCTGCGAGAGCCCTCTTGTTCCTGCATGTTTCCTTCTTTTGTTATTAGGGCCCGAGCCAGCTGCAGAGCAGCCGGGCGTAGGCCCTATTATTCCCCAAGTGGTTTTTCTTTGTTTCTTTCTTTCTTTCTTTCTTTCTTTCTTCTTTTTCCTCCCCTTTGAACTGGAAAATGGCCCACTTCCCACTGGCGAAAACTCATGAAATTTGGCAGGACGACCGGGCCTGGTGAAAAATTCGATATTCTGAAGTCGCCCAAACAAGAAAATGCAAAATGGCTCCATAGCGCCCCCTAAGGTGGAAATTCACACTATTGACTGTCACGCCTGTACGCTTTGTCATATTGACACAAAAATTGACACACATATGTATCTCAATAAGATCTACAAAAAAGTCAGTGCGGCCGTATCTGTCAAAATTACGGTTAAAGGGTTATTTCGCATTTTTTGCCGATCCGCACACATTGGAATTTCGCTAACTCCTCCGAAGGCTTTCGTTCCACCGGCACCACATTTGCTCAGGCCAATCTACACCCCGTGGCCATTAAAAGTTATCAAAATCATGACGCTGCACCCCAAGGTTTAGGTTCTAGGGGGCGCCAAAGATAACACTAAAATCCACATATTTAAAAGTCTTATAACTTTTTATTTTTGTCCTCACTGGCCTTCAAGTTTTCTAGGATGATGCAATGTCCAGCCATCAACACATTTGTGAAGGAATTTTTACTCCCCAAAAGAGCGCCCCCCCATGGCAGGAGAAAAAAGTCCATTTTTTCTTGTCCCCTAAGGTGAAAATACACATTGTTGAGTGTCAAGCCTATACGCTTTGTCAAAATGACACAAAAATTGACACACACATGTAACTCAATAAGATCTACAAAAAAGTCCAGCGCGCGTATCTGTCAAATGTACAGTTAAAGGGTTATTCCGCATTTTTTGCCGATACGCACACATTGGAATTTCGCTAACTCCTCCGAAGGCTTTCGTTCCACCGGCACCACATTTGCTCAGGCCAATCTACACCCCATGGCCATTAAAAGTTATTCAAATCATGATGCTGCACCCCATGGTTTAGGTTCTAGGGGGCGCAAAAAATAACCCAAAAATCCACATTCTTAAATGTTTTATAACTTTTTATTTTTGTCCTCACTGGCCTCCAAGTTTTCTAGGATGATGCAATGTCCAGCCATCAACACATTTGTGAAGGAATTTTTACTCCCCAAAAGAGCGCCCCCCCATGGTAGGAGAAAAAAGTCAATTTTTTCTTGTCCCCTTACATAAAAATACACATTGTTGAGTGTCACGCCTGAACGCTTTGTCATATTGACACAAAAATTGACAATCATGTGTATCTCAATTAGATCTACGAAAAAGTCAAAGAGCGCGTATCTGTATAATGTACGGTTAAAGGGCTATTTTGCATTTTTTGCCGATTCGCACACATTGGAATGTGGCTATCTCCTCCTAAGGCTTTCGTCCCACCGATACCAAATTTGCTCAGGGCAATCTACACCCCATGCCCATTCAAAGTTGTAAAAATCATGACGCTGCACCCCACGGTTTACGTTCTAGGGGGCGCCAAAGATGACCCAAAAATCCACATTCTTAAAAGTCATTTTGGCCACTGCAGGAGTACAGAGTACTGCAGTTCTAGGGGGCGCCAAAGATGACCCAAAAATCCACATTCTTAAAAGTCTTTTTGGCCACTGCAGGAGTACAGAGTACTGCAGGATACACACACATATACACACACGCCAACATACACACACACACACACACACACACACACACACACACACACACACACACACACAGACACACACCCACACTCAGAGTCTGTTTTTTAGCACCTGCAAAAACATGCTGTTTACATATTTGACAAGAATGCAGAGGCTTCCTTTTGCCCCTGAAAAAAATCAAATTTCAAACACAACTTGACGTTTCATTTCTCCAAAAGACAACCATGAAGCTCCATTTCAAACCTGAAGCAGATAGTTGGTGCATGTGTACAGTAACCTGAGGGGAGTGAGGTGACTATTTCTGAGGAGAACATGAGCAGTGAAGATTCACCTTGGAGCTAGAACAGGGACGTGCACATGATTATACAGGGGCAGGGGCTCAAGTTTTTTCCAGTCATTTATACAATATGGAAATTAATGTGAAATTAAACCACAAATATGTGTGATGAACTGTTTTTAAAACTTAAACTTCAAATAAAAATTGTAAACTTCAAAACATATGCAAATTTTTAACAAAGAACATAGTAATTTACCTCTATTTACATCAAAATGCAGGCAATGGCCCAGGCGTTCTTTGTAAAATTATTTACAAAACACTGTATAGTCTCACAAATGTCACTTTTTATTTATGCCACTACAAAAAAACATGATGTAAATGATGCATGATGTAAAACATGATGTAAAAAACTTGTGTAGATCCTCCTCTATGTCAGTCCATGTGTAATTTTTCCATAATTCTTTGTTTTTGCAGCATTTTTGTTAGTGTAACTGCAGATTGTGCTGACAGTGTCTATGGCACAAAAAAAAAAAAAAATTAAAATGCCTCAACATGAACCCCTGGTGGTCTCTGAGGGTGAAACCTGCTAACTGCTGCAGCTCTGTCAGCTTCAGTCTCCCATGCAGAGCTCTGAGCGCATGTGTGGCTCTGCACCCTTAGCAGCGTTGCTAACTCCTCAGTAAGGAAAGCCTGCTTCATGTCAGAGTCTCTAAACTCCAGAAGAAGTCGATAAAAGTCCCTTTCTTTCTAAAAAAAAGTCGTTAGGGGGTCTGAAAAGTCATTGAATCTAACAACAAAGTCGCTAGGTTTGCAACTACGTGTCCCAGACTGCATCCCTGCTGAGAGTCCCTCCCTCCCTTCTCATGTTGCAGGAAGAACGTAAGCGCCCGCCCCTTGTCAATCAGTCACCATATAATTTTGGATTGGGGAAATTTTGCTAAACAATGTGACAATCACGTGCCTTGCCTGGTATCATTTTTTTCAGCACAACCTCACCTGTGCGAATTTACAGTTATTTTATCATGTTGACATACTGAATTTACACAATGGACCCAAATTCACACACAAAACATAAAATCCGAGTGGAAAAAAGTAACATTTTTACTGTGAAAACCACAAATATGTGTGATGAACTGTTTTTAAAACTTAAACTTCAAATAAAAATTGTAAACTTCAAAACATATGCAAATTTTTAACAAAGAACATAGTGATTTACCTCTATTTACATCAAAATGCAGGCAATGGCCCAGGCGTTCTTTGTAAAATTATTTACAAAACACTGTATAGTCTCACAAATGTCACTTTTTATTTATGCCACTACAAAAAAACATGATGTAAATGATGCATGATGTAAAACATGATGTAAAAAACTTGTGTAGATCCTCCTCTATGTCAGTCCATGTGTAATTTTTCCATAATTCTTTGTTTTTTGCAGCATTTTTGTTAGTGTAACTGCAGATTGTGCTGACAGTGTCTATGGCACAAAAAAAAAAAAATTTAAAATGCCTCAACATGAACCCCTGGTGGTCTCTGAGGGTGAAACCTGCTAACTGCTGCAGCTCTGTCAGCTTCAGTCTCCCATGCAGAGCTCTGAGCGCATGTGTGGCTCTGCACCCTTAGCAGCGTTGCTAACTCCTCAGTAAGGAAAGCCTGCTTCATGTCAGAGTCTCTAAACTCCAGAAGAAGTCGATAAAAGTCACTTTCTTTCTAAAAAAAAGTCGTTGGGGGTCTGAAAAGTCATTGAATCTAACAACAAAGTCGCTAGGTTTGCAACTACGTGTCCCAGACTGCATCCCTGCTGAGAGTCCCTCCCTCCCTTCTCATGTTGCAGGAAGAACGTAAGCGCCCGCCCCTTGTCAATCAGTCACCATATAATTTTGGATTGGTTGTTGTGGTGAAGTTTTCCACCAATAGGAGAGATGTTGTGGTGTGTTTTTTTTTCTTTTGGCAAGCCTTTTCCGCCTGTAAGACCTGTCGCTAATGTCTGCATGCTATGTTTTCCTGTCTCATACAGCGCGATCGAGCGCCGAACGTGATCAAAATAAGCAGAAAAAAAGTATCGCGGACATAATTTATCATAACTCTGGTTTTATTTGGCCTATCAACACAATTTAAAAACTGGTATATAGGTTGAGGTCCTCACTTTTGAGATAAGTTGAAACGGAGAGTCAACGAGGCTCCGTCTTGCAGCTACATCCGGTTAAATATGTCATGTGACTTGAACGCACACACAGACACACACACACGCACACACACACACACACACACACACACACACACACACACACACACACTCAGAGTCTGGTTTTTAGCACCTGCAAAAACATGCTATTTACATATTTGACAAGAATGCAGAGGCTCCTTTTGCCCCTGAAAAAAAATCAAATTTCAAACACAACTTGACTGGTCATTTCTCCAAAAGACAACCATGAAGCTCCATCCAAACCTGAAGCAGGCAGTTGGTGCATGTGTACAGTAACCTGAGGGGAGTGAGGTGAGTGCTTCTGAGGAGAACATGAGCAGTGAAGATTCACCTTGGAGCTAGAACAGAGACGTGCACATGATTATACAGGGGCAGGGGCTCAAGTTTTTTCCAGTCGTTTATACAATATGGAAATTAATGTGAAATTAAAACACAAAGTATTAATAGAAAGGAAATGACTGTCCTGTGTAGGTGACAGTGATATCCAATAGGCTAGGCACTCACGAGGCTGGCTGTGGCAAGTGTAAGTGAAAGCAACACGCACTGGCAGGAAGAACAGCAAACGCCGATGAAGGAAAAGGGTCTTTGCAGTGATGGGCGTTACCAGAGAGGGCGATGGCCAGAGGACACAAATGGGACGGGGAGGCAGCACGTTGGGGGGGGGGGGGACGCGACACGGCTCGGGCCCGCCAGTGCCCCAACGGGGTCCTAGTTAGGGCCCGAGCGTAGCTGCTAAGCAGCTGCGAGAGCCCTATTATTCCCCAAGTGGTTTTTCTTTGTTTCTTTTTTCTTTTTCCTCCCCTTTGAACTGGAAAATGGCCCACTTCCCACTGGCGAAAACTCATGAAATTTGGCAGGACAACCGGGCCTGGTGAAAAATTTGATATTCCGAAGTCGCCCAAACAAGAAAATGCAAAATGGCTCCATAGCGCCCCCTAAGGTGAAAATTCACACTATTGACTGTCACGCCTGTACGCTTTGTCAAAATGACACAAAAATTGACACACACATGTATCTCAATAAGATCTACAAAAAAGTCAGTGCGGGCGTATCTGTCAAATGTACGGTTAAAGGGTTATTTCGCATTTTTTGCCGATCCGCACACATTGGAATTTCGCTAACTCCTCAGAAGGCTTTCGTTCCACCGGCACCACATTTGCTCAGGCCAATCTACACCCCATGGCCATTAAAAGTTATTCAAATCATGACGATGCACCCCACGGTTTAGGTTCTAGGGGGCGCCAAAGATAACCCTAAAATCCACATTTTTAAAAGTCTTATAACTTTTTATTTTTGCCCTCACTGGCCTCCAAGTTTTCTAGGATGATGCAATGTCCAGCCATCAACACATTTGTGAATGAATTTTTACTCCCCAAAAGAGCGCCCCCCCATGGCAGGAGAAAAAAGTCCATTTTTTCTTGTCCCCTAAGGTGAAAATACACATTGTTGAGTGTTACGCCTGTACGCTTTGGCAAAATGACACAAAAATTGACACACACATGTATCTCAAGAAGATCTACAAAAAAGTCCATGCGCACGTATCTGTCTAATGTACGGTTAAAGGGTTATTCCGCATTTTTTGCCGATTCCCACACATTGGAATTTCGCTAACTCCTCCGAAGGCTTTCGTTCCACCGGCACCACATTTGCTCAGGCCAAATTACACCCCATGGCCATTAAAAGTTATTCAAATCATGACGCTGCACCCCACGGTTTACGTTCTAGGGGGCGCCAAAGATAACCCAAAAATCCACATTTTTAAAAGTCTTTTAACTTTTTATTTTTGTCCTCACTGGCCTCCAAGTTTTCTAGGATGATGCAATGTCCAGCCATCAACACATTTGTGAAGGAATTTTTACTCCCTAAAAGAGCGCCCCCCCATGGCAGGAGAAAAAAGTCCATTTTTTCTTGTCCCCTAAGGTGAAAATACACATTGTTGACTGTCACGCCTGTACGCTTTGGCAAAATGACACAAAAATTGACAATCATGTGTATCTCAATTAGATCTACGAAAAAGTCAAAAAGCGCGTATCTGTATAATGTATGGTAAAAGGGCTATTTTGCATTTTTTGCCAATTCGCACACATTGGAATTTCGCTAACTCCTCCTAAGGCCTTTGTCCCACTGACACCAAATTTGCTCAGGCCAATCTACACTCCATGGCCATTCAAAGTTGTAAAAATCATGACGCTGCACCCCACGGTTTACGTTTTAGGGGGCGCCAAAGATGACCCAAATATACATTACAGTAGACAAAGTAGTTTTGCCCACTGAGTGGCGCCAAAGGGACTTGTCTGTGGAGTCTGTGAGTCACTATTGGCCGTTTTTGACTACTTTAGATTTTACCTTTATATTTCCTCTTACAAAATTTTTACCTTGCCTTGCCTGGTATCATTTTTTTCAGCACAACCTCACCTGTGTCAATTTACAGTTATTTTATCATTTTGACATACTATATTTACACATTGGACCCAAATTCACACACAAAACATAAAATCCGAGTGGAAAAAAGTAACGTTTTTACTGTGAAAACCACAAATATGTGTGATGAACTGTTTTTAAAACTTAAACTTCAAATAAAAATTGTAAACTTCAAAACATATGCAAATTTTTAACAAAGAACATAGAAATTTACCTCTATTGACATCAAAATGCAGGCAATGGCCCAGGTGTTCTTTGTAAAATTATTTACAAAACACTGTATAGTCTCACAAATGTCACTTTTTATTTATGCCACTACAAAAAAACATGATGTAAATGATGCATGATGTAAAACATGATGTAAAAAACTTGTGTAGATCCTCCTCTATGTTAGTCCATGTGTAATTTTTCCATAATTCTTTGTTTTTTGCAGCATTTTTGTTAGTGTAACTGCAGATTGTGCTGACAGTGTCTATGGCAAAAAAAAAAAAAAAAAAAACTGAAAATGCCTCAACATGAACCCCTGGTGGTCTCTGAGGGTGAAACCTGCTAACTGCTGCAGCTCTGTCAGCTTCAGTCTCCCATGCAGAGCTCGGAGCGCATGTGTGGCTCTGCACCCTTAGCAGTGTTGCTAACTCCTCAGTAAGGAAAGCCTGCTTCATGTCAGAGTCTCTAAACTCCAGAAGAAGTCGATAAAAGTCACTTTCTTTCTAAAAAAAAGTCGTTAGGGGGTCTGAAAAGTCATTGAATCTAACAACAAAGTCGCTAGGTTTGCAACTACGTGTCCCAGACTGCATCCCTGCTGAGAGTCCCTCCCTCCCTTCTCATATTGCAGGAAGAACGTAAGTTCCCGCCCCTTGTCAATCAGTCACCATATAATTTTGGATTGGTTGTTGTGGTGAAGTTTTCCACCAATAGGAGAGATGTTGTGGTGTGTTTTTTTTTTCCTTTGGCAAGCCTTTTCCGCCTGTAAGACCTGTCGCTAATGTCTGCATGCTATGTTTTCCTGTCTCATACAGCGCGATCGAGCGCCGAACGTGATCAAAATAAGCAGAAAACAAGTATCGCGGACATAATTTATCATAACTCTGGTTTTATTTGGCCTATCAACACAATTTAAAAACTGGTATATAGGTTGAGGTCCTCACTTTTGAGATAAATTGAAACGGAGAGTCAACGAGGCTCCGTCTTGCAGCTACATCCAGTTAAATATGTCATGTGACTTGAACGCACACACACACACACACACACACACACACACACACAACACACACACACACACACGCACACACACACACTCAGAGTCTGGTTTTTAGCACCTGCAAAAACATGCTATTTACATATTTGACAAGAATGCAGAGGCTCCTTTTGCCCCTGAAAAAAATCAAATTTCAAACACAACTTGACTGGTCATTTCTCCAAAAGACAACCATGAAGCTCCATCCAAACCTGAAGCAGGCAGTTGGTGCATGTGTACAGTAACCTGAGGGGAGTGAGGTGACTGCTTCTGAGGAGAACATGAGCAGTGAAGATTCACCTTAGAGCTAGAACAGAGACGTGCACATGATTATACAGGGGCAGGGGCTCAAGTTTTTTCCAGTTGTTTATACAATATGGAAATTAATGTGAAATTAAAAAACAAAGTATTAATAGAAAGGTAATGACTGTCCTGTGTAGGTGACAGTGATATCCAATAGGCTAGGCACTCACGAGGCTGGCTGTGGCAAGTGTAAGTGAAAGCAACACGCACTGGCAGGAAGAGCAGCAAACGCCGATGAAGGAAAAGGGTCTTTGCAGTGATGGGCGTTACCAGAGAGGGCGACGGCCAGAGGACGCGAATGGGATGGGGAGGCAGCGCGTTGGGGGGGGGGACGCGACACAGCTCGGGCCCGCCAGTGCCCCAACGGGGTCCTAGTTATTATTTTTCCTCCCCTTTGAACTGGAAAATGGCCCACTTCCCACTGGCGAAAACTCATGAAATTTGGCAGGACGACCGGGCCTGGTGAAAAATTTGATATTCCGAAGTCGGCCAAACAATAAAATGCAAAATGGCTCCATAGCGCCCCCTAAGGTGAAAAATTCACCTGACGCCTGTACGCTTTGTCAAAATGACACAAAAATTGACACACACATGTATCTCAATAAGATCTACAAAAAAGTCAGTGCGGGCGTATCTGTCAAATGTACGGTTAAAGGGTTATTGCGCATTTTTTGCCGATCCGCACACATTGGAATTTCGCTAACTCCTCCGAAGGCTTTCGTTCCACCGGCACCACATTTGCTCAGGCCAATCTACACCCCATGGCCATTAAAAGTTATTCAAATCATGACGCTGCACCCCACGGTTTAGGTTCTAGGGGGCGCCAAAGATAACACTAAAATCCACATATTTCAAAAGTCTTATAACTTTTTATTTTTGTCCTCACTGGCCTCCAAGTTTTCTAGGATGATGCAATGTCCAGCCATCAACACATTTGTGAAGGAATTTTTACTCCCAAAAGAGCGCCCCCCCATGGCAGGAGAAAAAAGTCCATTTTTTCTTGTCCCCTAAGGTGAAAATACACATTGTTGAGTGTCACGCCTGTACGCTTTGTCAAAATGACACAAAAATTGACACACACATGTATCTCAATAAGATCTACAAAAAAGTCAATGGGCGCGTATCTGTCAAATGTACGGTTAAAGGGTTATTCCGCATTTTTTGCCGATCCGCACACATTGGAATTTCGCTAACTCCTCCGAAGGCTTTCGTTCCACCGGCACCACATTTGCTCAGGCCAATCTACACCCCATGGCCATTAAAAGTTATTCAAATCATGACGCTGCACCCCACGGTTTACGTTCTAGGGGGCGCCAAAGATAACCCAAAAATCCAAATTTTTAAAAGTCTTATAACTTTTTATTTTTGTCCTCACTGGCCTCCAAGTTTTCTAGGATGATGCAATGTCCAGCCATCAACACATTTGTGAAGGAATTTTTACTCCCCAAAAGAGCGCCCCCCCATGGCAGGAGAAAAAAGTCAATTTTTTCTTGTCCCCTAAGGTGGAAATTCACACTATTGACTGTCACGCCTGTACGCTTTATCATATTGACACAAAAATTGACACACATATGTATCTCAATAAGATCTACAAAAAAGTCAATGCGCGCGTATCTGTCAAATGTACGGTTAAAGGGCTATTTTGCATTTTTTGCCGATTCGCACACATTGGAATGTGGCTAACTCCTCCTAAGGCTTTCGTCCCACTGACACCAAATTTGCTCAGGCCAATCTACACCCCATGGCCATTCAAAGTTGTAAAAATCATGACGCTGCACCCCACGGTTTACGTTCTAGGGGGCGCCAAAGATGACCCAAAATCCACATTCTTAAACTTTTATTTTGTCCCACTGGCCTCCAAGTTTTCTAGATATGCATGTCAGCCATCAACACATTTGTGAAGGAATTTTTCTCCCAGCCCCCCCCAAGGCAGGAGAAAAAGTCAAGTTAACCCTGCCCATCGCTCAATGGCTCAATCGCATCGCTCTCCAGGCAACACCGTAAGGAGGAGCAACCTGCCATTTCGATATATCATAGCTGTGTTTGTGCCCTCACTCATGGTCCAGACTTTTTTCAAATAGGACATGAAGTTTGTCTGCAGCGAGTGTTTTGGTAGAAACTGCGCCTCCCATTCATTATAATGGGAAATGACCACAGACAAGTGCGCACACCATCTTTGGACCTTGAGTGTGACGCGATCGGGAGGGGGAGGCGGTCGCGCTAGGGGCGGCGCGACGCGGCTCGGGCCCGACAGTGCCCCACCGGGGCCCTAGTTATTATTTTATTATTATTTTCCTCCCCTTTGAACTGGAAAATGGCCCACTTCCCACTGGCGAAAACTCATGAAATTTGGCAGGACGACCGGGCCTGGTGAAAAATTTGATATTCCGAAGTCGCCCAAACAAGAAAATGCAAAATGGCTCCATAGCGCCCCCTAAGGTGAAAATTCACACTATTGACTGTCACGCCTGTACGCTTTGTCAAAATGACACAAAAATTGACACACACATGTATCTCAATAAGATCTACAAAAAAGTCAGTGCGGGCGTATCTGTCAAATGTACGGTTAAAGGGTTATTTCGCATTTTTTGCCGATCCGCACACATTGGAATTTCGCTAACTCCTCCGAAGGCTTTTGTTCCACCGGCACCACATTTGCTCAGGCCAATCTACACCCCATGGCCATTAAAAGTTATTCAAATCATGACGCTGCACCCCACGGTTTAGGTTCTAGGGGGCGCCAAAGATAACCCTAAGATCCACATATTTAAAAGTCTAATAACTTTTTATTTTTGCCGTCACTGGCCTCCAAGTTTTCTAGGATGATGCAATGTCCAGCCATCAACACATTTGTGAAGGAATTTTTACTCCCCAAAAGAGCGCCCCCCCATGGCAGGAGAAAAAAGTCCATTTTTTCTTGTCCCCTAAGGTGAAAATACACATTGTTGAGTGTAACACCTGTACGCTTTGGCAAAATGACACAAAAATTGACACACACATGTATCTCAATAAGATCTACGAAAAAGTCAATGCGCGCGTATCTGTCAAATGTACGGTTAAAGGGTTATTCCGCATTTTTTGCCGATCCGCACACATTGGAATTTCGCTAACTCCTCCGAAGGCTTTCGTTCCACCGGCACCACATTTGCTCAGGCCAATCTACACCCCATGGCCATTAAAAGTTATTCAAATCATGACGCTGCACCCCACGGTTTAGGTTCTAGGGGGCGCCAAAGATAACCCTAAAATCCACATATTTAAAAGTCTTATAACTTTTTATTTTTGTCCTCTCTGGCCTCCAAGTTTTCTAGGATGATGCAATGTCCAGCCATCAACACATTTGTGAAGGAATTTTTACTCCCCAAAAGAGCCCCCCCCATGGCAGGAGAAAAAAGTCAATTTTTTCTTGTCCCATAAGGTGAAAATACACATTGTTGACTGTCACGCCTGTACGCTTTATCATATTGACACAAAATTTGACAATCACATGTATCTCAATAAGATCTACGAAAAAGTCAATGCGCGCGTATCTGTCAAATGTACGGTTAAAGGGCTATTTTGCATTTTTTGCCGATTAGCACACATTGGAATGTGGCTAACTCCTCCTAAGTCTTTCGTCCCACTGACACCAAATTTGCTCAGGCCAATCTACACCCCATGGCCATTCAAAGTTTTAAAAATCATGACGCTGCACCCCACGGTTTACGTTCTAGGGGGCGCCAAAGATGACCCAAATATCCACATTCTTAAAAGAATCCACCCCCCCCATCCCCCATCCCCCATCCCCCATCCCCCATGGCAGGAGAAACAGTCAAGTTTTTCCTGCCCATCACTCAATGGCTCAATCGCATCGCTCTCCCGGCAACACCGTAACGAGGAGCAACTTGCCGTTTGGATATATCCTAGCTGTGTTTGTGCCCTCACTCATGGTCCAGACTTTTTTCAAATAGGACATGTAGTTTGTCTGCAGCGAGTGTTTTGGTAGAAACTGCGCCTCCCATTTATTATAATGGGAAATGACCACAGACAAGTGCGCACACCATCTTTGGACCTTGAGTGTGACGCGATCAGGAGGGGGAGGCGGTCGCACTGGGGGCGGCGCAACGCGGCTCGGGCCCGCCAGTGCCCCAACGGGGCCCTAGTTTGTTATTATTATTATTATTATTATTTTTCCTCCCCTTTGAACTGGAAAATGGCCCACTTCCCACTGGCAAAAACTCATGAAATTTGGCAGGACGACCGGGCCTCGTGAAAAATTTGATATTCCGAAGTCGCCCAAACAAGAAAATGCAAAATGGCTCCATAGCGCCCCCTAAGGTGAAAATTCACACTATTCACTGTCACGCCTGTACGCTTTGTCAAAATGACACAAAAATTGACACACACATGTATCTCAATAAGATCTACAAAAAAGTCAGTGCGGGCGTATCTGTCAAATGTACGGTTAAAGGGTTATTTCGCATTTTTTGCCGATCCGCACACATTGGAATTTCGCTAACTCCTCCGAAGGCTTTCGTTCCACCGGCACCACATTTGCTCAGGCCAATCTACACCCCATGGCCATTAAAAGTTATTCAAATCATGACGCTGCACCCCACGGTTTAGGTTCTAGGGGGCGCCAAAGATAACCCTAAGATCCACATATTTAAAAGTCTTATAACTTTTTATTTTTGCCCTCACTGGCCTCCAAGTTTTCTAGGATGATGCAATGTCCAGCCATCAACACATTTGTGAAGGAATTTTTACTCCCCAAAAGAGCGCCCCCCCATGGCAGGAGAAAAAAGTCCATTTTTTCTTGTCCTCTAAGGTGAAAATACACATTGTTGAGTGTAACACCTGTACGCTTTGGCAAAATGACACAAAAATTGACACACACATGTATCTCAATAAGATCTACGAAAAAGTCAATGCGCGCGTATCTGTTACATGTACGGTTAAAGGGTTATTCCGCATTTTTTGCCGATCCGCACACATTGGAATTTCGCTAACTCCTCCGAAGGCTTTCGTTCCACCGGCACCACATTTGCTCAGGCCAATCTACACCCCATGGCCATTAAAAGTTATTCAAATCATGACGCTGCACCCCACGGTTTAGGTTCTAGGGGGCGCCAAAGATAACCGTAAAATCCACATATTTAAAAGTCTTATAACTTTTTATTTTTGTCCCCACTGGCCTCCAAGTTTTCTAGGATGATGCAATGTCCAGCCATCAACACATTTGTGAAGGAATTTTTACTCCCCAAAAGAGCGCCCCCCCATGGCAGGAGAAAAAAGTCAATTTTTTCTTGTCCACTAAGGTGAAAATACACATTGTTGAGTGCTACGCCTGTATGTTTTGTCGTATTGACACAAAATTTTACATACACGTGTATTTTAATAAGATCTTCGAAAAAGTCAATGGCCACGTATCTGTAAAATGTACGGTTAAAGGGTTATTTTGCATTTTTTGCAGATTCGCACACATTGGAATTTCGCTAACTCCTCCGAAGGCTTTTGTTCCACCGGCACCACATTTGCTCAGGCCAATCTACACCCCATGGCCATTAAAAGTTATTCAAATCATGACGCTGCACCCCACGGTTTAGGTTCTAGGGGGCGCCAAAGATAACCCTAAAATCCACATATTTAAAAGTCTTATAACTTTTTATTTTTGTCCTCACTGGCCTCCATGTTTTCTAGGATGATGCAATGTCCAGCCATCAACACATTTGTGAAGGAGTTTTTTCTCGTTAAAAGAGCGCCCCCCATGGCAGGAGAATAAAGTCAAGTTTTTCCTGTTCATCATTCAATGGCTCAAACGCACTGCTCTCTCGGCAAAAGCGAAAGGAGGAGCAACTTGCCATTTGGATATATCTTAGCTGTGTTTGTGCCCTCACTCATGGTCCAGACTTTTTTCAAATAGGACATGGAGTTTTTCTGCAGCGAGCGCTTTGGTAGAAACTGCGCCTCCCGTTCATTATAATGGTAAATGACCACAAACAAGTGCGCACACCATCTTTGGACCTTGAGTGTGACGCGATCGGGTGGGGGAGGCGGTCGCGCTGGGGGCGGCGTGACACGGCTCGGGCCCGCCAGTGCCCCAACGGGGCCCTAGTTTTTCTTTTTCCTCCCCTTTGAACTGGAAAATGGCCCACTTCCCACTGGCGAAAACTCATGAAATTTGGCAGGACGACCGGGCCTGGTGAAAAATTCGATATTCTGAAGTCGCCCAAACAATAAAATGCAAAATGGCTCCATAGCGCCCCCTAAGGTGGAAATTCACACTATTGACTGTCACGCCTGTACCCTTTGTCATATTGACACAAAAATTGACACACATATGTATCTCAATAAGATCTACAAAAAAGTCAGTGTGGCCGTATCTGTCAAAATTACGGTTAAAGGGTTATTTCGCATTTTTTGCCGATCCGCACACATTGGAATTTCGCTAACTCCTCTGAAGGCTTTCGTTCCACCGGCACCACATTTGCTCAGGCCAATCTACACCCCGTGGCCATTAAAAGTTATCAAAATCATGACGCTGCACCCCAAGGTTTAGGTTCTAGGGGGCGCCAAAGATAACACTAAAATTCACATATTTAAAAGTCTTATAACTTCTTATTTTTGTCCTCACTGGCCTCCAAGTTTTCTAGGATGATGCAATGTCCAGCCATCAACACATTTGTGAAGGAATTTTTACTCCCCAAAAGAGCGCCCCCCCATGGCAGGAGAAAAAAGTCCATTTTTTCTTGTCCCCTAAGGTGAAAATACACATTGTTGAGTGTCACGCCTATACGCTTTGTCAAAATGACACAAAAATTGACACACACATGTAACTCAATAAGATCTACGAAAAAGTCAATGCGCGCGTATCTGTCAAATGTACGGTTAAAGGGTTATTCCGCATTTTTTGCCGATCCGCACACATTGGAATTTCGCTAACTCCTCCTAAGGCTTTCGTTCCACCGGCACCACATTTGCTCAGGCCAATCTACACCCCATGGCCATTAAAAGTTATTCAAATCATGACGCTGCACCCCACGGTTTAGGTTCTAGGGGGCGCCAAAGATAACCCTAAAATCCACATATTTAAAAGTCTTATAACTTTTTATTTTTGTCCTCACTGGCCTCCAAGTTTTCTAGGATGATGCAATGTCCAGCCATCAACACATTTGTGAAGGAATTTTTACTCCCCAAAAGAGCGCCCCCCCATGGCAGGAGAAAAAAGTCCATTTTTTCTTGTCCCCTAAGGTGAAAATACACATTGTTGAGTGTCACGCCTATACGCTTTGTCAAAATGACACAAAAATTGACACACACATGTAACTCAATAAGATCTACGAAAAAGTCAATGCGCGCGTATCTGTCAAATGTACGGTTAAAGGGTTATTCCGCATTTTTTGCCGATCCGCACACATTTGAATGTGGCTAACTCCTCCTAAGGCTTTCGTTCCACCGGCACCACATTTGCTCAGGCCAATCTACACCCCGTGGCCATTAAAAGTTATTCAAATCATGACGCTGCACCCCACGGTTTAGGTTCTAGGGGGCGCCAAAGATAACCCTAAAATCCACATATTTAAAAGTCTTATAACTTTTTATTTTTGTCCTCACTGGCCTCCAAGTTTTCTAGGATGATGCAATGTCCAGCCATCAACACATTTGTGAAGGAATTTTTACTCCCCAAAAGAGCGCCCCCCCATGGCAGGAGAAAAAAGTCAATTTTTTCTTGTCCCCTAAGGTGAAAATACATATTGTTGAGATTCACGCCTATACGCTTTGTCATATTGACACAAAATTTGACAATCACGTGCCTTGCCTGGTATCATTTTTTTCAGCACAACCTCACCTGTGCGAATTTACAGTTATTTTATCATGTTGACATACTGAATTTACACAATGGACCCAAATTCACACACAAAACATAAAATCCGAGTGGAAAAAAGTAACATTTTTACTGTGAAAACCACAAATATGTGTGAACTGTTTTTAAAACTTAAACTTCAAATAAAAATTGTTAACTTCAAAACATATGCAAATTTTTAACAAAGAACATAGTGATTTACCTCTATTTTCATCAAAATGCAGGCAATGGCCCAGGCGTTCTTTGTAAAATTATTTACAAAACACTGTATAGTCTCACAAATGTCACTTTTTATTTATGCCACTACAAAAAAACATGATGTAAATGATGCATGATGTAAAACATGATGTAAAAAACTTGTGTAGATCCTCCTCTATGTCAGTCCATGTGTAATTTTTCCATAATTCTTTGTTTTTTGCAGCATTTTTGTTAGTGTAACTGCAGATTGTGCTGACAGTGTCTATGGCACAAAAAAAAAAAAAAATTTAAAATGCCTCAACATGAACCCCTGGTGGTCTCTGAGGGTGAAACCTGCTAACTGCTGCAGCACTGTCAGCTTCAGTCTCCCATGCAGAGCTCTGAGCGCATGTGTGGCTCTGCACCCTTAGCAGCGTTGCTAACTCCTCAGTAAGGAAAGCCTGCTTCATGTCAGAGTCTCTAAACTCCAGAAGAAGTCGATAAAAGTCCCTTTCTTCCTAAAAAAAAGTCGTTAGGGGGTCTGAAAAGTCATTGAATCTAACAACAAAGTCGCTAGGTTTGCAACTACGTGTCCCAGACTGCATCCCTGCTGAGAGTCCCTCCCTCCCTTCTCATGTTGCAGGAAGAACGTAAGCGCCCGCCCCTTGTCAATCAGTCACCATATAATTTTGGATTGGTTGTTGTGGTGAAGTTTTCCACCAATAGGAGAGATGTTGTGGTGTGTTTTTTTTTTCTTTTGGCAAGCCTTTTCCGCCTGTAAGACCTGTCGCTAATGTCTGCATGCTATGTTTTCCTGTCTCATACAGCGCGATCGAGCGCCGAACGTGATCAAAATAAGCAGAAAAAAAGTATCGCGGACATAATTTATCATAACTCTGGTTTTATTTGGCCTATCAACACAATTTAAAAACTGGTATATAGGTTGAGGTCCTCACTTTTGAGATAAGTTGAAACGGAGAGTCAACGAGGCTCCGTCTTGCAGCTACATCCGGTTAAATATGTCATGTGACTTGAACGCACACACAGACACACACACACGCACACACACACACACACACACACACTCAGAGTCTGGTTTTTAGCACCTGCAAAAACATGCTATTTACATATTTGACAAGAATGCAGAGGCTCCTTTTGCCCCTGAAAAAAATCAAATTTCAAACACAACTTGACTGGTCATTTCTCCAAAAGACAACCATGAAGCTCCATCCAAACCTGAAGCAGGCAGTTGGTGCATGTGTACAGTAACCTGAGGGGAGTGAGGTGAGTGCTTCTGAGGAGAACATGAGCAGTGAAGATTCACCTTGGAGCTAGAACAGAGACATGCACATGATTATACAGGGGCAGGGGCTCAAGTTTTTTCCAGTCGTTTATACAATATGGAAATTAATGTGAAATTAAAACACAAAGTATTAATAGAAAGGTAATGACTGTCCTGTGTAGGTGACAGTGATATCCAATAGGCTAGGCACTCACGAAGCTGGCTGTGGCAAGTGTAAGTGAAAGCAACACGCACTGGCAGGAAGAACAGCAAACGCCGATGAAGGAAAAGGGTCTTTGCAGTGATGGGCGTTACCAGAGAGGGCGATGGCCAGAGGACACAAATGGGACGGGGAGGCAGCACGTTGGGGGGGGGGACGCGACACGGCTCGGGCCCGCCAGTGCCCCAACGGGGTCCTAGTTATTAGGGCCCGAGCGTAGCTGCTAAGCAGCTGCGAGAGCCCTCTTGTTCCTGATGGATTCTTCTTTCGTTATTTTTCCTCCGCTTTAAACTGGAAAATGGCCCACTTCCCACTGGCGAAAACTCAGGAAATTTGGCAGGACGACCGGGCCTGGTGAAAAATTTGATATTCTGAAGTCGTCCAAACAAAAAAATGAAAAATGGCTCCATAGCGCCCCCTATGGTGAAAACTCACCTGATGCCTGTACGCTTTGTCAAAATGACACAAAATTTGACACACATGTGTATCTCAATAAGATCTACGAAAAAGTCAGTGCGGGCGTATCTGCCAAATGTACGGTTAAAGGGCTATTTCGCTTTTTTTGCCGATCCGCACACATTGGAATTTCGCTAACTCCTCCGAAGGCTTTCGTTCCACCGGCACCAAGTTTGCTCAGGCCAATCTACACCCCATGGCCATTAAAAGTTGTACAAATCATGATGCTGCACCCCACGGTTTACTTTCTAGGGGGCGCCAAAGATAACCCAAAAATCCACATTCTTAAAAGTCTTATAACTTTTTATTTTTGTCCTCACTGGCCTCCAAGTTTTCTAGGATGATGCAATGTCCAGCCATCAACACATTTGTGAAGGAATTTTTACTCCCCAAAAGAGCGCCCCCCCATGGCAGGAGAAAAAAGTCCATTTTTTCTTGTCTCCTAAGGTAAAAATACACATTGTTGAGTGTCACGCCTATACACTTTGTCATATTGACACACAATTTGACAATCACGTGTATCTCAATAAGATCTACAAAAAAGTCAATAGGCACGTATCTGTCAAATGTATGGTTAAAGGGCTATTTCGCATTTTTTGCCGATTCGCACACATTGGAATGTGGCTAACTCCTCCTAAGGCTTTCGTCCCACCGATACCAAATTTGCTCAGGGCAATCCACACCCCATGGCCATTCAAAGTTGTAAAAATCATGACGCTGCACCCCACGGTTTACGTTCTAGGGGGCGCCAAAGATGACCCAAAAATCCACATTCTTAAAAGTCATTTTGGCCACTGCAGGAGTACAGAGTACTGCAGTTCTAGGGGGCGCCAAAGATGACCCAAAAATCCACATTCTTAAAAGTCTTTTTGGCCACTGCAGGAGTACAGAGTACTGCCGGACACACACACATATACACACACGCCCACACACACACACACACACACACACACACACACACACACACACACACACACACACACACTCAGAGTCTGTTTTTTAGCACCTGCAAAAACATGCTGTTTACATATTTGACAAGAATGCAGAGGCTTCCTTTTGCCCCTGAAAAAAATCAAATTTCAAACACAACTTGACTGTTCATTTCTCCAAAAGACAACCATGAAGCTCCATCCAAACCTGAAGCAGATAGTTGGTGCATGTGTACAGTAACCTGAGGAGAGTGAGGTGACTACTTCTGAGGAGAACATGAGCAGTGAAGATTCACCTTGGAGCTAGAACAGGGACGTGCACATGATTATACAGGGGCAGGGGCTCAAGTTTTTTCCAGTCATTTATACAATATGGAAATTAATGTGAAATTAAACCACAAATATGTGTGATGAACTGTTTTTAAAACTTAAACTTCAAATAAAAATTGTAAACTTCAAAACATATGCAAATTTTTAACAAAGAACATAGTAATTTACCTCTATTTACATCAAAATGCAGGCAATGGCCCAGGCGTTCTTTGTAAAATTATTTACAAAACACTGTATAGTCTCACAAATGTCACTTTTTATTTATGCCACTACAAAAAAACATGATGCAAATGATGCATGATGTAAAACATGATGTAAAAAACTTGTGTAGATCCTCCTCTATGTCAGTCCATGTGTAATTTTTCCATAATTCTTTGTTTTTTGCAGCATTTTTGTTAGTGTAACTGCAGATTGTGCTGACAGTGTCTATGGCAAAAAAAAAAAAAAACTGAAAATGCCTCAACATGAACTCCTGGTGGTCTCTGAGGGTGAAACCTGCTAACTGCTGCAGCTCTCTCAGCTCTAGTCTCCCATGCAGAGCTCGGAGCGCATGTGTGGCTCTGCACCCTTAGCAGCGTTGCTAACTCCTCAGTAAGGAAAGCCTGCTTCATGTCAGAGTCTCTAAACTCCAGAGGAAGTCGATAAAATTCCCTTTCTTTCTAAAAAAGTCGTTAGGGGGTCTGAAAAGTCATTGAATCTAACAACAAAGTCGCTAGGTTTGCAACTACGTTTCCCAGACTGCATCCCTGCTGAGAGTTCCTCCCTCCCTTCTCATATTGCAGGAAGAACGTAAGCGCCCGCCCCTTGTCAATCAGTCACCATATAATTTTGGATTGGTTGTTGTGGTGAAGTTTTCCACCAATAGGAGAGATGTTGTGGTGTGTTTTTTTTTTCTTTTGGCATGCCTTTTCCGCCTGTAAGAGCTGTCGCTAATGTCTGCATGCTATGTTTTCCTGTCTCATACAGCGTGATCGAGCGCCGAACGTGATCAAAATAAGCAGAAAAAAAGTATCGCGGACATAATTTATCATAACTCTGGTTTTATTTGGCCTATCAACACAATTTAAAAAACTGGTATATAGTTTGAGGTCCTCACTTTTGAGATAAGTTGAAACGGAGGGTGAACGAGGCTCCGTCTTGCAGCTACATCCGGTTAAATATGTCATGTGACTTGAACGCTGGGGAGCGTCAATCGACTGCAGAGCCAGCAGACAAAGTAGTTATGCCACTGAGAGGCACACATTTGTCATATGCTATAATCCTAACATATTTTAATGCTTTTTCTATTTAAACCTAATGGATCTAAGGTTTGACCTTCAAAATTTAGGAAGAATATGTTTTTGCAGTAATGACCCCCTTAAACAACCAGAGGTCCTTTCCTAAAGTTTATGGAAATTTTAGTGAAGGCCTTGGTTTCTTTCCTTGCAAAATGTATAGAAATAATAAAGCTAAATACCATAAAATGGTCTTGGCGTATTAGCAGTGATATAAAATAGTGGTTTGAATATGAATGAACAACAAAAAAAAACATCAACAGAGCCTTTTTGAGTTGGGATTCTTTCATTATCACACAAAAACAGACATAGACAGACATCTAAAGGGTAAGGGAATGATCAGCCCTCCTAACTCTCAGATGAATCTTCAAAATTCACCGCAGAAATATGCTTATTATTCTTCTCAGAGTACTGCAAGATATATACACACACACAGACACACACACACACACACACACACACACACACACACTCAGAGTCTGTTTTTTAGCACCTGCAAAAACATGCTATTTACATATTTGACAAGAATGCAGAGGCTCCTTTTGCCCCTGAAAAAAATCTAATTTCAAACACAACTTGACTGCTCATTTCTCCAAAAGACAACCATGAAGCTCCATCCAAACCTGAAGCAGGCAGTTGGTGCAGAACAGCAAACGCCGATGAAGGAAAAGGGTCTTTGCAGTGATGGGCGTTACCAAAGAGGGCGATAGCCAGAGGACACAAATGGGACGGGGAGGCAGCGCGTTGGGGGGGGGACGCGACACAGCTCGGGCCCGCCAGTGCCCCAACGGGGTCCTAGTTATTATTTTTCCTCCGCTTTAAACTGGAAAATGGCCCACTTCCCACTGGCGAAAACTCATGAAATTTGGCAGGACGACCGGGCCTGGTGAAAAATTCGATATTCTGAAGTCGCCCAAACAATAAAATGCAAAATGGCTCCATAGCGCCCCCTAAGGCGAAAATTCACACTATTGACTGTCACGCCTGTACGCTTTGTCATATTGACACAAAAATTGACACACACGTGTATCTCAATACGTTCTACGAAAAAGTCAGCGCGGGCGCATCTGTGAAATGTACAGTTAGAGGGTTATTTCGCATTTTTTGCCGATCTGCACACATTGGAATTTCGCTAACTCCTCCGAAGGCATTAGTTCCACCGGCACCACATTTGCTCAGGCCAATCTACACCCCATGGCCATTAAAAGTTGTACAAATCATGACGCTGCACCCCACAGTTTACGTTCTAGGGGGCGCCAAAGATAACCCAAAAATCCACAGTCTTAAAAGTCTTATAACTTTTTATTTTTGTCCTCACTGGCCTCCAAGTTCTCTAGGATGATGCAATGTCCAGCCATCAACACATTTGTGAAGGAATTTTTACTCCCCAAAAGAGCGCCCCCACATGGCAGGAGAAAAAAGTCAATTTTTTCTTGTCCCCTAAGGTGAAAATACACATTGTTGAGTGTCACGCCTATACGCTTTGTCATATTGACCCAAAATTTGACAATCACGTGTATCTCAATAAGATCTACGAAAAAGTCAATGGGCACGTATCTGTAAAATGTACGGTTAAAGGGCTATTTCGCATTTTTTGCAGATTCGCACACATTGGAATGTGGCTAACTCCTCCTAAGGCTTTCTTCCCACCAACACCAAATTTGCTCAAGCCGATCTACATCCCATGGCCATTCAAAGTTGTAAAAATCATGCCGCTGCACCCCATGGTTTACGTTCTAGGGGGCGCCAAAGATGACCCAAATATCCACATTCTTAAAAGTCGTTTTGGCCACTGCAGGAGTACAGAGTACTGCAGGATACACACACACAGACACACACAAACACAGACACACACACACACACACACACACACACACACACACACACACACACACACACACACACACACACTCAGAGTCTGTTTTTTAGCACCTGCAAAAACATGCTATTTACATATTTGACAACAATGCAGAGGCTCCTTTTGCCCCTGAAAAAAATCAAATTTCAAACACAACTTGACTGGTCATTTCTCCAAAAGACAACCATGAAGCTCCATCCAAACCTGAAGCAGGCAGTTGGTGCATGTGTACAGTTACCTGAGGGGAGTGAGGTGAGTGCTTCTGAGGAGAACATGAGCAGTGAAGATTCACCTTGGAGCGAGAACAGGGACGTGCACATGATTATACAGGGGCAGGGGCTCAAGTTTTTTCCAGTCGTTTATACAATATGGAAATTAATGTGAAATTAAAAAACAAAGTATTAATAGAAAGGTAATGACTGTCCTGTGTAGGTGACAGTGATATCCAATAGGCTAGGCACTCACGAGGCTGGCTGTGGCAAGTGTAAGTGAAAGCAACACGCACTGGCAGGAAGAACAGCAAACGCCGATGAAGGAAAAGGGTCTTTGCAGTGATGGGCGTTACCAGAGAGGACGATGGCCAGAGGACGCGAATGGGACGGGGAGGCAGCGCATTGGTGGGGGGGGGGGGGCGCGACACAGCTCGGGCCCGCCAGTGCCCCAACGGGGCCCTAGTCTTCTTCTTATTATTTTTCTGCCCCTTTGAACTGGAAAATGGCCCACTTCCCACTGGCGAAAACTCATGAAATTTGGCAGGACGACCGGGCCTGGTGAAAAATTCGATATTCTGAAGTCGCCCAAACAATAAAATGCAAAACGGCTCCATAGCGCCCCCTAAGGTGAAAATTCACACTATTGACTGTCACGCCTGTACGCTTTGTCATATTGACACAAAAATTGACACACACGTGTATCTCAATAAGATCTACAAAAAAGTCAGTGCGGGCGTATCTGTCGAATGTATGGTTAAAGGGTTATTTCGCATTTTTTGCCGATCCGCACACATTGGAATTTCGCTAACTCCTCCGAAGGCTTTCGTTCCACTGGCACCACATTTGCTCAGGCCAATCTACACCCCATGGCCATTAAAAGTTGTACAAATCATGACGCTGCACCCCACGGTTTAGGTTCTAGGGGGCGCCAAAGATAACCCAAAAATCCACAGTCTTAAAAGTCTTATAACTTTTTATTTTTGTCCTCACTGGCCTCCAAGTTCTCTAGGATGTTGCAATGTCCAGCAATTAACACATTTGTGAAGGAATTTTTACTCGCCAAAAGAGTGCCCCCCCATGGCAGGAGAAAAAAGTCCATTTTTTCTTGTCTCCTAAGGTGAAAATACACATTGTCGAGTGTCACGCTTGTACGCTTTGTCATATTTACACACAATTTGACAACCACTTGAATCTCAATAAGATCTACGAAAAAGTCAATGTGCGCGTATCTGTCAAATGTACGGTTAAAGGGTTATTCTGCATTTTTTGCAAATTTGCACACATTGGAATTTTTCTAAGTCCTCCGAAGGCTTTTGTCCCACTGACACCACATTTGCTCAGGCCAATCTACACTCCATGGCCATTCAAAGTTGTACAAATCATGACGCTGCACCCCACGGTTTAGGTTCTAGGGGGCACCAAAGATAACCCAAAAATCCACAGTCTTAAAAGTCTTATAACTTTTTATTTTTGTCCTCAGTGGCCTCCAAGTTGTCTAGGATGATGCAATGTCCAGCAATTAACACATTTGTGAAGGAAATTTTACTCGCCAAAAGAGTGCCCCCCCATGGCAGGAGAAAAAAGTCCATTTTTTCTTGTCTCCTAAGGTGAAAATACACATTGTCGAGTGTCACGCCTGTACGCTTTGTCATATTTACACACAATTTGACAACCACATGAATCTCAATAAGATCTATGAAAAAGTCAATGTGCGCGTATCTGTCAAATGTACGGTTAAAGGGTTATTCTGCATTTTTTGCAGATTTGCACACATTGGAATTTTGCTAACTCCTCCGAAGGCTTTTGTCCCACTGACACCAAATTTGCTCAGGCCAATCTACACTCCATGGCCATTCAAAGTTGTACAAATCATGACGCTGCACCCCACGGTTTACGTTCTAGGGGGCGCCAAAGATAACCCAAAAATCCACAGTCTTAAAAGTCTTATAACTTTTTATTTTTTTCCTCACTGGCCTCCAAGTTCTCTAGGATGATGCAATGTCCAGCCATCAACACATTTGTGAAGGAATTTTTACTCCCCAAAAGAGCGCCCCCCCATGGCAGGAGAAAAAAGTCCATTTTTTCTTGTCCCCTAAGGTGAAAATACACATTGTTGAGTGTCACGCCTATACGCTTTGTCATATTGACCCAAAATTTGACAATCACGTGTATCTCAATAAGATCTACGAAAAAGTCAATGGGCACGTATCTGTAAAATGTACGGTTAAAGGGCTATTTTGCATTTTTTCCCGATCCGCACACATTGGAATTTCGCTAACTCCTCCGAAGGCTTTAGTTCCACCGCCACCAAATTTGCTCAGGCCAATCTACACCCCATGGCCATTAAAAGTTGTACAAATCATGACGCTGCACTCCACGGTTTAGGTTCTAGGGGGCGCCAAAGATAACCCAAAAATCCACATTCTTAATAGTCTTATAACTTTTTATTTTTGTCCTCACTGGCCTCCAAGTTTTCTAGGATGATGCAATGTCCAGCCATCAACACATTTGTGAAGGAATTTTTACTCCCGAAAAGAGCGCCCCCCATGGCAGGAGAAAAAAGTCCATTTTTTCTTGTCCCCTAAGGTGAAAAAACACATTGTTGACTGTCACGCCTATACACTTTGTCAAAATGACACAAAATTTGACACACACGTGTATCTCAATAAGATCTACGAAAAAGTCAATGGGCACGTATCTGTAAAATGTACGGTTAAAGGGCTATTTCGCATTTTTTGCCGATTCGCACACATTGGAATGTGGCTAACTCCTCCTAAGGCTTTCTTCCTACCAACACCAAATTTGCTCAAGCCGATCTACATCCCATGGCCATTCAAAGTTGTAAAAATCATGCCGCTGCACCCCATGGTTTACGTTCTAGGGGGCGCCAAAGATGACCCAAATATCCACATTCTTAAAAGAATCCACATCCCCCCCCCCAAGGCAGGAGAAAAAGTCCAGTTAACCCTGCCCATCGCTCAATGGCTCAATCGCATCGCTCTCCTGGCAACACCGTAAGGAGGAGCAACTTGCCATTTGGATGTATCCTAGCTGTGTTTGTGCCCTCACTCATGGTCCAGACTTTTTTCAAATAGGACATGTAGTTTGTCTGCAGCGACCGTTTTGGTAGAAACTGCGCCTCCCATTCATTATAATGGGAAATGACCACAGACAAGTGCGCGCACCATCTTTGGACCTTGAGTGTGATGCGATCTTGAGGGGGAGGCGGTCGCGCTGGGGGCGGCGCGACGCGGCTCGGGCCCGACAGTGCCCCACCGGGGCCCTAGTTAGGGCCCGAGCGTAGCTGCTAAGCAGCTGCGAGAGCCCTCTTGTTCCTGCATGTTTCCTTCTTTCGTTATTATTTTTCCTCCGCTTCAAACTGGAAAATGGCCCACTTCCCACTGGCGAAAACTCAGGAAATTTGGCAGGACGACCGGGCCTGGTGAAAAATTCGATATTCTGAAGTCGCCCAAACAATAAAATGCAAAATGGCTCCATAGCGCCCCCTAAGGTGAAAATTCACATGACGGCTGTACGCTTTGTCATATTGACACAAAAATTGACACACACATGTATCTCAATAAGATCTACAAAAAAGTCAGTGCGGGCGTATCTGTCAAATGTACGGTTAATGGGTTATTTTGCATTTTTTGCAGATCTGCACACATTGGAATTTCGCTAACTCCTCCGAAGGCTTTCGTTCGACCGGCACCACATTTGCGCAGGCCAATCTACCCCCCATGGCCATTAAAAGTTGTACAAATCATGACGCTGCACCCCACGGTTTACGTTCTAGGGGGCGCCAAAGATAACCCAAAAATCCACATTCTTAAAAGTCTTATAACTTTTTACTTTTGTCCTCACTGGCCTCCAAGTTTTCTAGGATGATGCAATGTCCAGCCATCAACACATTTGTGAAGGAATTTTTACTCCCCAAAAGAGCGCCCCCCAATGGCAGGAGAAAAAGGTCCATTTTTTCTTGTCTCCTAAGGTGAAAATACACATCGTCGAGTGTCACGCCAGTATGCTTTGTCATATTGACACAAAATTTGACAATCACGTGTATCTCAATAAGATCTATGAAAAAGTCAAAAGGCATGTATCTGTCAAATGTACGGTTAAAGGGCTATTTTGCATTTTTTGCCGATCCGCACACATTGGAATTTCGCTAACTCCTCCGAAGGCTATCTTTCCACCGGCACCAAATTTGCTCAGGCCAATCTACACCCCATGGCCATTAAAAGTTGTACAAATCATCTTGCTGCACCCCACGGTTTGGGTTCTAGGGGGCACCAAAGATAACCCTAAAATCCACATTCTTAAAAGTCTTATAACTTTTTATTTTTTTCCATACTGGCCTCCAAGTTTTTTAGGATGATGCAATGTCCAGCCATCAACACATTTGTGAAGAAATTTTTACTCCCCAAAAGAGCGCCCCCCCCATGGCAGGAGAAAAAAGTCCATTTTTTCTTATCCCGAAAGGTGAAAATACACGTTGTTGAGTGTCACGCCTTTACGCTTTGTCATATTGACAAAAAATTTGACAATCACGTGTATCTCAATAAGATCTATGAAAAAGTCAATGGGCACGTAAGTGTAAAATGTACAGTTAAAGGGCTATTTTGCATTTTTTGGCGATTCGCACACATTGGAATTTCGCTAAGTCCTCCTAAGGTTTTCGTCCCACTGACACCAAATTTGCTCAGGCCAATCTACACTCCATGGCCATTCAAAGTTGTAAAAATCATGACGCTGCACCCCACGGTTTACGTTTTAGGGGGCGCCAAAGATGACCCAAATATACATTACAGTAGACAAAGTAGTTTTGCCCACTGAGTGGCGCCAAAGGGACTTGTCTGTGGAGTCTGTGAGTCACTATTGGCCGTTTTTGACTACTTTAGATTTTACCTTTATATTTCCTCTTACAATATTTTTACCTTGCCTTGCCTGGTATCATTTTTTTCAGCACAACCTCACCTGTGTCAATTTACAGTTATTTTATCATTTTGACATACTATATTTACACATTGGACCCAAATTCACACACAAAACATAAAATCTGAGTGGAAAAAAGTAACGTTTTACTGTGAAAACCACAAATATGTGTGATGAACTGTTTTTAAAACTTAAACTTCAAATGAAAATTGTAAACTTCAAAACATATGCAAATTTTTAACAAAGAACATAGTAATTTACCTCTATTTACATCAAAATGCAGGCAATGGACCAGGCGTTCTTTGTAAAATTATTTACAAAACACTGTATAGTCTCACAAATGTCACTTTTTATTTATGCCACTACAAAAAAACATGATGTAAATGATGCATGATGTAAAACATGATGTAAAAAACTTGTGTAGATCCTCCTCTATGTCAGTCCATGTGTAATTTTTCCATAATTCTTTGTTTTTTGCAGCATTTTTGTTAGTGTAACTGCAGATTGTGCTGACAGTGTCTATGGCAAAAAAAAAAAAAAACTGAAAATGCCTCAACATGAACCCCTGGTGGTCTCTGAGGGTGAAACCTGCTAACTGCTGCAGCTCTGTCAGCTTCAGTCTCCCATGCAGAGCTCGGAGCGCATGTGTGGCTCTGCACCCTTAGCAGCGTTGCTAACTCCTCAGTAAGGAAAGCCTGCTTCATGTCAGAGTCTCTAAACTCCAGAACTCCAGAAGAAGTCGATAAAAGTCCCTTTCTTTCTAAAAAAAAGTCATTAGGGGGTCTGAAAAGTCATTGAATCTAACAACAAAGTCGCTAGGTTTGCAACTACGTGTCCCAGACTGCATCCCTGCTGAGAGTCCCTCCCTCCCTTCTCAAGTTGCAGGAAGAACGCGAGCGCCCGTCCCGTGTCAATCAGTCACCATATCATTTTGGATTGGTTGTTGTGGTGAAGTTTTCCACCAATAGGAGAGATGTTGTGGTGTGTTTTTTTCTTTTCTTTTGGCAAGTCTTTTCCGCCTGTAAGACCTGTCGCTAATGTCTGCATGCTATGTTTTCCTGTCTCATACAGCGCGATCGAGCGCCGAACGTGATCAAAATAAGCAGAAAAAAAGTATCGCGGACATAATTTCTCATAACTCTGGTTTTATTTGGCCTATCAATACAATTTAAAAACTGGTATATAGTTTGAGGTCCTCACTTTTAAGATAGGTTGAAACGGAGAATCAACGAGGCTCCGTCTTGCAGCTACATCCGGTTAAATATGTCATGTGACTTGAACGCTGGGGAACGTCAATCGACTGCAGAGCCAGCAGACAAAGTAGTTATGGCCACTGAGAGGCACACATTTGTCATATGCTATAATCCTAACATATTTAAATGCTTTTTCTATTTAAACCTAATGGATCTAAGCTTTGACCTTCAAAATTTAGGAAGAATATGTTTTTGCAGTAATGACCCCCTTAAACAACCAGAGGTCCTTTCCTAAAGTTTATGGAAATTTTAGTGAAGGCCTTGGTTTCTTTCCTTGCAAAATGTATAGAAATAATAAAGCTAAATACCATAAAATGGTCTTGGCGTATTAGCAGTGATATAAAATAAAACATAAAAAAAAAAAGATCAACAGAGCCTTTTTGAGTTGGGATTCTTTCATTATCACACAAAAACAGACATAGACAGACATCTAAAGGGTAAGGGAATGATCAGCCCTCCTAACTCTCAGATGAATCTTCAAAATTCACCTCAGAAATATGCTTATTATTCTTCTCAGAGTACTGCAGGACACACACACACACACACACACACACACACACACACACACACACACACTCAGAGTCTTTTTTTTAGCACCTGCAAAAACATGTTATTAACATATTTGACAAGAATGCAGAGGCTCCTTTTGCCCCTGAAAAAAATCAGACTTCAAACACAACTTGACTGGTCATTTCTCCAAAAGACAACCATGAAGCTCCATCCAAACCTGAAGCAGGCAGTTGGTGCATGTGTACAGTAACCTGAGGGGAGTGAGGTGACTGCTTCTGAGGAGAACATGAGCAGTGAAGATTCACCTTGGAGCTACAACAGGGACGTGCACATGATAATACAGGGGCAGGGGCTCAAGTTTTTTCCAGTCATTTATACAATATGGAAATTAATGTGAAATTAAAAACAAAGTATTAATAGAAAGGTAATGACTGTCCTGTGTAGGTGACAGTGATATCCAATAGGCTAGGCACTCACGAGGCTGGCTGTTGCAAGTGTAAGTGAAAGCAACACGCACTGGCAGGAAGAACAGCAAACACCGATGAAGGAAAAGGGTCTTTGCAGTGATGGGCGTTACCAGAGAGGGCGATGGCCAGAGGACGCGAATGGGACGGGGAGGCAGCGCGTTGGGGGGGAGGGGGGGGCACACGGCTCGGGCCCGCCAGTGCCCCAACGGGGCCCTAGTTAGGGCCCGAGCGTAGCTGCTAAGCAGCTGCGAGAGCCCTATTATTCCCCAAGTGGTTTTTAGGGCCCGAGCGTAGCTGCTAAGCAGCTGCGAGAGCCCTCTTGTTCCTGCATGTTTCCTTCTTTCGTTATTATTTTTCCTCCGCTTTAAACTGGAAAATGGCCCACTTCCCACTGGCGAAAACTCAGGAAATTTGGCAGGACGACCGGGCCTGGTGAAAAATTCGATATTCTGAAGTCGCCCAAACAATAAAATGCAAAATGGCTCCATAGCGCCCCCTAAGGTGAAAATTCACATGACGGCTGTACGCTTTGTCATATTGACACAAAAATTGACACACACATGTATCTCAATAAGACCTACAAAAAAGTCAGTGCGGGCGTATCTGTCAAATGTACGGTTAATGGGTTATTTTGCATTTTTTGCAGATCTGCACACATTGGAATTTCGCTAACTCCTCCGAAGGCTTTCGTTCGACCGGCACCACATTTGCGCAGGCCAATCTACCCCCCATGGCTATTAAAAGTTGTACAAATCATGACGCTGCACCCCACGGTTTACGTTCTAGGGGGCGCCAAAGATAACCCAAAATCCACATTCTTAAAAGTCTTATAACTTTTTATTTTTGTCCTCACTGCCCTCCAAGTTTTCTAGGATGATGCAATGTCCAGCCATCAACACATTTGTGAAGGAATTTTTACTCCCCAAAAGAGCGCCCCCCATGGCAGGAGAAAAAAGTCCTTTTTTTCTTGTCCCCTTACATGAAAATACACATTGTTGAGTGTCACGCCTGAACGCTTTGTCATATTGACACAAAAATTGACAATCATGTGTATCTCAATTAGATCTACGAAAAAGTCAAAGAGCGCGTATCTGTATAATGTACGGTTAAAGGGCTATTTCGCATTTTTTGCCGATTCGCACACATTGGAATGTGGCTATCTCCTCCTAAGACTTTCGTCCCACCGATACCAAATTTGCTCAGGGCAATCTACACCCCATGCCCATTCAAAGTTGTAAAAATCATGACGCTGCACCCCACGGTTTACGTTCTAGGGGGCGCCAAAGATGACCCAAAAATCCACATTCTTAAAAGTCATTTTGGCCACTGCAGGAGTACAGAGTACTGCAGTTCTAGGGGGCGCCAAAGATGACCCAAAAATCCACATTCTTAAAAGTCTTTTTGGCCACTGCAGGAGTACAGAGTACTGCAGGATACACACACATACACACACACACACACACACACACACACACACACACACACACACACACACACACACACACACACTCAGAGTCTGTTTTTTAGCACCTGCAAAAACATGCTGTTTACATATTTGACAAGAATGCAGAGGCTTCCTTTTGCCCCTGAAAAAAATCAGATTTCAAACACAACTTGACTGTTCATTTCTCCAAAAGACAACCATGAAGCTCCATCCAAACCTGAAGCAGATAGTTGGTGCATGTGTACAGTAACCTGAGGGGAGTGAGGTGACTATTTCTGAGGAGAACATGAGCAGTGAAGATTCACCTTGGAGCTAGAACAGGGATGTGCACATGATTATACAGGGGCAGGGGCTCAAGTTTTTTCCAGTCATTTATACAATATGGAAATTAATGTGAAATTAAACCACAAATATGTGTGATGAACTGTTTTTAAAACTTAAACTTCAAATAAAAATTGTAAACTTCAAAACATATGCAAATTTTTAACAAAGAACATAGTAATTTACCTCTATTTACATCAAAATGCAGGCAATGGCCCAGGCGTTCTTTGTAAAATTATTTACAAAACACTGTATAGTCTCACAAATGTCACTTTTTATTTATGCCACTACAAAAAAACATGATGTAAATGATGCATGATGTAAAACATGATGTAAAAAACTTGTGTAGATCCTCCTCTATGTCAGTCCATGTGTAATTTTTCCATAATTCTTTGTTTTTTGCAGCATTTTTGTTAGTGTAACTGCAGATTGTGCTGACAGTGTCTATGGCATAAAAAAAAAAAAACTGAAAATGCCTCAACATGAACCCCTGGTGGTCTCTGAGGGTGAAACCTGCTAACTGCTGCAGCTCTGTCAGCTTCAGTCTCCCATGCAGAGCTCGGAGCGCATGTGTGGCTCTGCACCCTTAGCAGCGTTGCTAACTCCTCAGTAAGGAAAGCCTGCTTCATGTCAGAGTCTCTAAACTCCAGAAGAAGTCGATAAAAGTCCCTTTCTTTAAAAAAAAAAGTCGTTAGGGGGTCTGAAAAGTAATTGAATCTAACAACAAAGTCGCTAGGTTTGCAACTACGTGTCCTGAGAGTCCCTCCCTCCCTTCTCATGTTGCAGGAAGAACGTAAGCGCCCGCCCCTTGTCAATCAGTCACCATATAATTTTGGATTGGTTGTTGTGGTGAAGTTTTCCACCAATAGGAGAGATGTTGTGGTGTGTTTTTTTTTTCCTTTGGCAAGCCTTTTCCGCCTGTAAGACCTGTCGCTAATGTCTGCATGCTATGTTTTCCTGTCTCATACAGCGCGATCGAGCGCCGAACGTGATCAAAATAAGCAGAAAACAAGTATCGCGGACATATTTTATCATAACTCTGGTTTTATTTGGCCTATCAACACAATTTAAAAACTGGTATATAGGTTGAGGTCCTCACTTTTGAGATAAGTTGAAACGGAGAGTCAACGAGGCTCCGTCTTGCAGCTACATCCGGTTAAATATGTCATGTGACTTGAACGCACACACACACACACGCACACACACACACACACTCAGAGTCTGGTTTTTAGCACCTGCAAAAACATGCTATTTACATATTTGACAAGAATGCAGAGGCTCCTTTTGCCCCTGAAAAAAATCAAATTTCAAACACAACTTGACTGGTCATTTCTCCAGAAGACAACCATGAAGCTCCATCCAAACCTGAAGCAGGCAGTTGGTGCATGTGTACAGTAACCTGAGGGGAGTGAGGTGAGTGCTTCTGAGGAGAACATGAGCAGTGAAGATTCACCTTGGAACTAGAACAGAGACATGCACATGATTATACAGGGGCAGGGGCTCAAGTTTTTTCCAGTCGTTTATACAATATGGAAATTAATGTGAAATTAAAACACAAAGTATTAATAGAAAGGTAATGACTGTCCTGTGTAGGTGACAGTGATATCCAATAGGCTAGGCAATCACGAGGCTGGCTGTGGCAAGTGTAAGTGAAAGCAACACGCACTGGCAGGAAGAACAGCAAACGCCGATGAAGGAAAAGGGTCTTTGCAGTGATGGGCGTTACCAGAGAGGGCGATGGCCAGAGGACACAAATGGGACGGGGAGGCAGTGCGTTGGGGGGGACGCGACACAGCTCGGGCCCGCCAGTGCCCCAACGGGGCCCTAGTTCTTTGTTTCTTTTTTCTTTTTCCTCCCCTTTGAACTGGAAAATGGCCCACTTCCCACTGGCGAAAACTCATGAAATTTGGCAGGACGACCGGGCCTGGTGAAAAATTTGATATTCTGAAGTCGCCCAAACAATACAATGCAAAATGGCTCCATAGCGCCCCCTAAGGTGAAAAATTCACCTGACGCCTGTACGCTTTGTCAAAATGACACAAAAATTGACACACACATGTATCTCAATAAGATCTACAAAAAAGTCAGTGCGGGCGTATCTGTCAAATGTACGGTTAAAGGGTTATTGCGCATTTTTTGCAGATCCGCACACATTGGAATTTCGCTAACTCCTCCGAAGGCTTTCGTTCCACCGGCACCACATTTGCTCAGGCCAATCTACACCCCATGGCCATTAAAAGTTATTCAAATCATGACGCTGCACCCCACGGTTTAGGTTCTAGGGGGCGCCAAAGATAACCCTAAAATCCACATATTTCAAAGTCTTATAACTTTTTATTTTTGCCCTCACTGGCCTCCAAGTTTTCTAGGATGATGCAATGTCCAGCCATCAACACATTTGTGAAGGAATTTTCACTCCCCAAAAGAGCGCCCCCCCATGGCAGGAGAAAAAAGTCCATTTTTTCTTGTCCCATAAGGTGAAAATTCACACTATTGACTGTCACGCCTGTACGCTTTGTCAAAATGACACAAAAATTGACACACACATGTATCTCATTAAGATCTACAAAAAAGTCAGTGCGGGCGTATCTGTCAAATGTACGGTTAAAGGGTTATTTCGCATTTTTTGCCGATCCGCACACATTGGAATTTCGCTAACTCCTCCGAAGGCTTTCGTTCCACCGGCACCACATTTGCTCAGGCCAATCTACACCCCATGGCCATTAAAAGTTATTCAAATCATGACGCTGCACCCCACGGTTTAGGTTCTAGGGGGCGCCAAAGATAACCCTAAAATCCACATATTTCAAAGTCTTATAACTTTTTATTTTTGTCCTCACTGGCCTCCAAGTTTTCTAGGATGATGCAATGTCCAGCCATCAACACATTTGTGAAGGAATTTTTACTCCCTAAAAGAGCGCCCCCCCATGGCAGGAGAAAAAAGTCCATTTTTTCTTGTCCCCTAAGGTGAAAATACACATTGTTGACTGTCACGCCTGTACTAAGCTGCTAAGCAGCTGCGAGAGCCCTCTTGTTCCTGCATGTTTCCTTCTTTCGTTATTATTTTTCCTCCGCTTTAAACTGGAAAATGGCCCACTTCCCACTGGCGAAAACTCAGGAAATTTGGCAGGACGACCGGGCCTGGTGAAAAATTCGATATTCTGAAGTCGCCCAAACAATAAAATGCAAAATGGCTCCATAGCGCCCCCTAAGGTGAAAATTCACATGACGGCTGTACGCTTTGTCATATTGACACAAAAATTGACACACACATGTATCTCAATAAGACCTACAAAAAAGTCAGTGCGGGCGTATCTGTCAAATGTACGGTTAATGGGTTATTTTGCATTTTTTGCAGATCTGCACACATTGGAATTTCGCTAACTCCTCCGAAGGCTTTCGTTCGACCGGCACCACATTTGCGCAGGCCAATCTACCCCCCATGGCTATTAAAAGTTGTACAAATCATGACGCTGCACCCCACGGTTTACGTTCTAGGGGGCGCCAAAGATAACCCAAAATCCACATTCTTAAAAGTCTTATAACTTTTTATTTTTGTCCTCACTGCCCTCCAAGTTTTCTAGGATGATGCAATGTCCAGCCATCAACACATTTGTGAAGGAATTTTTACTCCCCAAAAGAGCGCCCCCCATGGCAGGAGAAAAAAGTCCTTTTTTTCTTGTCCCCTTACATGAAATTACACATTGTTGAGTGTCACGCCTGAACGCTTTGTCATATTGACACAAAAATTGACAATCATGTGTATCTCAATTAGATCTACGAAAAAGTCAAAGAGCGCGTATCTGTATAATGTACGGTTAAAGGGCTATTTCGCATTTTTTGCCGATTCGCACACATTGGAATGTGGCTATCTCCTCCTAAGACTTTCGTCCCACCGATACCAAATTTGCTCAGGGCAATCTACACCCCATGCCCATTCAAAGTTGTAAAAATCATGACGCTGCACCCCACGGTTTACGTTCTAGGGGGCGCCAAAGATGACCCAAAAATCCACATTCTTAAAAGTCATTTTGGCCACTGCAGGAGTACAGAGTACTGCAGTTCTAGGGGGCGCCAAAGATGACCCAAAAATCCACATTCTTAAAAGTCTTTTTGGCCACTGCAGGAGTACAGAGTACTGCAGGATACACACACATACACACACACACACACACACACACACACACACACACACACACACACACACACACACAGAGTCTGTTTTTTAGCACCTGCAAAAACATGCTGTTTACATATTTGACAAGAATGCAGAGGCTTCCTTTTGCCCCTGAAAAAAATCAGATTTCAAACACAACTTGACTGTTCATTTCTCCAAAAGACAACCATGAAGCTCCATCCAAACCTGAAGCAGATAGTTGGTGCATGTGTACAGTAACCTGAGGGGAGTGAGGTGACTATTTCTGAGGAGAACATGAGCAGTGAAGATTCACCTTGGAGCTAGAACAGGGATGTGCACATGATTATACAGGGGCAGGGGCTCAAGTTTTTTCCAGTCATTTATACAATATGGAAATTAATGTGAAATTAAACCACAAATATGTGTGATGAACTGTTTTTAAAACTTAAACTTCAAATAAAAATTGTAAACTTCAAAACATATGCAAATTTTTAACAAAGAACATAGTAATTTACCTCTATTTACATCAAAATGCAGGCAATGGCCCAGGCGTTCTTTGTAAAATTATTTACAAAACACTGTATAGTCTCACAAATGTCACTTTTTATTTATGCCACTACAAAAAAACATGATGTAAATGATGCATGATGTAAAACATGATGTAAAAAACTTGTGTAGATCCTCCTCTATGTCAGTCCATGTGTAATTTTTCCATAATTCTTTGTTTTTTGCAGCATTTTTGTTAGTGTAACTGCAGATTGTGCTGACAGTGTCTATGGCATAAAAAAAAAAAAAACTGAAAATGCCTCAACATGAACCCCTGGTGGTCTCTGAGGGTGAAACCTGCTAACTGCTGCAGCTCTGTCAGCTTCAGTCTCCCATGCAGAGCTCGGAGCGCATGTGTGGCTCTGCACCCTTAGCAGCGTTGCTAACTCCTCAGTAAGGAAAGCCTGCTTCATGTCAGAGTCTCTAAACTCCAGAAGAAGTCGATAAAAGTCCCTTTCTTTAAAAAAAAAAGTCGTTAGGGGGTCTGAAAAGTAATTGAATCTAACAACAAAGTCGCTAGGTTTGCAACTACGTGTCCTGAGAGTCCCTCCCTCCCTTCTCATGTTGCAGGAAGAACGTAAGCGCCCGCCCCTTGTCAATCAGTCACCATATAATTTTGGATTGGTTGTTGTGGTGAAGTTTTCCACCAATAGGAGAGATGTTGTGGTGTGTTTTTTTTTTCCTTTGGCAAGCCTTTTCCGCCTGTAAGACCTGTCGCTAATGTCTGCATGCTATGTTTTCCTGTCTCATACAGCGCGATCGAGCGCCGAACGTGATCAAAATAAGCAGAAAACAAGTATCGCGGACATATTTTATCATAACTCTGGTTTTATTTGGCCTATCAACACAATTTAAAAACTGGTATATAGGTTGAGGTCCTCACTTTTGAGATAAGTTGAAACGGAGAGTCAACGAGGCTCCGTCTTGCAGCTACATCCGGTTAAATATGTCATGTGACTTGAACGCACACACACACACACGCACACACACACACACACTCAGAGTCTGGTTTTTAGCACCTGCAAAAACATGCTATTTACATATTTGACAAGAATGCAGAGGCTCCTTTTGCCCCTGAAAAAAATCTAATTTCAAACACAACTTGACTGGTCATTTCTCCAGAAGACAACCATGAAGCTCCATCCAAACCTGAAGCAGGCAGTTGGTGCATGTGTACAGTAACCTGAGGGGAGTGAGGTGAGTGCTTCTGAGGAGAACATGAGCAGTGAAGATTCACCTTGGAACTAGAACAGAGACATGCACATGATTATACAGGGGCAGGGGCTCAAGTTTTTTCCAGTCGTTTATACAATATGGAAATTAATGTGAAATTAAAACACAAAGTATTAATAGAAAGGTAATGACTGTCCTGTGTAGGTGACAGTGATATCCAATAGGCTAGGCAATCACGAGGCTGGCTGTGGCAAGTGTAAGTGAAAGCAACACGCACTGGCAGGAAGAACAGCAAACGCCGATGAAGGAAAAGGGTCTTTGCAGTGATGGGCGTTACCAGAGAGGGCGATGGCCAGAGGACACAAATGGGACGGGGAGGCAGTGCGTTGGGGGGGGGACGCGACACAGCTCGGGCCCGCCAGTGCCCCAACGGGGCCCTAGTTCTTTGTTTCTTTTTTCTTTTTCCTCCCCTTTGAACTGGAAAATGGCCCACTTCCCACTGGCGAAAACTCATGAAATTTGGCAGGACGACCGGGCCTGGTGAAAAATTTGATATTCTGAAGTCGCCCAAACAATACAATGCAAAATGGCTCCATAGCGCCCCCTAAGGTGAAAAATTCACCTGACGCCTGTACGCTTTGTCAAAATGACACAAAAATTGACACACACATGTATCTCAATAAGATCTACAAAAAAGTCAGTGCGGGCGTATCTGTCAAATGTACGGTTAAAGGGTTATTGCGCATTTTTTGCAGATCCGCACACATTGGAATTTCGCTAACTCCTCCGAAGGCTTTCGTTCCACCGGCACCACATTTGCTCAGGCCAATCTACACCCCATGGCCATTAAAAGTTATTCAAATCATGACGCTGCACCCCACGGTTTAGGTTCTAGGGGGCGCCAAAGATAACCCTAAAATCCACATATTTAAAAGTCTTATAACTTTTTATTTTTGTCCTCACTGGCCTCCATGTTTTCTAGGATGATGCAATGTCCAGCCATCAACACATTTGTGAAGGAGTTTTTTCTCTTTAAAAGAGCGCCCCCCCATGGCAGGAGAATAAAGTCAAGTTTTTCCTGTTCATCATTCAATGGCTCAAACGCACTGCTCTCTCGGCAAAAGCGAAAGGAGGAGCAACTTGCCATTAGGATATATCTTAGCTGTGTTTGTGCCCTCACTCATGGTCCAGACTTTTTTCAAATAGGACATGGAGTTTTTCTGCAGCGAGCGTTTTGGTAGAAACTGCGCCTCCCGTTCATTATAATGGTAAATGACCACAAACAAGTGCGCACACCATCTTTGGACCTTGAGTGTGACGCGATCGGGTGGGGGAGGCGGTCGTGCTGGGGGCGGCGTGACACGGCTCGGGCCCGCCAGTGCCCCAACGGGGCCCTAGTTTGTTATTATTATTATTATTTTTCCTCCGCTTTAAACTGGAAAATGGCCCACTTCCCACTGGCGAAAACTCATGAAATTTGGCAGGACGACCGGGCCTGGTGAAAAATTCGATATTTTGAAGTCGCCCAAACAATAAAATGCAAAATGGCTCCATAGCGCCCCCTAAGGTGGAAATTCACACTATTGACTGTCACGTCTGTACGTTTTGTCATATTGACACAAAAATTGACACACATATGTATCTCAATAAGATCTACAAAAAAGTCAGTGCGGGCGTATCTGTCAAATGTACGGTTAAAGGGTTATTTCGCATTTTTTGCCGATCCGCACACATTGGAATTTCGCTAACTCCTCCGAAGGCTTTCGTTCCACCGGCACCACATTTGCTCAGGCCAGTCTACACCCCATGGCCATTAAAAGTTGTACAAATCATGACGCTGCACCCCACGGTTTAGGTTCTAGGGGGCGCCAAAGATAACCCAAAAATCCACATTCTTTAAAGTCTTATAACTTTTTATTTTTGTCCTCACTGCCCTCCAAGTTTTCTAGGATGATGCAATGTCCAGCCATCAACACATTTGTGAAGGAATTTTTACTCCCCAAAAGAGCGCCCCCCCATGGCAGGAGAAAAAAGTCAATTTTTTCTTGTCCCCTTACATGAAAATACACATTGTTGAGTGTCACGCCTGAACGCTTTGTCATATTGACACAAAAATTGACACACACATGTATCTCAATAAAATCTACGAAAAAGTCAAAGAGCGCGTATCTGTATAATGTACGGTTAAAGGGCTATTTCGCATTTTTTGCCGATTCGCACACATTGGAATGTGGCTATCTCCTCCTAAGGCTTTCGTCCCACTGATACCAAATTTGCTCAGGGCAATCTACACCCCATGCCCATTCAAAGTTGTAAAAATCATGACGCTGCACCCCACGGTTTACGTTCTAGGGGGCGCCAAAGATGACCCAAAAATCCACATTCTTAAAAGTCATTTTGGCCACTGCAGGAGTACAGAGTACTGCAGTTCTAGGGGGCGCCAAAGATGACCCAAAAATCCACATTCTTAAAAGTCTTTTTGGCCACTGCAGGAGTACAGAGTACTGCAGGATACACACACATATACACACACGCCAACACACACACACACACACACACACACACACACACACACACACACACACACACTCAGAGTCTGGTTTTTAGCACCTGCAAAAACATGCTGTTTACATATTTGACAAGAATGCAGAGGCTTCCTTTTGCCCCTGACAAAAATCAAATTTCAAACACAACTTGACTGTTCATTTCTCCAAAAGACAACCATGAAGCTCCATCCAAACCTGAAGCAGATAGTTGGTGCATGTGTACAGTAACCTGAGGGGAGTGAGGTGACTATTTCTGAGGAGAACATGAGCAGTGAAGATTCACCTTGGAGCTAGAACAGGGACGTGCACATGATTATACAGGGGCAGGGGCTCAAGTTTTTTCCAGTCATTTATACAATATGGAAATTAATGTGAAATTAAAAAACAAAGTATTAATAGAAAGGTTATGACTGTCCTGTGTAGATGACAGTGATATCCAATAGGCTAGGCACTCACGAGGCTGGCTGTGGCAAGTGTAAGTGAAAGCAACACGCACTGGCAGGAAGAACAGCAAACGCCGATGAAGGAAAGGGTCTTTGCAGTGATGGGCGTTACCAGAGAGGACGATGGCCAGAGGACGCGAATGGGACGGGGAGGCAGCGCGTTGGGGGGGGCAGCGCGACACGGCTCGGGCCCGCCAGTGCCCCAACGGGGCCCTAGTTAGGGCCCGAGCGTAGCTGCTAAGCAGCTGCGAGAGCCCTCTTGTTCCTGTAGTTTCCTTCTTTAGGGCCCGAGCGTAGCTGCTAAGCAGCTGCGAGAGCCCTCTTGTTCCTGTAGTTTCCTTCTTTTGTTATTATTATTATTTTTCCTCCCCTTTGAACTGGAAAATGGCCCACTTCCCACTGGCGAAAACTCATGAAATTTGGCAGGACGACCGGGCCTGGTGAAAAATTTGATATTCCGAAGTCGCCCAAACAAGAAAATGCAAAATGGCTCCATAGCGCCCCCTAAGGTGAAAATTCACACTATTGACTGTCACGCCTGTACGCTTTGTCAAAATGACACAAAAATTGACACACACATGTATCTCAATAAGATCTACAAAAAAGTCAGTGCGGGCGTATCTGTCAAATGTACGGTTAAAGGGTTATTTCGCATTTTTTGCCGATCCGCACACATTGGAATTTCGCTAACTCCTCCGAAGGCTTTCGTTCCACCGGCACCACATTTGCTCAGGCCAATCTACACCCCATGGCCATTAAAAGTTATTCAAATCATGACGCTGCACCCCACGGTTTAGGTTCTAGGGGGCGCCAAAGATAACCCTAAGATCCACATATTTAAAAGTCTAATAACTTTTTATTTTTGCCGTCACTGGCCTCCAAGTTTTCTAGGATGATGCAATGTCCAGCCATCAACACATTTGTGAAGGAATTTTTACTCCCCAAAAGAGCGCCCCCCCATGGCAGGAGAAAAAAGTCCATTTTTTCTTGTCCCCTAAGGTGAAAATACACATTGTTGAGTGTAACACCTGTACGCTTTGGCAAAATGACACAAAAATTGACACACACATGTATCTCAATAAGATCTACGAAAAAGTCAATGCGCGCGTATCTGTCAAATGTACGGTTAAAGGGTTATTCCGCATTTTTTGCCGATCCGCACACATTGGAATTTCGCTAACTCCTCCGAAGGCTTTCGTTCCACCGGCACCACATTTGCTCAGGCCAATCTACACCCCATGGCCATTAAAAGTTATTCAAATCATGACGCTGCACCCCACGGTTTAGGTTCTAGGGGGCGCCAAAGATAACCCTAAAATCCACATATTTAAAAGTCTTATAACTTTTTATTTTTGTCCTCTCTGGCCTCCAAGTTTTCTAGGATGATGCAATGTCCAGCCATCAACACATTTGTGAAGGAATTTTTACTCCCCAAAAGAGCCCCCCCCCATGGCAGGAGAAAAAAGTCAATTTTTTCTTGTCCCATAAGGTGAAAATACACATTGTTGACTGTCACGCCTGTACGCTTTATCATATTGACACAAAATTTGACAATCACATGTATCTCAATAAGATCTACGAAAAAGTCAATGCGCGCGTATCTGTCAAATGTACGGTTAAAGGGCTATTTTGCATTTTTTGCCGATTAGCACACATTGGAATGTGGCTAACTCCTCCTAAGTCTTTCGTCCCACTGACACCAAATTTGCTCAGGCCAATCTACACCCCATGGCCATTCAAAGTTTTAAAAATCATGACGCTGCACCCCACGGTTTACGTTCTAGGGGGCGCCAAAGATGACCCAAATATCCACATTCTTAAAAGAATCCACCCCCCCCCCCATCCCCCATCCCCCATCCCCCATCCCCCATGGCAGGAGAAACAGTCAAGTTTTTCCTGCCCATCACTCAATGGCTCAATCGCATCGCTCTCCCGGCAACACCGTAACGAGGAGCAACTTGCCGTTTGGATATATCCTAGCTGTGTTTGTGCCCTCACTCATGGTCCAGACTTTTTTCAAATAGGACATGTAGTTTGTCTGCAGCGAGTGTTTTGGTAGAAACTGCGCCTCCCATTTATTATAATGGGAAATGACCACAGACAAGTGCGCACACCATCTTTGGACCTTGAGTGTGACGCGATCAGGAGGGGGAGGCGGTCGCACTGGGGGCGGCGCAACGCGGCTCGGGCCCGCCAGTGCCCCAACGGGGCCCTAGTTTGTTATTATTATTATTATTATTATTTTTCCTCCCCTTTGAACTGGAAAATGGCCCACTTCCCACTGGCAAAAACTCATGAAATTTGGCAGGACGACCGGGCCTCGTGAAAAATTTGATATTCCGAAGTCGCCCAAACAAGAAAATGCAAAATGGCTCCATAGCGCCCCCTAAGGTGAAAATTCACACTATTCACTGTCACGCCTGTACGCTTTGTCAAAATGACACAAAAATTGACACACACATGTATCTCAATAAGATCTACAAAAAAGTCAGTGCGGGCGTATCTGTCAAATGTACGGTTAAAGGGTTATTTCGCATTTTTTGCCGATCCGCACACATTGGAATTTCGCTAACTCCTCCGAAGGCTTTCGTTCCACCGGCACCACATTTGCTCAGGCCAATCTACACCCCATGGCCATTAAAAGTTATTCAAATCATGACGCTGCACCCCACGGTTTAGGTTCTAGGGGGCGCCAAAGATAACCCTAAGATCCACATATTTAAAAGTCTTATAACTTTTTATTTTTGCCCTCACTGGCCTCCAAGTTTTCTAGGATGATGCAATGTCCAGCCATCAACACATTTGTGAAGGAATTTTTACTCCCCAAAAGAGCGCCCCCCCATGGCAGGAGAAAAAAGTCCATTTTTTCTTGTCCTCTAAGGTGAAAATACACATTGTTGAGTGTAACACCTGTACGCTTTGGCAAAATGACACAAAAATTGACACACACATGTATCTCAATAAGATCTACGAAAAAGTCAATGCGCGCGTATCTGTTACATGTACGGTTAAAGGGTTATTCCGCATTTTTTGCCGATCCGCACACATTGGAATTTCGCTAACTCCTCCGAAGGCTTTCGTTCCACCGGCACCACATTTGCTCAGGCCAATCTACACCCCATGGCCATTAAAAGTTATTCAAATCATGACGCTGCACCCCACGGTTTAGGTTCTAGGGGGCGCCAAAGATAACCGTAAAATCCACATATTTAAAAGTCTTATAACTTTTTATTTTTGTCCCCACTGGCCTCCAAGTTTTCTAGGATGATGCAATGTCCAGCCATCAACACATTTGTGAAGGAATTTTTACTCCCCAAAAGAGCGCCCCCCCATGGCAGGAGAAAAAAGTCAATTTTTTCTTGTCCACTAAGGTGAAAATACACATTGTTGAGTGCTACGCCTGTATGTTTTGTCGTATTGACACAAAATTTTACATACACGTGTATTTTAATAAGATCTTCGAAAAAGTCAATGGCCACGTATCTGTAAAATGTACGGTTAAAGGGTTATTTTGCATTTTTTGCAGATTCGCACACATTGGAATTTCGCTAACTCCTCCGAAGGCTTTTGTTCCACCGGCACCACATTTGCTCAGGCCAATCTACACCCCATGGCCATTAAAAGTTATTCAAATCATGACGCTGCACCCCACGGTTTAGGTTCTAGGGGGCGCCAAAGATAACCCTAAAATCCACATATTTAAAAGTCTTATAACTTTTTATTTTTGTCCTCACTGGCCTCCATGTTTTCTAGGATGATGCAATGTCCAGCCATCAACACATTTGTGAAGGAGTTTTTTCTCGTTAAAAGAGCGCCCCCCCATGGCAGGAGAATAAAGTCAAGTTTTTCCTGTTCATCATTCAATGGCTCAAACGCACTGCTCTCTCGGCAAAAGCGAAAGGAGGAGCAACTTGCCATTTGGATATATCTTAGCTGTGTTTGTGCCCTCACTCATGGTCCAGACTTTTTTCAAATAGGACATGGAGTTTTTCTGCAGCGAGCGCTTTGGTAGAAACTGCGCCTCCCGTTCATTATAATGGTAAATGACCACAAACAAGTGCGCACACCATCTTTGGACCTTGAGTGTGACGCGATCGGGTGGGGGAGGCGGTCGCGCTGGGGGCGGCGTGACACGGCTCGGGCCCGCCAGTGCCCCAACGGGGCCCTAGTTTCTTCTTTTTCCTCCCCTTTGAACTGGAAAATGGCCCACTTCCCACTGGCGAAAACTCATGAAATTTGGCAGGACGACCGGACCTGGTGAAAAATTCGATATTCTGAAGTCGCCCAAACAATAAAATGCAAAATGGCTCCATAGCGCCCCCTAAGGTGGAAATTCACACTATTGACTGTCACGCCTGTACGCTTTGTCATATTGACACAAAAATTGACACACATATGTATCTCAATAAGATCTACAAAAAAGTCAGTGCGGGCGTATCTGTCAAATGTACGGTTAAAGGGTTATTTCGCATTTTTTGCCGATCCGCACACATTGGAATTTCGCTAACTCCTCCGAAGGCTTTCGTTCCACCGGCACCACATTTGCTCAGGCCAATCTACACCCCATGGCCATTAAAAGTTATTCAAATCATGACGCTGCACCCCACGGTTTAGGTTCTAGGGGGCGCCAAAAATAACCCTAAAATCCACATATTTAAAAGTCTTATAACTTTTTATTTTTGTCCTCACTGGCCTCCAAGTTTTCTAGGATGATGCAATGTCCAGCCATCAACACATCTGTGAAGGAATTTTTACTCCCCAAAAGAGCGCCCCCCCATGGCAGGAGAAAAAAGTCCATTTTTTCTTGTCCCCTAAGGTGAAAATACACATTGTTGAGTGTCACGCCTGTACGCTTTGGCAAAATGACACAAAAATTGACACACACATGTATCTCAATAAGATCTACAAAAAAGTCCATGCGCGCGTATCTGTCAAATGTACAGTTAAAGGGTTATTCCGCATTTTTTGCCGATACGCACACATTGGAATTTCGCTAACTCCTCCGAAGGCTTTCGTTCCACCGGCACCACATTTGCTCAGGCCAATCTACACCCCATGGCCATTAAAAGTTATTCAAATCATGATGCTGCACCCCATTGTTTAGGTTCTAGGGGGCGCCAAAAATAACCCAAAAATCCACATTCTTAAATGTTTTTTAACTTTTTTTTTTTGTCCTCACTGGCCTCCAAGTTTTCTAGGATGATGCAATGTCCAGCCATCAACACATTTGTGAAGGAATTTTTACTCCCCAAAAGAGCGCCCCCCCATGGTAGGAGAAAAAAGTCAATTTTTTCTTGTCCCCTTACATGAAAATACACATTGTTTAGTGTCACGCCTGAACGCTTTGTCATATTGACACAAAAATTGACAATCATGTGTATCTCAATTAGATCTACGAAAAAGTCAAAGAGCGCGTATCTGTATAATGTACGGTTAAAGGGCTATTTTGCATTTTTTGCCGATTCGCACACATTGGAATGTGGCTATCTCCTCCTAAGGCTTTCGTCCCACCGATACCAAATTTGCTCAGGGCAATCTACACCCCATGCCCATTCAAAGTTGTTAAAATCATGACACTGCACCCCACGGTTTACGTTCTAGGGGGCGCCAAAGATGACCCAAAAATCCACATTCTTAAAAGTCATTTTGGCCACTGCAGGAGTACAGAGTACTGCAGTTCTAGGGGGCGCCAAAGATGACCCAAAAATCCACATTCTTAAAAGTCTTTTTGGCCACTGCAGGAGTACAGAGTACTGCAGGATACACACACATATACACACACGCCAACATACATACATACACACACACACACACACACACACACACAGACACACACACACACTCAGAGTCTGTTTTTTAGCACCTGCAAAAACATGCTGTTTACATATTTGACAAGAATGCAGAGGCTTCCTTTTGCCCCTGAAAAAAATCAAATTTCAAACACAACTTGACTGTTCATTTCTCCAAAAGACAACCATGAAGCTCCATTTCAAACCTGAAGCAGATAGTTGGTGCATGTGTACAGTAACCTGAGGGGAGAGAGGTGACTATTTCTGAGGAGAACATGAGCAGTGAAGATTCACCTTGGAGCTAGAACAGGGACGTGCACATGATTATACAGGGGCAGGGGCTCAAGTTTTTTCCAGTCATTTATACAATATGGAAATTAATGTGAAATTAAACCACAAATATGTGTGATGAACTGTTTTTAAAACTTAAACTTCAAATAAAACGCTGCACCCCACGGTTTAGGTTCTAGGGGGCGCCAAAGATAACCCTAAAATCCACATATTTAAAAGTCTTATAACTTTTTATTTTTGTCCTCACTGGCCTCCAAGTTTTCTAGGATGATGCACACGCACACACACGCACACACACACACACACACACACTCAGAGTCTGGTTTTTAGCACCTGCAAAAACATGCTATTTACATATTTGACAAGAATGCAGAGGCTCCTTTTGCCCCTGAAAAAAATCAAATTTCAAACACAACTTGACTGGTCATTTCTCCAAAAGACAACCATGAAGCTCCATCCAAACCTGAAGCAGGCAGTTGGTGCATGTGTACAGTAACCTGAGGGGAGTGAGGTGAGTGCTTCTGAGGAGAACATGAGCAGTGAAGATTCACCTTAGAGCCAGAACAGGGACGTGCACATGATTATACAGGGGCAGGGGCTCAAGTTTTTTCCAGTCGTTTATACAATATGGAAATTAATGTGAAATTAAAACACAAAGTATTAATAGAAAGGTAATGACTGTCCTGTGTAGGTGACAGTGATATCCAATAGGCTAGGCACTCACGAGGCTGGCTGTGGCAAGTGTAAGTGAAAGCAACACGCACTGGCAGGAAGAACAGCAAACGCCGATGAAGGAAAAGGGTCTTTGCAGTGATGGGCGTTACCAGAGAGGGCGATGGCCAGAGGACACAAATGGGACGGGAAGGCAGCACGTTGGGGGGGGGGGGGGGACGCGACACGGCTCGGGCCCGCCAGTGCCCCAACGGGGTCCTAGTACACAATTCAACTGGTACAATAATTCTGGTTATTATTATTGCATATAACTGCTAAAAAGCTGTTTTGTAAAAAAAAAAAACATTTCAACATGAGAATGTCTTTAAGTGATTCAGAACATTCACAGCTGTACTTTTGAAAAGAAAAAGTAACACATTTCAACAATCTGAACTGAAACTCTGATCCTCTCATCAGACTTCTTTAGATAAAAATACCCCTGGCCAAATGACTCAACTTACCCCAGAACTAATATAAAGACTTGATTAGTCCTCTCAGCTAAAATGGTGGACATTTATGCTAGGTTTTTGACCTCATGCTGTAGCTCATAAATACCACAATTGATGAATAAAAGTATTTTAAAATTTTTTGGTCTGAACACAATTCTGATAAACGTTATGACAGACTAAGTTCACTTTCAAGAGTGAAAAATGTTTTTTTTTTTTTTTTTTTTTTTTTTTGTGGGGGGGGGGGGGTCTAACTCCTTCACCCATGAGCTTCCTACCTTCACAGACTCCATGAATTGATGCCCATCTCCTAAATATTTGGTCACATGGTCAATTTCTTTTACCATTTCCAAACAACAGGTGATGGCTCAACTTATTCTATCATAGGCTAACTCTGAGGATGCCCGCAAGTGTTAAGATATTTATTTTTTGTTTTCATAGTTTAGGTAACTTAAACATAACCTTAAAGTACCCGAAACACAATGTAAGGAGGCATATGTAGTCTATATCCTCCTTCTTTTTCCCACTGAAATATACGTGACAGCATGTCTTCAAAAAAGATGTCTGATAAAGGATCACACAGTTAAGCAGTCTAGACTAACACATTACACTAATCCCCTCATCCGCCTGTAGAGAGAGGGGGGATTAGCTACAGAACAGCAGTGGATCTTGTGATGGAGATTGTTTTTTCCAACTGCTGTTTAAAAGGCTCTTAGCCGACATTTTCACATTAGTCCCCTTGTAACTGTTTGTTTTAAAAGTATAAGTGCCATTCCATACTTTTTACAATGCCTTTACATAAATGCTGATTTCAAATTGTCCTATAATTAGAATGAGATTTCTTTTTTTAAGCCAAACACTGTAAATAAAAGGAAACTTGTCTGTGCTGGCAGATGCCGTTCTACTGATTTCCAAATCTGAATTTGAGTAAACAGTATTTTATAAAACTGGACACAGGAAATTAGAAGGGTTTGTTTATTTTGTCAGGACAAGATTAAATCCTCTAGATGGCGGTAGAAGGACACTCTTCTGTAGATCAGTAGCGTCCTGTATGTGAAAAAAGTCACACAGTTGTGCCCTGGGTGGCGCAATGCGTGCATACATTTACCAGGGAGCACAATGTTATGAAAATTTAACAGAAATATTTAGCAATTAAACACAATTTACTTCTATAGGAGGCATTTGGGTTCATATTATGAATCCTTCATGGCCAGCCAATGTAGCTAAGATTCTAAGGGAAGTAGCCTATTACTTTTAAGGATTACTTATGACTTACAAAAATCATAATCTCCTCTTATTTTTGAGGCAAGAATATAAGTACAACAATATTATTGATTTTTTATTTGTTTAGCACAAATACAGGCGATGGAATCTAATAATAGTGTATTTATTACAACAAAAACTTACCTTATCATTTGTTCGTATAAAAATACAAGAAAATCATGGACACACAATGCAAAACTGGTGAAACAGGACAAACTCAAAACAAGCAGGAGAGGATAAATATAAAGTTAGTGGCTTAAAAAAAAAAAAAGCAGAATACTTTATCTTCGTAAGGACAGCTGTTCATTTATCAATGGCATTAAAGCACACGGAGATATACACTCCAACACGGTAGGTGGCAGTACGCAGCGTAGTGATGTGAGTTTTTTTGCATTGGTTTTACAAATCAGAAGAAGGAGGAAGTGCAACTGCAACCCAGTTTTTTTTTAACAAGGGACGCTTTTTCGACTTTTCGACTCAATATATCCGGTAAATTACAGCTTTAATGTTCACTAGACTTTGATACTTAGTACAAAATCTATATACTTGAGCTGGAGACGAATGTCAATTGTCGATAGTTGTAGCTGGTAAATAGGACAACGTTTTGTTTTCTTCCCATGCTAACAACAAGCAACGCTAGCCTGTGGCGAATATCGAGTCATATGACAATGAAGACAATTTCGGCAAGCAATAAAAGACTTGAGAGGCTGCTTTTCACAAAGATCATTTACTCAAGTCGTGCAGATGATAATATATGATTGTACACTAAATTGTCATCAGTAGTTTAACAGGTAATGTTTGATTAAAAGAGTTACAATGTTACTTGTTTTTACTGTTACAGGATAAAAACAAAGATGAACCTGGAGCGGCTCCCCAATGAAGAGAAACTCAGCCTTTGTAGGAAATACTACTTAGGTGAGAGTTTTGTTTTTTTTTGTCAATTTGATGATTCAAAAACATGTTTAGGCTTGACCAATTTTCTTATGGAAAATTGGACTTGCCTTAATGTTTATCATTTGTATGACCATTTTTCTCTCTCTGTTTTTCAGGAGGTTTTGCATTTCTACCATTCCTCTGGCTCGTCAATGTTGTGTGGTTTTTCCGTGAAGCCTTTGTGAAGCCAGTATACAGTGAGCAGCTCCAGATAAAGACATGTGAGTATCAAAGCTATGTCAATACCATTTACTAGCCATTGTTTCCTTTATTTTAGCAAATTAAAAATAATGCCTGTAAAACGTTTGTTTACCTGTAGTTATTCTATTGTTTTAACTCTTCTACAAAGATCAGGTATGCGCTATAGTCAGCATCATCTCAAAGAACTGTTGGAGAACTTAATGGATCACCTTAGTTATTTTCAAAAATTGCCACTGTAAACATTTACAGCTAGAGCTAAACTTATGGTGCGTCAGAGCTGAAAATGACGTCACACCCGTGTTCCCAGCGTTTCATTTACCAAGTCGGAAAAAAGGCAAAATCAAAGGCCTGAAACAAGATGGCTATATCTGCAAAATTTATTTTAGCCCTTGCGTTATATTCGGACAAGGAAAGCACTAAAATAACTTTCGTAGATGTAGCCATCTTGTTTCCGCCTCCGATTTTGCTTTTTTCTGACTTGGTAACTGAACGCTTGTAACTCAAGTGTGATGTAATTTTCAGCTTGGAATTCTGACTTTAGAGGTAACTTGAATGCAGTATTAGACACGGTCACCAAACTTTATATTTTCATTTAAAATAATTGTTTACGTACATGCAAAACATCTCAATGCTCCTGTTAGAAGTTATTTGACATTTATGTTATTTACTAAGATTCATATTGATGCCTTTTTACTATATACCAAAACAAAGGATCATTAATGACAAGGTTAATTATTCTTACATCGTAGGTTTTTATGCTGTAAACCAATGATGAGGATAGATGTCAGCTGAGCAGCCAAAGAAACAGGCCTTTTTTAAATTATGCGTGAAATATTAACAGTTTATTCTGTGTCTGTCAAGAATCAGCTAATTGAGATTTCTTGTCACTAGACACTTCTTAAGAGGCGTCTTACAGACAAGACAAGTGAAAACTTTGTGTCCACAGGAGGCGCCAAAATGGACACAAATCAAAAGTTCCTCACAGGAACTTTAAACAACCAAGAATGTAAATTGTATTTGAAATTGTATGATTTAATTTGAAGAAAGCACATTCACATGAACACAAGAGTTCAGTTAATTTTCAAAATGAAGTACCGAAGAAAGTATGGTTCACACATTGATATAAATGTAGCATACTTGGAGAATAACAAGACATTTATTTAGTCCATGTTACCCATCATTGTGCTTTTACATCACATATTTGAGGCTAGTCAACAGAAATTCACCACCTGTTCCATTCACATTTCCAACAGTGTTGAGTTACTTTTAATGCCAAAAGTTTATGCAAAACTGCTGCATGATAGGATATTCCTGCATATGTGACCCTTTTTATACTAAGTACGTGTTGTGTGTGCTTTCAATGCAGATGTCAAGCGGTCGGCCTTTGGGTTACTGCTTTGGGTAGCAGTTCTTACAACCTGGATCACAATATTTCAGCATTTCAGAGCTGAGTGGGGAGAGGTGGGAGACTACCTGTCCTTCACGATCCCACTGGGCATTCCTTAGGAAATTCCTTATGACAGAACTTGTGGACCACAGAAATTCTTTTTTAGATAAAAGTGTAAGCTTTGGTGACTGAATTTGTTGTTTCAATCCAGTTGACAAAGTACTCAAAGTTAACCTCTTTAAGAGCCTAGTGCTTTTACGGAGGCCGTGTCTGTTTATTTGAGAAGATTCCATGGATTTAGTATAGGTTGATCTTGTGTAGGGGACAATATTATCCACTAAAACAGCTTTGAAACAATGGTATGCATTAAGATTAGTATTGAATGTCAGGTTTAACAATTTTTATTATCTTGACCAGAAATTGTTAATAGTTCTGTATTGTTGTGCACTGATATCTGTTTTACTCATGGATGATTAATAAAAAAAAGTCAAAAGTACCTGCTGACGCTGTTTTTCCTTCATACACTATGAATGTAACCTGAAGTTTGTATGTCTGTTTGGCTTTCTTTATTCATCCAGAATTAATGACTCAGTGTGGATGTTTAGTTTGGTGACTCATCTGTGAGCTATTTTCTCCATACATACTCCTAATATTTTGTATTGTTGTTGCTGTCCCCTAAAGGCTGGACATGGGTTCACCGGCGCCTGTAATGAAATACAATAACATAATCCCCCCCCAATGTCCCCACTTCCCTGTCTCCTATATGAGTCATAACATAATCAGAGCCATTTTTGTCACCAGTGAAAGCTTAAGTGACAGGTTCCACATCACTAACAGGGAGAACATGTGCACCCTGTATTAACTGCTGACTTCTCTGCCATGTGCCAAGAACATATCAGAGGTAGTAGCACAGTCAGATCTATCCACAACATAGAGTGACTCAGTACAGCAGATTTATACGGGAATGGAATGAAAGGAATTCGTTTATGGACAGTATGCTGTATGTGTGTGTGTGCTGTGGGAAGTACTGGAGTTGAGGTATTTATACCCTTGAACATTAAACAAAGATATAATTCATATTTTTTTAGGCTGATCATTAAAAATGTAGGCCTTTATTAGGTTTCATATGCTTATTTCAACCAGTCACATATTTTCATATCACAGGGACCACAGCACTAAAACTAATAAATCTGCAGTTTTTCAATCTAGCTCAATTTGTGATTTTGACACTATTAAATTAATTTTAGTTACTTATCTCAGTAGCTACTTCATCTCTGACAGTGACTGATGGAGGTCAGGGGCTCCTTCGCGACGCACGTGCTCCTACATGTGTTTGGTACGTCCCTGCTGTCACTGTCTGTCCAGCAACAGCCAACGAGAGTCAACAACATTGTCTTTTGAACTTATTTTTGGACGGATCTGCCTTGACAACCGTCCTCAGACCTTACATTCATGCAAGTTTTATAAGTGACCAGTCCCTCTGCATCGGCGCCATCAGTACAAGAGATAAACTGTAAATTGGTTACAGTCAATACACACATTAATTGCCTTAATCCCGCGACAGCTGCGTCACTCCCAATACAATACGCCCTTATCCTATACGGCGCTGGCTGAGCACCCAAGGGTACGTATTAGCACAGAGCATAACAGAGGCAAGGTGCCTCACTACGAATTCCCATCTCATTATGCAACTCCAGTATAAAATACACCACAACAGGCAGTCACGCCACGCACCCACTGGGAGAGGAACTCAGAGGTAGACAGAGAGGCGCACCAGTTCGTCACCAGTACTCCTTGTACCCCATCCAGGACCTCTTCAAAGCTCTTTACAGGGGCCGTCCTTTCCCTTTCACACACTTATTTGGTCAGGGAATTTAAGAGGAGGTAAGCTGTGGCAAGTGTCTTACATTTCCTTGTCTGATTTTCTTGCACCCTAACTTGTGTTTAGTCATTTCTTGTTTTCTAATCCTTAAATTTTTGTTTTTGTAGAGATGGATTTCGTCCTGCCACACACTCTACCAGCCGGTGGTATTCAATGGGAAAAAGTTATACCACCTCTTATCCCTCGCTTGAATGGGACCTATGGACAATATAATTGGGCTCCAATAATTTCAGAGACTGATAATACCAGCTCTGCAGAGGTAGGCTATTCATTGTTAATTTTCACAGTTCATGGAATAGCTAGAAGAAGAAAAAAGTTGATTATTTTTATCGTTTCTGAGTTGAAACCAGCTGATATCAAAGTCGACTCTGTGAAGAAGTTACCTCCTAGTACTAGTATGCGCATTTTCAACCACATCTTAGCCTTCTACAGCCACAGCAGATGCCTTTGACAGCTGTGACAGAAACAGAATATCTATCTATCTAGATTGTTTATTCAATCAAATATACATACAGTACAATTTTAGACAAGAAATTCCCCATTTTTTGGAGATCGAAAAGGAGTAGACTATTTAGCTTATTTGTACCTACCCTCATTCCTTCTTATTCATTTACCCTTTACATGTCTCTAGAATCTTAGAATTTCTGATGTTGCCAAAAAGTAACCAAAGTAACCATACCGATATACACGTATGTACACACATATATATATATATCTATATAGATATATACCTAGAATACTTCAAATGTCTCATTTGTACCATACCCATATACAATATAGTAAATGTGGCAAAACGAAAATCACTTTTGAAAGTAGTTTTCGAGATAGAAAGATAGATAAATAGAGATAGATTTTCAAAACATACAAAAGCGTTCAATTGACTATTAATAGCTCACATGCGTAGTTTTATTTGTAGGCTGTTTGCTATACAGGTATTTGGTATCTGTGAAATAAAATGCAGTTTGTATTACTTCAATAGGTGAACTGTGATGACAGGGGGTTTACAGTTCAAGTTGATGTAAAAGACTTCAGCCCACAGGACCTACTGGTGAAAGTGGTTGGAGACTTTGTGGAAGTGCAAGGAAAACATGAGGAAAAAAAGGTTTGTCGTATGGAAGATTCACATCAGCTGTTTTTGGTTTGCTTGCTTATTTTGAACCATTCAAGAGTCACGATCTGTACTGTCCTCTAAACTTGTATACATGTTTTTGTAGAAGAATGGTCCAGGATTTACAACCAGGCAGTTTAATCGCCGCTACCGAATCCCTAAAGGTGTGGATACCATGGCTTTAGAGTCAGCGGTCTCCCCAGATGGTGTTCTTATCATTGCTGCACCAATGCTACAAGCAAGAATCCTGAACTGATGATAATGATATCTATCTTCACTATCAACAAAAACAAATCCAAGAGGAACCTTCAACACCACTCTTTCACCTGCAGTCATAGCAACAGTCTGTGTGCCAAAACATTCATTTGTTTTGTTACTGGCACTGTCACATTATTCCCTGCTCTCTGAGGTTTGTATATACCGCTCTGATTGTAACTCTTCACTCTTACATAATGTTTCAAGGAACTATTCTTGTAAATATTCTGCACGATTGATTCAAAGTTATGCCTTTTTTTGTGCAACTTTTGTAAACTGCACTGTATAATGGTTGCGATAAATTATGCACATTGACATGTCTCAGATTTCTTGAATGTGGAAATCTTTTTCCTTCCAAAACAAGGTATAAATAAGCTTTATTTCATTGTAAAATATAATAAAAATTACATAATCAAGTTCATTTTGCTAATAGCAAAGTACTTTGTTGTTTGTCCAGAATGTCATTAATCAGGTAGTCCACTTCCCTGAAAAAAAGGGAAGAACAGAAAATCATCAATGTGGGCTTTGGTGTGTTGTTTTTGCAGCATATGATGATTCAAGTGCACTTTTTTTTTCACTGGATTCCAAGATAATCACATGTACATTAAAAACTTTTACATAACTGATTACATTCATTTTGGTGTATTATGTGCTTATCAATGATTAATTTACCTGATATGTTCCTTTACCCTCTTTCTCTGTTTGCGAAGGACTAACAACAAAGTGTCGTCTTCAAACTCTTTTTCATCTGAATCTAAAAACAAAAAGCGGTGTTAAGGGTTACAGGAATCAAAAAAGGACCAAGGCTGTGTGTGAACTGTCTCAAGACCAAAAACCAAATCACACATGTATGAACAGCAAAATTTATCATGGAGTATAAATGGTCCCAGATTTCCATATGAAGGGCAAGCTTATGTAAAGAAAGACCCAGAAAGTCTTGGTATGCAGAAGTTATTAATAGATCAGTGGATATTCTCCACAGTTAATTAGAGGGGAAAGGTTGTTGATCTTTGCTACCATGTGCTCACCTTCAGCCTCTTGCAGCAGCTGTGAAATGACCTCCAAAGAGTTCTGATCATTGCATTGATGAACTGAGGACTGCGACAGTGCTGATAAAGTGTGTGGAGGGGAAACAGATGACACAGGCGTCTCCTGTGCAGGAGATGATTCTGCCGTGGGGAAAAGCACCTCGGAAACTGCCTGCCAATGCCAAACAGAAACACTGGTCAATGCAACTGTTGATCATCAAAATGAGTCTTAGCCTCAACTTTATATTACTATGTATAAAGTTAAGAAAATTTATGTAAAAAAAAAAATGACAAAAACATTCAGACTTTACACCTTCATGATGATTAGTAAGTGTCACTCTCCTAATAAATCTGTATGTATTTATAGTTCCTCATCATAAAGACCTATTTTGGGCTTCAAATGAGTCACTTACTCTGAAATATTCTTGTGCTGACAGGTACTCTGTTGGATAGAAGTTCTTACATCTCATTTGAACAAATTAAGAGACACACACCTGCCTGGCTCAAAAAAAAAAAAAAGGTATCTGTAATGTAGTCCATCTCATTGGCACCATTTGGAAGGATCATTTACCACAGGGGGTCAAGTATCAGGAATCTTAAATCCTTATAAAATGCCACATTTTGAGGAGCAATATATTGGAGTGCCGTATTTTGTTGTATAGATTTCTAACTGGCTATCAAAGTGAAAACCTGACTGAGCAGTACAGAGAGCATCCCTAGCTTAATCAGAGTATTGTGTAACTTTTCTGAGTAAAAAACAAAACAATACAGGAAAATATTTAACATCACAACTGGTGAAGGAGCTAAGAAAATATCAATGGCTTGTTGACCTGTCCTAATGCGCTTTTGATATGAGATGGTGGTGCATGATCAATACGTCGCCCACTGCGAAACTCCTTGGGTCCCTTTTGTTGCTGTTGCTCCTCAGCCAGTGGCAAAACTTTTCTGGAAACTCTGTGATGTGATGAACTGCTGTTTGAAGAGTCAGAACCATCAGAATGTAACTGTTTCGTGTGTAACCACAAACATATAGAAATAATTTGCACTTTGCATGTTATGTGCATGTTTATACTCTTTACCTTGTTGACTTCTTTTGCTTCCTACAGGAGACAGGTGGCTCCTTTTGTATCTTTTCAGACCCTTTTGTTTGACATTTCTCTCTCTTGGTCCTCTCAGTGTCTCTGTGGTGACAAGGTCTCTCTCCTTCCATGGCTCCAGAGGGAGCATGTGGTTGGGCTGGCAAATGTTCACAATCTGGTTTATTAGTGGCTGTTTTTAACGAGTTTTCGGGGACTTTGGCCTTTTTGTGCACACCACTGGTTTCATCCATTCCTTGCAAAATGTCTTGTTCTGTGCTTGCATTGGACGTCTGACTCGGACAGGGCAAGATATCACACAAATAATGCATATGGGCAGGAACATTGGCAACGGTTTGTGGTTGAGAGACAGAAGAGCTGGAGACAGCAAAGGGAGGGAATGCAGCTGGACCTAAAGATGGGGTAGATGATCCAGGGGTTTCTTTGGTCTCTGGTCTGAGAGAAGCGGTGTGAGGGTGCACAGATTTTCCTGCAATGTCTGGATTTTGAGTACTTCCCTGTGGCAAGAAGAAATTACCTTTTAGTTATTTTAAGTATTTAAACAATAAAACTAAAATAAAAACAAAGTAAGTCTTGTACTATGACTCCAACCTTGTAGACTTGTCCTCTATTTGGGGTTTGACTCAAACTGGGGGACTGCCAGTTGGATGCTGCACCATGACAACCAGATTGTTGCCAGGGCGACTCCCTTGCCTGCTCAATCTTTCTCCTCAAACGCCACTGGAACAAGATGTCTTCTTCAGGTCGAGTGGGGGGCATCAGTGAAGGAATTTCGGAGGGTTTTTGGGAGGTCAAAGCTCGAATTGAGTCTAAGCTCGCATTTGCTGAGTTTTGGGAAACACATTATACAATTACTCTGACAGCAGGTGTAAAATGTTAGACATGAAAAAGAGGAAAACTATATCACATGATATATAAAACAGGAACAGCATTAAGGCTTGTATTTCAGTTAACAGACATAAAATTTCACTTAAGTCAACAGTCATTTTACCATTAGCAAGAGGAACCAGCGGTCTTTGCACTGGTTCATCTGTGCTGAGAGGAGAAGAGAAATCTGAGCATCCCAGACCCTCTGAACTGACGTGGATGGATTCTTCATTTGTGGCATATTCACTGTTACAAAGATAAAAAGCAGCTTAGGACTGAAATATTTCATCAATTTATTTATGATGTGGCAAGCTGGTTTTCATACTCTCTCAAAAGGAGTCTATTGGCCTTTTCTTGAAGTTGAAGTAACTGCGAGTCATCGAAGTCACAGCTGGAGGTGTCTGACAAAATCTGAGAAAAGGAGATGAGAAAAACATTAATACTGCAAGAATCACTAAAAGTAAATAATGACGTAAGCATTAAAGCAAAAGAGAAATCTTAGCACTCATGTTATCTGGCTTTATGTTATCTATTAGAGCACCCCTGTCCTCCAAAAACTGCACTGGCTCCCCATCTCACACCACATACAATTCAAAATCCTCCTGCTCACCCACAAATCACATTACAACCTGGCTCCCACCTACCTCACAGACCTGCTCCACCACGACACCCCCACCTGCCCTCTGATCCTCAGAGGGAAATCTTCTTGCCCTACCCCCTTGGACCAAGCACCAAACTTGGGGGGACAGAGCCTTCTCCACTGCCACCCCCACCCTCTGGAATTCACTCCCCAAACCCATCCGAGACTGTACAGACCCCCACATTTTAAAAATCACTCCTAAAAACACACCTTTTTAAATTGGCTTTTAACCTGTGAACTGTTCTTTTATTGTCTTCTCATATTGTGTCTTTTTTAACCTTCTACATCGTTGGTTTTATTTCTCAAAATTTTCTGTATTTTAAATCGTGTTTTTTATTTTATTTTCTTATTTTTCTTTGTAAGGCGTCTTTGAGCACCTGTAAAAGTGTGTTATAAATAAAATTTATTATTATTTTATTCTGCTAAAAATATACAAAACTAGTTTCATACTTTAACAAGAGTTCATGATTTCAAAATTTCAATAGTGTTTTCATCAAGACCCAATCACATCTGTAGTTGTCCTATCATTACACCTCATTACACCTTTTCTGTCTTTTTTCAGCAAGAGCAGGCCAGTAAACTCACAAACACACTCACACTTTGGGATCCTCTGCAGGGGGAGAGAGATCTGTCACGTCGACTCTGTAGTGAACTGTAAGGGGCATCGCGATCCAGAGGATGGAGAAAATCTGTTCAAAGACAAGATCCCCATAATGATTTAATGTTTGCCAACATGATGAATATTGAGGTCCCCATTTATAAAAAAAAAAATCTGTCAGCCTGTAATAAGTGACAGTAAATACCTTTGACGGCTGTGTTTGTTGGTGTTGAGCTGGGAGGTGAAGCTGAAGTTGACGTCCACCAAAAAGGCTCCGGATTATCCCCAAAAACTGAAGCTGTCTGATGGCGCTCTTCCCGACTTTGTGGCCGACCATGACGAAAGCGCTCTATGTACCTGCAAGAGAAAAGGTCAGTGTTCATACAAGTGTAACTCCAATAGCGAGAATACAAAACCACTGACCAGCTTTTTTTTTTTTATAGAACTAAGAGAAATCTCCTCAGAATCAACATACTTAGCCATTACTGAATCCTGCTGAATTCCAGGTTCTGAGGAAACAGTGTGTTGTCCCACTCTAACAGACTGTCCAGGTGTTACCATGGAGGCTGAAGCACTGGCTAAAGGAGATCTACTGTCAGCAAAACTGTGGTCAGGTTCCTCAAACAGCATTCGCTCCACTGGACTCCTCCTGGTGTGTAACTGTGGACTAGATTGCTGGATAATGCGAACCGGACTCAAAGTCTGCAAAGAGAAAATTGGCATATTTACAGTGACAGTCAAATAATGAAAAACATCTCGATACATATGAAGTCTACTGAGCTCCATACTGTTTTCTTCTTATGAGACATGGGTTTGTTGGAGGATGGATGGTTGTGTGTCTTCCTCACTTTGGATGCCGGTTGATTCTGCTTTGACTTGAAGACAGGCCCACTGTGAAAACAATGCCTTTAAACAAATATGACTACTTCTTAAAGATGCTATTTCAGTCTCAACTTAAGATCTTACCTGGATTTCATCGCGTCTATGTTGATTCATACAAAAAAAAAACCAAGAATCAAAAGCAGAGGTCGCTGGTCTAACTTGGCATGTCCACGAAAGTTCCCATTGAATTACACATCAATACAACACAAATCGTCCATGAAATATCAAAATTACTTCTCCGGAAGTTTTGCAAATGTACCTTCTCATAAATTCGGCTTGGTCTTGAAACAAACCACCTTGGTCTTTTGGACAAATACGCTATGATCGCATACACTCGAAAGCACCTAAAGACTGTTTTAGTCGCTCGTTATTTACAACTTCACACACAACCAATAGACACGAAGTTTGATATGATCGACGTGAAATGCATCCAATCGCGTACGGCTACCTCACCACATGAACACCAATCAATTGTTGAGAAAGTGTCAGCGCGCGGAAGAGGAAAGTCAACAGACGCCGATGGACAAAAATAAGCTAGTTAGCAACGGTTATTCAAGCTAGTAAACATAGCTATCTGGAGCAGTTTTTAAACATCCGGTGAAGAGCCTTTTTTCGGCCGGATTGCCAGAATCAGTTGGGATTAGTTTCTAGTCGGTAACCGCCATAAAAGATTAAGCTTGCGATGCAGCCTCAACATTACTAATCGAGGAAACCGTCTCAACCGTACGCCAGCTAGCACGCTAACGTTTAGCAACCCGTCAAGTCCCCCGTCAGCGTCTGTTTTCATCAGTTTTGTAACATCGATCTCAGCCAAAAGACTGAAGATTTGATCAACGTTTTGGGTAGTTTACCCGTTGTTTTGCGACTTTGTGTGTGTGTTGAAATATTTGAAGGTGGATATAATGCATCACGTCAAAATCAAGACTGAAAGGCCAGGTAAGAGGAAGAAGATGTTATTAACGACCTCATAACCTCCTGAACTATCAAAGTGTCCATTTAAATGAATCTATCGGTGAAACCCACTGCGAAAGAAAACACACACACCAATCATGGACACTTGTAATGTCGGAATATGCAATCCACTATGTGTAATACCTAAAGTGTTAGGCAAAAGTGAGTTATCGTAGTTATTTCAACGGAAGAGACATCTATTTCCATGTTACCTTTGCAGATATGGAAGGGCCTGCCGCTCGCAGCAAACTGGATGCTGTATTAAAGGGACTGGTTGAAAGGACTGAAAACGAAAGGTTTGTGGGTTTATGTATTACATTTTGTATTTCTTGATGAAGTGGTCTGTTTCCAGTCTAATATTTTATATTGAACAGGGAACAAACTGAGGGTGACTCTGGAAAAATGACGGCTGACTCTTTGAACAAGTATGAATCTCTTTGAATTTTGTGAAAAGAAAATGTCAGATCAATCGTAACTGGTGCCTCAGGGCTTGGAAATATCTGAGTTATCTAACAAATATACGATTAACAACTGATTTGAATGACATGTTCCATTTGTTTCTGCTAGGGATTTGTCTCCATCATCCGCTGGAAAAAGGCAAGTGTCTATTTTTATTTAAAGGTTGACAGTAAACACACCAATCAATCAATCAGTCAATCAAATTTTATTTATATAGCGCCAATTCACAACAGTCGTCATCCCAAGATGCTTTCCAAAGAAAAAGAGCAGGTCTAGACCACGCTCATTGTTTGATGAATTATCAAGACCCAACCTAAGATTGGATTTGGCCCATCTCATCTAACATGAGTGACAGTGGCGAGGAAGAACTTCCTTTTCACAGGCAGAAACCTTGGGAAGGATCAGACTCATGTTAGACAGCCACCAGGCTGCTGCTGGGTTGGGGAGGAATACAGTATGTATTAGGAATACAGAGAGATAGGGGGAGAGAGAGAAAGGAGTGGAGAAAGGGCAGGGGGAGAGAAAGAGAACAGGATAGAGGGAATAGGTAAGGGGGAGGTCGGGAGAGAGAGTAGAGAACGAGGGTGAGAGAGAGAAAGACAGGGGAAAGCAGCAACATTTAAACAACAACAACAGCTCATGAAATGATGAAACAAAATGAATTCAGTTTACATGGTTAGGATATGAGTAATTATGGACAATGTTAAATTAATTTAACGTGATTACAGTCAGCAGGCCAATAGTAGTTAACTCTACTTTTATGTTGTTAATGTCGGTGAGGCTGCATATGTGTTGTTCTTTATTCATGAGTGGGGGAAAAAAAAACTCCCTATGAAACTGTCATGTCAGTGAGTTTATAAATTCACAATGATAAGTTAGATGTCACCACATCATGTTGGATCTGGAAACCATTTCAATGGAAGCCTCCTCCTGCTTAGTCCCTGTCCTTCCTGTTTTAGGCCGTCAGCACGCTTTCCACAACATCGGAGGAAGAAAAGAAAAGAAATGGATGAGGGCATACCAGAAACCAATCAGCATAAACAAAGTAAGTAAAAGTGAATTTCCGTTACAATTTAATCTGAAACTACATTGAGACACTGCCCCTCACATGTTTTGTCTCTTTTCCTGTCAGTAGATTTTTCAACCTTGCAATTGTCTGCCTTTTCTGTCTTTCTAGATTCTTACGTTATCAAGTTGTTTGACCGAAGTGTTGATCTGGCTCAGTTTAACACCAGCACCCCACTGTATCCTATCTGTCGCGCCTGGATGAGAAACAATCCTTCTGTTCGAGAGCCACTTGCTTCCCCAAGTCCCCCACACAGCATGGTAGAAGAAGAGGTGAGGCTTTACAGCTATGTTTTCCAAAAAATGACATTTTAAACTCACAGACTTCACATCCCACCAGACAAAAGCGATGACATAAAAAGTTCTTGTTTTGAACTTTTTTAGTGTAGGGATACCATACCAGCACTTTGGTGAAAAACACAGTAAATCAAGTCACCATCTCTGGTAGGACTGTAGCAGTAACTGTAAAAATGAAATGCTACAGTTTTAACAAGCCAGCCACAAAGCATGGTTGACTGCCACACAACCTCACCGCAACTCACATTCAGATTCACTCCTTTGAAGACATTTCATCTCACAGCCAAATGAAAGAGTAGATTCAGCTAATTTAGATGAGGCAGTTTGCAAATTCAGCACAAAAAGGTTGATGTGTAATGATGAAATGCACAGAATATAAGGAGAAATAACCATTAGCTACCAAGTTGAAGCTGCTGCCTCCAGCACAGAGCTGAGCACCTCATGCTGGTGTCAGTCAACACTGCATAGTTGGTTGGAAAAATATGAACAGGATATCATTGGAACAGAACAGTTTGATATATGCACATCTCAGTCATTATGCTGTTAGTTGATGGGTGAACTGAAAGTTGTTTCTTGAAATTAACCTGTATGATATAGAATCATTATGAGAAAAAGCATGGACTTCTGCTGTGGAGAGATGTGACCAAAACTTAACTCCTGGTTCTGCTCCAGGTTGTGTGTTTTGTGTGTCAAAGATGAAAACAAAGGGCATTCTTACCATAATTTTATTGTCTTTTAGTTATTAAACTTACAGTACAATTTTTAGTTATCATGCATTTTACAAAGCCTAGTTTTACATTTTTTAAAGATGTTTTTGACATTTTAGTTTCTATGATTTAGTTAGTTTTTGTTCACGATAACCTTGGTCGACTATTTGAAGAATGGTAAGTTGCTTTTGAGTGATTTATGTGTAATATTTCTGAGCTCCAGAAACAGTTCTTTTCCAGGCTCTGATGTGTACGGGCTGTGTGCACCTCAGCAGTATATGTCTCTTCTACTATCAGAATCAGAATCTGCCTTATTGGCCAAGTATGTGTACACATACGAGGGATTTGACTCTGGTAAACTTTGCCCACCATGTTCAAACATTAAGCATGTTACAAAAATTACAAAGTATGTATAAGCTTACTCAAACTTGACATTTAACTTTGGTTGTAATGCTGATGGTACGTCAGCCGTGTTGTTAAACCAAGTTATTTGAATTAGTAAATTGCTCTCCTGTGCACTCTTTGGAAAAAAATCTTTTTTTTTTTTTTTTCTCTCAGGTTACTGACATGATTAATGGCAAAGGTCAAAGTGTGTACAGACTCCCACCTCCAACCTTCTGTCCAGTCAGCTCAACTGGTGAAGTCATCAATCTCAGGATCCCACCGACAGAGAAACCCACAGTGACAAAGGTTCTATGTAACACGCACAAATATATTTGTTTTCTAATTTTTACTTGCCTGCATTATTATTATCAACTTGTGTCTAGTGTGTATTGAACTTATTGCTTGAACATTTGCTCTCCACAGTTAACAGAACCGGTTCCTGTATCAGGTTCTCTCATATTTGACCACATGGAGCGATGGAAAAAAATAAGACAAAAGTAAGTTTTTCTTAAAAGCCAATACAGTAATGCACACAACACACCCTAGAGTCAGTGTTTTAGTCTTGCTTATGAACCCACATATTTGTATGCTGTACTCAAAATTATGTTGGATAACAGCAGAAGAGTATACACCCTCATTGGGTAAAAGCAGAGCGGGCATTCTGGGAAAAGTGTTTTCAACTAGATATTTATGTATTAGATAAGATTTACAACAGGTACACCAGGAGACAGTCAGACATGTGTTTCTTGGTTAAAATGGTAATTCATGTGTCTAGAATAAATGGTTATTAACAACAAGATGAAAAGCATGAATGTTTGGTGTATTAACAATAAGACTGAATTTCTTTTTTGCAAGCTGACAACCACATAAATATCTTGAGTTTGGATTTAGTTGAGCTGACCCACACTGGTCCTTTTTTTCAGGTGGAAGGAGTGCTCTAACAAGAACCAGCTGAGATACAGTGAGAGTATAAAAGTCCTCAAGGAGATGAAGGAGCTCTATGATCACTGACTGGCTTATAACTCTCTGCCAAAATAGACTTGGATAACAGTCAATGTCAAACAAGTCACTGAATGAAACTCTTGCCATCTCTACAATCAGACTCATAGGACAGCATCAATAGAACCATGAGCCTTAAGCAAACCGTACGCTGTGTTCATTCTAGACAGTATCATGACAGATGTCAGGTTTGCTGTTCATTTTGCATGAACCTGCTTTTATGGGATTTTTTTTTTTAATTTATGAAGATTCTGTGTAGAAGTTGAAAAAAAAGTATTTTCCAGACACATAAAGTGATTAAACATTGTGGTCTTTTAAACTTTTTAATGTCTTTCCTCCAATATTGGCCCACAAAGAAGTTTAACTTAGATTTTAAAGGGATATTCCAGCGTAAAATTAAGTTAGGGTCAAACACACCGTAACGCTGAGTATGACAACCTTCGAGAGATGAATGTTGCTGACTGCTTGCTTCTCTTGCTATACCAACTTTAGTAACGACTGCAGATAGCAATACAGAGATCCACTCGCTCAAACAAAACGCCACTCTATAGCCACAAATAATGCTCAAAACAGCACCTAACTTCATCAACAGTACATATGGGGTCCCAGCCATAGCACTAGCCACCAAACATCTTTTTAGCTTTGCCTGATTTCTTTAACGAAGAGATCAAACACAACTCACCCACTTTCTTCCAGCAGCAGCTTGTTTGTAGCAAGACCTCAGGCCAGTCCATTACGGACTGCAGCGGGGTGACGCAGCTCAAGGAAGAACATTTATGATTTTTACTTCATGGAAATACAATCAGACGGAGACGCTAAGCAGAAGAACTACCGCGTCTGCGGTGCAAAATGATTAATATGGTGATTATTACTTCAAAAATTTAACAACATTAATGTTCTTCCTTGAGCTGTGTCCTCCCACTGCAGTCGATGAACTCGCCCAGAGGTCTCCGTACAAACAAGAGAGTGGACTGCTGGAAGTGAGTGGGTGAGTTGTGTTTAGTCTCTTTGCCAAAGAAATCAGGCAAAGCTAAAAAGATGTTTGGTGGCTGGGACCCTATATGTACTGTTGCTATGGGTAGGTGCTGTTCTGAGCATTATTTGTGGCTGTAGAGTGGCTTTTTGGTTGAGTGCATGGCTCTCTGTACTGCTATCTGCGGTTGTTACTAAAGCTGGTATAACTAGAGAAGCAAGTGGTCGGAAACACCTCGCAAGGGGGTGTCTAACTCAGTGTTACGGTGTGTTTGACTCTAACTTAGTTTTATGCCCAAATATCCTTTTTAAAGAACAGAAGAATTAAATACGTCTGCAAGATTAAATTTGTGTTGGGACTGAATTCAGGTGTTTATTTTGGAAATGTCAAACAAATCAAGTAAACCTATAATTGTAGACATTTAAAAAAAGATTTAAAAGCAAAAAAAATGTTTTCATTAACATTCAAGGAGAGGGAAGAAGTACAATTGTTGTTGTCCCATGCTTTTTCCATGAGTGATTCAATTAGCTCCTTTATTTATGTAGATTATAAGTTTTTACAAAACTATTTTTGTCTCACAAGATATTCATTCATGACAAAAATATTTACCTTAATCAAAATTAAAATACGAATTCTTATACAGAAATAAAATATAACAGTCCTTTCTGATATACATTTTATAGAAAATATGAAATCACAGCTTCTTTATCAAAACATTTTATCTTTAACCTTATCAAAAACATTCATAATTTCATACAGACTACATGCAATAAACAAAATACAGTGAAATATACACAACAGAAGATACCAAATATAAACATAGATTTGCCTTAAAGATGTTAACACAAGTACACTACCACCTAAAAATATTTCTCTAATTTTACATTGTAACTCAATAAAAAAAAAAAAAAAAAATTACATTGGCAACTTTGTTTTAGTCATGATCACCTTTGCTGAGCTCAAAAGACAGACTCAATGATTTTTCTTTCCATATGTGGCTGTCAAACACTATTTGGTTATGAGGGATACTCAACAACTTGAGAAACAAGTTTCACTGAGATAAATAAACAGTCCACTAATAAGGCAGGCTGGTTAGATAGAGTGTATACCCATGAAACCCAAATGCAATTCAGATAAACACGCCATTCAGAATACACTATGAAACACTAGGTGGCGGTATGATGCTTTGAAAATGTTGGCTCAGAATGAACATTATATGGTTTTTATGTTCTGTAAGCGCCACACCCAAGTAAATGTGTGCACTGCATATAGGTAAATTAGCAAATGAGGAGTACATTTGAGAAGACTTCAGGATCTGTGCTATCAAACAAAGCCATACCATAACTTTTGGTCAAAGCTAAAACAAACATAGGTAAATAAGAAAGGGGATGGCAGCTCACAAGACACATTAAACTGGTGTCTCTATCAAAATCATTATACTGCAAGCAATTCTGCAGTTGAGTTGTTAAAAGAGTTTTAAAACACAGCTGTATACAGATACAGTGTAAGTAATGATTGTTGGAGGCATGTTTTTATCGTCATTTAAAAAAAAATCAAAGGCCTTTAAATCAAAGTTTATGTGTAGACGATTTTTCAAATCAATCCAATATGTTTGATCTTTTTTAGGTCTGGATTGCTGGTTTGGTGTGGCAGTTTTTAGAAGTTCTCAGACTTTTTCTCTTCAGTGCTGAGGACGTTGCACTCTGCAAATTTGAATTTCGATGTTGAGCCTTTTGCGTCCAAAGGTGTAGCGGCATCAGACTTACGGGAAATCCGAGAAAGTTGTGAAGATAATGAGCGACTGGACATATATGACAAATGGTCTTCTGCTAGTGCACTCTCTAAGACTGAACATATGGACTCCTTGAGCTTCTTCTGAAATTCATCACACATGAACACATAGAGAATGGGGTTCAAGCAGCTGTTGAGAAAGGCCAAACTCCCTGACAGAGGTCCTGCGATCCTTACAGCAACAAAGAGATTTGGGTTTTCAGTGGACTGTATAAACTGCACAACATGGAACGGCAACCAGCAGATGAAGAATGCAAGAACGATGGAAAAAATGATTTTGCGAGATCTCCTTCTCCTGGTTCTTTGCAGGCGCCCTGCTCGAACAGCAATGGCCACATAGGAGACAAATATTAACAGGAATGGAATCAGGAAGCCTATCACAAATCGGAAAATCATGAGATTGTAACGTTGTGTTTTGGATGCTGAAGAACTGCAGAAAAGCATCCCCTGATGCTCTGTAACGTCACGAAATGTGGCATAAGGGATGCTGCATATCACAGCTGTCACCCAGATGACAGCACTTATGACCTGAGCTTTGCAGACTGTGCGTTTGTTTTGTGCCCACACCACTACCCAGATCGACAAGCAACGGTCCAGACTTATGGCTGTCAGAACAAAGATGCTGGCAAACATGTTGACAACACTCACAAAACTGTTGAGCTTGCACATCAATCTTCCAAATTGCCACTGTGTGTTCTGAGATAAACTAATGATAGAAAAAATCAGGAAGGCTGTAAAGAGGAAGTCAGCGAGAGCCAAGTTGAGAAACCACACCGAGTTGACTGTCCTCTTCATCCTGTAGCCTGTTACATAGATAACCAGGCTGTTGCCCAGGATCCCAAGCACAAATACCACACAGTAGATGACCAGGCAGGTCAGGTCTACAATTCGGATAGCTTCATATATCCAGAGAAGTTGATCATCACTCGAGTTCGTAGCTATAAACAAGAAAAGCATGGCTATCCATTAGTACATTAAACATACAGCATTATGAACAGATAAAATAAATAATCCTACAACTCTGTCTTAATAAAGGGGAACTAATTTAAACCAAACAACACTTATTCTGTTTATTTTTTAATTTTTTTTTTTTATATTTATGGATCTGGAGCAATGCAACACTTGCAAAGCTCTGCTTTAATATTGAACTTAGATAAATTAGCCACAAGATACTTGTTACTTGACAGTTCACCTTCTCCAATAATTTACTATCACTGCTCTGATCAAAAAACACCTATCTAATGTAATATTCAAATTGAAAAATTTTGTGACAAAAAAAAATTTGTCACAAAAAAACAATCAACCAAAATGCATGTCAATTATCAGGTTTAACTTCAAATCTACTCGATCGACCGCTTCTTTTATTTTTTTTTAGATCTAAACTGAGTACCTATCTTTGGAATATAATAAAAAAAAGGGATGCAATAATATGTAAAGTGTCTTACCATTCCCCATGTTTCTGGTGCAATGATTCTTAATTCATCTGCCCCTGCCCTTTCTCTCTGAATCTGTCTTGTCACTCTCGCACACTTCAAAAAGCTGCCAGTGAGACACTGCCACTGTTGCTGGAGCTTTTCTGCAAGGCGTCAGTCTTGCACAGGGAGTGTACAAAAGGGAAGCAGGGACACCTCACAGTAGATCACAATCAGACAGATCTTTGTGAGCTGAAGACAAAAAACGTAGAAGAAGCACTGCAGGGGCGTTTTATTCAAACACATGCTTCACATGCTATTCTTGTGAAGGGTGGGATTGCATAGGTGAAACTATGAACTTAGCTGTGAAATCAGCCCCACAGATATGACTTGTTTTTTTGTCTTGCATGTTATCTTTCATTAACTTGATGAGTATCTCCCCCAGAAACTTCTATTCTTGCTTAAATAAGTTATCCTCTTGTCCAAATTAGGTCTATTTTATTATTATTTTTTAAACATAATTTAAGGTCAAATTGTGTTTATTCCATCATTATTTTAATGTCATTCAAAATGCCTTTTTAAATAGTTGAGCATTACTGCTTTTGGTCTTTGCCACATAACCATAGTTCATTTTTCACAAACACACTCGACATAAATGCAGGAAATAACAACCAACACTGTTTTTTTTAAGAGTGACCTTTTATGTGTTAGTAAACTTTTCAAAAACATGCACTTATGTGTTGACGACTTAGTGTGTTGCCACGTTAGTTGTAGGCAACAGTTTGGTCGATCCAGCTGCGCAGGTAGGACACACGTGCATACACAGCAGGGGTACGCACATTGCAGTTAGAGGTTCCCCAGGACACAATTCCCACCAGGGACCACACTCCACTGTTCTCACAGACCAGGGGGCCACCAGAGTCACCCTAAAAGGAGAGAAGTATTATTTTACAAATGGCTTCTCAGATCATCTGTAGGAACATGAAATAACCATTATCTAAGAGTAGTAAAGATGTGTATTCATTGCACTTACTCTTTAAAGTTTCTAAACTTACACTTGACCGTTTTGCATAAGCAAAGACTGTATATACAGTATATACTACTACATACGGTCTGTGTGCGTGAGATTCTCAAAATTCAAAAACAGGAAACCAGATGGGGAACATGTTCATTATTGCGTAAGTGGATTTCAGCAACACTTATAAACAGTTTCATAAGGCCCATGATATTCTCTTTCATATCTTAAGATAGTTACAATGTTGTTAAGTCATATATCAATCATTTTAAACATTCTCTTCAAAAAATGTATTAACCGGGCAGTTGTTAATGACAAACTTTGATTTGAAGTGATTTAAAAGATTTATACATGATTTACTGATGCTGAAAGATGACCTACATTTTTTAATCTTTAGGCTTGAAATTAATTTTAAAGATTTTTTTTACCTGGCAGGAAGACACTCCAGAAGCACCAGCGCAGATCATGGCATCTGTGATTCTGTTATAACCCCAGTACTGCTTACACTGGGCAGGGGTGAGCAGAGGCAGAGCAGTCTGCTGGAGGAAGCGAGGGCTTGCTAAAATCGGGAAAGTGAAAATGATAATAGCTCCATAAATTTGTTTTATGTATGTATGTATAATGGATATTAATGGCAGCTCTTTCTATTTGTCTATTTTTGAGACAAAAAAGCAGTCACTCATTTACAGGTTTGGCCAGTTTTGCCCCATCCAGTGGTCACACATTTGGTTCCAGCGGGGATGCTGGTGCTGGAGGCAGCCAGACACACAGGGGAAATACGGGATGACATCTGTGCAGGGGATGCCAGCTTCAGGAGAGTGATGTCATTGTTGAAGTTCTGGGTGTTGTAGTAAGGGTGAGTGATGGCCTAGAAAGAGAGGTGAGTGAACATTAATCTTTAAATTGCAATGACTTTAAAAATTGAGTTTTTTAAAAAGCAGGAAGCTATCATTACCTTGGCAATTGACACGACCTGAATTGGCTCACTGTTGTACTGACGATCATGCTCTCCCAGGATAACACGATGGCTTCTTGGACTAAAGTGATTAAAAACATACAGAAATTACTGTAGTGTAAATGTTTAGATTGTTCATGTTTGTATGGGATGCTCCAAAAACTACTTACGACACACGGCAATGAGCAGCAGTGACAACCCAGTACTGGCTGATCAGGGATCCTCCACAGAAGTGGAATCCACGACCATCCTACAAGTAAGGAAGTAAATATGCACGGTTTCTTACTACTATATCACTGCTATTATTTTCTATTTTAGTTACAGTCTTTAAAGGTGTAACAAAGTCGCAGGTTGTGCAGAGCATGGAATACCTGAAGTGACACCTGCCAGGGCCAGGACCCAGAAACTGCATTCTGCCCATTTACAATCTTGTTGTATCCGCTCACTTGGGGCTTGATAGAAGGAACTCCACAGCCTGCATTCAAATCACATTATAAAGCACCTGTCTGCCTGCTCTGCTCCATCATGTTATATGGATATCAGGAAGTGGCCTTTAGATTTGCTTTTAGATCCTCTTGGTATGCAAGCATCTTAACTCTCAGAGTGATTCAATTTAGCCATGAATTATCTTACCACCATTTCATATATTATCAGCTGGTAAACCGCCAGTCACTCACCCAATGTGGAGGCCACAAGAGCAAAACAACTGATAAGCAAAAACATGATCACGTCTCAACTGTGATTCGCTTTCCCAAGGTTCAGCTGTGTGGGGCACTGGCTTTTATACGTCTGTGACACACTCAACCCTGATATCCATGTGTAGCGCTCCATTTTGCACGCACCCCCCCAAACACACACACTCCCTCTCTCTCTCTTACACACACACACATCTTTTATGGATCTGGGAACAGAACAGCTGTTGATAAGCACCAGAGACAACTTAATGTATAACTGGAAAATTCATCCACTGAGTCAAATGCGCATGTATGCTCAAGGATCAGGGGTTTTAGAAGTCATTTTAGAATATTTTTAGATTTAAGAATTTCCTAAATCTTACATGAGGATCTGACTGTCAGTGTGGTGCCTGACAGTGCACTTATGATTTCAGTTTTTAGTCTAATTATTAGATATTGATCTAACCGGGTCAACAGTGACCCTAACACGACAAGTACCATAATTCTAATAAGAGCATTTTATAATTAGTTATTTTTTTTTATTTTTATTTTGTTGAAATAGAGGTTCCTGACAAAGTCAAAAAGTCTTGATGCAAAAAAACTTGGTGCAGACCCTAACACAGGAGGAGGGTTAACATGATTCAGAAGCATTGTTGACTTGAATACTCAGGTGTATCAAGCTTTGCTATCAATACTATGTTTGTTTCAATCAACACCCAGTTCTTTGTTGAAAGGGCAACTGGACTTGTTTGAGGTTCTTGAAGACGTTTCGCCTCTCTTCCAAAAGGCGTCTTCAGTTCTAAAGGTATTGTGGCCACAGTTGTAAATCCAGCTGTAAAAAGGCCACCCACTCTTTTTTAAGATTGAAGAATTGGATAACTATGACCTGGATGAATGAGAATCTACACAGACTTCAGTCAACACCAATTCAGCAAAACTGTTTGTCTAATAGACTTTGAAAAATACAAAACCCCCTGTTTTATCATACAATCGTTGCTTCCTGTGTGAATACAGGAAAAAAAGATCTGATAAAGATTTCTGTGGTTTTTGTCACAGAAACTGATCGGTAAACAGGTGTCAAATTCTGCAGTCAGTGCATAAAATAATAAGCATCAGAAGAAAAACACAGCACACTTCAAGGATTAGAATCCCATCGGTAAGCTTTATTGAAATTTAAAAGACAACAAACACACTCTTTCATTTGTCAGACGTTGATATTTTAAATGAGGGGTGGTCCGTTTTTTAAACAAGCATTTTTATTTGCTGAAAGTGTGTCTTATCATCCCTTTTAGATATACTACAAAATGTGTGGTTTACTTTCCTGTTAAACCAAGAGTAAACGCTCATTGTGAAGAAGATATTTTTGATCTCAGAGAGTTTTGACCTGGATTAACAAATCTTGAATAAATAAAAGTGTTTACTTGCTCTTACTTTTTACTGAAAAAGGCAAGGTAATGGTTTTTGGATGGGTATTCTGGTTAAGTTTTTTAACATAAGTCGTCGTTGGGGTCTGCTGCCAGTCTAGGTTTTAGTCAACTTCTTCGATTGTTGGGCCAGCAGACGATCCACCTCCAGCTCCCCCAGGAAAGCCACCAGGCATTCCCCCTGGCATCCCTCCAGGCATCCCATCTGGCATCCCCCCTTGGTAAAGCTTGGAGATGATGGGGTTGCACACCTTTTCTAGTTCCTTCTGCTGATGATCATACTCTTCCTTCTCTGCCGTCTGGTTAACAAAAGGAACAGGGCAGTCATCATTTTGACAGGAATCTATATCAACAATAACCCATTATTCACACATCAATCTTCTTAACTGCTCTCCCCACGAGTCAGAGCAGAACCTCCATCACTTATAGTGCAGATGGAGAATTCTTACCTGGTTCTTGTCCAGCCAGGAAATGACTTCGTTGCACTTATCTACAATGGCCTTTTTGTCCTCAGGGCTGAGCTTGTCTTGGAGCTTCTCATCTTCCACAGTGCTCTTCATGTTGAAGGCCAAAGACTCAAGGGAGTTCTTGGCTGTGACCTTCTCTCTCATTGCCTCATCCTCAGTCCTGAACTGCTCTGCCTCCCTCACCATGTTCTCAATGTCCTCTTTGCTGAGTCGTCCTGTGTAGAATAAAGCATAAATCTCAGTAACTCTGTTTAATCATTACAAAGGCGTGGGAATGATCTCTGGTTGTAAATAGAGAGACAGTCAGCTTTGCATTGACCTCATAGTAACCCCTGAATACACTAACATTTGCATCAAGATTATTTGCCCTCTACTGATTTATGTCTATAGATATCTTCCCTAAAATGCAGATGCTGCAGGCATTAGCTCCCTTTCCCCCATTATCACATGTGAAGTTGCTAAAAGATTGTGATCTGTTCTAACACAAGTAACAGCACATGTTGGTTTTAACATCCTGTGTGACTTATCTAGATATTCATGTAGTCAAAGTCTAAGCCAGGATGTGGGTTGCTGCCTCTTGATTCTAAATAATAGTTAAATGATTCCCTGACTTGTTCCTGTCTTGGTTTTCTAAAACCTCCTGATAAAATTGTAAAATACCTTTGTCATTGGTGATGGTGATCTTGTTTTCTTTTCCAGTGCTTTTGTCTACCGCGGACACATTGAGAATGCCATTGGCATCAATGTCAAAGGTCACCTCGATCTGAGGGACCCCTCTGGGAGCTGGTGGGATACCGGTCAGCTCAAACTTGCCCAGGATATTATTGTCCTTGGTCATGGCTCTTTCACCTTCATACACCTGAAAACAGTTAGGCAAATCAGTTTGTGATGTGTGAGTGTATTCATCCAGGTCTAATTGAAATGGTCTCAGGGAGTGGATTTCAATTTGTCAGGAATTTTGCTCAGAGATTTACCTGAATGAGCACACCGGGCTGGTTGTCTGAATAAGTGGTAAAGGTCTGAGTTTGCTTGGTTGGGATGGTAGTGTTCCTTTTGATAAGGACAGTCATAACTCCTCCAGCAGTCTCGATTCCCAGGGAGAGGGGCGTGACATCCAGCAGGAGCAGGTCCTGTACATTCTCAGACTTATCACCTGCCAAGATGGCTGCTTGCACAGCTGTGAAGAGTTTGAGTTGGTTTAAATAAAACCATGATAATAATACAGCATTTATGTAGACCAGATTATGAAGAAAAGCTTTTTTACACTAATAGTATGACTAGAAAATAGGTGTGAACCTAAATGGTTGATTTTTTTACCTGCACCATAGGCCACAGCCTCATCAGGGTTGATGCTCTTGTTAAGATCACGGCCATTGAAGAAGTCTTGAAGCAGTTTTTGAATCTTGGGGATACGTGTGGAGCCACCCACCAGGACAATATCATGGATCTGGGCCTTGTCCATCTTAGCGTCTCTCAGGGCTTTCTCCACAGGCTCAAGAGTTCCACGGAAGAGGTCTGCATTAAGCTCCTCAAAACGAGCCCTAGTGATGGAGGTATAGAAATCTGTTCCCTCATACAGTGAATCGATCTCAATACTGGCCTGGGTGCTGCTGGAGAGGGTGCGCTTTGCACGCTCACAGGCTGTGCGCAGACGACGAACAGCTCGCTTGTTGTTGATGATTTCCTTTTTGAACTTGCGCTTGAACTCAGCTATGAAATGGTTGACCATGCGATTGTCGAAGTCTTCCCCACCCAAGTGAGTGTCCCCGGCTGTGGACTTGACCTCAAAGATGCCATCTTCAATGGTCAGGATTGACACATCAAAAGTACCGCCTCCAAGGTCAAAGATTAAAACATTACGCTCACCTCCAACCTTAAAGAAAATGTTAGGATTGCTTTCAGAAACATGATTCTTTTTTTTCTCCATATGCATGTATGATGCTTCATTTAATCTATTTGGTTTAACTTGACAGTAACCTTTTTGTCCAGGCCATAAGCGATGGCTGCAGCCGTGGGCTCATTGATGATACGCAGCACATTAAGCCCTGAAATTGTTCCTGCATCCTTGGTAGCTTGACGCTGGGAGTCATTGAAGTAAGCAGGAACTGTAACAACTGCATTGGTCACAGACTGTAAAGACAGTTAGACATGGGGTCATTAAAGTCATTCGTGAGTTCAAACAAATAGGCTTTTGAAATCTGTCAAGGCATTGCATAACATAGAGCAGGGTCATAAGGTAACGTCAAGGAAGTGCTTGCTCCAACTTTGAGATAAGGTTTTGTGAAATATTGCAGGTATGAGAGCTTCTCACTGCTTTACTTTTTTGTGTATAAAAGCAAACCTCCACTTGCTATTACAAACATAGCATTATAGAGTTTTTGGCATCTACCTTGCCTAGATAAGCCTCAGAGATCTCTTTCATCTTGGTGAGGACCATTGAGGAAATTTCCTCAGGATAGAAGGTCCTTATTTCTCCCTTGTATTCAACCTCCATTTTGGGTTTGGATGCGTCATTCACAATCTTAAAGGGCCAGTGCTTCATGTCTGACTGCACCACAGGGTCATCAAACTTTCGACCGATCAGGCGCTTAGCATCTGAATAAGATGAAAAAGGAATAAAGGGTCGGTTTTAACCATATATTCACAGTGTGTTGATAAATAACGTGTTGAGAATAATCCTTTCCAAAAATAGAAAAATAAAACTACAATGAGTGGAGAATAACACATGATCACTATGATCACTGATATTTAAGTCAACTGGTTTCTGCATGTTGCAGCTCTTACCAAAGACAGTGTTAGATGGGTTCATGGCAACCTGGTTCTTGGCAGCATCTCCAATCAGTCTCTCAGTGTCTGTGAAGGCCACATAGCTGGGTGTGGTCCTGTTTCCTTGGTCATTGGCAATGATTTCAACTTTGCCATGCTGGAAGATTCCAACACAGGAATATGTGGTGCCCAAATCAATGCCTACGGCTGGTCCTTTAGACATCTAAAACAAGAAAGAGAGAGAAAGAAAATGGATATCTCAATTGGGATATTTGTTTAAAATTTGTGCCCTAATCATCCTTGCTGGGAAAAAACATAACTATAATCATTACAGTATATTCATCATTGACGTTCATAGATATCCATGTTTTGGACTTGAAAATATTTCTAATTCTAATAATTTTGAGATAGCTTCAAGGTATGCTTCCCTATTTGCAGGTGTTGTTAAACAGGTTTGTCACACCCTGTTATTTACTCAAGTCATGTGTGTGAGGCTGTTATTGATGGAGTCAGTGGTGTGATGACGGATCAAAAGTCTGAACCATGTCATCCCTTGAGTTCTCTCCACATTACAACTCTTGCTCACTCCCTCAGAAACATAACACCTCAGTGTCTCAGTCAGACTTGTGAGAGGTAAGGTACTGATCCTGGGTAAGTGATTGAAGGGTGTATTTTCCGACAGCTGGTTTCAGATAGATTACAGTTACTATAATAAGTATCAGCGTATCCACATGGCAATGAAAAGAAGGTGGTTATAAACTAAGTGATCAGTTAACAATGAGTGGCGAGCAAGACTCACTTGATTATAACTCAAATCAGGCTTAATCACCAAAAACACACAGAAAACTCCAGCTTTGAGGTGTTGTAATGAACAAATTCGATTAGTAAATAACTCAACCAAAGCCTCTTGTGACATGGGACCGGGGCTGACGAAACCAGCATACTCATACAGTAACTGGAACTTGTTCAGAGGCAGAGAAAAATTAAACCACCGAGTAATAGCTCGCAGAACTGTTCTGATTAAAGTTTAGAAACTTTCAGCTGATCTTTTTTTCTCCCGGTCAGCTGCAGAACTACAACCTTTGTTCCTTAAAGTCCAGAACTACTCAACCACAGAAAATTGAATTATTCCTTGTTATCAAGTTGTGCAACACAGAGCTGAAAAAGCTGACAAAGCTCTGTTGCTTCACTGCCTCCCCGCACCAACGTCTGTAACTTTCCATGTGCAAATACAAAAAAACATCTTATCATAACAGCACAGTAGTGTTTGGAGAAGAGTTCTCTATTTGAATCTGCCGAAGCTCAACTAAGCAATAAAAACAATTCATTAGTTTTTTTTAAGAGGCAAGACTTTCTAACTGACACCTGTGCCATTTGAAATGATACATTAGATTCACTTTGTGGGCATTTACTGAGCTGTATTTTTAAACCTGTGAGTTCCTGCTTCAGCTTGCCATGCCATTTTTTGACAGTAACCATGCAAGCCTCCCTTATATGGAGATACCTCACACATTTGGTGGTTAGGCTTTCAAAGCAGCAAGCAAGACAGACTTTGTGAAGCCAGGCCGAGTGCAACACTTCTTCCAGAGGGGGGTTACCTTGTGCCGTCAGATGTTCAAGACTTGAGAGTTTACTGAGTTAGTGGTGCTTTCGCCTTGCACACAACACTCCTCTCCAGAACTCCTTTCCCTCTCCTGGCAGGCAGACTAAGAGGGCGACTGTCTCTACTCCTGAGAGTATATAGAGCACTGCAGGGGGAGCCCAACAGGGTGTCAGGTGACTCCAGTAAAGAAAGTTCTAGGCCTGTGTTTCTGCTCAGTCAGAGGGTTCCCCTGAAAACTTGCTGTTTACTCTGTAGCTCTCTGATGTTGAAGCAACAGGAACAGACAAAAATAAAAATGTCACATCACAGAGGCTTTGATTCAGCATCTACAAAAAAAAAAAAAAAAAAAAAAATCTCCAGGACAGGAAGAAATCAAATTTCTCTGATTGAGAAAGTAAGGCTGCTTATCAATGTTAAAGCTGTTGTAAAAAAACATACACCATTAATTCACTTGACTTGAGCAGTACCTGTGTTTTTACAAACAGATGTTCAGAGGGGAAACTGAAACTGTGGCTCAGGGTATAAAGTAGTTCACTCACTGTGGTAGTTGGTTCAGTATATATCCTGTATCTATGACTACATTTAACATGTGAGAGCGATGAAAAAGTGAGGATGATAAATAAGATGTCTGCACCTTGATATATTTTTTAAGTGGCTTGTCTTTGATGTTTGCAGTACATTTCAAACTCTGCAGCAATTGTGTGAGGTCATTCCAGTTTATCTTAGGCACTGGTTTGTCAGGTACTTCACTTCGTCTGATTCCCCACATCATTTAAAAGATGCAGAAAACAGAACATAGATATTACTTCCACCACATAGTAAACAATCTTAAGAAGTTTTATTGAGGTATAGTCTTCAGAACAACTATTGTAAATATCTACATAACACATCGCTGTGCAGCAAGTTTTCCTTCCCCTTAGTGCATGGTCCCTCTGCCAGTGCCCAAGAACTGGACATCTATTCTTGTTACATAGGCCTCTCTGACTCACAGGCCATCTGGTGTTATATATACAACTGCATTTCATGACACAAACCACCTGTTGCTACACCAGATCAGTGTTCACACGCCCCTGTGAAGTGTTTTTTTTTCTACATAAGTTGGATATTATATAACTTCTAATCCTAAAAATCGCTGACTATGATGGACTCAGATCCAGGGCGTGTTCAGACACTTTTGATTGGCTGACCCATCCAGGGCACTTAAACAGGCAGGGGCAGTCAGGGTACATGAACACTCAAACTTGACATTCACTCTTTTTTTCTTTACTGTCTACTTTGCAACTTTTATTAAAATATAAAGCTGCTGTTTTTCTGCATGTACTTTTTATTTTCTTAAAAAATGAAACAACAGTGTTGCTACACATCTCCTGACTCAAATCTATGAGGACTCGAGAAAAGTTGCTTATCCAAAGTCACAACTGAAAACACCAACAAAAAAAGTGTGACATTTAAATACAAAATGTTGAAAAAAATACTAGAAGCCTGTTACAACAAAGTCAAATAAGCCCCGCCTCTGACAGGACAAAAGGCTAATCATAGTTTAGGAGTTTGCTGTGGCATCTAGGCTGGCCAATCAGATTTCAATCCACCACAGTTTTGTCTCTGAACACACCCCTGACTGAAATATTAAGCTTTTCCAATCAAATTCATGGGGATTCAGCAAAGCAACCAAAATGTTTCACAGTTGGTGTTTGTCAGCTTTCATTCAATAAATACTGTACATTTTACATGACCAGCAGTAACTGATCACACTCAAGGTCAGCAGCAATCACTACATTACAGAATTTCCCTCAGAAATAAAAACTAAGAAAAAAATATTCCAGCAAAATTATGAATTGGGGTCTTTTGTCCCCTGATGGAAACTACAGTATCATGACAGTCTTTGATGTCAGGTCTCAAAATAGTGTCTATCACTTTAAAACAAGTAAACTCCGAAGCTGACAAAGAAAATCCTCCTCTTTGCTCTTGTGCGCTCTGCAGTGCCCGTTCATATAGTCCCAAGCACAGCGCTTGCAGTAGTTGTACAGGTGGTGTTCTGCTTTCTTCAGTGTGCTGTTCAGGTCCAGTGTTCCCTGGAGGCTGCACAGAAACAATAGAGCTTGACTAAGTCACACAGATTGCCCAACACATGATCCCTTGATGTTTGTAAAACCGTCATGTTTTAGCATACACACACCTGCTTGTAAACTGGATAAGTTGTACATCATCTTGGCACTGCAGCAGAGCTTCTCTGTTCTCTAACAGGATGGCTGCACAGATAAAGAGCTCAAAAGTGAAGTCAGTGTTGATAGCCTGGAGCTTTGACTCTGAATTCTCCTCTGTGAAATTGACGAGATCAATATTTAATAAGTGATATATTCAAACAAATATTTCTGCATATATATTCTGCCTTTTATTCCGCCAACTTGCACTCTGGCTTTCACCTGTGCTATACTTTCGAGCCAGCCTCTCCTGATAACGGGCTCGGTCTACTTGTTGGGAAATAAACTCCAGGTGGTCACAGCTCAGGATCTCAAATAAGCGCAGAGCGTCACTGTGTTCAAACTCCCTTTGGAAACCAAGCAACAGCCACCTTAAAGAAGGCACAACACATACAAACAGACTCAAATAAAACATACATATGGAATAAAAACATAGAGAAAGCTGAAAAAAGGAACTGATAATGACTGAACAGAGTGTTGTCATGATCGGCAGAACTACCTGTGGCAGAAGGTGAAGCTCTCCATACTGTCTGTGACTAAATGAGCGTACAGCTGAGGATCCAGCTCCTTTAATAGCGCTGCCTCCAACTCTGAAAGAGAGTAAATGTAGTTTTTAACAAGAGCTATCCTGCTGGATTAGACTTTCACTCAAAACAGGTTAAATTAGATATCATTTATGTTCAAGATGAGTTGATTTCTTTTTAGTTAGTTTATTTATTTATTTATTTTTGCTTGTTTTTGTCACAGTTTTATTTCTATTCCATTTGTTTCTACCTATATTTTACCCAGCCCTGCACTTTGATCAGCCTTGAACTGAATTGAGAAAATAAAACCTTAAAAGGATATTCTGGTGTAAAATTAATTTGGGGTCAAACACACCGTAACACTGAGTTAGACACCCCCTTGAGAGGGGGACCCTATATGTCCTGTTGATGAATTTAGGTGCTGTTCTGAGCATTATTTGTGGCTATAGAGTGGCTTTTTGGTTGAGTTATTTCTAATCTGCGGTCGTTACTAAAGTTGGTATAACTAGAGCAGCAAAAGGTCAGCAACATTCATCTCTTGAGGAGGTGTCTAGCTCAGTGTTATGGTGTGTTTGACCCCTCAATTAATTTTATGCCGAAATACCCCTTTAATGGTTTCACAAGTTTTCACACATTTTTCAGGTTTCATAATTAACAAATCCATCAAATCCACAAAACTGGGAAAAAATGTTGATATTTAAGTGCATAGTGTGATTGTTGATTGCATGGGTCTAGTGAGACGAGAGAGAATTCAATACCCCTGTTTAACCACTAGAGGTCTCTAATCTTTTTCACATGTTCCTTCAGGTGCACCATGACTTTCACTGCAATTACTGTATATTTGTCTTCTCATTGTGTAACACGCATGTGAGGTGGCCCTTTGTTTTTATCTTTTTATGTGCTAATCTCACCTATTTTTCTGTGAAGTCCATCAGCCCTGAAGTCCTTGGAGAATTTCTCCATGTAGCAGGAGAAACTCCAGAAAGTGTCAACCTCTGAATCAAGAACCTCCAGAAACCGGCTGCACAGGTCATTCATCCCTTGAGCGTAACTGACCTCTGGATTAACAATCAAGATAAGTGACGCACAAAAAATCACATTTAGTGTCTGATGCTGTCTCAATCAAGTCATGTCAACAGATGACAACATGTTCACTGTTGTGTGTTTGTAGTACCTGGATGAAAAGCAGCATAAGTGATGAGGATATCTCTCAACACCAGCAGATTAGCAGAACCCTCTCCCCTGCACACACAAGAAAGTAAGATAGCAGAGTAAAGTGAATATTGCAAACACCAGTAAGTTCTCCTTACTTCTTAAAATAAGTGTTAATAGTTAGGATAGAATTAACAAAAACATGGGATGTCATCAGCTGAGGTTTTAAAGCAGCCAAGCTCACTCGATGGACACTTTAACTTAACTCAGTGACTCGGACTAAACTCAGTAAATGTTGACAATCTTTAAACATTTAAAACAACTTTAGCTGCTTTTCATGAATATTGTCGGTTGATGTGGCCCGAATTCTGTTGATAAGTCAAGTGAGTAAACCAGGTTCTCTAGTCTATTGCTCTTGTTCCTCTTTCAGGGTCAAATCAAGTTGGTGATACTTTTAGATGCTTCATAGTAAATATCTAGCTGTACACTGCCACCAACAACATAAGGATCAGAAATCAAAACCCCCACACTATCTGATGATTCACATATGCTGACTGACTTAAATCTTAAGTGTAGCAAATAAGCCCACAACAATGGCTCCTAGTCACTCACTGATAATAGCTCAGGTCTCTGTTGGTTCTTGGCACATCCTTGTCAATGATTCGTATGGCTTCCCGCAGCTCTTCCTGGTCAAATGTGACACGCTCAAACAATATCTATTGACAATAAGAAAACAAAAAGACAATAATACTATATTTCACATATATGGATTTTGGTCCCACTTTTCCCTTGGTTAGAAGAGTTCGTAAACAGGTATGTACTTATAATGTATATTGTTTTATCACAAAAAATTGGACTTATAATGTTTGAGGTGCGAGTAGTTTATTAACTAACACAAGTCTGTTAAAAAAGTATGTCAAGTTACACTCATTTTACTTGTATGGTTTAAATAACTACGTTTAAGTGCACAGAGGTCCTGGACAAAAGTGCATGACCCTTCAGCAAGAACAGGGTCCAATGATCATTTATGTAAATATCAGTTTGTAGGACAGAACAAAATCCTGTTACTCCCTGAACATGCTGCACACCTCATTATGAAAACAGGAAAGCTGTTTTCTTTTACCAGACAAAGCTGAAGAAGACTGAATTTATAGAACTGAAATCTAGAAGAAAAGAGCAAAAAGAAATCCTTTGTATGAGTCATAGTCGTACATATAAAATATAAAACACAGCACTGAAATAAAAGCCATAATCTAAAAAAGTTGGGATGCAGTAGGAAAGTTATGTAAGAACAAATATGATGATTTACAAATCATTTGAACCTCTTAACTGAAAATAGAGACAGGACCTAAAATCAAATGATGAAACTTATCATTTTACTGTTTTGTGAAAAGTACAAGCTCATTGTGGAATAAATTTTAGCATCAAGTTTCAAATAAGTCTGGGCAGGGCATGTTTACCTTAATGTTACATCGCCCTTTCTTTCAGCAACACACTGTAAACAGACTGTAAGTGATACATGCACTGTATTTAAACAGCGATTTCCCTCGTCCGTCAGAACACGTTTACTTTGTGTCAACTAGACAGGCCAGCAATCCCATCGCAGATGTTAGCTTTTAAACTGTACACTGATAAGAAGGCAGGTACATCCACGAATCTTAAAAAAGAACATCAGATTTAGATTTATCAAACCGCAGGGCAGTTGTTCACTTTGCTTCCGTACGTCTAACATGGGCTCAAGCCCAGAGAAGTCCTTGGTGTCCTGGATCATGTTTATGTGTTCCACTTTGCAGGGTACGGTTTTAGGAGAGAGTCTGAGGGTCACAGCTGTCCAGTATTGGTTTTTGACTTTGTCCTATAAGCAGTGAGATTTTTCCATATTATCTGAATCTTTGAATGATATTATTCACAGTAGATAATGAAATCCTCAATTTCTTTGCAATTTTATGCTGAGGAGCATGATTCTGAAATTGTTGAATGATTCGCTCACACGGTCTCTCATATAGTGGTGGATTTAATCTTTCTTTAGGTATAACACATAAGAAAAGCTGTGTTTTATTTTTCCCATCCTAACAGTTTTTGAACGTGATCTAGCGTCAGATTTCAAACGAGCACATAATCTATATAATTTAATAATAATATATATAATATATCAGCATTTGATATGTTTGCACTAATAATAATAATTTAATGTTTGCACTATTTCCAACTCAACACTGAGTTTAAATGATTTGTAAACCATTAAAATGTATTTTTAATCAACATCTTATACAGCATCCTGACATTTTTTGGAATGATGGTCGTTGATAGACATTTAAAACCTCTAACCTGTGCCTGAAGCTCCAGGAAAGCCAGTCTTTCCCAGACCTCCTCAGACTGGTCCTGGATTTGTTGTTGGGCCCGAGCCTGCCTCTGGTCAAAGTACCGCACTGCTGCCACCAGCTCAGCTTTAATGGACAAAAGCTCAAGCAGTCATGGATGTTTTGACAAAGACAATACAAGCAGTGACAAAAAGAACTAGATTTTGAATGTTTGGCTTTTACCATCAGTGCCATTGAGATGAATCTGCACAGCTGAGGGAAGGAACTGCTGCCACTTTCTTTTCATGACACAATAACGTACAACCAGCTGCTCCTGCAACAGAGAGCGCTCCAACGCTGTTGAGCTGCATGGGTACATCCCAAACAGGAAACGCCACACAAGGCCACGATCAGAGGGGGATACGCCACCTGTACATGATCATTTTTTCAAACATTAGTTTCAAAGAGTGTTTCAATCATTACAAACACTGAATGTTAAAGCTTGGTGAGTCTGGCAACAAATGCAGGATTAATCAAAGTTTTGGCAAGTGAACACAACAGAATCAATCCAAGTGTGGGACAAACGCAAAATCAATAAGAAAATGCAGAAATATTTAAAACCCGTGGACTGCTACTCCTCTAGTGTCATCCCAGCTGCTCTGCCCTGCAGTTATCTCAGTCCCTGTTCATTTATTGTCAACAAGCCCCTGCTTTCCTCTGGTGCTGAATAGATTTGTTTCCAACAGCAGCACTTATCTACCCTTAACATAAAATTCATACTCGGTAAGTCCCATGTTTCTGTGGCTATAATAGACATGGACATTATGATCACTTTCCAAAATGTTATTTTGTCTATCATCCATCAGTCAATGCTATCTGTATCACTCCCTCACAAACTCTGATTGTATCACATAAACGAAACAAACAGCTTAAGAAAGATATCCTCAGGAAACATTTTCTGGGGCAAAATTGAGTGACCTTTACTCTGCTTGCCCTGGGATTTGAGACAAGGATTTAAGATGTCTTATGTAATGATTTTCTCTGCAGGTTCTTTAAAAACTGGTCCCGCTGAATGCAAAAGGTTGAAGCACAACAAAAAAGCAAGTGACTATATCACAGCTCCTATATGGTTAATAAGTACCAGGCCCACTTGAGAGAAGCTTTGAGGACTGTGGACTAAAAAAAACACATTTATGCACTTCTTAAACATGAAATCAGAGGTGATCTCATTTTCAGCAAACTTCACTGGATATTTTTTTTCTCTAGCTAATGAATCTCATGTGATTTGATTCAGCTTCTTAGGAATCTTACCAACTCTCTAAATAGTATCTGTTGTTTTATCTCAGAAGTCACGCTGGAGTTCTTTGCCTGAGGGGTCTGCTGTGAAATGAAACGTTTGAAGAATGGTCTGACTGAAGCTCATGTCCTGCAGCAGAGCATCACTTGACTCGCTCTTTGTCAGAAGGAATGGTCACAACACATGATATAACGCCATAATGCCATGGCTCTGTTTGTTCACAGACGCATTTGCTGAATTATTCTCTGAAAAATTGAGTGCTGCACGTACAGGCAGTTTTATTTTTCTAGACACTCAAGCCACATGCAAAATTATATTAAGTTTAACTCATATCTAAAACAGTTAAAAAGATTTCAAACAAAGCAATATAAAGCACATCTTAAATAAACAATAAAAAATAAAAACTGTCAACTTAAGAATATTTTGTTCAACACAGCTAAAGGTCTCATCTTTCAAGTTTCCATTTTGGAAAAAAGTCTTCTGTGTCGTACTATAATGCATTAATACTGAAATAACAATCTTACAAACAAGAATTTTTCTGGATTATATTTCTAAATAGGAATTATAGGATTATTTCAGATTTTTGCTTAGCCTGTTGTGACCTTCATTAAAAGTGTACCACACAGAGATGCAAGTTATAGTTTCACAATGAAGCTGAGGCAAGTTTTGTTAATGCAAAAACTGCAGGCCCACTTTTGGGGAAATCAAAATCTATGAAGGGGAAGGTCTGAGGCATCTCTATGGACAGAAAAACAAAGCATTTCAATTATAGCCCAGTGTTTTGAAAACTAATGATAGATATATAGAATGTTAGAGAGAGAGAGAGAGAGAGAGAGAGAGAGAGAGAGAGAGAGAGAGAGACCCCACTACCGTTTTTGAAAATATGCATCCTCAGTCTTGACTCGTCCACCCTCCCCTCGGCATCCATGACTCCGGGTAAGGTGAGTCGTGCGGCGGACAGAGCAGGAGAGTTGACCGCCGCTGCTTGCCCCTGAAGGCGGACATGTGACCGCTGGCAGCCCGCTGAGCTCACCCTTTCTCCTGCTGTCCCCGGTACACTCCAGTTCCTAAGTTCTTCCATCTGAGCCTGCAGTGTACGCGATCACACCTCCCACAGGTGAAGTCGAGTTGCATCCACAGAGTCTCAACAGAAAACAACAAACTGTCATCCTCCTCCTGCAGACTACTGCTTCCAAAACAACGCGTCCCTTACCATCTCCTCGCGCGTGCTGGAGCTCAAACCATCCAGGATCGATTTCTTCCAACACGGTCAAATCGTTCAAGATCAAAAAGTTTGTTTGAATAGTTTCAGTGAAACATTACTGGCTCTGTTGACTCTCGTTCAGCCATTTGGGAGTCATATGACTGCACCCTCAGATCCGAGTTTGGCCCACATTCCAGGTGGAGCCTGCATTTCAGTGCTAAAGTTCACTGTTGGATTTGGGAGCACGTCTCGCTCCACCTAGTGGTTTAATTGAACAAAAACTGCAAGAGTTACTCATAGAGGTAAATCAATCCCAGAGGCATCCCTATGACACTTGCATGATACATAGGGGGTTTTGTCATTGATTGTTCCATGAGCTTATTTGTTTTCTGTAGACGTTCAAATCAGATATTAAAAAAGTTAAACAGTAGGCCACAATGGTTGTAAGTTGCCTTGATATGGGTAGGAGAGAGTGGGGTAAGATGAGTCATTTTTCATATTTCGGATCACTACATCAAGGCAATCGTAGTTTTGTCTCTAACTAGTGTATCTGCATCTATTTAAAGATGTTTTGCATCTTTGCAAACCAACAGAATGAGTTTAAACATAACTGTTTTAATAATATTGCATGCCAAAAGTGGTCTCCTATGGTCCATTTACCCCGTGTATGGGGTAAGTTGAGCCGTATCCCCACTACCCCCTCAATCTCCACCCCAGCCCTCCCTCACCTTCTCTCTCCCTAAATAACAGTCACTTCTTCACATTCATGTGTATTTTTATCTATTATACACTATTCAACTGGTACAATTACTCTTTTTTTTATTATTGCATATAACTGCTAAAAAGCTGTTTTGTAAAAAGCCATTTTAACACGAGGATGTCTTTAAGTGATTCAGAACATTCACAGCTGTATTTCTGAAAAGAAAAAGAAACACATTTCAATAACCAGAACTGAAACTCTGATCCTCTCATCAGACTCCTTTACTTTCTCAGTTGAGTCACAGACTCAACTTACCCCAGAACTACTATTATGACTTTATTAGTCCTCTAAGCTCAAATGGTGGACTTTTATGCTAGGTTTTTGACCTCATGTTGTAGCTCATAGATACCATAATTGATGTATAAAACAAATTTAAAATGATATTTTTTGGTCTGAACACAAGTCTAATAAAAACTGATGACAGATTAAATTCACTTTCAAGAGTGAAAAATGTATTTTTGGAAATAAATGTCTAACCCCTTCACCCATGTGCTTCTAACCTTCACAGACTTTATGAATTGATGCCCATCTCCTACATATTTGGTCACATGATCAATTTCTTTGACCATTTCCAAGCAACAGAGGGTGGCTCAACTTACCCCACTCTCCCCTGTAGACACTGGAGACAGGCCTACTTCATTTACATGAGCAACATGCGATGACCTTGTTACTCAGGCAAAAAAAAGTGTGATTATTTTAAAAAAAAGTGTGACAGCTTAAAGTTTGTGTTCACATTTTACTGTGACGTAGGACTGTCGATAACCATCTTGTTAGAAAAATAAAATATTGATGTCGTGCTCGTAAGTACGACATCAACCTGACCACATTGCAGGATAAATATCAAACTAAAAGCATGCAAACAACCGTTTTGGAGGCATCATCTTCACCTCATAAGTTTCAGTTACAGAGTTGATGATATGGATAAATCATAAATTTAATAAAGGATGAAAGATGCACATTAATTATGTGTAATTAATTATGTCTGTTCATGCTGATAAAGTTCATATCGGAGTGTGTTGCTCTTGCATTTCTTCAGTTTGACTGATTGTGTTGTTTTACTTTCAAGTTTTTCCAAAAATATTGCAGTAATATCATATGAGTGATATTTTATGTCTACAGTAATCATGAGATGAAAATCTGACATTGTGACAGTCTTGTACCTGTTTCAAACCAATCCTTGTTAAGGACTCCAGGACTCCATCTCTGTCTGATCATGCTGCAGGAAAACACCTCAGAGTCTGTCTCGGTTTGGTCTCGAGACTCAAGAAATAATGACATTAACCAGGCACAGATGTGAGAGCAGCCCACTGGGCCCCAACTGTCAGCTGTATAATAAGGTGAGACCAGGTGGGACATGATCCTGCCTTGCAATGGGTCCTACTCATCTTGTCAGGATTCTAATTTGCATAACCACTAGATCACCAAAATATTTCCCTTATAATTCCATATTGATTTACAATAAGGCACAAGTTTCCCAGTTGCATCTGGTGCTGTTATGACACAGACAGTAACTTCCTGAGGTCCTGACAGAAGAGGGAAGGAAATTTGGACTTAAAAATATAAGCCATTGACTAAAAGAACATTTTAAAATGAGCTGATCTAAGTCAAGCAGTGCTTTTTCAAAATCTAACTTTCACAGAGGAAAAGGATCATAATATGTTATTTTAGCAACAAGATTCAAGGTGAACTTATTCCCATCACGTTGTCCTGTAAAAATGCTGAATAAATGCTATTAATTGCAGCAGAACAGAAGCACCATTTGCAGAGCTAAAAGCGTCTTTTTGAACCAAAGAGTATTACTACACATAGTTTTATCTGCAGGCGTCTTTTCTCATGTCCCCTCATCATGTTCACACTTATGAGCTAAAGTTGTGACCAACGCTGCTGTTTCAGAGAGGTGTAAAATTACCAATGGTAAATGTCGTCCTCCACATCCTGCATGTTCTCTATACAGTTTTCACATACCCTACTTTGGTGACACAGGTAGGTTTGAGTTATTTTCGCCAGAGAATTTGGATTTCAAACTCAATGGTTCAGTGCTCAGTTTTCTGTCCTGACTTCCCCATTTCTTTGATAGGCAATAGGAAACACACCCAAGAATTTCACATCAATATTGACGTTGACGACATTCTGACAACACACTGCAAAGGTCTTGAAGTCTTTGACTGAATTCCTCCCACAGTGAGTATTCATTTACATTAGCCTTCTCATAAGACCTATCATTACTTACTTATTAGCACCTTTTGATCTTATAGTACTTTATTCATTGATTGATGCTACATTTTAATAGAATCGACTTTTTATTGTAATTTTACTTGTGTCATATTTCTTAGTGGTCTTGTTGTTGTTGTCTTTGTAACACAGCAAATGTTAGAGGAGCAGCAGTTCAATATGAGAAACTTGTAGCATGACTGTAAAATGATTTTATTTTGTTGAGTAAATTCAGTATGTTTACTGTCATTCAGATGCAGCTTAATGGCCTAAATGAATTCTCTCTCATGCTGATCTTGGCCTTTTGTTCAGAAGGTGAGTTGTAGTGTGGTTAAATGTTTTGTTATGACTTATATCTCTAGAAGTGAGCATGGTAAAAAGTAAAATGTTGGTTTGGTTGAAATGCAGGTCTGGGAAGTGGTAACTGGACCATAACCATTGACAGAACCGTTACTGCACAGAGGGGATCAGACGTGACCATAAATTGTACTTTTGACTGTCCGTCCTCACACTGCAGTGACAACGTTCAAATTTACTGGAAAAAGCGTAAAGGGAAAAGCTTTGACAAAGCTGACAACAGCCAAAATGAATTTGTTTTTCATAAGAATAAGACATTTGTGCTGGAGAGGTACAGAGAGAAGACCAAGCTAGTTCAAGACAAAGGCAATAAAGACTGCTCCCTGAAGATCCAAGATGTGACAGACAATGACAAAGACATCTATGTGAGACTCATCACTAAGAGTGACAAGTACAGCTTCTATTCCAACACTGTCTCCATTCGGGTCTTTGGTGAGTACAAAGTTGAAATGTCACTTTGTAGTTTGTTTATACAGATACTGCTTTAGAATATTCATAATAATACCATCCTCTCTTGCAGTGAACAAACCTTTGTATATTTTTTTCTGAATGTTATTTTCCAGCCTGTCACAAACTCTTTTGATTTTCAGACAGAAAAAACACATCACCAACAGTCGAGACGACAACAAGTAAGTTTATCACTTCACACTGTTTCTCAGGCAGCTTCACACAATCATCTGTCAATCCGCTCTTGACTCTACTGTACAAAGGTCAGTCTGGTCATGGTGACTGTCATTTTTTCCACAGCCGCCATCATCCCAACGATTTCACCAACAACAGTGTACACAGCCATCTTTGTGCCACTTTCTGTTCTTGTGATCATTTTGATTATCATCGGAACTTTCTGTCTCATGAAACACAAAAGGTAACTTCACTTTGAGCTCATTTGAAATTATGGGCCTTACAAGCATAAAATGACACTTTAAACCTGAGGCAATGACCAATCCACTCAAATATTGTGTTCCTCTGTTACATTACTTAACTCTAAGTGCAGGATGTTAAATGAGTCCAGTTTGATTTTCAAGAGAAAACTTCTCTGTTCATCTGATGAAAGTTTATTTGTGTGATTCTGATGTGATGTTGGAAAAAGAACAATTGGGTGATAGTTTGATTTCAAAATAAAAGCAGTTCAGTTTTACGAGTTAAAAAAACGCCTATAGAGGTTGATTTGATTGTTACATTTATGATAAATATGTCAAGGTAGAAATCAATCAACGAGAATGACAAAATGAATGTTTGAAAAACTTGTATTTGATTAATAATTCCCTATAACAGCACATACTCCTTTTTAAACAGGAAGCAGTCTATGTCAAGGGAGGGATCTGGATATTATGCTAATTTCCCCAGAGCATCATCCAACAATGCCAAAAGGTTTGTTTTGTAATACATGACGTGAAAGACATTTTGTTCCCCTTCTCTCTCTGTTCAATTTATATCTGCTGTTGTTCGTCTTTACAGTGAAATATCTTGCAAAAAAATTGACAACCTACCTGAACTGAATGACATCGAGGATCCCGTCTACATCAACATGAAGGTACAACTCAAGAAGTGTCAAGCTTTACGTCTTGGTTTTAACTTCATTTGCAGATGTTAGGGAAAATAAAATATGGACAAGTAACTGTGACGCTCACTAACACAGGATTATTCACATCACACACTGAATGCAGCTGATTTCACTTTCAAAGCAGGGCTCAAAAGCTTAAATCACAGTCTGGAAAATATCCATGTTTGCAATGGCATTTAGTGACCTTCTTTTGATATCATGGTAATAGAAAAACCTCTCTCTATCTGCAGGACCCTCTGGATCAGATGGACAACACAAATAACATTTATGCAAATGTTAGCTTCTCAAGGTAGAAGAAACACTGCATGGGACATTTTGATTTGTGTGAAAAGTGTGTTGATACCTATGTGTAACCACATGATACATTTGATGGAGGATAATTGTGGACTGATGAGCAACAGGATGGCTGTATCATGACTGGATCATTTTTCTTTAATGTTGCAGACTAAATCGTGTCACTCATGATAGCATTTTGCTTATCAGTGTTGTAGAAATGCTGTCAGCAGCAGCATCTATCCTCTTTACCAAACTATCTCTTTTAAAGTGTAAAGATCTGCTTTGAAATTAAGAGGCATTACCGCACAGTTAGCTCTCAGTGGTGTTTAATGTTATCATTTGTCATTTGTTAATAATAATGTCTCACAAACTAAACAGAAAATCGACATTGATGAAACTCCAGTGATGTGTCTTTTTCACTAAGGTAGTCTTGTTTTCTTTCCCCTGCAGTGTGAGAAGGGGCCTGTGTCCACTGACAGAGTTTTGTGTCGTGTCAGTGCCTTTTTAAAATATTAATTATACCAATGCAGTTCAATGTTTTCACAATGCTGTATTTTCACATCATTCCCTCAGCTTTTGTTTCTTTGTACTAAAAATGGTTTAATTTTTGCTCCACTTGTTGATGTCACCCCTTTCTCACCAAGGAATTGAAATCATGTGAGGGAGAGATGTCTTAAATCAACTTTGTCAAAACAATGTTAAAAGATGCACCCACCAAACTAATTTGGGGGTGTGTTTATATATATATATATATATATATATATATATATATATATATATATATATATATAAAATAAATAAATATATATATTTTTTTATTCAAAAAAAAATATATGTGTGTATATGTATATGTGTGTGTAGACAGGTAGACATAAAGACATAAAGACATAAAGGGAGAAGAAATGCTTGAGATAACTTTTGTGCCCTGGCTAAGGCTGCTGCCTCTGGTGTAAATGTACACAGGCCCTATGTTGGGCGAAGCTGTATCTTTCAAAGTTCATCTTTGTAAGAAATGTTTTCATTAGTCAAACTTTGAGTTTCCTGTGGTTAAGAAAAACATCCTCTTAAAGCGGCAAACTTTATACACTGTACTCTTATGTTTTTTGCACCTCACACTTGCACTTCCAGTTTTTATATTTGTCAATATGTGCTGTTGTAAGATTTTGAGAAATAGAACTTTTATGTCTATGTCTATTTTACTCTACTCTACTCTACTTGCCTTGTGGTTCACCCTTGTGATTGGACAGAGTGGTCTGTTGGGCAGAAACAAAACTGGGTTGAACAGTTCATGACTCCCTTACAGACCTGCAAATGCAGTTAATAATTTTTTTTCATTTATACTTTAATGTTTCTACTGTGTTTTTGTACTTTTCAAAGCGAAGAAAACACAGGAAAATAACACCCTTTAGACTTTTTAGTGTTTTTTTTTTCTTTTTAATGTAAAGTCCAAATAAATAAAATTACAAGCAGAGTCAGCATCTGTGCACCCCTGCCTGCATACAGGCCTCTGTGTCCATTTAACTCAAGTTAAACTCTGGAGTTGGTTGATGAGTATCAAAATGTGGAACCTGCGGCAGCTTAAAACTATTGATGAAAAAGGTTTATTGAGGACCTTTGTTTAACTGATATATTTTCCTCTGACTGTTTTCTGGGGTTGGTTTCAATATGTTGCTGTACAATGACTGCTGAGGCTCAAACCTGATAGTGTTAGCTCTGTGTTGCACCACTTGGTGTTACAGGAAATGACATCAAGCATCAGTTTTGTAAGATATCTCTAGAAGTACACCCATCACTGGAGTTCTGTTTTCTGTAGAATTAATTCATGTTATCTTGTGAGCTTTTCAAAAGACCCAGAGAAAGAGAGGTCACTGAAGGACTTCCCCATCAAATAACAAATGGCATTTGACAGCTATAAGGTCAAATTTTGTAACACTTTATTAACACTTGTAGTTTTGTTATATTTATGGATTTCACTCTTATTTTGGTGCCAACACTTGTAGCAACTCATAATGTAATAACAGCTCATAATGTAATAATGGCTCTACAGACACTGAGTTTAGTTTTTCTGTCCTCTAAGGAGATTTTCTCTCTTTTTAAGTCAAGATTTAAAAATCAGAGTAACAAGGGGTTTAAAAGTGGTAGCTGCTTTCTGTCCTCACTTATCCATGTAACCTACTCCCTTTCTATACTCTGAGATGTATGAAACTGAGCTCAGCAGTTGAAGTTTTCTGTGTGAAAGCCTGCGGTAAAATAAAGAAGAGCTGAGTGTTGCTGTTTTCTGCCTGTATTCCAGTAACAAACGGTATGCATGCATCAAACTAACAGCTTGTCAGTCTCTGTTAGAGACTTCTTTTCACAAGTTTATATTTCAGCTGACGGACAGTCTTGTTTTACGATCAATATAAGGTCATGCTCTTTGAAAGAAACAGACCAAACAAAGAGGGCTCAAGAATAACCCCTGACCTTGGTTGTTTTCGTGTCCAGCAACCTTGATACTGTTCTATTATCAAAACTGGGACCCGTGTTTTTTGTCTCTCAGACTCTCATCAAGTAAGGAGAGTATTTTTCCTTCCATCTTTATTTTGTAACTGTTAACGTAGAGTCTCATGATTGATATTGTAGCAACGGAAAAGTGGGGGGTAGCAAACCGTGGACAAACATGTCAAGGTTGTTGTTTTTCTTACATCTCTTTTGTAAGTGCAACAAAGTGTAGCTTCTGTGCTCTGCTGGGAATCTCTGCTCAGTTGAATTTCATCCTGTCTTGACTTGTTGACTATGATAATGAAAAGACCTGCACCCAAGGACAAAACTACGAAGAAGTAACCACATACTGCAACAATATTTGTCCCCCATTCATACCAACTCAGGATCAGGTCAGTTTTTTGTGCAACATTTGGTAACACTTTTAATAATGAAGGGCAGGGCTGGTTTACGAATATGAAATCTAAAGACACTACACAAATCTACTGAGTGCAGAGAGGGATTACAGGTGCAAAGGTGAGTAAGTTTCTTATATTTGAGAAAATAAAGAAACACAGGTTTAGTGTTTTCTTTGTCTTTCGGCTTTCTAACTTTGAAAATTATGCTTTCTACGTCAGTATGGAGCTGAAGTTGTGGCTTTTCTTCTTCTGTTTGCATGATGAGTTTTAGATAAAAATGTTGAGTAAATCACTTCAATAATATTCAATATTTGCTGATTTTTTGTTTTTAGTGATCCCCTGTGTCCAGTTCTCAAAGAAAATGGAGGATCAATGTACCATCAAGGATTTCTGCCGTGCACAGGTCCTGTGTGGTTATTCCCTGCACCTACTATTTCACTTCTCTCTCAGGCAAGAGCACAGCAGGAAGAATAGCAGAGAGTTTGTGGGAGAGCTGAGGTCCCATGGTACCATACAGAGTCAGGAGAATAGACACAGGGTTGTAGTGTCACAGTTCGAAAGCTTCTCCAAGACTATGTAACTGGGTCCTAATAGTGTTAAATTCCCACTTTGCAGGTTATCCCCAACCCCCGTCTCTGTCTGTGCAGGTGAGAGATAAAATCACAGCCTCCTGCTTGGTGACTCCTCCTCAACTCAGTCCCTTAACTACTTCACATCTTAATATTGAGGGTCATTTTCTTTCATTGTGTTGTACGGCTGACGGAGATGTATTTTCCCACAGTCCAGTAATACAGGGATAGAGCTGGACAAAAATGTGAATATAAAGTCTGTTAAAAAAAAAAAAAAAAAATCTACATTTTTAATTTTGTCCTGCAGTGTATATAATCTAATCGAGTGGAAAGCGAATCAGTGATTCATCTTAAAATTTACCATGTCAAATTTGCTGTTGTAGAAGATTCGACTTTGACCGAAGCACTCCACAGAATTAGGCATCTCTCATGTTTTGCTGTTTTTATCCTGTTTTCTGATTTCCATTAAATAATCTAAACATGACTGCTTTTTTTGTATTTACTACATTGATTATGCAAAATCAGGAGGGCCAAATGGGAGAGGATGTACTTTTTAAAAATATTACTTTAACAACATCAAAACTTGATGTTTTAATATGATTTAACTTTAACTCAGCTTTGGGTCTGTGGTGTATGTCTAGATCAGTGAGATGCATGTTCTTTTTGAATATCTGAGATAATAGGATTTTTACAAACAATACTTGTACACTGGCTCTCTAATTGTTTATGGTTTGCAAATAATATAACATTTTCCAGAAGACCTCTTACAATAGTTGAAATATAGGGAGTTGCGAGGTTCATATCTTAAGAGTGTAATACAAAAAAAAGAAGAATATCTTTCCAACAAAATCTTCAAATAAAATCCTTAAATAAATCATCACACATTGGCTATACTGTTTCTTCTAAAGTCAAATCTAATCCTATAGTTTCTGATTATTGAGCGCCGACCCTTTCGTTGAAAGTAAAATAGCAGCGTTGATGACGTTAGTTGGCTCAGAAATGAGTGACGCAACCACTTCACTGTTCTTATCTGTTGGTGAGATGTTAACCTGCTTCCTCTTTGCTTTTCCGTCCATTGACCTAATTTTATGGTTATCTGCACACACACACACACAAGCGCACACACAAAGAATACTTTCCCTTTTTTTCAGAATAGTTAATACATTTAGTGTTGCTGTCACATGTTTTTAGCTTTTACAGTGAGCAATTCATCTTCTAATAGCTCAATTAATATAGTAGCACCAGGATTATTCTCCAAGTGCTCATTCACTGTTTGTTTGGTACCTTTGTGCTGTGATGCTCTAAAGGGGCCCAAAGCAGTGACTATGACTCAGTGCACAAACAGGTCTGCCCCTCAGCTTTACTTCACATGTAGTTCAGCAGGAAAAAGACCTTTCACAATAACGTTCATCTCTGTCACTTGACTATAGTAATCTGCTTTGAACAGGAAATTTAAAATGCTCACTTCAGTGTGAACCAACTTGGTGATGGATATTTTCTGAATATAAAGAGACATCAAACATATATTCCAGTAAAATATGCATATAAGTTTAATGATGATTTATCACAAAATTTACATGATCCACACGAAAATGAAACACAGCATTTAAAACACAAGTGCATGTAATCATGGACATTAACAACATTATATGTGTGTGTGTGTGTGTGTGTGTGTGTGTGTGTGTGTGTGTGTGTATAATAGGTGGCAGATATTATTAATGCTTACATCATCTACGCAGAAAGTGGTACATCAACAACTTCAGTAACCTTCGTGACACACATTGGTCAAAAGACACAGCTTGCATCTACCAGTGAATTTATGTTCTTGTTCCTGTTATACATTGGCGTAAATTGCATCATCCAGGTCAGTCTGTAAAGGACACAAGAATGAGTAAGTTATTTTTTTTAATGCCTGGAAATGATAAAGATAATAATAAACTTAACATACCTCCATGTTGCCATATACGGGATCATTTCCATAAACATCGGGGAAATCTACATTATCATAACTCGTCTCTTCTCTGAGGACAGAACAAAGAAAATGTAGATTTACATACTGGCATCACATGACAACACAACCTGAGAAAGGTTGACTTCATCTTTTGGTTCAATATTGTGGGGGAAACGATTTTTTAATGCAGGAGGAATAAGTAAAAACTCTTTGTTGCAGCATACCGAGGGGACTTGACGTCTTTTCCCTCCTTCATGGTGCTCAGGGGAGTTGTTGTGTTCTTCTCAGGCCTCCCTCTGCTGGCAGAATAATATATTTCACACAGTTTAAAGGTGGGGTAGACAGGATCTGAGGAAGTGCCAGTTTTTGTGAGAAATCTTGAATGTAAACACTACCCCTCCCAGCCAGTTTTCCCCTCAGCTCCTTCTCTCACCTCCCTCTCTGCTCCAGCAAGCCCCGCCCACAAACAGATGCTCCTGCTCGCTCATATCATTCTAATTAAATTCAGATATAATGCAGATAAATACTTCAGATAATAAGAAATGGGGCCCAGTCAGTGTGAAAGTTAAAAGCATTGGTGCTACTGTAGACGCCAACAGACTACCAGCAAACACAATGTTAGCAGAACCTCTACAACTAGGATGAAGTGACAAACTCCAGGACCCGAGTATAAACAGTTTAGTGGCGCTACAACATGCAGCAGGTCCCGTTTGACAAGAAACACTCCTGTTACAGACACAAAGATCCCGAAGTGTCCCCCATTGTTTATGCTAGCTTCATGGATGCTGACCCGGCTTTTTAGCTCTTGTCCAGTCTACCTCCTTTTTAAGCGCCTGTTATTCTGGTATTTACTTTGTTTTCTTGCTTGTGTTGGCAGTCGTGGCCAAAGGAGGATTCAGACAATTGGTTGGTTTCTACTGTCCGTTGTTTGGGCTCGTGGGCAACATGGGGGAGCAGCGTCTGCCTCACAACCAATCAGGTTTGGGGGGGCATGGAGTGGCTTTGTTTACAGTCAGAAAGAGCGGGCTGCTCAAAAAAATTAAAACGTTGACTACGTAACAAAACTCAGTGATATCGTTATATTGCCAAATGTCATCAATAACTGATAGTTGTTGACTGAGATTAAAAGCTTTTTTGGATATACACCACAAAAAAGAATCCTGCCTACCCCACATTTAAGGACCTCAGTTATTTATTTTAATGCAGGGAGAATAAGTAAAACCTCTTTGGTGCAGCATACTGAGAGGACATCACGTCTTTTCCCTCCTTCATGGTGCTCAGATGAGTTGTTGCATTCTCCTCAGGCCTCCCTCTGCTGGCAGAATAATATTTCACAGTTTAAGGACCTTAAAAAAAATAAACACCACTGACACCTCACACAAGTGCCCACAAAACCATGAGACACACCCCATTTTAACAAACACCTCTGCAATTAAAAAAAAAAAAAAGAGTATTAACAACTTTTAAGGCGTTGCTGCTTCTTCAATTGTGCAGCTTATAAGAGTCAACTAAGAAGATATAGTGCACTCTTAATGACAGCAAAATTCGACTTACCATTTTTTAACTTCCACTGCAATTAAAAGTAACACCAAAATCAGACCTGTTCCAGTAGCTATGTAAGTAAACACACTCTGCATCTTACCTGTTTAAGGAAATAAAAAAAAAGATTTATTCAAGTTGGCCTTAGTTATGACCTCTTTACATAAATGTAAATGTAAACATTTTGAGGTAACCAATCTGTGCTTACTGTTAACAGGAAAATAGAGCGTGACGTTGGCTGTGCCCTGTGTGTTGTTTGCCAGACAATGCACGAACTCAGAGGATCCATATTCTGTTTGTAGAGTCCCGATGATGATCGGGCCGTGTTTCTCGATGCTTGCTTTTGACTGGATTCTGTCAGAGAGCACAAAGTGGACCATGCTGGGAGGCCTGGACTCTACAATGCACACACACTTAACCTTGTTTGTGTCTGCATCCCGGGAGCAGGAAGACATGGTCTTAATCTCAGGGCCATCTGCAAAAACACAAAGTGTCTTTCTGAGTTTCAAAGTGCTTGGTAATACAATGAATAAATGTGACAATACTATTTGTCTAAAAAGCTACTTTAATCATTTCAACTTTATCAATCAACTTTTAAGTGCAGGTGAGTTTGTAGCCATGACTACAAAAGCCTTAAAACAATAATTCCCCTTTAGACACAGCCAGAAATTTCCCAACCAGCTGATCTGAGAAGGCTTGTAAAGTTATCAATAATATTTTACAGAAACACTGGGTCAAAATCTGAGTTTTCTTTAGTATGAAATCATTCTAGCAGCTCGATAGAAGAGGGTTTTAACTCTAGCAGCTGTCCTGTGGTCTGTGTTGTATGGGCTGCAGAAGAGCACATGGCAATGGACAGCTTATTCATGTGGTGAGGAGCCTTCAGTGCCGGACCATGTATACAGGTTTTGGAGCAACAAAAACTGCCTTCCAGACAATGCCTTTTCTTTTTTTTTTTAAAGAGAACCTGCATATTTCAGCAAGACAACGCCAAACTATATTCTGTGAGTGTTAAAACAACACGGCTTTGGGTGATAAACCGGTCTGCCTGAGGTCACCCATTTCAAAGACCTTGAGCAGATGAACAGCTGAAATCCTTTTTTTCCCCTCTTTCTATGTTTGTTATAATATCTTTGAACTAGTTCCAATTATGAATAAGACTGAAATGATTTGCAAATCAGCAAAGTCACTCAACACAGTATTGCATTTCTTTAGAACACGTTTTTTTAAAAATAATGTTTCAGTCTTCTATAAAATATTTAATGTGGTTTTTGGTTTATGACTTACGTAACACATTAAGATGCACAAGGCTTGAATTGTGTTGTCCCAGTGTGTTAATGGCAGTGCAGTACAGAGCTCCTGTGCGTCTGGAGACATTTTGCAGTGCAAAGACACTCCCCTTGTGCAGTAGGCCACCAGTTTCATCCTGCCACTGATAGATACTGGCCGGGGGGTTAGCATCACTGGAGCATCCCAGCTGCACAGCTTCCCCCTCCTTAACATCTGACTTGTACTCAACTGTCACAGTCACTGGAGCATCTGCATGGAAACGTGCATGGAAATATGTGCTTATGCTGAAATATGTGCTTATGCTTTGGGAAATTTTACACACACACACACACACACATAAAAAGATGATTGCACTCTGAAGATAAGCTGGCACCCAGATTCAACATGTTAGCACACTAAGCTCGATAGACAATACACAAAAATGAGGCTAGAAGAAAACCTTTTGAGCTTTTGAAATTACCATCTGTTCTTGATCACATTCAAACTAGAGAGATTACAGTGCTGACAGAAGTGTAGAGGAGTAAACAAAGTTTTCACTGTAAGGGGGGACAAATGTCTGAAACTGATTCAGTTGTTCAATTGAATCACAACATTTAACCCAATGTACCACGAAAAGAAAATTCAGGGCATTTGTTTATGTAGTGAATCCCCTGAGGATCATAAAAATTTGTGGCCTTGTATTAGAGCAATATGTTCAATATTTGTTAAAGAAAATTAAAAATTCAGTTTTGACAAAAACAGTGATGATAGAGGAGTTACTGATCCTCAGATATGAGACAAGAAAAAATCTGAGAAACAGAAATTATTGAATGAAGCTGTTTCAGGGTCATGAAGCTGTTTTGGTCAGGGAATAAATAATTAGCAAACGCAACAAGGCACTGGCCCGGGCCAGTACCATCGTTTTTCATGACGTAAGTCACAAAAAACTTGGAAATGTTTTGAGAGAAATTTTGGGATTATAATGTGTGTGTATTGCGTGGAGTATTCATGCCAGAGTCGGCAACAACATCAGCTAGAAGTAGAGAAGTTGCGTGAAATTGTCTAAAACTTTTCTATTTCCACGCTCCCCCCAGCCAGAAAACTACACTCTACACTCTACTGCATGTTTTTTTCTAGTAGTAGACACACTTGTTCTGTCTCTAACGATGTGTTCATCTAAGCAGAGACACTTACAGATTTTAATTACTGAGCCTCTAAGTGCGGCAATGTCTGTCTTTGCTCCTCATTGACACAAATACAAAGATTTTCTGAGAGAAGCAGAAGGAAATCCTGTTTATAACCTGCAAGTATGTCCAAACTATTTTATTTAAAAACACAAAAATCATATCAAAGCATTAAGAAAGTCCTTACGATGACCATGGTCATGCTTCTGCTCTGATAGGTGCTACCAATTTGTCAGAACAAGCCCAAATGTGAGACAAGCGCAAAAGGCAAAAGGAAAAAGTCGCTCTTTTTCTCAGGCCAGGCCCACAGCTGAGGCCAATTCACTAATCAAGGAATGCTCTAATATCTCTGCATCATTGAATCACTTTCGAAGCAATTTGATCAACAATAAAAAGCTGACTGTCAATCAATATCCTTATTAGAGCCCCAGGGGCAAGCGCACCAAGGCACTGGCTCCTAGACAATAGAGATGCTACAAACTTTACAGCAAGCTTCTATACAATAACACCTTGGGGTGAGGCCCCATACTCTGGGAGCCGAGAACAGCCACAAATTTTTCTTTTTTTTATGTACTGTTATCTCGTGATAATGACCTATTATCTTGTTATCTCAATATAACAAAGTTTGTTTTTTCATGATAACGGAAATAGTGACCAAGACACTTTTGTTATACTGGGACTTTTTCTTACTCTTCTTCTGGACAAATTTAGATTTGCTACTGGTCCAACAGCTTAAAGACTCGTGTGGTTTAATTGGGATTGGTATGATGTTTCCCACTGTATATGAATTTTTCACAACGGATGTCACGAAAAACTGTAGAAAAATTTTGCACTTGAGTCAATGGGACAGGCAAAAGGAATGTTTGTTGGATGTTCTCCTTGTATATAATGTCAAGGTAGTATTAATAGTATTAATTCTTTGAAATCTAAAGAATCATGATCACGAACACACCCCAGCAGTAACCTCTGTGGCCCTTTTAAAATTTCCCAGAGGGACTTTTCTAGTTCAATTTATGCTGTAACTTTTGATGCTGGTGTCTTCCATTTTTTAACTCCCTTAAACATGTTCTACCTAATCTCCCATTTTGGTCTAGTGACTTATATCAACCAAACATTGTTGTTAGGGAGAAGAAAAGATTTGATAAAAATGTCAAGGAATGAAAGGTTTCATGTCTTGTTTCAAGTGCCAGAGTGTTTTTCAGTGGGAAAATGCTGCACAGGACAAGATCATCGGTCCACACAGACAGCTCATCCAACGTGAAACACAGAGACGGTGTTAAGCTCTTTTTCCGATGCCTGCTCACATGATGACTGACAGGAATCCCCTCACAGCTATTCCTGCTGATTTTATCTCTTGAAGCTCCTATATTTGAATTGATAAAACTTTACAAATCATAGAAAAAAAAAAAACATGTAAAAATAGCAACCAGCACCCTAACAATAAATTCCTATCTCTCCTGTTTTAGGCTTTACTATGGTTGGTTTTGAATTTCACATCTATTGATGTATGAGGTGCACCCTTGCCCTAATATGTCAAAAAAAATCTCATTGATTCAAATGCTTTTTGGTCTTTTTCATTGACAGCGAAGCTCTTTGCAACTACTATCAAGAAAAGTTTCATTTATTCTTGATAAATACCAAGATCATAATCAAATGTTGTTCACTTACATTTAACTTTGAGAACCTTGGATTCTGTCCGCTGCTTCCCTCCAATGTATCTCACAGTGCATAGTAAATTCTTCTCATGATCGGCTCTGGTGAGGTGAAAGGTGAGAGTCGATGTTGCTCTCCACTGGCCAGCGTCGAGCTCCTCTGTATGAAATACTTTCTCTCCAGAGTGATTCCAGTTAAAGTCAGGAGGAGAAGCTGGGCAGGAGTAGGACGCAGAGCAGGACACAGACACATTTTCACCCTCCTTCAGTTCATCTTTCACAGAGACACTGATTGGCTCGCCTGTTAGAAAAAGCAAATTTATGATGACAAGCTTATGTTTTACTTAAGTCTGTTGAAAGCCATTTTTACCAACTCTGGTTCTGACTTCTTCTAAATGAAATCTTCTTACTCAGTTACAAGACCGGAAAGAGCTGGTGCATTCTACTTTAGATGAATGTGGGGTAAAAGTACAGACAGAGATACATGCTTTTTTATCCATGTGATATTTGCCCCATGCTGCTGCAGTCTTGCTGTTTCATACTCAACTTGCTTTGTCTTTTTATTATTTTTTTTTTTTTATTTTATTTTATTTATTAGTTTAAGTCAACTCTCAGTTTATGGCACAACAATCCTAGAGTGCACACTTTCCGTGTGCCATCTTAGCTATAAGAGACAGTTCCCTTTAATAAAACTGCTCTTCAGGTCATGTTCAGCATTAAGAATCACATCTTAAGAATAAAAACGTCAAGTAAACTGCAACAGACACAGGATTTGATTAACAGTAATTCTTGAAATGTCTGGTGTTTGCTTTCAATGTCAGTCATCTTTCTTGAAAACAGAAACTGTAATGATGAGGCGGTTTAATGAAAAGAGGAGAGCAACCAGTAACTTCTTAAGAATAGAGAAGTGGGAACTGTGTGGTCAAAAACCTAAACAACCTCAATCACCGACTCATCAAGTTTGACAACAGTGAAAAACTCTGCTCCACCAGTACAAAAACTGATTTATAAGTGTTCTGCATTGAGTAAATTTCTTCAACAAGAAAGGAAAAGAAAAACAAAAGACAACAGTAGAAAGGCTTTGGAGAGATAAAAGAATTGTCTGTGCTGTTTAAGATGATTGTCTTTGTTAACTTACTGATCATCCTGATGGAGACAGGGCTCTTGTAAGAATAGTTGTCATAGTCAGCGATTTCAATTCTGAAAATAAAAGGCCCGCTGTCACTTTGTTGAAGGGGATCGATCATCAGCGAACAGTTCTTCTGACTGGTGTCTCCAAGCAGCTTAGTCCGACCTCGATACTGCTGAAGTACTTTGTCTTGAACTGGGTGATAAATAACCTGATGTTCTGCATTGTTCCATATCCCGGTGAATCTAGTGAGTTGTTTTCCTGGAGCTGGAGCTGGATAGTCAAATGTGCAGGGAATCACCACACAGGATCCTACGAGACCTTTCACGGAAGAGGGCAACTTGACTGTCCATGAGGAGGCTTTATTTTGCAGAACTGTTGGGGAAAAAAGTGACCATAATAAAACAGAGGAGGCAGAAACAGACAAGAATAAAATACCTCTAATGGCATTATTATTGGGCTTAAGGTGGCATTGTTTGCAGAAAAACACAACATGCTAACAGGACAAAAAGCTGATTTTTATGCATTTTAAATAATATAGCTGGATATAGTGTTAAAATGTATCATACCTTTGGAGCAGAGAAACACTAAAATCAGACACCGGCTAAGAAAAGCCATGCTGTCTTCTCAGGCTCTGATCTGTAGATAGTGTGACAGATGTTTCCAGGCTTGTGTTGTTATTTCCCCCAAGTGAAAAAATGACTTCTTTCGTTTCCATTCCGCTTTTGATACAAGACACGTCAGCTGTGCTACATGCAGATTTGTCTCATCACACGTATTGTAGGGAAGGTAATAATTTTATTGTTTTTCTTTTTCCCCTTCACACTATTTTCCTCTAAGCTGTAGCTGTTCAGTACACATGATTTAAATGTTTTATTTTTAACACGTTTTCTAACAAAAATTGGTGAAAAGTAGAAGGAAGAAAAAAGCTGCTTTTCTATCTATTTTTATTTTTTTAAATATCACCTTTTCCTCATAAGAATCTTGGCTCCACTGGCCACACATCTGCTCTTACTTCCTGTTTTGACACAAAAGGATTGAGTTAATTTCAGCCAGCATTGCTTCTCCAATTTTATTTTAGGCATGTTGCTCACTGCATGACCCTGAACTTGCCACACTTTGCCTTATAATTCAGATTCAAATGACCAAAAAAAAACAAAACTTAGTGATTGCTCCATTTAATGATTGTTTTGCCTTTGGTTATCAAAAGAAACAGCCAGTCAGATGGAGAGGTTACTTTTTTAAATTGAGCATTATTACTTACTGAGGAAAGCCCTTTTTTACTGCTTATGGGTTGTTTATTAGTTTGTTTAATCAAAACATCGATCTTCTTCAGCAATGCAAATGGTTAAAAACAGCTTAAAGGTGCTCACCCATTTGTAGAAATTCACCCAAAATAAAGGTGTCACCTTTCAAAACAATGGGAGAGTCAATGACAAGTGAACTCTTTGTACCAATTCATTCATACATGAGAGTTTATTGTCTGCATATAATGAATATATACTTTGTGTTTCAGCTCAACAAGACAGCAGTAGAGAGCAGTGGACAAACCTCTGCGATGTTCAGATAAAGGATGGACTCTGACCTGTTTTTGCAGCACATTTAAAACCTTAACATGACCAGCTAGGTTGTTAAAAAGCGTCTTTTGTCACCCCACCTAACACCGTTACACCCACACATACAGACAAAAATAGGAAGCCCTTCACTAGCTGAAGGGCGAGGATGTCATGTGTGATTTTTGCAAACAAAAGTAACATATAAAAATACTTTCAAACTAACACCATAGATGGTGTTGGTGTTTGTTTCGGTGAAGATCTACCCATTGATGCAAAAATAAAACCATTTTCACAGTCATTTTAGAAGAGGGGGCCTGTGGAGCCCCACTTCCTGTTCATGTGATCACACCTCTATGGCTGTGGTTAGCTGACAAACAGTCCTCACAGAAGCCACCAACCAGCACCACAGCAGCTCTTCACAGTTTCCCCCTCCTGTGTCACAGTTGAGAGGATCTTCTTGCAAAGTTGTTGAATGTCCGGTTTGCTCATTTTCACATTCATGGACCCTGATCTCCAACAAAAGCAGGGTTCAGCATTTCACCTCTGTTTGGAAAACAACTTTCGCTGTCTTGTACAGCTAAGTCAAAATATTGGATGCTGCGTGTGGCGGTAGCCCTCCTCACAAACAAACTCTGCTTTCCTTTCACCTTCCAGAGATCTTCTTCACACTGAGTCAGAAAATCCTCAAGCTTGACAGTGTCCTCCTTCGGGCGACCCCATGAAAGTCTCCTTGGTGTAGGGGTAATGAAGCCAGTGGACACTGAGTTACCCATGTCTGTATCTGAATCTATGAAACAAAAAGGATAGGAGTTGTAGCAAAAGAAGAGTCACATGGAAAAAATTAAAAACCACGGGAATGATATTTACCCTTTTACTGCAGCAGGTTAGAGCGACGTCCCTCCTGTCCTGTATGCTGGTTTATCTAGCAAAGGTCTAAGATTGAATGAGACATGATCGAGCTCTTCTATTTTAAAGACCAAGAATCCTGACCTCATCTGCCACCAAAGTACCAGCTATCAGCTTTATCTCCTCAGACAGAGATTAAAGACAGCAGGAACGATACCACCTAATCAAGTCTGTGTGTATCAATCAGCCGATTGATCAAGCACTGTTCCTGCAATCACAAAGACACAGTCATTACCCACATTTACATTTCATCAACAGTTTGTGTACGGCATAAACTTCAGTGTACTCTTTTGTGCTGTTGGAATATTGCATTAAGTATCGATCTAGGTTAGACAACAGAGGTAATGGATGGAAAAAATAATTATGGCTTGACTTTTAACCACCGGTTAGAGTACAGGATCAGAAAAACTGTCTATTTCTCACAGGCTATATCATCGTCAGGTAACTCCTCAGATTTATAAAATGTAAGCGGAAAGTGTTTAAGATTAAAAGGTTAAAATTGGCCCTGTGTGCACCCCTGACCTGCAGGAAAGAGTTAAAAACAATTCATAATGCGGTATCAGAATCACATTGTCAATCACTGACTGTCTGAAACAAATATAAAGTCATTAAGATAACATACTCTCTAAGTATGTCTAGTCTTTTTGTCATCTCTTACAGCTTTGAGGGATACAGTTTTATACTGTGTGTAAAAGTGGAAATATTTAGCAATACCTTGCAGTCAAATTCCAGATTCAAACACTTTTTTTTACTCACTCCTCCAAGCTGTGAAGCAACACAGGCCTTTAAGGACAAGAAGCTCTTACAATGTATTATAGGTATGATTGTATATTATAGGTACATTGACTAGATATTTAATAATAAAATATTGACTTTGACCAATGAAAAGATCTCCAAACTACAATCTGATTCATAGTAGTAGGGTAGTAGTGATAGTACAGGGTAAAATGTGGGGAGATAGAGAGAATGGTCAGGGCCAGACTCAAGCCCATGTCTGCTACGGGGACCGTGGTCCCCATACTTGGGGCGCGCCACTCTGCCATCTGCGCACCCCTAGTGTTTCAGTTTTTTGACTATGTTGATGTACCAGTGTCAATCAAGAGTTAGTCAAACCTCTGCCCAGGTCTCCCACCCACACCGCTATGTTGGTTGGCTGATTTTACCCCCCTGGTGCTCTTCTATACAGTAAGTGGAACAAAGTCTAATTTCCTGAAATAACTAAAAATCGATGCTGTGAACAACTGTGTGTCCAAAATTATATCACCCATACAAAGCCCATGTACTGTATATTATAGACTTCACAGTAAGTGTGTCACAGTGTGTAGCTGACTTCAGCTGAGACTGTTGTAAAAAGTCCAGCATAAACAATGCACAGGAGACAGGATGAGATCTGAAGAACAGCCTGGGGCGTCTTTAATAGTACAGATGTAGAAATCAGTACAGATGACAAACAGAGACTCGACCAAGACCCAAGGAAGCTTCCCTAGCTTTACTTCTACTCTCTTTTATCCTGTGTGAGTGTGTGTGTGTGTGTGTGTGTGTGTGTGTGTGTGTGTGTGTGTGTGTGTGTGTGTGTGTGTGTGTGTGTGTGTGTGTGTGTGTGTGTGTGTGTGTGTGTGTGTGTATTCTCCAGAAGGCCCCTCATGATGACATGTCTGCTCCACGACACTTTGTTTAGGTTCGTCTCGACCCTGGCAGAGATTACATGTTCCAACAGACAGATAGTTTGGGCTCCTGCAAGACAGCCTTGCTTACAATCTCATGGTCGTGGGGCTGCAGGAGCAGGCCAACCTAGATTATTTGTAGCTTCTTACTAAAAGATAATTACTCTACATTTCTTAACCTAACTGTATGAAGAGATTCCCCTACACAGTCCCCTCTTTGAAAGTTCTTACTTTCATAAAAACCTAATCATCATATCAAACACTAAACACCATACCATAGCTTGGATCATTTCAAATTATATCAGCGCGTAAGACTGAAAACCCTGCTCGGCTGTTTCAGCAGGGAAAGAATCTTACGGCCCCGCGCCCTGGCGACCATCCATTTCCTGGATGCGCTGACATAATTTCATTTGCATAGAAGAAGTGTCAACTTCTGATAATACCATTACATTACATTGTAGCAACCTGCAACAAACCCCTTGATTAATATGTGATTAGTGTAGTCCTTTAACTCTGTGAATGAAACATGTTCAGTTCAATATTTCCAGCTCATTGAATATGTTGTTTGTGTTGCTCAAAGTCCATTGCTCATCTTCGTCTCCATCAAAGTCCAGGAACCGTTCAGGTCCCTCAGTCCCTCCTTGATTAATCACACACTGTGCCAGCTGTTTTGGTGGCATTTCCTGTAGTTCATGGGCCAGTGTTAGGTCCACCATAAGTCCCATCTCCTCCGTCAGCTTCCAACAATGTCTCCAAAGGATGTGTACGATGCGACATGTGAGAAAGGAAATCAGAATTAGGGCTATCGCAGCACTCATGGCTGGGCCAAAACGGCTCTCATTCATCTAAAATTTGGACTACCCAGTCCATTAACAGGCCCCCCTTACCAGCATTCTCCTGCATTTCCACTTTAAACTTTTCTTTACCCTTAATAGCTTTAGAAAAACCTCCCCCAGGGGCTTGTTTTGTTAGAAATGTATCCGCAACAGTACTTTCCAACCTTTTAAGACACATCTTTTCTCTTCAAATACCCAATTTACTGCTTGTCTGTATTGACATGTTAGTGGACTTGTTACATGTAAATATCCTTTAATCTAAACATCTTCACTGAATAATTAACAAATCAAATCAAACAATAATTTCTGTCACATAATTGCTTAACTTTAGGTTAAAAAAAAAACAAAAAAAAAACAGTTCTCTTATTTGTAATAATCTGTGAATGTTGGCATGGGTTCTAGCTCTGTCTGGAGTGGTGTGGATTGTGTTTTGGGTTGCATCTTACTCACCCTCGATAACAATGTCTCCGACTTCTTCTTCTCACAGCTGTTCTGGCATCAGTTTGACCTTCACCCTCATTGTTGTCATCAGTCTCTCTCTCGGTCTCTCTCCACACATTGTCCAACAACAACACTAGGAAAACAGTAACTTTCTTACTTTCAGGACGAGTGCTACAGTCACTCTGGGAGTGTCTCTTATCAAGTCATACTTCCCTTGTTTTTCTGGGCAGTCAGTGGTAGATGACGCCACATCTTATTGCCCTCTTCTTGCACTGAAGTAGAGTTCACCAGGACCAAAGTGTTTAGGTCTTCTCCTCGTTCTTTGTGCCACCTTCCTCAAAGGACGGTGATGTACACCTGGTGCTCTGGCTTGACTGGCCTCCACCTCTTGACTGGGATCAGATTTTGGCACTCCTCCTGCTAATCCATATATCTTGCATCGTAGTTAGCTGCCTCATATATTTAATTCACTAATTTTCAGCTGCTCAAGCGAAAAACTTAATTGTTTAGCCGCAGTAAAGCATAGCTTTGTAAGTTAGTAATTCATGCAGTGAAAGATTTATCACAGTGCTTTTGATTGTGAAAGCTCATAAGCGCAAGTAGCAAAGCATCTTCCTATAAGTTAGTGTTTTGCAGGTGGGGATGAAGTGGGAATGAAGACAGTCTGAGAAAACTGCATGCATGCAGTCAGCTGATCAAAGTGTGCTAAATTTGGGAGAGGAAGTCAATTTAAATTGGATATATATCAGCTGAATTAAGAGAAACTGCAGTTGGTTGTGTCAGACCGCCTCACGCTGCTACATGCGTGAGACTATGTGAAGATAGTAGACTGGGTGCAGAAAGGCACTTCGTCTCCTTTAAAGTGTGAGGCTGCTCCACGCTGCTATATGTCTGAGACTATGTGAAGATAGCAGACTGGGTGCAGAGAAGCACTTCGTCTCCTTCAAAGGGTGATATCGCCTCATGCTGTTACGTGTGTGAGATTGCCACATGTGAAGCTATAGGCTGCTGCATGTGAGGGATGCCATATGTAGAGCTATTGGCTGCTGCATGTGTGAGAAGCTATAGGCTGGGTGCAGAAGCACTTCGTCTCCTTCAGAGTGTGAGATTGCCTCATGCTGCTATAGGTTTGAGATTGTCATATGTGAAACTATAGACTGGGTGCAGACGCATTTCGTCTCCTTCAATGTGTGAGAATCGCCTCACGCTGTGTATGTGAAGCTAGTAGACTGGGTGCAGAGAGGCACAAGGCCAGTAGTTAAGTGGAACTAGCTAGACTGGGTGCAGAGAAGCACTGGCCAGTAGTTCGGGGAGACAGCCTGGCCCGGGTTGTGATGTGTTTTTAGGCTGAATGCCTGGTGATAAAAGGTTCTGGGTAATTTTTGGGATAACAAGGGGAGTGGCAGGCACGAGTGTGTCTGTCCATTGTTGAACTGTGAGTTTTGGGCAATTTTTCATGAGCTCTGAGAGATACAGATTGGCTTGATGAGCAGGAGATAGAAAAAGACGTCAATAAGGATAGGCTGAAAAGCCTATTCAGGGATCCCAATTGAACAAGCACGTCCCATATCTCCTGACCAATTGTAGAAGAATCACACAAATTGAAAAAATCACACAAATTGGAAAAATTGAAGAAATCAAAACAAGAATTAAAATAGAAGACTGCTGACTGACTCCAGTGACTGACTTTGACTTCAAACACGTGTGAAAGGGTATACCATTGTGTGATGAAAAAGTGAAGTGTGTGGGTTGATTGGATGTTTGTGTGTGTCTGTTTTGTTCTGTGTCAAAAACATGTCATCATGAGGGGCCTTCTGGAGAATACACATACACATACACATACACACACACCCACACTCACACAGGATAAAAGAGAGTAGAAGTAAAGCTAGGGAAGCTTCCTTGGGTCTTGGTCGAGTCTCTGTTTGTCATCTGTACTGATTTCTACATCTGTACTATTAAAGACGCCCCAGGCTGTTCTTCAGATCTCATCCTGTCTCCTGTGCATTGTTTATGCTGGACTTTCCACAACAAGACGTACCGTGATTCTCTCCCCTCATTTTAGGCTTCCTTGTTTTAAGGTTGTGTAACTTGTATTCAACAGCATTAAAGTGTAATGGTAGGCTGTTGTTTACATGTAAATGAGTTCTACCATTGATGTTGGTCAGTAAGCCGTTCATAATCATTTTTGTATAATTTTAATTTTTCCAGTTATGCCATTGTCAAAAGGAGCCAAAATCAGCAGAGCTACCATCAATATCTCCACACTGACAGATGTCAGACATGCAAAGACTGTCAGCTTCTATTTGACCATGGATAAGCATCTCATTCCAAGCAGGCAAATAGCTTCTTTGGAGTATTTGATGAACTTTTCATAGAACAGTTTGTGTTGTATTCAATTTATTATTTACTTTAACCCCCCCACCACCACCACCAAAAAATAAAAAATAAAACTTCAAAACAATTGCATTTATGTTTCACTGTTTGTAATTTATTCTTACAATTGTTAACACTTGGAATGGATTCAGATTTTGAGGAGTGAAACTAACACCATCCAGATTTTCCAGAGAAAAAAAAAAGATTTAATGAAAAGAAAAGTTTAAAAAATGCATCACATAGTTTCTTATCATATCCTTCAGGGTTATTTCAAGTTGAAAATATAACTCTTTCACAGTGTTAAATTCTTTACTCCTGAAAGTGTGACACTATATAAACTCTGAAAATCAACCCTGTAGGTGTGGGACTCAAATTAAGGACTTGGCCTTTTTTTGCTGTTCTTTGGTTTTGAGTCACCACAATGTGACTCATTGTGAGAGTTGTAAACAGCAGCTCTCACAATTAATCTTAAACTCTAAAACTTAAACTAAGCTGTGGTCCAAACAAGGTCTCTTTTATGGTCTGGTCTATAAGCTCATCTGTCCTGCTAGTCTGTTTATCTCTGACTGTATCAATGCAACTGAAGTTCAGCATCCTTGTTTTTGATGACGTTTCTATCACAGGCCATGAGATGGCACCATTTTCAAATGAATGTCCTGAAGTTACTGGGCGTCAGCAGCAGATAAGTTTGTCGAGAAATATCATCAATTCATAAACCTCTCAAATAAACTATGCAACACTTGTCAGCTGTAAAAATGATTATTCCAAAGAGATCTCTCCAAATGACAGTCTTGCTTTCAAAGGCCAAAAAGTTCTCATTAAACTTTGGATACATTTGGTGATTACAGTAATACATTTACTTATATTTTATCGAAGTTAAAAAGCAATGTCACATCTGTAAATTTGCAGTTAAACACTTAGGTGTGGAAGACCTACAATAAGTCTGTTTACAAAAATCAAATATGCACCAAACTTTGAAATGTTGTCAGTGTAGGCTTTAATGATCAACTGAGAAACTCAAAAACAATGCCTCTGATATCACAAGTCAGTAAATGATGGGTGTTGAGAAAACATCAGTAATCCACTCTTAATCTCAATTTATGTAATCTCAGTGAAACAATTCACAAGCAATTTGAAGGAAAGAAAATTAGCAAGTGCTTGATACAAAAGAAACAGGTTTGTATCCTATTTTGCATACATACAATGTGCTTCCTTTTTATGCTAATGAGTTTCTCTGAAGCCTTGTGATTTCCATGAAAGTTTGTCAAATAAAAAGTCTTAAAGGGAAGTCTAGCAGCTGACGTAAACAATAAAAAAAGTGAAAGTTAAGCTTTAAAGCCAAATGAAGGATCTGAAACTAAATTAACACAAGTGAGAGTAGATAGATAGATAGATAGATAGATAGATAGATAGATAGATAGATAGATAGATAGATAGATAGATAGATAGATAGATAGATAGATAGATAGATAGATAGATAGATAGATACACTTTATTCACATAAGTGTCATGACATAAGAGTCATGGCAGCACAGGCAACATTGGTAAGTACCACAAAATAGGAGTTGATGTGCAGCGCTAGTGCTAATGAACAAGGTCTTTAAGCATTTTTTCTCCCCTTTTTTTCTTTTACAAGTCATTAACATCGTTATCACAAACAGCAACAAGTTTCTTTCTCGTCTAGATCCCTCAGTATCAATCAGTTCCCTCATCATCAAGCCTTTTGTCATTAACATCGTCACTTGTCGTCAATATCATGAGGCGCAGAGGTGTTATAGTCTATAACTCTCTTGACCCTGAAGATCAGATGTTGGCTGACTCACCCCACCACTGGGGACAACAGAGGAGTCTAGCCTAAGCACAAAAAGCAGGGTGTCGGGCTTTTTTTATATTGATGTAACACATTAAAGAGGTGACAAGACAGGGTTACAAGATGATACGTTTCTCAGAAGAAGGTGACAATTGCGCCCCTCTTAACACTGCAAATGTGAAGCATGTAAAAGAAGTGTCAAATTGGAGGTGCAAATGGTTGTGCAGGGCATTGCATTCTAATCTGCTTGCATGAGTCTTCAGATAGACCATCTACAGGCAGTGAAAGTGACACCTGAATCACTCTTTTTTTTGTTTTTGCTAACTGAGGTGAGCTTGGTACAGAGTTGCAGACATGTCCTCCCTCTGTGAAGAATAAGTGTCAAACAAGCCTGAGACAAATAGTCGAGCTTCACATGAGAAGACAAATTATCTCACCGTTTTCTAACAAGTAAAACATTCAAAGCAACTGCAGGCCATTTTTTCCACAATAAATCTACTCTCGATAGAAAGAAAACATGATTTCAACTGCCAAAACCAGATACAAATCACATGTTAATACTAAATTGGAACAGGGTTGGGAAAACTAACTTTAAAACTCCAATTTGTGGGTGGAAAGTAAGGGTACCATGTGGCAATGATGTCACTGTATGTCTTGGAGTTAATGTTGGTTATACAGATAATCAAGAAAAAGATGTGGTCACATTTGTTTCAGTCAAGTTCCTTTTTCTTACTTCCCATCTTCAGGTTCAACTGGTCTGGCTCTGATCAGATCACAGAAAAAAATAGAACAGAGAACAAGATATTGAAAGTTGTTAGGCAAAATCGAACAAATGAGTAGTTAAAATGCAGAACTGTTCAATCAAACTGTAGCGATATCATCACCACTTATTCCTCTGTGGTCTAGAGAGATTCAAAATCTTTTAGAAAATGTTTGAATTCGGTGTCTAAAACTACAAAAAAGTTTCTCTCACCTGCGAGACAGTCTGGAAATACGGTTCCACACACTAAATTAAAAGAAAGAACAAAAAGAAAATAAATAAAGTTCTCGAGACAAAAAGACTTAAAAATAATTAAACCCATCAATTTAGCTCTTATACTGACCTGCCTTCCTGACTTTGGAGCGCTGCGATGCGGTTCCTTAGAGACATAAAAACATTTTTTTTTATCAAGGTAAGAAAAAACAAAAAATTAGACAATGAGGCTGACTTTATTATGCATAACTGTAGGGAAACTGCTCTCTTTATTGTAAGTCTGTCATGAACTCACTTGTATTTTTTCACCATAAAAAGGCAAAAGACTGCAAAGATCAGAGCAGTCCCGAGTCCCACCACAGTGGGAATGATGATGTGGTTGTAGTTTTCTGTGCCTGTAAACAGACAGATTTTAGACTTGAGACATTTCTTGTTGATAATTTAAAAAAGGAAAGAATGCAACATCCGTCATTATGAGATAACGTATGAAATAAAAAGTCTCACGTTTGACAAAGAGGGTGAGTGTTTCAGATGATGACCTCCCTCCATTAAAGGTGGATGTGCAGGTGATCACACTGTGGTCGTCCTTCTCCTCAGCGATGAACGTCAGGATGGACTGAACCTCCCAGATGCCTGAATGAGTTTTCCTGTGGACCTCAGTGATCCCGTCTTCTGTGCCTCTGCTCCATGTAAGTTTGGGGGCGTGGGTGGGGCAGGTGTGGGCCACTGTACAGGTGACAGTGAAGGGATGTCCTTGAATGGCTGTCTTCGGGTGATTCATCTCAGGCTTTGGAGGATCAGCTGAGAATAAAAAAGTCAAATAAAGTTAGAGGCTTGTAATTATGGAGCAGAAAATTGATATTGATTGGTGGAAATCTTGGTGACGTACGCTGCATTATCAACTTGGCACAGTTTTGGACAAAGGAGAACTTGTCAAGTGTACCACTTGATGTTGGTGCTAGTTCAATCCGGAAACAGAAAGGGCCGTTGTCATGATCTTTAATTTCAGTGATCTCTAACGTGCAGTTACCCTGACCCAAATGCCCCAACAACTTTGTGCGTCCCCTATAATTTTCCAAGACTCTCGATTTGTCATCATAATAGATGCGCTGATCCAAATGTCTGGAAACATGCCAGAGCCCCCTGAGGGTGGAGGAGGACATGTGTCCTCCAGGATGGGTGAAAGAACAGGGAATGACAACACAAGATGAAACCAGGGCCTCAAGCTCATTCACAACATTGGCCGTCCATTCTTTAGCCACCACAGGGCCGCTGATGGCTGCAGAGAACAAAAACAGCAGGCAAAATAAATGAGCTTGAGGATGTGTTTTACTTGTAGTGCTTATATTCAAAACAATAAGGTGACTTACCTGCCAAAAGCAGAGTATATATAATCATTCTTCCATCTTTGTCCATTTTAAGAGTTGATGGAATACACTGCAAAATTTTCATGAAAGAAATTTTCAAAATGTATTTGAATGTACTTGGCTTTAAATAAACGCAAATTCTTTCATATCCAAATTATGTCTTTCAAACAGTCTAAGAAGAATTTCACTGTGTGAGCCTACATTTTATTTTTGCCCCCTATTTGTTGGTTTGACAAAACAGAAATTAATGAATTATGAATTAACTAAGAACAAATATAATCAGCTTTAATTCAGCAATAAGCAAAAAATAAAACTCACACCCCTTGGTTACCACCTATTTGAGCAGAAACATCATCAATAGTCAAGCATCAAAAATTTCAAATTCAAATTAAATTCAACAATTTAACAACAATTAACAACAATAAAACCCAACCCTCCCACACACCCACCTATGGAACCACACACACACAAAGACACACACTCACCCTCACTCACTCACCCACACACACACACACACACACACACACACACACACACACACAAGCGCACACAGTGTGAGAATTTAAGATATATTGTTAGAGAGACATGGCCTGACACTGAGACATTATGCGAGGAAAGAGCTACCTTTGGGAAACACTGGAGATAAAAATAAAAATGGTAAAAAAAAGTAAAACCTGATGGACTAAGACAAGAAGATAATATAAAATGAACAGATAAGTAAGAGCTCTTTACAATATAAAAAGGAGTTAAAGAAGTAAAAACCTCTGACGGGAATTAAGAAAAAGACTAAGAACAGAGATAGTTTGTAAAATGACATAAAATAAACAGTAAGAACTTTGATTAAAATGAACATTTGCAATGAGAGAAATATAAAAAGGCAATTATTATTTAAGTCTTACCTGATTTTTTGGGCTGATCACAGCTGAGTGTGTCTGGGGTTCAGTTCACTCTAAATGTTGGTAAGAGAAAGAGATACTAACAAAACTACAATATCTACCCCTCCTCTTTTTTTTTCTTTTTTTTTTTTGAGGGGTGTTAGAGACAGAAAGTATAGAGGCAGTGACAAGTGCCTGTATAGTAAAGAAAGTAGGGAGTGGTCTTTGCTTACTGTGCAGAAGAATGCAGTTAACTCCAGATGCAGTGGTGGTACAGACCTTTCGAAATTCGTTTTGTAACTTTGTTATACTAATAGGTCCATTTATCAGTCAGGTATTCATCATACAGTAGAATTCATTATAGAGACCTAAAAATAGCTTATTTATGAGATGGTATCGAAACACTGTGAAACTTAAAGATCCCTGATATTGCCCCCAGGATTACCTTTGACCTAACCTGATGTTGTGGTGAAGTTCAGCCATCATCTATTCCACTAATTTAAAGGAAACAAAGCAGGTATCTTATCTTTTAACAAACGCATCTTATCAAAAAGTTAAAAAAAAATGCTGGGTTGTTTTCTTTTAACCCAACCACTAGGTTGAGCCTGTTGGTCAATTTATTTGGGTTATTTTCATGGAGTTGGGTATTCTGAGTACCCAATTCACAAGGTTATTTATGTTGGGAACAGAGTAAATAGCTGTTGGGTTGTAATTTCTCTCTACAGTTTTGTTGGTTTATTGTGGACTACCCAACACATTGGGTAGACGTTTGAAACCAAGCACCACCCACTCACCAGATTGATGCCATAACTGCTGAAGTGAGGAGACGTACAAAGCGAGGTTTGTTACATTCTCACTATTGCTTTACCATATAGATTACTTGATGTTATTATATAGACCCTCATTTTGTTGTTAAGATGTAAGTTTGTGAAGCACTGTTGTGTACCAGCTTCTGCCTACAGGAATCAATTGGTAGGTGAGCAAGCTAATGGTAAGTACATTGCCTCAAACGTAGCAAGCTAACATGTTAGCTGATGTGCGGTGTGGTGTGGTGTGTTCAAAAATGTTTAACGACTAATTTAATGGACTTTCTATCTTGATGTTTCAGGCTGATACGAACAATCAATGGATGACTTTGTGACATGGAGTGGAGTGAAGTGGATGCAAGATACAACCTCCTGTTCGGTATCGTTTATTTTGAAAAGACAAGAAAAACATATAAACAAAAGAAAACTGCCAAATGTTTACAAACTCTGAAGATTGACCATACAAACTCTAAAACTCTCAAGTGGTGGCAGTAGTTTAGGAGGTAGAAGGGTTGTCCAATAACTGGAGGGTTGGTGGTTCGATTCCCCCCAAACCCGAGTCTGTCCCTTGTGTCCTTGCTGCAAACTGGCAGCCACATTTCCGTGAGTCTGCCCCAGGGCAGCTGTGACTACCTGTGTGAGCGAATGAATGATGTATCCAATGTAAAGCGCTTTGAGGGTCTGTGTTAAAGTGCTATATAAAATATGATGCATTAATGTAATTATATTAAATATTAACAACCCAAAAGCTGTGTTTAAAGAATCCAATTGTTGGGTTAAGTGAACTAACCCAATTAGTTGGGTAAAATTAACCCAGCATGTGTTCTGTCCAATATTTAACCAGCGCTCGATTGGGAAACTACCCAAATTGGGTTGTTTTTAACCCAGTGTTTTTTAGAGTGAGAGAACTGGATTTAAATTGAACTTGACTTCCTGCAGGAAAGACCAATTCACCATTTATTCTTTATGGAAATATAAGTTTGCAAAATCCCCCTGTTGCCACTTGTACAAATACATTATTCTGCCTATTACCATCTATCAACTGAGGACAAAAACTGACACAAAATACTGCTGTAGTTCAGTTTAAAGTAAAGTCTGTTTACTTGAAACTTCACATTTCTTTGTCAGTAAGAGAAGCATTTCTTTTTATAAAAAAGGAATTTGAGCAAAATGGTGGCATAACAGATGAAAGAGATCTGAAAATGCAGTAGGAAGACGCTTTTTCTCAGTAGCTGACAAGCACACCCACATTCACGCCTGAACACGAGAGTGTGTTTCCATACAGAGAAAAAAAGAAAACAGTCAAATCGAAAGTGTTAACATGCAGGGCATTGGACCAGAACCCTATTTGCTTGAGTGAGAATGTCAAATCTTTTTTGGTACACAGGTTAAAAAAAAAAAAAAGAAAAAAAAAAGCAGGGTGGCTGGAACATATATGAATTTTAAAAAGCTTTGTCACTCCTTTCACATTTTAGATTAGGTTCAAAAGTCTGTTAAAGTTCTGTCAAAAATCAAACTCACTCAAGTAGTTTTTTGTCGGTGAGGGCTTTCATGACCAACTGAGGACACAAAACACAATGCCTCTGACACCAAATCCTGTTGGTTACAGGAACTGCACAACAAGTGTAGGCTGAGTCAACAAATCCCTTTTACAGTCTGTAGTTTCTTTTGACAACCACCTTGAGGAAAACAGATGTTACAGTTGTTCCCAAAAATACAGAAAACATCCTACTGCAGACCTTTCATCCACAGTTAATTAATTTAAAAATGCTGCAACTTCCCTTTAACAAGAGACACAGATGTTTAAAATGACGTTCAGAAAGCGCAATGAAGGGCTCGGGCCCCATCCACATGTATGATGAGTAATATTTCTGAGACATTATTTAGCCTCTGCGTTTGTGCCTTATGTCCAAACATCTTCCTGAAGGTATTTGAGTCTACAGAATTAACCCCCCAGTGTAAATTCGGAGCAAAGTCAGGGTGAGCTGAAGTGAAAACACAGTGGGCAGTCTTTCTAAAAAGGATGACAGGAGTGACGATATTTTCAATTTAATGCTGCTGCTGGTGTTCTGATGAGTTTTGCTGCTTGGTTGAAGGATACTACCTGAGTGTGAATCAATAGAAGTTTGCTGTCAGTTTGCACTATTTGAAAGCAAATAGAGTTCAGGGTACCAGAGGAAAAAAATCAAGCTTTTAGACAACACTTAAGGCACTAGTGCAGATGTAGACAGACAGACAGACAGACTCACCTCCACTCTGCTGCACTGGGGTCATTAATCCATTTCTTAAACCTCCCGCTGTTGTTATGGCAGATAACAATGCACAAAACCCTAGGAGAGGAGCCCCAGGATCCTGCACGCTTTTCCCGTCATCAATGCAATCACAAGAGGCCATCCATGGGCGGCAGTAGCTCAGGAGGTAGAGCGGTCGTCCAATAACCGGAAGGTTGATGGTTCAATTCCCCCCTAATCCAAGTCTGTCTGTTGTGTCCTTGGGCAAGACACTTTGCCCACCTTGCTCCCAGTGTGTGTCCTCTACTGGTGTATGATTGTGAGTGTTGTGTGGTGGTGGTCGGAGAGGCCGTAGGCGCAGAATGGCAGCCATGTTTCTATCAGTCTGCCCCAGGGCAGCTGTGACTACTAAGGTAGTTTACCACCACCAAAGTGTGACTGTGTGAGCGAATGAATGATGTATCCAATGTAAAGCGCTTTGAGGGTCTCTGATAAAGCGCTACATGAAATCTGATGCATTATTATTATTATTATCCAAGGACACGTCACAGTGTTCTGAAATTCACCAGCTGTTGGGATTATTCTTGGACTTACAAGAAACTATCTCTAAGAGTTTTAGTGACCCAAGAGATTTTGGTCTCTGTAAAACAGCCTGGGTTGTGCAACCTCAGGCTGCACAACCAGGCCTAACCCAACATTTTTATGAATCCTCAGTAAATTACACTCTTTGCCAGATAGTTCTCAGCTTTGTTGCAGGATTTTCCAGCCTGTTTTGTTTGGTTTGACTCCACAGTACTGACCCACTGCCTGGTTCTGACCCACCCGCTCTCTTTTCACTTGTTGGATTCTATGGAATCTTATAGGCCCAAGATACTACTACCGTTTCTTACCAAAGACGATAGTTCAGCAGACAGACGATTTGGCAGATATAGCAGACTGTCACAGAGGTGAAATCTGGTCACTTAAGAGGAAAGGTCCATGACCAGATTTTCAGAGAAGAAGGAAGAGAGAATGAAATGAAGCAATGAGCACAAAGATTAGCTTCCATTTCAAACTTGCACTGAGTTTCATTATTACACCTTATGACCTTGTGAGTGAGTCATTAAAGTAAGAAGACCCTGACGTTCAGCAAAGTTTTTCCGTATTAAATGGCAAATTACAAAAAAAAGATAGGCCTAGAAATGTTCAGGATTATGGTATTTTTGTCCAAGAAATGATCCCTTGGGCTCTTTAGATGGACGAACTGACAATGACTCATTGTAAGATGAGACAACATAAGATACATAAGACAACATAAGATACATCAACATAAGATCTCTGACGGTGTTTGTTTATATTATTGAGAAAAGACAAAGCTGTTGGAGACTCAAATTCTGTTTTATTTTTCCCATTTTATGTCTAATCAATCTCTAATCAAAATCAAACTCTTTATTCTTGTTGTTGGATTGGTTAAGGGGTGCAAGTTAAGTGCTTCCCCAGATACAAATTCTGCATTTTTCTCAATATCAATGAGGATTTTCTAATCAGTCTGCATCAGAAACAATGTAATTACAGCTGCTTGAATGAAGTCAGTTTACTATTTAACATTTGCTGGGGTTTTTTCCGCTTTGAACTTCAACAGCCCAGTGCCAAAGTCTAGATTTATCAGTTTTTGGGTTAAATTAAAAAAAAAAATGTACCAAATTTTCTTACTGCTGTGGTCGACTACAAATTGTCAAAGATGGTAACACAGTTGAAAGTATGTATGCCTGTCACCATGGTAGCTTTGGACTGACTCAAAAGTGCTGTACATGTACAGCCTTCCATAATGGACACATGTATTAATTGCTCTTTCATTTGACGTTAATGAAATAAAGCTGTGGAATTCAAAGACAAAAAAAATGATTTCTTGACTTGGAGTGAAAAAATCCCACTATAATACCACATTTATTTGTGTATGATGTACTTTTTTAACTTAATTAGATAAGCAGGGACAGCACAGCTCTGGGGGGAAAATCTTGGTGCAACTTTGATACATGCTCTGACTGACTAATTCTTCAGTTTCTGGGGTTTGTGAAGTTAGAAATCATTCCTTCTTTTAATGCAAAACATTTCCTGTGGGCCAATAGGCGAGTTTTTACTTTGTACCAGCATAGCCAAAATAACAGGACTTTATAATAACAAGGAAATGAGTTCGCTCAATTTCTATTTACTTTGCCAGTCAGTGACCCAATGAACACTGACAGTCCGTCCAATACGTGTCCAAGTGTGGGAAATCAATTTAGGGGAGTTTGAAAATATGCAATGACTTTTTATTGAAAATCATGGACGAGTTCTATGAAGGATTTTGTATTGTATGAGTTGTAAATTGGCATTTGTCGTCATGGAGAAAATGTTCTTGCAGATTTGGGGCCAGAAGTCAGCATCAGGAGCAATGGAGAGGTCAGTTTCCCATTTTTCTGAAGGTATGGAGGGTGTTGAATCGGCCTGTGATAATAATTTGTATATTTTAGATTAAAGTTTCTTCGAGGAAGGGATGTTAATGAATTTAGAGGGTGACGGGGGGAGGTCTAAGTTTATATTCTTGTTTTTCATTGTTGATTGGATGGATGATGAAACCTGTAGATATTGTAAGAATTGATGGCTCCTGATGCCAAACTTCTGGACCAGGAGAGAGAATGGGACCAGGATGTTATTGTTGAAGATATGTTTGAGGTGAGTAATCCCTTTCTCTACCCAGGTGCTGAAGTATAGTGATTGTTTATTGCTGATGAAGTCCAGGTTGTGCCAGATCGGGGTGAAAAGCGACGGTGCCAGAGTGGAGTTAGTAATGCTGTAGAATTTCCACCAGTCTGTCAGGGCCGATGATATTGTGGGGTTTTGGAAACAGGGGTGTTTTTGATAGTTTGACTAAGGAATGGTAAGTCTGAGAGATGAATGTCTTTGCTAACTATTTTTTCTACGTCTAACCAAGTGCTATCTGACTGGGTGGGGTGGGTCCATTTGTAGATGTATTGAAGTTGATTTGCTAGTGAGTAATAATGACAATTTGGAGCATTGAGTCCACCTAAACTTTTTGATTTTTGAAGAGTGGCCAGTTTGATTCGTGGGGGTTTATTTTTCCAGTAAAATTTGTTGATGGATGAATCAAGGGAATGAAACCAGGTGAGAGGTGGATGAGTGGGAATCATTGAACAAAGGTAACTGATTTTGGGGAGGATTGTCATTTTAACTGTTGCAATTCTGCCTAGAATGGATAATGGGAGGTTCATCCATCGTTGGAGATCGTCATTGATTGTTTTTAGGAGTGGAGTGAAATTCAGGTTGATCAATTCTGATATGGATATGGATATTAAGAATTTATTAAAAAAAAACGGGTCATCAGTGTTTGGGCCATATATATTACCAATTGTCATTGGGCTATTATTGATTGTTATGTTAATGATGACAAAACGTCCTTCTGGGTCTATTATGGTGGTATTGTGTATAAATGATATTGATTTACTGATTAAATTACAAACTCCTCTTTGTTTTTTATTGAAATGTGATGAGAATGAGTGAGTAAACTGAGATGATTGTAATTTGATGTTGTCTGATTCTGAGAGATGTGTTTCCTGTAGTAAACAAATATCTGCATGGAGTGAGGTGAGATGATTAAATACTTTATTTTTCTTAGCCTGAGTTCCAATGCCACGGATGTTCCAAGAAACGAATTTTATTGCTGACATGTTGGGTGACTTTTATCAAAAGGAGAGGGATTCATTATGCTGAGTGAGTGAGTGAATGTGTGTGTATGTGTGTGTGTGTGTGTGTGTGAGTGTGTGTGTGTGTGTGTGTGTGTGTGTGTGAGAGAGAGAGAGAGAGAGAGAGAGAGAGAGAGAGAGAGAGAGACTAGACAAGTGAATACAAAACAAAAAGGGACATATACAGTAATGTTTATGTAACGTAGTTAGAATTAATATTTAGTGATTTCACTTGCCATGCCTTGCATTGAGTTCTTTTAAGGATGATTAGTATTGATGTTCAGATTCCCTGCAGCCCTCAAATGCAACACCCCTGGGGATTTGGGAAGTGAACACCAGGCAAGCAGCAACAGTTGTACTGAGCTGCTCGCTGGGTAAGTCCAGATGTCGTGATCTCCGTGATTATTTGTTTTAATTATCTTTTAATTTCCATATTTAAGAGGGTACTTATGTTGTAATTTTATGCTTGCAGTGAAAGAGAGGCTGCATGTCAGGTGTGAGACCTGACTATGTGAATATTCTACCAGGTACAGAGTTTGAATAAATATATATTTTGTTATACCACTTTAAAACTACTTTAAATGTACGAAACAGTTGTACTGAGCTGCTCGCTGGTGAAAGAGAGGCTGCATGTCCGGTGTGAGACCTGACTATGTGAATATTCTGCCAGATGCTGAATAAACGCCGATGCCAACCACAGAAGTATGGTTTCTCTCCTGAAATAATTACACAATGCAAGTACGACCACTACATTTACACACATACGAACAGCAAACAAAACACAAACGTATAACAATAAAGAACACCGAGAGCGCTGCGTATCAGAGCGCATAGAGTGCGGGGCGAGACGTTGGTGCGTGACTATCTATGATTGTCCTTAACAGATAGGGGGGCAGGGCTCTGTGTAGCGGGAGGAGAGAGCGAGAGTGCATGTGTATGAGAAAGTAAGAGAGAGATAGTTTACAGAGACAGGGGCAGGGCTTGCCGACACTCAAACCAGGCAATTGCCTGGGGCCCCGGCTTCCAGGGGGCCCCCACTTGGGCATCCTCCCGAGTGACCATGTGCCCCAAGTGCTAATAAATGTACTGCAGGGCTGGTGTCTACATTGTTGCAATTTTATTTTTCTATTTATTTTATTGTTAACAATATTCAGATTTGTATTTTTTGTTATAAAAAAAGTTCATATTTTATATTGTGTTGGTGTCAGTTAATTTACAACAACAATTATTGATAGGCGTAGGGTTTTAAGGATTTCTGTTCCTCCCTGAAATTCACTTTGAGAACCCCATAATCTCTTCTAAAGTATTATTTTCAGTATACATATCAAATGTCCCAGAAATCGTGTGCAAAAAACGAATTTTTTCAGTGTGCAGTGATGGGGTGGGGGCACCACAAATTTCTTGCTTGGAGCCCCAAAGGACCCTTGCCCCGCCTCTGTACAGAGAGACGGGGGGCTAGTATAACCAGGGGGTGATATCCTTGCTGCGGTATAACTGTCCGTTTATGTAAAGTTTGTCCACTGAGATGACTGCTTTCTTTCCTTCTGACATCATTTGTTTGCGAATGGGGAAGAGTTTTTTGCGCCTGTCCACGATTTCTTTCGGGTTCATTTACTCCATAGTCCGTTCCTTTGAGCTGTTTTCCTTGATGTTTGACCTGTTCTTTCTGTTTAAAGTGTTCGAATTTGGCGACAATCGGTCGGGGTCTGTTGGTGGTGGTGTTTTTCTGTCCTAAACGGTGAACGCGGTGAAATGAAAAAAAAAAACAAATTGTCTCTCATACTGCGTGCTTGTAAATCCAGAATTGTTTCTTTCATTATTTTATTTTCGGCAGCGGCGGTGGTGAGCTGGGTTGTAACAGAGGTGAGCTGGTCGGTGATGGTATTGACGGTTTTATGGAGGGTTTTGTTTTCTTTGGTGAGTTTTTGACTGAATTCTAAGCTCTGAAGGAGTGACTGGAATTCTTTGTGTAAAACTTCAATGAGTGCGACTTTGGTGTCGAGTCCGGAGAGTTTCTGGTTTATGGAGATTAAAATGTCGCTTACCTCCAAATGATGGGGTGGGCTCGGGGGGGTTTACGGTGTTAAATGATGGAAAGTCACATGCTCATTGTCGACTTCAGTAAGCCCTTTTTGCACCTTTTCCACCCACAATGTCCATCTTTGAAACCACACACACGTATGCAATTAGAGAAGGGTACTCTGAATGTCATACCCATAAATACAAGACCAAAATAGACCACTCCCCACTTCCTTTTCTTCAACTTTGCTCATAACTGCTTGATTCATGCCCGAGTACTTCCCCACACAGATACCAAAAGTTGTTTTCCAATTGCACTTTTCGTTGCTCTTTCACATCTACAGTAATTTAGTTTTGTCAAGGTCACTCTGGAGTAGCACACCACGTATCATTCTGAGGGGGGGAAAAAAACACCAGCTTCACAAGGTAAGAAAATATACTTTTATTACAGTACAACAATGTGTCTGTTAAAGTTAGTCCGTTAGAATTCTATGTTTGAGCTTTTGTGGAAAATTGTCAAATAAAATGAAAAGAAAATATTTTATAATGAATAACAAAGAGTTCAAGAAGTTTGTGTATGAAACAAAATATATTTCCTGTCAGTGAGACATTTGGCTGATGAATTATGATTTAACAAATAGCAGCTAAAGTTGAGTTAATAAGCTGCATGAAGATACTAAGAAAGCTTGCAATTTTTTCTTGATTTAAAAGCTCTAGCATGTTAAAAATAGTGGTGTGTGTGAAGGATTTCTACTCTCAGAGGTGTTTTGTAATCAGAACTATTGTTAGGAGTTGTGTATTTATTTGATTTTCATCTCACAGTGGGAAACATAAAGGAAAATGGACAAAGACACAACAATGTTGATGATGGGTCTGCTTTTAGTCGGTAATATAACTTTTTTTTAGTTTCCAGCAGCATTTCCTCTTTCACTCCAAGACAAACATCAGTACAATTAGAAGTCACCTCTTGTGTTCCCTCTTCCCTCCTTTTGCTGTTAGCTTCCTTCAGTCCTGTGCTGAATGAACAGTGGACGGCCAGTGTTGTGAATGAGCTTGAGGTCCTGGTTTCATCTTGCGTTGCCATTCCCTGTTCTTTCACCCATCCTGAGGGCAGCCTGTCCAACTCCAGACTCAGGGGGATCTGGCATGTTTCAGACAAAAGAGATCAGCGCGTCTTTTCCGAGGACCCAACAACAATCTTGGAAAATTATAGGGGACGCACAAAGTTGTTAGGGCATTTGAGTCAGGGTAACTGCACGTTAGAAATCACTGAAATTAAAGATCATGACAACGGCCCTTTCTGTTTCCGGATTGAACTAGCACCAACATCAAGTGGTACACTTGAAAAGTTCTCCTTTGTCCAAGACTGTGCCACATTGATAATGCAGCGTACGTCACCAATATTTTCACCAATCAATATCAATTTTCTGCTCCATAATTACAAGCCTCTAACTTTATTTGACTTTTTTATTCTTAGCTGATCCTCCAAAGCCTGAGATGACTCACCCAAAGACAGCCATTCAAGGACATCCCTTCACTGTCACCTGTACAGTGGCCCACACCTGCCCCTCCCACGCCCCCAAACTGACATGGAGCAGGCTCAACTCAGACCCAGCAGATGGGATCACTGAGGTCCACAGGAAAACTCATTCAGGCATCTGGGAGGTTCAGTCCATCCTGACGTTCATCGCTGAGGAGAAGGACGACCACAGTGAGGTCACCTGCACATCCACCTTTAATGGAGGGAAGTCATCATCTAAAACACTCACCCTCTTTGTCAAACGTGAGTCTTTTGATTTCCTTCGCTATCTCACAATAACAGATATTGCATGCTTTTCTTTTTATATTATTGATGTTGATCAGTTACATGTCCTTTGTCTCTCAAATGTTTTTCACTGACGAGAAGCGTCTCTCTTGTTGTTTGCAGGTACAGAAAATTACAACCACATCATCATTCCTGCAGTGGTGGGAATTGGTATCACTGCGATCTTTGCAGTGTTTTGTATTTTTATGGTAAAAAAATACAAGTAAGTAATGTAATACTCACACATTCAAAAAACAAAACAGTCCAAATTTTAAATGTTGGCATGTGCAGTAGGTTTAATGTCTTTATAATCTTTTTCTTTAGGACACGCATTGCAGAGCTTCAGCGTCAGGATGGCAGGTATTACTGTTTGGAAGAACTTGACTCTTTGTGCCACACTGACATCAAATTAAATAATTTTCCTCCTTTCTGTTCAAAATGTCTTTTTAAAATTTATTTTATCCTCCAGCATGTGGAACCGACTCTCCAGGATGTCACGCAGGTGAAGAAAAAGAAACTTTTTCTGATTCATTTTTTCAGTTATGTCAGCAGGAAAACTTTTATCCATCTTTTCAACTATTTCATCATTTTAATCTTTTTATTTTCAGGATACGCTCCAACAATCCAGGACCCTCTCATTCTGAACATCGGTAAGTCAGTTTTTATGAGGATCATATCTCTTTAAAGGCTTAAAGGAAGTTTAGTTTTTAGTTCTTCAGCTTTCATCTATTTTGCATGTCTGTGAAGAGGGTTGTGGCTGATCTGCTTTTTCTGATTAGATCTAAGTATTTATTTCTATTCTTCACAACATTTGCATAGTTTCTGTTCCTTTTTCTTTTCCCAGAAGGTCTATTTGGAGCAGATTTTCAAGGTAAGATGTAAAACACGTCAGCCTACACTGATGTGTTTTCACACACACCCCGATGTGTTAACAGCTACTTTTAAATTTATCTTGAACCACGTGTCCTTGTCATAGTGAAACTGTCACATACTTCATGTTTTTTTATTTGTTTGCTTAAAGATGTCATTTCTTTTTTTTTTTCTAAAACAGAAGGCCCAGAGCGGACATGGTGAATCAGATGTAAGTATTTGAAAGTCGAACATTTCGGAGCTTTTTGTTGATCCCCAAACTGCACATTTACATGGAGTTTAATCCACAGGCCCAATAATGTGACTTCAAATACCTGCTCAGACAAGACATTCTCAAAGCCACGTTTCCCGTCCCCCAAAAGGTATGCTATCTGAGCCTCAACAGTACGTCAAACCTTAGTCATTAAGTGTTGTGATGGAGCATCATCTAATGTGACTCTTTTCTCTGTCTCCCTGATTATTGCTGACGGAACTCAGTCAGCACAAATCTAGCAACTACAACCAGGTATTACCAAACCTCCATAATTACCACAGTCAATACACTGTCACTTATACAGTTTTAATAATAATGATTTTTGTCTCTCGCAGGACTTTGATGGAGATGATTATGAAAACGCGGCAGATGTCAGCGTGTACGGAAACCTGTGAGGGACTTTAATTTCACTGCGATCAAAGCACACCACAACTGTGATCATGCTGACTATGATTTGTATTAATTGCTTCTGATGATGGCAGTTTTAATTATGACCACACAAGCAATCCCTTTGTCAAATGAGCTGTTTTATTGTTTCAGACACAATTTCATTATTTGTTGTGCATTTTTCTGAAAGCTCTTTGTCTTTTTAATTCACTTAGCTTGTGAATGTTGTCATTAATTACTATAACACCTTATGCATTGTAATTGTGCCACTTTGCATAGCTAACGTTTGTTATGGCTCGCTGTCGCCATTGCTGGCTGTGTACTTAATCACAATAACCACAATAAGATTCAATCCAGATATTCAACAGCAAAGATAATAAATCAAGTATGGATAAAAATTTAAATGAATAAAGTTACTTTTTTTTAAAAAAAAGGTTCATCTTCTTTATTAAAACGTCTTAAAAGAAAAAACTGAAGACTCTTGAATCTTAGCCTGATGGCCACAAAGCTGAAGCCTGCAATAAGCATAAATTAGCAAGCACAAGAGACAAAAGATCTGTGTCTGCTTAGGGCCTAAAGTGAAACATCTTCAAACTAATTTTTCAGAAATTAAATATTGTGACAAGCTATGTGAAAGTTTGTGTATGAAAGTCTCAAAATCTTCCTTCCTTGGGTCCACTAACCTGAGCTCCCTTTTGACCGCACATCTGAGGTAGCAAGGTATCTGAACCTTAAAGCAAGCAAAGAAACAGCTCAGCACCTCTGGTAACAAAACATCTGAGTTGGTGAGTGTGGAGTTGCTGCCCTTGTAATGCGCTTTATTTCCTGCCATGCCAGTTTTGGATCGTTGTCTTTGATGTGGTCTAAATCTTCCCTCTGAAATCCCATTTAGCCTTCTTTATGCCCCTGAGCTGACTTGTGCCAGAGACTTACTGTATGTATACAAAGGTTATAGTGATGGTAAAAGTGTCATTTAAGGAACAGCAAATTAATGATAACAGATTGATCTCAACATTTATGGTAGTTAAAGTCAGCAGGTCTAACGCTGGCATCTTGATAGTAATAATAAAGGTAGGAATGAAAGTACATCAATTTTTACATGGATATCATAACACTGATATTCACGTTGAGGCTGCTATCAATAATTGAAGCAGCTGGAGTCAGGCCGGTCCACAGCAGCAGGCTATCCACAATAATGACCCAGAAGAACCTATGAAACAACAGTGCCCAGAGACTACCAGAGAGATGGTTAAAAACTTAAATGGGACACAAAGATCTAAAGTTAGTGACATGCAGACAGCTTCAAGACGGGATCTCACTGTGCCAGTTTCTCCAGCAGTCTAAACTCAGCAGTTTAACTAAGGGCTGGTCCAAACCGGTGTTAGCCCTGGCCATTTTTGTAGGAAATGGTATGGTATGGTCTTATTGTCACTGCAACTGTGCACAACGAAATTGCATTTACAGATGGGGAAAGTACACACAAGTGGGAGGGAGAGGGAGAGGAGGAGGTAAAAAAAGAGACTGCTCTCATTAATATGAGTGCAGTGACAAAAAAAACCCTCAGCAACATGAGCACATTACTGACACCACATACACAGAATGTAGCGAAATCAATGCTCAGGAGACATAAAAAGGTCTGAGGAGCAGCCTGGGCATCTTTATTGTGCAGATACAGTTGACACACAGAGTATAGACCACAGTCTTTGTAGGAGCCCCAAGCTCTCTGTTCACTCACTTCATGCTACTAAGTGTGAATAATAGAATAGTGTATATTACAAGTGTGTATTGCAAGTGCGAGTCTCATCTGGCCTGATAACCAGAAGCCTAGGGAGTGCACAAAGGACATAGCATTTTGCCTTAAAATCAACAGAACATTAAACTTTTTTGTTCTCATTCATGAAATGCTTAAATCGGGGACATTTCGGGGGGCCGCTTTAGCCAGGGACAGGTCATCCGATACGGGGACTATCCCCAGAAATTGGGGACGTCTGATCACCTTGCACTAACACCTCTTGCTTTCCTGGCAACCACTGGGATCAATATGACATCAACAGGTTGGAGATACTCAGGCTAACCTTGTGAATATTAACAAGACTGATCCTCCAAAATGTCTCAGCCTACTGTAAATCATAAGCATGACTGCCTATGATTTCCACCACACCATCAACTTGTTAAAAATTCGCAAGGCAAATTTTACTCTCTCAAGTTGATATCTTGAACCCTCCGCCCACAATTAAGGGTGTGGTCTTAAAAACATTGCATTTCCCTGGTCTCAAAACTTGATTTAGGAAGTAGAGCTTTACAGTCCATTCAGCTCTACGGGTAAGTTTTTATATCTGAGCTTTTAAAAAGAATATTTTCATTTTTTCTGCATTACACAAATCATGTTCCTGCTGCTAAAACTCTCTAAAAATTACTGAATCACTGTTGTTTTTTTAAAAAAAATACCGAAACAAATACATGGTTGGGTACCATTCTTGAGAGTCGGGACAAAACATGTCCTACATAGAAAAGTCTAATTTATTCAAAACAATTAAGAAATTCTAAATGTTTGACATACTCAAAAAGTTAAATCTAATGGATTTGTGTATACCATATACTTCTGTTTTGTAGAGTAGACCATGGGCAGGCTGTCTGCTTAATTATAACTGTCAAACTTTCCCAACACACACACACACACACACACACACGCACACACACACACACACACCTAATCTCATTGATTGATTGATTAATGTACAATCCTAAAGGTGCAGTATGTAATTTTCACTACCTAAAATCTACACACTGGCTTCTTATAGAGTGCGCAAGAAGTTCTATGTTGCTCTTTTAAACCCAGTGTAGGTGGGATACCAGATAGAAGAAAAAGGTTATTATTTTTACATTGTTAACTTGGACCCTCAGACCTTGGGCTCTATTTTTCTGTCCACTGGCAACATGGCGGAGGGTGGTGAGCCCCGCGCAGTGGCATTTTTGTCTGGCGGAGCTCAGCGTACAGCCAGTTTGGTATTTTCGTGGACTGAGGTGCACCGAGGTCCGCCAAGCTGGGCGTGGATGTGTGGCAGGGTGAGGTGTCCACAGAATCAGCTGGTGCAGTGACATTTTCGTACTTGTTGCCGGCGTGTAAAGTGCGCTGAAAGCTCGCAGATTCAAACCTGGTCAGCTTTCAGCGCAGGTGGATCCGGATGGGCTAGTGGTATTTTGGGAGACCAGCGGCATATCGGCCTCACCAGCAGGTTTCCACAGTGTCAGGAACATTTCCGTGCAATAAATAATCAATAACAACTAATAATCTGTGTCAGCACATACATTTAGATCTATATCGATGTATTCTGATCTACATCTGATCTGATGAGCGCATTTGGCATACGTTTGGACACTCAACCTGACCAAATTAACACAGCTGCTGAACCGCATGAAATTGAATCAAATATCTAGTAAATAAACACGATGAAGTTAACAAGATATTTAATTTGTCTGCCCCCATTTCTAGCTTCCTCTTCCTCTTATTTCTCGCGCAGCTCAACCTGGACATGTCTCTGTGTCCTACCCGTCCTGCTGCAGCTGCTGCTGCGGCAGCTGAACAGATGATTTGTTCCAGTGATCAGATGAGTTTTTTACTTTAAGCCTACATACAAATATTTTAATAATCAGTTTTGTGAGCCAAATTTATTTTATATGCCAACATCTATGAAAGAAAGAGCCAGGCCACGGAGCGCGATTTACACACAGATTGGTTCCGATTTTAATGCCATTATTGGAATTTATGATGTGATCTGTGCACACAACCCACCTTTGTCACGTGAGGTTTAAATATATGCAATTTAATGTGATTGTCTTTATTTGTGGAAAAGGGTGTTTGTCTTACCAGTGGGTCCAACATTACACACACCAAATCCATCTGTGCTCATATGAGACAGTGTGAAGGACACCCAATGCAGCGCTTACAGTGACACTTGTTGAGGAGCTGCCGTCTGTCGCCATCGTGTGGCATTGCTGTCTTCAGACATCTCTTGATCTCTTTGACTACTTCACGAAAATGGTAATACGCCTCGCTAGTGGCGGATTCAAAGGCGAGAAGAGCTGATGTTATTGGTCAATACAGGTCTCGGCTGTGTTAAACCCACTCCACGCCCTCTCTCCTCCCTCCCTATGACCTACGCCGCTGGAAGGAGCTGAGTTAGGGAGGGGGGATACTTATGCCGGGCAGCACAACTCACCAAAATACGAAAATGTGCTTGGAAACGCCTTGTCGGCGCGGTGGTTAATTGCATTAACGGTATGTTCAGTATGAAAACAAGGAGTTATTAGTTCTTAATCTATTTTCACCTATTGACCTATTGTCAATCGGTTTAAAAACACATTTGTTCAATAACATATGCAATGTCATCAACTCCGTCAGTTTCTCGTCAACTCCGTCAGGTGTTCGTCAACACCGTCAGATGTATGTTTTTCTTCAATTTTGGAGAAAAAAAAATTTGTTTCTTCAGTTTATATTGTTTAAGTAATAAAGGAGCCTTGGCTCTACATCCTCTTGTGTCTTATTTACTTACAGAAATTGTTTTTATAATATAAAAATTAAAAACAAAGTTTGAAAATACAACTATTTAGAAATCTTGGTTTTCAAAATAGTGTGAAATCACACATTAGGTTTATATATTATATTTCATGGCATATCAGAGTAACTTAACACTATTACAACATACATCAGAACTTTAGATTCTTGTTGGACTAGAATTATTAAAATTATATTCTTTTTTGTGTGTCTGATGGAGTTGACACAAATCCACTGTCTAAGGGAAACATGTTAATTTATAGAAAAAATGTTTTTATTTAGAGCCTGTTCCTTTACGGGGTTAAATAGCTAAGACCTTTCTCTACAGTAATAAATAACTCTAATCAATATAGTGTGCATTCTCAAAAAAAGTTTTTTAGGAAGTGTTTTGTCCCGACTCTCAAGAATCCCTGAATTAACTGTATCCATCAGTTGTGATTTTGTTACTTCTGAACAAAATTTTTAGCACAGACTCTCAGGTATTTGTAAGAAATAACAGGAAGCAGCTGTTGTGTGTTGCTGTTATTACGGTCACCTCTTCTATTTATAGGTATGAATTAATACTGAGTCTCTGTTTATTAATCTCCATGCTTTCCCCAAAAAGGAAATAAAAAAAGCACTCCAGAGCATTAAATCATGTTGATATAAGTTTAGTAAATGCTGTTAGAGCTCGGCAGATAAATTTTAAAAAAGTGCTTTTCTCTTGAAAATCTTCTTTGTTCTGCTTTTTCTTCATCCATCACCACAAGTAACGACGGACTCGGGCATTCATTTATAACACTTCAGTTTTAGACAGTGCTGTTACAGTTCTCTCTTATTCCATAACTCACAAAATGGGATTTATTTCATGCAGTTTTCAAGATGCCTTTTGACTTTTTCTTTAGAGTTTTATCATCTTTTTCAAAAGCAGTTTTTATAGACAGTTCTGAGGTACAATCTGCCAGTATGTTGATTATTCTTTATGTGCAAGTCATTATCATTTCTTTTCAATTAGGAGTGTTTTGATAATATTTTACTGTTTCATATGAAAAAATACAGCCATTGCTTCACTCTCCATGCATGTCTTATTCTCATTTCCCCAAAGCCTGTTGTGGTTAAAAAACAACATAACAGGCCAATGCAGGGTCTGTCATTGTAAAGTTAATCAACTATCTGATATCCTAGAAACTGTCAAAAGTTAATGGCAAGTCATTTATCTTTGATCAATTAAGGATATACAAACATTTTTTTTCAGTAGAGAATCACGCATGGGGGAAGATTTGTCCCACATTAAAATACAATGATTGGGAAATGGATAAACAATTAAGAAATATCAGCGAAACTCAGGTCTGCAATCCTAGAAATACAAACAAGTACATGTGTGTATGAAAAGGAGGAAACTAGAAAAGAGAAACATAAATACACCCAGGTGTATAGTTACCTCAACACATAACTGAATAGTTTTGTTGTTGTTGTTGTTGTTGTTTTTGTAGATCCAGACCCAGAGTTGAGTTCACATAAACAATCCAGCAAGTTAGAGTTACTTTATACAATCTTTAATCTTCAGGCCAAAAAAGAACTGACCTTTGCAGATCTGCTTCCTGGTGTCAGGTTCTTGAAAAATGGGGAGTTCACCCACAACATGAAGGCTGATTTGGGCTCTTTTTGACGGTGTAAAAGCTTAAACTTGGGAGTGTAATAACTTGCTTTTGTCCTTTGAGTACTTGAACCATGGACTAAATCTGATATTAAACTATTTTTAATGAGAAGACCTACATTTTCTAGAAGAAGTTTTACAAAATACTGGCAAAATTATTATTTTTTTTTTCCTTCACAAAAAATTTGCAGATGTTAAGATGTTTCTCTTTCATACATTTTAGGGGTTGAAGGACCAGTTTTTACGATGTCTTCTCATCATTTCCTCCTGATCGTCTATATACTAGGTACTGCTTCATTGCAACGCAACATTTTTGATCAACACATTCATATTTATCCAATCTTTTCAGTTTTTTTTCTGTTCATGGTCTTTGCTTGTTTGACATCTTGCAGGAATCACTAGCTGCATTTCTAGGGCTTGGATTGTAAAAATGCCAAGCAACATCAGAGGACTGTTGGGTTCCTGCCTCGTCATCCCCTGCAGCTTTGACTACCATGAGTACCCACCTCGCAGACCAGATCGAGTGGTTTGGTATCAGTATGTGAGCCATGGATATCCCCTAGTTTATGACAACTGGTACCCAAATAATGTCATCAATGTCTTTAAAGGAAAAACAAAAGCATTTACATCTACAACTTTCAAGAAATGCACTCTTCAAATATTCCCAGTGACAAAGTCACACCACATGCAGAGGATTTACCCCTGGGTAGATCCAGAGAATGTCGGAAGTAGCACATATCGGTTCTTTGATAGGACTGTAAAAATTGAAGTAGTGGGTAAGTAATCAGTTTAAGTTCACAAAGATACCCCTTAAAATAAAGCATGTTTGCTTTAATGAGTATTTCTCAAATTGCTGTTGTGCAGGCAAAGCAGACAAACCAGACATCGTCATCTATGGAAAAATGATGGTTGGACAGTTAGTGACAGTGCAGTGCATTGTTTATCACACCTGTCCTTCATATCCACCCACTCTGAGTCTCAATATCCCTCTGCTAAAACATCGCGTTTCCCATGATGTAATACCTGATGGCACATCCAGGACTACTTTGACGACCAATTTAAAAATAGAGAGAGACCAGCAGACTGTGGAGTGCTCTGTCCGTCACACTGGGGGCTTGACCGCTGCAGCCTTTCAAACCTTAAATGCAGAATGTAAGTAGCAGATGTACTAAAGTAAAAGCATTTTTTCCTCCTTTAATGGCCTTGTGATTTAAAGGTTGTCATTTGTGTCTCAGGCTCCTTTTTATCCCTGACTATCCGGTCTACGTCAAATGAATTTAATGAGGGACAGGCGACAAGGGTAACCTGCACAGCCTCATACACGTGCCCAAAACAAAATCCAACTCTCACCTGGAACTACGCAAACATGCCGGCTTCTACGGTTACCAGCAGCAGTGGAAGTGCTCAATGGATAACTGTGTCTACACTGAGTTTCACAGCATCACCCAGCGACCAGGGGAGATCCCTTACATGTTATGCAAGATTCAGTGGTGGACAACGGCAGGAAAGCATTACTCTGAATGTAAAGAGTGAGTAAAAATAAGAGAAAAAACACATTTTTTTTCCTTTGGCTTATTAAGCAACAACATAGCAGATTTGTCTTGCAAGTTTTAAAGAATTTAGACTGAGATTTTGTCATGGAAAGATTCCTGCATGGAAAGATCTGGTTTATTATCATCAAATTATGACAAAGAGCTGTATTTGCATATGTACAAAACTTGTAAATTGCTTGAATTGTCAGTGTTCGCTGCATGCAACAGTGCAGTCAGCTGAAATTTACACCCTGACCCCACCCAGACTTTTTTTGGCCTCTTGGTAAAATTTTCTGCCCGGACTTACAAGATCACAAAGTCACACAAGGTCTCCACAATATCTCCCAGTAACGTTGATATTTTTCAGCTCTGGTCCTGTTTCGTGATTGTGTGTTTGGCTAATAGGTAAAGTAATTTCTGTAAGTGCTCCAGTACTGAGGAAGTTCCAGGTGAGGGCGAATGGCAGCTGCAAAATGAGCTAAGATGTAGTTTGACTGCAATCGTTCATCGTCACTACAAGTGCTTTAATTTACTACTAATGAGTTTTGATTGTTATTCCAAATGTAGTCACAAAGTATTTGAAATCTAAAGAGTCTCATATACAGGAGTCTATGTGGTGTGTTGTTTTGAAATTCAGTTGATTCAGTGGATGGTTATGCTATTCCTTTGTCCAGGTCAATCTGATCTCTTAAGTGCAGTTGATGCGTGCAAGGCTCCTACAAAAATAGACACAGTACATATGTTCAATGCAGCAGAGCAGGGAGACACTTCTGAGCAGAATATGTCGCTGTGTTTCCTGTTGAAACATGAGCATCGAAAAGAGTGGGTAAAGGTCAGTGACAGAGTATGCAGTGCTGATGGGACATGATGCACACACTTCCTGCAGAACTTTGGTGTAATCTCACACATCTGAAAAAATTTCCCATCAGTGAGTTGGTAAGTGTGATGACCATGAGTGTGAACCTGAGATGGCGACACATGACAGAATTAATAAAAAAAGACTGAAGAAGAAGTGTGTTTTCAAGGCAAGAACAGAGAAGGCGAGACACAGATGTGATGAGATGTTGCATCAAAAAAATAATAAATCACATTATAGAAAAAAAAAACAGAAATCAATAATCAAAGTGAATCAGATTATTTTTCAAGCTATTCTGAATTAATTTTGAACATTTTAGCAGCTATAAATAAACCTCTTGTAATGGTTTGTGTCAAATCTGGCACCTCATGTGGACAAAAAAAATAACAAATAGTGTATCTGACACCTAGCCTGTGGAAGCAGTGAGAAAAAAATATTTTGATGCTGTCAGTCTTTATGTGAAAGGTTTTGCAATTCATTAAGAAGCACCAGGCTTTATTGTCCTTTGTTTCATAGCCAGCGTAAAACTGCGTCTTAGAGCTTTCATATAATGATATTAATGATGGATCAAATTAGCATATGTAGTATGACTGAGCTCTCTAGCAGTGAATAATAAATGCTAAGTGATGTAATTCTCATGAAACAGTTTTTTTTTAGCTCAAAAGAGGTTTTTCACCTTCTTCAAGGTCAGTGGTTTGGTTTTGAGGCCCACATAAGTTTTTTATTTCTCCCCCCATGTGTATAGTTTAACCTTAACACAAGTTAAAGGTCATATGCTTTTATGGGGGTTCACACAAACACTCTATTTTGAAACTGTTCAAAAGATTGCATATATATATATGCTTTCACTTGTTCCCTTTTTCACAGGAAGCATGCTCTCTCGTGGTTGGTCCTTCACTACTCCTGGTAGCATCACAGGCACGAAGGGTTCGTGTATCATCATTCCTTGCAGATTCACCTACAGTTCCCGCCAACCTGATGGCCTCGGAGTTATCTGGTACTTGTTGGTGCCGTTTGACCAAAGACAAGGTGCTGTCAGTGAGTTCAAAGGGAGAACCAGCTTGATTGGATCTGTGAAGGATGGGAATTGTAGTCTAAAGATTGAGCAGCTGGAGATGTCACACAACCAGAGGAGACTCTTTCCGTGGGTGGATGTAAACCCGATTACCTCTTATAACACCCAGGGGTTCTCATTTAATGACAAAATCTCTCAAATTGTTGTTTTGGGTGAGTACATTTTGCCATTCAGAAGTCAGTTCAATCAAAAGCAAACAAATTATTTTTTAAGTGGCCTGCTTTGATTTGTAGAGCATGCAGAGAAACCGCAGATGAACCTAATTGGGATCCCTCGGGTGGGGGAGCAGAGCAGAGTGTCCTGCAGTGTTCATCATGCATGCATCTCAGCCGTGCCCTCACTTACTCTAAATGGTGTACCTGGAGAAGATGTACTGACAGACACTCTGGTGTCTGATAGTGTTTGGGAGAGGAAACTGGAGAGAACTTGGACCGTGAAAGAAACAGACCAGAGTGTGACGTGTACTGTTAGCCACCGTGGTGGTCAGAGAGCAACAAATGAACTCAGACTGAATGTTGAATGTGAGTATGATTCATTGACTGTATATAAAGATAAGCAATACGTCTCTCACTTCTTTCTGTTGAAGAAAAGAGAAGCTAAAATACCACCTAATATATTCACACCATAGACTGTATATAGAATGGATGCTGCCTGCCTCCTTGCTGGGTAAAGCCACTCTGAGAACAGCACCCTCTGGTGACGGCCTGCTGTATAGATCATAAATCCCGCCTCCGCCAGCAAAGCTTTTGGGGCTGTGGACAAGCTTTAGAAATTTATTACACAGAACATTAATTTTTCTCTATGATGTTGACATGTAGTTACTGTAAGACTGGTTTGTGCTCAAGTCCTCTTTTTTCTGTGCAGCTCCCCTTTTAAAAGACGTTATGAGGTTCAAGTTTTCTGTGAGTGACACTTGATACAGCCTATGGGTGTATGAAGATTGCGTAGATCACCTGGGAGATGCGCTGTTTGAGTCGAGCGTCATCACAGCTTTACTTGGCAACTCTCCCGCCGAATGCGTACAATGCTACTGCACAAGTGGTGGTTTCAGGAAATTGAGAAAAAACACGGAAATACCAAAAGCTGTCGGCCTCAAATCCATATACTGGTGGAAGGCGGAACCAAGTTGTCCATAGTATATACAGTCTTTGATTCAGACAGACAAAGTACACATTTGGAGCAAGACTATGCACAATGGGGACTGTCAGGTGGAGCAACAACATCGGCCTGCTGTATCTTCTGCTCATCGAACACACATTTGTTTAGTTTCTTTTTGAATGTACAATTTCTTGATACATCAGTTTATTCCATTGAACAATAGCTCATGTGAATCAACCAGAGCAATATAAAACCAAGCTAGTGGTCACTACTAAGGGAAGTGTGAGTGCCACGGGATAACCTTTGTAACCTAGCAACAGTAAGGGCCATTGAATGTTTGATTTGAATTAATGCGCTATTGACTCTTCATACATAAGCCTCGCTATCATCTTTCTGGCCAGGTCCATACAACAAAATTGCAATGATAAAGCGTCCAGGCAATGTGACGGAGGGCGTAGCAGAGAGTGTCATCTGTTCTGTTTCCTACAAGTGCGAGAGAAATACACCAAACATTGAGTGGAACTACGAAGACATGCAGAGCTCAATAAGGACAAAGAAGATCAGCGATTCCTACCAAACGGTCTCAAATCTAACCTTTGTTGGCTCACTGAAGGATGACAAAAGCTCTTTGACCTGCACTGCTCGGTTTCGTACTGGGGAGACTTCAGACTCAGCGACCCTTCACATAAGAAGTGAGTTCCTACACATCATGCACAGTGATCCTTTAATGGAAAAGTTCAACACTTTGGCTGTGTCTAAATTCACATATTAGCACATCATACAAACTGAACTAAATATATCCAACCACATTTATAATATGTATATACATATATATATATATATATATATATATATATATATATATATATATATATATATATATATATATATATATATTATATATATATATATATATATATACAGTACAGGCCAAAAGTTTGAACACACCTTCTCATTCAATGCATTTTCTTTAATCTCATTACTATTTAAATTGTAGATTCTCAGTGAAGGCATCAAAACTATGAATGAACACATGTGGAATCATGTGCTTAAGAAAAAAGTGTGAAATAACTGAAAACACATTTTATATTTTAGATTCCTCAAAGTAGCCACCCTTTGCTTTTTGATAGCGCTGCAAACTTTTGCTGTTCTCTCAATGAGCTTCATGAGGTAGTCACCTGAAATGGTTTTTACTTCACAGGTGTGCTTTGTCAGGGTTACGTACTTCTGTCATCAAGAGCAAAGGGTGGCTATTTTAAAGAAACTAGAGTATAAAACATGTTTTCAGTTATTTCACACTTTTTTACGAGTACAAAATTCCACGTGTTCATTCATAGTTTTGATACCTTCACTGAGAATCTACAATGTAAATAGTCATGTAAAAATAAAGAAAAGACACTGAATGAGAAGGTGTGTCCAAACTTTTGGCCTGTACTGTACATATTATGTATCCATCTACAATACCCATGTAAGCACTTAGAACACATACACAAAAAAAGCACCAATTGAAAACATACTAAATTCCCAATATAACACTTCTCTTTGTATAAGTAGTAATGATATTTTGCAATTGTGGACAGGCTGTAAGTTTTCTTGGGGTGACTTCCTCTTTTGCAAGGAAGCCACAGCAATTAGAAAGTTTCTAGGTTAGCATAAAAACTAAAAACAATAGAAAAGCTTCTCATCTAAAGGTATCAAAATCTGCTTTCTATCACTTCTACTGGATTCTGATTAAGTTCTAAATAGCTTTTTAGCAGCTTTACATAATTTACATAATTTACTTCCTTCCTCATTCATTTCAGACCCTGTCCCTTTGAGCCCCAGGTTTGAGAGTGGTATTGATCTTCTTCTATAGCTCCACCTGGAGAAAAATATAGATATTCTTGAGAAAAATAAACATTTTGTTTTTTAAACAAAACTGCTCTTCTCCTTATTTGTTCTATTTTTACTGAAGCTTTATTACCTTGTTAAAAAAAGTGCTGCATCAATAAGGAATAACAACAATGTCCCATTTGCTGCTATTTATTTTTCAGAATATGAGAGACCAATAGAAGAAATGGATCCCGATCAAGATGGCTGTGGGTTTGCCTCTTAATTTAACCTTGTATTTTATCTATGAAGGTTTCTACCAGCATTAATGCATTGTGGTTTCTCTCTTTCCAGCATTTCACATTCTGGATGCCGACGTCCCTTTCAGATTCAACGCTCTGACCCGCTCCTGTGTAGTGATTCCCTGCAGCTTCCAGTACCACGGCGATGTGCCTCTCACACGAGGCATCTGGTTGAAAAGAAAAGGGGGTGTTGTGTTCCATAATGGCCGCAGCCATGTGCTTGACCATTTCAAGGACCGCACCAGAATGATAGGAGATCTGAGTGAGGGAAACTGCTCTTTGGAGATTGATGACATCAAGCCCTTTGACAACGGGCCCTTTTGTTTTTTTGCAGAGAAAGGAGAAGAAAAATACAAATTCAACAACAGCTGTGTATTTATTGTCATGAAAGGTCTGTAATCTTTTCTTATTTTCAGGTTACTCCACATTGCCGTTTCATTTTCTGTCTGTAAACAAGGGTTTTTGATTCTTTGTGTTTTACACTCACAGCTTCCCCAGAAAAACCTGCCATGACCTCGGTTCCAGCAGAGGTCAGTGCCGGCTCGGTGATTACTGTCTCCTGTTCTGTGACGCATACATGCTCATCACATCCTCCAAAGTTCTCGTGGAGTGTGCCAAACATCACTAGTGAAGTCACACACACTGAGAAACAGCGGGGCATCTGGGAGACAACCTCTACTATCACTTTCATGGCTACAGGAGGAGACGGGGTCAAAAGCTTAACCTGTACTGCCACCTCCTGGCGTAACAAGCAACAGGCCACTACAGCAGAGCTGACTGTGAAAGGTAACAGTGCAAAATTGTATTTTACCTTTTTCAGCCCATGACCTGCAACGGCATCATAATGAGATGTTTAATTTTCCCAGATCAATATGTACAACTCTCAAATATTATCACTAGGGTCACTGATGTACCAGATCCAGAGCTCTCTGCCTGTAACAATTCCAGTCTCAATTTTGGTTGTTGTGGCTGCAGCACTTGGAGTTGTCATCTACAGGAGAAGGTAGAATGAATATAAGTCCATTCAGTCAATGCCATAGGTGCTATGTCTCAATAATAATAATAATGATGATCATAATAATAATAACAACAGGTGATCGCACTCATTTAATTTTTTTTTTCTAACTTACAGGAAGCGCTCTGATGACTCACTGAAACCACCACCTCGACCAGAGAAAAGGTTATTGTTGACTCTGGATTTCAGACTGTTTCCAGTGATATGTAAATCTCTGTCTTTGAACTAATCTATTTATCTATTTTCTTACAGGAGATCATTATTTGATAGGTTATCCAGGTGAGCTTTTTTAAAAGTGGCCTCAAGACCAGAGCCAGGTTGCTCAGAGGGATTTATGTGGGCAACAGTGATCTGGATTTGCAAACCATTTTTACCAAGATTAGGTTATCCACCCAAGACTTGTACCAGTTTTTCAAAGGGATCTGGATACAATCAACTATTAAGAAGCTGATTCCTTAAAACTATGAAATCTGAAATATTAGTGATCCAGATGAGGCTTCATGCTACATGTTGGATACTACAAAGTTGGATTTACTGATTCAATATGATATCTTCTTTTATGAAACAATCTGTTTTGGAGTTCTGGTTCAGTCTCATCGCTGTAGTTTGAAACTCTGGTGAAAATGGGCCCAGTTTCTTGTGTCTCTTCAAACGAGAATAAAAAACAACAGCTCTTAGTCTGTGAATGGCTTGTTCATCTTGTCTTACAAGAAATTCTTTTACCTGAAATCTGCAGGAGACACTATGGGGACAGAGAGAAACCACCAAGACCAGAGAAACGGTGGGTGAGCTGTCTGCTATTTCATGTCATGTACAAATTCATAGATTATACAGACACATAGTTTACTTTTTGTTTCCCATACAGGGGGTCCATTTGGAGTCGATTTTCCCGGTAGGAACCCATAAGAGTACACAGTTCTTGACAATATCCTGATGAAGTGCCTCATGTTTACATCTGTAAATATTTCAGGAAAAATATGGATGACAGAGTTGGGTGGCAAAATGAGAGAAGCCACAGGTAAATGTTCTCCAGTGCTGAGTCAGATTTGACCACTCACACTCTTGCTGTTTCAGTTTCTGTTGAAAAATTTACTTCTAATTTATTCTAACTTAACAGGAGGTCGTTTTGGGGCAGATTTTCAAGGTAACATATTTAGTTTTGTGTAACATACAGACAGAAAGGGAAATAAACCTGGTTAATTTTAGGAAATATCACATGACAACATACTTATTACCCTTGCAGACAACAACAGGACACTTCAAACCTCACTGTTGGGTTTTCGTAAGTATCAATAATCAGTTATCAAGTATCAATACTAACACACTCCTGATGGAAAACGGACTGATGCTCTGACCCCCCCTTTAGGAACAACAAAGCCAATATAAACTATAACACTCCAGTCTCCAAGCAGCGCTTTCCATCTCCAAAGAAGTGAGTTTTACTTACTTGGCTTCTTTCAAATGACTTACGATTGTGTTTCATCAGTTTTTCATGACATTATTGCTTTCTCATGTCTCTAACTTGTGATCTAGTGACCGGAGAACTCCCACCTCTGTAATCTACGAAGTTGACTATCAGAATTAAGACCTTGCAGCAGTCCCCAGAGCTGGGAAATGAACCGAAACAGAAAACCGCACCAAACCGAATTTCCCCCGGGGGATAAATAAAGTGTACTGATTTCAGTTCTGATACCAGTCTCCATAATGACTCATATTGCAATGCTCATCTTAGAATAGAGAAAAACATGTCTACAAAGTTATGTTTCAAATCTTCTGAACCAGTTTTTCTAGTCATAAAAACTGTATAGGGTGGAGGACATTTTAAGTTACGGTAAAGTTCTGCTTTTTTACTAGATGTTACCCATAAATGGGTTTGCATTTAAACATTTACAGTTCATTTAAGAAACGTTTATCATGCCATTTAACAACACTTGTATACTGCTTACTCAGAGAAATAAATGGGCTTTTTTAAAGTTTTTATTTCAGTTGTTTGAATTTCCTTTGTGTAATCTGGTGTTTCCTTTCATGATAACTAGTTCTCACAGTTATAATTGGTAGCAAAGGTTGAACGAAAACTTTTTCTTCCCTCCTTTTGTCTATAGTGATCTAAGGCTGCTCCTAGGGCTGCCTGATACAACAATGAGCTCACTGATTCTGTACTTTATAAAAGATTGATATCTTGTGTTTCTTTAACATGATCAGACTGTGCTCTGTTTGATATTGCTGACCTTTACAAAGGAACATTTATTAAAATTCAACAAAAAGACAACTTCTTTTTCAGATTTCTGCCACAAACTTTATTTGTGTAGTTCTTTTCTTAATACAGTAACAAAGTACATGAGAAAAATAAAGATATAGAATACAAATACGATACACAAGGGCTTTACAATTACAAGCTTTCCAAGGTTTTAAACAAATAAACTGGATCCAATAGCAGGACCTCTAACTGATAATAAAACAAGTAATCTAAGCAGGGAAGTGTAACAGTATTTTGCAGATTTGTGGGTATACAAATATTCTCATTTGTTTGACTGAACTATGCATATGCAAACTGTGTACAAAGATAGACAGTGAGCCTTCAAGTCCTCCCGTTGTTGAAAAGTGAAACCAAATACTGCTTTTAAGGGTGCTGACACATAAGGGTTCTGGGAGGTAGAGCTGCAGGACTGAAATCACACCCTTTTCCACTTAGCAAAATGAATATGTATTTAATCAATAAAACATAAAAAATCCTGGGTCAGAATAGTCCACAGCTGGTTTTTGTTGCTGTGGAAAGGTCAATGGCCTCGTGTTGTGAAATGACAGCTCTTTAAACTTTCACTTCTATCACTTCTTTTACTTGACAAGACAGCAGGAAGATTTATCATGGTCAATTATTCAATGAAAAACAGAAATAATATATTGCGTGCCCAAAAAGTGAATAAACAAAATTACACTGCAGGCAGAAAACATGAAAATCAAAACCCTACTGAATGCCCTACTGTGCATACTTAGCTTTATGTTTTCTTTTATCAAGGGAAAGGAGAAAGAAATGTGAGGAAAAGTGAAAAAGTGTTGCCACTATCTGTCACGTTATGAAAACAAGAAAGAAGCAAGCAGTGGTGAAAGCAGTGGTGCCAGCAGCACCAGCAGGGGGATGGCTCCAGTACCGCTGTTGCTGTTGCAAAGGTTTCCCTGACAGCAGCTGGTATGTTCTCCAATGATTCCTCCAAGCTGCTCATAATTTGAACAAATCTGCTTGGAGGCACAACCCTTTATGTCGGCTGTTCCATTTCCTATTTTCACTGAGAAGATGAAAACAATATTAGCGTGTTATCACACTTGTACAGAAATCACTTTTACTGTAATCAGAGAAAACAATGTTTGATGTCAAGTCTGTCACCTTGTGTTGAGATGCAGTAGTCCTCGCTCCCTACGCAGTCGACAGTAACAGAGCATGTTGTTCCTAAACAGGTCAAACACTTCTTGCCATTGGGTTTGGATGTGCTAGGAGCAGCTGGTGAAGAAGTTGGAATAACAGCTTTTCAATTCAAATGTAAAGAATAATGCTTTTTTGTTGACTTCACAAGTAAGTTATAACTTGAAATACAGAAGATGATTTTTTTCTCTATCACTCTCCCGCTCTCACACACACACACACACACACACACACACACACACACACACACACACACACACACACACACACACACAAACAAACTTTCTTATGTCCTTTTTCACTGTGGCAGTTGGGGGTATCATGCCCCTGGGCTTCTAAATAGCAGATGGTGATGGAGGGAAACATAATTTTCCTCGCTTGTCTGGGAATTTCAGTCTTGTTTCTCTAACCATGTCTGCTCCAAAAGCAATGACTCAAATTCTGATACAGCAATCTCTAACATTCACATACCAACTGTTGCATTGGCTGAAGTTTAGATTAAATTAGATTTTTTTTAAAAACACTGATCTTTAAGTATTTAATCAGACTACTTTACAGTCTTTGAAACAATATTCCAAATTGTTTCAAATGCAACTAGAAAAATTGCATTTCCTTGCAGAAAATGCGTGGGAATGCTGAGTGCTGAAAGCCGACAAAGTAATGCAAAACTGTCAATAAAAAATGGAGGAAGGTATGAATGGAAAAACTGTTGAAAAGGTGGAGGAGAAGGAGAAGAAATTGTATGAATGGAAGAATTGTAGTATAGGTGAAGGTAAATTAGTTGGATGAATGTATAAACTGTATAAAAGCCTACGTGAAAAACATATGTGACTTATGTGAATGAACAGAACTGATAATAAGGATAATTGAATTTGAAAAACAAATGCCTTAAAATAATGTGTAACAATGTTCCCATTAAATGTACAAAAAGTAAAACAGTGCAGTCTGCAGCATCCAACCATAGTAACTTGAAAATGCAGAACAGCACCATCTATTGCCGTGCTTCAGTTACTGCCCTACATACGAATGTAGAAAGTATGAAACAACTGAAGTTAAAGTAATTGTATAAATGTAGAAAGTAAAGAAAAGCAGAAGTAAAAGAAAAAGAAGTTAGTATGTTAAAAGAGTTAAAGACAAGAACTGTAACAACAAAGTTAATATTGGGGATGTATTTTCTACTGACAGAAAGACAGTAATGCACACATATGGAAATAGTCCGTGTGTGTGTGTGTGTGTGTGTGTGTGTGTGTGTGTGTGTGTGTGTGTGTGTGTGTGTGTGTGTGTGTGTGTGTGAGAGAGAGAGAGAGAGAGAGAGCGAGATCAAAGCACACAGCCCATGAGACGTGCTGATATCGCGAAAGGAGTGAGAAACCGTCTGAACTTTTCCTCCTAGCGCAACTTCCGTAAGTCATATCCCAAAAATAAGACGATCTTAGGAGTCCTCTCATGAACACAATGATGTATTTTTTATGTCCAAAGTGTAAAAAATGTGGCCACAACAGCGAGTTAAAAAACGGCTTCGCTGTAGTGATTGTCGGGGTTTCTTGGCCGAAATTTAACATGGGAGTTAATGGGCAGAATCTCTGCACTCCTAAGGAATGTACTCACCTCCTTGGCAAGCGATACAATTTGATGACTTCAGACCTATTTTGTGAGAAGCAGCAAAAGTGAACCTCCATTTTGATTTGTTTTTGTGTCTGTGGAGTGAAAATTGCGGCCGTGGTAGCAAAATAATCACGCTTGGTTCAGTGAATCCAAAACGCTCTCCCCGCTCTAGTGATGACGTCACCCGCTCTAGCTTTTCCAATACACACTCATTGGAAAGGCTGAAGAGGGCAGAAAACCTCATGTTGCTCCAAGCTAAATTGTGCAAAAACGGTAGGCGATAGTAAAAAAGAGCGAATACAGCATTTGTAGCAGACAAGTTGCTGAACATTTTAAAGCAAAAATGAGGTCTGTAAGTAAAAGTATGCAGAAGTTATAAGGGTGAGAAGGTGTTATAGCTGTAGGCGGAATGGAGAGATTTCTCCATTCATTTCTAATGGTACAAATTTTGCAGAAAAAGTGAAATATTGCAAAAAGTATAAATGGTAGAAAGGTGAAAAGTTATAGCAGTAATGTCCTGAAGGAGTGCATTAGTATAAAGTTTGAATGGTTAAAAAGTGCACACAGTGGGAAGAAGTTGGGGCCCAAAAAGGTACTGAACAATAATATTAACAATAATAATAATAATAATAATAATAATAATAATAATAATAATAATAATAATAATAATAATAACAATGAACTTTATCTCAGACATCAGAAGTCATTTACCGCTGATAGGCTCCTTGTTGCAGAGGTCAGAAGAACAACATCTGCTGGAAACTCGAATCCTAGCTGTTCCAAAGTTGGCAGAACCTTCCATACACTGCTCACCGAAAAAGCATGATTTCATGTTGATCTCAACTATTTTTATGCTTCCTGGAAAAGAAGAGGCCTTTGTGAATTTGACTACTATAGTATAGTAAGTTCCAAAAACAATGTGAAATACCGTGGCTTCATACCTGCATAAGACAAGATTCCTAGTACACCACACTGTTGACCCTGTTCAGGACACTCTATTATCTTGTCTGTGCAGGCTTCTGCGACCTCCACCCCACAGTCATAGCACCTTAGAGTGTAGGCTTCAAAATTTCACATCTTACATTAAAAAATGAACTCTTCTTCTCCAAGAAAAACACACTCAAACTCAAACAAATTTGTCTTATTTGTTTAGTAACCATGAGAAAACAATCTAAACCTCTGTTCCAACAGATGAAACTGTTAAAAAGCAGGATATCAGAACCAAACTTGCCTTTTGGAAGCAGCACAATCCCAATGACCAGAATTAGATGATGCATTTTGTGATGTTGTGATGAGAGTGAGTCAAGTTGGATCAGTCACATCCACATCTAAGCCACCTGAGAGGGGGTTGTCCTCGTCTTTAAGCCACTCCTACATTTCTCGTCCAATTCAAACCAGTGTGATTTCAGAGATTCTTGCAAATTTGTTCAAATTGGACTATCGAATGCACACACACACACACACACACACACACACACACACACACACACACACACACACACACACACACACACACACACACACACATTCATAGTGTGTTTTGTCTTATTGATAAATAACATGATGGAATTAATGAAGATATCAGAAAGATTAAAATGTATGAAATGCAGTTTACATTTTTATTAGTATTATCATCATCATCATTATTATTATTGTTATTATTATTATTATTATTATTATTGTTGTTGTTGTTGTTGTTATTGTTGTTGTTGTTGTTGTTACTGTTGTACACAATAAGTTATCAATGAAGATAACACTAGGGTGACCATATTCTGAATCCCCAAAAAGAGGACACTACTATGTGGAGTCCTGCGCAAAATTTTGAGGGTTTTTGGGGTCTGGTCGAGTGTTTTTTATGTACTTCTTATTCAGTTAATCCACACTACACAGACTCAAAATTTCCATACAAAACCCCTAACATTTGAAGGATTTTATAAACTCCCCCTGGACAGGCCACCAGCCCCCAAAAGAGGACATGTCCAGGTAAAAGAGGACATATGGTCACCCAAGATAACATTTTCAAAAAGATGATGATAATTAACCAGGGTTGGTCATCAAATGGGGGAACATGGCTGAAGTTGTAATGTAGCATTAGTAGTTACACAAATAAGATTATGTACTCACTGAAGCCTTGCATATCTGGACACCTGAATATTTGGCCTTCACTCGCTAAAATCATATGAATGACTCGCTCCATCCACATGTATGTATCGTATCTTCAGAGTGCCCTAACACACAAGGGGGGGTTCTAAGAGAACTGACAACCAATGCGTACGAGCAGATGAAACTTGTGAGGAAATAAAATCACAATGAGAATAATAACGTGGGGTTTATATTGAGCTATGGAAAATCACTTGATACATGTGTTCTTTCTGTAGAGATTTGAATTTATAATAAATGTCTGAAGATCAATAATCTTAATTTACTCACTCGTTGAAAGGGGCACCACCCACCCTTAATGGTGGGAAAATAAAGAAAAACAAAAGTTTAATTCAGAAATCAAACATTGAGTCAATCTTAAATTAATCAATCTCATATCTCAAGCCGAAATTCTCATTTCAGGGACTCCACTTCTGGAAGAACACTAACAGACAAGAACTTAGAAATATAAATGATCGGTTTATTACAGGATAAATGATGGTACAACGTACATGCAATAAATGATGATAAGATAATGAGGATAAATAATAATAGGTGAATAATAGAAGATTCTGAGTCAGGCTAGGAGCACTAAAGTTAATGACAGTGAGTGAATATGCTCTAACATATTAACCTACACTAACTCTGGTGTCAAAATAAATTTGGATGTGGATTTGGATGAACCTGGGAGTACCAGAATAAGTGAATATCTGAGTCATGACCACATGAGACTGCATCAGCCCTTTTTGGAGCTCTGGAGGTTTGCATGCTTAAGTGAGACTGGTCCTTGGGAAAGATGGAGCAGGTTCTGAAGGTCCGGGGCTACTGGCGGTTAGAGCGGTGAATGAACTTCATCATGATTAATAATGGATTCTAAATACTCACGTTCAGATTATTGAGTGACATTATAACCACCTAATTATTAAAAAATTAAATGAACTATTAAATTTAAACATTTCTAAAGCATTTCTGTTACTTAGAGTAAAGTTATGATCCATAGTCATTAAATGTAATTCTTAAAAGTTTATGAAACAGTCTGAAAAGCTGTTGGTCTAAAGAAAGATTAGTCCATTGCTGAATGCATAAGATGTCATTATCAGTCATTTGTATTATTTCACCAAAGGAATGCAGTCTTTATCAGAACATGGTTGAGCAGGGTTTTATGACCGAGGTCTGGAGGTCAGTGTCCTGCTCCTCAGACCTTTCCTTGGATCCCGTGTGTTCACACACTTAAAGACGGTAAATCTCAAATGGGAGATCTGGGTTGAGGCGTTAATGTTTATTTAGATGGTCAGCGATGGCGTCAGTTTGAAAGGTAATAAAAACTCTGTCTCTGTTCTCCAAATTGACCAATCATGAAGAGCCAGAGATGTCGGTCAACCTCTGGTGGGGTCAGTTAGGTAACCTGAAAGGGCAAACAAGTCTGGAAAGATTTATACCATCCTGTGTCCTGGGATCAGATAAGAAACCTTTCCTGTGAGGAATGTGTGAGTTTCACCCACAGGGTTGTTTTGACTGCTACATTTCAAATATATGACTCATATGGATATTCACATGACTTGGCCATCCACAACAAGCATTAAAACAGGTAATGCACAATGTTGAAGGCAGGTTTTGTGATCATTCTCTTTTCTGGTCCTCTTGCTTTTGGAGTTGATAGCCATGATGTGTGAGTTGAAATTTGAATTGATCAAAAAAGGATCTTTCTACTTTCCCCATGAAACACAGCTGCATGTCATATTTAGAGTGCATATGTTCCCACCACTAAATATCACAAGTTTCATTTCAGTTGGCAAAATATAGAGGGTGGCTTTCTTGTTTTATATAAAGATGAGGAAGTAAGGATGGTGTGTGCTGGTAAGCTTGCAATCTTTCATCAGTTTGTTTTATGATTAGGTTTTGTGCTTATGCCTCAACATTAACACCTCAGGGGTGGTAATACCTCACTTTTACATTAAATAAAGTGCTGGCAGTGGAAAAAAATACTGCAAATGACACTATTAAAGATTCAGTTATTCAAACTTTAATGCTATGCTCCATCTCTTGAAAAAGTTGAATACAGAATCCAGGATTGTGTAACAAAGTCCTCACCCTGTGGAAATAGAGTATAGCAATCCTCTGCATTGACAATTCCCAGTCCCCAAATTCACAAATACATATATAACATTTTCACTGGACCTTCATGAGTGATTGACAATAATTTATTTATTGATAGTTTAAAGACACACAAAAGAACTTACAGGGGTTATTTTTAATCGCAGAAAATAATGGCCTGCAAAGAAAAAAAATATCTTTCAGCTGACTCCCTTTCTCTTCTTGCTGTAGCTCAAGAGTGAAGCTCTGTTTGTTCTTTGCATCTTCTCAAGGCAGCTGTCATTATCTTTATGACATGAGTCACCAACAGCTCAATTGTTCCCACTCCCACCAGAGTCTGCAGAAGACAATGTCATCTTGCATTATATCTGACTCAAAGCCATTGACCAGGTTTTCTGTTCCTCCTGTCCTTCGAGCAGGATGCATATGATGCTGTCCTCTTCCAGGGCCACATCCTCTGTGTGTGTGACCAGAATACAGGACACTGGAGCTTGCACAGCTGTTTCAATTCTCAGCAGTTAAACTGAGGTATTAGCCGAGCAGGCGGCTGTATTCAGAGAGCGCAGAGGACTTTTTCACCCCATCCCAGATACGAGCTGCGTAGTGAAACCTGCAAAAACACAACAAGTCCATGAAAAACGCGCAGTTATATTACTGTGTTTACTGAGCTTTATGTTGATCAGAAAAGTAAGTTGAGTTCTTCAAGAGACATTAGGAAATCAACCTTTGATATCTTTAACACTATCATGACCAAGACCACTCCATACTTTTACTAGCTTAAGTGTTTGTTTGGTCAAAGATTAAACATGCTTCATAATACAGCAACAGTGGTATTTCTTTAATGTCACAGAATGAAACTTGAAGATAGTGAGTGTGCTTTTACCCCGAGAAGTGTCTGCAGGCCTCTGAGGCTGCATGAGAAGAAAGATTTCTAACAAGGTAGTAGATATGTCCTAAATTCCCAACACGTATAACACAAACTAGTGCTCTAAACACTGGTGATGAGGGGAAGAAACAATTAGATTTAATCTACAACTTTTTCTCAAATTAAATCTGAATAGTGAGAGAAATTAGGAAGAGTCTATATTGATATTCTTTTGATGCATCTTAAAGAAGAAAATGATTTCTAATTCAAGCAAACACATTATTTTTTCTTTGTTTTAGAAGTGGCGCTGTGAGGTATTTTGTTGGCCCTAGTTATCTGCAGATGTTCACTTGAAATTGTCTTTAGAGTTGCCACAAGCTCTATGTATACATAAAAGACACTGCACCAGCTTTTTACTCTTTCCACTGCTGTAAAATCACAGGAGTAAGACATGGGATAATATTTTTAAATGCAATTTTTTTAAAGATAAAGAGTGAGAAGCCAATGTTTAGATATATTAAAATGTAAGTGAAACGTTTGAAAACTGGATGTTATGCCTTTTATGCCATTTGAATGAACTCAAAGTTTGACTTCTCTGAGTTGGGGCTATGAAAATATCAGCCTTTCCCCACAGACCAAAAACTCACATTAACAATATTATCACAGTATTTATGGAAAGCCAAGAGAAACAAAGATACTTCCTGTCAAATTAAGAGGGTAAAACAAGGAGTGGAGCAACATGCGGCTTCATCAATTAACTAGTAAATGCAACTGTCTTTCTAATATGTCATCTTCTAATTTTAATTATGTGCAAAGTTATATTTGATCCTTGGTCATGGACCCCCCAAAAACTTCTTGTTTAATTAAAACTTGTGGTCTTCCTCTGTGTTGTATTTTTATCTACCCCATATTTTTTCTGTAACCTAAAAATTTCCCATTCTAGTAAGTAAACTTTTTATGGAGGTGGAGTGCCTCTCTTTCCTCTCAGTACTTTCTACGCACTGCAGTAATGGCTGGCTAGCTAACTGGTTACTGAGTCTTCTTCTGTTTCCACCGTCTCTTCTCTCTGGCTGGAGACAACCAGCATTAAGAACCACCACCACCCCTACGATAAAACACTTTTACTACTACACTTTAATAACATATGATTTTTATTGTGGCTAGGGGGAACCCCGGGTCTTGAGAATGTAAAGGGGCTAAAAACCTGCCTGCCTGCCTGCTGTAGACCACCTGCAGGAGCACAGAAAACCACACACTCACTCATTCAAAAAAGCCCATTTTTAGAGCAAAAATAAACATGTTTTTAGCCTGGTTCAAAGAACAGCTTGGGTCTGATAACTTCACAAAATGCACAGGGAGTAGATTTTACTTTGATGCATTCACTCCATCTCTTTTAGAATAATCAGTTGCATCACTGAGGCAACATTCGGTCCATGGTTTTAGCATAATATCAACGCATTAGTTGTCAATACTTGTACAATGGGACAGCCCTACTCTGATTAATGGTGGTGTGAAGACAAGCAAAAACAAACTGATAAATTTGTAGAATTTGATGCATATTTTGTCTCTCGTCTTTAACCCATTTTATGTCTCTCTTTTCTCATTGAAATGTTGAATTACCAATAAAAACAACCTTGAGCTGCTCCATCCTAAGTGTAAATGAAAGGATATTTGGCAAAGAGGAGAGTGGTGTTTACCAGTTCTTCTCAGTAAGGATGGTGTGTGATAGCTGACAGCGGGGCATGGCCAGTATTTGGCTGCGGAGTTTTGAAACCATGGTGGAGAAGGAGGGGTGTCCTCTGTAGCCCGGGAGCAGAGAGAAGAGTGGGTATGTTCCCAACCCTAAACATCAGGAAAGGAGGTTTTTTTTCAGTTTGTTCAATATAGAAGATGACTTTTTCTTTATGTTCTGTATAAAGACAAACTCTTAATGACCTGCTTTAGTCAGATTATCATCCCCATCACTCTCCTGCATAGGAAGGAGGAACATGTTGACTTCAGCTGTCAGAAAGTCCTGACTCAAGCCAGGAAAGATATTACAGTCCAGCATGGACAGTGTACCTAAAAAAAGGGCAATGTGTTACATGATGAGTGCAGGTGTGGCATGATAGAATTTATAGAAGACTAGCAATTTGCTAAACAAACTTCTGTATCAAGTACAGCAAATACTTCATATGCAAACAACTCCCATTGGTTTGGTTTTATCTAGTTTGCCCTTAAAACAACAAATCTCGACAAATATACATGTATGTGGCCTATGAAGAGAAAATCCTTTCACCTTTGTATTTGAGATGGGAGTGGGCCATTAATTTGTCCACCGCCATGTGCGTGTTCTTCAGATTCCTTGGGCAGAAATCATCTCGTCTGGCTTTATTCTGGAGAAACACTGGAGGAGAGAGGAAATTAAAGATACTTTAACAGTGAAACAGTAAACTCTTTCACCTTGCCATCAGATTGTTTGTTTCTGCATTTAGAAAGTCACCTATATGAGGGTAGTACTCTGCTCCGTCATCAGTGCCTGAGGAGCCGGTGCTGTCATGGCTTGCAGATGGAGTTGAGGGTTTCAACATCTCTGCGGTCTGAAGAAACCTTTTTCAAAATTCACAGCATTCAAGTTTGTATGTCACATTAAAATCTGCATTCACATCGCTACAACTATAAAGGACGGCAAATTACACATGACTTTGTTGGGAGTGTCTCTTGAGACTAACTTTTAAATTGTAAAATCAAGAGACAGAACTGGTGTTCTTTGTAGCTTGTCAGCGGATGAGTGTGGATGTGTTTACTGGTTGTTACATTGCTCAGGCATACTTACTTTAAAAGGTACCTTGTGGAACCCACTGGTAACATAATTGAACATTATTTTATGAGTGAACTACATTCAGTAGTATGGTAGAACTGTGTTGATAGGAAACTGTTTGAGCTACCACTGGGACAATAAAATTAATCTCCAAAATCAAGTCAAGGAAACAGACTAACCCTTTTCATTTTCAAAATTCACCCTCACGCTTCTGTCGTTGTTTTATGCTTAATTCACTTGTTTATTTCTGTGCTCTCTTGGCCAGTGAAGTTGACATTATCTACCACCATACTTGCAACTAATCTTAAACCACAGCTTTAATTTTCAATGTTCAGCTTTATAAATGCAAGTAAAATCTCACTTTTGATACTTGTATGTTATAAGGTCTATATCTGCAAGGTAGGCAATACAAGAATTGAGCTGAATAATGTACAAGAGCTTTCTTATATTGTACGTCCATCCACCTAATGGTGAGATGAATGAGTCCACACCTGAAGACCAGTCAGTCACTTTCTCCAGCTCTAGCTTTGCTGGCATTTTTGTTGTCTTACAGACCAACTGAAAGAATAACATTATTGAGCGAATAAAAAAGCCGAAGACAAATATCCTCCTGAGATACGAGATGAAATGCTTGACATTCCTGTGAGTGGAGAGGCCCTTGAGTGGTTGTCAGAGTCTCCCTGACAGATACCTGCCTAATGTGGTAAATCTGGGCAGAAGGGAGGCACAGAAAACTTTGCTGAGACACAAGTATCTACCTGTAGAGGTTCAAGTCAGTGAACCAGTCTTGGACCACGATGACCACGTGACACACCGTAAAGAGGAAGGCAGTGATCTGAAGAGACTGTAGAGAGATTAAACAGATGTATCACAGGAATTAGATGGGGATATGTGTGTGTGTGTGCGTGTGTGCGTGCGTACGTGCATGCATGCGTGTGTGTATGTATGTATAAACAGAAGAGTTTGAAAGACCGGTAAACTACCACATTTAATTTCGCAAGTCATAAAGCTGCTTCCTGTCAGTTGTATGAAAGGAAGCACGTTAACAGACCTTGAATAATGGTTTTACATTTCCAGACCCAGAAGCAAGATCATGTTCTGTTCTATAATCCCCAGACCTAGTGCACATTGACAAATAATAGCATCTGCAGACCCAATACTGACCTGCATCTCCACATATGTGTGAGGAAGATTGTACTCTGGAGGCAATTTGCGATCATTGTTGATGAGATGGTCAAGGATCGATGGGCTGAGCATCGGCTTAAGAGAGAAATAAGACACTTCAGAGTATAGCCAAGTCCTCTTTCAATTCCAAGGAGATATTTCAATCAAACACTTAGATTCTGAGAACAAATTGAAAAGTAATAATGATCGAGACAGAGCATGTGTCACTAGAGCAGTAAGATGTCCTTCTCACTTGTGTGTCCAAAAAGATGACTCTCTCTTGTGTGATGAAGAAATCGATGCCTGTGCTCTGGTTTCCTCCTCTTTCTTTGATTTCTGGAGTCTGAGCTCTGAATACATAACTCCTGTAAAAACAGAGAACATGCTTATTCCAAACAAGGGGCAGAAAAATAGTTTCACTTATTCTTAAGGTTAGCCTGTTTTTAACTAAGAGTGCAAGTCATTCCTGTGAGTGACCCAGCACTTGTCATTATTGTCGTTAAGACAATTTAATCAATGGTGATGATAGAGGGTCTTACATAGACGACTGGTTGCTTCATTCACTTTGTGCATTACTTTTAATACTGCATTGCAGTCCCTGCGTCCAAATGGACATGAAGTACTTTGTTGCTCTTATTTATCCTGTTTCTGCTTGTATAGTTCTCGCCTTCGAATGTGTGTCACTTTGGATAAAATTGTCTGCTAATGGCACAGTAGCATTGTCATTCCTACTTAAAAACAATCAACTCTGGTAGCAAGGTTATCATTACAGAAAACTAAGGAAATAATGAAAACTGAAACCTCAAAATATTCTCTGTAACTGGACATTTCATTTTATAATGTAGATATTTAGAGTGATGTCAGCAAAATGATTATTAAGCATTTTTTTATGAAGATCAAGGATATATTGAGATTGTAGTGTCACACACTGAACTGACTTTTAACACTGGTGCTCAGAAACTTTTGTAAAAATAAATTGTTTTTGATTTTACTGAAAACACCTGTACTCCAGAGAGGACATTTGCTGTGCTATATCACCCCCATGTGCTCACAGAGAGTACCGTAACTTTTCAAAAATTGCTTTTAAGTAAAACCAAGGATAGGAACTTAAATGAACATATGTAGTCATTTTGTCTTATTCACTTGTTTTGTTAAAGCTTAAGATTGCATATGCTGCTTTTAAAACACTAATTCTATTTTCTGGTTAGTCTTATATTGTTGCTGATCCTGTCAGGTAACATGCATTCATATATCAAAGAACAAATTCCTTTTTGCAGATATCACATTCCTTAATGTTGTCAAAACTGAATGGTTCTGCACATACACATGCAGTCTAAAAGCTCGATCAAGTGAGTGTTTTTTGACAAACGGTACCTTTGATCTTCCTCAGGAGTGTTTGCAGACAACAGTGACATGACTGTAGATTTCCCAGTTCCCTGCAGACCAATGACTCCAACCACCAACATATCTGTTTGGTCCCGCAGATACTGCAACACATCACAATAAAATGTTAGCAGAGTTAATATGTTTATATTTGATCACGAGGAATAAGATACAGTAGAGTACATCAAAACCATTTTCATATCATTAATATGAAGGCAACTGAGTTCACTAAACATCAACTCACTTCCATGGCACTGTCACACCAGTTCATCTGCTCATCCACAAGCTTGATACTGTGCTTCATCTTCTCTGGAGGGAGGAGTTTAGACTGGCCAACCATGGCTGGAAATCATGTAGGAAGATCCAAGAATCACTTTCCTTTTCTTTGCATTGTATTTGTTTTTCGTGAAAACATTTAAGTTTTTCTCAAATTTAAGGTCACTGGCATTAAGAGACAAGAAGAATCTGTTCTGTGAACTCTCAAAAAACTCACGGTCAACAGTGCTGCTCGCCGCAGAAGCCCCCATTCCTCTGTTTTGAATCTGGTATACAGGCTGCGTAGGTCGCTGCCCTTCCTTCTCCATCTTGGAGGGACCAGGACCAGAGGGCTGAGCTGCTGCCTCAGGAGGGGTTCCTGGCTTCCCTGCATCATCTCTGGCTTTCATTAACATGATGGGCTTCTCTAGGACCAGAGCTCCAGTAATTGGTGCACTTTGTGATGACTTGGCCTTATAAAGGATCCAACAAAAGAACATATAAATAAGAGTTTGGCGATGAAGGGGCTTACCAGATGCCACCCATGCTCTCTGTATCACTCCCAAAAAGCAAGCCAGTTGTTTGGCATTGGTCCCGAATGGTCCACGTCACACCCATCCTTAGGTCTTTACACAGACACAGACTATCAGCACAGACTCAGACCACCCTCTCCGCAGTCACTTCTGCCTGCTGCCCTCAGACCACAGGTTCTGGACTCTGAGGTGGAAGCAGGCACGCTTCAGTAAAAGCTTTGTCCCTTCTGCCATCGCTGCTCTGAACAGTCTGCAAAGCTAATCCTGTGCCTCATCTGCATGTGATGTCCTGTGTGCCTCGTCCTTATTGTTGGTACTGCGATGTGCTGTGCGCTCTCCTGTCCCTTATTATGTAACGTACCTTGTTGTCCCTAAGTTTATGTGTCCATACCAGTGTCTGTGAAAATGCCTGAACAAGCTCCAGCATATATCAGAGACTTGCTGAAGCCTTACAGCTTACTTCAAGATCCTCTGACCAGGGTTTACTGGTTGTCCCCCAGATCAGACTACGAACCAAAGGAGACTGTGCATTTTTGCTCCGAAACTTTGGAACTCTCTTCCTCGAGAACTGAGGACTGTGGACACTGTGGACACTTTTAAAAAGAGACTGAAAACCCTTTGTATTGCCTTTGTATAGCCAGGACTTTTACTTTTTTGTTGATTTTTATGTCTTGTTGTCTCACCCTTTTTTTTAATTTAATGACTATGAAGCACTTTGTGACAACTGTTCTAGATAGGTGCTATACAAATAAAGTTTATTATTATTACTATTAGTATTATTGTAAAGTCAAAGGGCAGCATTTATCAAGCCCATATGTACAACTATTTATAGTAATGCTTGAGTTTAAAATAGAGAATCACAACAGAAGCCTGAATATCAAGTAGATGACATACCCTTTCTCCAGGGGGTTTGGCAAGAATGATGGGGGTCTTCTGAATAAACTGGCCCGGTGGATCTTCGCTGCCATCCTGGGCAGATCAAAACAATAGAAATAACTGTTAAAAAAAACGAGTCAAACTGACAGAAAAAAACACTCTCCTGGGGAAGGTGCACGTGTGTTAGTATTACCCTTCTCTCTCTTGGCTGGTACTCTCGGTCCCTGCTTGGACCGGACAGATTTTGCCCCGGTGGTCCTGGATCTCTGTCTCCGCGGCGCCTCCTCCTCCTCCGCCCCTGCCCGTACATACCGGGCTGACTGTGGCCGGATTCGGACATGTCGCTTCACCCCCGGTGAACCCCAGCAGCAGCAGGGCTGATGTCAACAGAAAGCTAGCTAATGCAGGACGCCAGACCTGGCAGAGGTTTTTTAAAGATTAAGTAACGTACACTTAAATGTGAATGAAACCACAGATTCCCATCAAGACAAAGTCCCTGTTAACGCTGCTCGTGTCTAGTTTAAGTGATATTAAGTGTTAACAGCTCCAAATCCACCCTGTAGAATTTGTCGATGGTGAAAAAGAAAATGTAACCAACGCGTTCCACCAAAACGTTTGTTTTTTTACTCTGCGTTACACGACGTTGGCAGTGTTCTCGGATATCATTAACATGGAATAACTCCGCCCGTCAAAAGCTCAATTTGTTACAAATCTATCGTACCTCGTACGTCTGATAAATATAGTCGTCGTGGAACATGGTTATAAGATACGTAGTTCCTCCTAGGAATGTTGGAAATTCACGCTTACTGTCAGCAGTCAGTCAATTTTTGTGTTAATTCGACACAGTATAATTCTTTGTATTATTTTTGTTGTATTCAGCTTATTTGCTCCCGTTGCAATGCGTTTAACAAGAAACATTAAAGTACCTCCTTCTTCACGTTGAATGAAAAGGAGTTGCATTTTGGGATATGTAGGCGAATTTTCCGGCGTAAATACGGATGCTCGCAGTATGGACGCCAGCGTCAACATGACATTAGCTTTATGTTTTAAATTTAAGTGTTTTTCGTGTTTATAAAGGTGTGGGCCGTGTCCGTGTTTGTTAAGATGTTTGAGTCAGACAACGATCCTGAAAAGTGGCCGTTATTTTTCGAACGTACGAGTTATTAACGTTAGGTACAAGGGAACTGCCGTTTGCACGTTTTTAAACATGCCAATAATGACTGTCATTGACCAACGTTCACCTTCAACTTGGATCCATCAAACTGTTTTACTCTCTACTAGAGGCAGCATTACTTGGGTCCTATATCTGTAGACTCAGGTGGGTACACTACCGTGATGTAGAAAAGAGTTGACACATTATTCTTGCTGTATTCCTCTTTCCTCTTCATACTGAGATCAGATTAAACATAGTCTGGGATGGTAAAACTGCTAAGCAATGCTACATATTCTACAAAGATCATTTTATTGTGGTGTCTATGAGCTTCAACATCAAGTCAAAAACCTAGCATAAAAGTTCACCATTTTAGCTTAGAGGACTAATAAAGTCATCATCGTAGTTCTGGGGTAAGTTGAGTCTGTTGCTCAACTGAGAAAGTAAAGGAGTCTGATGAGAGGATCAGAGTCTCAGTTCAGATTGTTGAAATGTGTTACTTTTTCTTTTCAGAAATACAGCTGTGAATGTTCCGAATCACTTAAAGACATTCTCATGTTAAAATGGCTTTTTACAAAACAGCTTTTTAGCAGTTATACATAATAATAATAATAATAAAAAGAGTTATTGTACCAGTTGAATAGTGTATAATAGATAAAAATACACATGAATGTGAAGAAGTGACTGTTATTTAGGGAGAGAGAAAGTGAGGGAGAAGGTGAGGGAGGGCTGGGGTGGAGAGTTGGGGTGTAGTAGCGATACGTCTCAACTTACCCTGCTCCTATGGTCAACTTACCCCATACACGGGGTAAGTTTTTGGCATGCTCTATTATCAAGACAGTTATGTTTACACTAATTCTGTTGGTTTACAGGGATGCACAACATCTTGAAATATATGCAGATACACTCGTTAGAGACAAAACTATGATTGCCTTGATGTAGTGATCCGAAATATGAAAAATGGTTCATCTTACCCCACTTTCCTCTTTTGGGTAAAATAAAATGACCCACAGTTTTTGGAAATGTTTTTGAATGTTAGGGGGGAAAACTGCTAATTGGTGTATCATATACTCTTTTTTTTTACAACTAATAAGCGTAAAATACAACAGTGTTTGTTTTTTTTTGACACAATCCAAAACCATTGAACGAAGTGTTACAATATATACATCATATCCTTGTTTAGCTGCAGTGCTTTCTTGTGTGTAGTTTTCAGGTTCAGCTGAAATCCACATTTTTTGTTTTGATTTTAGCTCAGAAGTCCACAGACCTTTTGCTCACACCACAAAAACTGAAATAAAAGTACCTTGAGATGGACAGTCATGATAAGAAAGGGGCATAAATATTTACACTCTTTTTCCAATCAACAAAGAATTGATAGCATAATCAAGATGGGATGTATGTAGTTTTGGTTTCTTATAATCTTAAGCATGAAAAATGTTTTCTACTGTCGAGCTATGGCTTTATTCTTGCTACATGATGACTGTGAAATTGACTTACTCTTGTTTTTAATTAGTTTCCTTCCTTTTTGATTATTTGCAGAACACCCAGAGTTTATCTTGAAGACTCAAGCAAAGATAAAGAATATCTGGATTTCACATTCATTTTGGGAATGCACTGAATTTGTCAAAACATCAAGCTTGATGTCACTCTACAAAAGCCAATATATTAAAGCCTCCCACCACATCTGGAGTTTTACTTTTTGGCACCTGACAACCCTCTGTTCATCCTTTGGCAATGCTTACCCAACACCTCTCTGCATAAAAGACTGATTATTAGTGTTGATGCAAGAGCAAGGAGTCCTTCGGTAATGTGTGGAACCTGAACAGACATGAGCGTCACGTCAAGAAGCCCCTTTGTTGGTTTCTGCTTTCAGAAATCACAACTGGGGAGACTTTTGTAATGAGTCGAATGCACAGCAAAGCACAGAATCAGCAGTGCAAGACTCAAAGATGAGGCCCAGACGAAGACTGGAGATGAAGCCAGAGACATCTGAAAACAGTGTGGAGTATACAGTGGGTGAAGATGATGTTTATTTGGACACTAGTTGTGAGAGGGGAGATGATTCAACAAGCTCCGAATCGGACAATGAGGAGAGGCCCTTCAAACCTGCAGGTCCGATTCCAGATAACGCAGAATCAGATGGTGGCTCAAGCTCAACAGATGATTCCAGTGATTCCTCGCATCATCCAAAATCTAAAACCACACCTGCTGTCATCCCTGCAAATAAAAACTCAGTATGTGAAACCTGTGGTAGAGGTCCCTTTAGATCACTCAAGCTCCATTTACTGCACTGTCGCAGTGGCAGTGGTGTAAGAGTGAAAGACAAATGTTTTCTTTGCAAAGAGCTCTTTTCCACTGAGACATTGCTGAATGAACATTACATGTCTTTGTATTCTTGTGACAGCTGTGGACAGGTTTTCTCCAATGAGGTCATGTACTGTCAGCACCCATGTTCCAGAAAGAGCAAATCCTCTTTGGCTCTCTTTTGTCCTGAGTCAATGCCCCATGTGTGTAGAGTCTGCAAATTGTTTTTCACTTCTGAGAAAACTTTACTAAACCATGTCACTAAGGTCCACGCATCATTGGTAAGCACCAAAGTGTGCATCATTACCAACCCATCGGTGCTTACAGATAAACACGGTAATCCAGAAGATCATGTAGCTACGAGTATTCCAAATGTGTTCAATCAGGCTGTAAATGGAAAGCTCCATGATGGCCAAACCAGTCCCTCTTCTTTCTTGACCTCCTCCCTTCCAGGCCAACCACCTGCTCCAACATGCACAGGGTCTCCTACTATTCCTCTCAGAATGGAGAAAGACAGTACCACAGAGCTCCCACTGGGAGAAACTCCAGCTTCTCTACCTTCTGACCCTGACTCGCAGCAAATGCCAACCATCTTAGCCATGTTTGAAAATGGAAGTCATAACGTGGCCCTGATGAAACGTATGAATACAGGCTGGCGCTCCAAACCTCCCCACCCCTGCAGGCAGTGTGGTGCCATCTTCCGACAGCCTTCCCTCCTCATTCGCCACCGCTATCTACATCGGGGTCATCGCTCATACCAGTGCCAGTGCGGCCGAGCCTTCAAGCATCAGCTGTATCTCCTGCGACACTGTGTAGAGCATGCAGAGAACATGAGCTACATCTGTACCAGCTGCGGGGGGACATTCACAGGGGCATCTGTGTTGGCTAAACACTTAAAGGGGAAGACCTTGAAAAATTCCTATTCTGGACGTTTGAGGAATCATAAAGTAAAACAGAAATGCAGAATGCCCTTTACATGTGACTGTGGACAGCTCTTTATTCGACCTTCAGCTTACATATGGCATCAGCTCAAAAATGGATCAAAAACTAAAAGTGTGAAGAAATGCTCGAAACGATGAGGTACCGTCTTCATTTCTGAATTTATTGTTTTTTAATAGTCCTCCCCCATTGTGTGTACAACACTCTTAAATCAAGGGTCAAACCAAAGGGATCATAAGCACTTTTTGTAACACCAAGTGACAAAAAAACAACCTAACACATTCGTTTTGTAATGGCTTTTATTAAAGGCACGTCCAGGCTGGTTGCTGAATTATTTGTAAAGATGTACAAATGATACACAGCAAACAAGGTTAAAACAAGTTCTTCTTATATAAAATATAATCCGTTAAAAGCTCCAGTTTATCCTCTAAAGGAGAGTGAGTCCAGTTTTCCACACTTTAGCTTTCTCACAAAGTGCTTTTTTGACACTGCAGGTTGTTTGGGAGTTTCAGAGTTTGCTCATTTTCTTCTTTTTTACATATATATTTGGCTTCACCAAAGTTTATACAAATGTTTTGCTCCTGAAAAGATTTGTAATTCAGGTTAAATTTTGCCAACATTTTGTGGTTCTGTTTTAACTCGAAGTTTGAACTGTGCTCAGTTTTGTGTGGTCTGCACGATTTATGTCCACTAGGTGAAGCTGTTGAGCCGCTGAAAAATGAGTTTACAAGGCATCTTGCACTAAAGTTTGTTCTCAGAGCAGGTGTAAACTGTTACATGATATTCTGATTTGTAGACATTTCGTGTGAGTTTATGTTGGTATAAATGAAAAAAAAACTTAAAGGATTTTTATGTCTGAAATAAAGCTTTTTTTGGCAAAACTTCAATTGATCTTCAGCTTCCTCTATTTAAAGAGCATCCTGGAACATGATTTCATTCATCAGTCACTTAGTGGGTGAGAGTAAAAAGCAGTACAAGATGGAAGTACGAGAAATTATATCACATTCATCTACTCCCGATTGTTGACATTAGTTTGGTAACCATTCATGAAACAAACTACTTCAGAACATGAAAACATGGCAAAAGTTTTTATAACATAGTTTGGCTAACACGGTAAAATACTGTTAAAGGTTAAAAATAAAATTAACATGTTCAAAAATGTCTCTTATTCCACAGGAATAAGGCAAAGAAGGAATCCATCAATGAAACCTTGATATATAGCAAACAAAATAAAAGATGGCAAGCCCTGAAGAGGAGACTCCGCAGTCCTGGTTTGAGATTAATTCACTTCTTTGTTCACCCTCACAAATATAACAGATTTCTCAAGATGCACCGTGATTCTCCCACAGAGAAGAAGACTGGAGGGCCTCTTTTGTCTGTACAGTTTTACAGCTATGAGTCATTGTGCAGTGCAGTCAGCACAGGGCCAGAAGATGAGATCTTTGGTAGGTATGCCAGTCCTCCAAGTGGTTCAGCATGTTAACAGTCTGGAGCAGCTCTGTGTGGAGAGCATTTGCCTTCTCCCTTTCATGAATACTGCAGACCAAATCCCCAAAGTGTGACACAAAGCCCTGTCACCTGCAGAAGAGTAACAAAAAAGTGAATGCATGTTCTTGTACCACATCCTGCACTGCATCGCCGTAAGCCTTGTTGTTTACCTGATCTCAGGGTTGCGGTGACGTAGGACGTGAAACAGCAGCTCAGATGTTTGTTGGAAGCAGCGACTGAGTTCGTCTAATTTTTGCTCCATGGAGAGGATCCTTTGCTCTAGTTCTCGATAAGAGTTATTCCAATTAGCGCTTAGATCGCACATGATCATCTGCATCTGTTTGAATTAGACAGACAACACAGATGCAAAGGTTTTTGAATCAACCAAAGAATAACAGAGGAAAGGTGCAAAAACAGACATACTTTGAATATTTGCTCCAAATTAATGGTAGAGATTTAGAAAACCTGGTTCCCTTAATGGCTGGCTTGTTGGCTGTGTGACTGACAGACAGGCGGTTTTATTGTTCATGTATGAAGTTTAAAGCCAACTTTCTGGAACAGACTCAAAACTCTAGCTCACTACTGCCAACTTTAGAGTGTTTAACTACATTTTTCACCCCTAACTCAATTTTCAAAACAGATGCAACAAATCAACATCAGTCTCAGTCAAACTGATACAAACTGGATGCAAAGTCACTGAGCTACGTTGCATTTTTGACAATTCATCAAAGGTCTACACTTGCAGTTTGTAAAACTTAGGGCTTATTTCTATTGAATGTATATTTGAATTCACACAGTAGACACAAGTCCCCTGATGTATTTTTCCGAATGAATGAAAGGATACTTATGAACATCTTTCATTCCAAAGCAGCCATTGCAGTCCATGCAGCTGTATTTATAAATTAGTATGATTTATAAAAATGCTTTGTAATCACATTTGTCATTATTTAATGATAATTGTGTGAGAACTGTTGTTTTTACCTTTGGGAGGTCAACCATCTCACTCACGTAGTCTCTCAATTTTCTTTGTTTGAGGCGTAAATGTCGAAATCTATTTGGAAAAAAAAAACAGATTCTGTAAAATAAAATGTAGCTCCTTTTAAAATTACATTTATCTCAATGTTTCACAGACACTCAGGGAGGAGAAAACTACATGTCCCAGTGCAACATCATGCTGTGTTAAACTCAGGGTTTAAATGCTCCAATAAGGAAACAATCCAAACCCACGTTGTTATAAAAAGCCAGTCCCTAAAGACAGTCATATGAAAGTCTCATACACTGCTCTTAATCCCAAGGTGTGTATTTTCCTCCTTCTCACACTTCCTGCAGTGTGTTTATTTATAGTGGTTGTGCCCGGTGTAAAGCAGGAAGTACAACCCTTCCACCCTAGCCTACACACACTCACACATGATCCTGTTGTCAGGATAATGAATCATACAGCCACACTTCAGGGCTTCCTGTCTTGTGCAAGCCACTTGTTCTTAGAAGAGGATCTCGGGCACAATAACAAGAGGATACAACCTTACTGTGAGAGAGAAAAAGCTTCTTATTTAATGGTTTTTCCAATAGACTGACTGGAAAGTGATGCGCAACATGCTGTATAAATTTACAGTGGAGAGCATCGCTTAACAAGGGTAATTCAGTGATCATGGCTATAAACACTGCCTGAGTTGTGTATGACAACAGGGTGGACCCCGCTCATAAGAGTCCTCTCTGCACAAAAGAGTCAATCCAGTCTAATTAGTTATCTATAGGAGCTTTTAAAAAATGCTGCAGTTAAGCTTGTTGACATAAAGTTAATGGCCAACAAAATACACATATAGGGCACACAAACCAACACCCATCCCTGTCCCAGACAAACACACACCCTGCATTAAAGTTACAGTAACTCACATTCTGATGGCTTCCAGGAGGCCTCTCTGGTGTCTGCGGTGCTCGCCACGGTTGCCCTTTGTGATGTTGGTGCGGTGCAGTAGCCAGCATTCCCTTAGCACATTAGCGGCAGCATGGCGGATCTACTTGTGAGACAGAAACATGGAAAAAAAATCAAATAATCAGAAGTGGGGGGATTTAAAGGGATATTCTGGTGTAGAATTAAGCTAGGGTCAAACACACCGTAACACTGAGTTAGACCCTGTTGAGAGATGAATTTTGCTGACTGCTTGCTTCTCTGGTTATACCAACTTTAGTAACGACCACATGCTACCAATACAGAGAGCCATGCATTCAACCAAAAAGCCACTGTATAGCCACAAATAATGCTCAGAACAGCACCTAACTTCATCAACAGTACATATAGGGTCCCAGCCATAGCACTACCCTCTAAACATCTTTTTAACTTTGCCTGACTTCTTTAGCAAAGAGACTAAACACAACTCACCCCCTCTCCTCCAGCAGCTGCTTGTTTGTAGCGAGACCTCAGGCCAGTCCATTACGGACTACAGCGGGGTGACGCAGCCCAAGGAAGAACATTTATGATCATTTCTTTATCATTTCCTTGAAGTAATAATCATCACATTAATCATTTTGCACTGCAGACGCAGAGTCTCGGTCTGATTGCATTTCCATGAGGAAATGATCATAAATGTTCTTCCTTGGGCTGCGTCACCCCGCTGTAGTCCGTAATGGAATCGTCTAAGGTCTCTGTACAAAAAGGCAGCTGCTGGAAGAGAGTGGGTGGAGTTGTGTTTAGTCTCTTTGCTAAAGAAATCAGGCAAAGTTAAAAAGATGTGTGGTGGCTAGTGCTATGGCTGGAACCCTGTATATACTGTTGATGAAGTTCTGAGCATTATTTGTATTTGTGGCTATAGAGTGGCTTTTTGGTTGAGCGCGTGGCTCTCTGTATTACTATCTGCAGTCGTTACTTAAGTTGGTCAGCAACATTCATCTCTTGACGGGGTGTTTAACTCGGCGTTACGGTGTGTTTGACCCTGACTTAATTTTACACCAGAATATCCCTTTAGAGACAAAGAAACATGGCGACAGGGCCATCAAGATATGATCAAGGAAACTTGCAAACTTGAACAGCAAGACCAACATTTATCTTAGTTTGTAACATTAACAGAATCTGGTTCACATCAATCATTTCAAGACAGGATGTGAAGCTATGAGTAAGCAACGCCAGGTGATTTAATCTGGTAGTCTTTCCTGTTGAGCCATTTCAGATAAACAGAGCAGTGAAGGTCTTATTTTTCAAGGGATGGTTTTCCACAGAGGTACAATCATCGCCACACTTCTCCTGTGTCACCTTTGTGCACTTTCTCCTTTGATCCTATTCACGCCTGTTTGTCTTCCTGCACAAATCACTGTAACAGCTCGGTGATGATGTCACTCTGGCCCTGTTGTGAGAGTTATTAATAGAGGCTGTCAGTGTCTGCATCCAGATGTCTTCCCTTGTTCCCATCAGTGTAATTTTGGATAGAAGAACTCACACACAGGCACAAAAATACACACACACACACACACACACACACACACACACACAAAAATACACTACCACCTCCAGCAAAGGCATCAAGATGCACCTTGTGACAGGATGCAGCCACCAGGAGAAAGGAAATGGTTGTATCCTCTAAAGTGGTGCACTCTCTCATTGCTTTACAGTCAAATACGAGGCTGCAGAAACTCAAGCAGTATGTGCTCTATCCACGTTAAACCTAAAGGTAGATTCCTGAAACTCTCTACAGTGTCTCCTAAGCTGTCGTTAATCACACACCTCCTTCTTGAATCCCGTCCAAGCCTGCAAACAGAGTAACTCCCCCTGTAAGCCGTCATCACACAAACACCAATTTGAACACACGAAAGCTGAACCAGTTTCCTGCCACCGCCATACCGTCCTGAACTGACACACGTTTCTTTCCTGACACAGATCAGATGATTTCCTCCGGCTGACACCTTGAGAATGCTAAAAAAAAAAAAGTTTGGCAGGCAACTCTTTTCCCACACAGTCCTGTCCTCTGGTGTCTCTTATTTAGGAAAAAATGAATTATATTAAGACTCAAAAACCAAAACACACATGTGACACGGAAAGAAGTGGCGCTTCCATCCGGACACCTCCATCCGCTTCAGGTTTTTTTTTATTTGTCTGGATGCAGGACAGTAACATCTGAAAGTAGGGTGGGAAGTTGACTGTTTATTGAATTTTTATGTATGGAAGTTTACTTGATTGATGGATAAATATTATCTCCGAAAGGCTGTAAAAGCTATTTTCAGGTTCAATACCTTCCCATTTGAGAAATGTCAAACTTCAGATTCCCACATTTCACACCTTATGAAATGGACTTTTGAGTGTAAAACTAAAGGTGTGTCTTTACCTGTGTTAGAGTAAGAAAGTTTGTGATGTGACCAGGGTTTTTATTAACATGAAAATACACCTATTCTGCTTTTTTAAACCAAAGGGCAAGTAAATATTTATGTGTAAATCACTGCATGATAAAACTCTATTTTCATTACTTTTACAGTGCTTTGCCCGATTAATACAAATAATACATTTACGCAGCCAACAAGCATTTTCAGTAAAACATTTTAAATAAATCATGATATACCCCATAAAACAACAGGATAATTTAACCTTAAAAGAGTCAATATAAATAGTCAATTTTAAAGATTTTGGCATAAATAGTCTCAAAAATTTGAAAACAACTAATTTGTAGTAATCTCAGTGACTTCTAACAAAACCAATGACCTCAAGCAAAAATGGAAGACACTACCAGGTTGAAACTGGTCCTTTTTCCCCTTTTTTTAATGAGATACTGAATGTCCTGATTCACTAAAGACTTTTACCTCATCATTTTCTCTCATGGGTGTGCCTCAAAGAGCCTTCATGGAGTCCCTCTTTGGATGGTGACTCTATCATCTTCAAGAGCATTAATCTTAAATCTATGTGAGCATATAGTATTGTCCTGTTTTTACCAAAGTTTGATTTTGTGAATTCAGTTATGTTATTGTGCAATACAGCACAGACTTTTCAAATCACTCTGCACTTTTAGCTGAATAACCACACACTGTTCCAGCAACTTTGAACACAATAAACACAGAAATAGTATCCACTGAAATGGATTACCTAATTTAAACAAGTTTCAAGTTTCTGCAGGATGATGAATGAAAGGGTGAGTACATTTAAAAATCAGGGGGAAAAAACTTAACAATGCAGTTTGAACATGAGTAGGTGGTGACATAAAGTATGAATTATAAGTAGGTGAAAGGAGCAAAACATGCAAAAATAACCTGAACTGCCTTTGAAGTGTCTGGGGTGCAAAGGATGAGAAATGCAAATATGGCTGTGAACCTAAAAATCAGAGTTCTCATGGAAAGACTGTGAAACACTTTGAAAACTTAAACCATAATTTCACCAAGGGAAATTTCTTTGTAAGCAGCTGTAACATGAGCTGTATCACTATGACTACTTTTACTTTGACTAAACATAGTTGCTCTTACCCTTTTGGAGATCTGGATGTCCAGCATGAAAAAGTGCACGTGTTTCTCTCCTTTGTTCAATGCTAGCGTCTTGTTTACCACTGCAACCAGCATGGCTGTACAAGCTACTCCCTAAAACCAACACACACACAAAGACACACAAAGACAGGCATAAAAAAGATGTAAGCAAGGTTACTCACAGATTTAACATCTGCTGATCTTCTATGCAGTTTCTCTTCAGTTTTTTTAAGTCTTGAAGTTTAATTCTAACTACTGGAGCCACATCAACAAGGCAGAGCTCAAGAGTAACCAATGTTTCACTTTTAGAGACTGAATTTAAGCCTAAATTTGTCCAAATTCTCAAGAGTGGGTCTTGTCCCTCAAGGGGGAACGGAATGTTGATGCTGATACCTCATATGGCTTCGTCTAATAAATCAAAGTTATATTTAAACGACTATAGTGCTGCTTTCCTTTAAGAGTAGCTTTGTGCTATTGCTGGACAGGGAACTACCAAACGATAAAGATTTAGATATCCACATCCACACAGTCACACAAAGAGACACATCATAGTGCACACAGACAAATTAGAGCACTGGTTTTATGTCAGGCAAAGTAACAGATAACCAGTCTTTACCTTTGTGCCTCTTTTCAGTTTGCATTAGAAAAGGAGAGAAAGAAGAAAGAGGGAGTGAGATTAAGCAGCAGCATGAGAAAGCACAAACCACAGTTTTAAATGATATATTTATCCTTCACTCCAACAGCCTTAAATATCTATCATTACAGTGTCTGTAAAACCTGGGAGGTACAAACTCTTTCCATGGGTCCATCCACACACAACGATGTGATGCAAACAGTGTTGTCAACCCCTGAACACAGCTGTGGATAGAGTTATGGCTGGACTCATGCAGAGGTGCTAACCCGCCGTACTACAGGTGTGAGAGCCCCACTGACCCGCTCCCAGGCTAGATTTGTCCTGATGGGAGTAGGAAATTTAGTTTTTTCCAAATCCCTGGCACAGGTTGGCACACCCTCCTGTTGCACTAGTGCCAAAAGCAATAAACCACCTAAAAATGGATATGGTGGAAAGTTCTCCCTTATAAGGGGGAAACTTATAAAAACAAGGCAGATGGAGAAAGAGAGAGGGGGAAAGATTGTTTTCCACTCTGTCACAGAGGTGTCTGAACCGGACTGGTGCCCACATCCATGCTGATGAGTCTTATCTGTTTCTACCATATTGTGACCAAACAAAGCAAAGTCTAAAAGCTGCTCAAACACACACACAGTCACTTTTTTTCTTCTGGAGACTTAATGTTTATCTTCTAAAACAGTAGCTCTTTGTGTTTTGTTTAAGAGATAACTTCCTCATCTCTGACATCCTTTATCTAATCTTCGACCCAAGCCCCCATTTATCACGCCATTTGGTTCATTCCTATAAATGTTCTTTATCTATCTGGAGAAGAATTAAAGATCACTTTACTGCTCCTACACTGTCGTACAGAAAATATTACCTGAATATTTTAACAAACTAATGCTGGCTGTGCAAGTACATAAAACAAATCAAGAAACTACTCCCTGTCAAATGGCAGACAATGTGTTGCCATGGCAACAGCGTTAGACAGTGAATTGAGAGCTTTACAGGGGGTGGTTTAAAGGTCCTGGATGGAGAAATTTGGTGAATTTCTAAGTGACTGATTAGAGGCAGTAACGTTCGGTTAAAGAAGGTGGCGCTCTGACTTTTGTGAAAAATTTTAATTCACTTTTTTACAGGTGGGGACTTTTGATAATTAAGCGCATAAAGTTCAGTTCAGTTACATTGACGTAAAGCTGAGTTATAGCTGCTCAAATTTCATGGCGAGTCATATGGTAAATTTCATATATGGGGCCTTGATTTGACCACGCCCTCCCATTTTGGCGCACATTTACACCCACATCTTAGGAGTTTTTAGAGCAAATTAGATGCAGATATGTTCACCTGACTTGGACTTGTTGTTTAGTGAGTTGCACCATGACGTTTTATTCAGTCATTCTTTGATGAAATAAAGGATATCAGCGAAATTTGATCTGAAAGATGTCTTTGCAAGGTGTAAGAGGGACGGAAGTGGAGAAGTACAGCAAAACAATCCTCTGGCAGAAACATCACAGTAGCCTACAGCTGTTTTGTTAGGACTCCTGCTGAATACCGACAGTCTCCTTCCTTAAGTCTCTTTTCGCGTGAGTGCCTGGTACCGCCAAGGTCATGCAGAAGCGCCTTCAATTAATTTACAGCTGTGATCTAAATCACACACACACAAGGGAATGAAGGCATTCATGTCTGTCAGCACATCTAGGGCGTGCAGTCGGGCAGAGAGGGTGTAGTGTGTCCAAGGTAACAGTGCAGAACAGGCTGGAATATAACAGGAGAGAAATGAACCAAACTGAACTGACTCAACATGAAATGGGAAAACCAAAAAGTGAAGGAAAATGTGTGGAAGAGTTTCTGCAATGGAACAAAACAGAAACAGCAGGGAATGAAACAAACCAGAGACGATGATATGGAACAATACAAGAGAGAAAATGTTAGGGCAATAAAGCTGAAGAAAACAGAACAATACAGTGGAGAGGAAAAAAGCGAAAATGGGAATAATGGGGGAAATTTTAAAGGACAAGAGAGGCTTGAGTCCAATGGAAGAGAAGATAAAGGGAAAAGGGCCAAGAGGGATGAAGCAGTATGAAAGTGGTGAAATGAAAGTGAAACACAATTACATGAAAATGAAAAGAATGATCAGAGAACACAGGGTTTTAATGCCAGAGTCCATGCAGTGTTTGTTATGGACAACTACAGAATCAAAATGTAGATAGGATCTCTCTAAAATGCTGACCAGGCCAAAACAAGCTCTTCAAATGCTAAAGCATGGCTGCTTGTGTTGTTGTGTACTCTACAGTAGTGTAAGGAACTGATGCATTGAAAAAAAAGAGTAAAGTCTGCAGTCCCTTAAAACAAGTAACCAACCCGTACCATGACACCAGTAAAGAGACACACAGCCTTTCCACAGCTGGTTTGTGGTGCCACATCCCCATAGCCCACTGTGAGGAAGGTGATGGCGATGAGCCACAGCGCTGTGCTGATGTGACTGGTCTCGTCATGGGTCCCTCTGTTTGGGCAGAGAAAGAGCTGTGACTGTAATGTAAGAAAACATGTCAAGTGTACCCCTTTACCACTGTAATAAAGGGCAAAGTCAACCCAACTAACAACCAGCATCACTGGACATTCATATGTGGTTCAAAGTGGACCTGATAAGATTTGCAGAACACAAAGGTCGTGTTTTACTGGTTTTTGATTAATCAGCAATCAAACCAAAAAAAAAAAAAACTCTTCATCCAGCTGTTTCAAGTCAACACCATCCTGAAGTCTGATCCACTTCACAGTGTAATATCAACTGCTGATTTAAGATGTATATAATTTGTTGGTTATGAGTCAAGAGTTACATCACAAAAAAATCAGTGTTTCTAAAAGTCAGAGGATGACATGAATCTAACACTGGATTGTATGATTCACCTGATATTAACTCTGCAATACTTAACTTTCTGGAGGTGAATGCCATAAATACTGCAATAATCACCAACTTTCCAGCATTTCTAGCAATACTGAGTTTAAAATGTCAACCCAGTTTTCACACCTCACCAATGTTTGATGTCAACTCGGCTTTTATTGCCAACAAAAAACAATTTATTATCTACTGTCCTTTGGGTTTCTAACATTACACTCACATCCAGTGTCAGCTTGGAGAATGTAGACTTTATTCTTAACATGAATAAAATCATTATGATAACATTCAGAAACTAATCACCTTCTATCTTAACATTAGTAATGTTTTTTAATTATTATTATTTCTAAATTCAAGACTTTTTTGTGCTCTGGTTAGTTTCCAATAGTTTGACATTTAAAGATTGACTGTTTAGGAATTTGTATCGCAGGGTCAATGGAATATCTCTAAACCACTCAAGGGCAAAATGAACAGATGGGACAATGGGAAATCTGTATACCATATACTGGTGTAAAAAAAAAAAAAGCACAACATTCTCTCATTTATTTGTCTACTTATTATATCACCCAATCCACATTTTCAGTGATCAGACAAGATCTAACAATTTTCTCTATGTTCAACCAGGATAGCTTTCACTATAAGGGGAAAATCGTGCTAGTGCTGCGAAAAGTATGAAATTTTAAAATCCCATGCCCCAAAAACCTTCATTTTCCCTTTTGGAAAGCTCTTTTAATTCAACTCTAAATCAGCATCTTACTTAAAAACACAACAACACTACTTTGACTGATTCCAAAACCCACCTCACTGTCATGTAAATCCACCAAAGCTCAGCAGACTCTGCAACATTATGTCTTAAATACAGTTAATGAAATGCACCAACTTCCTGTCCTCAAAGAGTTTGATAAAGGTGTGCTATGTAAATCAAACAGTGTTATCAGTAATAATGTTCTACAGTACAATACAGAAGTTCAGGTGTAACTGATGAGTCACCATAAAGCAAGAGTCCATATACACACAGCAGACATAAAACCAAAAGTAACAATGTGTGTGTGTGTGTGTGTGTGTGTGTGTGTGTGTGTGTGTGTGTGTGTGTGTGTGTGTGTGTGTGTGTGTGTGTGTGTGTGTGTGTGTGTGTGTGTGTGTGTTCATCCACCCTCTGGAAGTGGTAATGAACAAATGTTTGAGATGGCTAATGTAACAGCTGAGTGTTGAAAGGTTTGCAAGTCTTATCAGCTCTCAGTCAAAAGCTTTTTTATTACTTTTGACAAGTAAAAACACACAGGGCTGAGACATGTGAAGGAAAAACCTCCCATAGGGTTCAAATGAACAGTTGACCTCACACTGTTCAAACACACTGAGGATAACGTTGACATTTACTTGGCCTGCACCAGAGAGCAATTTGTTAGAGTAACTAAATAGAAAATCAAGTCTATCACTGCAGTTATTTCAAATCCGCTCTGTGCAGCAAAGTCAAATTGACCATCAAGATTTATAGAAGAATGTTAAACTATCGAGCATTTTGTGTTTCTAATGTGCGTGTGTGTGACTGAGGTGGAACTCAGGGGGAACAGAGTGCTGGTTCGAGTGTATATGTAGAGATCTAAGGATAAAATAAATAAATAAAAAACACGAAAATAAATTTTAAAAGTATTTAAATTCATAAATTATGATTCCCCAGAGCAGGAACAGTTTGAATTCTGATGAAATATCCTTTAGACATATTTATTCATCTTATCAAACATGAAGATCTCAGAGGCTTGATTCTCCTGGACATTTCAAAGCACTCATAAACCCATAAAAGCTACTAAAAGTTAATTTGTTTGCTTAAGGGTGGGGTAGGCAGGATTCCTTTAAAGAGGCATTTTTTTTTGTGGTGTATATACAATATAATAATATCCCCCCCCCCCCCCCCCCCGTGTCGTTCATGAGCCCAAACAAAGTTAGCATGCTACAATATCGAACAGTAGAAACCAACCAGAAAGTTCGGAAAATTGTCTGAATCCTCCTTTGGCCACAACTGCCAACACAAGCAAGAAAACAAAGTAAATACCAGAGACTGTGGCAGAATAAGACCGGGCAAGAGCTAAGAAGCCGGGTCAACAATGATGGGGGACACTTTGGGATCTTACAGACCCTGTAACTTTTCTGCTGGACAGGTAAACCGCTTTAACAAAGTAAGCCAAGTGTCTGTAACAGAAGTGTTTTTTGCCAAACAGGACCTGCTGCGTGTTGTAGCGCCGCCAAACTGTTTACCTCGGGTCCTGGAATATGTCACGTTATCCTGGTTGTAGAAGTCCTGCAAACATTGAGTTTGCTGGTAGTCTGTTGGCATCTACAGTAGCACTAATGCTCTCTACTTTCACTGGGCCCCATTTGTAATTATCTGAAGTATTTATCTGCATTATATCTGAGTTTAATTACGATTAATTACGATACGAGTGAGCAGGAGCGTCTATTTGTGGGCGGGGCTTGCTGGAGCAGAGAGGGAGGGGAGAGGAGGAGCTGAGGGGAAAACTGGTTGGGAGGGGTCATGCTTACATTCAAGATTTCTCCCAAAAACTGGCACTTCCTCAGATCCTGCCTACCCCACCTTTAATTTGGAGGATAATAGTCTTAAAACAAATGGAAAAACAAACATGTGGCCTTTTCTCAAAGCTTCATTTTCTGTTTGTTCACAAGCTAACTTTTGTGCTGAAGATTTGAAGGTTATGACAACACAAATGTTAAAGCACATTACCAAGATTTTCCCTACAGTACTATTGCAAACTATATCAGCAGTATGAGTGAGTTGTAACATATTTTAGGTCATTTGATCATTTCATGCATTTTCTGATTGAATACATTCTTCTTTTAATAGATATTTCTTATGGTTCAAATAATGAAATCCAAGAATATGGCAAGTGCACACCAGACATGAAGGGTTTATTTTTTGCTGACTAAACATACTGCTTACCTCTCACAGAGAGTAAGCATCCAGGATGCAGTGAGCCAGAAGAAGAGGATGAACACCAGCAGCGTGCGTGCAGGGTATTCATTCATCAGTACCTTGAGAACAAAGCGGAAGGTGAAGTTTATATTGTTGAGAGAGCCGATGCTCCTGTAAGAGGCGCTCAGTAGCACTTTGCTGTGCAGAAGGATGGCTCTGTGCACCAAATACAAGCGCAGGAACATCAGCACTGATAAAAGCAGGTCAATGTCTTTCATGACCCCTGACGGCTCGCTGGAAACACAGAACGAAGCTGAAGAGGAGTTGGCATTTCCTCCAATCTCACTGTATGAGCCAACAGGATGGATGACACAGACCAACAGCTCCAGAGTGATCCCCAGAATCCTGTGGCTGGTCATGGCAATACGCCAGTCCACCTGGTTATGATCAATGATAAACAGCTGGAAGACAGAGGAGTAAGAGAGTATGAAGGAAGAAAAAAACATGATTAAAAGCTAAAAGAGGTAGAAACAAGTAAAGACACAAACACATCTTCATATTTTTATGTTAAATTACACGGTTTATCGTCATAGCGGTGTAGCATTTCCATGTTCTTGATCTGATTTAGTTCATCACCTCAGACACCACAGCATTAGGCCTCACTAAACTCTGGCTGTGTTTCAGGTCTCCACCCTAGACCCCTTATCTGCTCTTCACACTTGCATGCACTCCACTTATATCAGCCACTTACAGAAAGTTGAAAACATTGTGGTGAACACATCAGAGGAACTGAAAACCTCCAAAGATTGACTGAGTCCTGAAAGGTTATCCAGTGTGTTTACTTATACTGTGCATATATGCGATTCTCTCTGCACTTGTTGTTTAGCTGGCATTTTATTTAATATGCTTGCTGTGGGTGGGCAAATAAATTAGTGTTTACTCTGTTTATTTTCAGCCAAATCTCTTCATGTAAATTGAATTAGCAAACAACGGCAGCGAGCCATGCGGATTGGAAAAATATTGTAGCTGCAACACTGTTCATGCTTGTGTGGGCTGACAGTTTCATCCAGGCCTGTATTTTACTCAGACAGCAAATAAAACACAGATAATCAGTGTTGAGGCTACCATCAGTGGACCGAAAGCTCCCTCTTAAAATATTGCCCTCAAGTATCTCCAAAAAGGTATTTTTTAAACAAGTTTAATTAACAATAAACATAAGTGGTTTAAAGAGGCATGCACTAAAAATGGCAAGTCTTAAGGTTAACACAAACTCACATGAAAATAAGGGCGCCCAAACTGCTGAAAAGAAAGAGGAAACGAAAAACTCACTTACCCTGATATCCTTATAATGGAAAGCTATTATGAGGGCCAAGAGACACCCAGTGGACAGGCTGATTAGGTTGATGATAATTAAGGCAGCGTATGGGATGTCCTGGGCAGCAAAACAAAAAAAGGGGGGGGAAACAAGACATAAAATTAGTGCGTCCACAATGACTGAGGTTTGATTTTATGGTAGGAAATATTTTCCTTTATTACTGTTTAATGAAAGTGACACTGAACTGAACACAATCACAGGACAGTGCCCAAACATGTGAAACACATAGTGTTTAGCTATCTGTTCTCCTGTAGCTCAACTATCTAAAGTACAGTATGGTGATGTTAAAGTACATTTTCCAGCTAGGAGTATTTCCTTGATTATCATATAAACCATTGGCCTGTACCAGGTTATGGTAAAGAGAAAACCAAGGAGAAAGAAAACAAGGAGAAAAGAAATGCTAACAGCAGTCATATTTTTCCTTTATGTGAACAGATTAAGAGTAAACCAGGTCATAGTGAACTGTCTATGTACAAATCAAGATCTCAAGTTTTGTTTGTCTTTTTTTCAAGTTGTATCATCTTCAAGGCAACAGACCAACACAGATGGTCCTAACCTCTATTGGCTTCCCACCCATGAACATGTGTCACATTAGTTTTCTTTCATCTGGATTATTCACGCTTCCCAACCAACTTAAAGGCTCATTGGGTTCATCTTTATTTCAGACTGCAGCTGTCACAATACGAGATTTTCATCTTATATCACAATAACAATATTATTGCAACATTTGTAGAAAACTTAACAATAAAAAAACACAATCAGAACACGAAAATGATGCATTTGAGTGTCAAATGTCAGCAGGATGAGCTTTTTTTTCAGAAAACACTGCTGATGCATGTAAAGGATAAGATGAGCATAGCCTGCATTGTCCAAAGGCGGCGCAAAAATGGACACAAAGACACAGGTCCTTACAAGAGCTTTAAGGTTGCTTAATTCCCTGCATTGTAAAACTCTGCTTTCATTTCAAAGTAAATCTACTTCTAGTTGATTGGGAGTTAAGTATTTAATCAATATTTCACATTTTTAAAAAGAAGGTTATCATCAATACCAGTATACCAAGACAGTCCTTTTTCAGACAGAATTTAAGATTGGTTTTTAAATATTACAATTATACCTGAAGAATTTCTGATACTTTTTATGACCACTACTTTTTCTTTGAGTCTTTCAACAAAAGATACAAGCAGTCACAGCACTGAAGTCAAATTTATGACTCCCTGCACTTCTTGCCTCATGCATCTACATCCATCATTCATCCATCTCCTAGCAACTAATTCAGCGTCACTGGAAGGTCTTAAATGTAGTGCACTTTAATGTGGTCTACAGTTTAAATGATAATTACAAACTTTCAAACTCAAGGAAACCCAAGTGTGTTGGTGGTATGAAGTGACGTTGTTTGGCAAGGTGTGCCGCTTTCCACTGTTTCTCACATAGCATCCACATCATGTCTGTGTTTCGTCCAGGGCTTATTAGGAACTGGACATTTCAACAGATTCCATAACAGAGATTCAACAATACCACTTGTCAGGTTTCTATATTTGCTTGTGTTGCTTTTTCTGTTGGAAAAAATTCATTTCAAGTCCATTGAACCCAATTTGGGTTAACCCTAACACGGATTGTTACTCACAGTCTTGGATGAACAACGAGCCACCATCACCAGGGCGGGCCACCCAAGGCAAAGCAGAGAAATAATAACACTAAAACACTGAATTCAGAGCAAAGTATGTGGTCTGGCTTGTATCTACTGTAATAAATAAATATTCTCCAAAGAAATAATTCATGCAGCTGACTTCAGTTCTCAAATTTGGCTGCTGGTCAGTGGGATTTCATTAGCTATTATACATGCTTGTGCTACAGGTCTCTTTTTAACCAACAATGTGTTCCATATTATAAAAATGGCTGACAAATAATTTACTAAACAATTTCTGCACTGATATAGCCAGACAATCACTCGAGGGGTGTAATCTCAGCAGATGAATTATCCAGATTTATACTGAAAAAAATGCATAATTTAACTAAAAGTTTAGGTGATGAAATTAAGTCATTTTGATGGTGATAAATGGTGATAATGCACACATACTTAGTAAAAAGTACAAATGAAACTTCTTCTCTACAGCCTGTGGATCATTTTTTTCTACTTGTGGAGTACTTTCAGAACTGCAGCTCATTATAATAATTTCAATTAGCCGACTCTCAATGCACTGATCAGTGTAACAACCCAAATAATAGGAACATGAGGGCCACTTTCTCACAATTTTGTAGCAGCAGTGGCAACAATTTTTGCAAGCTAAAATTTGCATTTCATGGCTTAAATATAGAACGCTGTTTTGGGTTGTGATGTGTGTGGTTCAGAAGAGGGCTAAGTTTCAGATTGTAGGTGAGTCTAAACCACACTGCAGTATACTGTATACACACACACACACACACACACACACACACACACACACACACACACACACACACACACACACACACACACACACACACACAAAACATATAAAGGAGCCACTGAAAAGGATGAATTACACACAAAAACAAAACAGTGATTCAGGGAGTGGTGCACTGGGTGTGCATACCTAAGAATGGAAAACTGACTGACCCTAACTGCACTGAAAATTTTCAGTATCGGGACATATGTATGATTGACAGCAATGAATTTTGTTGTTTGAATAACCATTTTCACATTATCCTCTACATAATTGAACAGTGTCTTCTGACAAAAATCCTAATCCTGCTGACTTTTGACAGTCCAAAGTTTCATTAATTGTAAATACTTTATGTGGAAAGTTGTTTCTTAAGCTGTGCAGTTGACACATAACCCTTGTACCAATTTCAGGCTTAAAAATTACTGTATAGAAGCTGTCCTTGTTATTGCTGATGGTCTTGTTTGCTTCTTAATATCATCACAAGGCATAAATGTAAATTTCAGCATATTTCATAAATACTAAAAAACTCCTTACAGGAGCTTTAAACAAATCAATAACTAGTTAGCTTTAAAGGGCTTTTTTCCATTATTTACATTACAAGCCTTTGGCCTGGCCAGATGTTACTTAAAAACAACACAAAAGAGATTTAACAGGGAAAAGCAGGCATGAAGCCCTGAAAAAAGAAAGGTTTTTGCTGCAACTGAAATAGAGCCTCTATAAATCCTCTCATTACATTTCATTAAAACTATTAAGGTGAAGTGTGGTTATTACCGCAGCATTCATCTTAACTGTAGCCCATTTTAGTCAAATATGATGATAAATAAATTTTCATGAATTTTTGGACATCTTGTTCAGCCTTCCAGTTCTGATATTTGGACTTTGTTTTGGATTGTTAAGTGAGTCCAGAACTGTAAACAAAGAGTAGAATGAACAGGAGGCTCCAGCAGGTCAAGGTGCACACTCCTGCCTCTGGCCAAGCCAAAGCCATAGAGAGTTTTGGACCAGCCATCCAAACACTCCAATTATACGCTAAATGATGTGGAAAGATAGCCTGAAGTACTGGGAGCAATCTCGCTCCAGGGGAAGAGGTGAAATGTGGAAAAAGGTTCCATAAATAGACCTGTTTTCCTGCATTTCCATGAAAAGGTATGCTTTCAATATAACAGCAGACTGGTGTTAGGATGCCATGTTTTGTTAAGCCAGTCCCTGTGTAACTACATGTGATGAAGATGTCACAGCTCTTATTCCTGGCTTTGTTATCATATACATTTTAAGGATTAATACTGACAGCCACAGTTGGATCAGCAATGCTGCCTCACCAAAATAATACACTTTAACTGCAGCAGACAGCACTTTTCCAGTGCATCAGCATTTCCATGGTACCTTAGCTGATGCCTGTTGTGAGAAATAGACAGACAACACCTGTTCTTGGTTGGATTTATAAACTGAAAGAGTAATGTCATGACCATGGCAGCAACATTCATATCACAAACATGTTTCTCTAGATCCAACTCTTGAAACAGCTACAAGATTGTAGTTGATCTAAGTGAGAAATGGGCCATTCTTTGACACTGTAATCAATCACTGACTTCACAGCATGGAGGTGGTCTGATGTTTTGCGGCATGCATGAGAACTTTTTTCCACATGTGGAGCTGGCGTGTGCTTGAGGAGCTCAAGGGGGAGTTAATAATTTGTTGATTGTGAGGCCTGGCATTGTTATCCACTGAGATCTGCATGTTAATGTCATGAGGCTGTGCTACCAAATAGTGTGTCTGGAAGTGGAGGAACTAATCAGTGGGTCAGGGGGGGTCAAAACCCAGGTGCAGGTCCTGCTGGTGTATTGCATGAATAGGGCAGGGGCTGTCTCCAATTTAAAATTTAAGGAAGTTGTTATGACAGAAAATGGTGCAGTTGTATAATGGTGGTTTCTCTTGTAGTACTCACCGATGATTGAATACATTCATGGCTAAACCTATAGATTTGAAATGGTCAGGATAAAAAACAATCCTGCAGTAGCATCTGTTTTTGCATAAATATAATACAATGCAATATGGTCAGTGCCTTTCAAATCAGATATCACATGACTGTTTGCAATGTACGATAGGATAGGATAGGATACGATACGGTAAAATTTTATACAATACAACACTGTTACCACAGGATATATTATCAAATGGTGGGATTTGATACATTAAATGTCAATAAATAAAATATGTGGTTAGTAACAAGAGGATTTAATAAGATACCATACAATAAAATAAGGCCGCCCAACAGTAAAACCCATTATTTAAAGTAATTTGATACAATACCATGTGATATGATACAATTTGAGCTCATTTGAAACAATACAATGAGAAAGTACACAACACGATAAGAGAAAATATATTATGATATGTATGATACAGTAGCATGCATAATGATACTGTTTAATGTAGTGTGATACAACAGGTTTTAAATGTCCTCACAAGATAATATTTTAAACCATGCTTCACACATTAGAAAGCAATATCTAACATGTTAACAGAGAGGTTCATATATATATATATAAGTAGGCTATACAGGCTGATCGTTTTTATGCAGACCTCTTCCACTTCTATGAATTTAAGCTTGAGAAAATGTAAATTAGGTCAGTGTTGTCAATGTCAGCTGTTTACATGCTTTTTAGATGATGCTCATATTTTTCCAGCTTCCATTTTAAAGCTGCCATGGGGAGCTTTTGGTTAGTGTCATGTTTTTGCATCCCCTTGACAAAATGATACCTCTTACGCTTATTCTGTCCATGTAGAATTAATCTTTTAAGACAGAAATGTCTTTCCATTGTCTTTTAACTGCAGAATATATCACTTACTGTAAGTATTGGCCATAGGAAGGGGGAAAAAAGACCATTTCTTTATCAGCTGTCAATCACCCAGCCTGAAACCTACCCCTGACAGCAGTTTCAAGCATTAAAAATTACAACAGAGGAAATTTCTACTTTGTTTCCTATGATCTTGTTTGCTTTTGAGGGCCATAAAGAGACAATAGTATCAGTCTCTGACTGACTCTCAACCAGTTAAAAACTCCCTACAGTGTCTTTAAAACAGAGCAGCGATTTAATGAAGTTGTTTGATTCGAGTTTTTGAGACCTCCACTTTTACCACGATGGCATCGACATGAGTACGTCAGAGGACGTAATCAGATGACATACTGTGATGCCAGTCTGTCAATAACACCAAACAAATTCCAACTTGTTAATTGTTGGCATGTATTTAAAGTAATCTGTTAAACCATTTCACCATTACAAACTGTAGTTTATCAAACCTACCGGATCATAGCGACATATCTCGGCGTGGATGATCATGAGTAGTATTCCCAGCACAGCAGCGCCCAGAGACAACGCGCAGAGCCGCTTTTTATCCTCCACCAACAACTTTCGGTCTCGCAGTCTGTACAAGTCATCTCCCTCCATGAACGCTGTTCGCTTCCCTGAAAGTGACACAGATACCTCTGCAGAATCGCTGCTTTTTCGATTGTTCGAGCCATCGCAGTTCACATGATCCACTCTGGAGTCTCCGTGCACACTGCGGTTCGTCATCTCCATCTCCAAAGCGCACACCAGAGCGCAGACAGTAGTTCCTTTTTCTCTGTGGTTCCCCTCCGCCTGTCCGCTCTCCTGGCTGCTTCCCCCCACAGTCGGGGAAGGCATAGTCCGATGGGCGAACTGTGAACCAGGCCCTTCTCTCGTGTGCCGCACATTGAAGTGGCGGGTTTGACAGAACACTTGGCTTCTAATACACTCGCACCTTAACACTCCTACCAACCTGCGCGGCGTGCTCACGCGCACCGGTGCTATTTACAGACTGCCGAGGGCTGTGCCCGTTCATTTGCATGGTATACTGTTTTAGCAGTGTGCATCATCAAACTTTGACAAATAACTTCTTTGTTTGCTCAATGTGTGCGAACAATGGGCCTATTCTGGATACTCATGAAACCTAACTTATTATTAGGGCCCGAGCGTAGCTGCTAAGCAGCTGCGAGAGCCCTCTTGTTCCTGTAGTTTCCTTCTTTTGTTATTATTATTATTTTTCCTCCCCTTTGAACTGGAAAATGGCCCACTTCCCACTGGCGAAAACTCATGAAATTTGGCAGGACGACCGGGCCTGGTGAAAAATTTGATATTCCGAAGTCGCCCAAACAAGAAAATGCAAAATGGCTCCATAGCGCCCCCTAAGGTGAAAATTCACACTATTCACTGTCACGCCTGTACGCTTTGTCAAAATGACACAAAAATTGACACACACATGTATCTCAATAAGATCTACAAAAAAGTCAGTGCGGGCGTATCTGTCAAATGTACGGTTAAAGGGTTATTTCACATTTTTTGCCGATCCGCACACATTGGAATTTCGCTAACTCCTCCGAAGGCTTTCGTTCCACCGGCACCACATTTGCTCAGGCCAATCTACACCCCATGGCCATTAAAAGTTATTCAAATCATGACGCTGCACCCCACGGTTTAGGTTCTAGGGGGCGCCAAAGATAACCCTAAGATCCACATATTTAAAAGTCTTATAACTTTTTGTTTTTGCCCTCACTGGCCTCCAAGTTTTCTAGGATGATGCAATGTCCAGCCATCAACACATTTGTGAAGGAATTTTTACTCCCCAAAAGAGCGCCCCCCCATGGCAGGAGAAAAAAGTCCATTTTTTCTTGTCCCCTAAGGTGAAAATACACATTGTTGAGTGTAACACCTGTACGCTTTGGCAAAATGACACAAAAATTGACACACACATGTATCTCAATACGATCTACGAAAAAGTCAATGCGCGCGTATCTGTCAAATGTAAGGTTAAAGGGTTATTCCGCATTTTTTGCCGATCCGCACACATTGGAATTTCGCTAACTCCTCCGAAGGCTTTCGTTCCACCGGCACCACATTTGCTCAGGCCAATCTACACCCCATGGCCATTAAAAGTTATTCAGATCATGACGCTGCACCCCACGGTTTAGGTTCTAGGGGGAGCCAAAGATAACCGTAAAATCCACATATTTAAAAGTCTTATAACTTTTTATTTTTGTCCCCACTGGCCTCCAAGTTTTCTAGGATGATGCAATGTCCAGCCATCAACACATTTGTGAAGGAATTTTTACTCGCCAAAAGAGCGCCCCCCATGGCAGGAGAAAAAAGTCAATTTTTTCTTGTCCACTAAGGTGAAAATACACATTGTTGAGTGCTACGCCTGTATGTTTTGTCGTATTGACACAAAATTTTACATACACGTGTATTTCAATAAGATCTTCGAAAAAGTCAATGGCCACGTATCTGTAAAATGTACGGTTAAAGGGTTATTTTGCATTTTTTGTAGATTCGCACACATTGGAATTTCGCTAATTCCTCCGAAGGCTTTCGTTCCACCGGCACCACATTTGCTCAGGCCAATCTACACCCCATGGCCATTAAAAGTTATTCAAATCATGACGCTGCACCCCACGGTTTAGGTTCTAGGGGGCGCCAAAGATAACCCTAAAATCCACATATTTAAAAGTCTTATAACTTTTTATTTTTGTCCTCACTGGCCTCCATGTTTTCTAGGATGATGCAATGTCCAGCCATCAACACATTTGTGAAGGAGTTTTTTCTCTTTAAAAGAGCGCCCCCCCATGGCAGGAGAATAAAGTCAAGTTTTTCCTGTTCATCATTCAATGGCTCAAACGCACTGCTCTCTCGGCAAAAGCGAAAGGAGGAGCAACTTGCCATTAGGATATATCTTAGCTGTGTTTGTGCCCTCACTCATGGTCCAGACTTTTTTCAAATAGGACATGGAGTTTTTCTGCAGCGAGCGTTTTGGTAGAAACTGCGCCTCCCGTTCATTATAATGGTAAATGACCACAAACAAGTGCGCACACCATCTTTGGACCTTGAGTGTGACGCGATCGGGTGGGGGAGGCGGTCGTGCTGGGGGCGGCGTGACACGGCTCGGGCCCGCCAGTGCCCCAACGGGGCCCTAGTTTGTTATTAGGGCCCGAGCCAGCTGCAGAGCAGCCGGGCGTAGAGCCCTATTATTCCTGTATAGGTTTTTCTTTCTTCTTTCTTTCTTTCTTTCTTTCTTTCTTTCTTCTTATTTTTCCTCCCCTTTGAAGGGGAAAATGGCCCACTTCCCACTGGCGAAAACTCATGAAATTTGGCAGGACGAATGGGCCTGGTGAAAAATTCGATATTCTGAAGTCGCCCATACAATAAAATGCAAAATGGCTCCATAGCGCCCCCTAAGGTGAAAATTCACACTATTGACTGTCACGCCTTTACGCTTTGTCATATTGACACAAAAATTGACACACACATGTATCTCAATAAGATCTACAAAAAAGTCAGTGCGAGCGTATCTGTCAAATGTACGGTTAAAGGGTTATTTCGCATTTTTTGCCGATCCGCACACATTGGAATTTCGCTAACTCCTCCGAAGGCTTTCGTTCCACTGGCACCACATTTGCTCAGGCCAATCTACACCCCATGGCCATTAAAAGTTGTACAAATCATGACGCTGCACCCCACGGTTTACGTTCTAGGGGGCGCCAAAGATAACCCAAAAATCCACAGTCTTAAAAGTCTTATAACTTTTTATTTTTGTCCTCACTGGCCTCCAAGTTCTCTAGGATGATGCAATGTCCAGCCATCAACACATTTGTGAAGGAATTTTTACTCGCCAAAAGAGCGCCCCCCCATGGCAGGAGAAAAAAGTCCATTTTTTCTTGTCTCCTAAGGCGAAAATTCACACTATTGACTGTCACGCCTTTACGCTTTGTCATATTGACACAAAAATTGACACACACATGTATCTCAATAAGATCTACAAAAAAGTCAGTGCGAGCGTATCTGTCAAATGTACGGTTAAAGGGCTATTTCGCATTTTTTGCCGATCCGCACACATTGGAATTTCGCTAACTCCTCCGAAGGCTTTCGTTCCAAAGGCACCACATTTGCTCAGGCCAATCTACACCCCATGGCCATTAAAAGTTGTACAAATCATGACGCTGCACCCCACGGTTTACGTTCTAGGGGGCGCCAAAGATAACCCAAAAATCCACAGTCTTAAAAGTCTTATAACTTTTTATTTTTGTCCTCACTGGCCTCCAAGTTCTCTAGGATGATGCAATGTCCAGCCATCAACACATTTGTGAAGGAATTTTTACTCGCCAAAAGAGCGCCCCCCCATGGCAGGAGAAAAAAGTCCATTTTTTCTTGTCTCCTAAGGCGAAAATACACATTGTTGACTGTCACGCCTTTACGCTTTGTCAAAATGACACAAAATTTGACACACACATGTATCTCAATAAGATCTACGAAAAAGTCAATGCGAGCGTATCTGTTCAATGTACGGTTAAAGGGCTATTTCGCATTTTTTGCTGATTCGCACACATTGGAATGTGGCTAACTCCTCCTAAATCTTTTGTCCCATCGGCTTCAAATTTGCTCAGGTCAATCTACACCCCATGGCCATTCAAAGTTGTACAAATCATGACGCTGCACCCCACAGTTTACGTTCTAGGGGGCGCCAAAGAGGACCCAAATATCCACATTTTTAAAAGTCTTATAACTTTTGATTTTTGTCCTCACTGGCCTCCAAGTTTTCTAGGATGATGCAATGTCCAGCCATCAACACATTTGTGAAGGAATTTTTTCTCCCCAAAAGAGCGCCCCCCCATGGCAGGAGAAAAAGTCAAGTTTTTCCTGCCCATCGCTCAATGGCTCAAACGCATCGCTCTCTCGGCAAAACCGAAAGGAGGAGCAACTTGCCATTTGGATATATACTAGCTGTGTTTGTGCCCTCACTCATGGTCCAGACTTTTTTCAAAAAGGACATGGAGTTTGTCTGCAGCGAGCGTTTTGGTAGAAACTGCGCCTCCCATTCATTATAATGGTAAATGACCACAGACAAGTGCGCACACCATCTTTGGACCTTGAGTGTGACGCGATCGGGAGGGGTAGGCGGTCGCGCTGGGGGCGGCGCGACACGGCTCGGGCCCGCCAGTGCCCCAACGGGGCCCTAGTTATTATTATTATTTTTCCTCCGCTTTAAACTGGAAAATGGCCCACTTCCCACTGGCGAAAACTCATGAAATTTGGCAGGACGACCGGGCCTGGTGAAAAATTCGATATTTTGAAGTCGCCCAAACAATAAAATGCAAAATGGCTCCATAGCGCCCCCTAAGGTGGAAATTCACACTATTGACTGTCACGTCTGTACGTTTTGTCATATTGACACAAAAATTGACACACATATGTATCTCAATAAGATCTACAAAAAAGTCAGTGCGGGCGTATCTGTCAAATGTACGGTTAAAGGGTTATTTCGCATTTTTTGCCGATCCGCACACATTGGAATTTCGCTAACTCCTCCGAAGGCTTTCGTTCCACCGGCACCACATTTGCTCAGGCCAGTCTACACCCCATGGCCATTAAAAGTTGTACAAATCATGACGCTGCACCCCACGGTTTAGGTTCTAGGGGGCGCCAAAGATAACCCAAAAATCCACATTCTTTAAAGTCTTATAACTTTTTATTTTTGTCCTCACTGCCCTCCAAGTTTTCTAGGATGATGCAATGTCCAGCCATCAACACATTTGTGAAGGAATTTTTACTCCCCAAAAGAGCGCCCCCCCATGGCAGGAGAAAAAAGTCAATTTTTTCTTGTCCCCTTACATGAAAATACACATTGTTGAGTGTCACGCCTGAACGCTTTGTCATATTGACACAAAAATTGACAATCATGTGTATCTCAATTAGATCTACGAAAAAGTCAAAGAGCGCGTATCTGTATAATGTACGGTTAAAGGGCTATTTCGCATTTTTTGCCGATTCGCACACATTGGAATGTGGCTATCTCCTCCTAAGGCTTTCGTCCCACTGATACCAAATTTGCTCAGGGCAATCTACACCCCATGCCCATTCAAAGTTGTAAAAATCATGACGCTGCACCCCACGGTTTACGTTCTAGGGGGCGCCAAAGATGACCCAAAAATCCACATTCTTAAAAGTCATTTTGGCCACTGCAGGAGTACAGAGTACTGCAGTTCTAGGGGGCGCCAAAGATGACCCAAAAATCCACATTCTTAAAAGTCTTTTTGGCCACTGCAGGAGTACAGAGTACTGCAGGATACACACACATATACACACACGCCAACACACACACACACACACACACACACACACACACACACACACACACACTCAGAGTCTGGTTTTTAGCACCTGCAAAAACATGCTGTTTACATATTTGACAAGAATGCAGAGGCTTCCTTTTGCCCCTGACAAAAATCAAATTTCAAACACAACTTGACTGTTCATTTCTCCAAAAGACAACCATGAAGCTCCATCCAAACCTGAAGCAGATAGTTGGTGCATGTGTACAGTAACCTGAGGGGAGTGAGGTGACTATTTCTGAGGAGAACATGAGCAGTGAAGATTCACCTTGGAGCTAGAACAGGGACGTGCACATGATTATACAGGGGCAGGGGCTCAAGTTTTTTCCAGTCATTTATACAATATGGAAATTAATGTGAAATTAAAAAACAAAGTATTAATAGAAAGGTTATGACTGTCCTGTGTAGATGACAGTGATATCCAATAGGCTAGGCACTCACGAGGCTGGCTGTGGCAAGTGTAAGTGAAAGCAACACGCACTGGCAGGAAGAACAGCAAACGCCGATGAAGGAAAGGGTCTTTGCAGTGATGGGCGTTACCAGAGAGGACGATGGCCAGAGGACGCGAATGGGACGGGGAGGCAGCGCGTTGGGGGGGGCAGCGCGACACGGCTCGGGCCCGCCAGTGCCCCAACGGGGCCCTAGTTATCGTTGTTGTCTTTTGGTTGAATTGTAAAATATCTGCATTTTTTAAATCATGTAGAATCAAGATACAAATTAGTTAGTTGGTCGATAATAACTTTTAAAACTATTGATGTTTAACAACAAACAATAGTTGTGTATTTTTAATTTTCTGTTTAGGCACTCCAATAGTGGAGGTCCACAACAGCGACAGTGATCTCTAGTGGTTGAACACCCTCAATGTCTGACTGGTTAATTCAAAACATTACTCAAGGTTTGCAACATCACCATGACCTTAACTCTTCAGTACCACTATTTCAACAGGGTTTCATCAGATATTCTCCCAGTTACCTCCCTTTGGCTTTTCAGGAGTATTTGGGTAAATATGAGTACTGCACTGGCCAGTTTCTGTCTTGACCTTTTAACTGATGCCCATTTTTCTTCTGGCTAAAACTATTGAGTTGCCAACTTTTCCTTTATTTCCTGTAAACCTTCTTTTGGCCAAATTTTAGGTCAAACACAAGCTCTTGCCTCCTCTCTCAGAGGGTCTGTTCAAGGAGGAACAGCATCATGGCCTTGGGCTGATGACGCACTGAATCCTTCCTGTGCAGCATCCTGAAAGTTCAGCTGACAGCGTGACGATCCTTACTGCTCTGAGTGGAGTTGTTTGCTCAGGTTAAGCAGTTTAATCAAAGAAAATACAGACAGAACCAAACTTCACTGATATAATAACAAAAGACAAGGAAAACGTAATATTTGAGGCTCGTCTTGGTTTAATGAGCTGCAATGTTAAAGCTTGCAGAAGCTTCAAAGTTGCAATGATGTGAAATAAATAGCCTTTAAACCAATGTTATAAAAAACCAATCACAGCAGCATTCATGCATTAACAATTACTGCCACAGCAAACTTTAAAAAAGTAAGTTATGTACATCAACACCTTAAAAGCACAGTGTAAGAAGCCATCAAACAGACACATCTTGCAGCAAAAGAATTAAAGCCACCTATAAACAATGATTGTGCTCCATGAAGTTCAGATTTACAGCAGCCTTTGTTTTTATAAAATATATACAAGTTCATAAAAATTTCATGTGTAAGCTGTGAGTGTGCTGCCATCCAGTGGTGGCTGAATAAATTACAAGAATAAAACAGCAAGGTTAGAAAACGTGCATAAATCTATGATACCTAAGTTCTGTGTTATTTACAAGCAGTTTAGTAAAAATATTCTTCTTAATATACAAATATGGTCACTATAGCTACATTAGATCAAACCCTGAATCACATTTTACATTAATTAGCTGTGATGTTTACAAGTTCACTGTAAGAAAACAGACAGAAGGATTGCCGTCGTGAGAAATACAACACCCATACAGACAAATATTTGGCATTGAGGATATTGCTCAGAGTTCCTGAGTTTGTCCAAGCACCCAGAGACTGGAGTCAGTCCTAATGTGTACAGCATGTAAGAAAGATTAGCAGAGCAGACGTGGCAGATAAAAAAACTCAAGTTCAGTGGCTGCTGAGTGCAGAGAACAGGCTATAAATTACAAGTCACTGGAAATGAAACAGTTTAGAGGAATTATCAAAGGTTGTGCAAGGAATAAATTTCAGTATTACATTAAAAATAAAAAAAAAACAATAAAAAAGTTAACTTTTGGCTAAAGTTCAACTCTGACACAGCAGAGACCTGAAACAGCATGGCTCAGTTGAGGGATCTTCTATTGCTTTATCCACCTTCGCCTCATAACTTCTGGACGGTCTAACCCTTCACAGCTCCCCACGGCTGCAGGGCGGCCTGCGGCAAAATGAACTGTGGAGATACTTGGGGTAGGATGTAGTAGCCAAATACCTGCTGCTGTGGAGGAGGAGGCGGCGCTGGTGGGACGCACACTGTGTTCAAAAACACAGGAGCACCTTTCTTGTACTGAGGCCAGACTGGTGCAGGGTGGTAGTAGTACTGGAGGCTAGCAGGGAGCTGAACAGAGGAAGAGATTGGAGGGAGTACAAGAGATTAGGACAGGGTGGTGGAGAGTTTCCAGCACAAGTGTAAAAAAAAAAAAACACTTTGTCCTGACAGCAAGAATCAATGGTACTTTCTTTTCTGGAACACGCAATACTGAAATATTATCATGCTGTCTACACAACCCTCAAAAAAGCTATAGTCAGCAATTCACAAGTCTTTCTTTGGGCTTTGAAACTTCCCTGTCCTCTCTGTAGAGCATGTGCCTCCATTTAGGTAGAGTAAATCTGCAGGAGCTGGTCACAAATATTAACTTTCATTGTTTTCAAAAGGCTCCGAGTAATCCGAAAACAGCTGGGAACTTAAGTGTTTAGCAAACATTACTCAAACACAATCAGAATTTGTTGTGGACCACTTTTAGCTCTGACTAATCCTCATAATTGGGCATACACAGCAAATATGTCACTGGCATATTGTTTTCTAGCAGCAGAATGGTACAAGTAGGAGTGACTCACTACAATGACTGTGTGTTTAGCCATTTGCTGCCATAGATGTGGTTCATTAATGTGTTTTTGTTTAATCATTTTTTGGCAACACAAATTCTAGGGCTTCAAGAAATAAGCTTCATCGGGCTATTGCTACGCAAACTGTGCATGCTCATGAGATATCTACACAGAAAGACAAATATACAAATATAATCTGCTTTATTCTTTCATCGCTAAACACAAGCAAAAGGTCTATAAAGACAGGAGACAATATTTACCATATTTCTGACATATTTGATCTTGTTTGGTCCATCTCCCTGCCGTTTCCGAACCCTGGGTACCATCACTATGGTGTATGGGTCGCCTTCTGCCGCCTCCGTACTCTTCTTGACGACGTCTTTTTCATGCTTTTCTTGCTCTCCTTCTGTCTCGCCATCTTTAGCGTCCTCCTCTGTGTCGCTTGATGCAGTGGAGCTGCAATCTGAAGAGGTAGCAGAGTGATAATCTGACGTGTCCAAGTTCATCGAGGACACCGAGGAGTCATCCTGTTCTCCCTTCACACCTTCCTCCCCGTCATCTTCAAAGGAAGCTACTTTAAAGGGCCTGCTGTTCTCTCCAGCTCTGCAAAGAGGAGGTGGATTATTTTCAGCGAAACAATGACAGTATTTGTTTCTAATTTTTCTGTCACACATTCCTGCTTTCCACTTCCCCATGTTTTCATTCATCGGATCACATAAACTGAGAAATGACTCTTTTACGAGCGAGTGTACCCATCTGTTTCTGACACTCAGCCTCCGACTCAGCAAACCAGCCAGTGACTCACCTTGCGAAAACCTCCAGTGGGTCGATCCACAGTGTGACCTCAAGCGGAAGACCAAGCTCACTGGCTGTGAGCTCACTCTGCTCGCATGCTTTCAGGACATCATCATCACAGGGTACGCCATTATTTATCCTGATACATCTGTGAAGAGATCCACATCAAAGTTTGTTTTTCTTCTCATTTGAATCTTTTCCTCTTTGGTACAGGAGCATTAGACCTGTAAATAATTGAAAATTGTACCTGTATGCCTGGCCTTTGCTGGGGCAGTCAGGGTACCAGTGATCTTTGTACTTCTCACACAAAATTGTCTGTAGCTTCTCAGCAAACAACTCCGCTTTGGCTTCATCAAGCTTGCCGCGTGCTAATGCAAGGCGTTTGAGGAAGTTGACCCCAGCTTTGACCTCTTTTTTCATGTTCTGGAGAATAAGAAGAGAAGAGAAAAAGGGAAAAATGATTCATGGTCATTTAAAGTTGGTGTTTACATGTAATCATGATTCTCACTTAGTTCATTTTGTAAGTCGAGTGATTTGAGATTTTGGTATCAGTCTGTGGCTTTCCTTCACTCAGTTGAGGAGGATCAGGAACTTCAGCTGCAACGATAACAGCACTGCCCTGTGTAGATGCCCCTGAGCTTTCTATTTTTATAACTTTCTGGGGAGCTGTGCATAGCGAGCGTCAGACATTTTACAGCTATAGGGCAAGGCTTGGTGTTGACAAAAGGCTAGAGTTTGTATTCAGGCAAATAGCATGCAAATCAGCCCCAGGATCTTGATGTATTTTGACATGCAAATCAATGATCTCACTGTGATGTTTTTCCTCTGATAGCGTGCCTGTTTGGGTTGGGCGCCAATGTCAGCCTGACCAGAGACGAGCACATTTTGAAATAAAGGCCAAGGCAATTCCAACTTTCAACACTCAGTATCCCAACATCCTGAAAATGGCCCTGACAAGAGAGCTGAGCCTTGAAATTCGTGGCCCGGCAGTCATTTGTTATCATGGATTTAACAAACCACTGTAGCTCAACCTGTGTAATGTGTTTGGAGAGAAAATTGTTATTTTCCCTGGCAGATGTAGCCACAACCTCCACTTAAGGAGACATGACGAGGCCGTGACATAAATGGAAAAGTAGAGGTAACTTTTAATCCCTAACAAATATGTTTTCCATGAACTAAACTGTGACAAGGACCCCGTTTTATCAGTTCTAACAGTAGGTTTGATACTCCAGTCTGCAACTACACAGGGTTACATGCACATATTTTTAGATAAACTATCAACAACACAACAGGTAACAGCACCCGGAAACTAAAAACATTCATTCACACAGTCTGCACCAGTGAGGTTGTGAAATTGCATAATGCTGATCTGCATATTGTCCCTTTAGCTGACACACAAACATGAACACAGGTTTTTCAGGTCAGATTTCCATTTTTTAGATTTCTGCAGCAGCCATGGGCCATGTGTAAAGTTGCTTCGTACCCGAATTCCTCCAAATGCAAAGTTAAAGAGGTCACAGGAATTTAAAACAGAGAGTGTATTTTAGCTTTACAAGTCAAAGTGATGTGAGTCTGGAAATAATGTTAAATTAAAAAAAAATCCCTTTTGATCTTTGATGAATGGGTTTTGTCAATAAAGTCATTAACTCGTGAAATTTGACTGACAGAAACTACATCTGATTAGTGTAAATTTAGTAAATGTGGCTTTAAACGTCTCAGAAAATGGAGAAAACCTTTGTTTCCTTTCCTTTAATACACTTTTAATCCATTTTAAACCATCAGTGGGATGAAGTTGTTTTGATAAATAAACTTGAACCATTTCTCTTTTGTTTTACTGATTGACCCCTCCATCAATGCTGTTTCTAAAAAAAAGGAGGAAAAAATGTCATTTCAGAGTGTTTAAGCCAAGACTGATGACAGACAGGATCATATCATGGCAATGTCTGCTAATCGGGCTGTTATCATCTTTAACTTGCGGTTTCGCAGATGATGGTTTAGGGATCGGAGTCAATGGAAAACATGTAATATTGTTAGAAGATATGTGTTCATTATCATCACGGTGTTGTTCAGGTGTTGAAAACTTACAACATCCAGCCTCTCCTCTCTGCTCTGATTACGTACACTATCTAGGGCAGCCGATATGAGTCATGTTTACAACCAGTTTGCATCATAACAAGACGTGTTTCTGATTGTAATGGAGCTTGTCTTCTCTGACGACTTCACCTTAAAGTGTCTCTTCTTTAATCTAATCAGAGGGTTTAATGACGGCCTTAAAAAGATTTCAGCAAATCTGCTCTTCTCTATCGTTATACTATGTTTACTGAACAGTGACCTACTGTCAAATTCCCACACTGTTGATAATGTCAGGATTATACATGTGCAGACAGACAATCAGACCTGTTTGCAGACTCAGAATAGTCCCAGCTGCTAAAACTAACACTAACTGTGCTACTCTGTATTTAGGCGTGTTGAAGAGCACATACCAGGTCATTTCTTTTGTGTGTGACACTTGTTGTTGATCACATCACACCTTCATATGCAACTAGGCCAAACGGCCAGACACATCATAATAAGTGTTTTTGAGTCTGACCAGGAAAAGACATGTAATTGGCAAAAGACTATATGTGAAAAAAATTGGTCAGGCTTGATGTAAACTAACTTGGTTTCGTCGATATTCGCTCCGGGTAACAACGAAACTTGTTTTCGCGACTGCGTGTAACAAAGGAGGCGCAGTAAAGCAGTAAAGACTCAGCTGTGTGTGACCTGAGGAGGGAACACGTGTTGGTGTGAAGCTGCTCATAAATATCCAGTCAGTTCAAACCATAAAACAAAACCACACTGATCAAAGGACACTTAATTCACCCTACACTTTGAGCCTCTTTATCTTTCTGCTAGGGAAAAGGAAACGACTCTACATACTGGAAATAACGCGCTCGGCTTTGGTGAGAATGCGGAAACCCCCCAGTGGAAATAAGTAAGAACAAGTTTTCAGAGTAGGCTAAGGAAGATTCCCCCTTTAACTTTACAAGGAAATCAGCGTAATTAGGTTACACATTTTTAACTATTAGCGGTAAAGTTTTCACACAAGGTTAGACATCCACTTCATTAGTCAAAAGACCATTGAAAAGAAACCAAATGAGACATGAGAGACAATAATACTCTCCTGATAAATCAACAAATACGACAGCAACTTTACAACTAATAAGAGAACACCAAAGCATTTACAAAAATATATTACTTTAAGAGAGAAAATCACAAAACGTTACTTACGAGTCAGTAAAGACAGAGTTGCGTCGATGATTGTACTCGGCTCGTTGTGTCTCGGCTACGTGCTCGCCTGTCTGCGCTTGTGTGTTGGAGTTATTATGGTCAGCACATGTTGCTTCCTTGTTCTGTGTTGAGCTCTCTCAGTGCTGCCGCTGCTGCTGCAATAGAGACGTAACATTACCGTCAGCGTGACTCACTTCCTTTACTCAACGCCGTGAGCAAGGGCTGACTGGCTCCCCGCGCGAGCGACAACCCCGCCCGGTCCAAATATGGGCAGTCAAGGTAAACAGCTGAGCGGAGGATTTCAGGGTCTTTCTTTCTACTACTATATTACGGCCACGTTCATTCCTCCATACACATGCTAAATTTACTCTCCTATGATGACACTGAATGTAATAACCGTGTTTATGTCTAATTGTTAGTCGACAGAGGCTATTTTCGTCGAAGTTTTGTCAGTGTGTGATTAGCAACAGTGAAGTTATAGTGACCTTATTCTTGTAGGCCCCACATGTAGCTTAGCTTTCGGTTCATTTATAAATGCCACACGCCCTAACTACATAAATTAAGATAATTACATATACTTATCATTCATTAATAGCAAACAAGAGAAGTAATTTGCTAATGTCTTTTAGTTAAAAGCTTACAAGAAAATCTTTCAAGTACCAGTTATCATACGACATCAATGTGTCTACATTACCACTGTGTAAAAGTACTTTATCACAATGAACATCCTACATTTAACCTCAACCTCCCCAAAAATAGTATCAGAAAAAATACTTGCAGCAACAGTATCAATATAATTATATTATCAGCAATATTCTGTGATACAGTGATTAGGGGAGAGTGGGGTAAGTTGAGCCAAAGGGTAAGTTGAGCCACCCTCTGTTGCTTGGAAATGGTAAAAGAAATTGATCATTAGACCAAATATTTAGGAGATGGGCATCAATTTATGGAGTCTGTGAAGGTTAGAAGCACATGGGTGAAGGGGTTAGACATTTATTTACAAAAAAAAACATTTTTCACTCTTCAAAGTGAATTTAGTCTGTTATAAGTTTTATTAGAATTGTGTTCAGACCAAAAAAGATCATTTTGAATTTGTTTAATCAATCAATTGTGGTATCTATCAGCTACAACATGAGGTCAAAAACCTAGCATAAAAGTCCACCATTTTAGCTTAGAGGAATAATAAAGTCATAATAGTAGTTCTGGGGTAAATTGAGCCATTTGGCCAGGGGTAATTTTAGCTGGGGGGTATGATTAGAGGATCAGCGTTTTAGTTCAGATTGTTGAAATGTGTTACTTTTTCTTTTCAAAAATACAGCTGTGAATGTTCTGAATCACCTAAAGGCATTCTCATGTTGAAATGACTTTTTGCAAAACAGCGTTTTAGCAGTTCTATGCAGTAATAATAACAATAATTATTGTACCAGTTGAATAGTGTATAATAGATAAAAATACACATGAATGTGTATTCAACCCTCCCCTCCCTTAAGGTGAGGGGGCATGCTATATTATCAAGACAGTTATGTTTACACTTATTCTGTTGGTTTGCAGGGATGCACAACATCTTGAAATATATGCAGATACACTAGTTAGAGACAAAACTATGATTGCCTTGATGTAGTTATCTGAAATATGAAATATGGCTCATCTTACCCCACTCTCCCCTACCAGTTATCATACAACATCAATATGTTCACATTACCACTGTGCAAAACTACTTTATCACAATAAACATCCTACATTAAACCCCTACCCCAAAACAAATAATATATAAAAAAAAAACAGTATCAATATAATTGTATTATCAGTGATATTCTGTGGTACAGTGATTATACTGATACATACATACTTTTTACATACTTTTATTTATACTTGATACATACTTTTATAAATTTCTATCAAATCAATATGATTAACAAATTTCTAAACCTAAATACAGTCCGATAAATGACAAAAATGTCCTTCTGTGGTTTATCAGTTTCCAAAAACATATGGTGTATCAAACAAGATAAGTATATTTGTTAAATTTTTTGGTTTTCAATAGTAAGGCATTAAAGGGCTACATATTACCAAGCCCATACCCAGCGATACAGCAGAAATAATAGATAATAGTGCAGTGTAAATATCGGCTATATTACCTTGTAGTAGGCCCTATAGAAGCACTGTAAAATGACAGAAAAGTACTCAAGGACAAACACTAGCACAGTGCACTGTCAATGTACCCTGTTGTTGAATGTAAATCATGGGGACAAAAGAGAAATAATTATGAGGTAGTCATCCAGATATTGTTGAGTTGAAGTATATAAAAATGAAGGTAACCTACTTAGTCAAGTGAAAATAGGAGGCTATGTCAGAACAACATTTAGATATGTGTACTTAGAGGGCATTTCCCTTTAAAATGTATTAATAGTAAACCTTTAACAAAAAACTTGGGTGATAAGTGGCTTTGTCCAATGGAAAATTATTTTCATATGATACTAGAGGCATAAATAACACCACCTGGCTACTTGAAGGGTGTTTTAAATCTTAAAAATAACAGTCAGTGGTAATTATTTACGAACTGCTGATACTCAAACTACTATGTTAATCCAAAGAAGGTTTTATGATTAGGTCTCAATTCCTGTTATCACACTTGCCTCAGCAATCACAGTAAAGGTTTCCATACAGTCATGTAAAAGTCCTCCAATTATTAGTTTTACTTTGAGTAATCTTAAGTTACCAACACAGTCGTATAAATTAATTAAAACAGTATTTTCCTCAATAACATGGAATGGTTAAGCTATTTAATGGGAAATGGCATAAGGTCAAAAGTACCCACAAGAACATTATCTAACTTAATATTCAAACAGCAGTCACATCACAGCAATAATCATTATATAAAAAACACAGCTCAACATGTAGATGCCCTTGTGACTTAAGTTGTCAAACTGAACACTTACTAATCTAAAAAATAATGAGAGATAAAATAAACTTTCATTCATCCCACAGATAATTATAAAAGGTTAATTTAGACAGAAAGCAGTGCAGCTTAGGTGTTAAATCTTCTTCAAGCATTAATAATAATAATAATAATAATAGATTTTATTTGTAACGCACTTTACATTTAAAAACAAATCTCAAATTGCACAACAAGACAACATTAGGTGCTTTAAATGCTGACATGAAAATAAGGCACAATAATCCTCAAAACTCCTTAGTGCAGTGCTTGAGTTAGATCCCTTAACAACATTAAACTGACTTTTGAACAGATGTTTTCGGTGTACTTGCGTTTCCGTCATTCCTTGTTTCCATTTGATACCACTAGAGGGCAGGGTGGTTTCTTTTCTCAGATTTCCTTCAGTTCAAACTGTTGGTTGTATGATCTGTAAAGTGCACTTGAATGAAGCAGAAAAATCAGTGCTCCTTCAGTCTTTATGACACCATTTTGATCTGTATTTGACTGCAGTGTGGGCTCATATTTAAGTAAAAGGTTGTGTTTTTGTAGGACATCCTCAGCCCTGACTGAGTCAAGACTTATTTGATTTAAGTCTTGACTCAGTCTATTTCATATCAGCTTCTACATAGTCCAAGCTCTTCTTTCCCATGTGAATTTAGTCGTGTTCTCTCCATACACTGCTGTTCTTTTCCTCTCTAACTCTGATTTATTCAACAGCTACACTGGTGTGTGTTAGTGTCGGTGCAGGTACGCTGAGGACACTGTGTCAGATCTGTGGATTTTTTTTCTTCTCTACTGGATCGCTCCTCCTGTCCCAGATGCCAAGTCAAGAGTAAATTATTGCGGTGAGTGTGTATGAAAGAGATAGAAATAGATAGAAGGAGAGAAAGAAAGCCTTGAGTGGTGTAAGAGACGTAGAAAGCATTAAAGAGTGGGTGTCTTTGGTATTGATTAGCTGTGTTTTGACGTCTGATGGATATTAAATTGCCTCCTTGGTATTTTTTTCCCCTTCAGTCCATCTTTTTCTCTCTCTTTAGCTGTTGTTGACCTCCTTCCCACTCCATCTCCTTGTGGTAAACCTCTGTAGGCAATTTCTGTCAGTAACTATAGGACTGATAGCATTGTAATGTCTTTAAACAAGCAATTAATTTTCTTAAAGAGTCACAGGTCGTTCTGCTTCTTTATTTTCTCTTTCTGACTTTTTTTTTTCTTTCTCTCTAATCCTAATTTAACTCATCAGAGCTCACAGCTTCTGCACAACTTTTTCCATTTGAAAACTATTGATTTTCCCTGTCAGTTTGTCATTTATTCTCCTCAAATACTGGCCAGTATTCTGCAGTGAATAACTGCAACCCAAACTTGGACACGTCTCAGGCACACACACACACACACACTCTCTCTCTCTCTCTTTTTATGTACATCTCTCTTACAAGTGCCATGGTTTTGTGGATAAGTATTGGAAAGGAAGCCACTTGACCTCGAAATGTGATCATTCTTTTTCAGGAGCAGCTTCTCTCTGAACATGTCTGGTGGTATCAATGAAGCCCACACGCATACACCACATGCAGCCTGCTTCGCCTTTAAAAACATATTGATTTCTCTCTTTCGCAGGGAGCTTAATGCCATCGATCGACCAGGGCCCTTTCAAGATCAGCGCCAGTATAAGCATCTCTTCCCCTCACACAAATGCTGCCTCTCTCTCTCTCTCTCTCTCTCTCTCCCCCTCAGGTAATGGCTGTCCTTGGTCTTGGGGAACAGTTTGTCTGCATTAAAAGAGAGGAGTGTGTCTCTTGGCATCCCGTCCCTCTCCGTCCTCCCTGCTCCACACTAATGTGCTTAAGCACCGAACGTGTTTGACTCTTTGACAAAAGGTATGAGAGAATGCAGCGCACACCTCCTATGACCTTTATCATACACCCATCCCCCCTCCTCTCCCTCTTCTCCCTCCCTCCCTCCACCTTTCAGTGGGTCGATAACTATTTGTATTTGCAATGCATTAGAGCAGTGCTCTCTTTAAGCTGAAAAAGTTGGCTTTTCTCAGGTTGGTGCCTTGCAGTTAAATCCCACCAACAAGACTTAAGCTTTTTGTAATTATTTTCCAAATTCTTCTTATCTTTTCATGGCATTTTGAAATCTGTTATATCACAACAATCTGTCTCTGGAAAGCGATCAAATATGCAGAAAAATACTGTCCAACACTAAGTAATGCTACGAAAGCCAGGAGACTGCCATAAATGGTCTACACATGCTTATTTACAAACTATTAAAAAACCCTTTACCTGCTGTTGGTCTTTGGCAGGTGTTTCTGGCCCAGGCATTGAACCCACAAAGAATTTAAAAGATTAAACAGAGAAAAACATCTCAACTCCACAAGCGTATGTTTATGAGGGACCTTCATAAAGTGGTGAGTATTTTTAACTTATTTTTTTATATATTATTTTGACTTAAAACTCCAGAAAAGCAGTAGAAAGAGTGAGTGGAAAATCATCCGTCAGTTAGCGGGGGCTGCTAATCAGCTCTCTGGTAGCTTCTGAGCTTTGATTGTGCGTTTAAAAATTTGTTGTCAAGAAGAAGAAACTATAGCTTGAGAAAGCACTACACTAAATGTAAAATTGGTACATGCCCTTGAATGTAGGATGTCTTTTAGCCTTTTTTGGTGGTTTTGAGGAGTTATAAACTCTTTATTTCCATTAAGATACCAAAATACCAAAATGTGCTTGGGCACGCCTTGTCGGCACGGCGGACCTGACTTACGCCACGTCACCGGCGGGGAACAAAAATAGAGCCCCCAGTGTTATTTCAGTGAAACTGTGAACTTAACTAACATTGAGGATACATGGGGGGCAACAGAAAAAGCTTCAGATTAAGCCATCACAGAGCAACACCAACATAAAGAGTCCTTTTCTATCACGCTGATGAATTTAAATTCACTCTTCACACTCTTTTATTTGCTAAAAATGCTCCAGAGTGTTCACCAACTACCATTTAACTATGTGTGTCTGAGGTCCTGAGCAGGTATAGTGTACGGTGAGCCTTAAAGGTGCTGTCTCTGGATAAAGCTGCCTGCTGCAACCAAATATACTGATGTGAAGAACGAGAGTAATAGGTACAGATGTTGGCTAAATAAAAAATATTAAACAATGCCACAAAACTCTCAAAAGGGTTTGATTTAAATGGCTCAAAAAGTACAGTTATGTCAAAGTACAGTTAAAAACATTGGGAGTTCTAGGAAATCAAACGCCTTGTAGGGAAATCTGCTGTTTGGGTATTGTGAAACCTTTCAGGACTGTAAAAAGACATTTTCAACATGCCAAATCAGTATACAATCTAGATTCACCTTAGCTTAACCACTTTATTGTTCTTTCACTGATTATTGAAGAATGTCTCACATACTTTCTGAAGTCCTGTAGATGTGGGGGTTTGATGCTTTATGTGCATTTTATGAAGACATTTTCCCTCCACCCTTGTTTCAGCTGTAGATTAAACAGACTTATACACCCCTATATCTTGTTGATCTAAGCCTTGGACACAATTAAGTTAGCAAGAAAGTCATCTCTCATTGGGTAGTGACTTTTTAATTGCCTATATTTCAGTCTCTCTCCTTGGTTCTCAAGGTTGCAGTCTAAACATGGCATACATTAAATACATTAAAGCTCCAACAAAGTTTTAAGTGCATTGGGAATAAACAGTACAGTATAGAAAGTAATAAAGAATCATAGAAGTGATAAACAAATCAATATATCTTGGATAAATATGAATTTTAAAAGCTTCAGGTACTTAACTTTTAAGTGCTGCTGCCTACTATTTAAAAGTTTATTGCATATTTTGTTTAATGAAGAAAATCACAGATACTCTCCCACTGCTTCTGTTTTTTAAACTCAAATGTAAATGTGAAACCAGCCTGTTGTCAGTTTATGATATGAAAAAGTGAACTGGGAAACTTTTGTAACTGCCGTACTACCTTGTTTAGAAGAAGGCAAACAAAGAAATGGATTACAATAAGATCTAAAACAGGGCAACACAAAACTTAACCGCATAGTATGAGCAATACACTTCACATTCACAGTCTCCCCTAATGGTTAATTTTGATAGAATAAATAGGATACCACCAAATATAATACCATACAAAAAAATTCAGAATATAATACATTGTGTCACAGCACAACATGATGAGCTGTGGTGCAGTATACTGTACAATATATTTTGATACAACACATCTTATGTTTAAACTCTGTCACTCCTGTTCAAACTAGCCTCTACAAAATGATACAATGAAATATAATATAGTGATAAAATACAACATACAATGCAGTTTGACACAGAACAGTACGATACAGACAGACACAACATGTCAAGACACATAATGACAAATAATACAATATGAGACGATACGATAAGGTATAATATAATAAGATAGGATTTGATACATTAGGATGGGACACAATGATACAGTGCAATACAATGTAAGTTATGTGGTATGTAAGATATTATACCTTACATACCACACCAATCAACACAATACTTAACCGTTTGCTTTAACACAACATGATACACTTCAAATTTTTAGACTGTCTAGCTGACCCCACAGTAGCTTGAACATTAGTATTCGCCTTTTTCCCCAGCTGATTCAGATTGCACTGTTTGTTGTATGCAGCTGAGACTAACCTGTTAATGTCAGTGTTTCTCCTGAACCTATTTCAGACAGCATTTGAAAACTTCCTGTCAAAAGTTTTTCTTTTAAACTGCCTTCAAAGTTCTTTGGTAAAACACACATTGATGGACTTTGAGTAAATTGAAGGAACTCTCTTAATGTTCAGGGACTACGCGTATATAGAACAACTTAACATATTTAAGTGTGCTGTGAGAGGCGTCGGGTGGTTCAGTTTACCGCGTGCCCCCGCTGGCCTGCAATTGAATCCTACCAGAGCCGCTGCTTCCCTTCTGTCTCCCCCTCTGCTGTCTCAACAATTAAATCAGTCAAGGTGAGCGGGCTGCCCACTCGATTTCTTTTTGTATAAAAAATAAAGCAACAGATGAAAGCATGGGCTCATATAACAGTCCACTTTGTGACCCACGACGCAAAAGAGTTGTCTTATTATGAAACATTTCACCTGTGTGTCAGTGGTTGCCATGGAGATTTTGTGCAGAAATGCGAGGCTCTACTTAATGGTCTGACCTTAACCTTGCACTTTCTCGGCTGTACGCTTTCATGATGTTACAGACACATGGGCATAATTTATACCACAAATCAATATTTCAGCAGCAACAGTCTATTCTCTCACCTTCTCCTAACACATGAAACATTTCTTTTATATTGATCCAGCCTTCAATAATCATGTGGAAACTTGTAGAAACAGATTCAGATATTTATACAAATACATGTAATGTTTTTTCTTGAACTGATTTCCAAGTCTTGTAAAGCCTTGAAGCACCATTTACAAACGTCACCCCTCCCCCAATCTGCATTTCTCTCTCTGCCCTTTTTTGCCCCTCTGTCCTGCTCTCTCTCTTTCTCTCTCTGTCTCTCTCTCACACTTTCTCTCTCTCTCTCTCTCTCTCTCTCTCTCTCTCCCCTCTCCACCCCCTACCCCCTCCTACAAGCTGTGTCTCTTTCCTGTGTGCTGGGGGGCCAGCAGAGGGGAAGTACACAGTGAAGGAAAAGCATTCTCTGAGTTCAAGTGCACAGGCTTAAAGACACAGCTGGCTTCAACAAAAGGGAATTTGACAAGGGGAAAACAGTCGCGGAAAGGCAGAATAATGACCTATTGACAAGGCAGTTGTGTACACCCAGACAGTATAGGGATCATTTCACAAAAAGAGTGGGGGGAGTGTATAAAATTTGAACAGGAAAACGGCGAAAAATGTCTCCTCCCCTTCTCCTCTCTCCACGTATACTCCTCCTATTCCCTCCCACCTTTCTTTCTTTCAATCTCTGTCCCTCCCTCTCTCCTTTCCTTCATTCCTACCCAGCATGCATGCACGCTAACACACACACAGATACACACACGATGACTGATGGCTTCTCTTGCATTCTCCGTTTTCTCAGCTCTCCATGTAGTGTAAGGTGGAACCGGTTCAGCACAGCTCCAGCACACCATTCAGAGGGAAAAAAAGTACTAATCCTGTACTTTTACCCCACGCTGCTGATATTCTTTGTCCATAAGGCATGTTTTCCTTCAAAGTCCCAAGCACGGAGGGGTGAAGAGGAGAGAAATGGTGTCTGAGGAAGAGGAGAATGAGGCGACAGCGGATAAAATGTGACGAGACTGGAGTGAAATAGAGATGCAAGGCTGCAAGTCAAGAGGGGAGGCACCAACTCGAGAGTGAGGGAGAGGGGACAGAGGAGGAATCAAGTTGGAATCGAGAAAGAAACGCGGGAAAAGGTAAAAAAAAAAAAATAGAAAGGAAGCTGATCCCTGAAACATTAGCTGTAATTCTTTTATATGGGGTCAGTTACCTCTAGATGTGTGATTTAGAGAGCAAAGTAGTCACAAACACACATGATTGTACACTTCTCGCTGCCTGTGTGCTCTTGTTTTAGTGCTTGGCTCTGCTGTACTCTGTGTTGGTTTGTGTACCTAAAGTCATTTTCCTTCCTCCCACTCCCGCTGGAACATTTTCCCATGTCTCCATTCTTCTCCCAAAACCCCTGCAATGTCTTTTATGTACTGTATTTCCTTGACGGGATATTTAAGTTTTCTAAAAATGAAAAATTAACTCCTGCTTAAAATCCTTGTTCAGAGTTGGTCAAAAACTCAGGCTTGTTTTGGGGCCCAGTTGTGAGGGCGAAGGGAAATGAAGAACAGGGTCAGGGTACACACTTTCCTACCTATACTATATTGGAAACGCGGTTATGAATTTAATGAGTACTGAGGTCTTAGTTGGAGAGTGAATTCCTGGGTTTGAAGATTCAGCTGTTATGAAAGTGTTAAAAAGATGACACAAAGTATTTGAAATATTTGCCCATCATCCTCCCTGCTCTGGAATTGACACGTCCCACCCTCTTCTTCCCCTCACTGTGTGTCTGTGCTCTCAGTTTGTGTCCCTGTTACACTATACATAACCAAAGCTCATATTTGTCTCTCTGCATCCACTAACGCCCAACCTACTGCTCCTGGTAGTCTTTATACCTCAGCCCTGCTGCCCTGTTTGCTCTCAGCCTCGCTTCCATTGTTACTATTGACAAGTTACTGTTGTCCCACGCATGTGCGCTGAAGGACCTGTGATCCATCCTCATTCTGTCCCTGCTCTTCACAAGCCTGTCCATCTCCATGGAGATCCGATACCGGCTCCCAGTAACTGAACCCCTGACATGCAAACAAACTCATGAAGATTTCCTAGTTTCCTCCCTGATGGGGTGCACCAATGAGTAAAGAGCAAACATTGTGAAGAGGTGACTGTGCAGATGTTCTCCTTGATGGTCACGTTTTTGAATTTCTTGACATGATGCAGCTGAGGAAAATTATCTTTGCAGATATCTTTTTTGGTTACGAGTGTTTTGGTGGCAAACACAGTCAAATACAATGTGTTTTTGGCCTTGTGCATGAGCATAAATTTGATCTATATTTTGGACAAAGAGTTGCCTGATCTCGGTGATGGAGTCCCTTTGATAATTGAAGTTTAATACAATGAACTCATTCAGTTTAAACTCCAAGAGGAGCTCTTTTGCCTTAGCCTCAATCAAAAAGTTTTAATTCAAAAGTGAACAAAGTGTGAGAACCTAAAGAAATCAAATTACAAAATCTGCTCATTTTATTATCAAAATTGTTCTGGGTAAATAGGTAACAAACGGAGAGTTTGCATTGCACCAATAGTTAGTTGGTCTATTTCCCTGATGAGTTTAAATGCTAATCATGTTTTATTAACAAATCGGTAAAGTTTCAGAGCAAAGTTGCAGCAGGAGCCATTTTCAGAGTCCAAGTTGATTTGATTTGGATGCTTGAATTTCTTATGTTCAAGCCTAAAATATTCAATTCACTGTCCTAGAAACTTGAGTAAACCAGGAGAAACTCATATTAGAGATATGGAAATATGTGATATGACTGCGAACTATACTGAATGTTCTTTCAACGCCTTAATCAGTTTTGTTATCGAGCCAAGGAGGCACCATACCATTCTTTCTTTTTCCTCTTTCATAAAGACTCCATCTAAGATGCTCATCAAAGTCAGCACGCCTCTCTGTATGCTGTGGCTCAATGACACTTGAACAATAGCAGGCTTTGTTTTGGTATCAAACCACTTCTTTCAACTTTAACAGATTTTAGTTTTAATCTTTCAAAGCCCATTGTTATACTGCTACATGCTCTGATACCTGCGGAGGAAATAGTCTGCCTGTTGCCTCCACATAGGTTTTCCCCGTATTTATTTGATTAAACCATTGAAAGAAAAAAAATATTAATTATAACAATACGACTAAAATTCCAATGCCCTGTTTGTGCACGTTCCGCTCCATAAATATTGATCTTATTATCTCCTTTTGATTAAACATTTAATTCTTGCAAAAGATAAAAAGAGAAGGAAACCTTTAATAAGTGAGAGCCTCTTGCTGCTGTCGTGTCAGGCTATCATATCATGATGTTTAAAGCAGAGGAGCAATCGAGGCATTCAGTGCATCTCTAAAGCGATGTTTCTTTATAACTTCACTGAATACTTGAGCAGAAATAATGGATTACTGCGGCTCATTGTAGTGACAATGAATGTGTAAGTTATATAAAAGCTCCTCAACCTGAGGCCGTCACAAATGATCTAAACATAAGAGCTCAGAGGAAGCCTTTCATATGTCTCACTTTATAAAACATAGCTCAGCCTTCGCTATCAATTATGTTGCTCCAGCATGAAAGAGATGGCAAAAAGGGCCACACACAACAGGCGTCGTGGAGAGACATCGCTGCACCATGTGACTGCTGTGGATGGACTGATGCTCTCTCACGGCTGCATCAGTGTTAGTCAGCCTGCTTGAGGACAGAGGGCTGACACAGGACGAGAGCTGAGGGGGCTTCAGTGCTTTACAGACACAGAGATGAAGAGATTTCTACGGTGCCATAAAGTTTTTGAGCTCTTTTATTTGGAGGTGCAGGTCTTTGGTCAATCGGGTTGTTGCTAAGTTTGAGATTGTTGATTACTTTAGATGCATTTGTCTTTGTGAGGTACATTTTTAAATTTATTTCATAAGATTTTCCTCTGTACTCCTCTGCATTCATATGAATGACACTTTTTTTTAAATACCCTAATTACTAATGAAGCATATTACTGACTTGTTCAACATGATGCCATTCCAAAGATCTAAGTGACCTAAGAATACAATAAAAACCTACCCAGGGTATTTTCATTTTCACTTTAAATTATTGCTGTTTGACATTGTGCTTGGTGTATTCAAAAGTGTTTGAAAAAACAGATAAAAGACACGATTATTTTGCACATTAACAACGAGTCACCTCAACAAGCAAGGTTTTTCTTTTTGTAAATGGTTATTTCAGCTATGAAATACTGTGGCTGTAAAAGATATGTTTACTGGCAGTGGTTTGTCTGAGGTGTTTCCAGACTTTTTCTGTCAGCTGTCTTAAATTCAAAATTATGATTTCCATGAGAAGCCAGGCTTGGCCGATATGCAGCAGGCTCAGGTGAAATCTGCCTCGAGTAAATGTGCAGTGTGATCTACATGTCCATAATGAGGCTGCTTAATACTGCTATTGTTCACCAGTATCATTTGTATGATTTGATGACATGATGCCTAAATCCATGTATGCAGATTCACATAAATTGCTTCACCCAGACTATATAGCCAATTTTCTTGTCCCGTTCCGCCCCCTAAGGCCCCCCACTTTGAAAAAGAAAAATAATAAAATAAATCTATCAGTATGAAATATCCTGGATGTCTCGAAATGTTCCTGAAATTTTCAGGGATGCATTTGTGTTAATAGAACAGGTCTTCCCTTTCACTTCACATTCTCCATGAATCAATCAATTAATACCTTTGATTCAAGGAAAATGGTATTCATAAGGTGGTGTGGAAAGAAACACTTTATATGAACTCACCTTTTACAATGCATCATAGACACACACATAGTTATCTTTAGACTTTTTCTTGGCACTCAGGTATAACCCATTCAAACCATACCTTTATAAGGCATTTTGCTTACTGCTTATAACACTCCATAAACATTGCTGTAAGCTGTTATGAATGCTTTTTTATCACTCATAAGGATAATTATAAAGCCTTGTAGAGGCATTAATAGGGCATTACAAATGTGCTTATGGTGCACTATAAGAAAAAAAAATTGCTTTGGATAAGTTTTACTCAGGCTATAACTCCCCCTAAAAATAAAACAAGTTTTTAATCTGTTTTACTGAGACATTTTGCATGCTTCAGCAAATACCTGGGTCAATATCATTAATCCTTTCTACTCCCTTTACCTTTAAAAATTTTAATTACAGACCCATAGATTTTCTGTTTATTTTGATCAAATTCTGATTCCTAAAAGTCCTTTTTCTTGAGCAGCTAAGCAAATGCTTCGTTAATTTTAGTTTTTTTTTTTTTTTTTTAATCTTTCAGTACACAAAGTGATGGAACTTTTTAGCTATTAACAATAAGTGAGTTTGTCTACATTTGTAACAGGATATCAGGGTATCAGTGTACAAATGACCACAGGTTGACTTTCATTAAGATCAGGTGTGAATTTAACCGTATTAGGTTGAATATTATGTTGTCTTAATTGAGTTTCTCTTCTTTCACTGCAGCGTTAGCCTCTAGCGACCGAGCTGGTATCAATGAATAGTTCCTCATGCGGGGGCCAGGTGGCTGCCTGGTGCATTCAGATGGTGGCTAAGGTGGTGAGGTGGGGGTTAATATTTGCAGGCTGTAGGAATGTGTTTGGAGTCAGCAGAGAGAATTCCTCAGTTCTGCATTAGTAGGTCTCAGCGTTACCTCTTACCTCGACAAACTATCTCAATCCCATCTTGTCTGCCTTGCTCCTGATGCATGTCTTCATCCTCTACGTTGTGTCTGGTGTTTTGATCCTCAGTGTCTCACCTCCTCTCTTTTTTTTTTTTAAAGATGTCTCGAAGAAGCCTAAAGAGCTTCAGGATTTGGGGGTTGGGTAAAAAGCAAGAGATAATGAAACTGTGTGAGTGCAAAGATGTTCCCACACAGTGCTCTGGTAGCTTCGTGTCCTTGCCTGTATGTCACTCATGTCTGATTTAAGGGGCAGGTTCCGAAGCATGGGCTTTGTTGTTGTCATCAAGTATTTTCATATGTCATCTCACCACTTGCGTCAAGTGCAGACCAGGAAATAGTCACCACTTGTCCACACAATCACTGTTTTTACACACATAGAAGATACAAAAACTATAAACCAGCAGCAAAAACAATCCTCCCAAAATCATTTTTGAAATTGGTGTTAAAAGATTTGTAAAGACAAAATTAATCACCTTACAGGGCAAGTGGCCACAGGAACTGGATCAGATTTTTTATAAAGGGTTTCTGAGAATAGAAATGGTTGTGTTTTGTTGCTTATGAGCTCTGCATTGTCCTCTTTTACAAAATATGCACAGTACTTACCAGCTGCAGCCTTACAGGCAACAGGCCCCCCTACCTAGCATGCTGAAAATGCTCTTGGTGTGTGTGAAGAGAAATATAACCTGATTTTTTTTTTTTTACTGAACAATGCCAATTCTTAAAACTTATCATACAGTTTCAAGGAAACAAAGCCTCATTTATGTAAGTGGCATATTTAAGGAACATTTTGTGGTAAAACTTTTTTTAGCAATTCTAAAAATGTATTATAAAAGACAATAAAACATTGTCTAAACTGCTTTTAAATTTCAAAATTAACATAAAGTAAGAATTAAGAGCATATGCCATCATTGTAAAATATATTACAATGCCAAGTCTTTAAATCAGTTGTAAAACTATAATAAACTTGGTATCTTACTGTGATTTATGAAAAATAAGCAATGGGAAACAACTGTGTTTTTTTAAGTTATTACATTAATATATTAATTCAACAAAGATTTTAGATCACCGTAGCCTGAGGCCTTAAAACGTCTTAGAGTACGTAGACCGAGTGGTTAGAAGCATCGTTGCATCTCCCCCAGCAACATATTGATGTCATTCACAAGGCTCTTCATTACGCTTTGCAGTGATACACGCACTCTGCAGAGGCGTCGGAGGTGTCGGCTACCCGCATCACTCAGCGACACCATGGAGTGTGCCAACTCTCTGGTGCCAGACAGAGAGGAGGAGGAGAGGTGGGCACGGTGTGAAGATGGAGGGGAAAGACAGAGGAAGGTGTAAAGAAACAGGCCGTCTCTAATTCATACATGTGGACAAAAAAGCAAAGAGAGGACACATTTGAAGGAAGGAGGAAAAAAGATAAGGAAGGTAGCAAAGAGGAGGACGCATTGGTGTTTATTGTCTGGCAGCTCAGTGAATCACTAGGAAGAGCGCCTCACGGTTCAAGGTTTCGACAGCTCCTAAGTGATAAAAATTAGTCAGCCTGATGGCAGAAAATCAACTGGTTGAAGTGAAAGTACATAAATATTAGCTGTCAGTGTATAAAATATCATCGCAACAAACTTCCCAGGTCAAAGATTCAGGAGTCACTGGTCGAAGTAAAGCTGCCGGCTGTTCTCTGGTCAGTCTGAGTCGTCAGGGTCACATCTGTAAGATGAAAGGAGAGGCTGCGGTTGGTTGCTTCCACAGAGGGATGGAAAGGTCAGGAAGTGGCCCCAGCACAAACACCAGACTCATTGTTCAAGTTCAAGGTAACACTGAATGGGGGTTTCATTCAGTTAGCTCAGCCGGCCGTCCTTTGACAAGTTGCTGTTTTTAAAAGGGTCTTAAATGGAGGAAAACAGAGCCAACGGCTACGTCTGACTTTGGTGTCATGCTGTTATAATTGTTAACTAATTATGTCGCTTTTATATATTTAATTAGGGTTTTGGTGTGGATTGGGGTTTTGAGTAGTTGCCTGTTTGGTTTGCCATAAGACCTTATCAATGTGTGTTTCAGTGTGTGTGTGTGTGTGTGTGTGTGTGTGTGTGTGTCTGTGTGTGTATGCACGTGGCCATCGCTCAGGTGTGTCCACTCCCTGACCTCTCAGACAATGAACAAGGTCACAGTCAGAGGGTCAGATGTCAGGGCATCGTTTCCCCCCTCTCCTCCCTCTTACCCTCCCTCTCTGTTGTGTCTGCTCGGTCGTCGGCTCCTCATTAACTCCTCACAGGGGATTTCCTGTTCTCCTCCTTTGCCTCCCTGTTCCTGTTCCAAAATGGAGCAGCAAATTAGCTCTCTTTACAAAACATTAATAATTCAATCTTTTGAGCCGAATATGCAAACCAACACACCTCCAAGTTGTACTTACATACGCTTGGAAAGTGAGAAAGGTAGTCAGAGCATGATTGGATTGGCTACTGTGCCAAACCTTTGGGAAGTGTAGGGCTGTAATTGATGACTTTGTGCACCATACAACAAGTACACATCCACACACACACACAAACACGTGCGCACAAACACATAATTCAGAGTCTGACTCACCCCCTGTAACAGAAAGTCAATAACAATACAGGAATGATTAATCAGTCCCTCTGTGGCCCCGCCCTCTCCACTCACCACCTTCCACTCGCTCTCCTACACCCTGCTTACCCGCTCTCAGCTTGGTATTGATCTGAATGCATTTGCCTCCCATTTATCCGTTAGCCCTCACTCCCACACCCCCATCGTATAAACACTGCCACTGCATCGAACGGTCACAAAGAACCTTTTGCAGAGTGTCTCCAATGCACACAAATAAACACACACACTCACAAGCACACGCACATGCACTCACAGCAGCAGTGTGCACACCATCTGATCTCCGATAGGTATAACACTTAACTGCATCGCACACAGGGATTTGTTTTGAATGTTCCAAAGTGCGAATTTTGCGTGCGGTTGTGTTTGTTTGTTGCGCACGCATTTCCCTAAACACAAGCTACATTCTTTAAGGTTTAACTGACAGCTCATTCGACCCCCCTTGTTTCACTCATACCCATTCTGGTTGGTGGCACACAGGTTGCCATGACACCAGACTGTTTTGTCTGCCCTTTGACCCCTTTAAGGGGTGCTGTGGTCAATCAGGCATTACATGTGAGGGGCAAATAGGAGGGAGGTGAGGGAGGGGGGTTGCATTTCCTCTGTAAAAAATGGGGTCCTAAAGGTTCCCCTCATACATCCGCTCTGTACGGAGCAGAAGGTGGGGAGCCTCTGAGCAGTTTGCCGTGAAACAAAGACACATGTGCACATGCAGACATGGCAGCACTGTGCAGGGGTAAATGAACTAGGCTGGAGCTCCCAGGGGGCGGAGAGTTATTATGCTCATTGTGCAGTCGGCCAGCTAAAGCTGTTGGCTGCTTCTTTTGAAGTTATATTTATCAAAACGGAGCAGGAGGCTTAGCACTCCAAGCTGGTGCTCAGCTTTGTCCACACTGTAGAGCGCATGTGTGCATGATGATCACTGCCTGATATCAATATTTGAAGAGCAACTTAAATGTTTGTCTAAACCGGAAAAAGGAGCATGAAAGTGAATTTATGTTGCAGTGTGTCATCAGTGGAATTCTTGGGAAAGACTGATGATGATATTAATAACCCATGACAGAGTCTGGATCATCAGGCAGCAAGTGTACACAGTGAACTTGGAGCTGATTGTGTTTGGATAATTTGGCAAATATTCTGGCGTGTATTAAGTCGGCATACAAGTAATTAAGCAAGCAAAACATTAATGTCAGGCATGACTTTTAAATGGAGCAATTATGTCTTTCCCTAAAAGTGAATGAGTCACGTCTCCTAATAAAATATGGACTGACAGTCAATGTAAGGATGGAAACTCCCCATAAACCTATTTATTTATTATAACCATATCTAACCATTTTATTTTAAATAAATTTTAGTGGAAAGCAAAAGAACAAAAGAGTTGCCGTGTGTGAATAACTCACTATTGTGAGTTTTCGGTCTCCATGGTCATGAGATTCAAAGAGGATTTTTTTTTTCTTTCTTTTTTTAGTGAATACACAATGACTCTAAAAGTGACCATTCATGTTGCACTCTGCAGTCGATGCTGTCAGGCAGAGCAGCTCAGGTGTAAGTCAGTAGCTTTCACGGCCTCGTCCACCGTCACTTCAGCTGTTGCAGAGGTTGAACCTGTGACCTCTCAGTTAAACAGTCTCTCCATTCACAAGGCCAGTTTGTCTCCCTGTAACCTCATTGTGTGTTTGTGTGTGTGTGTGTGTGTGTGTGTGTGTGTGTGTGTGTGTGTGTGTGTGTGTGTGTGTGTGTGTGTGTGTGTGTGTGTGTGTGTGTGTGTGTGTGTGTGTGTGTGTGTGTGTGCATCACTTAGCCTCAAGCTTCATGTCTGCTGAGGAATACTAAAGACTGCGCTTTGTCAGAGGAGTGATTACAGGGTTCATCAAATCATTGATATTTCTTCAAATGTACACATACTTCTTACAAATGCCATTGTATGTTAAAGCACACAAAGCTTTGTACATTTTTTCTTGAAGATCGAAGGCCTCTTTAAAAGATGCTGCATCTGTATTTCTCACAACAATGTTCATCTGTAGACGTCATAAATTCTATGAAATTAAATCAATGGAAGTTAATTTGTTTTAACTCTTTACCATCACCATTAGAAGTGTCTGCATGTTCTCATCATTTCAAGGCTTTGGTTCATACACCATTAAAAAATAGTCACACTGACCTTAACATTTCATTTATTTGTAAAAATGCAACCAAATTGTCTTTCAATCGCATAAATTCAACACTATTACTGCTTTAAAAGATGTGAACAAAACTAGATTCATTTATCCATGCTGAGTTTTTACCTCCAGCTTGTTTTCAATTTGTGGTCCTCATTGCTCCAGATGTAAGTACTGTGCTATTAATAACAAAACAAACAAACAAACAAAAAAACAGACCCACGAATGTACCAGGTTCCGTTCACTCTTCAGCTTTTTCTTTCAAAAAAACTGTCTGGTGCGACAGAATCATTTTTTATGTCTTGCTATGCTCTCAGTTAATGGAAGCTAAAGCCTGTTTTGATGTCAGTCAAAGGTAATATGGTTTAGATGTTTTGTAGGTCAGTCTAGCTCTGTTCAAGTGTCCTTACTCACTTAATTTACTTCTTAACTCTGTATCTCCGATGACTTTTTGAAAGGTTGTAAGCTAAGTAAGGGCTGCGAAAAAAATGCAAACACACACACTCACACATCTTGACTAATATACACCTAGGGAGTAATAGATTGAAGGAACCATAAAGCGCTTTACACATTTATCTAAAGAGGATTAGCTGCCCTTGGCATAATGTAATCTCAGAGGATAATTAAGAACATTCAAGTGCTTCTTAAAAAAAGCCTATAGAAGCTTAAATTAAAATAACAATCATGTTATTTTGTTAGTATTCAAAAGAGATACAATCCTAAAATCTTTCATGTCTTTTTTATCATGATTTTCCTTCAAAATGCTGAACATATTGATATTATATTTGGGGATGAGGCATCATTTCGCAGTAGTATTGCCTTAGTGCAGCCTTATTTGTGAAAACAAGAGGGTGGGTTTTTTTTCTTATCAGGTATGACCAACACACACACACACACACACACACACACACACACACACACACACACACACACACACACACACACACACACACACACACCTCATCTGCTTTGAAACCAAGGGCAAATTTTCCATCGTGCATTTGATTGGGAAGTTTGAATGGGCGGCGCTTAAAGAGGCCAGACACGACCAATCCCAGCATACGTGGATTGACAGCTGTGCCATAGCAACAGTTTGGCTAGTCGCCAGTCTGTTGGAGTTGCCAGGCAAAAGGTTCCCATGGCAACATTCACTTTGCCATGGTGGTATACGAGGCTGGCGCCTACCAAAGCAGATTAGTGTAGAATCGAGCAGTGCTCTCACCTGGGGAAAAAACACGTGCATATATTTCAGCAGAGAAGAGCTGGCAAACAGATGTTAGCCTCGTTCAGATGTTATAGCATTACACATACAGTTAAACTGAACAGGTGTGTTGAAATCCGCTGCCACTGTACACTTAGCCTGAGGAGGAATTTCTATTTTTCTGTTTCCTCTAAATTGCATCATGTTTGTTTTATCACATTAAGTATAAAAGCCTGACAGTGAAATTGTCTTTTTTTCCCCCTGTAACCATCAAGTGTCACTGTATGCAGATGATGATCAAGTGTTTAGAGGAAAGTTGAACTTGAATTAAGGTGCAGCTTTTATGAATCACAGCAGACAGTTTTTTTTTTTTAATCAAGGAAAAGTCTTGCACAGCATAGACACCCAGACAGGACTGCTTCAGGGGGGAGTGAGCAAGAGAAAGAGAAAGACAGAGAGAGAGAGAGAGAGAGAGAGAGAGAGCAAGGGGGAGAAAGAAGGATAGCTGACATTGGCACAATTACACTGCATTTCTGCGTGATACGACTGTGAAAATATTGCAGACGCCGGGCATTAAGTGAAGAGGAGGTTATAGGTGTGAGAGAAAAAAGGGCTAGTCTGCTTGTGAGTATAGAAAGAGGCAGGAGGGGGGTACAAAGACAGAGGGTGGCTGAAAGGGTAAGAGGCGGGAAATGTGGACCCATGAGGGCTGGTAGTGGAGAAAAGGTTGGGTGAGTGAAGGAAGAAAAGAGAGGATAGGATAGCTGAGGATAGGAGGGGAGGGGATGCACTTTGGGACAATGAAAGAGACTGGTAGCAGCAGGCAGAGGAGGACTGGGACTCGACATACAAACCAGAGAGGAGTAGAGGAGGAGAAAAGAGGAAACAAATTCACCTGGCAACATTTTCATGTGTCCTGATTGGCTAATGTGTTTCACAGTCCGCCTTCTGGGTTCTTCTTCTGTGTCTTCAATGTAACAGTAATGTGTGGTGTATGATATTGACACATGTTTTGTATTGGAGATGTTCCTTTTTGGTAGACAGGTCCTTTAATGCCAACATGTCAAATAAGGCTCTTGTGCAGGAAGTGAAAAAAGAAAATCAGGTTTGGACGATACTTGTTTGAAATCATCCTTATGTTAGACACATTTGCACATTTATTTCTATCTTGTTTATGCTCTGCTAACACTCTTGACTCACTTTCACAAAGCAGATCATCTTACCCTTGTTAAGTCTATCTGTGTCCGTGTCGGGAACCGTAACTCTCCCAGTCCATAACTCTCAGTATGCATCGTGCCAGCTGATGTAGAGCCGCACGCAACAATTGCGACTTCAACGGAGAGAATCTGCACACAAAACAAGTTTAAGTGTAATATCTTTCAGTCAGTGTGACAAGCGGGAAGCTCCAATTGTCTTCATTGTGCAGCAGAAGTCACACAGATTTAGATGTCAGCCCTGACAGCTGACTTAATGGTGATGACAGTGTTATGGCAGTTGGTATTAAACTCCCATGAAAACCTGTCAGCTTTAAAGTGAAATCAGACAGTTGATTTGGATAAAACACTTCAAAATGTGTGAGTGCGTGAAGGCAAAACCAAACAAAAAAAAGGGCTTAGTTATGAGAGGGAGATAAGAGCTGGTGACTATCTAATGCTTAAGAGGGGAGCAGAAGTTAGAAAAAGTGTCAGCTTTCAAGGGAGAAAAGGTCGCTCACCTACACTGTCTTGTTTGCCAAGCCTTGACTGTTCATATACAGCATTTTGCAGGCTGCATCCTTGCTCTGTTGGAGTCTGTTGACATTAGAAGGCAGACAGAGGGAGTTCACACAGTCGCCAGTAGAGGGCAACAACTCCTCAGAGATGGGGGGAAATACTATGAATGGACGCAGAGCATGAAGTCTTTGTAGTAGTCACACCTGTATGAGAGGCTTAGCTGTGTGGAAACAGATTTTCATACTGCTGTTCCAGTGTTTGTCCGAAACACATCTGTTGTGTCATATTTTGATTCATGCTGACTTATTATTTTCACAGCTCTTTCATTCTTTGAGCTGGTTCATCTTTGTCCTTCATGGAAAACTGCATATGTGCAGTTCGACTCTTGTCATGTGCATACACCATTCCTGCTCTTGATAAGTTAACTGCAGGCTTTGGTGCAGGCCTTAGGCTTGAGTAACCTCCTCTGCATCAATTCTAGTGGCGAAACAGCCGGTGTAGTCCCCTTCAGTCTGTAGTTGACTCTGAGACTATATTTTTTACAGCAGTTGCTGCAGTCCAGCACTTTTTGCAAATTTGCCGCACTATTTTTACATCGCAGCTCCTCAGGCAAAATTACAACATAATTCCCCCTCAGCTGTCCCACCACTTGCTCTAAAATGTCCAATTTATTTATCTTAAATCAGAGCTAAATAAAAAAAATGGGATTCAGTAACACAAAAAACATGATTAAAAACAAAATTAGATGAATAAATCCTGCAGGTCTGCATATGTGAGTCTGTAAAATGGCTTACTGATTTAGTAAGGACAACATTATGTGCTTATATTGTTGTTGTCATGTGTACTTTAAAGGCCTACCGAGAATCAGGATTCACAGAGTAGCTAAGACTATAAATATCATAATGTTTAGATCTGGTTTCAATCTTATGGACTTGTCCCTGGACAAATAAACAAAGTAAACATAATAAAATACAGCCGAGAAAACAGGCCTGTTAGAAATGGTTGGCTCAATTTCCAAAACGAGACATATATGTAGGGAGTGTTGAACACCTCTGCCCTGTTGGTGAAGACCTCGACCGGAGAGCAGCACTATGGTCTGTGCTCTGCAGTATGAGGTAGTTGGTTGTATGGTTTCGCATAATAAACAGCACGGAGATAACTGTACAACCTTCTAGCTTTCACTGCGGAGTCACCTTTTGCTTCCACTGATGTGCCCCCAGCTGAGAGGTAAGTGTGTAGTTACTCCACCTGACAGTGTCCTTGATGCTAAATGACATGACTTCTGACACACCACAGAGACCTCTAAACGCTCTACCCTCGCAGCAAATGTAAAAACTCCCCTATGAGCCTCTGTGAGGTCAGACAAGGGACTTAAGTGTTTGATCAATTTTTCTACTTTTATTTGTATTTTTTTAAGAGTTTTTGAACAGAGAAAATAAACATCCAGAGTAGCTCATGATTATTATGATATTAACCAAATTCTTCATGGAAAACTAATGGGGGAAAATGCTATCAGTCAGTTAAGGAAAGGCAAGACAAGGAACCCACTGAGCATTTTTTGGTCTAAAAGAGGTCTGTCAAAATGTAGCCTAGACAACTGGTCTAAAATCAGGCTACCACAGGTCTAAAAACGAAAGGTGTTTAGTCGTCTAAATTTAGACCAAGTTTAGACCAAGTCTAAATCTGGGCTATATCTATACTCCACTGTATATTGCTTATCATAACTATCATATCATAATTATTTTGGTTAAGTACTTGAAGATCAGGTATGCAACTCACAGTTGCTTTTTGAAATAAATAGTTATCGAATAATGGGTTAGAGTGCGACATCTAAATTCTGTCTAAAAATATACAGAATCTAGACGGTTAAAATTAGGTCTAAAAAAAAGCTAGACGTCTAATAGCCGTCTATTGCTCAGTGGAAACAAGCAACACATAACTTTATAAACTTTACTCAGAAACACAACATAAGGACTTACATGTCATTGTCCAGTTCTAACAATGTTTAAAATAAGTTTAATAAGTTTCTAACTTCTTGTGTTATTCTGTGTTTTACATTGTCTACACTTGTCTGTCTGTTAATAGATATCCTGAACTGGCAACCAAACTCTCTTGTTTTAGAGCAGGTAGAGAACCAAGCGTTCAACTTTCATCTTCTCTGACATGATTTATGGCCACACACTGTGGTAAAGGCTCGCTAGCTACTCTACATCTTCATTGTTTTCCCTCCATTTTTCACCACCACCTGCTACTTTGAACCCATGAGTATATGCTTATTTTCAACCCGGTATCAATCTATCTGTCTTTTAAAAACACATCCTTAATTAATACCAGTGTACTGCAACAGCCCCATTTGTGTGCAACAATATACAAATGCTTATCTTAAGAAAGCTTTTCAAGAAATTAGACACCTCTTTGTTTTTTACATAACAGAAATGTAGTGACAGTTTTTTTTAGAAAAGAAGAAAAAGTTGGAAGATTCTGTTGTGCTTGTACAAAAGTTTGACTCTTTTCTATATTCAGTATAAAGAAATTGACAACTTTCTTACCCTTATCATTGTCTTATAAGCCACACCACAACATTAAAAACATGTCATACATGTAAATAAAACAGGTTATGAACATTGAACAAAGCCTGGATATTTAAGTCAGAGACACCCCACTTGTTTTTGACGCTAATGTAAATTGCATGTAGCTCTACCATTACTTATGCTTCTGTTACCACTGTGTGCATCCCACATCCCCCCTAACACACACACTATGGCAATAATTTCTCTACTTTCATTACCCCGCAACACATCCTCCTCCCTCACCCACAGTGTGTCAGACTGCTGGTTGAGACAGCAGCCATCTGCAGTGCGTTACAGCCGACTCTCCTCCCCTCCTCCTGGTTTGGAGGGAAATAGCGGGCATATATCAGAATTGTGCTGATTCGGCACTGCCGGTGGTAGCCTTCTTTATCATCCAACGCACGATGCTGCTCTCCTGCCAGAAGAGACAGGTGAACATCTGACAGTGTTCAAGGTGTGTGAGGGGAGGATGATGACTTCAAGTTATTTGGCCTCCTCTCTCTCTCTCACTCTCTCTGTCTCTCTGTCTCTCTGTCTACCTCTTTCTCTCTCTCTCTTTGACACACATATTCATACACACGTACATATACTAAGGGTTGTCTTTACTGGCATCAGGTTGTGTTTGGCTCACTTTCTAGCCTGGCAGATGCTGCACACTGTGCATATGTGTGAGCAGATTGCTTAAAAAGATCGTATTTTTGTGCGTCTCTGCACATAAGCTGCTCTAAAAAATGTCTTTAAGGCTGTGGAGCTGAAATTGTACAACACCGCCAGTACAAAGCAGCAACGGCTCCTTGAAGCTCCCTAAGTTTATGTTCACAACATTTGCCCTGTAAAGCATGTTACGCCTAGTTTGTGTTTTGACTTTGCAAACACAAACAGGTGTGCTGAAGAAGAGGCATGTGCTGCCAAACGTTGAGATGCTTTTCCCGATCTCCTAAAATGAAACAGAGGAGTGGAGCACCCCAGTCCTGAGACAGACAAGGCAGACACCATCCCAGACTGGTGATGTCATCTCTGTGCACTCCCAGTGCTTTGTCTCTCTATGGCACTGCAGAGAGCAGCCGCAGGCACACACACACATCAAGACACACACGCTCACCTGTCTGCCTGTGACATTCTGCATTTGTCACTCAGGTTGGGGCTCTGTTCAAGCCTGAGAAAAAGCAGCTTTGTCTTGGTTTTTGAAACTAAATTGTGCGACTGAAAGCTCTTGTCTTAAATGCATGCGCTTTTATGGTCTGCTCTCGAGAGGACAGACAGAGGACAGCAGGCAGAGACTCCTGCACTTTAATCGATTCACGGTCTGTGTGCTGTAAATGTACAGAAATTTGTCTTGGTGACATTAATGTTTGATCAGATAGGATTTATGTGCAGCACAAGCACATACAGCTCAGATACTCACATTCAGTGCAGCGCAGATAGTGTAAACACATTCAGTATGTTGTTTCTATGCAAATGAAGGTGGCATGGCATTACAGTATGATTGCGGATACGGAGGAGGATGTGGAGAGTCCTGTAGTGCATCAGGGCTGTGTATAAGACAGTTCAGAGAAAAAGGATCAGAGCAAGAAATAAACGCAGTGTGTGTGTCTGGAATACCTGCTGCAGGAGTGAGACAGGCTTGTCTATAGGCAGTGTGGGTATATAATGAATATTCACGAGGTCTTATGAGTGTATAGCGTAGTGATTTTAGTCTAACCTACATTTCTGAAAGGTTGGATCATCTTCTAGCATATTTAAAAAGCAGAAGCTTCAATGGAGGAGGTGAGGTTGAGTTTTGTCTCCGACAGGCTTTCAATTCATCCCTTGATGCAGCAACAGATCAGCTGTTTGCGCTTATACTTTTCCCATTCGATACCCTGATATTAGTGCTAATTAGCTGTCCATTCCAAGGGTGTCACCACCAATCGCTCCTTTAGGTGAAAAATCCATTTCTTTTCTGACAGTTTACCCTCATTTCCTCCAAATGTCTGACACATTGGTGATGTTGTCCGTAGTAGTGGGAACACTTTGGGGCCATTAATGATGCTCACACATCAAGTGTAGTGTTTACGCTCCATACCCCTGAACAGAAAGCTAATCAGGGGCTCTGAATTAGATTTACTTTCATTTCTGGATTCCCCTCAGGCATGTATGATTTTATTATCCGACAAACACAACTTTCCGGCCTCTTGGAGAGTAGCACTCGTATAAGAATCAACCTGCTTTTAGACATGTGAGCTCACCGAGCAGCCCAAAAGACACGAGAAATAAAACAAAATTATAGAGCATTAAATATGCAAAACTGTTGCAATGTCTTTGTTTGTGCATGCAACACAAAGTGTGGGTGTGCATGCAGGTTCCTATGAGGAATTAATTAAGCTTAAAGTCAAGTTTTTGCACCATTTGGATTGGTTTTAGTTGCAGTGAACCGCAGACTGCACATCGTCTACCTCTGATGTTAAGCCATATAATTAAGACATGTTCTTGTAATTGGCAGAGTGCTTCACCATGGGTTTATTTAGTGTGTTTGATGTCACTCCAAGTGCAATTTACACATGTGTTGGAGCAACAGCAGCTGTAAATCGTGTAATCAGTGTGATGATGGTGTGATTGCTGCATAGAGGAGGCAGTAATGTCAGCCTCTCAGGTTCATGAGACTCCTGGGCTTCATATTTTCTCTCCATTCTCATCCTATTAGAGATTCTGACCCTCCCCCTCCATCCCCCTCTTTCTGCTAGCCTCTCTGCCATCACCCCCCACACACACACACATCTCCCCCTTACACACATACACAGTGTTACTCTCTTTCCTAGACACACACACACACACACAAATGCGTGAACCCGCTGCACTCGTACTCACTCTCCTTTTCCATCCCTCACACGTTCACACACATATTAGCTCACAGACTGGCGTGTGTGATTTTGTGTGTGTGTGTGCGGAGAGGGGGTTACTGAGCTCGTAGAAACGTGAGGCTGAAAAAAACGTGCCAGGGAAAAGAGAGAGATGGAAGGATGAACAGTAGAGAGAGTAAAAGAGGGGAGAGGGAAAGCAAGTTAAATGAAAGCAAAGAGAGACGACTAGAGACAGTGAAGGCAGTGAAGTGAAGGAGTGTGTGAGTTTTATGTGCGTATGTGTTAGGAAGCATGTGCACCGGGAGGTTTGGTGTGTAAGTGGGCAAGTAAGCAGGCTTCTCTCTCTTTTCTTCTTTATTTTTCCCTTTTTTTCAGCTTTGGTGTGTGTATGCAACAGCAGCCCAGCAGAGACAAAAGGTGAGGAGCTGCATGGATGTTGCTGTTAGTCAGGCAGGCAGGCAGGCAGGCGGGCAGGTAGGTAGGTAGAGAGCAGAATAATGGAATCAATACTATTGTCTGTAACCTACCTGCCGCTGGGCTCGCTGTCTGGCCCCAGCACACACCATCAGAGAGAGAGAGGGAGGGAGGATACACAGACTCATTCTGAAGAAAGAGAAGAAGAAGAAGCCAGCTGTAAGGTGACCGTCTTTCTCTTATTTACATTTTTACTACAACGGTTCATGCAGATAAACTATAGGCTGTCTATTCTGTTTGAAGAGCTGACATGAATTTAGATCTAAAAGTTTTTCATTCAGTGTTGGCTCTCTGTGCATGTATGCACGCACTCTTCTCTATTTGTAGTATCTATCTGTCATTCTGTTTGTTTTTGCACACGATGAGTATTTTAAATATTTGGTCTGCATGTTGTCGACAGGTGACGCTTCATGTTTCTCACCTTATTTTAATTCTCATTTTTCTTGCTCACTTTATTTGTGATCTGATGCGAAAGTGCACATCTGACATTTACCTTGTCGTATGCATGCTTTTATTTATATACATATCAGGCTGGTAAATTTGAGAAATTAGCAACTGTCAAGGAATTTAGATGTTTTGACAGGGAATATTTTTTAGAAATATGTATTTGCAACTGCTGCAATTATCATATGACAAAAATCTCCATTCCTGCTCTGCTAAGTGATTTAGTAATGTAATATTGTGCTTTATCAGTACCGACAGGAATGACAATATTTTAGACAAACCTACAAAAGCAACATCTGCAGACAAATCCATAATTCATCTCTGGTTGAAGTTATGACAAATGTCTACTGTTCCCTCTGGTGCGACCAAGCCGACATGTCTGTCACATTCATCACGATCTAAAATCACACCTCTGCATTCAAAAGTCTCAAGGCCTGGAGATCATGAGCCTGCAGGTAACTCATAATGTGAATTGATGTGTTCATTATGATGCAGGACATGACGCAGGCACCTTTGCACCTTTGTGCACACTCCCAAAAAAGATGTTTATGAGATAAATGAGTGCAGCTCTCTAAGATGAGCACTTGAAAATACACATTTCCTTAAACACTACATGCAAAGATGTTCATTCATTCCCAGCTAGCATGTGTCATTCTGGCTGTCTACCAGCGGGTGGCAATGGCTTCTGATATTTCTATGCAGTCATTTGCCTTTCATTTGGAGAATATAAAGGAAATTAAACATTAATTTTTTTCATTTAAAGACCAAATACTACTTGATGCTGTGATAGTTCTGGTTTAAAACATCATTGTTTTCTTCATTTGCAGGTGAGTTTGTCTTAAATAACTTCTCTGTCCTTATTTTTCTTTCATTTGATCACAACCATTGAGCTTCTTCTTCACAGGTAAAGACAGTTAAAGAGTCATGTATTTTCTAATACAGTTAATTAAAACGAATGTGTTACTGTTTATACAGGACAAAGATTTAAAATGAAATTTAATTTTAGGCTGTTACTCTACACAAGAATATTACCAGACTTTCATCAATGTAACTAGCGAGACCTTGTGACAAATCTCATTCACTTCGACACATACGTTATTATTTTTTATCTGCTTCGTATTTGTTTGAGTAAAGAGTTGAGGGTTTGTAAAATGAGTGATAACTTCGGATTAAAGTCATAAGGACTCATGAGGCTGAAAGCCCCTTCTGCTCGCTGAGCTCAGAAAAGCTATTAGACTCTGTAATTTGTCAGTGCTAGTTCAATAAATCATGTTCAAAATGCCCATGACATTTAACAACAGTTCAAAATTAATTGTTTCCACTAAATGAATACAGTCTGCTCCATAATGGGCTCGACTGCTGCATTGCTGACATTAATCCGAGCTTTGCAGTAAGAAATGTGTCTTTACTCTTAACTTCTGCACTGTGAAACAAAACATTACGGTGTATAGTATAGACAAATATGTGATGATTGTGTAATGATTTTGTCTTGATCGTACTGATCACTTTTGATTCTGTTCTGCAGCAGACCAGACCGGAGGACTGTTCGGTGCTGCAGAATCCAAATGTCAGATGAGGTCATGTCTTTGTCTCGATGCAGCCACTCTGCGGGTCTTTCTATCGATACGTTTCGTCCCTGCGTTTTTGTTTTGTTTAGTTTTTTAGCTCCAGAATTAATATGTTGTTTCCTTTTGTTTGTCTAAACATGAAACAGTACCAGTATTCTTCCTGTGTTATTTTAATTTCACAGTATGCCCCTCTGTCCCTGAGACCCTTAACCTGTGAGGTCAAAGCAGGTCACAGGTGAGGTCCTCGGGAACAGGGCTGCATTCAGTTTCAACTTCTTAAAAAAGGAGAGGTCTTTGGCGCAGTATTGAATGATGTAAACTGTGTTCCCCAAAAATGCTCTGACTGTGTTTTTGTCTTTTTCTTTTTGGTTTAAAATGATCTGATAATGTAAGTTTTTTTGGACTCTAATGTACCATAGCCACCTCTTAGCATTGTCATGATGTTGACTAGTCTGATGTTTGCCTGTCATGTCACTATCAAAACTTATCAGAAGAAGAAGAAGACCTCTCCTCCTGCAGCAGACATTCTCAGGGGGCCGACCCTATTGGCTGTCTTTGTGGTTTTCAAGCCCTTAGTGGGATCCAACAGGAAGACAGCCGAGGGTTGTGACCCCGTCGTTTACGTCATCTCATGAATCAAGAATCGATCCCCTTCTCTGAAAGTTCCTGTACTTTGCTCTTTGTATGAGTTGCTTCGTTTCCTAGAGAAATGTCTGAATAAAAAATTGTCAGAAAAAGAAACGTGTGAATTTCATTCTGACACGTACAAAAACTTCAACAAGGTGATTCGAAATCTGTTTTATTTCACTCTAACCTCACATGAACTGTATCTTTGCTAGACAGAGCTGAATGGAGTGATTTTTTTTTCCACATAAAGCACCAGATCTTCAATAAATAAGCCAATTCACAACAATTTGTGAAGATAATCTCCTTTTCTTTGACTGAGTGAAAAGGCTCAGTCAGAGGTATCTAAGAGGTATGTAAGAGGAATCTTTTATTGCAAATTTGATAAAACCGTGAACAAGCTGGCTTCACTCTCTTAAAAATGCTCTGACAAGTTTTTTATCAAAGTACCCTGCCGCAGCCCATGCTTTATACAAGCAGATCAAATTAAACCCATTTTGACACACACACTCTCACACAGACACACTGATGCATATTTGGGATTTTCCACGTCCGACCACATGACTCGCGGTCTGACTTTGCCAGTCCTGGAGCAGACTCTTGCCTAATATTGATTGGCTTGTCTGTGTGGAGACAGATGAATGCATTAGTACCCAGCTCACCCTGCCACTGAAAATATATTAAGTTCATGTATTAGGCACCCTGTCTGGTTGCCATGGAGATGCACTGGGAGTGAGGGACAAGGGAGGAGAGGGAAAGATGAGGAGGAGGTGGGAGACGAGTGGGGGATACAGGATGTGATGAGGCGGTCGACTTGATTTGTAGTCCCGCTCCCTCTTCCTCTTTCTCTGCCTCTGTCACTTGTGTCCTCTCCTCCTTCACCTTTTTTTCCTCCTCGTTTTGTTTTCTTTTTTTTCTCTGGCACCACTACTCTCCGAAAATTTTAAAACTCCACCTCGCAATAACACTTTCCCTTTCTTGTTCCCGACTCCTCGATCGATTTAATTGACCCTTTTGTTCCCCTTTTTTGACTTTCATTCGCACTCTCCCCATCTCCGCTTTAGCAGTTCGACTTTTATTATTTCTATATTTCTCTCGGGGGTTTCTTCCCCCCACGCTTATCACTTCATCCCTCACACATAAGCATTTAACTCCCTCTTCATCTGCCCCTCTATCCCCCACCATCACCACCACTACCACTGCCGTCGCCGCCTCCCTCCTTGGCTCGCTCCATCTCTGTGCTCTGCAGTAAAACTGGTGCATTGAGGCAGCAGGAAATGGGGACTAGAGACAATAGAAAAGAGGGAAGTATGGAGGGAGTCTGTTGCTCTCTTCTGTTTAAAACAGGAGTGTAATAACAACACTAGAGGGATACTTGGAAAATATTTCAAAATTACAATCTGAACTCCATTTTTACGATGGATCTGTCCTTTGAATCCATTTCTTTTTTCCCCATAAAAGAAAGCCTCAGAATCTCCACCTTCGTTGCCCCGAGAGACCAGATTTGGAACAAAAACAGCTTATTTTAAAACATTTGTGTGACTTTAATGCTTTTTCCACATAATGTGCACATCTGCTTTGTGGCTTATCTGTGTCAGCTTGCTGCTCAGTCCATCTCTGAGCTGCTTTCAGTGCTTTGTTGAGTTATCAGACAGTGCTCGTCTATGTAGGGGTCACATTTTAACCGAGCACAACATCAGAAATGTTGACGCCTGCTTCAGAATGCTGGACCGCATCTTCAACAACAATGCAAGAGTAATTGAAGCTGGAAGAGTCGGTATGTAAAAATTACATAGATGCCTTTTTTATTTCTCAGTGATGTTTTGTTGAAATATTTTTAAGCTTGCAAAGCCTTTCAGTGCGCTTAAACTGAAGATCGTCTCAAAGCATCAGTGGGCAAGAAGATGTACAGATCCACGTGAGATGAGGATGCTTTTTTAGTGTGTCATGTCTTCCTCTCCAGGTAAAGGCTACGATAAACAGCTAAAAGAAATTCTGGATTTAGAGATCCTTCCCATGGCAGAGGAGTTTGACAGAAAGGAGCATAAAGGTACTCAAATGCTCCCTCTAACAGACACATTACAGCACAATGAATGAGTCTTTACGGCGTCCGAATTGTTAAATAAGGTCAGACGCAGAGTCGAGTTAGAAATGAGAAATTTCAAAATGATGCCCTAGAGCATATGGTTCACCAGGATGTGTTGAGCCAAATATTTCTGTCTTCCCTCTCCTCCTCCTCCTCCCTCCCATCCGTCAGACACAGTGTATGAGGAAAGGTTGCAGACAGCAGCAGACAATTTCATCTCAGCTGCCTCCAAACTGCCCAGAGGTGAGACATGGTCTCTTCCCCTTTTCCCTCATCTTTTCATCTACAGTCAGGCCTATATCAGGTCATTATGGCTCCCTCTGATCTCTCCACTCTCTCTTTAATAAGCTTGTTACGTTATTACAGCCTTTCAAACACTGGAGAATAAAGCCGCCTGTCAGGTCGCTCTGACTCATACTTGTGGATGTTAGCTTTAAATTATTGATTGACATTAAATTTGGTGAGCTTCGTTAACTTTCCTACTTTGTTTCCACAGTCTCTGGGTGCTTCCCTCCGTGTGGTAAGTGTGAATTCTTTTTCTTTGTCTCTCCAATAACATAACTTCTGTCCCAGATGTTCAAATTTAATTCATAGGGTTCATGTTACAGGTTTTCAGAGTGAAGGTAGAGAGTACAACTGTGTTACCTGCAAGTATGATTTATGCGAGTTCCCACTGGACTGTCCAGGTGAGCATTTCTTGTCAGTCATACATATTGGATTACGGCTGATGTTACATCACAATTTTCAAACAGGAAGAAAGAGGTGTGCTAATCCAGACTTGACACATCCTTACATAACTATATTTGATCCATCATGAGCATCCATTTGGGATCCTTGAAATGCTTTGCTTTTGATCCTTTAAATGCTCTTAGCAGAAAGTCAGGATTTAAAAAAGAAAACCCAGGCAAGGTTTTATTTCCGCACATTATATCTTTTGCACAGGGCCCCTAAGGTACTCTTTAAGTCCTTGGCTTCTTTATGCAAGGTGACAGTTGACTCCCACACACGACGGTATTGGTATCAACGCTGTACAGCACAGCCGCTGTTTAGCATATCATCACTTTTACTCCACTCCTCAGAGACTGGGCTTAAGTATTATCATTAAGGAGGGCTCAGACTGCAAGAGCAGCCCCCCTGTGAATGTTATCTGTGTGTGTGTGTGTGTGTGTGTGTGTGTGTGTGTGTGTGTGTGTGTGTGCGTGCGTGTGTGTGTGTGTGTGTGTGTGTGTGTGTGTGTGTGTGTGTGTGTGTGTGTGTGTGGGTGGATATATGGTTGTTGTTTTTTTTTCCAGTTAAAGATGTTAAAGTATTGGAGTACAGAGAAAGCCAGGTGCGATGTGAGGTGCCTTTTAGCTTACCAGATGATATCGAGGTGATCTGGAGGTTTGCAGAGGAGGTAGGTCAGGAGTAACAAGAACAATAGAGGGTCACAGCTAAAGCTTTTAAGAATAGGAAAGACTGATATAATAGTTGAATATGAAGTTTGAACCTTAGCTTGGCCACAGCTTGGTATATGTGCTGAAAACAGGAGAGCGCAGCTTGACTGCTGTTTCAAAGTAAAACAAAAAATCTCTCCCCTATCAACAGGTGTTGTTTATGAAGTGATACCATTTTTTGTCAGTTTACATCTGTACAAAAAGCAGTTGTAGTCACATCAACATAATCAGTTTGCAACAGCCTTTCTGAAGCCTCTGCCTTGACATTATGGTCATCACCATCCTTTTTTTTTAACAGCTATTGACTGAGAAAGTGGAGTCACAGAGAAATCAATGGTTTAAAAATGCTAAGCTATCAAGACAACATATTTTATGTCTGTGGTTGATTAGTTATTTCATTAGACCGTTCACCTCCATGTTTCCAACAGAATGAGCTTACATTTGTTATTGTTTCTGTCACATGGACTTTCTATCGGCAAAATAAACATATAAACCTTTCACAAACCAAACCATGACTGGTTAAGCTGCCATACTAGCAGGTGAATTTTTTCAGTTTTTGACAATGATACCTCAGCTAGCTAAGATTTATACTAAACTTAGCTGACTGACTCCAACGAATCACTTAGCTTTCATCCCAGAATGTTGAAGGACAAGATATTTTTCCTAATTTCTTGTCAAATCGACTCCCTGCATGCATGTTAACCTTTGTGAATTTTGCCTGCAGTATTTGTAAGATTTCTTTTTTCTGAACAGGTGAAAACCCAGCTGGTGGATCAGTTTAAAGAGATGACTGCTGGAGAAGACACGCTCTATTCTATACCTTCAACCAGACTGCACCACCAGGGCACCTACCAGTGTGAGATCTACTCGGGACAACGCTCGATTGTCAGACTGTACTTCTACCTCACAGGTAACCAGATTGACCTCATACAGAAAGCTCAAATATACTGAAATACTGGTACAAATGGGAAAATATTCAACAAGTTTAACCTTGCTGAAACTCATCGGGGCCCTCGGTGAAATCTGTCATACGTATCATTTATAAAGATTTTAAAAGATGTGTATTTATTGTACGTATTTTGATGCTCACACTATACAGCCAGATCCAAGCTACTGTTGAATATATCTTACAGAATTCAAATAAACCTATTGGATTATAACTCAAATATTACCCCTCTTTTTAACAGTCTGTGGCATATATGTGGATCAAACTCACCCCGTCTCTCTCTTTCCCTCTCCCTCTAAGTGACCCCCCAGGCTGTAGAGGGCCACACAGATCTGCAAGAGATATTTGACCTGTCTTTGCTCCCAGGAGGGCGTTTACTCCCTCAGCCTGGTGGTCCTGCACACCCCCCTCACCTCCCTCCCTCACCACTGCTTCTCACCACTTATTTAGCGTCTGTACTTCTGCTGCTCATCCTCTCCCTTGGGTATGTGAAGCCCTGATCCAAACAACTGAAGACAGTATAACCCAAGAGCATCTTACCTTGAAACTCAAGATACTACTCTTCCAATATACAGTACAAGTCGGTCCCTTAACTCCCACTTTTTTTTTCCCTTTGGCTTTTGCAGAGTTCTTCATTTAGTAGAAGTAACAGAGGAAAGCTGTCAAGATGAACAAGCTGATGAGGACGGAGATTTGGGAATCGCAAGTTAAGAAGAAAGTGAAAAGAAATGCATTTCATCGATCTTCTGAAACTCTACGTCTCTAGGTCTGAGAGAAATCTTGTCTTTGGCTCTTTCCACCACCAGAGGGCAGGATGTTCATGTTTATCACAGGTCCCCATCAGCACAGTGTTGCATAAAACAATTGTTTCAACAATGACTGAAAAGTTACTAAATAAATGTACTCATTACTGCTCTCACTGCAATTACAGCTAGAGCTATTCAAGCTTGATTATTTTTTCAATTTAATTGTCTATGACTTTGTATTTCTACTAAACTGCAGAGAGAAATGTATATTTTTCACTTAACTACACTTAATTTATTTTTGACATATTTCCATATATGTATAAAATGCATATTTAAAGTATGCAAATAAAAGCTTATTCGAAACACAACATGCTAGTACAGATGATACTTTGAAAGGGATTGAAATCAGTTTGAACCCACTACAATGAATAGCAATGACAAAATAACAAAACATGCTGTAAAAGTTGATGCAGAGCTAGTAGAAACAGCAACAATGTGATGAATTACTGTAAATAAATGCAGTGCCTCATAGTGAAAATAACTGACTATTAAACATTTGAAAAGTTTTGCATAGGCTTGCAAAGGGAATTTTTGACTGATATTTTATTTTTGGCCCTCCTTTAAAGTGCTATAAGAAGAGGAACTTTATTCATTTGAAATTTGATAATGATAATGACAATGTTATCACTTGTCTTCCCAGTAATATCAGGAAAATAAAAAACATGAGGACCACTAAAGTAGCACATTTTGGAAAGATGCATTAAATCTGTTTACCAGTTGTAATACTGAGGTACTTCATGAAGGTCTTGGCTTTCAAAACATTATATTAATATATAATATAATATATAATTCTGTCTGTTCCGATATGGCATTTTGTCTGATGAGGTATGTGTCTATGGGTAAAAGTAAAGCAACTGAAAAATACAAAAGTACTAGGCTGGCCGGGCCATCCTGTTGCGTGAATCACTTGATGTTCCTTCCCACAACATTGTGGGAAGGAACATCAAGTGATTCACGCAACAGGATGGCCCGGCCAGGCAAGCAAAGTACAGCTAAAATGCATGTTCAACAGGACAGAGTGTACACTTCAAACCAAATTGGCCAAAAAAAGTGTGTTTGAGTAACTTAAGTACAAAACTGTTAGAAGCAGAAGAAATCAAGACCAGGAGACAGCAAGAGTCTGCATGTAGCCAGTACCAGTTGGTTAAGGAGGCAGGGATGTGGTAAACTGGGAAGAAGAGATAAAACTAGGTTAAAAAAACAAAACAAAATGGATTATAAGAATTCTTATAAGTTAGGTTCATCTCTAAATGGGTGAAAAATTCCTGGATGTACAGTGAGAGTGATATTTGATCTAATTAAGCAAAACTCAGTCAGAAATGACAGTTTCAGGAAAGTTGTACATTTTCTTCAGCTCCTTAGATCCACCAGCCTTTTAGCCAGGATACAGCTGAGTCAAACTGCCATGCCCTAGGTGACCACAAGGAGGCACTAAATTACAAACTTTAACCAATGACAGAAATCTCTGAATGGAACAGTGATACCTTAATAAGCTGAGTAAGTTTACGTCTGCATTGAACTTTGCTTTTACATTCACATTGTGTCACATCACAGCTGTAGTCCAGAGAGTGTGTTGTTGCTAGTATGAAACACAACATCACATAAACAAATCTGAATCATATGCAGGGATGGGGAAGTACTTTGATTGCGACAGATTCTTAAACAAAATGTGACCCTCTCATCATATTTGCCAGGGTATAAAGGTTTTGAGTGAACTTTCAAAGCTGAATGCCTCGCCCAAACCTCACTGATGTCAGTTTGTCTTTGTGGGTCATTAAAAGTAAATGGTAGAAGTCCTTAAGGAGTTACATAAGACATTTATCTTTTTGTACTCTTGTCAGAACCCTCTGTCAGACGCAAACCTTTGAATGGTTATAAGTGTTTAAGATGTAGCCATAAACTTTTCAGCTGAATGAATGGAAACAAGTGATCAGATAAAGAACCTAACTGTGCTGGAATCTTTTCAAAGCCTTCTATGTGTTTATCTCTGTCAACCAAAGAAGTAATGATTGTGTTTCTGTCACAAATCATTCCTGAAGTTTTCCTGCCACTTTCCCCAAAATTTAGACTAACCTGGCTGTGTCTGCCATGCAGGGGAAGGATTTCTAAAAGGTGCTTTAACGTCCGTATCCTTCTGAACTAGTATTCAAAGATTTTTAAAACCACTTTTCAAACATTCCGACAATGTGCGTTACATTTTTGGCCTTGCGCATAACCACAAGTACACCCCTGACCCTGAATCACCTTCATTCTGAACTTTCATGACAGTTCCCCCAAATTTTAATCGGCTATTTACAGAATCTACACTCAGATCTCAATGAGCCACAGGCAATATTTCCCGCCATTTTTCTTTTCTGCCCAAATGCCCTCCTCAATTTATCAATATATATTAGATTAGATTAGATTAGATCAGATTAGATTAGATTAAATTAGATTAGATTAGATTAGATTAGATTAGATTAGATTAGATTAGATTAGATTAGATTAGATTAGATTAGATAGAACTTTATTGATCCTTTTGGGAAGGTTCTCATATCTAATTTGACATTTCATAAACAGTGAACCAAACCACTCAGTTTAACACTCAAGAGCGACAATGTGAGCGTAGTTCACTTCGGGGGTTCCCTGCATGACCACTCACATTTCGAGAGGTGCTGAAAGGTGCAGAGAGGTGCTGAGCACTTAGCAGCAGAAGTCAGATCCATGGCACTTTTCATGCATTCAGCATGGCTAATCCTGCTGACAGTACAAATAATGCAGTTAGCAGTGCATGTGAGACCAGTAGCATGAACATTTGCAGTTTTATGGGGATAGGGATTAAAATATAGATGACTCTACTGAAAAAAGCTTTTGAAAAATGAACGCAAACTAGTTAATTTGATGGATCATAAACTGAGTTAAAATGTCCAAAAATGAACAATGAATACAATGTTCATTTTGATTGGCGTAAACTAGACTTTGAGTTACCTTTTTTTGTGTGTAGGTAAGCTGGAACTTCACTTGTTCATGACCATGATACTTAGTTTAATGATTTCCTTGACTTAATGCTTGCCCAGTTATAAAATGGAAATATTTGCTGAGGTAAGACCACATGGAAAAAAACATGACTTAGGGTTCACCAACTATAGACAGGTGATTATTGAAATTAAATGTTATTATTAGAATTATAAATAGCCTATTTTTATGCTTCAGTGTACAACACACTCTAAGATTTTGGTGCGTCAGATCAGTTGTCAATCTCTTGACTCCAGCTGTGCCCTTCTCTCCTCCCAAAGATTATAACTTCTTATCTTCCTATGATGCCAATTCAAAGGTTGGTGGTGCTTATCTCAGTTAATATGCCTTATTCCACTTTTAGCTGTTCTAGTTTTCTGTCTAATGTCACACCTGTCTGCATTCAGAACCGTTTAGACAACTGTGATACACTAACCATAGAAAGGTTTGCAGCTGTACTTCAATCCAAGCCCACTCTCCGTTACAAACTACGTCCTGACGTATGTATCCGAACCTGAAATTCTAAGCATTCAGCCACATCTGAGGAAACTCTCTGAGCACAACCCAGTTAAAGTATTTCAGATGAATCAACACGCTCACCCCTTCATCCCAAATGCTCTAAAATGTCGTTATGAACCAGCGCCTGAAGTTGGTCAAGGTTCATAAACCTTTGACCAAAATTAATCAAAGCAAGGCCTCAAGCACAGACCTGAGCTCACATCAGAGGGACTAACCACATTCTTCTACATGCAGACAAAGGTGAACAGTTCATTCAAATTCAGCTGGATTTATGTGATATTGATTTAATGAGTCATCTTCAATCAAACACAAAGATTTCATATCAGAAACCCCATTAACGCACCCTCCTTCAAGAGTCTGTCCTCAGACCACTCTGCCTTTCATAGCTTTGTTTCCTTTTAGTCACACGTCCAGTCACTGTTTAAATGTCACGTCCATGTGAGTTTGACAATACAACAATCTAATTTTCAACAACTTTACTCAGCTTTCTCAGCTGATAAATTCTAAATGTCCTCTCCTGAACTCTGACAAACTGAAATTGCTTCATTTGTATTTGTCAGTTCTGATATGAGAATTGATCCAAATCTGTGAAATTTGTTGCCCTTGATCACTTTTGATCGTGTTTTTTTAGAGCACACAGCAGTGTTTTATTTAACTATGATCAAATCACAAAATTCAGAGTCATCCTCTGTTCTTTTGCTGTAAAACCTACCAGTGTAAAAAGTTACTTATTTATCAAACTCAAATTAAAAAGTTGCTCGTACTTTGTGCTAATTGTGAGTAATTTACCTCATACGAGTGTCAGTGTCTGAGTAACTGTAAGCTCGAACTTAAGTTTTCTAAACCTAACATATACTCTGTCAGTATCTATTATTAAAATGCACTGATAAGATAAAGTATTTAAGGTTTAAATCTGGATCTTAAATCTTAAATTAGTTCATTGTCAGCCATTACATTCATTCTAAGCATTGCATCAGATTTCATCCATGAATTATATCTGTCATGTCGGCCAGAAAGCAAGAAAGCAAGATTATGTGTCCAAGAAGAAGGCCTAAAGAGGAAAGTGTCCTTCTATATGTGTTTGCAGTCTGTACACTTAATTTCACTTTCAACTTAAGACAGTACATCTTAGAATCATGTTGTTTGCAAATGCTCAGCTACAAAGTGTTTTAGTTTCAATAGTTACATAGTTGCTGGGAACCTCCTGTTTTGTTTTGTCCAGATAACTGCAGGGCAGCAGACTGTAACCGTGGTTGGTGGTTCCAGGTACAAGAAGGAGATATCTGAAAACTGCTCAGTCTGCTCAGTGGAGCTTCACCTGAGACCAAATCTGCATTATGCCGACAACACCACTGCGGAAAATTCACACAAAGTGGCCTAAAGCACAAAATA